CTCTATGAACAGCATGAATGGCATTGAACACTTGACCAGAGACCAACAAGGCCGTGTGATGGTCAGCGCGTTTTGGAATGGGTCCTTCAAAATCAGTCACTTCAGAAATAGTACGGACTAAGGCTGGGCCGGAAGTAAGATCAAGAGCAAGCGAAAAATCTGTAATCGCTTGATTGGCCGAAGCATCAGGAGGAGAATCATCTTGAAGAAGGCCTAAAAGCTCGGTATCACTTGCAGCAGATGATAGTGATAGTTGGGAAGAGACGCGTGGGAGGGGATTAAGCACTGGAACCACGGAAGGTACCGCATCAGGAACACAATCCGGAAGAGAGGCGGACGGGAAATAAGGTTCAGAGGAAGCAACGATATGGTCCTCGTCAGAAGGAACACTTGCGGGATTCTCAGAAGGAGGATCAACAAGAGCAATTGCACGATCAGATTCCTGGTAATCACAAGTGTTGGTGGAAATGTCTGGGAGCTTCTGAGCTTCATTTGCAGCAGGATTCATATTGTCAGTCAGGTGAGCAAGAGACTCCTTATACGATAATACTTGAGTTTCAGACGGGGGAGCACATCTAGCGAAGGAATCTTCCAGTTCAGTAGAGGCGACGGAATCAGCAGAAGAAGATTCAAGATCGCTAGGAGATACCGATGGGTCAATAACAGAGGAGACACGACGAAGGATCACTTGGCTCAGTGTGCCACCATGTGGTGCAGCAGATGACAAACCATAAACGCTACTCTGGCTGGAGTCAGTGGGGCTCGGAGGATAAGCCCCGGAAGCTGAGGAGCCAAAGAGAATGTCTGATGGTAGACGGTTCGAGCTATCCTCATCCAGGACAGTAAGCGTTTTCAAACATGGAAAGACATTATCATTAAATTTCACGTTGTTTGAAATCACAATATCTTTCAGAGCCGGAACATAACAGCGGTAAGCTTTATGGGCCGGACTATAACCCACAAAGATAGTATCTGAGGATACCGGAGAGAACACCGATGTACGTTTGGCCGGAGGTATCAACACATGACACTGGACACCAAACGGATGCAGCACAGAATATAAGGGGTCATATCCATACCAACGAAAGAAAGGTGACTTCCCGTCCAATAAAGATGACGGGTACCTGTTCACTAGAAATTCAGCCGTCTTGACTGCCTCGGATCAAAAACGCGAGGGAAGACCTGATGAATGAAGAAGAACACGAGCCTTCTCTTTTAACGTGCGATGTTTCCGTTCGGCAACACCATTTTGGGATGAGTTGTACGGAACCGTCAACTGATGACTGATCCCTTTTTCAAAAAAGAACTGATTGATTGCTCTATTGTCAAATTCTGTTCCGTTATCAGTACGAACTTGGGAAACTTTTAAACCACGTGAGCTAAAGTGGTTTTCTGCAGTCAAGATAAAATTCTTGAAGTATGCATTAGTTTCATCCTTCGTATTGAGAGGAATGATTTGAGACCATCTCGAACAATCATCAACAATGGTTAGAAAATATTTCTCATCCGCAAAACCCGGAGTGGAGAAAGGTCCGCTCACATCAGCATGAAGTAGTTGGAGCGGTGCCTTTGCCCGTGGTGATGAAGCTTGTGATGTTTCGGTCAGTAAGTCTGCCGGTGATGAAAGTGCTCTGTCCTTGTTCAGAGATATATGTGCTCATTTCAACCACTCCTCGGAAATTACCCAAGTGATGGGTTTGTTTTACTTAAGGATGTTTAAGTCCGACCAAGCGAATGCTCGAGTTTTAGATGTGTCAACTCCGAACATTACGTTGTCAGCGGTTGAGAACACTCAGCGGGATCTCGTTCCTACAACGCAGGGTTCAGTATTTGCGGCTACTTCCAAGAAACCTTATGTTAATAAGCAGAAGTGTTAACGATGCCAGAAACGAGGCCACGTTGCTAAGGATTGTCCAACTGCTGCCCCGATTGCTGCTAGCAGTTCTAGTGGTAATACAGCAGCTCTTGTCAACTCCTCATCCAAATCTATCTCTGATATCTCTTGGGCAGTCTTCAACTCAAGAGAAGACTCAGTTATGCCAACTCGGAGCTACATTTTGGATTCTGGTGCTACACTTCACATTTCAAATGAGCGGTCTCATTTTGCTGAATTTACTCCGGCGTCTGGCTGCATTACTGGGATCTCATCCAATCCTCTGGTCGTTAAAGGTACTGGGACTATCCGCTTTGTGCACCCAGTTACCTCAAAAGTTCATACTGTGTCTGACGTCTCCTTTGTCCCCATGCCACCCAAAATCTTATATCCATTAAAAAGGCCTCCAAAACTGGTTCATTTACATTTTCTCATGAAGCGATCCACTATCTCTCATCTTCTGATGATACAGCTAGTAAAATTGCGACCGCTTGTGGGCCAGACCTGTACGAGTTTGATTATACTCCAGTAGTTGGTGATGCACTTGCAGTTCCTGGTGATATCAGTCATGCGGCCCTCGGTCACCCTTCGCCCGCAGTTATGGCTCAGATGGGTGTACCTTCTGGTCCCAAGATGGTTGAGTGTGCCTCGTGTGCTGCAGGAAAGATGACTCAAATCTTTCCCAAGCAAGTTACTTTAACACTTTTGACGACACAGTATTCAACAGTACAACTTGAATCGCATTGTTCAATGCAACTTGGAGCTGCATAACTAGAGTGTCGTCTATCGGTTCAGCTGGAGGTAACATCATATCTCCAGTTGTAAAATAAACGTCAAGGCCAGCACCGTGAGTGGCAACAAGCATACCAGTGTAGCTGTTCCATTTAGGATAGTTCATAGACGAAGGAAGCTTCAAGCTCTCATCTCTAGGGCAAGTGAGAGCGAATTGGCTCATAACCTGTTGTAATCTAGCTATTCTATTATGAATATCCATTGTGTATGTTCACTTTTTCTTATGTTCGTTGCTTATTGATATATAACTAATATAACTAACCTACAAACTAATACTCTCAAACATAAATACAAGAGGGACAAACCTCTTGTATTTATACACTTACACCTTCGGTTAAACTTGCCATTATTCATTTATCATGGCGGCTAACTTTCCAGTTTTAGATTACTCAAGATGCCTTATCATGATAAGACTCTTATATCTTATCACTCAATCCTTATTGGCCTCGGCATCTTATCTCAACACTAAGATACCTTATCATGATAAGATTCTTATCTCTTATCCCTCGATCATGATTGGCTTCGGCATCTGATCTCAACAATTTCTCTGTACGTCAACTATTGCTGACCTAATCATAACTTTACTTTTTTAAATATTTATTGGTAAGGTTTTATTCTTGTTAATTACATACATTGAAAAATGCAATAGACGTTTTCTGTAGTAAAGAGCCAATTCCATTTGTAATACTGATCTATACTGGAACTACACATAGATTAGCATTTTGGACCAATTGAACTGGGCGTGTGGCGTAGTTGGTAGCGCGTTCGCCTTGCAAGCGAAAGGTCATCGGTTCGACTCCGGTCTCGTCCACAAAGGTTTTTTTTCGATTTTTCTCTAGAGATAATAAAGTGGGTGGTGAATACGTTATTTTTTAGTAGTAGAAGTAGTTCTTCTACTATTATACACATACAACAAATGCTATACTTCAAAAACTATTCCTTAGCTATTCCGTCCACAACCAAGTTCTCAATCTCATTGTTGTATGTATGATACGTGATTTTGATAATTTCATTTTGAGGAAACTCGATCAGAGGGATATCATTTGCATTTGAGGCCATTAAATAACCGTAGAAAATACGAATAATAGTTTCATCTGCTATAATCAACACATCATGGGATAATTTTTCCATTTCTAGAATCAATGGTTCGATCTTTAACGCTAAATCATGATAAGATTCAGCTCTTGGATATCTATGATGGTAAGGATCGGATAAATGTTTCACATAACTTTCATGAAATTTTTCATCCAACTCTTGATCTGTTAAGCCTTCTGCAGCCCCAGGATTAAGCTGTGTCAATTCAGGCCTATGTCTAACCGTACATCCTGCGTTTTTGAATATTTGTGAGGATTGTATCGTCCTCAATCTTGTTGAAGTCCACACAACAAGATCTTTTGGTATTTTCTGATCAGTGAAACTTGATGCCAAGGTATTGTAAATTTTGTTTATGTAGACTTTCCCATTTTCAGTTATTGGTGGATCGTCTTTAAATTTTAGTTTATTCAAAGAACAGCGTGCAAAGTAAATCGAGTGGGATTTTATTTTCGCATTGAGTAAATAATAGATAATCTTCGTTGTCAAAAAATCGTGCTTCAAGTCGTTAATGAGAATTTTTTCTCCAAAGTTGTATGACTGGATGAAAGGAAGATTGGCCACCTTTGAATCGAGATGCTCATAGTATGCTTCGTTTGCTTTGATTCTATTTGTGAAATTCTTCAACGCAGCCTCACTGTCCCAAGATTTATAGTCTGGCGAGTTGACTGCGTCCCGTATGTTTTCATTCAACAATTCAACATCATCAATGATCGATTCTATAAATAAACATTTGATATTTTTCGATTTGAAAAAATCGAGTAGCCTTTTCCGTTCACTGGAAAGCCCATTAATCGCATCGTAGATCGCAATTTGTCCGTTTGAGGTCTCAAAGAAACCAATGATATCTTCGATTAACTCGCTCTTTATTTTTGACTTTAAATTTTTTATATTGCTGTTTTCTGGTTGCAGAGAAAAGTAAGAGTTGGAATTCAATTTATCGAAGTTCAAATCTGTTTCTTTATTCAGGTCTGTGTTTTTTCTTCTATAGTCACCCAAGTGGAATAGCTCGGTACGCACCCCAAGCCATCTCAAGTACCGACATAAGCTGATAGAAAGGTTAGTCTTGCCTCTGCCCGGCAAACCAACCATTATGATGCAAATCGAACCCGCGTGGAACATCCTGCCTGAGTCCGTTGAATACATTTGTGCCGGCGAAACATGGTTTACCGGCAGGTTCTTATGGATCGCATCGTTGCTCTTAACATTGTTCCTAAAATTATTGTGAATAATATTCGTGGCGTAGATGGAAGATGGGTTCCAACGTTGGATCTTTCTTGCCGAATAGTTCCCTGGAATCTTTGCTTCCTCTATTTCCGCCACTTCGTTTTCTGTGCTCATTTTGTGCTTTGCCTAAATTCAAAAACGCACTTCCTCACTGAACTTCAGAATTCACAACTATTTCCTAGCTATCCAAAAACGAGCTTCCAGTCTCTTGCCTCTGCTTCACTCCAGCTGACTTATATTTGGTATAAATCAATTTGAACCTATAAAACCTGGGGCACGAGAGGAAACCTGGGAAAGCAGAAACCGATGCACACCTGTGCACCACAAATTCCCGATTTTGCCCCACACTTCCTCGCGGAAGCGCGCAGCCGCCGACCTATTCCGAAATACGGAGCTACTTCTTACTTAGCGCCTTCCATTGCGTCAGCTGGGACGAAATTTTTTAGACCTTATCGGGGAGCACAAAAGAAAGTAGTATCTGTTCTTTTCTTTTTTGCGTCTCATCCTTTCCTATTAACTGTTTCTTTCTGTTTCCTATCAAATCTCGTCTAGCCTTTTCCTACCTCATCTTCCCAACCCACAGGCATACTATACTTGTGGCTGGTACTTCACACACAAATTTATCTCCGAGATGTCGCTTTTTATGGATATGATAATAGTGGCTTTTCTAAGTCCGGTATCGAATTACGTCAACAATAAAAAGTGCGCAATTCTGGAGAACTACAGCGGCGAAGAGGAAAGAAAAGCATTTGCAGCACACTGGATGGGGCAAACAGAATTGTATGGTGGTTTTGTCAAGAAATATCTTGGTTTCGATGAAAACGGAGAAGGAGAAGACGAGGTTTGATGTACCATATAATTTTTACGACTGCTTTTGGCCTAAACTGTGGTTTTGTTTTAGAACCAAAAAGGCTACTTATGTACTATTCCCTGATGAAAAATTAATATTCACGATAAAATAATTCAAATAATCAACAAAAACTTTGAAATTAGGAGTGAACCTACCACCGTACCTTACCGTTGGTTTGGCCAGTATTTTGATACATTATGTTCAGGCCGCTCCATTCTGTGTCTCCGCTGATGTAGACTTTCACAACAGCCCTTACTGTCATGTTGTTAATCTTTCCATCTCCCTTGATGGCATTCTCAATAATTTTCCAGCCAGCACTACCCGTGTTGGCGTACTCGACCTTCGCTCTTGGGCTTGTCCAAATCCCTGACTCAACTTCCCATATAACTTTTTCCTTCAAATACCCAATTATGTAACCTTCACAAATTGCTTCACCTTCCTCTATCTCGAGAATCAAATTCCGATTACTGATTGGGTTGAATAATGTCATCTCAACCTCTTTGCTTATAACATGCATAATGGTATCCCTAATAAAATAGTTTTCTTCACTTTCCCCGCCAGTGATATCTTTTGAGCTCAAGCTCAGTGGAATGGAAATACCATCATACAATTCGCAAATCTTTTCGTTACAGCCAAAGATGCTGCTTTGATTCTCATAGCTAACCCCATGAAGGGTTACGTTTGTTGTGACCCCAGAAATCATTTCACCGACGAACTCTTCAACTTTTCGTTTCTTATCGTCGTCCCCACTGTTTAGTGCAACCTCAAGTCTTAAAGGTATCACACCATCCTCACTTTTGAACGTAAGCATGGTCACATCAGAAACCTCTTCGGCATCGTATTTGACAGCAGTATTTATTTTTTTTATCTCATTCTCAAGCGTGTTCATGAAAGGTGGCAGTCTCAAATTAGAATCAACTCCAATTTTCACATATCCACTCCCACTATCAATATACTCCATATCAACTAATTCGATGAAACCATCAGAAATCTTGAAGAAGTTGTGTATCGACAGGGACAAAAATTTACCAAGGCAAACATTAAATGTGCCATTGATATTTATAGGGCCCTTGAAAAAGTCAGAGGCCAAATCGATTCGTGAAACAATTTCTGTTGATACATACTGACTGTATGCATTTCTGTCTAACAAATTTTGTACCATTTTCTTGCTTCGGTTAACGTCCACAATGTCCACGACAGAATCTTGAATACTTGCACCGATGAAGAGATCGTCCATTTTGTTTATGGTGAGATTCTCGAATGTGACATTAATTCCATCGGTCAAAATACTTCCATCTATATTGGCTCTCAAGTTTTTCATTAACAAGTCATGAAAATAAAGTAGATGTGCGTCAAAAGTAAGCCGACCGCTTGTGTTATCTAATCCTAAGTTGAAATCTGTGACATCAAGATTCCAAACATCATTTAGTGTAGGATCGCAGGAAAAAGAAGTCGAGCCAAATATATCGTGAAGCCGAATTCCAATGTCAAAAACAAGATCCTCCCACATATCACGAATCCATCCATCATCATCCACACCATTACCCAGTATAGTGAACTGTAGTTTCTCTTTTTTTGAGTCATCATTTAATATCCTCCAAAGAATGTCATCAATTGTTCCATTTTTGATAATAGTCTCCTCAACATTGAATAAGGTGAACTCAAAAACGACAAAATGTTCATTCTCAATATTTGCAAAATTCGTAAAGTTCACATCGGCAACCTTATACAAGTTATCTTCTATCATGAATCCTATGCTTGATCCTATTTTAGGTATTCGCATGTTTTTGATACTATCAATTTTCAAGACAGCATTACCTTTACCCTTGAAGCCAATGGCAGGATTGTAATCATTTATTTGAAAATTTTGTACAGAAACTCCGCTTACTAGGGTGGATAGGACACGGTCTAAAAATCCATCCAACTTGTTCTTTTCAAAGTTCACCGTCTTGCTTACAGAAAATGTTTTTCCTGCAACTCTCATTCTGCTGGAAATATGGAATACGGATGTTTTATTTGTTGAGAGCTGATTGACCGTTTTTGATAAGGTGTCACCTTCAATATTTACAAAAAGCTCATCAAGATCAAAAATCCAATGATGTGTAGATTCCTCATAAACAGTAAACGTTAAATTCTTGTCCAATGTATCTATTTTGAATAGAGGTTGATATAGTTGATCATATACCATTGTGTCGTTGACGAATTCTATTTCTGTTAGGTTCAATTTTTCAATCCAGTTTAATATTCCAGCGCTTTGAAAATCAACGTCAATGCTTTGTACGTTGACTAAAATGCCACTTAAATTGGTTTCCAAGACTTCTATTCCACCTATTTGAATATTTAGGGATTTTAGAACATATTTGAGGTCTAGTAGAGTGCCTATCAATAGAATCAAAAAGGCCATAATGATACCGGTCAAGATGTAAAACATTAATCTCCATCTACTGTAAAACGCGGTGGGCTGTTCGTCAACAATGATATCCTCACTTTCCCGAATAAGCGAAGGTATGGAGTTATACCTGACTGGTACTGGTTGAGCCATCAACAATCCCACTGTTTCATCATATTCATCATCAAGGCCCTTATGATTATCACGCACCTGGCCTGAATTCGTCATATGAGTGATATGATTTGACTGTCCTGTAACCTTGTCAAAGAATTGAACACGGGAAACATCTACGTTATTGTTGCTCATGCTTTCCCTGAGAGTATTGAGTAAATTTTTCTGAGTTTATCAATCAAATGGGATGATTTTAGGGATAAGAGAGGGTGCAGCAGTGCTTATAACCAATTCCTCAAAAATCATGTTCCTGCGCACAGCCCTGAAGAAGAAAAAATACTTCAAATTCTACGTCTATGCCGACTTTGGATATGGTACAATAAATACAAAAAGTATAAGCTGAGTACCTCTCAGATTTTTCTATCATTGCTTTTCTATTCTATATAATTTTCTAAAAACAATAATTTTATAAAGAGAATAGTATGATTAGATTATTTGTACGATGCGCTGAGCCTATAATTTTCCTTTGAAAGCGAACTCTTTATCGCAATGCTTGTTTTCAATTTTTGCGGTTGGAGCAACGGTCAAAGGAACTGAACACTTCCATTCACCGACATTGTCCACTATGCTTCCATCTTTCTTATCATAAGAGTTCCAGTCTTTTGTAAGGTTGAACAGAATTTCGTCAGCTAACTCCTTTTTGAAGGGGAATTCATCAAAAAGTTTGTCGGTAAGAAATTCATCCAGCGACTCTCTTGTGACAGCCTTCTTACCAAAAAACTCGTCAATCTGCTCATTGACCTTATCACTTTCGTAGTTGACATTATCGAATTCGACCTTGTCGTAGACAAAATTAGAAAAGGAATTTTTGACCATTTTCAAAGGGTCCAGAGCTGGCAGTTTTTGAGATTGTAAATGCACAGCCAATTTACCATTATTTGCACTATCCAAAATATGATGAATATAATAGTCAATGACTTCTTCTTTTTTGAAGCTTTTCAAGAATTCAACATCCTTTTCATATCTGTCAAAATCGTAGTAGCCCGAAGCAATTCTGTTCCAATGATAATTCCTTTCTTCTCTTAAATTTTTCATCTTCTGCTCTTTTTTGTTCACCAACGCTTCAACATGCTTAGCAAAATCATCGCTTGTCATTTTTTGCTCTATGTAGATACCCATTTTTTTGATGAATTTATTGATTCTCATAAGCAAGTAAAACGTAGGGTATTCACTTTGAATCAAAAACCTCAAACCAAAAGTTGTACGAGTCTCCCTTGTACCTGAGAAAACGACGTAACCTAACTGCTCGATTGTTCTTAGTCTGTTGAAACAAGGCTCATGCACAATTTGTGAAACCAATTCATTAAGGATTCTATCACGGTGATTAGGAATCAAACCAATTTGAATGTAAAGTTCAATACATGAATTTATATTGTCAGGATCATCATTCGGTTTCAAATAATGTGAAAGTGAGTTATCTTCTAAGTATAGTGATCTACCTCTTGTGAACTGAGACTGGGTTAGAGTAATTGAACTATTAAGAGTAGGTAAGTTTTCTTTGATAATATTGTGGATTTTGGCTGTGTCGGATTTCTCGTAATTTCCAATGACTAAAACTTCAGCAAAACATATTTTGAACAAGTTCATTGAGTAGTGTTTTAAAGAATTGAAATCAACTGCGTTGAAGCAAGAGATTTCATCATCAATTAACCATGAATTCTCATTGACTAAAGAAGAGATTATTGGTCCAACTTGTTGATACGGGGTAGCATATCCAAAATTTTTCAGACTTCTAAAAAGTTTTTCTCTCAAAAGCTCAAACCTTTTGTTTCTTGATTCACTCCACACAGAGGCTTCTTGGTCTGAGCTAGTAAAAGTATTCAGGGTCTGAATTAATTTTGTTAATAATATCTCCTCTTTGTGGGAGTAACCAATTATCTCCAGACTTATACCCTCTCTAGCAAGGTTGAAGACATAATGAAGTCCAGCCAAGGAAGCATAATATGATAAAGAATTTAATTCATCATCCAATAGTTCGACAAACAAAGATAGGTACAAAGAGTTGAGAGGGGTCGACGTTGATCCTGGCAAGTTAAACTTTATTGTAATCGCTGATCTTGGTCCACTTAATAAAGAATTAGACTTAAACCAAATTTTGGAAAACTGATCTAGCTCAACCAACTTTGGATGTTTTGTTGAATCACATTCAACTAGTTCAAATTTAGTTGGCATGAACTCGTTCTTTTCAGGCAAAGTTAAGTGAGGATCTAAGGGCAAGGCATCTAAATCTTTGATTTTATTGTACGTTTCCACGCTGTACTCTGTCTTATACCATTTTTCTTGTTCAATTTTAGACTCTTCAACATCTGATAAAATATCTTTCGAGATCAAAAAGACCCTAAAGTTGGTTGGATTCATGTAAGAGAGAATTTCATCAATAAGAGCCGGATCATACTTTCTAGTGACAGACAAACTTAACAAATCTTCAGGGGGGATATTGCTCGAGGATACAGTTGTAGCATCGAGATCTAGTAGTGGATTTTTCATTGGAACTGAGTAGTAGTGCAAATCTTGCAATTGGCCTGCATAACGTGAAACAGTTGCAGCAACAGCGCCTTTTTGTCTGAACTTGAAAGAATTCAAAGATTCAGTGCGCAGTTCATCAAATATCCACTTTTGTGGCTTCTCCGTTTTTAGCATCTTCAGATACTTAAAAACATCTTCAATCATTAAATCGTACTTCTCAAGGCCTTTGGTCGTTAGTTCAATGTTGATATTGAATTCTGAAAAACCTGGAGATATTTGAGACGCACCAGATGTCAAACCATTGGCCCAGCCTTTTTTCTTGAAGTTGAAAAGCAGGGAACCTTTAGATTCATGTCCAATTAGATGTGAGAGATAGTTGTTAGGCAAATATTCCCAATACTGAGTAGTTGCAGGAATTGGGAACGTCAGTTGCAAGTTTCTCATTTCGGTTATTGGTTTAATCTTGTAGAGCTTATTTGAGTAGTTCTCTGAGTTGAATGGGGAGTGTTCATAAAATGGCTTTGGCAAGGATTTGTTTGGGACATTTGAAAACATATTAACGGTCCAATCTGTAAGAGTATCCAAACTTTCATTTGATAAGATTGAAACACACATGATATTTGATGAGTAGTTGTTCTCGTAAAACTTTAGAAGTTCATCTCTCACGTTAATACCATTTTCAGCAGGAATGTCTCCTAGAGTCACCTTGTTACCTGTTGAAAAGCCGTTATGAGGATGAAGAGAGGAAGTGGTTGACTTCGAAAGTTGATAGAGTCGCCAGATATCGGATTGAAGATTTTTCTTGTTTTCACTATCTACTGCATTCACTTCCCTATCCTTGCCCGAAGGCGAGAACAAAGGTTCAATGAAAAATTGGGAGAACCTGTCCAATGCACCCTCCAATGCATCATTCTTGACTTCAAAATAGTAGTTAGTGTGTAAGGAAGAAGTGAAAGCGTTTGAATAACCCGAATTCTTCGATAAGTAAGAATTATAATCGTTTTCTTGCGGGTACTTCTTGGTACCTAAAAACAACAAGTGTTCGCAAAAATGTGCCAAGCCCGGTAGAGACTTGGGATCATTATAGGATCCAACGTTGACGTCCAATGCAGCAGCCGACTTGTCTGTGGCGGGGTCATGAATCAAGAGGGCCGTCAGCTGGTTTTCCAGCTTGACTATGCGATATTTTCTATCGTCAATATCTGGTTTTGCAATTGCGCCATCGTCTGCCACTATTGTGTGCTTCTGACTGCTCATCGTCGCTAGGTTCCTATGGAAAGGCTGATGTGTATACAACGAACGAGGGTGACGACAGTGAGTTCTATTTGGTGCTAAGGACTTTGTAAAATGCTTCGAGAATGTATTTATTATTGTTGAACACGCCATAAACAGAAGACTGGAATCTGCAATCTAGCCTGGTTTGCGTGTGTCTTATCTACCCTGTACGATTGACGGTAGAAACTATACAGATGAAGCACCAGATATACAAATACACGGCACAGGTCTCTTCTTCGGCGTCCATCACCTGGGGTGCCGTGTAGGACCAAGACCCCAGATAATAGCCACGATTCGAGGTGTTTTTCCCCTTCTCTGGCACGCTCTGCTCTTCTCTCGTCGCTATAAAAAGCGCACACTGCCGGCGCTTTGCAGTGAAGATTGATTCAGGCTCAGCACTTTCCTCCTCCCTAATCTGGAGGCGATGGCATCTTTCCTAACTAATGCTGGTGTCTGTACTCGTGTATGTAACCGTGCCCGTACTCGTGCCCGTACTCGTGCCCGCTCTCGTATCTGGACCCACTGTATTGCTGTCACACCGTGTCGTCGTGGAAGACCCACTTGGATAGAAGCGGGTTTGAGGGTCCATATTTGCAGTGGTTCTCGTCGTCATGGGGCTTCTCCAGCACGCGGTTGTTCAGCAACATGCTCTGTAGCGAGAGAACGATTGAGGAGATCGATTGGACAGGGGTCCAGCCGTCGTACAAGATATTAAGACAGATGTGGCCGTTCGAGTAAATGTGCGGGTGAACAGGGATGTTGCTTCCGACAAAGACGATCTGTGGAGGAGAAAAGGGATAGTCGTCTCCGATCTGGTAGCTGAGGGTGAAGGGTGTGTTTGGATCGTAGAGCGGGTTTGAGGTTATCCTCATTTCGATGAGGATGCAGTCCACCTTGTCCTGTGAGGAGACGAGTTTCAACGGCCCGTTGGTGGCACTGTTGTTCGACACAAAATCCTTGAGCTCCTTCAGCACACGCTTGTTTGCTAAGTTCGACATGTCAGTTTCGGTCCTGCAGCTGTGCTATGCTTTTCTCTACTCTTCACCAGTTTTGTCTCCAACCTGTCAATCCCTAGTCAAGAGACGCCAGACGACGGCCCAAAAAAAAGGGGGCCGATCGGCCCAACACGCTTTTTTCCCCCTTGTCTCCCCCACTAGTTTTATTCATAAAAACTCCCATTTGGACAGCGGGTGGGAAGGCTGAATTTCGAGTCGCAGCTCTCTTTACGTGTCTCCCTGGTCAGTTTGTTCGTCTGCTCCACCTGGTCACATTGTTCGTGGGTGTTCTCTTTTCGGGACTTCTTTCTTCTTCTTTGCTCCTGCGTTTTTTGTCTTCCTCTAGTCACATTCTGTTTCACAGGCTCCAAACTCACCATCATGGCTAGATCGAATGCGAGGTTGGTAAGATTTGGATTCTTTGCGTTGTTGCTAATTTTATCAGCATACATCCTCTCCAAAGGCTCCTCCACTTCTTACTCCGTTTCTCCAGCAAGCAAGCAGCAGACCGCTAACACCAATACCAATGCCAACGCCAACGCCAACGACAACAATAAAGTGCCAGTCTCTAACAAAGAAGACGCTTCGTTATTGAAGGCCCAGGATGGGTCTTCTTCCGCCGACACAAAGAAGGTGGTTTCTGGCGAGAAGGTGAAGGCCGCTTTCGTCACTTTGGCTAGAAACTCAGATGTCTGGGAAATCTTGGGCTCCATCAAACAAATTGAGGACAGATTTAACCACAACTACGCTTACGATTGGGTTTTTCTTAACGATGAAGAGTTTTCTGAAGAATTCAAAAGAGAGACTTCGAGATTGGTGTCTGGTACCACCCATTACGGTTTGATTCCACACGATCAGTGGTCATTCCCTGACTGGATTGACACCCAGAAAGCTGCAGAGACCAGAGAAAGAATGAGACAACAACAGGTCATTTACGGTGACTCCATTTCCTATAGGCATATGTGCAGATATGAATCAGGTTTTTTCTTCAGACACCCTATAATGCAACAGTTTGATTACTACTGGAGAGTTGAACCTGGCATTAAGATCTTCTGCGATGTTGACTACGATATCTTCAAGTTCATGAGTGACAACGACTATGAGTATTCTTTCACCATTTCTTTGCCTGAATATGTTACAACCATCCCAACTCTATGGGAAACCACAAGGAGTTTCATCAAGGAACATCCAAGCTACTTGCACCAGAACAATCTTATGGATTGGGTTTCTGACGATGGCGGTCTCACTTATAACGGTTGCCATTTCTGGTCCAACTTCGAAATTGGAAAATTATCCTTCTGGAACTCTCCAGCATACCTGGAGTATTTTGAATATTTGGATAAAGCAGGTGGATTTTTTTACGAAAGGTGGGGTGATGCTCCAATCCATTCCATTGCTGTGGCGCTTTTCATGGACAAGAGCAAGGTCCACTTTTTTGACAATATTGGATACTTCCATAACCCTTTCCACAATTGTCCTGTCAACGAAAAGATCAGACTTGATAAAAAATGTGCTTGTAACCCCAACGATGACGTCACCTGGAAAAATTATTTCTGTAACAACAAGTTCTACAAATTGCAAGGACTCAAAAAGCCTGAAGGTTGGGAAAGATACGGGGATTGATTTATTGAATGAGAACATTACCTTTGCACTTCCTCTTCTTCGATTTTTCCGTTTTGTTCTTTTTTTTCTTAACTTCGAAAAACAATTATAGTTAATAAGTAATGTATACATATTTACAAATTCCTTATTATCAATAACTGCAGCTTTCTTTTTTTTAAATGATACCAACCAAAGCAGAGCAGTATCATTCTGAATCAAGCACAGTACTAAGAAGTCGAAACATTAGGAATTAGAAATAAAGAATAATGAGAAGTTAGAAATCTTTCTCAGCATGCTCCGCGCGGAACGCATGAATGACGTGTTAGGCTTTTTAAACGCTCTTTCACTACGGCGAAACGAATAGTAACAGCCCTTTTATTAGTGTATAATTCACCTATCACTTTAAGTAACTAATTGGGAATCGGTAACTATTAGCATTATCAGAATGCCGATTGTACCGATGTCCCAAGTCAAAAGTCGAATCAATCGATTTGCTGCCATCGCAATCGTTTGTCTGTTGATCTTTTATTTCACTTCCAACGTTTCACCAAACAATACAATTGTGACAAAGGATGAATTAATCAACACGAAGGCTAAAACTGCACCAAAGAGACCGAGCAAAAAAGTCAAAGCAACTTTTGTGACGTTGGCAAGAAATGAAGATTTGTACGAACTTTTGGAATCGATTCAGAGTATGGAAGACAGGTTTAACCATAAATTTAAATATGATTGGGTTTTTTTGAACGACGCTCCATTTTCCGAGGAGTTTATAATGGAAACTACAAAATCGATTTCAGGTAAAACCAAGTATGGTGTTATCCCTTACGAGCATTGGTCAGCTCCTATCTGGATTAATGCGAAAAAAGCGGAGGAAGTAAGGATGGATATGAAAGAAAGGGAAATTATCTATGGCGATTCGGAATCCTACAGATATATGTGCAGGTATGAATCCGGATTTTTCTACAGGCATCCTCTAATGGATGAATATGATTATTACTGGAGGGTTGAGCCTAGTGTCAAATTCTACTGTGATGTTGACTATGATGTTTTTCAGTTCATGCAAGACAATGACTACGAATACGGGTTTACAGTTGCTCTGAAAGAATACATTGAAACAATCCCAACTTTGTGGGATACAACAAAAAAGTTTTTGAAGGATCATCCTCAATATTTGGCAAAGGATAATTCTCTGGAACTAATTTCTGACGATAATGGTGAAACATACAATCTGTGCCACTTTTGGTCTAACTTTGAAGTAGGGAAGCTAGATTTTTTGAGAGGAAAAGCATACCGTTCATACTTTGATGCTTTAGATAAATCCGGTGGTTTCTTTTATGAAAGATGGGGGGATGCTCCTGTCCATTCCATAGCGGCTGCATTGTTTTTGGATAAAGATAAGCTCCATTTCTTTGATGACATTGGGTACTTTCATGGCCCTTTCACGAGCTGTCCATTGAAGGAAGATGTAAGAATAAAAGGCCGTTGTTCTTGCGACCCTAAAGAAGACTTCACGTTCCATCCCGCTTCCTGCATCAATCAATATTACAAGTTCAAAGGACTTAAGAAACCAGCCGAACTTGCAAAGTATGGCTTTTAAACTCTTTATATAGATATCACATAAACATATGTAATACGCAGTTAATCCTTAGTCACAAAAGGAACTTGGCTTTCCGAAGTTACCGCTTAATCTAGAGCTTTGCGGAATAGAAGAAAAACCCAAGACTTGCGATTGTGCGGCGTGCGTTTGATTCCTCCCTTAACAAAAAATTCTCGTGATCTATTCATCTTGAAACATCTCCAATGTGCATGTACCGAAAAACATTCGAACAAATACAGCATCTCGGATAGAGACTATAATGCAAACAAAAGGGAGAGATTTGAATGGACAGCGCTCAAGAAGGTATGACCGATTCAAAAATCTACATCCCAAAACGAAGCAGAACAGAGACTACTCTGCAGGTTCTGATATATTTTTAACACATGATGCCCTGCTGAGATCATATAAGGACGGCAACAACAATGCCAATCTGCGTGACCTTTTATATGATGATGAACATGATGACGACTTTGATAGACCCGAAGAAAGCGTTTACAAAGAAATTTTGGAGAACTTTATCATTAAAGTAAAACTACAGTCTTCGAAACAGATTAGACGAATAGGATCTTTTTCTACGATCAATCTCATAGTGATGGCTACCGTTATACTACTGATTTGTTCAGTTTCATTATTGTATAATAAGAGTAGTTTTAGCTTTTTTAGGGAGATTACCAATGCCACTACATTCATAGATCAGCCTGTCGATCAATCACCCCTTCACAAAATCATAGTACCGTATTTAAATCAACTTTTCCCGGATAAAGTATTAGAAGATGAGGATTTGTTTGATCCAAGATTGGCTCCGGCTTTATTGCTACTCTATCTTCAATTTCACATTATTGGAACCAAAAAGCAGCTTGAACAAAGTTTCAGTATACCCTTCAGCTGGGAAGATTGGGTGGATATTGATGCGAAACTTCAGTATGATGATGATTATTTGATTGAATGGCTAGCATTACACTCGAATGACTTTTGGAATCAGTTAGATGATTTCAATAATCTTAGTTGTGAAACGTTTGCGTTGCTCTACGGTTGTGAAAATAATAGAAATTTTATGAGCAAATGCAGTGATCTGGATGACAATATCCCGGGTTATCCATACAAATTCGAAGTCACCGGTCCAACGAATGCGAAAATGAAGGAGCCTGGAAGAATTCTTTATGGGGCAATGTACCTGAAGTCCAAAATGCCACCTCCACAACAAATTTATCTGTTGGATGTTTGCGGAGAGAATGGCGAAGGTAGTTTAATGATTAAGGTGGATCCTGATAAAAATGCAAAAAGAACCCAGGTTTTGCGGAATAAAGAAATTATCATGCAACTTATAGATTGGGAGGTTACATACACAAAAAAAAATATGGGCTCTTTTTTGGATAAAGGATGGAACATTGAAACTTTGAGGAAACGAATGTCAAGTGTTTTAACTAAATTTGGTGTTGAAAAAATTATTTCCAACAAAAGACATAAAGATATTGATAGAAAGCAAACGTTCCTGACTTTGAGGGAATCTACTGATCATGGAGTAGTGGAGGTCAGCAGCTGGGACTTTGATGATTTCCGGTGGGATGAGGAGCAGTTTTGGAATGACTTGATTATCTCATCTTTTAATGGAGAAGAAGGAAACTATGACGGAAGATTGTACACACGGTTAGAGGAGAGCGAAAATTTCAGAATACGTAAAGGTTTTCATCCAAAATACCTATATGAGGCCGATATTTATGGAATTACTGAGGGTTCTCATTATGACTGGAGATTTTTCTCTGGAAGTTTCATGACAAGTGATCATCGACAGTCGGTTATTCATAAGTTGTCAAGGACCTGGCTAAGATTTTGCTTTGAAAACAACCTCAAGACATTTATTGCATATGGTTCAATGCTAGGATGGATTAGAAACGGATTGACATTACCGTGGGATGGAGATATTGATGTCATTGTAACAATGGAGACTTTAAATTTGTTAGCAAGAAATTTCAATCAAACTTTGATAGTAGACTATAGTAGTAAGGACGGTTTTCAAAGTGCAGCTACAGGATTTTTAGTTGATATCAACCCTGCTTATTACAGTCGTGTTAAAGGGGATGGTAATAACGTTATTGATGGCAGGCTGATAGATATAAGCACTGGACTATATTTGGATATTACGGCTTTGGCATGGACCAAAGACTATCTCAGGGAAGTACAAATGCATGACAAGTTGAAAAGATTAGTTGACAAAGATTACGAGGTGAATAGGATTTTTGCATTGGAGGGTGAAATCTACGGTCAAACATTGATGGAACAGCTTGCAAAGCTACAAGAAGATCACGAATTGATTCATTGTAAAAATGACAATGTGTACACCGTCAGCGAGTTGTCGGTCATGATACCGTCGTATTTTGAAGGCGCCCGAGCCTTTTTTCCTCAAGAGTACGAGAAAATCATATGGAGATTATATCCTAAAGCCCTCACAAGAATAACTGAGCCTGATCATGTATTTGATGGTGTTTATCGTCTCTGGCTTAACATTCATGACTGTCCCGCTATGGTCAATGAATTTGGAACTGTTTACGTAAACGCTCCATTTGGTACATGCAATAATTCAAGAGTGATACATGAGTATAATTTAACGCAAGACTACACTGCCAGACACCTTTCAATGCTAGAAGAGGGAGATTGGGAGAGCTATAAACTTGAGGAGAGCACAGAAAGCAAACCTTTCAGAATTGATGAGTTTTTTTTTCTGTATGCCGCTCGCATAGGTTTACCGGAAGATGAACTGGTGTCTTCGTGCTTGTAGTTACATAAATTTATGCCAAGAACATAAACTTGGACATGCATCTAAACATCTATAGAAACCGAAAGTAGAAAAAGAAGCTTTATTACACCTGTTTAGCGTGGGTTCCAAGTCGAGGATTAATAATAATCTTTTGGTGCGTCTTTCCACCGAAGGTCAAGAAAATAAAGAAATTCGACGACTTTTTCCTCGTTAGAACGAAATTTGAACGACTTTCCATACAGCATTGTCACAATATCCATTTTATTACAGTAAACCTTTTAGGCAATACCTAGGGGTAAGGTGGAAGTAACATAAATCTCCTTAACGATGCTATCCCGTTCCCTACGTACTGCATGCTCGAACAAAGGTTACAAAACCTTTTCACTGGCCAAGTCATACCCGACTAAGTCTACTTCGAGACTACTTTCCACTGGAACTGCAGATGCAAAATCTGTAGATTCAAAGAATGTTTTGAAGTTCAATAAAGCCACTAATGAAAACACCAAGTCTGAAGTGAGTGGACAAAAGACCAAAGGCGACTTTCAGAACAAGAATCAGTTTATATCTACCCTTTACGATTCTTTGGAGACAGACTATACTGAGTTTTCTCCACTGTTTGAAAAAGTGCAGCAGGCATTTTTGAAAGCTTCGCCGAGAGATAGAGGCCGTTCTTTTTTTAGCATGATTCCACTAGGAAATGCACTGTTGACCAGAATTTTGGACATCAAAAAGAAAACCAACAATGACGTCCCAACTTCAATTCTCTTCAAGGAGATCGTTTCCTTACTAATTGAAAACAAGTTGATTCATGTTTCACACTTTAATAGATATATTAGAGAACTGATTGCGGAAAAGAAATACTTAAATGCTTTAACCATATGGATTGAAAATGTGAATTATTTCAAAGACACTCCCCAAGCTTTCGTATCCAAGATTAACAACTCTGGAATTTCAAAGGAATACAACTTACTTGGTTTATCACTATATCTACTTTCACTGATTGAGAATAATGAAAAAAAGGTTGATCCGGAGTTTATCAAGTTAATTTTTGGAGATAAGCCATCTTGTTCACTATCAAACTTTCAATATTTTGTTGATGGCTTGACTTTACCATCTGAAGATGCCCAAACTATCGTGTCTTTATACTCAACCTATACAAGCGACTTATTTGATATTAATTCAAGCGAAAGTTTGAAAGGAATAAGAGTTGCTTCTGTTGACGGTAAGGTTGTCCATTTAGAAAATACCATCAATAAAAACTTGCTCGCATATAACGGAAGAGAGGCCCAAATCAAACCATCCACGATTGCTCATTACATGGAATACTCGAACAACTGTAAGCTGTACTCTAGATCGATAGAGCTTTGGAAATTTGCGTCTCTGAACAAAATTGAGTTAACCGTTGAAATATGGAATCAGTTGCTAAGTTCATTTGCTAGTTCCGCGATTGTTGATTCTAGAAATAAGGTTGAGTCCGTTTGGAAATTGTTGAACGAATCCGTCAGACCAAACTCGCAATCATATTCTATTTATGTGAAGTATCTCCTAAAAAATAAAGAAATCGGTAGAGTTGAGGAGATTATCAATGACTTGAAAAAAAATCAACCAAAGCTTTTTGACAACAGCTTGAAATGTGCAATGATCGAGTTTTTGTTACTTTCAGATAAAACAACCGAGTCCTTACAACTTTTTAAAATCTATCAACAATCTGAAACATTTGTTCCTACCATTGAAATTTATAACAAGCTACTGAGCAAGTTGATTACAGAGAAAAACTTTGATGACGCCCAAAAGTTGTTGGATGAATTAATGTCAAAGAAATATGAAAATATTTCCCCAGATATCGCAACGTGGACCACTATAATTGACTTTTTACTGAAAACTTCAGCAAGATCCAATTTAACGAAGGACGAGATATTGGATAAAATTTTGTCGATTATCAAGACAATGGAGTCTCATAACATTAAATTCAATTCTGTCGCACTGATTACAGTTGCTAATAATTTGTTGAGAAATCGTCAAACTAGTGATTTAGGGTTCTCCATTTTGCAAAGTATGGAATCATCGAACGTTAAATTGAACGCTGTTGGCTACAGTGGTATCATAACAGCTTTCACCAGTGTTGGTGATATGACCAATTCTTTGTACTACTACGACAAAGCATTGAAAAACGGTATTAAACCAACTGCATTTTTATACAACTCCATTTTGAAGGGTTATTCCAGAAGTCCTAACATCCCAGAAACCAAAAAGTTTATGGAGGGCATTAAAGCACTTGCAGAGGCCAACCCTCACAATATGAAACTATTGCCTAACAAATATACTTTCTACTATTTATTGTCACAAGGTGTTGCTCTCAAGGACCGTGACTTTGTGCACGATGTTTTAAAGGAATTGAGCGAGACTAACACCGAATTGGGTTCTTCACTACCAACTATCTTGAAATCCTTGAAAGAAAGTGGTTACAACATTCCAGAATCATTGGCTCAAAAGATCCAGTAGTCCTGCATATGTGAATCTTGTATATATATATAATGAGGCTACTAGATACAGCTTTTAGAAAAGTATAAAGCATTCGTAGCAAAATAAGCTTGTTGCCATAATCCCATAATTTTTTATGCTCAAGGCCCCTCGTTTTTTGCAGACGAGACCAATGAATTTTCATGATCTTGCCAATTTGTGCACCCGACGTTTCTGATATTTTTGAGAACAACATTTCGTTATACCTGGTAAACTGTCAACGCAATACTTAAGTTTCTCCTTTTGGTAGAAATACACACAATGAAAGTCAAGCAGATAGACACGTACATAACCTCAACACATTCGTTACTCAAATCGAACCCCTCAGGGACAACGATATCGATAACTTATACACATGTTAAAAAGGACGATGATAAAATAAGATCGATAATCAAATTTAAGACATACGATTCTAAAAACGGTATTTGCCACGTGTTCAAGACACACAAAGTTAAGGAATTTTCGAAGCTATTCAATGCCTTAGGCCCCAGAGGCTGTAATGTAGATGGCCAAGATGTTGATGGATTGAGTTTATTGTTGTCAAATACAGATAAAGATTTAGTCATAAAAGAGGTTAGCGAATGTGTTCCATCTAACGAAAAAATAAAGGTAGAAGCAGAAACTACCCCGGAGCCTATCCAGAAGAAGAAGAAGAACAAAAAGAAGGGGAAAAAATAGATAATGATCATATGTAAGTTAGAAACTAGCTTAAGTTTTTTAAGAACTATAATTTACACAAATGATACGTCATACCAGTCTAAATAAGACATTAATTCACTATGTAGCTACCATATGTCTGGAAGCTTTTTGCCATCATTGCTGGTGTCCAGCTTAAATTTTATACGAGATGCCAATAGATCTATGACCTCATCCTGATCTAGTGAGCTCGTGTGGGAAGTTGAAAGTAATTTCGTCAATAAATTATCAGATTGTTTTGATTCTTTTTTGCAAAATGGACAGTCGTTATGGTTGCCATTGCCGGTATCAGATGAATTCATGCTCTCATCCGTATGACCACTATGCTCTTGCAACTGTTTTAGGAGTTTCTGAACAATATCTTCAGATAAATCATCCAAACTAACTTCCTTAGTCTCTCTAATCATTTTTTTTCTTTCAATCAGCCTTTGCCTTTTTACTTGTAACAAATATATTTGTTTATCTATTGATTGAAGATCATCACTTTCGATCTCAAAAGTATTCCGACTAATGTTTGAAGACTTAATATCTCTAGCCGTTTTTCTCTCATCCTTGATCATAGTTTTTAGCGATCTATTTTCCTCAAAATAGTCTCTCAACTTTGTTTTATAGGAATTGATTAGGCTGTTTAGATCTTTTATAATCAGTTTCATATTCTCCGAGTTAGCTTTGTATTGGATATTTTCGTCCTTTATCGTTTTCAGAGTTTCCAATAAGGACTGGATCATCATATTCAATTGTTTACCTTCCTTATCGACTAAGCTGTTCTTGTTCAATAGTTTGAAAGTTTTCTCGTAAAGCGCATCAAAGTCTTCAAGACCATCAATTTCAGACGTGTCGGATGTATGGAACTTGTGATTACTTGTTGGATTTGTTTTGAGTGATTTGGCCGGCAAATTTCTCTTCCTATTAATGGAGTTTGGCAAATCCAGGTTACCCAGATCAAGACTGAAACTGTTTTCGTCGTTGACTAACGACTTTTTCAAATTTCTGAACAAAGTGGTGGAGTCGCTTTCCAACTTGCTCTCCTTCTTTGATAGTAGTTCACTGTCTTTGACACCATTTTCTTGGTGGTTTTTTACAGGACTGAGGTTCAGGTTATTTGACCTTCCAATTTCTATGTCATCTATCATGGAATCCGATGAAAAGTCATCGAAATATTTGAAGTATTTTGGCGGCACTTCGTTTCGGAGCAATATTTCATAGTCTGAGTAGTCGTTAAAGAATTTGGATTTGTCTAGTTTTTTCCCTTTCATATTGCCGTATTTGAAAGGTTTGTTTTCAAGGATGGAGTCATAGTTAGCAACGTACTCTTCAAGAGGCATGATACCGTACATGGTATATATCTAGCAAATGTGATTGTCTTTTGGAGATTCTCTACCGAAAAAGTTAGAACTTCGGAGGAGAGGTACAAGAGGATGTGTTTACTTGTTTACACTGTGAAACGATATGAAAACAAACAAATATAATTCCCCTTTCGGAATGCACTGAGAATCAAAAGACAAGTGGGAGTGCGCACTTACGTAAGGCGATAAAAGAATTTCAGATCTGAAAGTTGTTTGATGTGAGGAAGAATAGACAGATTAAAATGTATTAACGGCAAGTTAACAAAACTTACTATAGAAAAAATAACAATCAAGAGAGGGTATAAAAGGATTTTAGATGGAAAAATATATATGTTAGATGACAAAATATGAAAATGCTTCATTTTGTGGTTTTTTGAATTTAAGACATGTCTAAAAGGGTTGCAATAAGCATGATATCTAAAGCAAGTTGATGGCGACAGCGGCGGCGACCCCCAAGAAGCCGTTAAACTCAAGGGAGCCGGCAGCGTTGCTTGCGGAGGAAGCAGAGTGTGCTGCAGAGGAGGAGGCAGCAGCCGAGGTGGACTTGGCCAAGGTAGTTGACTTTGCTGAGCTTTTGACGGCTGAGCTTTCGACAGCTGAGCTTTCGACAGCTGAGCTTTTGACTGCGGAGCTTTTGACGGCGGAGCTTTTGACGGCGGAGCCGGAAGAGCGAACAATACCGGAGGCGGCGGCGAAGTTGGCTTCTGCGGTTGGCACAGCAGTCCATGCAGCGCTGGAGGTGGCGCTAGACTTTGCGGTTGCAGCAGTGCACACGCTTTTGAACGCCGAGCTAGCCTTGGAGGCGACGCCTTCTGGGCAGGCGGTGCTCAAGCACGCCTGGAGAGCCTCTGCTTCCGAGTTGCAGACGCAAGTGACGTCGTTCAATTGGTTGCAGGTTGGGGACGACTTGACAACCGAGGCGGCGCAGGCCAGAAGACAGGCTGGTGGGGTTGCTGCTGAGGGAGCGACGAAGGAGGCGACGAGGACGGCTAGGGAAATGTAGGAGAGCATTTTTGGCTTGTTTTGCTGGTGAATAGATCAGAGACAACTCAGAGGGAAACAAGAGACAATTTGGAAGAGGCAGAGAGGCTTCAGCCCGACAGCTTCCATACTTGATCAGAAGAGACAGTGGAGGTGTCAAAGCTGCTGAGAGAAGAGAGACAGAGACAGACGAATGCGGAGCGGATCCCAGGCTGCTACTACGGCCACCTGCGTGCTCATCGTCCCGGCTGCTGGCCAACTGCAAAGTTCTCCTCCGTCTGCTGATGCTATAAATAGCTACGCCGCCTGGGGGGGGGGGAAGACAAGGGCCGGTCTGGAACGCAACGGCGGAGCGTCCTCGACAACCCCAAATAGGAAAAACGGGAGGGCGCGCGGGAGACCTCCCGATTGGGCGCAATGGTCCCCGTCTTTCCTGTCCCGGTTCACCGAGCTCATATTTTGCCGAGCGACGCGTCGATCGGCGCGTCGGCGGCTTCAGAAGAAAAGTGGGGGGAGTAGTGGGTGGCAACGCTACCGTTTGCGACGCGCGGTGGGGAAGTCTGCGTTGCCAGGCAGTGCGGCCTGCATGAATGTGCAGTAGGTGCAGGCGCTGACAGGAAGAAATGCGGACGGTTGTTATTATTATTGTAGTAGTGAAGATGTGTAGCTGTCGTTATTGTGGAAGTGAAGATGTGTTGTTGCCGATATCGTGGCGGTAAGCAGCAGCATTGTGCAGTGTTTGTGATATATTGATAAACTAAAAGCATTACGGGCTGAGGGCACGCTGAAGAGCGCAGCATTTGAACACGGTTTACTATGCGTCGACACAATAAAGCCGGCAAAAGTATTTTTTCACCTACATGTAAGATAACAGCGGTACACACAGCAACACTGCTTGTTGATTGTCTGCGTCAAAAGCAGACACATTTGCGGTGGCTGTGTCTAAGAGATTGGCACGAATTGCCGCTCGCTGGTCGATGGTCTATAGTAAGAAGGGCCTCTCGGGGCTACGTCGGCTCCTGCACAAGGGATCTGTGCGGATAATAATCCCGCTCCAAATGTACTACGTTTCCTGCAGGTTTAGCGCTTCACGCGCCCAAATCGGAGCCAATTAGGTCACCCTCAAGGTCTTGCACACAGGTACTAAGTCAGAGAGATGCTGCATACCCCAGTGACATGGTTGAGTTTGCAGCTATCGCCATGCCTTGTTTTCAATGCGAGCGTGCCATTTGTTTGTACTTTTCTCTTCTTTCTCTCTGTATCTGTCTCTCTTTTATTCTTTTGGACGAATCTTCCACCTGCACCCTGCATCTGCGGAAATCCCTAGCCACTGTGCGCCAAATGGGTCGTTGCAGGGCAGAACAACAATGGAAGAGCGCTTTCTCATAGTCAAGAAAAGACTTGTGCCGGTTGCAACCCCAGTTCTTTGCTTCTAGCGCAGCGTAGCGTAGCAAAGGACCGTATTGTGGCCGCGGGAGTGACTTTCTCCCGTTCCCACCAGCTCCATCAATTGGCACGCTCCTACATTACGCCGGTGATGCCGCCGTGCATGTCCTTATTTAACACATGTTAACCTTTGTTAAAGTCGCAGCGGATTTGTGAGCTTTCTTGGTGTTGTTTACGCCAAACAACGAGTTCGGCCTGCTCTCACCACCGATTGTTGTGATAATGCTGTTATTTTGTTTTGGTTTTATTTCATCTCACCGGCTGGCCAATTGGAATTGTGGTGATGCTCCGCACCGGTTTTGGGAGCAACAGCTTCGAAAAAGACAACAACTTCGTCCGGAGTGTCGAACGCTTTTCTAATACATATAAAAGACAGTTTCACCAGCTATTGCTATTCTTTTACAAAACCACTGTAGCTTTTTCTACTTTCCTGTTTTTCCTTGATAATTTAAGTACTTCAAGCCACTCTTGTCACTACCTGGACTGTCTAAATAGCTATCATGAAGTTGAGTGTATCCCTGCTTTGCTACGTTGTGCTGAAGCTATCCTCCACGGCTACAGCAGCTCCTGCTTTCTCAGCTTCTGTCTGCTCAGATGTCACCACAACCATTTACTCTACCACCAATATTCCTTTTCCACAGGATATCCCTGAAACAACCACAATTATTCCCACCTTCTCTTCTGCCTCTCCAACCACAACTTCAACTTCAACATTTTCTTCATCCACCTCTTCATCTTCATCTGAAATACCATCATTCTCATCAGAACTATCATCATCTTTGTCCGAAACAGTATCATCCGCTTCATCGTCATCGGAAGTACTATCATCTTCGTCCGAAACAGTATCACCCACTTCATCTTCATCGGAGGTACTATCATCTTCGTCCGAAACAGTATCATCCACTTCATCTACATCAACCACATTAAGCACCTCTTCGACTGTTTCTATTACTTCTTCAACTTCTTCTGTTAGCAGCACAAGCTCAACCAACACTTCAAGCTCCTCAACTACTTCCAGTGCTTCTAGCTCAACCTCAGGCTCCCTTCCAACAGGGCAGGTTGTAGTGTACTGGGGTCAAGACAGTGTTTACCAAGTTGATCAAACTTTAGAAAAGGATTTAGATGCTTACTGTACTTCTGTTGATGCCGATATCTTTATCATCTCATCTGTCAACCAATTTGGTGCTGGCCAGGAAACCACCATCAATTTGGCCAATCATTGTGGAAGCACAACAAGCTGTCCAGATATTGGTAGACAAATCGTGAACTGTCAAAACGCCGGCAAAAAGGTTTTCATTTCTTTAGGTGGTGAAGATCGCAAAAAATACAGTCTTTCTTCTTCTGAGGCTGATTCATTTGCTACCGAACTCTGGAACAAGTTTGGTGGTGGTTCAGCATCAGATGTTGTCAGACCATTTGGTGATGCGGTCGTTGATGGTTTTGATTTGGATATTGAAGGTGGTGACAACAGTGGCTATCCTGCCCTTGTTCAAAACTTGAAATCCCTTTTCAGTCAAGACAGCTCTAAATCGTATGCCATTTCTGCTGCTCCCCAATGTCCATACCCAGATCACAAAATTGGAAACGTTTTGAGCTCGCCGGGGGTAGATTATGCCATTGTCCAGTTCTACAACAACCCTTCGTGTGAGCTTACTACAACAGGGTTTAACTGGAATGACTGGGCTGGCTTGGCTGAAGAAAACAACTTCAAGATCTTTATCGGCTTACTTGGAGATGGCAAATCCACAGATAACGGTTACACTCCCATCGACGAAGTCAAGGCAGCGCTACAAGATGTTGTCAGCAAGAAACCAGAACCCTTTGGCGGTTTCTCTGTCTGGGACGTTGGCCGTGGTGTTGCCAACATTGACAACGGCAAGTCATACATCCAGGAATTGTCAGATTTGATTTCCAATTAACTGCTTTGTTGATACCCTTTAAGAGCCAGTTAGCTCAAGCAAATTGGAGTCATTCGCTATTCAGAGATTAATCTCACTTCCCAATTTTTCATTTTTTTAAATGAAGTGTGCATTACACTTCAAGACTACCTCTATGGAATTACTCTAACGTTATCTGGTATTCGGTTTACTTGGAACATAAGCCAAATATCGATAACGCCTTTGTGATTTATCATCTTGATTCCCCTTCTAACGAGCTACAATATTGTTTTCTTTTATTGTATTCTTTTATTAAGCTTCCCCTTCTCTCTCTGTTAAATATACTTTTTCATTTCTCCCGTGTTTTTGTTTACATAAATTCAATATAATAAGGTTTCTTTCGAATTATCCTGCTAGTCGCACACTTATCGTGCGTATTAATTGTTCGTGTTAAGAAGTCGAGACTTTTATAAAGGGTATAGAAACTATCAGTTGAAGAAAATATGAGAAAAAGAAAGAAAGAAAGTAAGCAATTTTGTGGTCATAAAAAAACCAGGTCTGATCTGAGTAATGATATGTAAAATAATTGGATGCAAAAGAAAGTATGGGATAAAGAAAAACACATACAATGAAGGCTTTCACTCTAGCCACCTCCTTTCTTTCCATTGAAAAACTTATTCCCTGACTTTCTTTTTTTCCTTTTGGGCCTGCAACCTGTTTTTCCTTCTTTCCTCCGTCTTCTTTCTTCTAGCCTCGGATTGTCTCCTAGCCGTCTCCATCCGTAATTTCTTCTGCTGGGCTTTCAGCTCTTCATCTGCTGCCTGCTTTTCCCTCAATGCATTCAAGTACTTGTCGAGATCTGTGTTCTTTTCGCAACTTCCGACTTCCAAAAATTTCAAGTTACAGCAACTTTCACTTCTGATTGTCCAGTCCTCGACTGGATTACAAATGCATTTTGCCTCTTTCCGAAACGCATCATTCATCGGGCAGGTTTTGGCTACCGTATGCTCATAACTGATATTTTGGAACAAAAAAATCTCGTCCATGTCCAATATTAGACTAAATATGATGGAGTGAATCGGAGCGTCACCCCACCTCTCGTAGAAGAAACCTCCTGCTTGATCCAAATGCTGCACATAGCCTTCATAGATGTCATTTCGATAAATGCTCAAATCAGCTATTTCAAAATTTGTCCAGTAATGACAGTAGTTGTAGCTCTCTCCGCCATCGTCACTGATAAAGTTGAGAAGATTATGTGTTTGCTCTGCGTCGAAAACATTGGTGGCCAATTTCTTGAAATACAATTTGGAAGTGGCCCATAGAGACTCGATCGTGTTTGGCAACTCTCTCATGGAAATAGTGAAGCCGTATTTCTTTTTGTTTTCTTTCAAAAACTTGAACGGGTCATCGATGATGTCGCATGCAAAGTTCACATGAGGCTCGACTCTCCAATAGTAGTCATACTCTTCCATTATCGGGTGCTTGTAGAAAAACAAAGAGTTGAACCTGCACATATGTCTGTATGATTCACTACTTCCATAAGTAATGGCAGACCATTTCCGGCTCTCTCTGATCTCCTTTGCTCTTTCCTGATCAATAAACGGAGGATATGACCAGTGTTTTCTTGGAATAAGGCCATACCTCGCCCGACCGCTGACCATGTTAGAGGTCAGCTCAATGAACTCAGGCGAAAAAGGCTCCTCATTCAGAAAGACCCAGTCGTAGTGGAAGTTGCCGTTGAACCTTGTTTCCAGTTGCTGGATGGAGTCCAGTATTTCGTAGAGCTCCGAGTTCCGGCACAACGTGAACAAAGTGGCGTTTTCTCTGCTGATTGTCGCATCGTTGCCTTTGTACTTTGGAGGTATCACTCTGTCAATTTCGTACCGTGCCCACGGCTGGCTGTCTGGAGGCAAGTCCTGTCTCCTTTTGTGGTCGTTTGCAATCTTAGTTCCCAAAACATTGTCTTGGTCGTCCAGGAGATTCTCCGTGTGCGGCTCTTTCTCCCTCTCAAGCTGCTCCTCTTGGATGTTCTTAAGCTGCTCTCTGATTTGCTCGTCAGTCATTTTGGAAATGTCTTTCTTAAGCTCTTCATTAGTTTCGTCGTCGCTTTTCAAAGCCTCGTTTATAAAGTTGTCGATCTCCACTTCGGCCTCATACTGGTCCGGTCCAGAGACTTTCCGGAGCTCGTCGTCGGCGTCAACGTCTGCAGAAACCAATACTTCCGTTGTATTTCCTGCTGCGACGTCTCGGTCGCCGTTCAAGTTTAGCAGTGAGATCTTGTCGGCATCGTTCTGTGATAGTCTGAAGAAAGTACTAGTCAAGTAGACGGTGGCAATCAGTAGCACCACGTAGACCAGAATCACTCTGTACCTTCTTAGCATCATCTTGCGTCGACAAGCTGTGTTTGCTATTGGCTTCTTTTTGGTCTTTGTTCCCTATGCCGAACCGTAATCGTGCCCACACACGAACAGAAATCAACCCACCAGCACAAAACGGTGTACATTGTTCTCTCCTATATCTTCCCTCGCTTTTCCATTTTCTCTCTGCGACACGAGGACTCGAAAAAAACACGCTTCTGTTTACTCTGTTGTGTATTTAGTGTAGGCTACACGGCCAGCTGTATAATCCCGTACCAGTTCGAGAAAACTGAGGAGGAGGGGATAAAGAAAGAATAAAGAAGGAATAGAGAAATATAAGAAGGAAGGAAAATAGGAAGTAGAGAAAGGCAGAATGAAGGTATGGCTAGAAAAAAGAGATTAGAGCGCTTAGACATCTGTCGCAGTAGATAATAGTTGTAGTAAAAGTGTACACTCGTGCTGGCTCTCTGGCCGACGACATTAATTGGCGTATTGTTCCCAGTTGGCGGGCTTTGTCCAGCCCATGGCGTCAAAGAACTCCTTGCCACACGCGTAGCCGTCGAAGGTGAAGTCGTTGTCCTTGTCGCAGTAGCAGCGGTTGCCATCGTAGATTTCGTCTTCGATAGGGCACATCTGGTAGACGCCGTGCTGGTAACCGATGTTCTTGAAGTAGTGCAACTGATCCCGGTCGAGAAACAAAGCTGCGGCGATGGAGTGAACCGGGGCATCACCCCAACGCTCATAGAAAAAGCCGCCCGACTTGTCCAAGTCGTGGAAGTAATCTTCATAAGCCTTAGAGCGCCAGAAGTCCATGTCAGCAATCTCGAAGTTCGACCAGAAGTGGCACAAGTTGTACGTGTCGCCGTTGTCGTTGGTGATGAACTTAGCCAAGTTGTTTTTATGCACGTGCTCGGGGTGATCGGCGAGGAACTTCTTCGTCGTCTTCCACAAAGTCTGGATGGTCCGCTCGAACTCGTGAATCGTGATGGTGAAACCGTACGTCTTCTTGTTTTCCACCATGTATCTGAAAGGGTCGAAATTGATGTCGCACGTGAACTCGACATGCGGCTCCACCCGCCAGTAGTACTTGTACTCCATCATAATCGGGTGCTTGTAAAAAAAGCCCGAGTTGAACCGGCACATGTGTCTGTAGGACTCCATGCCGCCGTAGATGACGCCGTCATCCTCCATCAGCTGTCTCTCAGCCCGGGCCTTCTCCTGGTCGATGAATGCCGGGTACGACCAGTGTTCCTTCGGGATGAGCCCGAACCGTGTTCTCCCCGACGTGAACTTCGACACCTTTGCCTTGAACTCGGCGCTGTACTCCTCGTTGTTGAGAAACACCCAGTCGTAGTGGTAGTCCTTGTTGAAACGGTCTTCGAGGTTCCGGATCGTGCCCAAAATGTCCGATAGGTCATCCTCCCGACAGAGCGTCATTATCGTCGCATTTTCCCGCCGGTAGTTTTCGATCAACACTTGCTGGCCCACCACGGGGTCCATGCCGAGCTTCAACGCAGGCAAGGCCGTCGGCGTCGATGGATCCGCCGCCGCTTTTCCTGCGTCTGAGTGCTGCACCGCAGCATCAGTCTCCGTCACCGTCACCGCCGTGCTCGTAGCTGCCACCTCCGCCTCCTGTTTCAGATATCGATCCAGACCTATATTCATCAGGTCCTCTGTGCCGCTGAAGGAGAGCTTGTAGGTGATGCCGAAGATGATTGCTAGCGCAACGGCCTCCAGTATTATCGTCCTGTATCTGTGTAATCTCATTGCTGTTCCCTGCACAACGCTGGTTGTAAAGAGTCACCTAGTACTTGAAGCGGCTAACAAGTAGCAGAAACAACACTATCTACAAAGAGGAAGAAACAAATACACGACTGCTGCAGTAGCTCCGTCCTGTGGCACCCGTCGCCGTCGTCTAGCCGCCGGCCCGTCTGTACCTCTTCCGTGGCCACGTTTTTTTCATTCGCCGCTGTCCTGTTCGGCGTCCCTCGCCGTTCTAGCAGCGTGTTGCATTGTGCTCGCTCGTGTTGCAGGTTAAACGGGCGCATTGTTACCGGGTATGAGGCGATTGAGGCTGAGTTGGGTTCTAGATCAGACTTCTAGGGCAAGAGAGATGAGAGAGGGTAGGGAACAAGACGGAACGGCAGATGACGCCAGGGACCGCCCGCAGATTGCCGGCGGCTAAGGACAGGTTTGGTGGCGGCATCATTGCCATTGTTCCCGTCCCTGTCGTTATTGTTGTTATTGTTGTTTTTGTAGCTGTCGTCTGCGTGGTTGTAACACCAGTTTGTATTGATACCTACGTGTTTGCTTGTTTATATGTAGGTGTCTGATGCGCACCCCGCTTTGCAAAGTTTACGCTATTTACACACACTTTTCACCTCCTTGAGGCCCCGGACAAGGGCCATCACGACGATGGTCACGAATGGACCCAACAACGGCGAGTAGACGGCCATCTTGTGTTCTTCAGGGAAGTATGCCTGCTGCACCATGTCCTCGTGGAAAAAAGCGTTGTTGGAGAGCTTCAACGCCAACGTGGAGTGCTTGTAGGCGGCAAGCCAGTTCAGATGCGCCAGCTCGGCCGCAGACGTCTGGATGTATCTGATCGACTCGTTGATCTCGTCCACAGATTGAAGCGGGATGGGAATTGTCTCGAGCTGGTTGATCAACTTGATCAAGCTCTTGAAGTTGTTGAGACTGTTGTTGAGGTTTTCGACCGTCTGGATGCGGATCAATTCGTCGATCCGGTAGTAGATCGAGCGGTCCGGGTCTGTGTCCACGCCAATGAGCTTCAAGATCTGGAAGGCGAAGATGTCAAATACCTCGTTCAGTCGGTTGTAGTCGACCGTCTCATCGTCGTTCACAATGACCACCCCGCCCCACTGTGGTATTATGAACGAGTTGCGCTGCGTGTTTTCGATCAGCAACTTCTCGCTGTCCGGGAGGTAGAGGTTCAGGTTGATGACCGGGTCCAACTCCACGTCCTGGTCGAGGCCCCAGTCCGAGTAATCGATGAACATGCTCGGGTCCTTGATGTACGTGAAACCGTCCTTCTCGTACTCGTCCTTCGTGATCAATCGGTTCTCGTACCACAACTCCTGAAACTCCACGGTGAACTTGGTTAGCGAGTCCAACGAGTTCATGAAGCTCTTGAAGTTGCTCACCGCCTTCTCAAGCACCCCATCGGGCAGGGACAACATCTTGTTGTCCGAATGTAGAAAGTTAATGCTCACCTTGTAGCTCGTACTGAACGGAAATTTGATCAAGTTCTTCGTCTTAGAGCCAGTCCCACTGCTATTGTTTTCGTTGATCTCCGACTTGAAGACGTTTTCAATCAAAATCCTCGACAACAAGTCACTCACCAGCCCGTGCTTGATCACATCGGGCGACACAAACAACTTGATCAGCCGGTCAGAGTACGGACTCACCAGGAGCTTGTCTTCGTTCTCGCTCATGATCATCTTCAGGTCGTAGACCTGCTTCTCGTCCACATCTGGACCTAGGTAGTCGTTCTTGAATAGTTTCACTCGAACATTGGAATTGGTCAATTTTTCGTTTAATAAGTCCTGTGTTTCGTCAATGAATCCACTCAACGGATCCGGTATCTCCACGAGTCGAACCGGAATCTCGTACTTGATGTTGTTCAAATACTGCTCGTTGAGCGCCGTGATTGCATCGATGGGCAACGTCGCTCTTTCCACCGAGGTCGTGAAGTACCAGAGCGGCACTCCGATGATCAGTGTTGTCAGCAACAAAATCATTATTATGGAAAACCGCTTCTTCGTATCTTGCACGGTCTCGAGCTTTGCGATTTCCGGCTCCCCCTTATCATCCTCAGCCATTGTATACTGTGTCTTTTGTCTGGATGTCTTTATCCAGAAACCCCCCTGCTTGTTTCTGCTCTTGGAAAGGACAACAAACACATCAACCTTGAGTTTACTACTCTCTGTTTTCTCTCAATACGCGTACACAGTATTCAGTTTTCCTCCATGTTTTTTTTCCTTAACGGCGATAGCTGGAAATAACGTACATTGCCGAGGGATCTGTGGACGCATATATGTATGAGTATATTAGTATCTATCAGTATATATATATGTTATATTTACAGGATGTTGCTACTTGGCCAGAAATTCCCTAGAAGTTAATGACAATACCAGGACCGTGGGTCGAGCTGAGGATCGTTTGGCCCATGAGAATTGGCTTTTTCGATTTTGTGTTTTGAACGCTCTCCTTGAACGCCTCCGAGGTTGCCAAGATGTTTTTCAATATCTCTGAATCCGTGAAACCGCATTTACCGATGGTCAAGGACACGTAGTTGTTTCTTTCTCTGAAAGGCTGCGTGCCTAACGTCGAGAGAATAAGGTTGTTCAAGTCCTCAGAGATGGTTCCTCTTTTCACGTTAGGCATCAAGCCCTTTGGACCAAGGATCTTGCTCACTTTTCTTAGCAAAGGCTCCATATCAGGCGTAGCCAACACCTTATCGAACCCTTCGACGCTCAAAGTACCGTTTGCTATCTCGTCGATCAACTTGGCATCGCCGGCCTTGGCAGCACCGTTCTGCAAAGCTTCGGCGATCTTTGCCTCGTCGTTCGTTAGACAGAGGATCTTTGTTTCCTTCAAAGGCTTTGGCAATCTGACCGCACCCTGCAGAGGAGCAACACCACGATCCTTCAAGATTGGAGTCTGGATCGTTATGGAAGCCTCATTGAGAGATCTTCCCACCTCGGTGGCTCTCAAATATTTTAGGGCGTCCTTCACGCTCATGAACAATGCAGAGGAGCTGGCAGGCTTCTTGGCCTCTAGTTTCTTCACAGCATCTCTACGCTCCTGTCTCTTTTCCAGCGCTTTCTTGGCTTCTAATTCTTTCTTATTTTTTGGAGCTAGCAAGGGCTGGACGGTCGAAAACGATCTGGCGAGAGATCGACTGTCTGCAGCAACCGCAGGTATACGACGGAGAGCCAACATTGCGTGTGTGTATGTGTCGTCGGATGGCTGATAGACCTGTGTCTCCTCTCTTCCAGCAGGCTTCGTCAACCTGAGAATGGAGGAATATAGCATAGCAGATGAAAAACGAAAAAACGGGAGTTCCAAACTGAACGAGTTGTCGCAGAAGGTGCACGGATGTCTGCGAAAATATGCTTTCTAGGCCGATCGACCTTTTTTTGGTGAACGTCACATTTTTTTTTCAGCCCTCGTCGGTGGCTGGCCGAAGCACTGCAGCTATTTGCCTGCAAGAGGAAGACAAGTGGTAAAAGAGCAGGAGCTGCAGGTATAGACGAGAGGAAGATCGCTGGAGTAGAAACACAGACATACAGATACTACCGAATAGAACATGAACGGATTTGCTATGCCACAAGACAAACCAGCCTCCGAGCCAGGCTTCTTCAGCTCTCCATTGGGCAAGATTGGACTCAACGTCGTTTTATTTGTGGCCGGTGTTGCCTTAATCCAGTCTCCAATCATGGACATGTTGGTTCCACAATTTGATTAGGTGCGTGCTGTGTCACGACGGAGCAGCTTATGACATAGGTTTTGTATATAGCCCTTTTTATATTGTTAATGAACTAAACAAAAACAGCCCAAAACAGAGGTGTGTGTGGAAGGACTCACATGCATATATTAACAGAAGCCTAGAAGTAAACAATAAGAGTGGAAAAAGTAAGATGAATTAGACAGAGAGAAAAAGAGAGATTATCATATTAATATTATTAAAGTCGTAAAAAGCATAGTAGCAGGGGGGTGAACCCGGGAAGAAGAACAAAGGTAGGGCCGCCAGCAGTGGTCAGCAGTGGCAAGCAGTGACTAACTAGGTCAGCTTATTTCTCGTCGTCGACACCCTCCTTGAATCTGGTTTTCCCCACAATGTGCAACGCATGGAGCACGCCCGGGAACCAGATGCAGCAGCAGAAGAATACGTTCACAAAAAAGGACTTGCCGAAGCCATCGCACATAAACACAGCTAAAGGTGGACAGATGAGGGAGACAGCAATAGGAACCCACTTATTAACGGACATCATCTTGTATGTTATGTAAGCAAGGAGGGAATGGCGTGGGGTGATGCTTTTAAGGAGGTGGGAGGGAGCAAGCAAGAATAGAAAAGAGTGAAAGAAGTGCCGAAGCGGCGGAGGGAAATTATTTATATAAACCGACGAAACCGACACTAAAACGAGGAGCAAGCAGGGAGCCACGATGAGCTGCCTGCAGCCGGGCAGATAAGACGACAGAAGCCGAGAGAAAGCAGCGCATCACCTCAACAACGGGACAAGTGTGTGACGATCAGCCCGTTCGCACGCTTTTCCAACGGCGGGCAGCGATACGCAGCTATCTTTCCACGGGCCACGATGCGATTTTACTGGCTGCTGGCTGCTGCTGATAAGGCCGGAGAGCAGCGTGGACGGCTTTACGTAAGACTTCGTTACGTAAGCGCAGCTGGATAGCACGACGGGGAGGCATTAGCAGGGTCACGTGAGAGTTCTAGTATTATTATAGTATTATATTATATTATTATATTATTATTATATTATTATATTAATGTTGTATTATATAGATTAAAAATATCATTAGTTGCATCAGAAAATTCGATAGGAGGAAACAAAGAAAACGAGAGTCATGTCTAGGGTGCTGCAGTGGAGATACGTGGACATACCGCACTGTGATAGTAAATATTAATACTGCTGCTAATTAACCAACCCGCATAAACCAAATTATGCGTACTATATTACATCCGACCTTGGTTTGGATTCCCGACGTCAAGCTTAGTTTTCCTCGCTCTTGTTGACAATGTACAAGGCGTGTAAGATACCTGGGAACCAGATACAGATGCACAAGAACAAGTTGACCCAGAAGGTCTTGTTGGCGCCCTCGAGGGAGTAGACGGCGATAGGTGGGAAGATCAAGGCAAGGATGTAGAGAAGGAACTTGGACATATTTGTGTGTTCGGGGTTTGTTTGGTTGCAAAGAGAAGGAGCACAAGAGGGAAGAAGAGAGAAGAAAGGAGAAAGCCCGAACAAACTACTGCATGGGTTTTGCAACAATCACAAGGTTTCACCGCCAGCAGAGGGGGACAAGCACATGTTTAAATAGTTTTGAAGAGGGGCAGCGGGCCTTACGGAACACAAGTGCTCCGAGTGCTGCATCTGCACATTTGTAAATACGGTGACCGGAAGCAGCTGACCAGGGGACGCCGGAATAGCAACAGCGTGGCTGACAGCACGCCATCTCGACTACGGGGTGCACCCGCCTTCCGAAACATCCCTCGACCAATTTGTTCAGCCAACTACTCGTTCCGAGCCAAGGCGATCGGCAATGACCTCGGAGCTGCAGCCCAGGGCCTTCCACTATATCCGCGTCCCAGCTCCGCAACCCGCTCCGCAACCCGCTCCTGTTTCCATTACCATCACCGATGGTGTGAGAAGACACTTGTGAACCCGGAGCACGTTTCTGACTGTGCGCTGTGTCACGGCAACCCATTTTGGCCCGGCCCCGGTGCCTCCTGGTGCTGCTGTTGTCCGGCTCTTGGCTGTCACCTGTCGTATGTCTACTGGCGTTCCCCCCCGGGCTGTCAAAAAAGAAGGCACGAGACGAGCTATTTCCGGCTGGCCCGGAACGCCGCCGTGCGTCCGCCGTGCATCGGCACGCAGCAAGGACGCCCGCGGGCCCCCACGGAAAACGGCCAACGGCAGAGACAGTGGCCGGACACGGGCCCCGTCCGGAAACAGTGCGGGCAGTGCGGGCTTTTTTGTTGTCAGGAGAAGACGGCACGGAAACGGAAGCAAAAAAAAAAGAGGGCCGGCACGTGACTGCGGTCGATCGACCGGCGGCTCAGCGATCGGCGGACCAGGCCATAGCCAGTTGGCAGACCAGGCCACAGAGAGACCTGGCAAAACCTGCGTGCGTTCCCGGGTCACGGCGCAGCGTCTGAGCGCCATCCGCCGCCACCACCCGCGTGTAACCGCGTGCTTACGTAACACAGCGGCATCGGGCATCGTTTACTTTTTTAACCTCTGGGGCTTTGCGGGTGCCCCAGAAACTACACCGCCAGCTGTTTGGGGACAACAGCTCTGGAGACGCACGCCCTACAGCGAACACGCAAGTAGCAACGTTGCCGTGTTGGTGAGATGCCTCGTTTTTGCAATGCTGAAGGACAAACGGAACCCCCGTGTCTTCAGGAACGAGAGAAGGGTGAAAAACGGCGTCGCGTTTACTCCTTCTCCCACAAGCAGGGCAAATAAATTGACGTGAAAATTAGGAACAAGATCCAGGTCTGGCCAGGGCCCACTGGCCAGGGCCAGAGTCGGGACACTGCACCGATGACGTTTCTGCTGGCGACCGTTGCTACTTTGTCGAGGGATTTATTGCAAGCAGAAAGCTGCCTGACCGCAAAATTCAGCCCCCGCACACGGTAAACTAGAACTGCAGAGTAAATCCAGGTCCGCCGCTATGCAAAAGGCACGTTCAGCGCCAGCACCGGCGGCACACCCCCGCGAAGAGGCACAGGAGCAGCACCGTACGTCATCGAGCAGGGCTCGCTCGAGGGCTTTTTCCAGCACAAGGCATCTGCCACGGGCCAGGGCACACGCCGCTGGGTTGCGCGGAGAGCCAGCGTTTTCGCTGGCAAGCAGCCGCAGTTGGTGAGCTTTGCCATGTCCTGGGTACATGGCGATTTCCCAAACGGGCAATAGAACATGTTGAGCACGACAAATTGGCGGCCAGGGTGCTGCGGTACCACTGTACAGAGCAATTGTGCTGGCGACCGGTGCCAATTTCAAGTCATCTTTGCTCCCCGGTGGGTGTTTTCGTGTCCCCCCGACCGCTAGTACTCGTAGTAGTCTCCAAATTGCACAACTTGGCACGCTTTGGCGGAGCCTGTATTTAAGCTGATCGCTTTATCCCCCGTTTCAGTTTTCCGTTCCCACCCTCAGACAACATGCCATGCGTAGATCGTAGTATTTATCCCTCTTTTTCAACCACATCCCACCACCAGCACCTTTTCCAACCATCCCAGCTTCCAGTTCCTCTCAAGAATGGCTTCCACTCTTCAGTCCACCAGCTACTCCAAGGAGAAGTACGCTAGCAGTCTCCAGTCAGACACAATCCTGGAGGGCACCAAAGAATGCGAGGCCCAGGTTGCGTTTGATTTGGCTGAGGCCGTGCCCGGCGGCAGACACAAAAAGGTCGAGCCCGGTGTTGCGCTTCCGCCTCTTTTCAGAACCATGTCGCATGAGGTCGACTATTCCAAGAAGGGGAACTTGACCGACCCAAAAGTCAAGTTCGCCAATGTCACCTACCACTGCGAAGACCCACACTGGATTGCAGAGAGCTTCCACTCCAACCTCCAGACAGGTCTCAACGTGCAGGAGCACCAAGCCGCTGTGAAAAAATACGGTGAAAACGTCCAAAGTCCTCCACCAAAGAATATCGCCAAGAAGCTGTTCATGTACTTCTTTGGGGGTTTCGGTGCCTTGCTTCTTGTCGCTGGTATTTTGTGCTGCATCTGTTGGAAACCTTTGGGCGAACCAGCCCCAGCCGTTGCCAACTTGGCCTTGGGAATTATTCTTTTCGTTGTCTTCTTCCTGCAGGCAATCTTCAACTTTCTTCAAGACTACTCCTCATCTAACGTCATGAAATCCATCAATAATTTGATCCCAGCCGAATGCTCTGTCTTCCGTGATGGTTCTCTCAAAATCGTCGAGGCCAAAGAATTGGTTCCAGGTGACATTCTCAGTCTCACTGCCGGATCCAAACTTCCTGCAGACGTCAGAATCTTTGAATGCTCGAGTGACTTATCGTTGGATCGTGCTATCTTGACCGGTGAGGCTGTTCCTCTCCAAGCTACCGCCAAAAACGATTCCAAAGACTCAAACTATTTGGAAAGTAGCCGTATCGGTTTACAGGGTACTTTCATTGTCAGTGGCTCAGGTAAAGGTATCGTTGTTGCCACTGGTGATAACACTGTTTTCGGCTCCATTGCTAAGATGACTTCGGAGCCAAAGAAAGGTTTGACCCCAATCCAAAAGGAGATCTTTAGGTTCGTGGCTATTACTGCTTCAATCATCGTCTTTCTTGGTGTTTTGGTCATTATCTTGTGGGCAGCGTGGATTCGCCGCAGCTACCCAAACTGGATTCCTGTTGCTACTTTGATTGTTGACATCGTGTCTGTTGCAGTTGCCTTCATCCCAGAAGGTCTTCCAATTGCTTTGACCACGTGTCTTGTCATCACTGCATCTCAAATGAAAAAAAATAAAATCTTGTGCAAGAGTTTATCAACCGTTGAATCTTTGGGCTCAATCAGTGTCTTATGCTTCGATAAAACTGGTACTATCACCAAAAACAATATGTCTGTCACTAATATCTCCAGAGGTGTGAAGGAATTGAATGTTCAAGAGTTGGGTGACGAAGAAGATTCCGGATCCACCGCCACTAACCACTTCCTTACCATCTCCACCTTGTGTAACGACACTGCCATTACCGTTTCAGGTGATCTGACAGGTAACGCAACTGATAAGGCTATCTACAAATTTTCAACAAATGTTCAATCTAAGTCTGAGCTAGAAAGCAAGTGGAATACTGTTTTCGAACTTGCATTTAACTCCAAGGATAAATATATGGCAAAGCTTGTTGAACCTGTCGATAAATCTACCAATTCAGCCTTTGCTCAAGTTGGAATCACAGAAGAAATCGATTCTGAACATTCTGGTTTGTTGTTGGTTAAAAGTGCCCCAGATATCATCCTAGAAAAATGTAAGTATGTTATGACACCAAGTGACGAAGGTACCGATTCAGTAGTCGAGGAAATCAGCTATGAGCTCGAGTCGCAAATTGTTGAGATCAAAAATAGATGGTCTGCTCAAGGTAAAAGAGTAATTTTGCTTGCTTCCATGGTTCTTGATAAGCATGATTTAAACTTTGACGACGGTGCTAATACTAGAGAATTCATTCAAGCAGAAATTGCAAACGGTAACTTATGCTTAGTTGGTTTAATTGGAATTCAAGATCCCCCACGTAAAAACATAGACAAGGTTATTGACAAATTGAGAGATGCTGGTATCAAGATTGCCATGATTACCGGTGATTTTGAGTTGACTGGTTTGGAAATTGCAAGACAGGTTAACATTGTTACTAAGCAAGTCGACAAGTATAGTGACCTTGTTGACTTCAACGAGGACTCCTACATCAGCCATGAAGATGAAGAAGAAGCCGATTACATTTTGATCAACAAAAAGGAGCGTGTTAGAGTGATAAATCGTGCATTGAGTCTAACAGGTAACGACATAGATGCTTTGAGTGAGTTTCAATGGAGAAATGTTGTTCGTTATGCCGAATTGGTTTGTACTCGTACCACTCCTGAACATAAGTTATTGATCATAAAGCAATTCCAAAAATATGGTGCTATTATCGGTATGACTGGTGATGGTATCAACGACTCTCCCTCTTTGAAGCAAGCTGATGTTGGTATTTCTTTGATCGATGCCTCGGATATTGCCAAGGAAGCTTCTGATTTGATTCTCATGAACGACGATGAAGATGAAGAAGATGCTTTGTTCAATTCGATCATTGAAGCTTTGAAATATGGTCGTTTAGTTTTCGAAAATTTGCGCAAAACTATTGCCTATTTGTTGCCAGCTGGTACATTTGCCGAACTTTGGCCTGTGCTGTTGAACATCATTTTCGGTGTGCCACAGATGCTTTCTTCATTCAATATGATCATTATTTGTTGTTTAACGGATTGTGTTGGTGCGATTTTCCTTGCCTACGAACCAAGTGAAAGCAACTTGCTCAAAAAGAAGCCAAGAAGCGTCAGCGGCGAGAGGTTGGTCGATTACAAGCTTTTCTTACATTCCTACTTCACCATCGGTACCTTCTATGCTTTCACCAGTTTCTTGGTTGCCTTCATCAACTTGCAACGTCATGGTTTTAAATTCTCAGTGTTTGATTTAAGTTATGGCTCTTACAGCAACTTACCAAACGTCAACGAGTATATTAACATGAGCTCTTCCATCTACTTCGTCAACTTGGTTATCATGCAATTCTTCAACTTGATGGCCATGCGGACAAGATACTTGAGTTTTTTCCAGCTTGATCTTTTGAAGGATAACCGGTTCATATACTTTACTGTTCCATTTGGGTTGGCAGTGACCTTCATCATCAACTACATCCCAGCCATCCAAAATGCATTGGGTACCAACCAAGTTCCTGTTGAATACTACTTCATTGCCCTTGGTTTTGGCTTGATCGTCTTTTCTTACGATGAATTCCGTAAAGGCATGGTCAGAAGATATCCAAAAGGGTTCTTTGCTAGAATTGCTTGGTAACAGCAGCAATTGTCATTTTTCTGTTTTAGCTTTGTTGTAACATATAGATTAGATTAGACTCCTCGATAGTTAATAGACGATGGAACCTAAACTTTACTCATAGCTCTTGGAAAGGCTATTGATAATTTTTAATTATCAGTATCAAATATGCGCACGTGACTTAGCGAATGCGCCACAGTTTTTGGTTTACATCCAATCTCAGACTCCGTATTTTCTATGACTGCAGCATGAAATTTGAAAAAAAATATTTTGTGATACTTGTTCCGGTTTTTGAACCCCGAGGTTGAAGTCCTGTGATCATTGAAACATTTCTATATATACATAACTTGAATCTTAATTCTAGGATTTTTGTTGTCAGTGGTAGAAACAGATAAGCTTAGATTTGTCTAGCTACGGACTTCTTTAAATAACTATGAAAATTCTTGCACAACTAAACACGGCCGATGAGGCTATACTATTGATAGATAGCTCTAACTCCGTATCCAAAAATCTGCTTAACAAACTTGCACTGACCTTGAACTCAGATCCTCATCAAGTTATATTAATTAATGCATCAATTGAAAAGGATGCTATCGTGAAAAACCTTTCATTGTTGGATCCATCATTACTTTCGAAGTTGACAATCCTCAATCGAACGTTTCATCTTGAGGACTTGTTGACCTTGGGTAGATCTAAAGTGAAAAATGTTATAGATAGAGTCTTCGTATTATCGATGCCAGAAGACTTGACCACCCAAATCTACGAGTCCTGCGTAGAGAACAGAATTCCAATCAATACTTTCAATTCTGCTAAATACTCGACTTTTACCCTATTGTCAACATACAACAACCAAAACTTACAGATAGGTATAACCACAAATCTACAAGGCTGCAAAATGTCTTCTAGGTTGAAACGGGAAGTGATCAAGGCAATACCACCAAACATCAACGATATCATCGAAAACGTGTCTAATGTAAGAAAGTTGATAAACTCAAATGAGAGCCTGGATAAGAAAGAAAAGCTGAAGTGGCTATCACAGATTATCGATTATTATCCTCTCAACGAATTGGGGAAGATATCAATAGACAAGCTCAACGATGACTTGAACCAAATAGATTTCAAGAACAGTCATGAGAATAATGATGTCTTGAAGTCACGAGGAAAAATTTCTTTGGTAGGTTCTGGCCCCGGTTCGATTGCAAACTTGACAATAGGCGCTCTTAATGCAATCCATGAGGCAGACTTGATTTTGGCTGATAAACTAGTGCCCCAAGAGATCTTGGATTTGATACCGAAAAATGTGGAAGTCTTCATTGCTCGGAAGTTTCCTGGCAATGCAGAGAATGCACAGGAAGAGCTCTTGAGAATTGGTCTGGAGTCAGTTCAAAAAGGTTTGAACGTGGTAAGATTGAAGCAGGGAGATCCATATATTTTTGGAAGAGGTGGGGAAGAATACCTATTTTTCCAGAAACACGGCTACAAGGTCGAAGTACTATGTGGCTTATCCAGCGCATTTGTTGCATGCGTTAACGCAGGAATACCGACAACTCATAGAGGTGTTGCGGATCAGGTAATGATATGTACTGGGGTTGGCAGACATGGCAAGATTCCGGACAATTTACCAATATTTGAGGAGAAAAGAACTGTTATTTTCCTCATGAGTATCAAGAGGATAGTTGACATTTTGCCGATATTAATGGGAGAAAAGAGGTGGCCTGCGAAGCTACCCGTTGCCATTGTGGAAAGAGCCAGCTGCGGTGATGAAAGAGTCATTAGAACGAGATTGGCCAATTTGGTGGATGTCTGCAACAAGACAGAGAGCAGACCTCCGGGATTGATTGTGACAGGCTGGGCGTGCGATGTCTACACCAAGCTTGGCGAGGAAGAAGATTTCAGGGTCATAGAAACAGGGTTATCCGTCGAGGAGAACGTCGACCTTGAGAAAATTGTTACGCTTCTTAAATAAGACTTGTTTAGGCTCAACAGAAAGGAACAGATAGTGAGAGATTACGTAGTACACTGAATCGGGAAATCATATGACATTTTTTTCCATGAAATTTTTATTTTTTTTCGAGGCCTGTGAAATACGACAGTTCTGCACAGCTTGGGTTGATGTTATGTTCAATCTTTGTCACGGGTAGACGCCAGTCGGGCCGCGGGCAGAACACCATTCCTCCCACTGTATACAAAACATCAAAATGAGCAAGAGAAAGCTTGGATTGGGCAAGGTGAGAGCTAAAAAACAAAAGCTGGATCTCGAGGAGAAGAAGGATAACGGTGCGACCGGGAATGCAGAGAAACCAGGAGACGGAGAGGGGGGAGAAGGGGGCTCGAACACCAACGAGGAGCTGCTCACCGTCGAGCTTGCAAACGAGGTGAACCCAGACGACCCGCTTTCGCAGCTCTGCGGGCTCTGGAAGACATGGAAGGACGGAGAGAGGAACAACGAGTTGATTTTGAACGGGATCATCAACGAGTGCGACCGGATCTTGAGGAACACGGTTGAGAACGGCGGCACGGAGGCCGTGACGCTGAACGACCACTTCTACAGCATCTACGGGCAGGCGATGTGCGACCTCTCGAAGTTCAAGCCCGACGTTGAGGTCAAGGCCTGGATCGACAATTCGCTCGAGCGGATCGACGAGGGCTGCGACAGGTACGGCGCAGACAACATCCGGCTCATGTTTGCGAGGTCCTACATCCTGCTCAACCGAATCGCGATCCAGTACATTGCGCAGATGAACGTGGACTCGAAGAAGGAGGAGTTCCCGGGACTGAAGAAGGCCTTCGACGAGTTCATCGACACGTGGAACGCGGCTGTTGCCGAGAGCGAGAAGCAGAAGGACTCCTCGCTGTTCAGAGAGGCCTGGGTTCTCGAGATCCTCAACATCTTCGACGACCTGCTGGATATTGTGGACAAGTTCGGCACGCAGATGAGCGAGGTGGTTGACAGCGACAGCGACAGCGACGACGACGACGACGCCGGCGAAGCCCGAGAGCCCGCTGCCGCCGACGCGCTCCACACCGCCGAGTTCGAGATCTCCGAGGACCATCCGCTGCACGCGATCCAGAACGACGACGCCTACAACGTCTTCTGGCGCGACAGCATGCTCAAATTCCGCGACCTCATGGACGCCGACGCCGACGCCGACGCCAAGCTCAGGCGCAGCGTCCACGACAAGCTCGGCCAGAGCTTCTTGATGCAGGCCGAGGAGCCCATTGCCTTCTACAACAGCTTCCAGTACGACACCGACGACACCGCCCACGACGCGGATGACGCCACCGCCCACGCCGCCGCCGCCGCCCGCGCCGCCGCCGAGGACCTCGTGTCCCACGCCGTCCACCACCTGCGCCAGACCCACGACGACCACGACCCGAAGACGTGGGTCAACCTCGCCGAGGCCCTCATCACCTATGGCAACCTCCTCGACCTCGACGGCCCCGACCAGAACGCCGCCTACGCCGAGGCCGAGCGCCTGCTCCGCCGCGCCAACAACGCCTGCCACGGCCGTTACCAGGACATTCTCGACAGTCTCGTCCCGCAGCCCTGACCGTGTGTACCTTGTATGTATTTATATACCTCTTCTTGCTGCTGCAGCTACAAAAATAGCCCCACGTCTCGCAGACAACCCGGCGCCACAACACCGCGTGCTGTCGCACCCACGCGCCCGTTGTCCGCCGTCTCTGCGCCGGATCCGGCAAAACGTCAACACAGTGCCCCGCGTGTTGCCCCGCGCGGACTGCCTCATACGGCCAGGCGTCAACAACGCGCTGGGCCGCCCGGAATGTGGCCAGAGGGATCGACCACCGTTGCCCTGTTGGGCTGTTATTGCGCAGCAGCCGGCGGTGTAGCACAGGGCTTCACAGCAAGCTAATGTACGGGGATAATGGGCGGCACGTTTAGCCGATGCGAGAGAGCAAGTATACGGTGGCGGGGAGGGCTCGGAGAGGGCTGGGACCGCGGTGCGCGGTGGCACGGAAAGGGTAGAGGCACAGCAATGGACGGAAAGAGTAAGAGAAGCAGTGGCGAAATGATTCTTTGTGATCGGTCTGTTTTGACACAGCGCAAAGGCTAAGTGGAAGCGGAAATTATTATTTGACGGCCGGGGACATTGTGCTAATTCTTCGATAGCTCGTTTTGTTCTGTTCTATCTTCGACGAGGAGCACCGACTAGTTTAGGTTGCTGTACTCTCTCTGCTGTGTTGTTCCTCCCGGAAGCGGCCATATTGTGATTGCTGAGCTGTCGCAGATCTGTTTCACTTACCCCTGCCTCGCACACCCACCCTCCGACCGGCTGCCGCTCTGTCGTCTCTCTCCCCTCTCGGACACAAGAGTCGGCCCTCCTTCTTCTGCTCCTGTGTGCTCTGCCCCCACGCACTCACGCTGTCCCCGTCTGCACGCATCGGCACCAGGTGGACCAGCATACCGCAGCATCCGCATCGCCATTCCTGGCATCGCCCCGGCACTAGGCACTAGCACCAGCATCTGCACCACGGCCCTCACCCCTCTCCCCCCGACCAAACACCTGTCCAGCGTCTTCCGGAACCGCCCGTTGCCAACTATTAGGTTATTTGGCACAGCACCCACCACCACGGGCCCAGCATCTGAAAAAGCATCCGAGCTGTTCTCACCCACCCGCCATGATGGACATAGACTCCCCCTCCTCTCGTCCGGACAACATATCCTCGCTGGGAGAATCGCCCAGCTTCACCGCGTCCTTGAGGTCGAACTCTTTCGGCCTGAACCTAACAAACAACCTCAAAAGACCCTTGCTCCACAAAAAAGCTGCAACCCAGATCCACAATGGATGCTTCAACAACGACTTCACCTTCTCCACGTACAACAAGGAGAATTCCTTCCCCAGCGCCAGTAGCACGAGCTCCGTATCCGCTTCCGCCACCACCACCTCCACCAACCCACTATACAAGTCCTTTGCATTCAACGGCAACCCGGTCATCTCGAAAAAGTCGTCGGTCAAGAAGCAGATGAAAAAGAAGTCCTCTTCCAACCTCTTCAGATCCAGTCAGAACGCACTCTGCCATGGCCACACTCTAAATCACAGCCACAACCACAGCCATGGCCACAACCGCAGTAACAGCGTGTCCCACCGACACACAAAGTCCAATTCCTCGATATCGTCCAGTTCGATATTCAAGAACCTGTCGACAAAACCCAGTATTGATTCTATCTTCAACTTCTCACAAGAAACACAGCCCCTCAACCCCAGTAGCAAGCCTATATTCAGCCAATCAAACAACACTTTCATAGTGTCTCCAGCCTCTAACCTCTCAACGCCGAATGGCAGTGAAAACGACTCTTACTATTCGAGTGATGATAATGTTTCCGATGATGAGGACCATAACATAGTATTGGCAGACGAGTCGTTCGACAATGACGAGTCCGACTCCTCCAACCTGGATTTCGGTTCCCCACTACAGAAGAAGCAGCCCAACAGAACTGAGCTTCTCTCAAACATTACACATTTCAAACTACAGCGTCACCAGTCTTTGATGCAATTCGGAGTGAGCGGCAAAAACACAAACCATCCTCTGAACAACCAAAACTACAAGTTTGACACCGACCAGTTGGCCTCCAATATAAATGGACTTTCTGTCAACAGTGATGATGATGATTCCATCTACGGAAACTCAATGTTGCACGATGTGCCTTTTGAGTTCAGCAGCAATGAATACGGAAAAATACCAAGAATCACCGTTGACCAATTCAAGAAAATTCTTCATGAGTACAAAGGAAAATCAAATGCCGTCAATGGTAAGTTCTGCAAGCATTTCGACCGATTGATTATTGTTGATTGCAGATTCAAATTTGAATTTAAAGGTGGTCATATTGATGGTGCAATTAACATTTCTTCATTTACAGAACTAGAAAATGTATTCTTCACAGATGAGATTTTGCAGAAAACTCCTTTGGAATTCAACAAAGAAGAGAGAACACTACTTATTTTTCACTGTGAATTCTCATCCCACAGAGGTCCGATGAAAGCAGATCAGTTGCGATATTTTGATAGAAGCATTTGTGGCGATTTCTATCCTAACCTATACTATCCAGATATGGTAGTTTTGGAAGGAGGCTATAAAGATTACTATGAGTCGGAGAAAAGCTTACACAAATCTTTAAGTTATATTGAAATGGACAATCCACTATTCAAGGATGAAAGAGAGAGAAATTTGACTCTATTGAGAAGAGAATCAAGTTTGAGTAGAAAAAATTCTCGAAATTCCTCCAGTGTTAGTTTGAGCAGAAAGACATCTCACAGCTCTATCAAAAGTATAAATTCTTCTTCCATCCTAGATTTCTCGTCGGTAAATAAGGTGGAATTCAATCAAACATTAAAACCAAGACCAAGTAAACGCTTCCTGCCGAACGCAAATTCTAGCTCAACTCAAAGTCTCCTTCTTAACAACAGTAACGGCAGCACTAGTACTTTTAGTAGTGATTGCCACAAGCTGGAAATACCAAAGCCTCAAGAACAGAACGACGAGCCTTATACATCATCATCATCCACTCCGACTGAATATGGCTTATTCGGTGGGTTTGGAAATCATAAAATTGATTTGGATCATTTGGTCGATGAAGATGATGACGACTTCGAAACTGATAGCATTCAAATATTTGAGGATCAAGGAGATAGTTTGAAAAATACGCTGCGAACGTCGAGATTACCATATGGTGGAAATGAAGGCTTTAAAGTTCCACTTCCAAGGCCCAAGTTTAATAGAAGAGGCAGCCTACACCTAAGAAGCAATACCGTCTCATCATTTTCGTTCTCCAATCACTCTGGATTCAAAAGTGTACCATTGTTAAGCACACCGGAGAAAGCTGAAGCCAAGTTTGCCAACAATGTTTTTTTCAGACATAACAATAATTCAAGTGTTTACAGTGTCCAAGAAGGAAACGAAAACGATAGTCCAAACAACACAGAATACAAATCTATCTATTCCAACAAGCATAACGAAAAACATTATGATACTCCTATAAAGGCTAAACAATAGAGGCAACAAACAAAACTCAGATCAGACTCCTTCAAAGTACCGCTTTACTTTCCTTTTTTTAATTTCCAAACTTATTTCTTCTTCTTCTTCTTTGAACGACGCCTGTTTTAATAGAATCCGTTTCATCATCTTTCTATATTTGGAAAAACATTATATAATTTTTCTAGTAGGTGTCTAATAGATGTCTAATCAAACGTCTAATTTTATAAAACTGAAACAAGCTTAATTATAATCATGACGACTTAGCTGGATATCGTAAAAACCGCTCACGGCATTCTCTTCCGCCACTACTTGGAACGGGCCCGAATCTGTTCAACGGCCAAAGGATCCATACCGCTTTGGCAACAACCATCCCTGTCGATACCGGTCCGTATGTATTTGAGTCAATCGAATGGATGTTATCTCCCTCCACCCATATATGATTTAAGGGAATCAATGCTTTGGACCGCGTGTCTGGATACCTGGGTATAATCAAGTCAGAGGCCAAGCCCTTTATCCTTTTGGTGTAGATCTGGTTCGGGTTGATTGGACTTTTCAAGAACACCACGTCGTTCACATTCAAATTTTCCAACTTTTTAACATTAAATTTCCAAAGTAGCACCCTATCTTTGGAGGTCGAGAAGTCTGGGTTAAACGTCGGTTTCATGGATATTCCGTCAATCACTCCTATATACGACACATGCTCAGATATAACGTAAAACACAGGAACCCATGAGAGAAACGTGACTGTTCGTTTCAACGAATAGGATAATACAGGGTAGTCCGTTCTGAATGTTCGGAAAAAGGACCTCAATGAGTTCATGCGTGGACTTGTCTTTGTGTGTTCAGACAGTTCTACTCGCTGTCTATGCCTTCTGTCAAGCCGGCGCCGATTCTGTTTACAACCTAACATCAACTGAAATACCGGTTTGATGTCACTAAAGATCGCACGCTACATTATGAGGCAGAAACGAGAAAATCAAAAATGTGTACAATCTTAATCTCCTCCGACATTTGACTTCTTACGTCTTAGGGAGAAACAAGCAGTGTGTATTTCAGGCAGAAATGATAGGACTTTTTCATTCCAGAAAGTGGTGCCACGTAATGTCTGCTTGCAACTGTCTGCAAGAAAGGTGTCAACCATTGTAGCAGCGCTCCGATCCTGTGATGTCTCAGATATGGACTGAATCAGGATCGGCACGTTCTGGTCGGGGATTCGGCACAGCGTCTACAAAGTCCACACTTAATCTTTCTCAATGTACATACTCCCGTAATATACGGTGTAACCTAATTAAGTGGGCAGGTCGAAAGAAGGTGACATGTGTGCAACCGAAATATAAAGAATACAGACCGTAAGGGTAAAAACCGCCTCAATCTTTCATAGACTATATGCTCACCACCCAGAGCCACTAACAAACAAAGTGACTATTGCTTGCAGACGCTGCCACCAAGTAAGGCCCTGCGTAACATCTGCACCATGTGGCAGCCAGTTATTGCCGCTAGAACAATCACTTCAAGCACCCAGCACATGAAGCCGCCACACTGCACAGAAGGGACATCCATATTATCACACCACAACTGCCTCCACCTTCATGAGCAGGGCAGATATTTTAGCGGGTCAGTGTATATGCCAACACGACGTCTTGGTATAGTGGCTCTCAAGCAGGAGGAGCCCCAATGTATGGTCCGAGTGGGCCCTATATTCTCGCTGACCGGCAAAATAATCCGTCAGTCGGTTGGAAAGACCGAGATCTATGATTACAAATCCTCATGAGGTGGTTCATCCTGCTTTTCTGTGATTCTTTGCCCGTCTAAACCCGTGTCTGTTCTCCTACAAGAAACGCTGTTGTTCATTGACACATCCAAGCATACAAGTACAATGTCACAAGTTTTTGAAACAGTTTACAACGTCCCCCTTACATGTCAATCGTGCGTCGATTCGGTGAGTAAGGAGCTGTTGAAAAATGAAGGAATCACGAATGTGAAATGTGATCTTGCCACTCAGACTGTGTCGGTGGAAGGATCAACCCCGCCTTCTCAGATTATTGAGTCCATTCAGAACACGGGACGAGACGCCATTGTAAGAGGTACGGGGAAACCAAATTCTGCTGCTGTGTGTATTTTGGAAGACTTTACAAAGGAAGTATCAGATTTGTCAGGACAGCAGGACAGAGACGTTTACGGGCTAGCCAGGTTGATTTCGACTAAGGTGGACGAGATGTTTGTTGACCTGACTCTCACTGGAATGAAACCGAATGGGGAGTACTACGCCAGTATAAGAAGCAGTGGAGATCTGAGCCGTGGCCCGCTGAGCACGGGCAAGTCCATCTTCACGTTGCCCAAGGTCTCCTGCGATGAGACGGGCAAGTGCCAGCAGTACGTCTCGGTTCCTTTTGGAATTGACAGCCTGATTGGAAGAGCGGTGACCGTCAGTCCTAACAGCACTAAAGTTTTCATGGATTCGATGACCGGCGTGATTGCCCGAAGTGCCGGAGCCTGGGAGAATGACAAGTACGTGTGTTCGTGCACAGGTAAGAACATCTGGCAGGAGCGGGAGAAGGCCAAGGACCGTGGAATCAACTAGGCACAAGCTGAGACGGACAAGAGCAATACCTCTTTGCGCATGTGCATATTTATGTATCTTTATTAGTCAGAATTACCCTACTAACCGTATTTAAATGTACATACTGAATAGTGGTTAAGCTCAATTACAAATTCTCACCCTTGAAGGCGTTCTTCTTACGGCCCTTTGCCTTTTCGGCCTCAAGCTTATCCATTTTCTCGATCAACTCTTCGTCGGAGATCTGCTTCTGGCGGCTCTGTTTTCCCTTCTTTGTTTTCCCTTTCTCTTTTTCAAGCTTGTTGTTTCCCGAAGACATCATTCCCTTCAACTCTTCACTGAAGTGGTCGTCGCCGAACATGCCGCTGTTCTGCTTGGCTTCTCCACCCTTTACAACCCACGCCTCATTAGCTTCGTCCTCTACGGAACCTTTGGCCCCTCCTTGCTTAGCCTGTGCCTTGGCTTGTCCGTTGGCTTTGCCATTGGCCTTGCCATTTGCAGCCTTCTTTGATGCTGCTTTGGCTGGCGCCTTGCCCACACCTTTGCCCTGAGCATTTGCCTTAGGCTTTGTGTTAGCCATATCTTTCTCTGTTTCTACTGCGTCCGCCAGCTGCAGCTCGCCGTCTTCGGAATCCAGAACGTCTATCTCGTCAACCTCTACGTCAATGGCGTTTGCATCGCTGATCTGGGTGTTATCGTTCACATCTACTATCGTCTGATCGATGAGGTTCTGTTCTTTGCTGTCTGGGAATCCTACCTCGAGTTCATAGTCGAGTCCCTCCGGGTGCTTCGAGTTCCTCAACGCGGTAAAGAAGATCACAGCAAAAATAGAAAAGAACGTCACATATGCTATGAGCTTTCTGGCTGGCGTGGAGAAAAGTCTGTTGACAAACGTGTCGTTTTCCTCAATGTAGCTTGAGTATTTGGATTGCTTCTTTTTGCCCTTTTTCGTGGGCTTCATGGAATAAGGAATATCATATTTGGACATCCTGGTGTGCGTTAGTGGCTTCACAATAACCCCCGAGAGCTCTCTTTCCCCAGGCACACCCCCGTATTCACAACCGTTTCTTCTTCCACTAGGAAGATTCCAGAAAACAAGATACCGTCACGGTGTGAGAGTCTTTCGCCGCTTCAACACGCCACGGAGCGAGGGCCACTGGGCTATCTATCTATATAATGCGCACAATGTCCGGATCCTTCTACTCTTTATACTACTCTTCTACGGGGTGCTCCATAGAGGGATAGAATTAATCCTGGATAACCAACCACCAACGACAGTATAAGTACACAATTATAATGGATCCATTTTTACAACAGCTACTTGCGTACCAACAGGCACAGGCGCAGACAAAGGCCCAGGCCCAGCGCCCACCGAAGTATCCGCAATATCCGGGGTACTTCAGCTACGGGAGTCCGAACGATGAACCCTATGGCCCTAGTGGTTATGGCAGCTTCCCTGGGAGGTACCATCCATCAAGAAATTACAGAGGTTACGATGTACCAGCTGCATCGTTTTATCCGCAGCCTTCCTATTTCAAAGCTCCAACGGCATACTATGACAATGGGGAAGAGGAAGAATATGATTCGGAGGACGCTGACGGCGGAGTCGGTGCTGATGATGGAGAACTTAGTGGAGCTTCTACCGTTCCAGCTGCCTTTACCAACTTTGGTTTAGGTGGTGACATTGGAGAAGATGAAGATGACAATGAGGATCAGGAAGAGGAGGCGAATGGCGACGATGGTAGCAACGTCCCTGGCTACCAATTTGCCGGCATCCCACTTAAGGGTGCTTCAGGGTATCCACGGAATGTGATTTATTTTACTAGACCGAATGCAAGGCCAAAGACCAAAGTTGTCCCTTCTTCCGAGTACTCCGGATTTCCTTTAACAGGAGCTGGCACCTCTATTCCAACCCAGTCTTCCTTTGATCCATCTGCCTTTGCTGCAAAAAATAAACGTCAAAGACAACAGAAACAACCAATGTACATTATGGACAGATACGGGAATTTGTATCCATACCAGCCACCAACTGCGGCCGAAAGTTATCCAAGCGAAAGAAAAGACATCGATGCTAATCAGTTGATCAGGATGTTGTTAGGCGCAGGTGATCATAAGGGTGAAGATGATACTTCGGATAGGCAGCCAGAAACAGATATAGTGAAAAATACCCCTGGCGGACAAGAAAATGAGCAGCAACGTGACCTTGAGGCTGCTGCTTTATCCAAGGCCATTAATGACGAACTGGAAGCAGAAGTCAAACTAGCCAACAAAAAAGCAGAGGTAGAACAACAGAACAGCGGTACCGAAACGGTTAGCTCGAAGCAGCCTACCGCTGTTGAGGAAACTCCACTTACTAGAGAAGGTTTGGCTGATATTTTGAGCCAATTGGCGAAGAGCGAAGAGGCACAGTCATCGGTTCCACCTCCAATTGCAGATGCTGGCAGCATTCCTGCACCAAATGTGATTCCTATGCCTCAGAAACTGAGGAGAAGATCCACCGCTCCTTCCTTGAATGTACATAAGGCCGACAAGAGTGCAGATGAAGCATCCGCACTAAACGCAAACAAGAAGCCGACTGTTGTTGCTGATGTCAAGGTATCTGCTCCTCAATTGAAGAAGAAAAATCTACCATTTTCTCCTCCACTAAATGTGTACGAATTCAAAAGCAAATACATTGTTGTCATTTCATTGCCTGGAGTGAGCAAGGAATTTGTTGAAATCGACTATCACCCAACAAGCAACGAATTGATCATCAAAGGTGAAGCGAAGAATAAGTATTTGAGTGACGATGACGAGGCTGCCAATGCTTTTGTTTTAAAGTTAAGTGAACAGAGATTTGGTAGTTTCGAGAGAATTGTAAAACTTCCTGCTTATCCTGGTATCGAGGATACCCAGATCAAGGCGAAGTTTATCAACGGTTTACTGGAGATCAAACTACCTAAAGTGGACGAGTCGAAACTGCAGAAGGAGGCCAAGAAGATTGTGTTGGAGGATGTTCCAGACGAGGAATTGGAAAGAGAGAGCGGCAAGGGGTACATTTGATGTCTATATAGTTATGTTAAAATCATTTTTTTAGCCAAGTCGCCGAACTAATGTGGTTATTTAATAATACGACAGTTGGCTTCTCAGTCTCGTAATGCACTTTCCGGGATTACTATTCAGTTCAAAGCTGTGTCATGTCATTCTTATGTCATGAGCAACGTACACATTACATACTGTCGAAAAGAGGTATTTAGTTGTAGGTGGAGACGATAGAGTCGAACAACTCATTTTTCTCCTTTAAATCGCTAACATAGGATGATGCAGGGTAGTCTTTTTCTATCTGCGCCAATAACTCTTCACGCTCGACAGTGTTGGAGGTTATAGAGCTTAGAGCGATCTTGTTGATGAGCAAGGAATAGTTCCAGGAAGACAAGGCGTCAGCGGAAGGAAGTGTTTTCAGTTTTTCAATCACCTCTAGAGCTTCTGGGACGTTACCTAGCTTCAAATGGCAGGCCAAGAGGTTGATTGCGTTTTTCGCTGAGTCCGTGTTTGCGCTTGAGGATAGCTCGTCAAAGAAGTAGTATGAGTTTTTAGGGTTTGCTAACGAGTCATCTGAGTTTGGTGTAGTTGGGGCGGACAAGCCTAACCAAGCGATGGCAAAGGCCAAGATGAGAGAGTCTGAGTAGTGGTTTTTCAAGCCGATGATTGTGCTTGGGTCGATTTCTTTGTTGCCTGAGGCGAAGTTTGCGAAGAGCAAATGTATGTAGGATTCCAAGTCGAGGTCTGGGGAGGAAGCGGACAATTTTTGGTCGGACTTGATGATGCCCTTGTAAACCAACGCAAGGGACGGGGTGGAGTCGTCGACGGAGTCGAGAAGATCATTGTCGATGGAGTTCAACTTCTTGAAATCGATGAAGGAATTGAGCACCTTGACGTCGGTGAGCAAGACCTGGGTTGTTTTGGTGTCGATGAGGTTGTTCTCGTTGTTGGAGATGACTCTCTTCTCGAGGGCAGCAAGGAACTCGGCGGCCTCCTTGTAGTTTTCAAGAAGGAGCAGGGAGCGGATCTTGTAGAAGTGGGCCTCGATGTCGTACAAGACGTTGGAGAAGTCGAATTCCGTGTCAAGATCCAAGGCGACGATCTCAGCGTACTTGCCTGAGTAGTACTGCTGGATGACTGTGTAGAGCTCCTTTTCTGGCGTGAGGTACATGCTTGGCTTGCTGTGGAGACAATTGTCCTGGGATGGCTTGCCTGAGGCCAACACGAGAGAAGGAATACCGGTACCAGGAGAGCCCTCTTGTGCTTTGCCTGTATCTCCCGACAACAACAGCCTGGCGGCAGGCCCTGTTGCGCCTACGTGTTTTTTCTCTCCTATGTGGAGAAAAGCGCGACGAAAGTTTTCGATTACGTAAACCCTGTTAAGACTAAAAAATAGAGGAAAAAAATATACAATAAACTATTATAACGCTGATAGAAAGAAAGGAAGATGAAACGGATATCGGGTGGGGAAGACAACAAGAGGGGGAGCAAATCCAATCAGGATCTCTCGCCTCTCAATCTTCTGGCCAACTGGATGTCCTTCTTCTGGATAGTGACTCTCTTGGCGTGGATGGCACACAAGTTGGTGTCTTCGAAAAGAGAAACCAAGTAGGCTTCGACGGACTCTTGCAAGGCGCCGATGGCTGACGACTGGAATCTCAAGTCGGTCTTGAAGTCCTGGGCGATTTCTCTCACCAATCTTTGGAAAGGCAACTTTCTGATCAAAAGCTCGGTGGACTTTTGGAATCTTCTGATTTCTCTCAAAGCAACGGTACCAGGCTTATATCTGTGAGGCTTCTTGACACCACCCGAGGTTGGTGCCGACTTTCTGGCAGCCTTGGAGGCGAGCTGCTTTCTTGGTGCCTTACCACCGGTAGACTTTCTTGCGGTTTGCTTTGTTCTGGCCATTTTGGATGTGGATGTGGATGTGAGACAGAAGGCAAAAAGCGAGGGGGAGAAGAAGAAGACAGACGCCCAAGAGAGAGAGAAAAAAAAGACGAGGGCAAATGCGCAGGTATATAAGCGGCGGCGGCCCGTGCAGCCAGCAGCCCCGGCCTACATGGGCCACAGTGGAGGGCCCGTCCACGGCCGCGGGCCCCCGCGGGGGCGAGAGGCCGGCGACGTGCTGCGCACGCGGGACGCGGACCAGGATTTACACCGCAAAGTGGTAAACGCGGGGCCGGCCCAGCTTTTTACATGCGCCGCCGCAGAGAGGGCGAGCCGGCCAGGCCACGCGGGCGGGCGCGTTCTGGCGGGAAAGCGGTGGCAGAGGCGGTGGCGAGCGGCCAGGCGTGTGTAGGTAGCGCAAGTAGGCAGGCGACGCCCTGCGGCGGCGGTATAAGTACACTGCGGTCTGCCCCTCTGTCTGCTGCGAGGGAGGGTGCTGTTTTTCCTGGCTCTACTTTGGATCGCTCTTTTTGCATTCAACTACACATCAACAAGCAAACATGTCTGGTAGAGGAAAAGGTGGAAAAGGTCTAGGAAAGGGCGGTGCCAAGAGACACAGAAAGATTCTCAGAGATAACATCCAGGGTATCACCAAGCCTGCCATCAGAAGATTGGCCAGAAGAGGCGGTGTCAAGAGAATCTCGGCCTTGATCTACGAGGAAGTCAGAGCCGTCTTGAAGACCTTCTTGGAGAACGTCATCAGAGACGCCGTCACCTACACGGAGCACGCCAAGAGAAAGACCGTGACCTCCTTGGACGTGGTGTACGCCTTGAAGAGACAGGGCAGAACCTTGTACGGTTTCGGTGGTTAAACAACAGCCCCTCCCGTTCCGCTCCGCGCCCGCCCCCGTCAACATATGTGTATTACTCTTTTTTTTCTCGTTTTTGCCCCCTCCCCATTTTTCTCCCCTTCTTTATGTCGATTGTACAGTTCAACTAATTGCGATTTATCACACGCGAGGCAACCGCTGCTCCGAAAGCGCCGAGCCGCGCCGGCAAGCATTGCAAGCATTGCAAGCGACGCGTCGCTCCGGCCGCGCCCGCTCTGTTACCCGGCCTCGGGCAGCCGCCTCGGGGCAGTGAGTAATCCCCGCCGGGCGGGCGGCGGACAATGAAAAATTTTTCGCGGCGGGCCCCGTGCTCAGCAGAAAGAAGCGGCGGGGCGAGCGGAGGGAGAGGCCACGGGTCTCGCAACAGAGCAGAGGGCCCGTTGTCACGCTCAGACGGTCCATGGTGAAAAGAGCCTTCTTCTTCCTGGTGGCTCTTGTGGAAATGATTCATGTGTGGTTGGAGGGTCCTGGAGGAGTTCCGTTGGACAACTGCTCTAACTGTTCACACACCCACACCCCGCAACACTTAGACACATTCATCCCGTGTCTTTGTATTACAGCAGGTGTACAAGCTACCACTACCCCTCTCCTCTTTCACTAGAGAGAACCTCGTGTCCTATATCGAGCGGTTTCCACTTCGTTTTCGTCCCCGTCTTCGTTTTCGTCCAGTCAAGGCATTAGCTTACTTTGGCCAGCACCACGGATTCCCGCAGCGTCTCGCACAGCACAGACCTCGGCTCTTTCCTCCACGCAGGAACAAAGACACACGGAACAAAGCCACGCCTGCACATATAGCACAGCACCCTTCCCTGTCGAGCTTTTAATTAAGTCTTCGTCACCGACAACACACATCTGCCGACACCCGTCCCCAGGTCTGCGTTACAAAGAACAAGATAGCAAGATATCTCCCACGCTGGAAAACCCCCCCTTCGCCATGTTTGCTTTCAACTCCTTCCACCATCCAATGGTTCCTAACCAGCCCGCCCAGCCGCAGACCCAGTACCAGCACTACTACAACCCCAACACCCAACCCATCGGCTTCAACTGCTACAGCGCCGCAAACGGCATGGCCAGCATGAACCCAGCCGTCAACGCCAACTTCATCTACAACCCCAACATGAACGTCGGCATCGCCAACAACATGAACATGCCAACACTGGGTACCGCAAATAATAATAACAATAATAGTAACAATAACGGCAACAGCGGCACCCAGCCTAATGGCGGGGTCGCCTCGGTTTTGGACTACGATCTGGATCAAATGGTGAAATTTCTCTCTTGGGTGGCCTTCGGACTTGTCAAGAAGAGCATGAGCCCTTCTCTGGCCTTCCAGAAGTCCATCAACTCGGTCTTGTCCGCAACAAGACTGCCCAAGTCTACCTTGTTGCTAGCCATCAACTACCTGTCCAACAAAATGGACGACGACCTGTCCTCCTCTTCGGCGTACATTCACTGTAACGAAGACGAGATCTTCAAGATCCTCATCACCGCGTTGATTCTTTCAAACAAGTTCAACGACGATAAGACCTTCAGAAACAAGTCGTGGTCGGATGCAACCAACTTGCCTCTTTTGGAAATCAACAAGCTGGAAAGATCCTGGCTCATGGACTGCAACTACGAGCTCTTCAAGACAAACTCGTTCTCCATGGTCGAAAGCTGCTGGAACACCTGGTGTATTAAAAACATCCAGTCCATCGATAATAACACCTCCACCGTCAACAACCACATGGTTCATCAGCAGTACAACCACCCATCAAACCTCGTTGCCCCATTGACCCCGGTCTCCACCAACCCTTCATCTCCAATCAACCCTTCATGTTGTTATTATGACAATAATACAATCCCAAACCAGATTTTCGAAAACCCGTTCCAAAACGTCACCCATCCGGAAAACATCATCAACAGCATCGGCAACAACCACCAACACCAATCCCACCCTTCTATGGTCATCTCCCCAGCCAACGACTTCCCTTACATGAGCAACGACTACTTGGAGATGCCTATGAACACCACCAACAACTACTACAACAACGGTAACCACCTGCAGACCATCAATCCCCACCACTTGGAGTATGAGAACGATCAGGTCATCAACTATGACATGAACAACTCCTACAACTACGGTTTGGATTACATCTACAATGGTTACTCGAATTATGGTTGTTTCAACGGCTACAACTACTGTGCTGCAACTGCTTGTTAAAGTTTTCTAACTGTTTCAAGTACTCATTCTGTCTTTCCTTTTTTTTCTTATTGCAAAAATCAAAAAAACCAAAAAGAATAAAAGAACTCCAATATCATTTTTTCTTTTTTTTTCCAAAATTTGAGTGTCTATAGTATTTGTTTTTTCCCATCCGTCGATATTCTTTTTAAAGCATACTTGAAATTTGCATTAATTATAATATTCACCGGGCCTGCCACACCATGTGGTCGTTCTGTCCCTTATCTTTATCACCCCTGCCTATTCTTAGTGAGTGTCTTTTTTTCGTTTTTTTTCTTTTTTTTCTTTTTTTTATAGCGTGTTACGTAATGTGAAACAGCTCGATCGTCTCGTTCGGAAGAAAAAGTAAAATCCTATAGACGGAAGATGGGAAGGACATGTCTCCCAAGCCGCCAGAAGGCGTAGCAAAACGAGCCGGACTGAGAAAAAAGGGACCGGACCTTCTTCTCTAGATGCAATTGACTCGCAAAGTATCAGCAAAGATCTCATAATACTATACAAGACATCACGAAACCCAACACACAGATCCCCCATTCAAGATGTCGATCCAGATGACCCTAATCTTCGCCCTATTGACCGTGGAATTCGGTTTGGTCTCCGTGCTTCTATTGCCGCTTCCGCCAAAAGTTCAGAGCCTGGTGTTGCGCAAGTACGACGAGGCGATCAGCAACTCCAACTTTGCCATAGTGTTGGCGTTTACGGACGCCCTTGTGGGCGTAATGTTTGTCGACGCTTTCAAGAATGGGTTCAAGCTCTTGGAAAGAGGTGATGAGATCATAGAATTCAGCAAAAACGTGTGGGACGCCCGTGCAAAGAAGTTCTACTCCCAGCGTAACCTATACATTCTGGGTGCCATCTTGGCGCTACAGGCGTGCGTCTGGTTCATGTCGATGTTGCTCAAATCCACAGTCAAGAATAAGGCCCTGCTGGGCGGTTTGTCGAACGAGGGTAAGACCCCATCCTCTTCCTCTGACGCTAAGACTCCCGAGACAGAAGCACTAGAGAAGGAACTTGCCAAGGCTCAACTGGACGTGGACACATTGAACAAGCAGTACGATTCCCTCTTTGCCGAGTACCAGAAAAAGAATGCCACCCCTGCGGAAAGTGATTCAACCAGAAAGGAAAAATAACGGCTGCCACTACGGCTAATTACGTAGGTTCAGGAGGTGTATAGGTTTTATACGTATACGAACACATAATTGAATGGATTTTTTCTTTTTTTTGGACCTCGAAACCTGAGGGTACAGACACTTTACTAATTTGGAGGCCGTGTGTTTTCGGGTTTTTCTCTATTGTTGCAAGCCAAAGGGCTTATCGTTGTAATGAAAAAAAAACCACTCAAATTTCGTACATTTCAAAAGTAGTGGTGTGCTCAACATCTTCAGATATTATGGTCCAATGCGATTATGGATCAGAAACACTCTTCAGATGCCAGAATCGACCTCATCAGCACTGAACGGCTTTACGGCCGGATGATGCACAAAATATCAAAATTAGATGATTTCACAAGCAAAGACTATGTATCTATACAAACTGCACAAGCACCAGGTGCAGCAAACTGATCTGAGGTACGGAAAGCTGAAGAAGAAGGGTGGCACCTTATCGGTATTTATACTTTTTTTCACTCGCCGGAGAAAAAACTGTCTTGTCTCATCAAAAAACAGTCTTGCTCTTCTTCTTTTTCTTGTGCTTCTTGAGCTTCTGCTTGCTTCCGACACTCGCCTTCGCCTTACCACCGCTGAGGACTTGCTGTGGAATCAGTGGTGTGGTTTCACCATTAGCTGTAGCCCCATCGCTCTCGGGCAAAATCTCTGTCGTTGTTCCCGTTTCTTGGGCCTCAACTGGAGACACGAAACTTTCGTACTCTTGGTCCGTCATATTACTTTTGTCCCCGCTTTTCTCACTCTGGTAGCTTGGTGGCTCACTGGCCGGGGTCCCCGTGCGGCGACTCGAGGCGCTGCTGTTGTCGGCTGCATTCCCCTCCTCAAGATCAGCGACTTTCTTATCTTCCGTAGTGGTGGTAACAGCCTCGTTGTCCAATTTTTCAGCCGTGGAGCTCCCTACAACAGGTCCGAAAAATGTGTCCTCGTCGGTAGGATACTCTGGTGGTATGTCGTCCCCTTTATCAAGCAGTATCTCGTTTGTTTGGTTCGTCTTGTTGTATATTGGTGGGGCACCAATTAGGCCGTCATTCCTATTTTCACAAAATCCGAGCTTTTTCACATTGGCTTCAATATAGACAAATCCCATTTGGCCAAGGTTAACGTTGATTTTACATCCATTGTTCGATTTCTTGTCCAGAGTGGCCAGGTTCTTAAAGCCAATGCAGGGAAACATCTGGAATTTGAAGTACTTTACTACCTCGTGTATTAACTTCCCGTTATGGGTCAAAAATATCGTTCCTGAGATTGATCTGTAACCCAAACCAATAACGTCGCCCTCAGTAAGTTGAGGAAGCACAATATTGAGCTCATCCTCTGCGCTGCTATCCGGCTCATAGGTCTGTTTCTTTGTTATCCGCAAATTTCCTGTAGAGTCAATTGCAAAAGAGTATGGAAGGTACCCAGGCAATTGGAAATTTGGGTAATTCGGGTTCGTCACCAATCCAATCGAAACCAACGTTGAAAGCGTGCTAAACTCTAGCAACTTTGTTTCAAAATAAATGACGTCGTTTTTTCGATTCACTGTTGGAATTGGAAGATTCAACAATGTCGAGTAGCTGATTCCGTTTATCAAGGTCGGCTTGAAATTGATCTCCACCAAATCTTCCACCACAAAAGGTATGCTTTTCGATATGCAAGACTTGTAGTTGTATGCCTTCAACAATTTAAGGATCTTGTTGTTTTTGAAGTCCAGTTCTGTGTTTTCGAGTAATGCCGTCGTCTCGTCGACATCGCCATCTGTCATTTCAGAGTTCTCGCTTTGCTCATTTTCTAACTTGCTCACCAAGGATCCGATCTGGTCGTAGTAGTCGAGAAAGTGGAACGAGTTGATACCCCGGTCTCTGATCAACAATGACTCAGTAGTCACCTTCGTGGAGCTCAATTCGGTTGTAACCAAGTTGGGTTTGTTGAAACGGCAGTAGCTTACTGATAGCAGGTACGTGATCTTCTCAGTATCCGACATTTTCATGAACCTGCTGTAATTGTCGAGCTTAGAGTACCTAGCTAAGTCAAGCCTCATCTGGCTTGGCAAGTGGCCCTCTGGTGTCTCACTTTCGTCATCCTGAAACACGAAATAGAAGACCAAGTAGGAAATCAAAATCAATGAGAAGAAAACCACAGCGGTCATCCCAAAGAGGAAGAACAAGAAAACGTTGTCGTCCATGATTTGGCTGACAATATGAAGTGTAGATGCAGCTATTAACAATTGCCGTAAATGGAAACCGGCTTGAGCTTGTAGGTGTCTCACGACCACAACTCTCTGGCCTTCTCCACGTCCATCTCCATCTTTTGAGATCAATTTATAATCTGGTGTGGCAAGTTTTATCAGAATTTTTTTTATTTTTTATTTTTCCTCATTTTTTTTTATTTTCGTTCCCTCCTCCGTTACCACCGTGAGGCTAAACACTCTGTTTACATGCACATCCAAGGTATGAGATACATTGGGCTCCGAAGGCACCTGGGGCAGTTACATGACCAGCCAGTGGCTGTTGAAACTTTTGAGCTCTTGTATTGACCGGTACACATACATGCGTGCATACGTGCACGGACGCAGGTACACAGTTTACATAGATAAATAGCCGTAAATGTATACGTATATTACATAATCATTGTGGGGAAGACACCCTTCGTCATAGCAACATCTCCAATGGGTTTTCGACAATGGTCTTCAACTCTCTCATGAAGTCACCACCCTTGGCACCGTCGATGACACGGTGGTCAAAGGTACCGGTGATGGTCATCACGTCGTCAAACACAAAACCGAATTGGTTGGCCTTGTCTGGCACAGCCTTCTTTTCGACAGTACCGACAGCCAAGATGACGGCCTGAGGAGGGTTGAGGATGGAGGTGAACATCGAGACGGCGTGGTTCATGCCCAGGTTAGAGATGGTGATGGTACCGCCCTGGAACTCCTCTGGCTTAAGCTTATTATCCTTGGCCTTCTTGCCCAACTCCTTGATCTCGGTGGAAATGGACTTGAGGCCCTTGGTGTCTGCGTTTTTGACAATTGGAGTGATCAAGCCTGTTGGCGTGGACACGGCAATGGAGAGATCGACGGTGCTGTACTGTCTGATAACGTCCTTATCTTCCAAGTAAGACGAGTTAGATTCTGGGACCCTCAAGGCAGCCTTGGCGATGGCCTTGACGAGCAAGTCGTTGATGGTCAACTTGTACCTGCCGTCAGCGGAGGCGTTCAAAGACTTTCTGAGTTTCAACAACTTCGAGACCGAGATCGAGGAGGAAACAATGTAGTCTGGAGCACCCTGCTTCGATGCAGTCAATCTCTTGGAGATGACCTTTCTCATGTTTGTCAATGGGATATCTGTGTATGATGCTGCTGGGGAGCCTGCAGCAGCGCCGGCCGCAGAGGCGGAGGCGGTGCCGACAGAGGCAGCTACAGGAGCAGCCTTGATGCTCTCGACGTCCTTGGCGGTAATTCTGCCGTGCGGACCGGTTCCCTTGACACCCTTGAGGGAAATGCCCTTGTCGAGGGCAATCTTCTTTGCCAATGGCGAGGCGATGATCCGGTCCGTTTGCGCAGAAGCGGCCGACCCAGACGTGCCCGTCTTGGCTGGCTTGGACGCCTCGCTCTTTTCTGCGGCAGCAGGAGCCGGCTCAGACTTGGACTCTGCAGCAGGAGCAGCGGCAGGAGCAGCAGTGGTGGAGTCTCCGGCGTCTGCAGCCGTGAAGGACTCGAAGGCAGCCACGTCCGCCTCGTCTTCCACGTACACCGCGATCGGCTTGTTCACAGGGATCTCGTTGGTTCCGTCCGGCACCAAGATCTTCGCCAGGTACCCGTCGTCCTGGAACTCAAAGTCCATTGCCGCCTTATCGGTCTCCACCTCGGCAATCGCCTCGCCAGGAGCCAACTTGTCTCCGACCTTCTTGTACCACTTCACCAAGTTGCCCTCCGTCATGGTTGGCGAGAGCGCAGGCATGTCGATCACCGTGTGCTCTGGGAACTTTGAAGCATAGTGTCTGAACGACTGCTGGGCCAGCGAAGGAAGACGCCTGGCTGCGTATCTGCTGGATAATCGCAACAGCGGAGTAGATCTGGTGATAAGAATAGACGACATTGCCGGTAGTCCGATGCTCTGATGCAGTAGTGCGGTGCTGGAGGGGACCTTCTAGCTGCTACCAGGACGAGAAGAAAGAGGAAGGCACAAAACTCTTAACTCAAACGTCAAAAAAGAAGATGCACAAACACCACTGCAGACAAACGGACTGGCCTGCCCGAACAGCCTCGGTGTACGTGCAGACAGGCTGTGTGAAGCTCCTCTCCCTCTCCCTCAGCCGCCAACTGGTGATGATCGCCGCCCCACTCCCACCCAAATTGACCTGTCCGAGGGAGGACTACTCTCCGACAAAACGCGGGATGGGTCGATCGGCGCGTGGGATAAAAAACTGGGTCGATCGACTTAAAAAGAAAAAAGTTGCCTCTTTCCTATTTGGGTGCGAGGACGTCGGCGGTGCGAAAAGGGAGACAGAGGGGAACAAGGCCATGAAAGAAGGAAGCACAGAGAACAGGAAGGAGAGGAAGAAGAAGGAGGCGGCTCAGAGCCGCAGAAGAGCCCCTCCACTGCATACACGCATACACACACAGAATGGCCGGATTGAACTTGTCAGAAGAGTCCAAGGAGAGATTCACCAAGATCTTCGAAACCGCACAGACCATCACGCACTACGGCTGGTTGCCCTTCGTGATCTACCTCGGGTGGGCGTCGACAAGCAACAAGCCGAACGTCGTGGCCCTCTTGTCGCCTTTGCCCTCTGCTTGATTGCCCGTGCACAGCGCACCCCTGTATATATATGTCTAGGTCTATATATTGTGCAAAGAAGATGAAAAACCCCCTACAGAAGCCGTCACTCGAGCACCAGCGAGCAGATCTCCGCAAAGACCCTGCTTGCCGGGAGCCCGACACAGTTGTAGAAGTCGCCGTCGATGGCGTCGAAGAGCACGGCGCCGAGCCCCTGGATCTTGAACCCGCCGGCGACCTCGAGACCCTCTCCGCTGCGACAGTAGCTGCAGATGGCGGCGTCCGTGAGGCCGTCGACGAGGTGGATCGCTGTCTGCGTCCGGAAGCGGCTCTCCTGCTCGACGACGCCGTCGCCGAGCTTCACGAGCACGCCGCAGGTGACGATGTTGATCTTGTGGCCGGCGGCCTGCGCCGCCCGCAACCGCTGGAGCATCGCCACGTTCCCCTCGTAGCTCCTGGGCTTCTCGAAGATCTCGCCGTTGCAGATGATCACGGTGTCTGCGGAAAGCAGGAGCAGCGGGGAGGCAGTTTCGTGCCCCAGAGCGTTCCGCACGTCGAGCAGCTTGTGGTAGGCAGTGTCGGCAACGTAGTCGACGAGGCGGCTGGCGTCGTAGGAGGCCTTATCCAAGTCCTCCTTGAAGTTGGACTTGCGGACTATCGGCTCGAAGCCAATCTGTCTGAGGATGTCCCTCCGCCGCGGGGAGCTCGAACACAGAATGAAGCGGTACTTGCGGATTGCTGTGTAGACAGGGTGTTCGTAGGACATGGTCTGGGGAGGGACGGCCGAGGTGGTGCCGTGTCGGTGGACCCGGACCCCCGGAGGAGGGAGGAGCTGAAGACATGAAGTCTCTTCGGAGACACATCAGCGTTAGGATTACGTAATGTTGAAATTTTGTACATAAGTGGGAGGAAAAAAGGGGGTGTGTCAGGAATAGCAAAAAGAAACAGTCTATAGGTTGTTGATGTCGAAGTCGATGCCCATGGCAGCAAGAGACTCCTGCTTGGACTTGATGCTGTTGGCGTGGTTTTTGCTGAGCTTTTCCCACTCGGCCTTGGACTTCTTCTTGTCGTGCTTGAGCTGGTTGAGCTTGCCGTAGGGGACGACCTTGAACTTGATGTTGGCGCCTACAAACAGCTTCTCGTGGACCTTGTCGCTGTCCAACACGGACACGCTGAGCAAGTGGCCCATCAGAAGGTAGTTGTCCATGGTCTCGGCCGCGACCTTGGCCACCTCGGCCTCCTTGAACTCGAGGAACGCGTAGTGCTTCGACTTCCCGGTCTTCTTGTTTCTCGACAACCGCAGACGGGTGATCTCGCCGAACTGCTCGAAATACTTTCTCAATTCCTTCTCCTCGAACCCGTTGGGCAACCGCCCGATGTAGATCACGCCCCGCTTGCCCTTGCTGCCGTCTGCCTTGTCTGCTCTGCTGCCGGCCCCGCTGCCTGCCGGCTGGATCACCGTGTGGCCTGCCTGGTTCGACACCTTGGTGCTGGCCTCCGATGACGCCCCCTTGCTGCCGGCTATTATGTCCTCGTGTATGGCGAGCTCTGTGTCCGACTCCTCGGAGCCCTCGTTGTCCGAGTCGTCCGAGTCGGACGGAAGCTGGAACTCCTCCTCCGCTGCTGCTGCAGAAGCTGCCTCCTCCTCCTTCTTCTCGTTCAGCTCCTTTTCCAGCTTCTTCGACTGCACCGTGCTCTTCTGCTTCTCAGCCTTCCCAGCCTTCCCAGCATTCCCAGCCTTCGCCTGCTTGCCGACTCTCGTGCCGCTAGCCTTCTTCGCCACACTTGCGCTGGTCGCCTTGGTAGAGCTTCTTGTGTTCGCCATGTCTGCTGTTGTCTGCTGCTTCGCTATCACTCTGTCTTGCACACGCTTCAGAAGAACACCTAGCTGGATACTTCCAAGATGTAGGTCTGGGACGTCTAGCCAAAAAGGAAAAAAAATTAAAAAAAATTAAATTCACCCGAAAAGAAAAAAATTCAAATTTTTCATGAAAGATTTTTCCCATTGCACAGAGCAAAGGCGGAACAGAATAGGCAGGAAAAGGCCACGCAGCGGGCGGGTGGACGATCGACGGCGCACGCCGGAAAGAGCCCGGGCTCTGCGGACACAGGCACGCAGGGCCGCAGACAACGCCAACAAGAGCTGTCCAACAGAGGACAGGAGCCTTCTCACTCCCCCCCCCCCACCTAAAGCGGGTGCCACCCCCGGACGGGCCCTTCTCCGTCTGCAGAAGCCCGCCTGCCGCAAAAGATTGCTTGATCGAGACTGGCTTTCCAAAGCTGGCGAATCGCGCCCGCCGCGAGTGTCATGGCGCGATGATGGAGACGAGGAGCTTCTCTCTGGGGTCTGGGGCGGTGATAGCAAGATAAAACGTCTGTCGTTTCTTGATCTGGGAGGGACGACGGCGGCAGGCTGGGAGGGTGGTGGTGGAGGTGTCTCCCAGGCTCCGCACAACCGTCCATCCACACACACGCACCTGTCCGCCATGTCCAAGACTTTCACTGCAGAAGAAGTGTCCCAGCACAACACCAGAGACGACCTCTGGATCATCTACAACAACAAGGTCTACGACGTGACCCAGTACCTCGACGAGCACCCCGGCGGAGAGGAGGTCATCCTCGACTGCGCAGGCAGCGACTCCACGGAACCGTTCGACGACATCGGCCACTCGGAGGACGCCCACGAGCTTCTTGCCGGCCTGTGCATCGGCGAGCTCACCGGCGGCTTGAAGAAGAAGACCAAGGACGCCGGCGCCTCCGGCGCCGGCTCCAGCGACTCCACGCTCCCGCTCGTCGGCCTCGCAGTCCTCATTCTCGCCATCGTCGCCTACTTCGTCCTCAACAAGTAGGCGCCGTGTCTCTCTCCTCCTCTATATCATTCTGAACAGAACCTACACTAATACTCCACACGCCGTCTGCCCATTGACTGGGCGCCGGCGTCTCTCCAGCACGGCCCCACGGGGCCCCTGTTCCCGGGCGTCCCCTCTCTCTTTCTGTATTCCTCCGTACTCGTATAGCAAGCTAGATAGATAGACAACACAGCTCCTGAAACAGCTTAAACGAGAAAAAAAGGCGCCGGCGCCGATTGGTGTTTTCTGCCCGTTTCGGCCGCTGACGTAGCGCGCGACACCGACGCAGTTTGGCGTCGCCATCGAGCCTGCGGCAGGCCAGCGATGTCGGTTTGCCAACTCAATGAGGTGTTGTTTATTCAGATAGAGACCAGAGCAGCAGGGAGACGGAGCAGTGAAACAGACGCTGTTTCTCCGTCTTCTGTTCCGGCCCCCACCTGCTGCACTTGCTCTGTTGTGCCCTGCTGCCCTGCCACCCACAACGCCCGTCCCCCAAGTGAGCCTACCTAGATCGCCATGTACACAATGAAGTTGGTTCCAGCACTCGTGGCCACGCTGTACGCCTCCGCGTGCGTGGCCTTGTCCGACACATACACAATTGGGAACGACAAGGTCCTGCAGACATGCGCATACGTGTCCAACTCGGAGAACTTCCTGCAGAGGCTGTTCTACTCGCAAGAGCCAAGCATCAACATCCACTTCCCGAAGCAGAACGAGGCCGAGAACGTCGAGGTGTACACGTTGATCATGGGCGGAGAAGACATGAACAAGGTCACGATCGGCATGAACCCGTACTTCAAGGTGTGTGACGAGTACGCGCTTGCCGGCGGGTTCTGCCAGCACGAATCGGACGAGACGCACTACAAGAAGAAGACGTTGCCCGAGTTGATCGACAGCAACTCCTTCGGCTACCCGATCGAGAGCTTCATGTTGAGCTCATCAGGCGACGACCACGTGTACAAGCTCACCAAGTCGTCGGTCTACTGCGTCATGTTCTTGACGTCCTCGATTCCGGAGGGCCACGCGGAGCTGACCGTCGAGATCGACTGGGTGCAGTCGTTCGGCTCGTTGCTGGTCAGCGACTTCGACAGAATGTCCACGTCGCTCTACTTCTTCCTCGCCTACGGCGCCCTCGGCGCCTTCGTGTTTGTGTCCACCTACCTCAAGATCCAGAACGACAAGACCTCCGTCTCCTTGGACCACCTCAAGTACAAGAAGTACACCTTGCAGTACAAGTTCTTGATCTTCCACTGGGGCTCCGCCGTCCTCTACCTCGTCACCATGATCCACTACATCGCCTTGAACAAGTACGGCTACATCACAAACTCCATCATCGTCCCCTTCTCCAACCTCGCCGCCTTGTCGCTCACCACCCTCTTGAGCGTCTGGATGATCTACAACTTGATGTTGTTCTCCGCCGGCGCGTGGTTCGGCGGCTTGAAGAACTCCAGCCTCAAGCTCTACGCCGCCCGCTTCATCGCCATCGTCCTCGTCTTCGAGATGCTTGTTTTCGACGTCGAGACCTCCAGCATCTACTCCTTGATCGGCGAGGCCCCAACAGACTTCCTCAGCGTCGTCATCTACTTCGAGTTCATCGCCATCTTCCTCTTGGGTCTTGTGTGGGCAATCTCCACCTCCTTCACCATCAAGGACTCCAAGCTCAAGAACACCTTCTACCTCTCCATCCTGCTCCTCACCATCGTCTTCTCCACCGTCATCTTCGGTGCCTACATCTTCAGCTCCACCGCCCAAGCCTCTGCTGTCGCCTACTCCATCGAGTTCATCTTCAGTCTCATTTTCACCTTGCTCTGGAACAACGTTGTAGTCGAGAACAACGAGATTGTGTACAAGGCCTAGGCCTCTTTTCCCCACTATATAACCAAATAAATACTACAAATACATGAAGGACCCTCAAACCCGCGGAAAACGCTTTTCCGCGTCGATCGGTGCCCCTCGGGGAATTAAGGAAATAAAGCCGGAAAAGGAAGAAAAAGTATTATTTCCTGTTGCTCGTACCTCTCGTACCCCGGGCGGAAGAAAAAAAAAAAAAAGCTGCCGTCGTATACTTCGTATACGCGCGTTTTCGCTGCAAGCAGAAGGTGAAGTAGTCTACTCACTCATGTGCCGCTACAGTACACACACAAACGCAGATGGGCCGACACAATAAACACATCCGGCATTAGGCTTATATTCTTTTCTGCTGTGATTTGTTTGTTCTCTTGTTCTCGGGTTCTTCTTCCTGTTGTTTTTGTATTGGTGTTTTCTTTTGCACGTTTAGTATCCCTCCGGCAGGTCGTTCTCTTTCGTGTCTGTAACTAGCAAGAATGGAAGCGCTCAAAGTGGATGCGAAAGATACCTTCGAAGCGGTATCCAACTCGACCAGCACGCTGGGCGAGAAGACGGGGCTGATGTCTGGGCTGGGGTCGATGTCGTGGCTGCAAATCGGGATCTCGCTGCTGGTGGTTGCAATCTCATACGACCAGATTTCGTACCAGCTGAACAAGGGCTCGATTGCGGGCCCGAGATTCAAGATGTGGCCGTTCATCGGGCCGTTCTTGGAGAGCTTGGACCCGAAGTTCGAGGAGTACGTGGCGAAGTGGAACTCGGGCCCGTTGTCCTGCGTGTCGATCTTCCACAAGTTTGTGGTGATTGCTTCCGACACCACGCTTGCCAGAAAGATCTTCCAGTCTCCGTCGTTCGTCAAGCCCTGCGTTGTGGACGTGGCTGTGAAAATCTTGAGACCCACCAACTGGGTCTTCCTCGACGGCAAGGCGCACGTCGACTACAGAAAGGGCTTGAACCCTCTCTTCACCAAGAAAGCGTTGGAGGATTACATTCCCGAGCAAGAGAAGGTGATGGACAAGTACTTGGAGCGGTTTGTCGAGGTCAGCGACAAGGGCCCGCAGATCTTCTTCCACGAGTTCAGAGAGTACATGTGTGCCATCTCCTTGAGAACCTTCTGCGGCGACTATATCACCAAGGAGCAGATCCAGCTGATTGCCGACAACTACTACAAGGTCACCGCGGCCCTTGAGTTGGTCAACTTCCCCATCATCATCCCCTTCACCAAGACCTGGTACGGCAAAGTCATTGCCGACAAGTCGATGAAGATCTTCGAGGCCTGTGCGCAGCTGTCCAAGGACGCCATCTTGAAAGGCAAGAAGCCCAACTGTGTCATGGACGCGTGGATTCTCTCCATGTACGAATCCCGCGGGGATATTGTCAACGAGAACTCCGACTCCAAGACCAAGGTCAGATTGTTCAGCAACAGAGAGATCTCCGAGGCCGTGTTCACCTTCTTGTTTGCCTCCCAGGACGCCTCCTCGTCCCTCTGCTGCTGGCTATTCCAGATTGTCGCCGACAGACCCGAGGTGGCCCAGAAGATCAGAGAGGAGCAGCTTAGAATCAGAAACGGCGACCCCAACGTCAAGCTAACCCCGGAGTTGATCGACAAGATGGAGTACACCAACATGGTTGTCCGTGAAACCTTGCGTATAAGACCCCCCGTCATCATGGTTCCCTATGTCGCCAAGAAGGCCTACCCGGTCACCGACAGCTACACCGTTCCTAAGGGCGCCATGATCATCCCCTCCGTGTATCCCTCCCTGCATGACCCAGAGGTCTACGAGAACCCGGAGGAGTTCATCCCTGAGAGATGGCTGCCCGGCGCAAAGGCCTGGGAGGGGAAGAAAAACTGGTTGGTTTTCGGCACAGGCACCCACGTCTGTCTCGGACAGATCTACGTCATGATGAGTTTCACTGCGCTTATCGGCAAGGCTTGCATGTTCACCGACTTCAAGCACACCGTCACCCCGCTCAGTGAACAGGTTAAAGTCTTCGCCACCATCTTCCCCATGGACGACCTCATCTTGGAGTTCCGCAAGAGGGACCCTACCACTGTTGTGTAACGCTGTCTGTAATAATGAATCTGTCGCAAGGCGACAGCTCCCGCAGCTTATGTAAGCAGAACATATCTCTTTCACCCCGCCGAGCCGATTTTGATCCCACTCGTTCACCAGAAACCGGCAAAGCCAATGGCGAAAGCTAAAAAAGTCATCGGATCCCGGATTGCGCGTGTACACGTGACTTTTCAGGCGTCGGGGTTCAATACTGTGGCGTTTCCCGGGATTGCCTGCCCTTTTTTTTTTCAGACTGGTCTCTCTCCGCCGTTCTCGACATGATTTTCCAGTCCGGAGTCATTGACCAAAGGCCTATGTTTGCGATAGGATTTGGCGATATACCGATACCGGTGGAGGCCTTCTCTTATATTGGAAGAGCATTTTGCGTCGTCCAAATTTTTTCTTCTGTGGTCCACCTCCGTTTGGGCCTTTATTGTTTGCTGCTTCTGCTATTGCAACGCTGCGTATCTGTATCTAGCAAGGACTACAGAGATGGCACAGAAACAGGAAGAGGCAATTGCCAGGGTCGCTGCGATCGTGGCACAGGTCTCAGACGCAAAATTTTACCATGTTGATCCGTCGTCCAAGACTACCGCAAGCAAGCTCTCCTCCAACGATGCGTTGACGTACATCGACGAGCCAAAGTCGATTGTGTCGAACTTGGACTCGAGGAAGTTTGTCCAGGCTCTGCCTCTGCTCTTGAAGAAGGACAGCTCCAAGATCTACAACCTCAACGTGAAGATCTCGAACGACGACTTCTCCATCGTCACTGCCTGCAAGGATCTTGGCTTCGCTCTGTTCATCTCCTCGGACGTCCAGGAGTCGGTCGATTTCACCCTTCTCTCTGCCTTGGTCTCCAAGGTCTCCCACCAATCTACTATTCATTTCTACGTCGAGGAAAAGTCCCAGGCGGTCGACGTGTCCGCTCTAGACTTGGCCAAAGTCAAGTCGGTTTACGACTCGTTTGACTCACCCTCTTTGGATGACGCATTTGCAGCCATCAAGTCGCTCACAGGTAACACACACTCCGAATTCAAGCTCGTTAACCATGCGAAATCCGCAACCAACTTGATTCTCCTCCTCGGTAACCCGACGGCTTTTGCAAACGATGTCAAGTTCACCTCTTCGAACTCCTTGATCTCCATTAAGGTTTATAGACCTCTTGAATTGCACAACTTGGAAAAGCTAATCGCTTCAGTCGAGTTTGAAAAATTGATCGTGCTGGAGCAATCCTCCGTTAACCTTCAGTTCCAGTCTCTATTCTTGGACTTGCTCAACATACTGCCTTCGTTAAGCAACTCCTCCAACGTCGAGGTCTTGCCGCTTCAGATATTGAAGGTTGATTCTTCAAACGTCGATTCTGTCGTGGAGTCCTTGAACAAAATCAAGTCCTCGAGCCTCCCTGTGTTGGGTAAGGCTTTCAACGAAACCTCTGCCCCTTCAGTTGGTACCTTTGAAAAATCTTCAGATGGTGCATACTTGCGACTCTTGAAAGAGTCTGTGGATCCAAAATATTTGAACATTTTGAACGACTTTGAAATCAACCCATCTCCAGAATACTCTTTTGGTAAGTTTTTATACCAAGAAGAAGAGTTGAAAAAGTTGGTCGAGCTCGTCGAATCGAAGCTTTCTTCATTCACTGGTGAATTGAACGATGAACTAACCAACTGGCTTGTCAAGGCAAGAGACACAAGTGACGTTCACGACGGATCTGCCATCGTCAAGTTGTTAGAGAAGGACAACTCCACCACTGCCGTGGAATTATTGGAATTGAAAAAGTATTTCACATTGACCCACAACTGGATCATCGGCTCCGATAACTGGTCTTACGATTTAGGATTATCCGCATTCCATGCCGTTTTGAACTCAAACAACAAGAGAGTGAAGTTACTTATCATCGATTCCGACTCCTCAGTCAACCAGAAACAGGGCAAAAAGAACTTAGGTTTGTTTGCCATGAACTATAAGAACTCATACGTTTCCTCCATCGCTATCTACTCCTCTTATACACAAGCATTGGCATCCTTTATTGAAGCTAACAAGTTCTCAACTGGTCCATCGATTGTGCTCGCTTACATGCCTAAATCAAACAATTACTTGGAATTATTGAAAGACACGAAAAAGGCTGTCGATGTCGGTTACTGGCCATTATATAGATTCAACCCAACTTTAGAGAACGAAGACGAATCATTCAAGCTTGATTCTTCTTTCATCAAGAAGGAACTACAAGATTTCCTTGACAGAGAAAACAAGTTATCTCTTTTGGTTTCCAAGAACTCTAAATTGGACTACAACTTGAAGACTTACAATAACAAAGTCAGCACCAACGTTGATGAGAACTCCAAGAATGCTTTCAAGGACTTGTTAGAAAAGTTAAGTGGCGCTCCTCTAACCATCGCGTATGCATCCGACGGTGGTAATGCTACAAACCTTGCCAACAAGTTGAACAGAAGAGCAATTAGTAAAGGTTTGAAGGTCAAATTACTCCAGATGGATGATTTGTCTATGGACGACTTAGCATTAGAAACCAACGTCGCTTTGATCACTTCTACTTCCGGTCAAGGTGAATTCCCTAACGGTGGTAAGGCGTTCTGGGAAAACTTAAAGAACTCAACCCAAGATTTGGCAAACATCGGCTTTGCCGTCTTTGGTTTGGGTGACTCTAAATATTGGCCAAGAGCTGAAGATGCACACTATTTCAACAAGCCTGCTCAAGATTTATACAAGAAGCTTGAACTTCTAGGCGGTAGATTTTTGTGTGATTTGGGTTTGGGTGATGATCAAGCCGATGATGGTTACAACACTGCCTACAACAGTTGGGAACCAAAATTATGGGAATCTTTGGGCGTCTCCGTTGAGAACGCAGATGAGCCACCACCAATCACCAACGAAGATATGAAAATCAACTCCAACTTCTTGAGAGGTACAATTGCAGAAGGTTTGGCAGACGAATCAACTGGTGCAATATGTGCTACTGATCAGCAATTGACCAAGTTTCATGGAATTTACATGCAGGATGATAGAGATATTAGAGATGAAAGAAAGAAGGAAGGTATGGAACCAGCATACTCTTTCATGGTTAGAGTCAGATTACCAGGTGGTATCTCCACCCCAGAACAATGGCTCAAAATTGATGAGTTAGCCGATACTAATGGTAACCATACTTTCAAAATCACCACCAGAGCAACTTACCAGTTACATGGTGTTATCAAGAAGGATTTGAAAGATACTATAAGAGAAATCAACACAACTGCAATGGATACTTTAGGTGCATGTGGTGATGTCAACAGAAATGTGATGATTTCTGCTCTTCCAGGTAACCGTCATCTTCATGCACAAATGGATAACACTTCCAAATTGATTAGTGCTAGATTATTGCCAAAGACTACCGCATACCATGAAATCTGGTTAACAGATTTGAAAGAAGTTGCTAGAGGTATTGAAGGCTCACCAGCCAAGGTTATGATAGGGGGTGATGCCCTAGTTGATGCTGAGCCTTTGTACAGCCCTGTCTATTTACCAAGAAAATTTAAGGTTGTCATTGCTATGCCACCATACAATGATGTTGACGCTTGGGCTCATGATGTCGGTTTGATTGCTATCGTTGAAAACAACAACATCATTGGTTATAACGTTCTGGTTGGTGGTGGTATGGGTACTACCCATAACAACACCAAAACATATCCAAGAACAGGATCCATGTTTGGTTTCGTTGAATACGATAAGGTTATCGATGTATGTGAAAAAGTTATGATTGTCCAAAGAGATAATGGTGATAGAAAAAACAGAAAACATGCTAGATTAAAGTATACTATTGATGATATGGGTGTTGACGTTTATAAGGCTAAGGTTGAAGAACTATTGGGTTTCAAGTTCCAGGAGCCAAAGCCTTTCAAGATTGAATCCAACATCGACTACTTTGGATGGACTCAAGATGAGACTGGATTGAACCACTACACTTGCTTCATTGAAAACGGTAGAATTGAAGATGTTGCAGGAAAGCCACAAAAAACCGGTTTAAACAAGATTGCACACTATTTCAAAGATAACAACGCTGGTGTTTTCAGACTTACAGGTAATCAACATATCTTGTTAAGTGATATCCCTGACCAACATCTTGAAGTTGTCAAGAATTTACTACATGAATACAACCTTGATAACTTGAACCACTCCTCTTTGAGACTATCCTCTGGCTCCTGTGTTGCATTCCCAACTTGTGGTTTGGCCATGGCAGAAGCAGAGAGATACTTACCGGTTTTAATTGGCAAGTTGGAAGAAGAATTGGAGAAATTGGGCTTGAGAAATGATTCTGTTGTGATGAGAATGACTGGTTGTCCTAACGGTTGCGCAAGACCATGGGTTGCAGAAATTGCGTTGGTCGGTAAGTCATATGGTTTTTACAACTTGATGTTAGGTGGAAGCTACATTGGTAGCCGGGTCAACAAGATTTACAAGTCTAATGTGAACGAAGAAGAAGTGTTGGCAACCTTAGTTCCAATGTTTGCAAGATGGGCAAACGAAAGATTGGATGGTGAGCATTTTGGTGATTTCGTCATTAGAGTTGGCATTATTAAACCAACTTTAGAAGGAAAATACTTCTGGGATGATGTTGTTGAACATTGATGTATTTCATTTCTCTTTTACTTATTATTCTTTTCTTTACTTTCCATTGTTTACTAGTTAATATTTAATATCTTGTATTTTGATAAATTTTTAAGTACAAACCATATTCACTTAGAATAAAACAAAACTATACATCTAATTCTATTATACATTTGGAGCCGTAATTTGAAATCAAACCTTATTATAGTCTGGTTTCTCTGTATTGCGATCTCCTTCAACGGCAGCATTGTCGTTACTCTTTTTCAAGGACTCAAGTTGTGCTATCACGTGAAACAAAGTTAACGGCGTGTTACCAGAGATCTCTCTTTCAACATTCAAGACATCTTCTAACTTCACATCCCAAAACTTGCGCAATATTTTGTTGAGCCTGTTGTTGAACTTCATCCGCAGCAGTTTCACTTCATTCTCCACAGAATTCTGAAAATCCTTTTCCTTCTGTGCCATTTCATTCTGAAATCTTCGTATAATCTTGTCTTTTTGCTTTCTGGTCAAAACCTGTGTAGATGGTTTGTGAGCATGTTTGTGAACGGCATTAGAGCTAGCTACCATGGCGTTTATTGCTAGCTTCACCTTGGCGCAGGGTATAAATAAATATGAGCAATTCAACCATGTTGTTGATACCCATTTCGATTCATGTCCGCAAAAATATCCATTTTCGTGATGATTTGAACGCGCCGATTCAGTGGCAAATTGAACCTTTCCGTTTTACAAGGTGGAAGTTTAGCCTTACTTGTCGCAGGGATAGAGGGAGAAAAGCGGGATAACCAGCGGAAAAGGGCTAATTGAATTTGCAGTCAATAGTGCAACAAGACAAAATGGTGTTAGAAGCTACTATGGTTATCATTGATAACTCAGAATACATGCGCAATGGTGACTACACGCCCTCAAGATATCAAGCGCAACTAGATACTGTGGAGATCATATTCAGGAGAAAGACCAATTCAAACCCAGAAAACACGGTTGGATTGATGACTATGGCAGGAGAGTCTTCTGTTGTTTTGAGCAATTTGACGACAAACTACGGACAAATCTTGAGTGGTTTACATTCTAGTAAAATCGAAGGACAATCCAATATAGTTGATGGTATTCAAGTTGCATGTTTGGCATTGAGAAACAGACAAAACAAGAATCAAAAGCAAAGAATAGTTGTGTTTGTTGGATCTCCCATAAAGGAAGGAGTCAAAGAACTGAGCAGTCTAGCTGTAAAGTTGAAGAAAAACAACATATTTGTTGATTTTATAAATTTCGGGGAACAGCAAGCAAATACATCTAAACTTGAAGAATTCATGAGCATTATTGACAGCGGTGATAACCTGTCTCATCTGGTTACAATTCCTCAAGGTCCATATTTGTTATACGAACAAGTCGATAAGACAGCCATTTTGAGAGATCAAGACCAATTGGAAAGCATGCAAGATGGATTTGGTGAATTCGGAGGTGCATCCGGCGGCGCAGCAGATGCCGGTTTTGGTTTCGGTATGGATGATCCAAATATGGATCCAGAACTTGCCATGGCCATCAGACTGTCTTTAGAAGAGGAAAATACGAGAAAAGAAAAGGAGGCTGCAGCTGCTGCTTCAACCAAAGAAGAAGGACAGGAGAAGCCTGCTGGAAGCGATGAGAAGATGCAAGAAGACTAATAGATGGATAGTTAATTAACATAGTTCGATTGTATAAAGCTATAAATAGTCGCCTAGCGAGTAAGTTTCATATCCGAAACGGGGAACAGAAGGCGACATGAATTTTGAGCGCAGGCAAGTAGCAAGGGGGATTTGATTTATTTCCCTCTTTCACCCCCTTACTTTTAGGTATGGAGTAGGTAAACAGGATGTTTAAATCTCCTTTTGCCTAACCTGGTGATTTCACTCCATCGGCTGGCTGTCTTTGCTTCACCAGTGTATAATAAGATGTCTGTTAGTGCCCAAAGAAGATCACCATATCGGCAATCTGCTTCGGGGATGCGTTTTGAGGAATACTCTCCGGCTCGCAGATTCCGAATGGAAGGGTACGAAAGACAGAATAACTTCAACAGGCCGAAAGCTAGTCTAGTCAACAATGGAAATACAGCTGTAAATAAGGTACTGTTGGAAAACAATTTGATTAGTAACAAGGATTATGATTTATTTCCTTCTCCTTTCACCAAAGAAATGTTTTTAGAGTACTATGCTCTGGGTAAACAAAATCTATCGACAATAGAATTTCCACCTTCCCTAGAGGGCACGACTTTCTTAAAAGCTCCAGAATCATATTATGAGATACGTAGATTGAACACAGTAGAAAAGTTTATGAACCTTCCGCATTGGGAACATTCGAATAGGTTCAATGTGTTACTTAAGAAGATGATGTCAATGTTTAATTGTAAGGGTGCAGCATTGAGCTTAATCGATTCTAGAATGCAAATTATCAAATTCCAGCATGGATTAGGTTTTGACCAATGTTCAAGACAAGTTTCTCTTGACTCGCATGCGATTCTATCACCTGGATATTTCCTACTCTTGGATGCTTCTAAAGATTGGAGATTCAAAACTAATCCAATTGTAAAAAGCCTGCCAAATATTAAGTTTTATCTTGGAGTGCCATTGATAGCATCAAACAAACAGGTAATCGGAGTATTATCAATATTTGATTCTTTTGCTAGATGCAATAATGATGAATCCACTGTAAAGATCATGAAGAAGATGAGCAGTGAAATAATGGAGTATTTGGAGACCCCTATCAAAAAGAGAAATCATGATCACAGAGATGGCACCAGCAGGATGTTGCAGTCTACATGTTTACCAACCGGAAGTAATTCTAGGAGTGGTGATCAAAACAGCAATAATAGCAAATTGTTGGAAATATATGGAAGAGCAACTAGTAATAATAAAAGGAACGAGGAGATTATCTTTGAGAAAGATGGTAGTGGAACTTCCTACAAATACCATTCGAGCCTTAAATTTAGTAAGTACAGCTGTCCATATGATGATTTGATTGATTTGAATGTTTGGAAAAAGCTCTCGAGATGTGACAATTTGAGAAAAGCATCAAATTTGTTGTGTGAACTTTTGATGAACAAACTAAGCTTGGACTGTATCTACATTTGTAACGTGAAGGTGACAAAAAATTGTTGGATAAATAAGCAGTTTTATCCTCTGAATGAGAGAGAAATAGAAGTGGAAAACTATAAATTTGAGGATAAGATTGAATGGGCTGATGAAGAAAATGAATATGAGAATGAAGTCATGAATGATTTTGGGAACATGAAGATGAAAGTCATTGGTATGGCGGCTAGAGAGACTAGAGTAGAAAACATGCTTGATAGCGACAATGCATATGAATTCCATAGTAAAGTTATCAGATCTGTCAATGGACTAAATTATCAAAGTGCAGATAGTAGGGTAATTTTCCACTCGGGGTACAGTTTGCCGTTTTATAGACATCCGAACAAGTTGGTTAGGAAGAGCAGAATGAAAGCGCTTCAATCGGACAGAAACGAGATTGTTGAGCTATTTTTCAAAAGTAATGGTTATTTGATTACATGCTTTGATAGCAACGGGAGAGATATTAGTGAGTCTGAGATCGGATACGTGTATGGATGTGCATCCATCTTGCGTCGGATCTTTTTCTACTAGACGTCCGGGTATAATTGGTCATATAAAGAATAAATAAAACATCTACAAATACACACAGAAAGTGGTAGGAGGGTAGAAGAAAAGAAATACAGTAACAAATACATATACATATACACATACACTTAATATATATTACAAATCCACGCTTAAGTCCTTGAGCTTTATCTTGTTGGGTATTGTTGGGTGGACCAAGATCATCCGATTGAGAAGTAGGAACCTCACGAGAGGGTCATCCATTGAATTTAGAGTGACCCAAGTGGGGTGCTCGGAATTTGGGTGTAAGATGTTGTTGTTCAAAAGCACCTCGAGGAGCTTTAAGAACTTTTGCTTACGGGATTTCAACGAGTCTTCGTCGAGATTTTTGAAAAGAAAACTGAACTCAAGACCGAAAAGATAGTCGTTCACCAAGACTTTGATATAGGAAGACAATTTCCTTGCCCGTGCCTTTAGGGCGTCGGTCTTGGACAACAAAATGGACGCCTTGATTTCATCTGGTTGCTGTCTGAAGGACGGCTGCGATTGCAAGTCAGCTATGGAAGCGTTCAGGGCGGCAAGAAGCGATTCCAGCATCGCTGCTATAGAGCGACAGATGAAGAGGTCGGATGCAACCACATCTGCGGAGAGCGTGTTTGAGAGCTGGCGAGTTTGTGTTCGAAGCTGGCAGTTCGCAAGCGATGCCGGCACGGTCTTTGAGGAGACCGACTTGAGCGGGACTGTTTTCAGCTGTCTCAGCAGAGCTAGTACTCGCAGTTTCTGTGCACGTTCTGCATCTGGGTTCTGCAGCTGCGATTGCGACGCCTGTGACTGCGACTGCGACTGCGATTGTGAAAGGGTGTAGTTTGCGTTCACAAGGGAGAGCCTGTTCTGAAGCAGCGTGACTGTGTCCTCAGATGCGGCTACGGATGAGCGCAGGTCCGGTATGCGCTGACTCATGTCTGGCAATGCGGAGGGCCACAGCTTGAGGCGCAAGGCGGCGGCTTCAAGTGTTGACGAGCCATGAGCCCCCAATTCATGCTACGAGACGGCAGAGCCATATGGTGGAGACGGGCCTGAGCGAAACGCGAGCCGAAAAGGGAAAGCCCGGCTTCTGTCTTTTCTGGGCCGCTGGCCACACGGGGGTGCTTGAGGGCCTCTGTGGACGGATCCCAGAGCCGGACTCATCACAGCAGGCACAACATGGACACCGACACGACGTTGTATGTGGGGAACTTGGACAGCCAGGTTGACGAAGCGTTGCTGCACGAGCTGTTTGTGCAGTTTGCGCCCGTGCAGAGCGTGCGGCTGCCCAAGGACCGTGTGAGCGGGAAGCAGCAAGGCTTTGGTTTCGTGACGCTGTACACGGAGGAGGACGTGCGGTACGTGCAGCAGGTGGCGAACGGGCTGGCGCTGTACAACAAGAGCATCCGGGTGAACCGTGTGAACCGGGACCGGGACAGAGACAGAACCGGCCCCGGCGGCGGCAGGCCGTGAAGGTGAAGTTGAGCCGGCAGAAGAGTGTCGCACTGCAAAAAAGGGGGCGATTTCTGTCGAGACGACGGCGACGGGCAGGGGCTCTTCTTCTAGCGACAGGTGGCCCTGCTCAGTCCAGCACACCACTGCCAGACAGCGCACCATACCATGAGCCAGAACATCGACACCGCACTCTTGCAGAACCTCGACGAGGGCGCACGCAAGGAGGTTCTTGCGTTCATCCAGCAGGAATCGTCCAAGGCGAAGATCCAGACGTCGGTCACCCAGTTCACCGACATGTGTTTCAAAAAGTGCGTCACCGCAGACATCACCACCGGCACTCTCGCCGCCGGTGAGGAGCAGTGCGTCAGCGACTGTCTTAACCGTTTCCTGGACACCAACATCAAGGTTGTCCAGTTGCTCCAGGCCCTTCAGAGATAGATGGGTGGGTGGAAAGAAAAGAGTAGAGAGAGGATTATGTAAGCCGTGTACATACTGCGACCGTGTATAGTGAAGAATGAGACGTATTTACAGACGGCATGAACAACAACATGCTGCTTCTTGTGACGGCGGCGGGGGCTGCTCTGGGCAGCGTTCGTCAGTGACACTGCCACTGCGACGGACCAAGAGAAGCTACTGTGCTGCACCGGCTATGGACAAAGCGCTGAAGCGGGGCTTGACCGACCGCATCTACGAGAAGAGGAAGGCCACGGCGTTGGAGTTGGAACGGATTGTCTCCGAGGCGCTGAGCAGCAACGAGCAGGAGAAGATCCAGCTCATCATCAAGCAGCTACGGAACGAGTTTGCGTACGACATCCACGAGCCGCAAGCCCGGTACGGTGGGTTGATAGGCCTAGCCGCCATCTCGATCGCCCTGGGCCCGAACGAGCTCCCCCAGTACCTCAACAGCATCATCCACCCTGTGATCGCCTGCTTCGGCGACAACGACCCAAACGTCCGCTACTACGCCTGCGAAGCACTGTACAACATCGCCAAGGTCGCCAAGGGCGAGATCCTCATCTATTTCAACGAGATCTTTGACATCTTGTGCAAATTGGTGGCCGACGTGGAGAACAGCGTCAAGAACGGCGCAGACATCCTTGACCGCTTGATCAAGGACATTGTCTGCGACAAGTCGACGAACTACATATCTGTGCTCAACCTCGGCAAGCTCAAAGCCAAGGACCCGACTGTCCAAGACAAGAGCGGCAACAACCTCCAGTACTATGACGTCCAGTCCACCAAGGCCTTCTCGCTATCCAAGTTCATCCCCCTCTTGAAGGAGCGCATCTACGCCACCAACACGTACACGAGGCTGTTCATCGTCAGCTGGTTGATCTTGCTCGACTCCATCCCAGACCTCGAGTTGATCTCCTATTTGCCGTCCTTCCTCGACCCGCTGATCTCGTACCTCAAATCCCCCTTGAAGGACGTCAGAATCATTACAGAAAACTTCCTCAAGTTGCTCTTGCAGGAGATCAAGAAGATCCACGAAATCAAAACTCTTGCAAAAGAAAAGAGACTTGAGAACGAACCCGACAGCTCTAACTCCGATGAGGGTATATACCTTCCCGGCCAGAACACCATCATTGACTACCCGAAGATTATTGACATCTTGGTCAACAACTTGGAGTCAAACGAAGACTTGATCAAGCTCATTTCCCTCGATTGGCTCATAAACCTTTTAACCATCTCTCCAGAATCCTTCATCCTTCTCATCCCTAAATTGTTAGTCATTCTTTTAAACATCATCTCCGATAACAACCCCCATCTTCAGGAAATGTCCCTGCAGTTAAACTCCAGCCTGATAAACCTCGTCTCCACCAACCAGTATGAAACGAATTATACCTTACTCATAAACAACCTCTCAATGGAGCTCCTCACTAACCAGAACCAGAATAAGGGAACACAAAAGAACAATAAAAAAACTTCGAGAAACAGTACCAATATTTTGACGAGACTCAACTCTTTGGATTGGTTGATCATGCTACAGCAGAAAGATCCAGTAAGATTCATGGAATTCACAGACAACATCTTTATAACTCTTTTGAAAACCTTGAACTGCTCTAACGAGAAAATTATTAACAAGGTTTTGGACTTGTTGTCAAGGATATCTAATCAATCGGACGATAAATATTTCAACAACTTCATGATTGACCTTTTGGACCTATTCAAAAAGGACTCTAAATTGTTGGACTCCAAGTCCGATTTCATAATAAAGAAAATATGTAAATCCTTGGATTCGGAGAGAGTGTACAAATCGTTATCGCAAGTGTTACTGGACAAGTTCTCCAACAACGAGGAGGACTTAAAGTTTATATCAATAATGATCCAGATCTTGAACAATAACTTGATAATTGCCCCTGAGCTGAACGGACTAAGGAAAAAATTAATTAACAACTTAAATACCAAGGAACCTATTGATCTTTTTGAAAGTTTATTCAAATGCTGGTCCCTAAATTCTCCCTCGTTATTGTGTTTGACACTACTTACCTCAAATTATGAGCTCAGTTATCGTATAATCAACCAGATGGTCAAATATGAAATAAGCATCAACATATTGGTGCAATTGGACTTGTTAATCCAGCTCCTTGAGAGTCCTATTTTTGCCAAATTGAGACTAGACTTATTGGACCCCATCACAAACATTAACCTTTTCAAATGTTTATATGGGTTGTTAATGCTTTTACCACAATCAAACTCGTTTAAAATCCTACAGAACAGGCTTCATGCGATATCGTCAATTACCAATCTACCGTTGAACAAGGATACGGACACTTCGAACATTAAAACAAAACCTGAAACTATCATTAACGGTATAGACGAAAATTATAACATAAAATTACTAGACTATTTCAATGAATGTCAAGAAAGATTGGAGAATCTAAAATTATCGGATAGTAAAGATGGCGCTAATGATGATGATGACGAGGAGAATGACAATGGTAAAGACCGCACATATGACTCAGTCATTGAGATGAAAAATCCAAAGACAGATACAGACCACACAAATGAAGCTGGTCTTGAAGGCACTGTAACTGGCAAGGATGTAAACAAGGGAAAATACCCAAGTGAAAACTATCTGGATATGTTTCAGGGTGACCATCCCCTAGAAACCAGCTCGATCTTCAATCAGCCAAACCTTTGATTTCTATAATGCTCTAAATTATTTCTGTACTGCAAGCTGTTTTGCGAAAGCTGTTTATTTGTAATTTTACTTTCAATTAGACTCACCTTCTTCACTTCTTTGTTGTGCTTCATTGTTTCCTGCATCCTGAGAAGTCTTTCGTTCTCATTGTTGATAACACTGACTGTTCTCTCCCCATCGCTAAAACGTCTCTCACCACGCGGGAAACTTTGTCTGTAATATCTAGTCATTGACCTATGTCCCAATCGTGAGCCGTTAGGTAACGCCAACTCAACTCCAGAGGAATCTATCCTTGCCACAGTGTAATCCTCCTCACTTTGTCTCCTTGTCTCTTGTTCTTTTTGCTTAACTTCACTCTCGCCAGGTTCCTCTCTTGCTTCCTTCGTATTCTGAACGTCCTCATTGAAATCGTAAAATCTTCTAAACAATTGTCTCTCTTCTCTGGTTTCATAAGGTATGCATGCATGTCCCTTGGCAAGTATATGTTGTCTTATTCCGACCAGCTTATTGCTCGTAAATCCGCATTTAAGACATTCTTTGTCCAAAACAGTAGTATCTGACAAAAGCCTTACCAATCCTTCTTTGTCTGCTAGATATGGTAACTCAGGAATGTACAATCCATGGGTCAAAGACATATGAGAAATACAGTCATCCAAACTATCAGACGAATCTCCACAATAGCAACACACATTGAGTTCAAGAGGCTCGCACTCTTCTTCTGTCAACTCATTGTCTGTAGCATAATCATCTGTCACAGAGTCATCCTCAGTATGATAATCTGATTCAAGTCTGGTAGCAGCTGAGATCTCAGACCTTAAATCATCGGTGTCGTAATCATAATCACTATGAGAGTTCAAAGTACCAAGTGAAAATGTTGATATCTCTGACGCAGCAGGACTGGAATCTCTGCTGGCAATGCGGTTGGTGATGGGAGCACGGCCTCTATGCAGCAAATCGTACCTCAAGCTGTTAACTTTGCGACCTTTTTGTTTATGAGAGTTGGTCGGTTCCTCTATAACAAATCCAAAATCGTCGTACTTAACTCTGTCTTTACTGTGTGCAACTTTCAACTGGAAAGTTTCGTTGCTCACAGGCAATAGTTGTGCAACACGTCTTTTTAAGTTGTATCTATGCCATTCCGTTTTCATATGCGTCCGTTGCAATTCAGTGGAAGAAAACTGAATTTTACATGATAAACACGTGTATGTGGTACTATTATTTGTCGAATGTAATGGCAACATTTGAGATGGTTAGTGAAGAAGTCGTTTGGATTGGCATTGCAATAGCTAATTCAACAAAGTACGTCCAAAATCCGTTCAGTCCCTACTTACAGAGAAAAGAGAACGAGAAATTGATGCTCGGATAAATTACCGTATTTGTCCTTTTTTTTATACATGACTTACATCTTTGCTTTATAAAGGTTCTATGTCAGAGAAAGCGCCCTGTATCAGAACGGTACAAGCGTCCCTTGTTTTGGCCATACCCTCTTAAACAACTCCATTCCAATAATATCTTGCTGGTTTAACTTGCTATCGAATGAAGCTTTGAAATCACCGTGGGTACCCAACGATTCTTTGATAAAACCCGACCTGCCCATCTTACTGAAAAGCGGAACATTCTTATAAGCATTAACATCCTCGGAGTTGTGGAACATGAATCTGATTGTAACAACCGTATTGTGGATCTTGAAAACCTCACCGGTGAGAACAACTCTTTTGGTCAAAATTCTTGTGAAATCGGTGTTTTCAAATGTACCTTGACATAAAATTTGCATGCCACTACCGTCGGCGTTAGATTTAAAGAAAAGTGCAGGTAAACTAGTAGCCGACATTGGCACAATGGCAGTTGCAACAGCAAATTGGCCCTTGTGCAAAAATCTTTGGGTTTTGGCGACATTGTTTGCGTTTCTTGTGTGCTGTGAGAATAATGGATTGATAGCGTATCTGCGGAACCCGTATTGAACTACCATTGCTTCCTTTGACTTAATTGGTTCATCATATGATTCCCACGTCTGGATTGAAAAGTTGCAAACTGCCAACTTGTTCTCAGTTGGTAACAATGAGTAGATTACAAACGGTTTAGTTCTTGGATCAACCAGACGAGAGAAAAGGTTTTCATCATACTTAATCGATATTCTAACTTTGTCACCTGCAACAACACTCACAGCTGATCTGTATTTCTTAACCATTTGATTTCTGTAAATTCTGTAACCTTTGATTCTTAAGTACTCCAACCAATCGTCAGGTCTTCTTTCATCAACTTCGTCGTAATCCCATAAGCAAGAGGCAAGAGACTTGACACCTCTGTATTTTGCCAATCTTTCAGTGGCAATCTCGTCAAAACGGAGTTCGATTTCATCAGGAAAGTCGAGTTCCTCACGTTCTCTTTTTCTGTATTCTTGTAACTGTTTTTCGTGCTCTTCCGGGGAGATAACGTCTTCCATGATTTCTTCGTCGTCGTCTTCTTCCTCTTCTTCAGCATCAAGATCATTCATGGGACTTTCTTCCGTCGGTATATCGCTACTATCCTGCAAGCCTACTTCTGCAATCATTGCTTCAATCTCTTCATCCTTCATCCATCTAGCTTGGTATTCAGACATTCCCTTCGGAAGCCTCTTCCTCTTAGGAACAGCCTTTTTGTCAACCAAATTCCAATCATCATCAAGCTGGTAGTCGTCCTCTAAATCGCTAAGTTCTCCATCTATATCTTCCATTTGATCCATTGATAGATCACCTTGTTCTTTGTCCTGTAGTACATTCAGAGACTCTCTATTGGTTGGTAGTATAATATCGTTATCACTGCTTCTAGAAATCATCTTCTCAATCTTTTCAATTTGGAAGTCTCCAAAACCTGGTAAATGTATCAATCCGTTGACGTTGAATCCTGTTCCTCTGACAATGCCATCAATTGTTAAAACGCTCTCGACCTCATTTATATGAACTTTATCAAGCTTGTCAGCCAGTAAATAGCCTCTGTTATCTCTCCAGTGAATACCTTTAGGAACCTTCTGGCAAATGTTCCTTAATAAGTTCATAGATTCGCTATCATTTTCCAGAGTGTAGAGCTTCTCAACATTAGGGAAGAAATGTTCGTAAAAGGAGAACAAAGACTTGTAGACATCTAGCTGTAAATTTTTCTTAGGGTAACTAGAAACTAAATCAGGCAAAACTGCAAAATTGGTTGAAATCCCCTGGGCCTCGACGGCTCTTATGATTTGTTCACCATAAGCTGAATCCACTTCCTCGACTGCGGATAGTCCGAAAATGACAAAATCTGAAACTTTGCATGCATCTAAGATTGAGATCAAATTGTCCAGATCTGGTATAATGAACTTGATGGTAGCTTTAAATCTATCAATTGGAACCGTGAACACTCTTTCATCAGCGATCTTGCCATCTATCTCCTCATTCAAGATGCGACTGATAATATCCACGACGGATTGATTCTTGGTCAAAGGTATAATCGTAACGATTCTTTCGATTTTATTGGAGTTGAACAATTTCTGTTGTTGCAGAGTCTTATCGATTTTGTTCTTCTTCAACTGGTTTTTTTGGTTCTTACGTTCAAGTTTGCTTTGGACTTTCACGGCTTTGTTGTTGGCAACGGTCTTCTCGACCTTACCCTTATTGAGCGCTTTGAGGGATCTCTTTGAGGAATGAGGGCTTTTGAAAGACTTGTTCGCTTTTTTTAGCGTAGATCTGTGACCTGCCATTTTGCCGCTGCTACTTGGAAGCTTTTGGACTTTGATCTAACAGACTTTTTGATACTTAACCACTATCTGACATTGCTGTAATGCTGACGAAAAATTTACAACAAAAAAATTATTTGGAAAATGAAATAAAATAAAATAAAGAAAATAAAATAAAATAAAAGAGAATAACATAAAAAAGGTTATGAAGTTGAGATAATTCGAATATTTTGGAAAAAACAAATGTTACGTAAGCTTTTTTACCACGACAGAATATGAGTTGCAGCACGTGCGCATAAAAAGGGTTAAAGCAGGGTTTTATGGAATGGCGCGCCTTCTTCAACACTTAACTTTTGTGCACACTCTTCGCACCGCACCAAAAAGACAGTCACGTCATAGTAAAGACAAATTCCAAGAATGCGAAAGGTGCGAAGGAGGGAAACTGCAGCTGACGAGGGGACAGACTGTGAAAAAAACGATACACCTAGAAGGCATAATAGAGAATGAAATATGGAAAATTGCGATTCTTGAAGTCACGTCCAAGAAGCTTAGCACTCAAAGTCATATTCTGATCCACATCCCAGATAAATAGTATGTAAGGCTACAATACTCAGACGGAGATGGCATTTGCAGACATGTTGTTTTTGATATGTTGATTGAAACTGAAATGAAAGCATAAGAAAAGAAATAGACACCGAGATAGGTGTCGGAAAACGGAGAAACAGGAACTGCAATCGACACTATGGAAATTGTAAGATTAAAGAGATTGAAAAGATTGAAAAGACAAGATACACGAAAAACGACATAAGAAGATGTACGTGCTACAAGCATCAAGACACGACCTAGAGTTCAACAAGAGATAGGAGCTTCCGGTCATTTCTAGGCCTATGACAGGTGAATAGAAAGATGAGACGTTCAGTGTAACGATTTGAAACCTGGCTTTCAGGAGGTTCTAGTTTAGAGAAATGCAGTGACACGAACAAGTAGCTTGGGAACAGTCGTCAGTAAATTCAACACTATTACCATATCAACTATGCAAACATTGATCAAGCAAAAAAGCACACGCCACCTCTTGCAGAAACTGCTTTTGTGAATAATATACTAACAGACCTTTTTTAATGTAATTTTTCTTCCACAGATTCATCATGGCTCACGAAAACGTTTGGTTCTCCCACCCAAGAAACTTCGGTAAAGGTTCTAGACAATGTAGAATCTGCTCCTCCCACTCTGGTTTAGTCAGAAAGTACGGTATCAACATGTGCAGACAATGTTTCAGAGAAAAGGCTAAGGATATCGGTTTCACCAAATTGAGATAAACATCTTGTGTATTTTTATTCTCGAATAGCGTATAATAAATTACCATATTATGTTATATAAAAGTAGATAAAACATATCAATATACTTATTAATAAACTATAAGAACAAGCCATTAAACATTACTACGTTAAAGCATTCCAACTAGATTGGAAGTTCCCTATTTCGCCAAATCTATGATTGTCTTGCTATCGATGATAATGACCTCCCCAGCTTCGCCAATAGGCTCGAGACTCATCTTCAAGGCACACTTGGCAACCTCCTCAGCGTAAACTGGGTGACCAGCCAAACCACTGAACATTGTATCTCTGGTGAGTTTTCCAATAAAGCTCCCTATTTGACCGTTCATGTCCACAGAGGTTTTACGTTGCCCCATCAAAAATCCTGGTCTTAAAATGATGGTTCTCTTGAATTTCAAGTCAATAATGTCTTGTTCTAACTGACCCTTGGTCTTCAAATATAAAAGAAAGGAGTCTTTGTTTGCGCTCAAAGACGACACGATTATGGCGGTGTCGTATTTACCTGACTCCTTAGCCGCCTTGAAACAACTGTAGTTTATACCATGGTCAATTTTGACGAAATTTTCAGCAGATCCTGCAATTTTGCGTGTAGTGCCAAATGCCGAAAAAAATGTCGAGTGATCTGGAACATCTTTGGACTCCTTGATGATATCACTCCATTCCTCAGGGTTTTTGAAAACTAGTTTAGTTAGCTTATCTCCGTTCGTTTCAAAATCTTTCCTAGTCAAGCTGAAAACTTTGCTAACCGCTGGAGATTCCAAAGCTTTTGCCAAAAAGTAAGAGCCCACAAATCCTGTAGAGCCAATTGTGAAGTAAGACATGATGATACCTGCAATTGGTCCTCTTGAACTGATAAGATACGGCAATCATTTTAGTAACTGGGGAAGCCTGGGCGTTGCGATTCTGTAGAGATAAGGTTGCGCAAGGTGAGGTATAAGAGATTTTTTTGTCAGCAAGAAAAAAAATATTCACGTAATTTCCACTTTATTTCCGTCTAAATCACGTCAAAGTATAAATCCGGGATCTAGTTCCTTAGCTTGCCCCTTCATTAGTATTCGGAGTTGGTTTTCACTTATTACTTTGCTTCTGATTCCTTGCTGAGTATGAATAATCCTCAGTTGACGCCTTACAAGTTCCCTCAGGAGGCGGAGAAACTGTACAAAGACTTTTTTCACTCGAGATACCCAGATCAGAAAACTCAAGCCATCTCAAAAGTCCGCTCCTATTTAACCAAAGGCCCTATTCCCCATAGCATTGAAATTACTGCTTTGTTGACAGAGGCGATTCTTGAAGATGAAAAAAAAACAGGGGCTAATTTATCAACATATGAGAAAAGTTATCCTAGAGTAACCAGCACTTCCAGTATGTCGGACTTATCTATTAGGTTGCAATACTCAATGTGTATAATAAAATTTGTCAATGGTTTACTTGATCCATTTCAGCAATCGATATACAACATCAGTTTACATAAATTAGCTATCGAACTTAATTTGCCCAATTATTTTGTTGAAACGAGACATGTAAGTACACACGAAAGGTTACCAAGCTTGGAGATGATGAGACTGGTAGCCCTAAGAGCTCTAAACTGGATCAAGTCTGAGTACTGGGAAAAGGCAATAGGGCAGTATAAAGAACAAGGAGCGCTGGAGGTAAACTTGGATCAATGGATTGAATGCATCAAGAATGAAAGGAGAATACGTATAAAACGAGAAAACGATGCAAGAAGGAAGGAGAATCTTTTATTTATAAGTGAAGCAGACATCGAAGAATTAGAAAGTGTTTTGAAGAACATTAAAAAAATACGAAAAGAAGAGTTGCAGAAAAATAGGAAGGTGAAAGAGTTAGTTACAGAAATAGGCAAGCTCAACAAGTTGATTGCTTCAAAACCTAATGAATTTTCAATACAATTGTTGATTTTCAAAAATTACCTGATTCTCCATGGGGAGAAAAACGAAAATCTAAATGAAAAGAAGATGTTAGGTTTAAGAAAAATGTGGGGGGAAGTCGTGGAAAAGTTAGAACCCGACTTTTGTTTCAAACTGTGGACATTCATGTTCAAGCTTGCTACAATGAAAACATTTGTCAAGTACGACCAGGGCTATGTAGAAAGCAAACTTTTGGCTAACCAAACCATTCAATATTTGCAAGACGACAGAGAATACACTCAAACTGTTGGTTGGTTGATTGATATGTTGACCAATGTAGGCTTTGTCAATAAGACGAATATTGAATCATTACTCAATTTGTTGATGATTAGCAGTGACATAAGCAAGAAATGTTTACCTATCTTGAAACAGAAATACTACAATTTTTTGACTGAATGTAAACTATTCGAAAAAGCAGAGAAATTAGAAAGTATAATGACCAGGTTTTGGGTCATCGACAACAATTTTGCAGAGAAAAAGATTCAAGATATTGATCATGATGCTGGTAATTATGTACAAAACAAGAGAGTCAAGCCCTCCTTATATTTATTTGAGACGTTTCCATCCTGGAGACCTGTACCATTTGGATGTCCGCCTTAGGTATACCTATTTACAGATTCAAATATTCTATGTATATATGCTTGTTGATAATAAATAGACTTAAAAAACGTCCATCTTCTTATCTGTATAAATTTCCAGTAATCCTCTGTGGCTATAACTTTCGACAGTGGACCATTTCCCACGAATAACCCACTCATCAATGAATTTTTTACTCTGCTCATACCCGTATTGACAATGCACTAATCCTATAAGCATCGGCAACACTTTATGTCGAGTTGACTTTTCAATTTTAATCGTCTTCAATAGTGTCGAGTTGATTGAGATTTTTGACAGCAGATTCTTTGAGTCCAAGATCTGATTAAATTGATTAATAAAGTCATGTCGTATTTTGAGTGTATTGATTTCTGTTGGATCAACCTTATCTATCAACTCTATTGGGTCTGTCTCGGGCCGATTGGTAAGTAATGTGTGGTATATTCTTAGCATAAGAAGATTTGAGCCAAGATCCAGTATTCGAGTTTGTTCAATGTCAATCGGCTTTGGATCTTTATATACCAGCTTTATATCATGATCAAAATATATAGAATAAAATAGCATTCTGTTACTCAACTTGAACTCATCGGGGAGCATATTGTTTATTATCCTAGTTCTAGAGTCTGCTTTATGTCTGAATCGAGGTACGTGCTCATATTTGAAAGGTACCTTTAGGGGCGGGCGTTTGTTTTCTATGTTTGCCAGCACTGGCGGGAAAAACTTTAGCAGTGCAGGTGTTGGCTTCATTTTTGCCCACCAGCTTTTGGACTAACAAACTAGGATTATAACAGTAATGAAAAAAATATCCTTCATGTGTTTAACGTGTGTTCAGACGGTAACATGAATTCTCATTTTTCAGTAACCAAATTTCGGCGTGAAGAAAAAAATTATGTCTTTTAATTTTCCTCTGATAACTATTTCCTACGCTGACTTATGGTTACTTTATTTTATACCAAATTGTATTGTAAATAACAGCCTGTCCGCTTTGCAAAACAAATGGCACCTTCAAAAACAGCCGCCAAAAAGGGGAGTTCCTCTATCGACAAAGACAAGGGTTCTAGCCCCAAACCGTCCAAAGTCAAACAGACAATCAGGGAATTCATAATCAGGCCAGCCACAGGCGAGATATTAAAAAACTCCCGAAACTATGCAACTGTTTACATAACCAATTCTGCACTTGAAATGTTGGAGCTGACAAGTGGTTCTTTTGTTAAGGTAACATTTGGACTCAAAGAACTGATTTTACTTGTTGACGTTGCCAATGCCGAGACAGGAGAGATTGAAGATAATGTTATCTTAGTCAATCAGTTTTATCTCGATTTATATGGAGTTCTACTAGGAGATCGTGCGGTTTTGAACAGCTACACTGGAAAGTTGGAATATGCCAGAAGTATTGAGGTGGAGGTAACTAAAGATGCCGATACAACCTTGACATTGACGAAGCTTATTGATATTGGAATTATCTATAGAGGCTTAAACTGTGGAACGTGGTATATTGCTGCAGTTGATCAAGATATTGAGCAGAAGATGAAAGAATTAAGTTTAGATTCCTCCGCTGATGATCTTGGTGAAAAAAGCTTGACTGGATATCTAGTACATCCAAAAAATACCAAAGTTAATTTCACGACCCGAGAGATATTACCTGAAGTTTACAAAAAACACCGGTTCAAAGATATTGGTGGATTGGACAAAACTATAGTGTATTTGCAAAAAACCATCAAAATACCCCTTGAAAACTCAAAGTTGTTCAGGTCATTTGGCATTGAACCACCAAGAGGTATTTTAATATATGGTAACTCAGGTGTGGGTAAAAGTATGCTTTTAAAAAGCCTTGCCAGTGAATTCCGAGGATGTCATGTTATCAAGATTGACGGATCTTCGATCATGTCAAAATATCTAGGGGACAGCGAGGAGAAGTTGAGAGGGAACTTTAAAGAGGCGATTAAGTATCAACCCTCCATGATTTTGATTGATGAGATTGAGTCCATTTTACCAAATAGGAAGAGCAAGGAAGATTTCAGTGACGTCGACAGTCGAATATTAAGCACATTCAGTGCCATGATGGATGAACTCAACGGTGGTGGTAAAGTCGTTGTCATTGGTGTAACCAACGAGCTCAAAAACATTGATTTAAGTTTGCGTAGACCAGGTAGATTTGATCTCGAAGTAGAAATTGGAATTCCTGATATCGAGGGTAGGTTCGATATTTTGATGAAGCAAATGTCGAAAATTGAAGAGAGGTTGAAAAAGATTGACACTCAGGAAATCAAGGAGATTGCGTCGAAAACTCATGGTTATGTTGGGTCCGATCTACTTTCCTTGGTAAGAGAAAGTGTAATGAAAGCCATAAACAGACACCTTGAAGCTAGTGATAATAACATAAAGGATGTTGGAGTGAGATACGAAGATTTCCAGTTGTCTATGAAGGATATTCGTCCTAGTGCCATGAAGGAGATTATCCTTGAGATGCCCAAAGTGAGATGGAGTGATATTGGCGGACAGGAGGTTTTGAAAAGGAAGTTGCATGAGATGGTGGAGCTTCCACTCAAAGAGGCAGACCGCTTTGAAAGGTTTGGAATAAAAGCTCCAAAAGGTTTACTGTTGTACGGACCACCAGGTTGCTCTAAGACCATGACGGCGAAAGCTTTGGCCACTGAAAGTGGTCTTAATTTCCTCGCTATCAAAGGGCCTGAGATCTTTGACAAGTACGTTGGAGAGAGTGAGCGGAAGATCCGTGATATCTTCAACAAGGCCAGGGCTTCTTCCCCGTCCATTATATTTATCGACGAGATCGATGCAATTGCCGTCGACAGGGAGGGATCGGAGTCTACCAATGTCTCCAAACAAGTTTTGAACACTATGTTGAACGAGCTCGATGGTGTAGAGGAATTGAACGGCGTCATCCTTGTTGGAGCTACCAACCGGCCTGCCTCTATCGATGCTGCCTTGCTCAGACCAGGTCGTCTTGATCGGCATGTTTACGTGGGGCCACCAGACTATGAGGCCCGTTACGAAATTCTCTACAAGAATACAGCAAAGTTTGGAATCTCTGATGACGTCCGCGAGACATTGCTGCTGGACCTTGTAGAGAAGACGAGTGGATGCTCAGGCTCTGAGTGTGTCTTACTCTGCCAAGAAGCCGGTCTTGTTGCCGTCAGTGCAGGCCGGGAGAGTGTTGGACGTGAGGATTTTGCGCGGGCCCTGGAAGGACTGGTGAAGAACATCGACGAAGAAATGTTGGCGTATTATGAAGCTTTTGCGGAGCGGGCAGGCCGGAGCTGAAAGAAGAGATTGCATCAGAAGTAGATACAAAACCATAATTACCAGACAATGGGTTCCAACGGCCACAAGTTGTTGACGGTTCTCGTGTTCAGTGGGCTTGGCGTATACTCGGGCGTGAAGTTCTTTGAGCCCCTCGTCGTGGAGCAATTGCGGAAAGACGGGAACCTACGGGCTGATATCGACGTTCCACAGTTCGACAAGAACGGTGACAAGATCGTGAATGGTGTTGACCAGAGTGTTGAACTAGACCGGCTTAGAGAGAGGCTCGAGCAGAAGAAAGAGTAAGCACATTTGGGCATTAATGATCGGAAAAGATCTGCGCTTGTACATATATAGATTTGCTGTAGTACGTATGTAATAAAGTACACTTAGTTAAACGTGATATCCACTATTTTTGGTTTTTAGTTGCCAATTGGTTAGATGTCAGAATACTCAGATACTAATTAGTGTCATGAAATCAAGAAATGTAAAGAAAAAAAAATAAAGCAGAAATAAAAGCAAAAATAAAAAAATTTTATCAGTGAAAATTCCACTTCTATAAACTTAATGCATCTTTGAAAGTGATATTTTTGCAGGATTTTTGGTACTGATAGCATAAGAAAACTCTATTTTCACTCACTAATAGAAAATGGCCAAGTTAAAAAAGAGATCGAAGCTTTCACAGCAGAGACACAGAGCAAACCAGCTCAACAATCCAAACGGAGCAAATGGCAAGAAAACTGACTCCAACAAATCTACCAAGGTGAACTCTATGTTGGACAAGATTAAGGCCTCTTCGACATGTTCTGTTAACGAGAAATTGATAACCATTAACAGCATCTTGGTTCAGTGCAACAATGACGAGGCGACTCGGAAACTGTTTCTCAAAAACGATCTTGTTAAAATAGTCATGAACGATTTACTCAAGCAAGAAGCCCAGTTCGACGAGATAATTGTTAGTTCATTAGACTTGCTGAAACATTTGATTGTCGAAGAAAACTACGATCTTTCAATATATCTCTGGAGAAACGGAATCTGGGACATAATTCACTCCAACATTACCAAGGCTTTCGATTCGTTGACTCATTTAAACGACTCCAATGTCGATATTTTGAGCAAAGATCTTTTACTCAGCTACATCAATAATTTGATAGGTATTCTTGACAATTTAGTCATGGAGTTAAACCTGGAAACCATCAATGGCTCTCTCATTCCGCAATTGGTTGACTCGAATGTCTTGAACGTGATATTCTCTCTTCTCAAATTTGAAACAGCTACTAAGTTTAACATTTCCTTAAGTCTAAGCGTATTACAGTTTGTCTACGACTTATCTAGCATCAGTGAAAACTTTCTCAAAGATGTTTTACTAAACAATACAGAATTTAAAGCTGCTTTTGAAAAATTACTCTTTAACAGCGGGGCGTTATTTGAGAAATCTCCCTTGGGGAAAGTTTATGTTATAGGAATTAAGTTGCAGATTCAAGAGATTCAAGATGATCTCACAAACAATTTGGACTCGACACTGAAGGAGGTATTCAACGTTTTGAATGAAATTGATTTGAACTCCGAGAAAGATGAAGAGTTTCAAATAGTCGATATCTCATTAGACTTACTTACCACTATAATCGAAATAAAAGGCTCTTTGTTCTTGGAAGATAGTTCTAAGAAAGACAAAGTTTTCATTTCTCAGTGCACAGATAACATTTTGCCATTTTTAGGAAAACTTTTTGAGGTTGACTTTAAAAATAACAAAAGGCTTATTTGTTTGAACAATTTGATAATCTATTTGAACTCTAACAACTGTGTCAATGAAAAGCTATTATCTGATTTAGAGAGCTTGAATAGTAACAAAATCAGTAACGACTTCATAACTCTATTGCAATCGTCGAGTGAATCCGATCTTGATCTCGAGCTTTTAGTTGATTACCTGAATTTCAAGTTGAACTTACTAGAACTAGATCCTTCTAAGTTCGCATCAGAAGAGACTCAGGTAAACACATTGATCCAATTAGGAGTGAAAGTCAGCAGTATTGATACTGCTGTCGATTTAGAATCAAAACTTCAATTCATAACATCGCTACTGATGTATCTTTCCCTGCTAGCTAAATATGTTGGAAATATCGAAACAACCAAAGCTATTGTGGATTTCATCGTTAAATACAACATATCCATTCCATTGAGTTTTTATAACACCCAGTTAGAGAGCGGACTGAATATTTCTAAATTCCACAACAAATATCATTATTTGGTAGAAGAAACCGTGACCCTAGCCATCAACTCCGTTTTCGAAATGTTCGACGACGATTATCCCTACAATAGACCCATTTACCATGGAGGAAACTTAAATGAGGTTTTGATTAGTGTGATGGGGGATTACAAAAAGCTTTACAAAAATATCGATAAGAATTTGAACCTCAGATTGAAAAAGCAAGCTGAAGAAACGCTTAATAATTTACAACGATTCATTGAATATAAGAAGACAGAATGATTGGCTCATGCTTTTTAAATGCTTTCTCTTTTCTTCTTTTTCATCATATATGTTTCTATACATCCTTGTGCATTTCAACAAAATAATGTCAGTTTTTATTACTGTATTGTAGTTTTTGAGATTTGACCTTCTTTTCGTACTCTTCGGGGCTCTTCTGGAACGCTCTCCATGCAGGTTCTTGTGCAGGTGAGTTTGGGTTTGGAGTATCTAACAACTCCTGGATACCCATCAGTAGCTGTTTAATACTGATGGCAGGCCTCCAATCTTGCTCTTCATTCAATATACTCAAGCATATCGTCCCACTAGGATAAACGTTTGGGTGATAAAAGTTGTTTGGAAAACGGACCTTTGGGGGCTTTGCCGGATAATCTTCAGGGAAAGATATGGTTAATGGATAAGTTGCGTTTTCCCAAATCGTGCCTTGTTTGCCGGGCACACCGGCAGTCCAGTTGTGAAGATCAAGTGCACCGTCCGATGCCTTTGTGGGTTTAGCGTAAAACCCAAACGGATGGTCCTTTCTCCACTGTTTTCTTTCTTGTTGGATCCTCTCTGTTCGTAAGTCTCTTGCCATGTCAGTATAAAGTATGTATAGTTAGGTAGATGTCTAGGGTTGGCAGTTGATGGTAAGGTAAAAAGAGTACCAAAATGGTGAAGCAAAAGATTTGCTTATGCCCAAGTGGTGGTGAAGAAAAAAAAGTTCGCTGACATGTTTGAAGAACTTGTGATTGCCAAGATACTGTTAACCGGCTCTTATTGCGGTCTTGAGGCACAGAAGCATTGCAATACAGTACAAGCAATGGCTGATGAATTTGATGACTTGGATGACTACTTGGATGAGTTTGATGAAGAAATCTTGTCTCAAGAGCCTGGTGCAACCGTGATAGACAAAAAGGGAGGAGCAGAGTCAAACTTAAAATTGAGCAACAATGACAAAGCACCGGCAGAAGAAAAAGAATCAGCAGACATAAAAGAGTTTGCGGCAGCTGCAGGACTGGATCCGCAGTTTTCGAAACAGCTTGAGGATTTCATGAGTATGTTGGACCCCCAGGGGACTGGTAACGAACTAAACTCGTTGCTCAGTGAGCCCGACATTGGCGAAAAGGGGAAAACGACGGTCAATGGCAAAGAAAACGGGTTTCAAGATACAGTGAATGAAACCATAAATAGACTAAAGACATCTTCACAACAAGTTGAGGATGAGTCTACACAAAAGATGGATAAGAACGAAGAATTGCTAACTACATTGCTCAACAGCATGGACATCGGTGGTGACGAAAGTCTGGAAGGATTTGACGAATTGAAGGATCTACTATCAGAAAACAACGGGGGTGCCATGGGAGCTGGCGATGGAGACGTGGATAAACTTACCAATGTCATTATGAAGATGCTAAATAGGTTGACAAGCAAAGAGATGATGTACGACTCAGTCAACACAGCTGTTACCAACTACCACGAATACTTCAAAGACTTGAAAAACAGTTCGAAACCTAGCGAAGACAACGAAGACTACAAACGATATGTGATGCAGCTGAAGCATTTGGAGAACGTTAAGAACAAATTTGATGATAGCAGCTACAACGAGGAAGATCCTGAGACTAGGGATTACATCGACCAAGAGATGGAGAACTTCAACAAAATTCTACCTCCGCCACCTGGAGTTATCCAGGACAATCTAGCTGATATGGGGCTTGACAACGTCAAGTGGAGCGACAAAGAGATCCCAACCGACTTGGAAGGGTGTGTGCAGCAGTAATCTAATCTAAGTAATCAAGATCAAAACAGCAACGTAATCCCAGAAGAAATTTCACTACTCTACAGTACTACTTTTTATTCTAAACACAGTAACAATCAGACATCCATGGAAGGTCTATGGGCGGTCACCGAGGTGTCAAGGCCAAGCAAGATGGGTTCGTGCCGGCCTTATCCGACATCACTACCGTGGAAACTGCGAATGTAATGGTAGCTATTCATCATATGAAACTGTGTATAGTTTTTAGCAAAAGAAAATCTTGAAAAAAAAACAGAAAAGAAAAAGGTTTCAAAATAAATGAAACCAAAAAAAGGGAGACTATTGAACCTCCAAACCTTTAGAGGTTAACCAGCAGACACTTATAGGTCAGAATTGCATAATTACTGGCAAGTAAAGTCCCTCAGACAGCACCCACAAGGGACGCCGAATGACTAGGACGAAGGAAAAATGATAACTTGCAAAAGAAACCATATCCTACGCCAAGACGGTTCTATACCATGTCGTCATAGTCGAGTAAGAATTGGAAAGAAGTAGCTCAATCTTCATCACACAAACAGCAACTGCTGGTTGCAAAATGAACTAAGTTCAAGAACTGCTTGGACCCTTTCGACTCACGACATCTCAAGAAGAGGAACGGCCTTTCTTTTATACACAGAGCGATAAAAAATTTTCCCAGCCAGCATTTTTTTCTCGCTAATTCTTTTCCGCCTCGCTATGTTGAGGGTTTCTTCTGATTGGGTTGTACAGATAGAGATAGTCGGCCTACACACATGTTCTATATCGCTATTTCGTGAAATCTCGCATCCACCACCCGCTGCTCCTTGATGTACTTCAGCGTTCGCTGGTAGTGCTTCCACGTGGAGAGATATGGGCCTTCGATCTGGCCGTTAGTTTGGCCGATCTCCTTGAAGTTGTTGCCAATCAACTCAATCAAGCCGTTCAAGTACCGCACGTTGATCATCTCGTTGCCGTGGATGAAATAGTAGATAGACTGGTTGAGAATTTCAATGAAAAGCTCGACACTCACGTTGTTGTCCATGATCGAATCGGCGATCCGTAGCGACTTTTGCAAGCACTCCAACACTCGTTTGTCGTCTTTCTTCAACGAAATTTGGTTGGCGTTTTCTTGTAGATGCGACTCACCGGTTTCTTCTGGTTCTGCGCTATCTTCCTTTTCCTCGTCATCATCTCCCTCTGCGATCGCATCCTCCTCCTTATTGATCCACCATAAATGGGATGAGTTGTAAATTGCACGGCATTGATCCGTTTTTTTTAAAAGTCTACTACCATAAAGAGTGGCCTTCGTAATCAATTTGTTGAAATCTTCGACATCAAGTATGATCATCTGGTCCAACGAAATGAGTTTGTTGATTATGTTCATCAAACACTGGATTTGGATTTTCGACTCGATTATCATCTCTTCGTATATTATGAAAGATTCAATAAAAAACTCATAACTGATGTTATTCAGGAGACACTCGTTTGAAATTTGCGCACAGTTCAAATTCAAGTTTAGGGCCTTGATTGGCATTTTGTCTTTGATCATGTTGATCAGTTTTGAAATCCTATTAAACATGTTCACTAGTTCTTTCTTATCAGCCTTCTCAAAATTCCTCTTTCTGATCAATCTGATTAAAATCGAAATCAAGGTTGGGTATGTCCTGTAATAGTTTCCCTTCGATAAGTGAACCTCACACTCGTTTAGTAATGCATATTGCACTTTATAATCCTTGTTGTAAACTAAGTGTAAGAATTTGTTTAAGAACTCATGATATATGTCCAATTCGATCAGTTCATTGCTGGCACTATTATCTGTGGAACTATCGCCAAAGAGGTCTCTCTTGGTTTCGCTCACCTGATGTTTATCTTCCTTGACTAGGATCGATTCGTTCAGATATTTGAAAACCATTTGCAAACTTTCCAAATTGTCGATTCGGATATCGTTGTCAATCAAGTTGTTCAAAATTAAGGTGCCAATTTCCTTTTTAATGGAAAGGCTCTGCAAGTTGAACAACTTGAAATAGTTATCATCATTAATTTTGAAGAAATTGTTGAAATCTTCGAAATTTTCAATCGATTTCAAGATGATCCTAAAATCATCAATTTCTTCGGAAGAATCTTTGATCAAATTGAACTTATCAATCGATAATTTGTATATTAGATTCAAATTGTCCAACACTTCATCGTCTTCCTTGCTATATATCAAAGATAGTTTCAAAATTCCGTTTAAAATGGTGCAGTAATTCTTGATATTAAACTCAGGGTCGTTCTGGTTCAAATTCTCAATAAACTCAACGAAAGTCTTCAAGAAAGAAAAATCGCCCAATGACTCTGTGCTGTTTCTCTTCCTGTAATCGATCAACCTTTCGATTAAAGAGTTGAGTAAGTCTGTGATGCTTACGTCTTCATTGACCAGCAGTAAAGCCTTACAAAAGGTTTGCAAGCTGTATACCTGAAAATTGTCTGGGAAAATCTGGATGATGACGTCCAGTAGATAGTTTTGAGCAATTGTATCTTTACATCTGATAATCTGTTGTAAGATTTCAGGCAAGATTTTTTCGTTGTATAGCTCTTTGGAGACCATTTCCAATTGGCTTAGCATGACTAAGTTGGACCCTACAAGAATTTTCAACTCATTTCTTTCCTCAACCCTCCTGGCTCTTTCACTAGAATGGCCTTGGTGTTGCAATCTGACCCATAGCTTATTCATCTCGATGAAATTCGCCACAATAAAATTGATGACTTTATCTAAGTTGCTTGAGTTTTCGAAGTTAATCAAAAAGCTCTTCGTCTTTTGGATCAAGTAATAGCGTAAAAAAAGGCCACGGATTGGGTTTTGAACACCTTTACACATCTCCAACATGTCGTTCAATATCTCATTGATTGGAGCGTCTTCAAGACCCATATAGACACTACCGACAGTGATCATCAAGTACAGTCTTGGAATGATATTCCCCGCATACTGCACTAACTCGTACAAGTCAATTAAGTAGTTGTTGTTAGACTCTTTATTGTTATCTTTGAGGTAGTTTGATAAATAGTTCAAGCCATCATAGATTAGGATGTACAGCTCGTAGTACTGTTTTGGGTTCAAGCTGCTTGTCCTCAATTCGTTCAAGAAGTTGGAGGCATGCTTCAAAGAGTCCATAAACTTGTGTTTGGACTCAAGACATTTGCGCATCTGGTAGATCTCGTTCTTGATGATGGTGATAGAGTTGTCCAACCTCTGCTGTTCTTCCAGCGTCATTTTGGTTGTCTTTGACATGGCAGCTGGGGGGGAAGCGGGGGCGAAGAAGCGACTAAAGACAGTGGGGAGAATCAATTCGTACTCCAACTGAGAATGTAAGTCCCGTCGAGCCGTGTCCTTCGTGGAGTGCTACGGTGTGGTGGTGTCCGCATCTGTCTTCATGGTACCGTATCTCTCGCTATCGGTGCCACTTCTACAATGTGGCCTTTCTCTCGATCCTTGGAAGAATAAAGAGGGCTTGCGCGACAATGCGAGTAGTCGTGACACGACAGCTGAGGGAGTTGTGCGCAATTAACTGGAAGAGTTCAGTCCTGAGACGGGGACCACCATCATATACTATATATTTACAACAATCTTATACCCCAAGTAAATGTGTACTTCCTTCTGGGAGTATAGTATGTGTTTGACGACTCACGGGGACTTTCCCGGGTGGGAAAAGGTTTTGTAAAGATCGGTTTGTAATTGGAGAATTCTTGAAATCTCAAAAATTTACAAATGGAGGAAACAAAAAAGAACACTATTCCCGACATAGCGACTATAAATTCCCTTCCAGGGTCTCACTATTTGCTTACTACATTACATACACATATCCTACACATATCTACACCATTTATGGTACCGTATCAATCAACTCCGGCCACTCCGAGACCCTCATATTCGAATCCCCGTGCTCACACGAGTGCTGAAAAAATCCGTTTCCCTGCAGCCTATTGTCTCGAGGAAAACAGGCCGGGGCCGACTGCCGGAAAGGGTAATTCCCTGGGTGGAGAGCCAAGGGGTACAGACGGCCCCATGTCCATTTGTGGGTGTTTGTGTGCCCGTTGGTCGGGTTCTTCCTCCGTGGCTACTCCGACACTCCCTGTTTCCTGTGCTACCTACTACAGATCTCCATTTGCTATCCTTGCATTATAGCCGAAACTGAACACTGATGTGGCACCAGAGAGCATCGCCGTCGCCAAGCACGACGTTCTACCGAAGCTCTGGCGAATACACATCGTCTTCGAGCAACGAATACTCTTCCTCCAACACCGCGTTTGACAGCGACACCGAGAAGAACGGACTCCACTCCCCAGAGGGATACAGCCTCGGCTTTACAGACAACTACGACCGGCACTCCGGTGTCGGCAAGAGATGGAGGTCTCCCCGCTTGAAACGCACGGTCAACAGAGGTCGCAGCCGCCTCAAACGTCTGCTATGCCTCGACGCTCTGCAGCAGGGGGCCTGCTATAAGTTTCTGCTGCTGCTGAAGCTCCGCTTGCACTGCTACCTCAACAAGAAGGTGTTGTGCGTCCTGATCATCACGTCGGCATTGGTTGTCTCTCTGCTACAGATGTACTCGCCGCTCGCATACTACAAGCCGCGGTCCAAGTGGTCGTATCTTGTCGAAAACAGGCACGATTTTGTGTCGGACTCCAAGGTGCTCGATCTGTTGGAGTACCTGTCGGAAAACAAGCGTCTCCACGAGAAGTACCTCTTGCGACGCGACTACAAGGACCGCCGCATCACCCCCGCCCGCTACTTGACGCACTTGCGGACGCACATCAACGAGACCGGCGGCACGTTGAGCGAATCGTTGCGATACGGCTTCTCGTGGCAGGACTGGGTCGACTTCGATGAGAGGCTGCTGCCGAACATGGACTTCCTGCTGACGCACAACGGTCTGCCGATCTCCGGCTGCTCCCAATTCGAGTCCGAGATCGGGTTCCCGCGCGACAACCACTTCAAGAGGGACTTCCTGCCCAACTGCACGGATTTGACTCCGGCGGAGATCGCCGCCTTGGCCAACCCGAACTACCCCCACTTCAGGGCCACGGCTCCCTTGGACAACTTGGGGCTCCCCATCGAGGCCCGCATTGTGCACGGCGCGACCTTTTTGTACCACCACCAGCCGCCACCACAACGGTTGATTTTCGTGGATGGGGTCAGCAACACAGACCTCGTTGTCCCCGTGGTACATAAGGAGCCTGCTCCCCCGCCCAAGGATCCCCGGAGCCTCGAGCCCGTGAGCGAGCTCATGGCGCAGGTTGTCGCCGGGCTCCCGCCGGCGGAGAGCGACTGGTTCAACCGAGCCGTTGCCGTGGACGTGGCGAGGGTCAACAGGAACGGAGGCTCGGCGCCGAAGCTGGCGCTCACTGCGGCCGACTTTGCAAACCCGGAGAACCTGACGCAGATCCAGGCGGCGTTGCCCGGCTTCGGCGAGGCCGGGACGCTCGATGCTGTGCTCCACGACAGCATTGCGGGGCAGCTGGCAGCGCACCCCGGCGCCGACTACCCGAAGTACTTCCACGAGCCCCGGCTGGCCGACAGCCGCATCGGCGGCTCGCACTACGACTGGCGCTTCTTCAACATCAAGGAGGTCGACAACGAGTACAAGCGGCTGTCCACGCTCAGCCGCCTGATGCGTGCCTGGTTGCGCTTCACCAACAACGAGCGGCTCCCCACCTGGCTTGCCCACGGCACGCTCTTGGGCTACTCCTTCAACGGCTACATGCTCCCCTGGGACTTTGACCACGACGTGCAGCTGTCCGCAGCCGCCATGTGGCGGCTCGCGCGCGACTACAACAACACGCTTGTCGTGGACTGCACCGCCGGCGACGGCCGGGCCGCCGCCGGCCAGGGCCACTACTTGCTCGACGTCAGCAGCAACTTCTTCGACCGCCGCCGCGGCAACGCCAACGGCAACAACGCCATCGACGCCCGCTTCATCGACGTCCACACCGGCATGTACATCGACATCACCCTGGTCAGCACCGTTGCCGACAAGCACGCCGCCCTCCGCCGCGACGTGCCCGGCTACGACAAGGTGCTCCGCCGCGAGCTTTTCCGCCTGCTGGCCCAGCAGCGACTTGCCCTCGACGGTCTCGCGGACGACGATTCCCCCGGCGGCACGCTGCTTGCGTGCCGCAACCACCATTTTTACCGCCTGGCCGAGCTGCTGACCCTGGAGCGCCGGCGCTTTGAGGGCGAGCAGGCGTGGGTGCCCGCGGCGTGGGCCGACGTGCTCGACCGCGAGTTCCCGCGCCGGCACACGGCCTGGCGGCACGAGGGCTACACCTGGCGGAGCGAGCTGGCGCTGTGGGTGGCGGACCGGCGGTGCGGGCGGGCTGCGCTGGACCGCGGCGGCGACAGCTGCGCCGGGGACCGCTTTGTGGCCGCGATGAGGGCGATGCTGCAGTTTGGAGAGCAGCAGGAACAAGAAGGAGCCGGGGTGGGGCCGGTGCTGCCCGATTGGGAGGCTGTGGCGGCGGCGGATCTGGAGGCGGCCGAAATAGGCAGTAGCCGCCGCGGAGAGACAGCGGGGGAGGGCAGGAGGGAAGCACAGCTATAAAGGACGGGGTGTGTGGAGGGTGTGTGGAGGATGTGTAGGACGTGTAGAGTAAGCAGAAGGCAGTCCAAGCAAGACACGAGGAGAGCATGGGCGAAATAGGCGACACAGCAGTGCCAGAGAAGTTCACCGGGTTTGCGGTGCACGACCCCTCCGAGGCGACGTGGTCCACGTTCAAGAGCTACAGCTACGACCCCAAGCCGTTTGAGGAGACGGACGTGGACATCCGGATCAGCACGTGCTCGATCTGTGGGTCGGACGCCCACAGCGCCCGTAACGGGTGGAACAAGCCCAACGCGGTGTACCCGCTTGTGCCCGGGCACGAGATTGTCGGCGAGGTGGTGCGTGTGGGCGGGGGTGTGAAGGACTTCAAGGTCGGGGACCGGGTCGGGGTCGGGGCGCAGTCGCAGGCGTGCCTCAAGTGCAAGATGTGTCTGAGCAACAACGAGGTGTACTGTCCGCAGCTCGTGCACACGTTTGGCGGGGTGTACCACAACGCGGACGGCACCACCACCATGTCGCAGGGCGGGTACGCCAACTACGTGCGGATCCACGAGTACTTTGTCTTCCACATCCCGGAGGAGCTGAGCGACGCGGAGGCGGCGCCGTTTCTGTGTGCCGGCGTGACCACGTACTCGCCCATCATCCGGAACCTGCCCCACGACCTGATTGCCAGAGGCGTCCGGCCCAAGGTCGGGGTTGTTGGGCTCGGCGGGCTCGGGATGATGGCGATCCAGTTTGCGCATGCCCTGGGCTGCGAGACGGTGGTGTTCTCGCGTGGAGAGTCGAAGCGGGGCGACGCCCTCAAGCTCGGCGCCGACCGCGTGGTGATCACGGGCACGGCGCCCGAGGGCAAGAGCTGGCTCGAGGACGTCGAGGAGAACCGCGACGTCAAGTTCGACCTCGACCTCGTGATCTGCACGGCCAACAGCGCAGACAACTTCGACCTCAACACCTACCTCAAGGTGCTCAAGATCAACGGCAAGTGGGTCTCCGTGGGCTTGCCCGAGACGCCCTTCACAGTGAGCCCGCGCTCCTTCATGAGCAATGCGTGTTTCATGGGCGCCTCGCATCTCGGCTCGCACGTGGAGATGGTGGAGATGTTCAAGCTCGCGGTGGAGAAGCAGATCCGGCCGTGGGTGGAGTGTCTGCCTATGTCTGCGGAGAACTGCAAGGTCGGCATTGAGAAGTGTCACTACAACAAGTGCAAGTACCGGGTTGCCCTGACCGACGTCGAGAAGGCGTTCCAGTGACCGGACGCAGTATAGTAGTAAGTAGAGTAAAGTAATATTGAAAAGTGTTTATAAAGTTCGATAAGGATAGATGACAAAAAAAATAATGACTCAAAGATAACACAGGCAAACCGATTGTGGAGAGGGAAAAGGCAGATGAGCAGGAAAGAAGAACAGAGATATACTTTTGATAACTGTGACGCCCATAACAAGATAACAAGGAAGAGGAGATGAAATGAAATAAAGAAGGAAAAGAAAAAAAACAGTTCGAAACAGGAACAGACCAAAAAATGAGTGTTCTCATGTATAAATGTATGAGTAGTAAGTGAAAGTAAAGATGGTGATTGTGAATTGAAAGATAGCCGGCCTTTTCATTTGCCTTCCCAGAAAATGGAGGTGGTGTTCAGGATTCTTCTATTTCATCCAGAACCTGAACGTTTTTCTCCATGTCGACCGCCAAGGCGACCGGTAGGTTGGAGTCCTTTCTCGACTTTCTCGTTGGGAGGGATTGCCATTTCGCAGTCGAGCCTCTGCTGGTGCTGTTGCCGGAAGTCGAGGAGAGGGAGGAAAAGGACATCCAAGAAGGCACTGCCTTGAGGAAGAAACACTTTGTGTTCTTCACGAGCTTGGAGATCTTCGAGCCGTATCTTCTGTTGATGACACACACAAGCGCGTACTCAGAGGAGATGATAAGAATGGCCAAAAGGACGCAGCACACAATGGAGATTGGAATGTGTCTGCTCATCAAGAGAAGAAACGCTGCGTCGTCCTTGTGCCACGAGGAGCCCTTTGAGATCTTGAAGAAGGCGTCCTTGGACAACTTGTAGTCCTCAGGCATGAGAATCCTCACCACGCCCGAAGGAGGGTTCCCCCACCGGATGTACTGTTTCCAGACAACAGAGAGGTATAGGGGGCCTGTGGAAAACATGATGGTGATGTAAGGAATCAACCAGTTTCTTTGGTAGCGCTGGAGCATGGAGATGGCCTTGGCGAAAAAAGGGTGGTTTGGCACAGAGCCCATGATGTCGTTGGAGATTCCCGTAGGCATTGTCTTACGAACAAAGGCTGGGACAGTCAAAAGGGGGTCCAAATTTCTCGCACAGCCATCGTCCAAGTCGATGTAGATGCCACCGTAGTGGGAGAGAATGAAGTAGCGAATGACGTCGGCTCTTTCGATGGGGTAAGGGTAGTCGTCAAACGTCTTTAGGAACCACGGGTACTGTTCGGCGATGAAGTCTCTTGCCATTTCGTCGGTCCAGAGGATGTATTGGTAGTCTGGGTTCAGGTCGATGCAGCTCTGCTGGCCCTCCTTCCAGATGTCTGGAATGCTGTTGGTCTTGTAGGTCTGGTGAATGATTTTCGGAATCAGCTGGGGCTGCGACTGCAAGTAGTTGGAGTTGTTCAACTCTGTTGAGAGGAGGCCGTACTGGCGGGAGTCGTCATAGAGCAGCGTGATGAGGTCAAAAAGCTGGTACGTGAGGAAGAGCGCCAAGACGGCGTGTGCGTAGAGCAAGAACTTGACTTCTGATTTCATCTGCATGATGTGGTTCTAGTAGTGGTAGTAGTAGTAGTAGTGGCGGTCGTGGTAGACTTGACGGTACTGGCTAGTGTTGTATGCTTGCGCTAAAGTATTGATTTTTGCTTTTTTGCTTCTTGCTTTTTCAATGCTCGTTTCTTTTTATATCTTAAAGGGATGTAGAGCAGACGGGGTTCTATTGAGCAGAGAAGTTCTGGTTGCACGGACGAGTAGGGATGTGCGCAAACACAGATGGATAAACAGATGTGGGCTTTAGTTTAGTGCGAGTGTGCGAGTGTGGAAGGTCGTAGGAGCAGTAGCAGTAGCAGTAGCAGTAGCAGTAGCAGTAGCAGTAGCAGTAGCAGTAGCAGAATCGGCAATAGTGAAGTGCAGCAAGAGGAAACGTCAGCCAAGATAAAGGAAAAGAGGGTGTAGTCTCGAAAGACAACCGGCAGATGCGTTCCACGACGTGCACTGTCAACAAACAAACAATCAAAGCCAGCCATGAGCCTTTGCAAGAAACAACCGAGCCAAAAGACAACAAACAGGCCAACCAGCACTGCAGCAGCACCCAGCAGCAGCAGCAGCAGCGCTGAGCACAGCGACGACAACAATGCCGGGACAGAACAGCAATAGCGTCTGCGCCTCGTTTGCCGGCGGCGCGCGGAAGCGCAAAAGAGGCCAAACAGCGCCAAAGGGGGAGAAGCAAGCGGGGAAAGGGGCAAGCGCGCCACGACAGAAGATTGTGTCGTGGCACGTCATCAATGAGTGTCGTGGTAGGGGGCAATGCGCCGTGCACGGGTGTGTGGGCGCTTTGCGTCTCCTACCCCGCGCACCGCACAGAGGATAATTCCACCCCGCACACCTCTCCAGAGGGCCGCGCAACGCGTATACTAGGGGTTGCACCGCCTAACCCGTTTTTGTTCACCCTGCCGTCTCCTGCACACAACCCGGGTGTCAAGCAGGCCTATAACCAGCATCTGCAGCAACGGCCTAGAGGCGACCCGACCCCGATCCAGCTCCTAAACAGACTCGACTGACCTAACCAACGGCAGCTACAAGTCAAAGCACCCTTCCACCCGGCACTTCCCCATATCATCGACACCAGACAGCCTGTCTCTCGATTGCACACAAGACTCCCGTTTACGACCCCACCATGTCAGCTGCCCTTTCCTACGCCCACGCTGCAGCCAAGAAAGAGCCTGTCGGCCCTGCCCCAGAAACAGAGACCGCCACCTTTGCGCCGGCTGCTGCTGCGGACGCCGCCACAGCCGCCAATGGCATCGAACAGGCCCGGGACGCCCCGGAAACCGCCAGATCAAGATCTGCCACCGGCATCTCCACTCCAGCAGAGATCTCTCCCGATAACAATAACATCAGTAGCAGTAGTAGCTCCCCAGCTTCGAAGCACGACACTACCTCATCTTTGTCCTCGACCCCAACGCCTACTCCTATTCCTGCTCCAGCAGCGCTAGCGCCTGCTCCTCTCCCCTCCAAAAATGCCTGGGGCAAGATCGAATCGGCAGTGCCTACCTCCATCGACCTTAAGTCCATAATAGACCACAACAACAGCAGCAACAGCAACAACACCCCATCTTTCTCCTCCTCCACGATAGCAAACTCAAACATAAAATGGGTGCCTTTCAAGGGCGCCAACATAGTAATCTCGGACTCTAGCTCTAGTTCAGGCACCAACCACAGTTCGGCCAACGGAAACAGCGCAAACAAGAAGAAGTCCAAGAAGTCCAAGAAGAAGTCTCCACCCAACACTGCCGCCAACGGCAACTCCGCATCCACAGCATCGACCACCCCTTCCTCCTCCTCATCTGCAAATGGCTCCTCATCTTCTGCCAACAACAACCTTCCGAACGACAGGAAACACCAGACTCAGAACAACGTATCCAAAAGATCCTCCAGACCTTCCAACACCGACTCTTCTCTGAAAAACTCCTCTGAAAAACTAGCCAACTCCGACACCGTCCCTGCAGACGTAAATTCAAACTTTGAAACTGACGACTCACCAAATCTTTCCACTGCAAGTGACGACAGAAGCCAGGTGAAAAATACAAGCGCTTATAACAACAAGGGCGTTAATGGCGGCAGAAGATACAACAACAACGGTAATGGTAACACCAACAAATTCAACAACAATGGCTCGACCAACCCAAGATTCAACAAAAACTACTACAACAACTTTTATCCCCAACAAAACTTCCAATACTATCAAGACTTCTCTAATGGTTATGCATACAATCCAGCTTATCAAAATATGAGATACCAGCAGAATTACAACTACTCCAGAAACAATAGCGGCTCAAACAGTAATGGAAACTACCACAGAAACAACTACAACAACAACACCACCAACTATAGCAACTATAACCACAACCGTAACTTCAACTACCGTACGAAATACACCACCAACTCTTCCAACACTCCAGCAATGAACTGGATATCACCAGAATCCCGTCTTACCGCCGTCAACTCCCTTGCAATGCAATTAGATTACTACTTCGATATCTCAAATCTGCTCAAGGACATGTACCTCCGTAAGCACATGAACTCTCAAGGTTGGATTAACTTGGACTTCATCACAGGATTTTACCGTGTCCGAGCCTTGAGTTGTGGTGATCTTTCTGTCATTAGAGACTCCCTAGACCATGCCGGCCAGTTTGAGTGGGGTGTCGTGGAGAGAGACCAAAACGCTACGCCCGAATCTTCCAAGACGAAAGAGGCAGTTTCATCTGAAGAAGACTCCAAGTCAGAGCTAACCGAGACAGAAGCAGGCTCTTCAGAAGCAGCAGAACTTGCTAATCCTATTGCAAACATTAAGATCAGGGCGCTTGCAGAACCACTGAACTGGGTCTTACCCGAGTCTGACCGTGATGGCTGTGGACTGGACGATGCCGTTCCTACCACCATACACAAGAGGGAAGAGTTACAAAACCCGGAAGTAGAAGCAGAAGCAGAAACTGAGCCTCAATCTGCCGAGCCTTTTGAACAACAAGCATCTTCAAGCATTCCAGAATCTATAGAAAAATAGTGAAAAAGTACATCAACGAAAGCAAGCATCTCAAGCACCTAATACAAATCTTTTCACACTCTAATCGATTACACTTCTCATCACCTATATATACAAATATCCACTTGTTAACTCTATTAACTCACCCACTGTACTTAGCTTATCCAACATTAACTTTCATTTCCATAAACCAAAAAAATCTTTATAAAAAGCTTTAAACATTTTTTTATTTTTTTTATTTTTTTTTTTGTCATTTCCATTAATCTATTCACTCGGTAATGGTTTCACATTTCCTCATAACGGAGCATATTGTATAAATCTCATATAATTTTATTCTCTTCCATCAAGGATACTGTAGACTTAAATTGGTCTTTTTCTAACATCCAAACAAAGCTCTGCTATCCTTCAAAACCGGGGATCGCCGCAAAACTCATGTCGCGATTTTCTTTTGTCCGTAAACGTCTCCAAGGGAAAAAAAGCCGACTGTGAAGGAGAGGATGATACGGGAGGCGTCTCCACATTGTCCCACCAGGCGTGTAGGCCGGCTTTTACCCTGTCCCGCCAAATTAATATATGATGGGTAAGGGATTGAGCCTAGCAGACGCCTGACAACAACAACAACTATTATTGCGGACGCAAGATGACGGATGAGTTTTCTTCCATACAATGGGACAACAAAAACAGTGTGCAGGATATAACCGGCTCAACTGATGAGCATAATGATGAGACAGGGCTAACCGAAAACAGTACCGATATCAAGACCGGAGAAGAAAAGAACACGGTTGGGGATGAAGGTAGTGCAATTGCGCAACTACAGAATAAGAGTACCTCGACTTTGCCTAAGGAAAGCCACGATGATGCAGACGATAAGTATTTGGAGGGAAGTGGATTGATTACTCAGACTATGATACTGGGTGCACAAGAAGATGACCAGAAGGAGATCAAAAGTAAGACAGTTTTCCAGGAAGAGCAAGAAACTGGAGATACAACTGCCAACAGTACGAACAATATGTCGATGTCTACTGAAGTTGATAACGCCAGTAGCGCCAATGCTATTGCCAACATGAACGCCAACCAGATGAAAGTGCCCGACGTTCACTATCATTTGGAGATATCTGTGACCAATCCTGTGGTAGAACATGAGGGATCGGCTTCATTTACCATATACCATATCAACATTGAAACGAATAACCCTAGATTGACCAAAAGTAAATATACTGTTGTGCGTCGTTACTCTGATTTCGACATCTTGCATCAATGCTTATCATTTGATCACCCCACATTATTGATACCTCCATTACCTAATAAGCAGCGGTTGGAGTACATCAAGGGCGGACGCTTCACTGACGAGTTTGTATCTAAACGTTGCAACTCCTTAGAGATATTTATCAATAGAGTGATCAAGCATCCTGTCCTTTTAAAAAGCGAGGTTCTTATGATTTTTCTCGAAGATAGCGACTATTGGAGTACGTACAAGTCCAATTTGCATTTGAATGAGTCCAACTCAATTGTGCATACAAATCCTAGTGTTGAAGGAGTGACAGATTTCTTGATGAACTCTTTTAAAAAACCTCACGTCGAAAGTAAATACAGCAAAAACTTCAAAGAGATTGAACATCAAAGATTAAATTTACAAGATAACTTGAACAAAGTGGATAGAATATACTCTAAAGTGGTGAATAAACAGGACAGTATATCGAGAGAGTTGAACTCCTTTGGTGACGAGTTCAACAAATTGACCATTTTGTTAAATAACGACTTCAATGGAAAATACCGAGAAGAAAATCAACTTGATGATGAAACGAAAGTTCTGGTCAATGAGTTTAGGACGTTTTCAGAGAATTTGAAAAAATCAGGGAGCTACTATAATGATTTGAATCAGTTTATAGAGTTCAAGTATTTGAACAATTTGAAAGATTTGGAGCACTACTTGATTGCTTTAGGAAATTTGATAAAGCTAAAGGATTACAAAGTTCTGGACTATGAGATGTTGAATAACTACTTGGAAAAAGCTACTGCTGAGAGGGAAAACTTGATACGTGGAGGATCATTGACATCTACGACAGAGGGTACTATATCTTTTTTGAGTAGAAAACTTGAATCGCTAACCGGGTTAAGAGGCTCATCTTTACTGCCCTCCTCAGCCTCGTCGGCATCAACTACAACTTCTAGAAATGTGCCGGCAAGTAATGGAACTGGAACGGAGTCTTCCGCGGCTACTGACATCTCCAATACGTCTGCGCTAGTGAATGAAAGGATAGAGAAGCTTAATTCTAGAATTTCATTGTTGGAGAGGGAAAAGGTTCAGGCGAAGCAAGTCTACGAGCAATTTGAAAAAGACTTGGTTGATGAATGGTCACAATTCCAGAAAGTCAAAGATGACGAAATATCTCAATCCCTGAACGAATTAAGTGAAGAGTATACCAGACTGTATTCAAAATCTTATGAAGATTGGAATGCTTTTAAACTCAACAAGGAAGGGATAAAGTTACAAAACAAGTTGGATGATGACGCAAGGAGTAAATATTTTTCAGCTAATGCTGTTATCAAAAATGACGAAGAAATCAAAGAATTACTACATGAAATGAAAATATGAAATGTTCTTTTATTTGTACTTTTTCAGAAATTTTTTCTGTTTTTGTTTTCTACTTTTTCTATATACAATACTATTCTATTTGAAATCATTTTTTCAATCTTTTTTTATCGGTATCTACTTTGCGGGGGAGGATTAATTTACCACTCTCTTCAAATTCAAGAAAATCGTTTTCTAAGTAAATTTGTTCGGCGTCTTTACCCCAAATATCTATGAACTCTGGTAAAGTTATGAATTGGGAATATTTGAACTGTGGAAATTCATCCAACTTTAAGGTACGCTTTTTCTTATTGATGTTCTGTGGGCTTCGTTCGTTTTCACGTATGTAGAACCGTCGCAACAAGGAAATGGCTTCTCTGTGTCCGACACCAGGCACAAGCTTGATGTTGGATTTATATCTGATATCAAAAACACTCCCATTTCCTCCAAATCTTTCGTTGGGACATCCAAATACGATCATGCTTACACCTATCTGATCCAGCATAGAAGCGCACATGATACATGGCTCGACAGTGACATAGAGTGTACAGTTGTGCCACATTTCTAGGTGATCCTTCGGGTAACTGCATTTAAGATGGTCATATATTCGAAATTCAGCATGCGCTGTTCCGTTCAAGGTGATATTCGTCATGTTATGTGCTCTATATAATATTTTTTTGGTACTGTTATCCACCAGTATAGCTGCTACCGGGACTTCATCGCTACTTAAGGCCACTTCACCATATTTGAGGGCTTCTTGCATGAGCTTGAAATGATCAGAGGCGTCCATTTTGTTAGTGGTCGATTTTCAAAACATGTGGCTTGGTAGACTACTCAATAGAACATGAAAAGGTAGAGTGAAGATAACGAAAAAAATATTATTTGAGATCTGTTTCGGTTCATGCGACTTTTTGTTTTCTTGAATTCACGTTTTCGTGGTTCCATGATGTTTCGGTCAAAATAGATCGGAAAGAGAGAATTGAGGTTAGAAAATCTACTGCATTGAATTGTGCCATACTATGTCTACACTAGATGAGGTACGAAATGAAATAAGAGAGCTGGAGCTAGAGATTGAAGAGTTGGAGCAAGAAGGGGGCGAGGATGAATCCTTTGACGGAGAGCCACATAATGATGATATTTCTAACTACGCCACGCTAGACCAGCTTGGAAAAATGGATGAGCTATTGTACGACATATTAAATGACAAGAATGATGACTTGGATATGGGAGAGATTGTGGATGGAAGGCGGATTCTCCGGTCAAAAGAGCTTCAGGCTCTACATGGCGATGAAATTCCCAAAATTCAGATCGAGAACGTGTATAGATTCAATGGAATTACTATGTTTCCGATATCCAATGATCCAGAAAGAATATTTATTGGCATAAGATTCGATGTTTTCAACAGTTATTTGAAGAAATTTACCACCTGTCACTACATTATCCTCAAGCAACTTGATATCGAAGCAAGTGAGAAGGAGCAACAGCTACAAATATCCCCCGAGACCAAGGCAGGCAACTTTAACTGGAGATGGGAGGTCTTCCAGACTACGGTACCGAAGCACGTCCCTATTGGCGATGTAGCTAGAGACTACCTATCCGTGGAGCATACCCGAGAACCGGCATCGGATGCTGCCCCTGTTCCGAGCTTCAATCGGATGAACAAGTTTGCCATGCACATCTACGAACACCTTTCTCTCCTCGAGGAGAGAAAGGCCTTTGCATATAAGCTACAAGGTCAGTACGCCAGTACGAAGCGGGTTCTGGTCAAGTTCGACCCTGCTGTGTGTCGAATCGAAATTACCCTTTTTGACAAGAAGAGGCTTACGACAACAAAGCTCGTTGTTGATAGTGACAGCACCGCCACACGATTCTTCCTCAACGTCAAGGGAAGTGGCGGTGCGGAAAACGAAAGCAGAAATGTGGCACACACTTACTGGAGCAGTGCCTGTGGCGCAGTCAACGTGCTGCCAGACATGAGAAGTTTTGCCGTGGCGGTGCAAAAAAGCATTGATACCTTCTTGTTACAATATTGACTTTTCCGACCAAGATGTTTATATTGTTAACGTTTTCTTATGTTGGCAAAACTGGAGATATAAACAGCACTTCCTTGGAAGAAGGCAACAGCATGAAGGCAGTATTATTACTGCTGCTTCCTTTTCCCTCCGTCTTACTCCTCACAGGCCCAATCCGTCTATTTAAGGATCTGCTATACCCGGACTTTGATCCCCAACAATGGCCTATCATTAGCTCGACAGGGTTCCTCAACAAATTTCTAGCAGGCCACTGTTTTGAAATTTTCCTTTGCACGTTTATTGTGATGAATGTGTTCAAGTGTTGGCTTGTTTGTAACAAGTTACCTCTACTACCGCTAACTGCAGCGATAGTCACGAACGCTGCATGCGACAATGACGGCGAAATACCCGACGACAACAACAGCGGCGAGAATTTGCGATCGAACAAATCAGATCTAAACCTTTTCAAGCAGATTGAGCACTCCGATCCTCCGACTTCTAGTTCACGGTTTATCTCTCTACAATTGGCAAAACTTGCTGGCATATACATCCCATTAGTGCTTCTCATCGTATGGTTCCTTGGTCCCTCGGTATACGACCGTATATATCATTCCACCGGAGGCCACTGCGTCAACCATCCAGAAATAAAGTACTATAGGAGTTGTGTATCCAAAGGGTACAGGTATACCGGAGGATTCAAATGCAGCGGCCATGGTCTCATAACATCAACTTTTGCCACATGTCTTGCAAAAGAAACGTTAAGCCTGAACAATTGGATATCCTATGTCAACAATATCAATCCCTTGACTTTTCGTGTGTACAGATCTGGCCATTTGCTGGTAGCATTTACAACGTCTCTTTACCTTTGCTGGTTGACCATGTATACTGTCACTTGTTTGTTTTATCATACTTTCCCTGAACGAGTAGTTGGCACAGCATGTGGGTGTCTCATATTTTTCTTTGTGTATATTAAATGTAGATTATAGGCTTAAGAGTTCCGTTCTTAGAGTTCCAGATAAAATTCAAAGTTAAACTTAGAGTTAGAGATACAGAAATAGAAAATAAATATACAACATGTACAAAAAACACAATAAAATATAATACTAGTGTTTCTTTTATTAGAAACCTCACCTAGGGCTCAGCGCTTGTGCTAGCAACGCCCGCGTCTTCTTCTTCCCACTGTGCGATAAGCTCATTCATCCGCTTATCGATCAAATCGGCACATTTGATGACCCACGATCCTTCTTCATTGTAAGTATGTGCATTGGTAATCATTTGTTTGGCCTCACCAATGAAGTCATCCCACGTAAACAACTTCTTAGAATCCAGCTGTTTCCTCATTTGACCCAACGAAACAACATGCTTGATAACTTTGTAATAATCTGCATAGAATTTTCTTGAAGGTAGTTTCATGAAGACGGCAGCAACATTATTGCCATCTTCATCAGTGAGTTTCTCCAGTTCATCAAGCATTGAATAAGCCCGTTGTACCCATGCAGCTGGAGCCGGTTTTCCAGTTGAAATGGCAGTCGCCTTTTTTCCATTCTCCTTGATGGTAGGTGTGGAACCTCTAGAAAGTCTTTGTCTCTTCCTCGAAGGGACGTCTTCTTCATAGACTTCCTCATCGCTATCGTCATCCGCTGTACGAATATCAGTATTGGCATCAACATCGATATCATCAACGTCGTCGTTGTTTTTGTCAGTAATTCCATCGGCCATATCTTCGTTCTCAATCATCGAGTCATCAGCACTTCCACTTCTATTCTCTTTGGTTTTACGAAGCTTTTCAATACGCGAGCGTTTTCTTGCAATTGCAGCTTCAACGGAATCGTCATCATTATCCATTGCTTGAAGCCATTGCTCTTCAGTAAGACCATCGTCGTAAACAACTCTCTTCTTGATCCTACGCCCACTACTTTCCTCCTTCTCTTCAAGATGAACACTCATGTCCTCTTTAAACACTTCAGGCACTTCATCATCACTCATTAATCTGTTTGTACCTCTGATCTTGTCCTCCCGTGCTCTGTCGGCATCCATTTCATCGAAAACAATTTTCTCATTGTCATTACGAGCTAAAATTTCATTGATCTCTTCATCACCGTAGTTATCTCCCTCAACGTCATTAGCCTTATCCTTCTCTTCCTCAATCAATCTCTTGAGGAATGCTTCTTGTTCTTCAGCACTTGATTTGTTATCAAACTTACCTGCTTGAATGACCTTGCCATCAATATCTAATTTCTGATGAGCTCTTTCAAGAATGACTTCTTCAACAGATTCTGAAGTGATTAAACGCAAGATTCTGACTTCGTTCTTTTGACCAATACGATGCGCACGATCTTGAGCCTGCAAATCTTGATGAGGGTTCCAATCAGTATCGAAAATAATAACAGTATCTGCAGTTTGCAAATTCAAACCTAAACCACCAGCTCTTGTGGACAACAAGAAGCAAAAATATTCACTGTTTTCAGCATTGAAATCTTTCAACATATCTTGTCTGTCATCGGCCTTTGTGGAACCATCAAGTCTCATATACTTCAGGTTCCGGAACCTCAAATAATCTTCCATGATATCCATAACTTGTGTCATCTGGAAAAATATCAAAACACGATGTCCTGTCCGTTTCAGCTTTGGTAATATTCTATCTAGTAATTCAAACTTACCAGAAGATCTCCATATTAAATCTGTAGTACCTTTGTCTGGGTTGACGACGGTTTCGACTTCTTCGAAGACAAATGGGTGATTACATGCCTTACGCAATTGCATAATTTTATTGTTCAAACCTTTGAGACCAGCTTTGGTTGCACCTACGGTACCTGTACCGATGAAGAGTGCATTATGAGATAGCAATTGTTTATAAATCCTTGACTGTAAACATGAGAATTTACATTTGATAACTTTTTCCACCTTATCTGGCAAGTCTTTGGCAACATCTTTTTTCAGACGACGAAGTAAGAAGGGACGTAAAACTTTGTGCAATCTTCTAATGATCAACAAAGACTCTTCTTCACTTAATTCTAACTTCTCTTGATGACCGGTGTTTGCGAAAGGAGTATTGAACCATTCATCGAAACTTTTAACAGAGTTGAAAACCTTGGGTAAAATAAAATTCAGAAGAGCCCACAATTCAGGTAAGTTATTCTGCAAAGGGGTACCGGTTAAAATCAACCTATTTCTTGTGTGATAGTATGTGGTCAAAGTTTGGAAAAGTTTGGAGCCTGTATTCTTTAATCTGTGACCTTCATCAATCAGCATATGAGCCCATTTGAACTTACTCAAGATCGGACGATCTCTGATGACGTACTCATAAGTAGTCAAGAGGACAGTGAAATCACCACTCCGGACCTGATATTGCAATTCTTTACGTTGTTGCTGAGTACCTTTGTAAACAATAGTTTTTAAATCAGGAGCCCATAGTTCAAACTCCAAAGTCCAATTGGTTATCGTCGAAAGAGGAACAATAATCAAGAATTTACCAGTCTCAGTTTTCTTTTCGATCAAGTAGGTGATTAGCGCAATAGATTGAATTGTTTTACCCAAACCCATCTCATCCGCCAATATACCATTTAAGTGGTTATTGTATAACGAGACCATCCATTCCAAACCTTTCACTTGGTATTCTTTCAAAGTACCACCAACTAGCATAGCAGGTTGTTTATCAACACCTTCTTTGATCTTGTGAGCAACTTCATAATAATCAATTTTCTCACGATTTTCATCTTCATTTTGTGCGTTCGGATTATTGGCCAATTCACCCTTTTCAAGCTGGGTCAAAACTTTACTTTCGTTTTGCTGAACTTTAACGGCATTAGCCAAAGTATCAAGGAAAGAGTTGGTTTGTTTGAGTAAATGTGTAATACGTTTATCTTTCGTTTGATCCAATAACTTTATATATGCTTCTTCATCGTTAGCCTTCAAAGCTTGTAATCTCTGCTTTGCTGTTCTTTCAAACTTCTTAGATTCATCACGTTCAGCCTGCTGGTGGAACTGATGTAAAGCTTTACCCAGATGAAAGCGTCTCATTTGATTTTGAGCTATCAAGTTTTGAGAATTAGTTGCAAATTCGATCAGCTTCCTGACGTTTTCATTGTGTATAATTTCAACCAGCTTCTTTCTTTCCTGTTGTTGTTGCTGCTGTAGCTTTTCTGCCAATTTAGCAGTCTGCACCACTTTTTGCTTTGGATGCACACAGTAAGTTCTTTTCCACGTTTTGAAAATTGAATAGTTGTTCAAATTTTCATCATGGTAGATTGTATTTGTTGCGGCTTTAATTAATAAATGATTTCTCAACTGTTTTTGTAGTGGTAGCAGTTTCAAACCTTTCAATTCGATCAGTGCATCCACCTTCAATTGATCGACGTTATCCAGTATTTTATCGTTCGAATATTTGAGGTCATTTTCAAACTTTGTGAAATCGTAGGACCCCAAATTAGCAGGAAGATTTTCCAGTTCTTTGATTCTCGTGTCTATTTTGAGCTTTATTGAATCCTCCATATCTGGGGATCCTACCACATTGAACCTTGGATCAACTAGTGGTTTGTTAGGTATAATACCTAACATTTCAGCCTTTGCATCATAATCATCCAGAGGTAGTGATATAATAGCATTGCTTGCTTTTTTCTCCTGAATTTCCTTCTTTCCCCCATTGTCTTCTGCATGAGATAAAACATCATTGATTTCTTTCGTTATACTGGAATTGCCCGATTTGAAATACTCCAAATTTAACTCGGTAGGTAGGTCCAGGTCTTTGGAGAGCATCTGTAGGCCTAGAAGTTGATTCTGAAGGAGGCTTATATCCACCAACTCAGTATTTGACGACCAGGAGTCCTTAATCTCTTTTTCGTTCAATTTGGAGAGCTGGTATTTTTCATCCACTAGTTTCAAAGTGTTCAAGATGGCCAACTTCTCATAGGGATTTGCATTGGCGTTTTCCAATTTGGCAAAGTGGTTCAATAGAATCTCGACGTCTGGCCTCGAGTTAGGGAACGGGATTCTAGGGAGCTCTATGACTGGAACTGGAGTTGCGGTTTCAAATGAAGCAGGAACCGAATTTGGCTGGGGGGTGACTGACGCGTTATCGACATCGCCGCCAGCGGCTGCAACTGCAGCTGCAACTGCAGCGGCTGTGGCAGTGTTCAGGTTTGGCTCATTGTGGCTACTGGTGCCATTATGGTTGCCGTTGCCGTTGCTAATGCCATTGCTGAGACCGGTAGCAGGAGCCTCTGATTTCACTGCTCCGTTCGTCAAGCTTGCGGCGCCAATTCCAGAGGGAGCATGCGTGGCAGCTGGGTTCGCCATGCCGTTTGGTGTTGCTGTGGAATCTGCGCTGGGTTTCAGCTGAACGGTGCCTGGAGCAGCATCCACAGCCCCGCTCCCGTTCCCGTTTCCATTTGTCGGGGTTGTCGTCGCAGTAGCGTTTGTGCCTGTGTCGGCGGTGGACGACGTGGGAGTCGACTGAGCCGTTTGCGGCGACGCAGCAGGAACCTGTGCTTGTGCCTGTGCCAAAGGAGCAGTAGTGCCCTGATCCGACATGGTGTGTGCGTGGGTGCAGAGGTGGTCTAGATGCGTGGACCTGGTAGACAACAGACGTGTTTCTGACGAAATCCGGTCTGTCTGGCTGGGGGAAAACACGAAGAAATTATCCACAAAATAAATAATTATTTATTCTACATGTTGATCAAAAAGGGTGTGCAGGGTGTCTCGTCTCGTCTCGTCACGTCTCGTTCCCTCCTCCCTGGGCCTCTGTTTTTCTCGCCCTCGCCGGTTTTGCGAATTCAATTTTTTTCTGGTTTTCCGCTGAGCGTGCGACAGAGTAGCGTGTCACGGTGCACGGAAGGGGGAGAAACAGAGGACTTGGGGCAGACGCGTTGCTATTCCAGCATCATTCAGAAGATGAAGACGGCGTTTGGATCGATCTGGTGAGAACTGGAGAGTTGTGGCTTCTGAGTGTACCTGTTGCGCATCATGCCCCGTACCGACTGGAGAAGACTGAGATAGGTGTACTGCTGGTTGGGTTGTAGCTGTGCCATGGCTCCCAGAAACGCCCAGCTCATGGCGCCGGTGAAGGTGCCGGCCTCGTTGGCGTCGGCACTGGTCTGGTCGTCTCTGCAGCCTGAGAACATGATCACGTCCGCAGGGGACATCTTGCTTTGCTTGATGGCCTCCAGCTTGCTCTTGCTCTTGTAGTTTGTCGCCCGGTCGAAGAGCGACTTGGCGCCCGTGAACATCATGCCGACGTTCCTCGTGGCGTAGCCCATGAGGATCTCGGCGCCGTCAGTCCCCGTGCCCTTCCAGATGTTGTACTCCTTCAAGCCCCCGTCCTGCGCCCGGTAAGTGAAGGGGAGGTCGAGCGCGGTTCCGCTGTGGCAGGAGTCGAAGATGGCCGTCAACCGGCACCCTGGCGGCAAGCGCTTGACCATGATGTCGTGCATCACGTCGTCGATGATGGACCCGCTCTGCTGGAAGTCCACCGGGTAGATGCACTCGTCCATGCCGTCGACCTCGTCACCGTCCAGGTCCTTCTCCTCTCCGCCATGGCCGGAGTAGTGGAAGAACAACGAGTCTCCAGGAGCAGCGCCACGGACCAACCACTCCATAGCTCTGAGCATGTTTTCTCTGGTCGGGACCTGCATGGGGTTGTTTGTGTCGTCCGTGAGGATGACCATGTCGCCCTCCATGTATCCTCCCCTCTGCATCAAGAACGCTTGCATGTGTCTGACGTCGTTGATGCAGCCTCGAAGTGCGTTGTTGCTGCCGATGTAGTTGATGCCGATCAAAAGCGCTTTCCGCTTGCCTGTGCACGACGAAAGCTGGAAGTTCTGGGTCATGTTTGTGCCCGGGATTGGCTGTGATTGCATGTTGCCGTACATGTTGCCGTCGATAGCTCTGCTTTGCTGCTGCATCTGAGGTGGAGGCCCCGGAGGTGGCTGAAATGGCAGTGAGCTCCCTGGAGGAGGCGCAGAAGGCCTCTGGTATTGTTGGTTGCCATACATTGTGGTGATGTTGCGATGTGTAGTGTTCGTGTCGGACTACAGAGCCGATGGAGGAAAAAAAGTGCCACACGGAGAGCAGCAACAATACCCGACGTCATCAAGATCAAGCGAAGGTTAACAACTTTCATGCAGCGAATCTTTATCCGCTAACTTTTCTTCGCTGTTTGGCTTTTCTCCGCTCAAGCCTCCTTCCTATCTCTATATATTCTATAATTCATCGGCTATGCTACAGCTATTATACAGTGCTGGGCGGTTTGGTGTACCGGACCTTCAACCAAACAAGGTTCTTGTAGGCGACAACCTTACGACACATGGGACACTTGCCGCGGCGCCCCCCGGGCCCCGTGCCGCCGTGTCCGGGCTCCCTAGAGGACGCCAGTGCCCGGTAAATGCAGCCAGCACAGAAGACGTGGCCACATGCTGCAGCCACAGCGTCTTTGATTGGGTCCATGCAGATGACACACGTCACGTCCTGGAACGTTTTCGCCGTTGTGGCAGATGTCCCGTTCGTGGCAGAGTTCCCGTCCTTTTCCTTGATCTGGTCCAAAAGCTGGTCTGTGCTCATGGTGGGTTTTCCGTCCAACATCACAAGATCGTCATCGTCATCATCGTCGTCATCGTCGTCGCCGCCGTCGCCGCCCCCAGGGCCATCGGACTCGTCTGTATCGTCGACGGAGATGTTCTGTCGCGTGCCCACATTACCTGCGCTTGCAGGACCAAACCAGTCCTCGACTAGCTCGACAGAGACATCTGCGTCCTGTGCCACTGCTTCCGCCCCCCTTCGTCCCTCCCAGGGCTCCACGCTGGTAACAATGTCGGGCGTCTGACGGGCCGAGATGATCTCCACGTCCGAGAAGTCGCCTTCGGCGCCGTCACCATCGTCGCCGCCAGGACTGTCTCCTGTAATAGCAGGCCGGAAAGAAGGATGGGCTATCGGTCGTGTGGCAACGCCCTCCCAGCTGAGTACCACCACGTCGTCTGTATCTTCTCCCGTTTGGTCGTTTGCTGTAGTATTACCGTTGCCTGTATCGTCAACGTCGTCAGCGTCTGGCAGAAGCAGTTCATCGTCGCCAGCATCCACCCGCCCTAAGTTCCGTCGTTTGCCCTTCCGCCCAACATCATTGTCACCATCTGCTGCCGCATTATCGCCGTCCTTATCGCTGAGGTCCGTGTGGCCGTTGGCGTTTGCCCCTCCTGACCCTTGCTCGGCGGGCTGCTGTGTCCCTCTCGTTCGTTTCTTCTCTGCACTTGCGTCGTCCATAACGGGTATACTCTTGTCCTGGCTACAAAGCTGCCTGTGGGTGTGTACAGTAGCCCGGGGAAGCGGAGCCTGCAAGGTGCAAGAGAGGAAACATGTAGCAGAAGGACAAGAAAGGCCCAGACGGGTGCGCACAGCCGTCTTTTTGCGCATAGAAGATTGACAGATGAAGAGACAGTGGTCGACACCATTTCGTGGATCTGGGGGCCCCTGCATTAGCTTTGACAAGAAATAAGGAGTATTTAGATAATATAGTATATAACAACACCCGGTCAGAAGAATCTGCTAAACAAGAAAGCTAAGATGATAAGGAGGACGGCCACCAAGTACACGTTTGTCTCGCTGGAGGAGGACTTCGTGGCGGCGGTTGGCGGCGCAACACGGGCAAAGGGCTTTTCCACAGCAGGAGGGGCTTCGGCGCCGGTCTTGCTGTCAACGGTGGCGGACGAGGCGGCACCTCTAGGGGCCGAAGCCGTTATGTTGGACGAGGCGCCGGTCGTGGTGCCGGCAGCCCCGGCACCTATGCCTGCGCCGGCGGCAGCGGCCGCCGCTAGGGCCTCTCTGTCGGCCTGTATAGGGCGACGGGACACCGCTTCGCCGCCGTCTGGTATGCTCTGCAGCGGGAGAATAGGCTGGGCAATCGTGGCCGAGTGTGCCGAGGCGTTGGACTTGTCCTCCTCCTGGATCGTGTTCATCGGGTTGTCGTAGTTAAACAGGACCTTCAACTTCACGTCGGACGTCTTGCCGCCGGCAAGCTGCTCCAACTGCGCCCAACTGGTTGACACGTCCTTTGCGTTCACCGGGGAGAGGCACGGGATCGACACAAACAAGAACTTGTCCTTGCACTTGTACCCGAGCGCCGGCTCCTCGCCCAGGCCCTGGAATATGATGGTCACCGCCGCAGAGTCCCCGGGCTGCAAGAGTCCGCTGTTTGGACGGACGCAGTAGAGTTTAGGCGCAGTGGTCTTCACCTTGAAGGCCATCAACGCCTCCGTGTCGTTTTTGACATGCACAACCTGTGTTTGCTGTGTGCCTTTGAACGGAGCTGCACCACAGGAGCCAATTACACACACAATCGGACTGTTGTTAGTATTTGCTGCTCACAAACGCCCGCCGGAGCGGCACCCGTGGTCCCGGGAGCCGTCCCCGGCCCCTGGTCCTACTTATATAGTGTACCACCACCTTGCCGCCTCGCCGCAGCGACCAATTGCCCCTCCCTCCGTAGGGGGGCCCCATTCTGCAACGTACCGTGTAGCTCGACGAGCTTTGGAGAAACTAGCATGCTTGTGTTTTGCTGTGTGTGTGTGCAGAACCTACACCTGTCCGATCCTCTGCTGCTGTTCTTGTTGATGTCCCTGCTCCACATCACCTCGCAGCCTCTGCCAGACCCAATCTATACATACGCAATCATCGCCAAACAGAAAAAACACCTGCGTCTTCCTTTTTCGCTTTTTCGCTTTTTCGCCACAGCCCGCCCTGTTGCCAAAGCCCCAAAGCGGTCGATCGACCGCCACCCGCAAAAGCCGTCGATCGGCGCAAAACACTTTTTACGTCGATCGGCGCAAATCAGGTTTTACGTCGATCGGCGCAAATCAGGTTTTAGGTCGATCGGCGCAAAACACATTTTGCGCCGATCGTCGCGACGCGTTATTTTTTTTGCCCCTTTTTGCGCATGCGCCTCCCCCCCGCCTTTCCCGCTCGGCCCGGATTGGATTGGCGCGCATCCCGGCAACCTGCAGACGGGCCACAGACAGATGGCGAGGAACGGAGACGTGTTCCTATCCTGGTTAGCAGCCGGTGCAGCAGGGGCGACAACGGCGTCTCGGTAGCAGGGATCTTCGCCGCTGTGCACTAGGTAGGTGGTGGAGTTGTGCCTGTATGTGTGCGTGTTTGGTTGCAGCCCTCCGATGTACTAGATCTAGAGTTGTTCGGTACGCAGACGCAGACGCAGACGTAACGCACACGCAACGCACACGCAACGCAGGAACAGCCCGATCGGATCCTCAAGTAGCGTCAACGCCCTCTTTGCTTTCGCTTTCGCCAAACGGACAGACCGTTTACACCGACCAAACCGATCACACCGATCACACCGATCACACCCCCCCACACCCCTCACACCGACTCCGCGATGGTGGACGCAGACATGATGGAGACAGACACCATGGACATGTCGATCACGCCGACCACGTCGTACCCAGACATGGACGTCGGCGAGGACGTGTACAGCACGGCCAGCGCCGCCGGCAAGGCCATCCAGCCGCCACCACACCTGCACGCCAGAAACAGGAACGACTCGCTCATCAGCATCGACACAACCTACACCGTGCGCACCAACGTCGAGCAGACACACTTCCCGCCCACAGCGGGCCAGCCCCACCTGGGTTTTGGCAGAAACAGACAGGGCTCCACCACGTCGCTGTCCTCGTCCGTCTTCTCCGAGATGCCGCCGCCGCAGATGGACACCTACTCGTTCACCCCGGTTTTCGACGACGAGCTCTACTCGTACTACCTCTCGTACGCCCAGCAGCCGAACATCACACCCTTCGACACGCGGTTCCCGCCCTCGGGGATCTTGTCCCTCATCTCCAAGCTCTTTCTGGAACACTGCATCCTTGCCAACAAGGTCCAGATCGACTCCCGCCCAGACGTGAACGCAGAGTTGGTTGCAGACTCCAACAGACACAAGTGTCTCGCCATCATCCGTCTCCGCTTGATCCACATCTGCAACGCCAACCTCAACGCCGCCGAGGACCAGTACATGTACACGGACCAGTTGCCCATCTCCAGGACGAACTCGATAGCTTCCGCCATCTCTCTGGGCGACAGAGTCATCCCGGGCATATCAGCCGCCCCGGGCGGCGGGCCCGCCACAGGTGAGGTATTCCCGCAGCAGATCCCGCTGCCAATGGCCCACCGACCTTCCTGGCTCCACATGCCAAACTTGTACTCCACCTCCTCCCGAGGCGATAGCAATACGGCCAACCACATGCTGTCCTCCACAGATTCCCTCGTGGACCGTGTGCCCGCCTCTCTCAGCTTCACCCCAGGCACAAACACTAATACTATTCCGACCGCTAACCCTCTCAACGAGAACGCAGACTACACGACCCCTACCGGCTCGACGCTTCTGCAAGGCTTCCACAACGACAGCAACGGAAGCGGCAACGCCGACTTCGCACAGACAACCCCTCCAAATACAGGCGTGTCCTCGAAGAGGGGCAAGCCAACCCTCAATCTCCACATGCCGTCCTTCCTGAAGTACCGCTCTTCGCAATACCACAACATGAACGCCATGCCCCCAAGACCTCTCTTCTCTACGGGCCCTGCAACCCCGGGAACTCCAGGCACTCCGAACACACCCATCGGCTCCACCTCCTCCACCCAGAGGAACCCGCGTGGTGTCAGGTCAGGATCTCTCTCAAACCAAGGCGCCAACTACTTCAACCTTACCCCGACAAACGGCTCCAATTCTGCCAAGAACTTCCTCAACCCGGCTCTCCATCACTTGCAAGGCCCCAATGGAGGGAACTTCGGCTCCTCGAGCGACCTACATTCCCCGTTCGAACAAGCCTGTCCGTCACCATTGGCCTTCTCTGCCCCACCGGGTGGCGTTCTCTCGGGCAGCAACGAAGTCTCTACCCCGACTATGACAACGACTCCATTGGTGTCGTCCGTCTCCACACCAACAACGGCTGCAGCATCAGTACCCAACCCTTCTACACTGGATCTGTACAATGCCACCGTTGCCCGCAAGAGAGACAGCTTGAATCTGAAGCGAGGCCTGAACTAGGCCTCTTTCTCGTATATACCACATATCTATCCACGTTCTTCTGTACTGTTCACATACCTGTAATGCCTAACCTCGAACCCGCCTCAACCTCACGACATCCGTATTGTCGTCCTCCGCTGGAGCCTTCTGGTCCGGATAAACTCCTCCTACCTAAAAGGCACGGAATGCGAAAGTGGAAAAACGTGAGGCGGCGGGAGCCGTGAGCTGACCGCCGGGGCAGGGACAGAGAGGGAGAGCACGGGGGAGGAGCATGTCTTGCCACACACAAAACAGCGGGCATCGTCTTTTTTCTGCTGCCACTTATCCCATCCAAAGCTGAAAGGAAGTGTCTAGCAGCATCAGATCCACACCAGCAACCTTCCGATACAAGAAACATGTCTTCCCCAACCCAATTGCCAGCTTGGAAAAAGCTCGAACAACTTTACGAATCAAAGGGTAAGGGCTTCTCGTCAAGAGATGCCTTCAAGGCCGACACCGATAGATTCAACAAGTTCTCCCACACCTTCACCAACTATGACGGCTCTAAAATTCTCTTCGACTACTCGAAGAACCTGATTGATGAGTCCATCTTGTCAGCGCTATTTGAACTTGCAAAAGAAGCTAAGGTCGAATCGTTGAGAGATGACATGTTTGCCGGTAAGCACATCAACACCACCGAAGACAGAGCGGTCTATCATGTTGCGTTAAGAAACAGAGCCAACAAGCCAATGCACGTCGACGGCGTCAACGTGGCACCGGAGGTCGACGCGGTTTTGCAACACATGAAGGAGTTCTCGGACTCTGTCAGATCCGGGGAGTGGAAGGGTTACACAGGCAAGAGAATCGAGAATGTTGTCAACATCGGTATTGGTGGATCTGATCTTGGTCCAGTCATGGTCACTGAGGCCTTGAAGCCCTACGCGCACGAGTCGATCAAGGTCCACTTTGTCTCCAACGTTGACGGTACCCACATTGCTGAAACATTGAAGCTCTGCGACCCTGAAACGACGCTGTTCTTGATCGCCTCTAAGACCTTCACTACAGCGGAAACATGCGCCAACGCCCAGTCTGCAAAGAACTGGTTTTTGGACGCCGTCAAGGAAAAATCTCACATTGCCAAACATTTCGTCGCTTTGAGCACAAACGCTCCTGAAGTCGAGAAGTTCGGTATCGACACCAAGAACATGTTTGGATTCGAAAACTGGGTCGGCGGTAGATACTCTGTCTGGTCCGCCATTGGTTTGTCTGTTTGTATTTACATCGGTTACGACAACTTTGATAAGTTCCTTAAAGGTGCCCAGGCCGTTGATGAGCACTTCACCTCCACCCCAATTGCGGACAATATTCCTATGATTGCCGGTCTATTGACTGTTTGGTACAACAATTTCCATAAGGCCCAAACTAAGTTGGTTGCTCCATTCGACCAATACATGCACAGATTCCCTGCCTACTTACAACAATTGTCTATGGAATCTAACGGTAAATCAGTTACCAAAGACTCCCACTTTGTCAACTACGAAACTGGTGTAGTTCTTTTCGGTGAACCAACCACCAACGCACAACACTCCTTTTTCCAGTTAGTTCATCAAGGTACAAAGTTAATTCCAACCGATTTCATCTTGGCCGCTAAATCCCACAACCCAATCGAGCAGAACAAGCACCAACGCATGCTTGCATCCAACTACTTTGCACAAGCAGAGTCCTTGATGTTGGGTAAGACAGAGGAACAGGTCAAGGCTGAAGGCGTCACCGGATCCCTTGTTCCACACAAAGAGTTTTCTGGTAATAGACCAACTACTTCTATCCTTGCACAAATGATCACCCCAGCCTCATTGGGTGCCTTGATTGCATACTATGAACACTCTACTTTTGTTGAAGGTGCTATCTGGGGTATCAACTCATTCGACCAGTGGGGTGTTGAATTGGGTAAGGTTTTGGCTAAGGTCATTTTGAAAGAATTGGAGAACACCGATCCAGTTTCTTCCCACGATTCAAGTACTAGAAACTTGATCAACCAATTCAAAGCATGGGCTTAATAATGACACTATTTTTTACTCTTACGTTTATTAGTACCTATATATCGAGACAATCTAACGGCTAGTATTTACCGTACCTGTTCGTGATACATGATATAGTCCCGGCCAGCTGTGAAAAAGGCTTGAAAAAATAATCGCTTAGTTACCGTTACAGGGTATCGCGGTTACATGTTACAGCACGTCTTTCTAATCAGCATTAGCAACTGTGCACATGATACTGGACCGATACCCCAACCAAAGGTAAGTGGTGGTGTGATACATAATTCTCTATACAAATAAAATGACTGGGAATTCACGTGTGATAGTTTCTTCCGAGGAGGAAGAAGCGGAGATAAATATAATCTCCAACACAGATTCAAACGTATTCTCCAAAAACAAAAATAAGGCTGAAAAAGCATACCAGAAGCACAGACAACAATATTCGGTGAGCTCTTCAACAGGATGGAAGAAACTTCTTTGGTTGAAACAACCATATGACGACAACTATACCGACTCGAGCTTTTTGTCTCAACTCAAGAGAAACTCTACCGTCGTCAAATATTCTTACAGAAAGCTAGTTTCTGATTTTTCCCTAGTCGTATTACACCTGTCCTTGATCATGTCGGTCATTGTGGTCTTCTATGGAACCTACAGACTCAATTGGAATCCTCTGAAACCTGCGATTCTAAGCACTACCTTGACTGTTGCAGGGTTTCTTTTCTACGTAGTGACATTGAAAATACGAAGAAATCGTGAGCTAATTGAACTTCAACAACTTAAGATCAGACAGCTTTACATTTTGCCTTCAAACACAAAACTATCAGCATCCTCTAATTTAGCGGTGCCAGATATGACAGAAATAATACCTGGAGATCCCGATTCAACAGATCTTGAAGAGTATCTTACTGAACCTTCTCCTCCTAACTTTTTCGAGACTTTCAAATCTTCGATGCTAATTATCCTTTACTTGTTGACATTATCTCCAGTTCTCAAATCTCTTACCAATTCTACGTCATCAGATTCTATTTGGGCACTTTCAGCGTGGCTCTCTATACTGAATGTGATGTTTAACGATTATGAAATAGATTTTCCAAAAGTCTCCACAAGAGAAAAAAGAATACATTGGCAAAAAATCCTTCACCATAACTACATAGTGGCCAACTCTGCATCAATTTCCTCAGCCCAACTGTCGAGGTCATCCTCTTCTTCTTCCATAACGAATGATCCTTATCCCAATAGTATTCCGACGATCACGACGAGCGACATTAGCAATCCGAAAAGTACGGCACCAAGAGTTACCGGCAATTCCGGGAACATCTCAGATTTACACATCCAGCCAGTACCCAAATCCAATTTTTCCAAAAACATAGCTGTTTCCAACGCAATCGTTTTAGCTTCTAGACTACAGTCGAATGCTTCTGCATTTTCTTTCATCCTATTCTGTATCCAGGCATGTGGTCTTTTCCCCATCTTTAACAACTTTACTCGTCGTTGTGACCTACAAGGGTTCCACTACTTTCAACTTACATCCATAGTTCTTACTGTAGATGTGATAGTTTGGTATTTATTTGGGCTGGGATGGTTTATTGTTTGGGTGTCGCTCCATCTTATGATTGTAATTGTTGGACCGTGGTATTTTCTCACTCTACAGAAATACAAAGACGAGTTGCAAGGACCTTGGGACCCTGCAAAGCCTATACTTAAATCCTTATAGAAAGGTTTTTAAAATATATGAAATTTCAACGTGAAATATACCAAACTTGAATGATGTGATGAATGAAAAATTATGAGGAGTCAAATTTCTGGGTTGCTGAGCCGCCTTAATTTTTTTTCTCCCTTATAAGTAAATGCCCCATTTCTTTCTTTTTGACAAACACTGGGTCAATAATTAGAGTCATTTTCTTATTATGCTTTCTTTCCAGTTTTGCAAACAGTGTGCAACATATTCAATTGATTATAAATACAGCTACAATGACCCAAGATAGGCCGATCAATGAATACGAGAATCTTCCTGTAAATAGTCCTCTTATCAACCTAGGTTTTCATATGCAACGGTTCAAAAGAGAAATGGTACTTTCTGGTGAAGTACCTGAATGGGTTCTGGATAATTTGAATGAATTACTGGATATTGTATTGGATAGTTGTACAAAGTTAGAGCTGAAATTCGAATACAAATTTTCAAGAGTTTCCAACGTCTTAAACCGCATTACAGGGATGGATGGATTCATCGTACCCTTTCTGGATGGAACTTTGCCGCCTGCTTGTTGTGAATTTAAAAGTGCTGAGGAGATTGATGGGATTTCCAGACACAACATGATAATGTGCTTAAATGGGTATGATATTGAATTTGACGAAGAAGAGACACCTTCTTTGTTGAAATCGAAATTAAGAGATGCCTTGGGACTTATTGGAGCGATTGATTATGTTTATGAATATTCCGATAATTGGGAATGACGATCATGATGCTGACAATGACGACAATGATCATAACAGAAACTTTCTTGATAGTCTTGTTGCTACAGATACATACATATATTAACTATTTATAAATTCTATGTATATTGAGGAAAAAGATTAGAGTACAGAAAATAATACATATTTATGCAAAAAGGTTAGCCCATGAAAGGGCCGGCCGAGAGACACAAGTTTCTTCTAGTGAATTCCACCTTGTAAACAGGGGTTCTCTTAGTAAAGTAAACGCCCATATGATCACTAGAGCTATAGTTATTCACAACCACATTTTTCAGATCTTCACCACTTCCATCACCCTGCTTGAAGTCTCCGTTCTTGACTCCATCCTTGGAAGAGGCGCCCGCAGAGGCTCCAGCAGAGCCTGGGGCCATCGAGCCGGATGATTTAGCAGCAGGAATAAACCTCTCAGGTTGTCCTCCACTGACTGCATCCATAGTTCCACGCTTGGCATCCCAAACTCTAACACTACCATCTGCGCCACCAGATACTAGGACTTCACCACCACGACTCCAGGCTAAAGAGTGAATACCTCCAGCACCATGACCACGCATGGTTTTCAACTTCCTGCCTGAAGCTATGTCCCAAACATGGATGACACTTCCGGTGAAACTCATGTTCGAATTGCCTGCGGCTCTGGAAGACTTTGATGTGCCATTAACGTTATCGCCTGATTTTTCATTTTCGTTACTACTGTCATCTTTGCTACTCTTTTCATTATCATTTTTAGAGTTCTTGGAATCATTAATTTGGTTATCTGAGCCATCAGCATGCTTTGCATTTGACGACAGCGATCCACCACTTGGGGTGAACCCACCTCCTATACTGTTTGCCCAGTTATTTAAGCCAAAAGAAGTGTTGAGGTAGTTTTCTTCGCTGACGGAAGCAGTCGCCAACCAACGGCCATCAGGAGAGCATGCAATATCGCTGATCGGGGAGGTATGTCCAACAAATAGCCTGACGCTCTCTGCTCTCGCAACATCCCACATACGCACTGTTTTATCACTCGAACCGGTGAAGAGATATGTTCCGTTTGGATGGAATTTTATCACATCGACGTCGTTCAAATGGCCGGCAAAGATACGCAAAGGATAGATATGATCGCAAGACCATAATCTGGCTGTTTGATCATGTGAAGCAGTTGCAAAATAATGTCCAAGTGGTGAGAACTCCACATCCCAGACAGGCGAGCTTGAGCCACCTGCACCTCCGTGGCCCTTGTAGGAAACCAATGCACTGTACGTATCTAGCGCCCAAAGTCTAACAGTTGAATCTGCCGAAGAAGAAAGCAAGTAATGCCCATCTGGAGAAAACGAGAGTCCATAAACTGGACCCGAATGGCCAACCAATTTTCTACTGGTATTGGTAGGCAACCCTTGATTGGATTCATTATCGACCTCTATGTTGTAGGGGTCATTTTTCAGTACCGAGCGTAGCGGAGAGCCGTCTATACTCCACAACTTGACAAAAGAATCTTGAAATCCGCCGGCAATCATGGTCGAATCCGGGTGGAAGGCCAAATTCGTCAGGTCGTTATTGGTATTGTGGAAAGTGTACATACAAACGGAAGGGAGAGAAGGCTGGGATATGTAAGTGGTACGTCCGCCACCGTTAGCATTGTTTGCACTGGTACTGTTAAGATGGGAGTAGGAAGACGACGTGAGTCTGATTTTTGCACGTGAGTCTTGAATTTCCTGTATGGAACGCTTCAAATCGTAAACTGTCTTTTGAGGTAGAGGGAGTGTATCTCTGGCAGGAGAGTCTTCATTTTTCGGATCTATTTTGAAGTTTTCGTTGTACTCCTGCATCAAAGTGGGCTTTGAGCTGGCTGGCTTTGCTGCGCCGACATCGTCGTTGGCCTGGCTTTTATTAGCGGCGTCGTCTTTGTGTTTCAACTCTGCCTCCAACTCCTTGGTGAAATCGTCATCGTTCGGATAGGGCCCAAGCTTGAGCGGCTCTTCATTCTCCTGTATGAACGACGCTCTGGTCGACTTGAAGTTTTCGTTGTCATGCTCGGGGCCCAACTTGATCAACTGGTATATTTCGGGGATACCCTCGAGGTTATCCTGGTTGTCGTTGGAGGAGGTGGTGACCTCCAACTGGGTGTGGATCTCGAAGTTGTTGTTCAAGAACCGCACGAGGATGCCGCCGCCGATGGCCTGGTTTTCGTTCAAGAAGCCCAAGATCAAGTTCAAGGAGGTGCTGGAAAGGTTGGCCCGGTACTTGTTCTGCAGAAAGAGGTTGGCGTACTTGTTCTCGGAGAGATGCTCCGGAAGGGTGATGGTGAGGAGATTTTTGATTTCCTGGCTGTGGGAGAGAACGTGGTCCGACTTGAACTTCAGGAGGAAGCCATGCGCCTCCTCGGTCTCCTTGCGCTGGATCAACGCGAGATACGAGTACACGAAGAAGGGGAAGAGCAGTTTCTCCAACTCGTACTTGTACATCTCCAAGGAGTTTTCGCACCACGAGCGGTAGAGCAGGTACGCCCTGCTGAACATCTTCGGGTCGTGGTCGAACTGTCTCTGCTTCGAGACGTTCTGCTTGAGCAGGAACTGCTGCTGCTGGAACTGGAGGTTCGAGCGGTCCGACGCCGCGGTGGCGGGCGGCTCGTAGTTTGAGTTGGCGTTCGTGAGGTTGAACGACTGGGCGCCCGGGATCTTCGTCGCCTCGATCCGGAGCGTCGCCTCTGTCTGGTGGTAGCCCTTCCGCGTCAAGTACTCGAGGACGAGTCTGTTCAAGTTGAACGGCAGGTCGGAGTTGGTCGAGCCGCCTGCCGCCGCCTGCGTCTGCGTCTGTGTCCGGGCCTGTTGCTGCGCTTGCGCATGCGCCTGCTGCTGCTGCTGCGTGCTTGCAGCGTTGATTGCAGCAGCGTTGATTGCAGCAGCGTTCGGGTCGACCGCTGCTGCCGTGCTGCCCGGCGTGCTGCCCCCAGGCGTGTGTGCTGTCGGTGCCGTCGTGGCCGCTGACCCTGGCGTGGCCGGCGTTGCTGGCGTTCCAGGGCTTCCCTGCTGCTTGTTTGGCCCCGATGACATGTCCGCTGGCCTTCTGCAGAATCACTACTCTCTGTCCCCTGTCCCCTGCCCTGCCCCTCCTGCGGCTCCCTCCAGCTGGCTTCAGATGGTCAACTTGCGTGTCTCTGTCTCTCTGCCGTCCGTCTGGCATGTCCTGCTGACGAGGCCCACCGGATTTCCGCGGCGGCGGGCCGATCGTCCCAGGGCGTTTTTTGCGCGATAAGCGGTGGGGGGCGGCAGCAGGCGTTGGGCGGAAGATCGAGCCGTTCTGGGACGGAGAGATGCTGGGGTCCGTCCAGGGCGGTTGGGCAGACGTTGTTCTCCTGTTGATGGCGGGGGCGTGCTGCTCTTCTTCCTAGAGATGATGGAGAGAGCAGGGTGGAGGCGGAAAGAGAAGACACACTGGACACACAAGACACACACGGCACCACGACACCACGACACCGCAGTATGTCTACGATTCTCGACTCGCTTGTGACGGGCGGCACGCTCATGGCCATCACGTCGTGCTCCTTCTTTCTCGGGCTGCTCTACTCAGACTGGCCGTACACGCACTTCTTGCTCTGGGCCGCGGAGCCGGAGAACGCAGACAAGGTGGCGAAGCTGGCGCTGCAGCACTACGTGCACTGGCTCGACGTGCCTAAGTTCATCCCGTACACGATGTACGGCGTGCTGCTGTTCGGGTTCCTGGGGTTCACGATGAAGGTGTTCAAGCCCGCGGAGGACGTGAAGTACTTCGAGTACGGGTCGTTTGCGGTCTACGTCTTGGCGGTGTGCTGCTACGCGTCGAACGTGCGTTTCGGCGTCTACTCGGCGCAGGCGGGCGAATGGGGCGACGTGGACGAGTTCACGGGCTTGTCTGTGATTGCCGCGAGCGAGGTGATCATCGTGTTCCTCCTTCTCGGCATCGTCGTCATCCAGAGCGGCATTTTCTTCGCCAAGTACGAGGACGACCGCGTCAAGGCCGCCTTCCTCATGAAGGAGTTGAAGGTCAAGCTTGCGCAGGCCGAGGCCCAGGCGAAGAAGGGCGGCGTCGCCGCTGCAGCCTCCTCCGGCAAGGCCTCCGGCAGGGCCTCCGGCTCCGCCAAGGGCGAGACCGCAGGCTCCGTGAACAAGAAGAAGTGAGCAGCCTGCCCTGCGGGCCCTGCGGGCCCTGCCGGCTCCGCTGCTGCTCCGCTGGCCTCTTACACCCCCACGTATACTTCTATAGCGTTCTCTTCTGTTTACAAGCGTATCCCCCACTTCCCCCGCCCCGTCTGCTCCTGGTCCAGCTCGTCGCCCCACCCCCACCACAACGCCGTGAAGAGGCTCGACACAGAAAAAGCGATAAGCTCGCCCGCAATCGCAGGGCTCGTCCGCCGCCGCCATTGGCTGGCCCTCAAGATGCCGTCGCCGTCGCCTGCCCTGCTCTGCTCCGGCTCGTCTTCTGCTGCTGCCCCGTCTATCCACCACAGACTGCCGCCGCCATGCACACCCTGCTCAAGGACACCCCGCTCACCGTCAACCCGGCCACGCCGCTGGCCCGCCGCCCCGGCCCCGTGTCCCTCCCCTACGACCTCGACGCTCTCCCACAGGACGCCACAGGCCTCGTGCAGAGCATCCGCCAGACAGAGATCCCGGCCCTCGACGCCGTCGCCTCGTCTGCCACGGCTGCCACTTCACCTGCTGCCGCCGTTTCATCTTCAGCTGCCCCTGCCAGCTCCCTCCCCGTCGACACCTACGCCGCCTGGGAGAGGGACATCCGCCGCCAGAACCCTGGCTTCAACACAGCTGCTTACGTAATGGCTCCCACAGTGAGGCGCTGACTATTCTTTTTCCCTGCACTCGGCGACTGGGCCTGACGGACAGCCAAGAACAGGACAGACAAGAGCAGGACTTGGAGAACGAGAGCAGGGATGTCCGGGGGTTACCCCGCGTAGCATATAGCGTGTGTACAGACAAACAGCAAGCGCAGCATCTCCGCCATGTCGTACAAGCTCTACTTTTCCAACGACACCACGCCGGCCGCCCTGGCGGGAAACCTGAAGATCGCCATTGCCTCTCATGTCTTCGACAAGTCTGCGTACGGGTCTCTCCAGAAAACCGCCGAAGAGAAGGAGACCGTTGACGAGGGCACGCTCTCGAACAAGAAACACCCCGTGTTGCTTGACACCAAGAACCACTTCCACTTGTTCCACGCCAACACGATCGTCAAGTACTTGAAGGTCGTCTCGAAGTCGGAACAGGCGTCTCTGGACGAGCACCATCTTGCGTACGAGCCGGTCGAGGCCACGCTCTACGGCATCGTCAAGGCGAAGAGCGTCTCCGAAGACGAGATTAAGCCTCTCGTCGCCGGTTTCGCCGAGGCAGACGCCCACTCCGTCAAGCAGATCCTTGTGTTCTCGTCTATCTACCCGTTCATCCACAAGAACGAGGCTGTCTTGAGCAAGTTCCCATGGTTCAAGGACTTTGCCTCTCTTCCTGAGGTCTCTGCAGCAGTCGAGTTCACGTTGAAAAACACACGGTTGGTCAGGGTCCCGGAGAAGAACAACGGCGTCTCCCACGTCAAGTCGGGCATCGAGATCCGCAAGGTCGACGGCAAGTTGGCTCCTAAGGAAAACGAACGTAACATCCTGATCACCTCTGCCCTTCCCTACGTCAACAACGTCCCGCACTTGGGTAACATCGTCGGCTCTGTGCTATCGGCAGACATCTTTGCCCGTTATTGCAAGGACAGAAACTACAACACCTTGTTCATTTGCGGTACCGACGAGTACGGTACTGCCACGGAGACCAAGGCTTTGGAGGAGAAAGTCACCCCGCTGGAGCTCTGCACTAAGTATCACAAAATACATAAGGAAGTCTACGACTGGTTCGACATCGGGTTCGACTACTTTGGCCGTACAACCACCGAAAAGCAGACCGTAATCGCTCAGGACATCTTCATGAAGTTGCATGACAACGGCTATCTTGAGGAGCAGGTCATGAGACAATTATACTGTCCAGAACACAAGGGTTATCTTGCCGACAGATACGTCGAAGGTGAGTGTCCAAAATGCCACTACGAAGACGCGAGAGGTGATCAGTGTGACAAATGTGGTTGTCTCTTGGATCCGTTCGAGTTGATTAACCCTCGTTGTAAGTTAGACAACGCCACCCCTATCCCAAAGAACTCCAAACACATCTTCTTGTCTTTGGACAAACTAGAACCAAGCTTGAAGAAATGGGTCGTGCAGGCAAGTGAGGAGGGCCACTGGTCCAAAAACTCCAAGACTATCACCAACTCTTGGCTGAAGGAGGGTTTGAAGCCAAGATGTATCACCCGTGATCTTGTATGGGGTACTCCCGTGCCTCTAGATGGCTTCACCGATAAAGTCTTGTATGTCTGGTTCGATGCAACCATTGGTTACATCTCGATCACTGCAAACTACACCGATGACTGGAAAAAATGGTGGAAAAAGGACAACAAGACCGATGTTAAGCTGTATCAATTTATGGGTAAAGATAACGTTCCTTTCCATACTGTCGTTTTCCCTGCTTCTGAAATCGGTACTGGTGATAACTGGAACCTTCTATACCATTTGAACACCACCGAGTACTTACAATACGAAGGTGGTAAGTTCTCCAAGTCTAGAGGTGTTGGTGTCTTCGGTAACAATGCCAAAGAGACTGGGGTTTCTCCTTCTGTGTGGAGATACTACTTGGCTTCCATCAGACCTGAAAACCAAGACTCTCAATTCTCATGGACGGAGTTTGTCACTAAAAACAACTCTGAATTGTTGGCTAACTTAGGTAACTTTGTCAACAGAATTGTCAAATTCGTTAATGCCAAATATAACGGTGTCATTCCGAAATTCGACGTGAGCAAGTGTCCTAACTTTGTTGGAACCGCAGAGAAAGAAATAAACGAAATACTATCGACCTACGTCGACGATATGGAGAACAGCAGATTGCGTAAAGGTTTAGAAACTGCAATGCAATTGAGTTCTCGTGGTAATGCCTTCTTGCAAGAAAACAAGTTAGACAACTCCACTTTCGAGAATGAACCTGAAAAGGCAGATGCTGTTGTTGCCATCGGTATCAATATGGTGTATCTTGTCAGTTCTGTTATTGGCCCTTATATGCCTGAAGTGAGAGATACAATTGCAACTATCTTAAATGCTCCAAAGTTGGCTATTCCCGATAAGTTTGAGATGTGGATCCAATCGGGACATTGTATTGGCAAACCACAATACTTGTTTAATAGAATCGATGAAAAGAAAATCGAAGAATGGAGAGGGAAGTTTGGAGGTCAGCAGAAAAAATGATTTAAAGGGTCAAATCATTCAGCTACCATTTATACAATTAATAAATAAAACTCTTTTTGCCATTTTATTGCCTATGTAATAATGCTAATGTAAGAGGAGTACAATTTTTATTTTATTTGAGTTAAGCCGTTACTTATTTTTATTGTTGCTCTTTTTTTTGTTTCTATACACATAAATTTATTATAATATAAATATTACTATTATACCGGTTCTTTTTTTAGAGTGGAAATGATTATAAAGCCAAAGAGCCGCCTTCTTCTCTTGCCTTTTCACCATACTTCTTGATTCTGATAGCTTGGACAGCAATGAATCCAGAAGCTTCTTGAGGTTCGAAACCAGTCAATTCATCCATTGATGATTCGGTGGCATCGTATAGCTTTTCAGTGCTGGAAGATCTACCTAAGATTATCAAAGAGCCCTTGTAACATCTTGCTCTGACTAAACCATTCACAGTGTTTTGGGATGGTTGGATCATGGATCTGACATACTCACACTCTGGAGTGAAGTACATACCGTTGTACAACAACTTGGAGTACGTTGGGGTAACGAAGGTATCTCTGATTGCTCTGACTTCTCTGTCCAGAGTCAAACCCTCCAAGTCAATGTGGGTGGATCTCAAAAGAGTTAAACCTGGGGTTTCGTAACAGCCTCTGGACTTAATACCAATGAATCTGTTTTCGACAATGTCGATTCTACCGACACCGTTTCTTCTTGCAATTGCGTTAGCAGTGAGGAAAATTTCAACAGGGTCAGTAACAGACTTACCGTTGTTCAAAGTCAACTTTACTGGCTTACCCTTGGCGAACTCGACTTGGAAATCTTCTGGAGTTTCTGGAGCATCGGCTGGATCAACAGTCAATTTCCACATGTCCTTTGGTGGGGTGCAATCTGGGTCCTCCAAGATACCTGCTTCGAAGGAGATGTGTGCCATGTTTTCGTCGGTGGACCATGGCTTGGCCTTGGTTTGTGTGACCGGAATACCCTTGGATGCAGCATATTCCAACAAGTCTTTTCTACCTGCAAATCTCTTGAAGAAGACTGGGTCTCTCCATGGAGCAATGACCTTGACGTCTGGCTTCAAAGCGTAGAAAGAAAGTTCAAATCTGACTTGATCGTTACCCTTACCGGTACAACCGTGGGAGACAGCGAAACAGCCTTCTTGTTCGGCCACATCGATTTGTGCTTTGGAGATAACAGGTCTAGCCAATGAAGTACCCAACAAGTACACGTTTTCGTAGATGGCATTGACTTGAATGGCTGGGAATAAAACGTCTTCAACGAATTCCTTTCTGACATCAGCACACACAAACTTCGTCGCACCGATTGCCAAAGCCTTCTTTTCTGCGGCTTCAAAGTCTTCTTCTTGACCGATGTTGGCCATGAAGGCAACGACTTCATAACCTTCTTCTAACAACCAAGCTAGAATGACGGAGGTGTCTAAACCACCAGAGTATGCTAAACAGACCTTACCTTTGGACATTATGTATTATGCAGTTAGTTATTCAACTAAATCTTTTGTTTCTTAGAGAAGAAGAAAAATAAAGAGTACACAAAGAAGAGAAGAAAGAAGGAGAAAGGGAAAGAGAAGAAGTGCAAGAAAAAAAGTGGAAAAAAAAGTTTGTCAGTTGGATCTCCCCCCTTGTCTCTCTGTCAGCTAATCTGCCCAATATATAGCAGCCATTTGCTTGGTTCACTTCTCCAAGTGACTCACGTTGGAAAAAAAGCAGAGCTGGCAAAATTAAGCGCGCCATTCCGCACACCAAAATTACTCGATCCAGTAACTGACCCACGGAACGCCCTACAGTGGACAGCAGCCGCATGCACTGGGACTATCGACGGAAAATGACAAAAAATCCGTCGATCGACTTAAATTTTAGCGGCTAAAGACGTTTTTAGCGGCTGCGGTTCTGCTATTGTTCGGCCGCCTTAGCGGGATACATGCCCTTCTGAGAAATACCCGCTTCCCCAGAGTGCCAATCTATGCTGGATCCACAATTCAGGCTGGCCATGCTTGGACTCTGCCGCCGGCTCGGTACAACCAGGGCAAATCGTGGAGAAGGAGATTCTTATAAAGAAACAGACCACCGCCTTTTTTGAGTTGAAAAGTCCCTCGTTTACGAACGTTTTGTAGTAGTAGCAGCAGTAGTAGCAGTATTACTAGACTGTCCTATCTTACGGAAAGACTTATTTTTCACCGAAACTGAGTCAAGACCTACCACGCTAATTTTCCTTTGTACACTTTATCACCGTCATGTCCAGTAAGGAAGAGATCCAAAAGTTTGCTGAAAAGTACGGCATCAAGAACGTCAATTTGATCCAGACCGGTGCCTTGGTCAACGGAGAGTGGATCGTTGACTCGTCCGACGTCTTTTCAGTTGCAGACCCAGCAAGTGGTGAACATTTGCTCAATGTCTCCAACACCAAGATCGAGGTCATCGAGCAAGGTATCAAGGATGCTGAGGCCGCCTTCAACAAGTTCAAAAATTCATCCAGCGGCAGAGAAAGAAGCAGAATCTTGCGGAAGATGTACGAGTTGATGTTGGAGAACTTCGACGATTTGGCCACCATCTGTACCATCGAGAACGGTAAATCATTGGCTGACTCGAAGGGTGAAATTGGCTATGCTGCCGGATTCTACGAATGGTTTGCTGAAGAGGCCCCAAGAATCTACGGCGACAACATCCCAAGCGCATCCACCAGCAAGAGAATCATTACGTCCAAGCAACCGATCGGAGTTGTTGGTATCCTCACTCCTTGGAACTTCCCTTCTGCCATGATTACTAGAAAGTTGGGTGCTGCCTTTGCAGCAGGTTGTGCAGCAGTTATCAAGCCAGCTACAGAAACTCCGTTATCCGCCTTGGCGTTGGGTTACTTGGCACAGGAGGCAGGCTTACCTAACGGTTTGCTGAACCTCTTCCCAGTCGACCAAGACAGAACGAAGGTTGTCGGTACTTTGTTCTGCGAGTCTCCTATCATTAGAAAGATTTCTTTCACTGGTTCCACCGGTGTCGGTAAGCTATTGATGAGCCAATCCTCTTCGACACTGAAGAAACTTTCCTTTGAGTTGGGTGGAAACTCTCCATTTGTGGTTTTCGAAGACGCAGATGTAGATCTTGCCGTCAGTGCGGCTCTCGGATGCAAGTTGAGACAATCTGGCCAAACCTGTATCTGTGCAAACAGACTCTACATCCACGAAGACATCTATACCGAGTTTGCAACAAAATTCACTGCAGAGGTCAACAAGTTCAAGTTGGGCCACGGCTTAAAGCCAGATACCACACACGGCCCATTGATTCACCAACGAGCTGTCGATAAAGTTGCCAGCCATATCGAAGATGCTGTTGGAAAAGGTGCTAAGGTCTTGACAGGTGGTAAGAGAGCTCCTCATTTGGGTGAAAACTTCCACGAATTGACGGTTTTGGGTGATGTTCCAAAGACAGCAGTTGTCAACAAGGAGGAAACTTTTGGTCCTCTGGTCCCATTGATTAAGTTCAAGACCGAAGAAGAAGTTCTTGAATTGGCCAATGACACCGAGTACGGTTTGGCTGGTTACTTCTTCTCCCAAAACTACGCCAGAATTTTCAGATTCGGTGAACAGCTCCACTGTGGTATGATTGGTGCCAACACAGGTGCCCTTGGTGAGGCTTCTTTGCCATTCGGTGGTATTGGCTGGTCTGGATTTGGAAGAGAAGGCTCCAAATATGGTGTCGACGATTACACGATCATTAAATCGATTGTTATCGGTGGAATAGAGTAAACTTCACCGAATCCAGACGTATGTTTACACTATGTTTGAAAAAAAAGTTAATAAGTAGCTATAAAAAATCTTTTATAAATTCATAATTTCAAATTCCGACAAATTGCATACTGCAATCATTTTTCGGAAAGCTGGGTCTCGACGCTGTTCACCTTGTCCTCCATGGTCTGAGACTTATCAGTTCTTGTACCTACCCTAATATCACTCTGTACACGGAGAATGCCCATTTTGTGAACTTCTTCATGTAGCTTACCAATCAAGTCCATGACTTCACTCCATGGGCCTTCAATGGTGGTACCAGCACTGTGTAGTTTGCTCGTCAATCCACTGTTGCGTATTAGCTTCTCACATGCCACAACATATTTTGACACAGAGGGCGTTGGAGTTCCAATTGGTATCAAACAGACATCGGCAATGCAGTTTAGTTTCACAGTCATGGCTTTGGCAGGGCAATTATGCTTTTTTAAATAAAGCAGTAGGTTGCACCTATGATAGAAAAGGAGAAAACAGACGCAGATTTTGTTTCATGAATTGGGTCCTGTCTCGGCCCGACACTTTTTAAGATCCGGGGCCCGGCCGCACTAGCTGAAAATCCCGTCACTCAAGCTTCATAGGCAGGAGTGAGTAAATTATGTACAGATTAGCTATGTACTCCAGCGAATTATTGCAGGTGATGGTTTACTTGATTGATAATTCCACAATTGAATGGGTGACGTTGATGACGGATGGGCGGGCAACTACGAAGCGAGACCCCGGTAGGATAGCTTAACCCTGATTTAAGAGCATCAGTTGTTTCCTTTTCAATCAATGTTGCTCATTCATGTTTGAGGTTTTTATCCATTAGGTCGTAACTTTAAAATGATCTTGTAAAATAGTGCTATTAACAAAAGCAAGTAATACACAAGACTGCGTACTTTGCACAGATACACAGGTAGCTTTCATTGTTCAGGAAATGCCAGTTGCCTCTCTACTGTATCCACCTTATCTTGCATGGTTTGTGCCTTGTCTGTACGTGTTCCAATCCTGATATCACTGTGGACACGTTCAAACCCAGCGTCATGCAGACGCTGGTGCAAGAGACCAATTAAATCGGTTGCCGCTTGCCAATCGGCGTCGATTGTGAAACCTCCATCGTGCACAACATAGGTGAGACCACTTTTCTCCAATATAGGAACACAGCTTGCCAGAGCTTCCTCAAATCCATACTCTGCAGGACCAACCTAATTTACAAAGAATTTGTGAACGCTCATTTGTTAGTAATTTGAAGAGTCAGCCTTAATGACAACTTATGTATCATAAACTTTTTTTCTTTCTTCTTCCAGTCTATTTCTTGCAATAATATTTTCAAACTTACTGGAGTTAATGCCACATCCGCTAAGCAGTGCATTTTTATAATTCAAATCAGTATGTGTTATACGACCTCGTACTTTTCATCAACCTTCTTGTTACTGCTCGGGTATCACAGGCATAGATGGAGATTTTTCAACAATTTTGGTTCCTGGCGACGCGTCGGATTCTTGTTGACAACGAATTTGTCCTTCTTATTACATGTTTCTGCTCCTGTTTTCTGCTTCTTACCTGACCACAGGCCAGCTGCTGGATGGTTTACGTATTAGAACACCGTATTCGACATACAAGATGGACTTCACCGTGCCAAAAGATGTCAGTCCTGAACTGGATTTACTTCTTACCCGTCTAGCAAAAGATTTTCATGATGGATATTTAACTGAAAAAGGTTATATCAAAAAGAGAATGGAGCTACTGGGAGTTATGGTCTCAGCTACTTCTGAAAATCACACCGAACCTAATACAGAGGGGTTACAGACTGTTAGTACGAGGCAATCGGCTTCAATTTCAGACAGAGCCTCCGAAGATTTTTTCAGACCTTCACACACTATATCTCATTCAGTCGATGAAAGTTCAAATGCGCAACCTGTTTTATATGATGACGAGTTCCTAGAAAAATACCACAATCTGGGAAGCACTTATGATTCTAATATAAGGAGAGAATTACAGAAACCTTTAGATCCCAGGGATGTTTCTTCTCATATTGAAAACGCAAATGAGTTTGACAACTTGGCTATGATTTTACGTAAACGAGCAAAAATATACGAGAAAGAACCAGCAGTTTTGGTCGTTGATGAGAAAGGAAAAGAAAGCAAGGTAATCACCTGGGACAAGCTATATTACAGGGCAGAAAAAATTGCCAAACAGATCAAAAATAAAGTAGCCCTTTATCCAGGAGATCGAGTGTGTTTGATTTATCAAAATGTTGAAATAATAGATTTTATGGTGGCATTTTACGGTTGTTTCTTAGCCGGTGTTGTTGCCGTTCCCTTAGCCAGTTCAATGCCTTCCAAAGAGTTGGCAACTGTGATGAGAAACACTCAATCTCATCTTTGTTTGATGTCTGATTCTGTACATAAGTATTTTGAAAAACAATCCAAACAAACGAAGTCGGTTCTTTGGCCGAAAGGTATGATTGTATGGAAGACTTCAGCATTAGGCACGTACAAGCCATCTAAAAAGGATGGAGACCCTCCTTTGAAAATTTCAGATCTTGCTTACATAGACTATTCAAAGGGATCATCGGGTGAATTAAGGGGAGTTGTCATGTCTCATCGAACAGTCATCAATCAAATGAAAATGCTAGACAAAATATTATCCACCTCACCAAATATAGTATCTCCGTTAACAAGATCAACTTTGAAATCAACTCGCCCCAAAAACAGTATTTTGAGTACTCTGGATGTACGAGGATCCATCGGACTAATATTTTCAATGCTATTTACTGTTTACAGTGGAAATTTGTTTATATGGCTGCAATCAAAAACTGCTGAAGTTCCAGGTCTTTATGCAAATATGCTCTCTTGTTATAGATCCTCTATAACATTAACTGATTATTTCACATTGAAAAACGTGGTTTATAATTATCAATCCTTTCCCCAAAACACTAGGACTTTCAGCAAGAAAAAAGTTGATCTATCTCCACTTTGTTGGTGTTTAATAGATTCATCAACAGTAGATTGCGAATTCAATGAGATTTTAAGTGATCGATGGCTCAAGCCTCTGGGAAGCAAACATAGCAAAAGAATAATTTCTCCTATACTCACTTTAAGTGAACACGGTGGTGCCATTATATCTATGAGGGATTGGTATGGAAACGAAGATCAATTGGGATGTATATTCAACAAGTCTGAGAATTCAGAAACATTAGACGAATTTGGTGATGACGATCATGCCGATAGATTGTCTGAAGTTATGATTGATAAGGAATCTCTCACTACAAACTCGGTCAAAGTCATTAATGATGCACCAATAAATTACTCTCTAGCCGAGTCCAACTCTGATTCTAACTATATTAGGGTGGGTGCTTTTGGATACCCTCTTCCAGATGCAACTTTGGCTCTTGTAAATCCGGAAAGTAAGGTCTTAAGTAGCTTGTTAGAGGTTGGTGAAATATGGGTGGATTCAAATTGTATTTCTGGTGGCTATTGGGGCTTGCCAGACGAAACTGAGGCAATATTCCAAGCCGAGTGTTCCGATTATGAAGGCATCTTGAGCTTGAAATTTGTTAGAACTGAGCTGCTAGGTTTCATTTATAATGGAAAAATTTACGTCCTTGGGCTGTATGAGGATAGGATAAATCAAAGAGTGACATGGTATGACCAATACCTTGGAATGTCTACAGATGATAACAACAATCAACTTTTACCTGTCATCAATGACCGTACAAAGTCTATGACTTCTGATGCCGAAAGTATTTACAAAACCATGATGAAAAAGAAATACAACAATTGGGGAAGGTTAGACCTGTCAAAAAACTTGTCAAATAAGTCTCTCTATAAGTACCATTACTCCAATCACCTAGCTAAAACTTTGGCGAAAAACGTACCTTATTTCAAAGATTGTGCATTTTTCAACATGAAAGTAAATAATGAATATGTCCCTGTTGGAATTATGGAATCTGGATTGAGCACGGATAAATCAGTCTCTGGAAAGGTTGAACTACAATCAATGCTTACAGAAGCTTTAAATTTGTTAGAAAAACATCATAATGTGAGACTATTTTTTTTGGTGGTCACTAAAGTGGGGGCACTTTCACGGACGTTGAAAAGTGGAAGACTTGAAATTGCTAACAGTCTTACCAAAAGACGTTTCCTTGAAGGTCGCCTGCCAAGTGTTTATGTTTCTTTTAAACCATACAATTCTTTGGGTTCAATTTATCATGGTGAAGACTTAGTTGGTGGTATTTGGTCACCGTATAGTACTGCTGTCAGGAATGACATGTTGAGCTATTCTGATTTTCAAAGTTCAGGTATGGATACAAGAGATTCAAGTGTTGATGACCGGTTCCATATCAATCTTACCGACTTTGCAAATCCCATTCTTTTATTGCAATATAGAGCCAGTAAACAATCCGATGAGTTGGCATATACTAGCATTGACGGTACAAATGCAAAAGAAAATAAACAGTCCACATGGAAGAAGTTTGAAAGCAGAGTTTTTACGGTTTGCTCTTACATTTTAGAGAAATCAACAATCATGTCAGGTGACTGTGTTATATTATTATACCCTTTATGCGAAGATTACATTGCATGCCTATTTGCATGTTGGATGGCTGGATTCACAGTCATACCACTGCCTACATTTGCTAAGGACCCTCAGTCCATAGATGAAGATGTTGAAACTTTTGTTAATGCTGTTAAGGAGTACAATGTGAAGGCGATTTTTGTCAATAACGAAACAGAGAACCTTTTAAAAAATAAACCTGTAAGTTCCAAAATCAGTGCATTGGCTTCCAAGATAAACTTGGAAATCCCAAAGTTAAGAAATACGGTAAAACATTCAAAAACATTATCAGCGGGAAAATCAACCTACAAGAGAATGGAACAATATTCAGAGAAAAAACGTTCCAGAAAAAACTCAGATTATTGTATGATATGGTTAGATTTAACACCCGATAATGTATGTACCAGCGTCGGGTTATCATTTAAAAACTTGATGAATATGTGTCTCAGTTTGAAAGAAACGTGTCAAATGAGTAGCACTGCACCACTTCTTGGTTGTGCTAATTACACAGTCGGCTTAGGATTTTTACAAAGTAGTATTATGGGAGTTTACTTGGGTGTAACGACTTATTTAATGTCCATGGCTGAGTATGGACTTCACACCAGCATGTTTTATCAAGCTATAGCAAGGTACAACATCGAAAACATTTATCTTACAGGTAAAATGTTCAAGTATGCCTTGAATAAAAACTCAATGGGAAAAATTAACTTGAAAACGTTGAGAAATTTAATGTTAAGCTGGTCTGGTTGCCGTGCTGATCCGTCTTTGCTTTCCAAATTCAAAGAAACTTTAGTTCTATCCAATGTCAAATCTAAAACCATTTCCCATATCTATGATCACAAGATGAATCCAATGATAAGTACAAGATCATTTTTGTCGTTTGCTCCTGTTGTATTATGGCTTGATCCTTATGGGTTATCTCAAGGCTATATCAGTATTGTTAATCCAAAAGACGCTCCAAATGCGATTCCAGTTGTCGACTCTGGCGTAGTCTCAGTTAACACTGAGGTAGTTGTTGTTAACCCTCAGACAGAAGAGCTGTGCAAGGTAGGTGAGTTTGGTGAAATATGGGTTTCATCGAAATCTACAGCCAGTGGATTTGCGGGAAAGGACGACAATTCTACCAATAAAGAGTATTTGAAGGGCAAGCTAAATAACAGAAATGGAACATTTTTGCGTACGGGTGACTTCGGATTTCTACATACCATTACAAAAAACACCGACAAAAATAAGCAAATCGAAATGCAACTTTTATTCAATCTTGGAAAAATTGACGAAACGTTCGATTATTGTGGATTGCAATTTTTTGCAAGTGATATTGAAAGGTGTATGGATTCTTTTGCTGGAATGAACCGGTGTTGTGTTTTCAAAGCAGGAGATTATACCGTTCTAGTTGCTGCAACATCGACCGGTAGAAGTTTAAGTACAGTCACACCGCTCATGATTGTGAAGCTCTTGAACCAGTTTAAAATTGTTATTGATATAATCTCATTTGTTGATTCTAACGGTTTGCCAACCTCGAGAGATGGCATGATACAACGTATGCAATTAGTTCGGAAGTGGTTAAATAAAACACTCAAAGTTAACGAAACATTCGGCATATCTTACGGTGAAAACGAAATGATCAAAGCCATCAAGATGCAAGAATGGGTGGAGGATAGATTGTCGAAGTGAGCTCATTGTATTTAGTTTTGTAACATAGGATGTAAACATAGTTGTTAAATATAAATCTCGGAGATTGTTTACGTAACATGATTCAAATTATTTCAATGCATATGACGCAGATCATAACTAATCAAGATTAACTTTTCGTGTCATTCTTGACATTTTACCCTGTCCTTATTTTTAATGTTTTTCTCTAAACACATATGACAAAATGGATACTGATTCCAAACTAAATCTTTTATCGCACATATTCCCGGACTTTGATAAGGTAACTCTTCTTGAATTGTTGGTTTCCTGTGAAGGATCAGTTGGAAAGGCAAAAAAATTAATTCTTGGAGATGGAATCACTGATGACACCGAGGAACTCAACACTCCTGAGAAAGAATCTGTACCAAATATAGTAGAAGTTCCCGAAGCACAGGTAGAAAATATTGTGTTGCAGGAGAAAAGGAAAATTGAGGATACTATTGAAGCAGAAAGCTCTCTATCAAAGATAGTAAAATTTCAAAAACTGAATCCTCCTTTAACAAACAGAACCGTCACTTTGTATTCGAAGCATGACATTGAATCCGTGCTTCCAAATATCAAAATCTATCCTAAATTTTTGCAAAAGCAACTTGCTGATGATGTCCTAGACAATTTGGTAAGTCAAAAGATGCTATTTAAGGCAAAGCAATTTTATATTGCTGGAAGCTTATGCAAATCGTCTCAGAAAACTGCTGTTTTCGGCGATAGTGACCAGGTAGACTACGATCCTGTCTATCAAGATGGGGTTACAAAACCGTTAAAAATGACTCCGGAGTTGATAAAGTGTCGAATATTGATTGACCAGAAGGTAAATATGGTTTTGCAAAAGTATCATGAGGATAGCCAAGACAAGGCCGATTTCCTGATACATGAAAATTGGCAGAGTGATTTTTGTGTAGGAAATTATTTTCCAGATAACAAATCACATTTAGACTGGCATACTGATAAACTCACCAATATAGGTCCCTTGCCTACTATTGCTTCTATTTCGTTTGGCGCAACAAGAATATTTAGACTCAGGAGGAGCAATCCTACCAACTCTACAATATATAATATACTTTTACCAAACAATACCCTACTTATAATGCTACCATCTACACAGGAGCTTTACAAACATTCTGTCCCCACCTTAAAGGACTCTTTGGTGAGGCCGCATTCCAAGTTTGGCGAATCAAGATTTAGCTTGACGTTTAGGATGAGCTACCCTGAGTTTGAAAAAAATAAAGTATACTGTGATAAGTGTAAGAAGCAGATGATTTTGAGAAGACTTTTCAAAGGTGAAGATATTGGTTATTACGTATGGATGTGTATGGGGTCCTTCAAAGGTGTAAATTGTAAAGGGTTCAAATACGCCAGGTTTAGCGGCAGAACGGGAGAATCGGAATTTGCGACAACGCACAAAAGTAAAGCAACAAGATGGCTTTCAAGCTTGGAGAAGTAATAAGTGGATAATGTTATATTATTATGTAAATTAGTAATATAATAGTAGAAAAGAGACAGATGTGGCAGTATTTGTGAAAACAAAAAAAAGTTTAAGATTAAAATTAAAAGTTTTGTCAATCAATCATCATTAACGAAAAGAAACATATTAAAAAAGAGGGCGTCGTTAAAACTTGATAACATCCAATAACGGTAAAAGCTTCTAGAATGAGGTTCGGAATGAAAAATTATGCACACCAAAAATATGTTAGCAGCATAATCAATGATTTCGTGGTGAAACAAACCTGCCAGTGTTGCAACATTCAATTAGCTGGAAAGTAATATGAAAACTCGATATAGAAAAACACGTGTTAATGTCCCAGTCTTCCGAATTTCTCGTCTAGTATCTTGTTCTTCATTTTCAAATACCAAGTATCTAAGTTTCTCAAATCTCTATGCAACGCAACCACTATTATTGTCATGTTATCAAAACCAATGCCCGTGATAGTGTTGGCCATTCCAATGCAGTTGTCTAAAACAATTTCATTTATTTCAGTGAGCTTTTTACCTTGTGATAGTTGATGCCTTATTACTTCAATCAAATCGTTAGATTTGTAGCAATCCCAGATACCGTCACATGCAACAACGAGAAATTCGTCATTTTTGGGATCTAATTTCTGAATAATGATATCTGGTTCAACAGTAACCTGGAATTCCTCAGGCGGCGTGAGCCCTATTCTCTTGTTGTTTCTTGATAAATGGAACCTGCCATGATTATTATTGTTGTGCAGCTTAAAGTTAAAGTCCCCAAATGCTCTACTCAACGCAAGTATAGAGTTGACTCTGTTCTGCGATACATAACCTCCGTCGTTGTGAATCCTCATCAGTTCACCTAGATCTTTTGGCTTATGGTCAAAAGACAAGTTTTTCACATGTCCGTTCCTTGATAGTATACCCCTAGAATCTCCCGAGTTGGCAGTTATAATATAATCCTTGAAGATAATTACCACGACAGCGGTGGATCCACTATTATTGTTAGGATCATAATAAAATTTGCAGTCAACTTTCATGAAGCAGTCTTTAAGGATTTTCTGGAAGTCAATCATTTGAAGGGTTTCTTTATTTTCAGGGTCTAGTAGCTTCTGCTTTTTTTCGAGAGATAGTCTGTTTATTTCCTCTGAAATTCGACGTTTGATAAGTAATGGCAACACATCACTCACATATTTCGATGTGCTTGTTCCACCGTGCCCATCAAAGACACCATAGATATTTATTCTCAATGAGTTAGAAGAGTTCACGAGCTCAGGGTCACTGTTGGAGGTTGCAGTCGTTGCGGTCGTATTCGATGTGTTCATGCTGAGGCTGGTGTTAGCACTGCTCACGCTGGTGAGCGATTGGTCCGTTTTATGTCGTTCCACAGCAGGATTCAAAGATTTCTCCTGCAGATTGACTTCAATGACATCGTCAAGGTCGCAGTAGGCATCCTCCATCTGGAACCTGTAACCCTGCATTTCACCAATCGCATGTGATATGTGGTCGTGCTGAACGAGGGTGATGTTCTTCTCCGTCACCGGAGTGGACATTAAGTTCCCCATTGCCTATATCTATCTCTCACTCTATTCAGTACTTGTTCCAATGCTGTCCAATGGTCCCCTAGCATCCACACTCTAACCCTAGTTGCTCTCTGCGACTCTGCTGCATCGGTCGTCTAATTATCTCTTCTTCACCGTCCAAGCCAGCTCCAGCATCTCTGCTATCGCCCCCCCCCCCTCCTCCCTTTTTCCTAAAAAAATTCCAAGCGAAAATTACAAAAATTCAGAGAACAAAAATGGCAATTGAGGCGAAATTCGAAAAATAGATAGTCAGATTAGCTGCACTACCATGTCTGCCACTTTAATTGGAATGAATGAATTATATCTACACAGCTGTCATATCTACCTCGAGTTGTACAAAAGGAAATAACAACAACAACAACAACAACAACAAAAACAAAGAAACAGTTAAACAAAACAACAAGCAAACTCAGAAAAAACGTACATCTGTAGATACTAAATATACACATGTCTACTTGTGTCTGGACACTTCTTTGACAAAATTGCCACCCCAGTAGCTGGCAGTATACTTGGTGATGTATTTGAACATGCTGTTGAAATTGGCAGTCTTCTTTTCTTCGCTCATAGTAAGCCCCTCGTAGATAGCGTCCGACAGTTCCTCTGTGTTCCAAGGATTGACGATGACTGCACCGTTGAGTGATTGTGCGGCACCGGCAAATTCACTGAGAACAAGAGTACCCTTACCCTTCTGTTGGCAGGCAATGTACTCATAACTGACAAGGTTCATACCGTCCCTGGTAGATGAGACGAGACACACGTCAGAGACCGAATACAAAGAGATCAGCTCGTCAAAAGTAACCGATTTATGCAAGAAATGGATGGGAACAAACTCAACCGTGCCAAACCGCCCATTGATTCGTCCAATCAACTCGTTCACATTGGCCCGTAGATTCTGGTATTCTTCCACATCTCCTCTGGAAGGCACTGCGACTTGGATCAAGACCACCTTCCCGATCCACTCCGGGTGTGTTTCGAGGAATATCTCGAAAGCATGCAACTTTTGCGGGACACCCTTGATGTAATCGAGTCTGTCGACACCCACAATCAACTTGCAGTCATCTCCAAATTTGTGCTTCAATTCGGCGATACGACCCTGAACGCTTTCCTTTTCTACACCTTTCAAAAACTTGTCGACATCAATGCCGATCGGGTATGCGCCCACTGTAACGTCTCTGCCGTTGTAGCGGATACCTTGGGGACTTGTAGGCAACTTCAAAATCCGTTCAACCGAGGAAAGGAAATGTCTAGCATAGTCGTAGGTATGGAACCCAATCAAATCACATCCTAAAACACCTTGTAGAATTTCCGCCCGGACAGGTAAGATCCTGTATATTTCACTAGATGGAAAAGGCGTGTGCAAGAAGAATCCTAACTTGACGTTGGAAAAGCCATTCCTTTCTAATTTTTCTCTAAGCATGGATGGAACCAACATCAAGTGGTAATCGTGTATCCAAACAATATCACCCTCTTTCACTTTCTTGAATATTTCCTCTGTAAATAGCTTGTTCGCCTCGATATAGGCAGCCCAAGCAATCTCATCAAAGTTCATTTCTCCAGGATGGTAATGGAACAATGGCCATAAAATCGAGTTGGAAAACCCATTGTAGTGTAAATCAGCAATCTCTTCCGATAACCAGACAGGATAGCAATTGAACTTACTTTTTAGGTCCGTCTCAATTTTGGTCCTGTCTGCATCGTTGCTCACACTCATGCCGGGCCATCCAAACCATTGAAACGAGGTCTTTAAACCCTGCAAGGCCGTGACCAAGCCACCAGACGACATGTTGTAGCTGTATGTGTTGCTGCCATCTGTATCCTGGCCGTCGGTTTTATCATCTTCGGTGATTGTAACAGGTATCCTGTTAGATACAACTAAAACGTTAGCCATTGGGGTCGTGTTGAATATGATAAGCTAGAAAAACGATTGGGGGCTCTTTGTTATCCCTTGAGACCAATGGTGCAATGCCAATGCTGTTGCAAGACCTGGGAAGAGTTAAGAATGTAAAGAAAGGTGGTCTACGTCCTCGTGGACAGGCATAGCTAAGACCACTCCGGCATTGATAGAGATGGAAGGTACTCGATCAAATACGTAATTGGGAACCTGATTCTTCTCTGCGGGCTATGTCATATTATTTTTTTTGGGACGATCGGCTTATTGGGCTGTGCAACAGGCTCTTATCGGAGTAGCCCTGGCCACAGCTTGACTTGGTAACCTCCGGTGACAGGGTGTACCACGTAGAAGTGGCTATGCAGACCAAGAAAGTATGCAAAATGCGCTACTGGAGTTGAGTTAGGTATTTGCTGTAATCAAGACAATTGTTTGCATTATTTAGAAGCCAAAAGATGGAGAAAAAAGAAGCGAAATAATAATATATATCGTAAACTGCGAAACATGACATCATTACTCCTCCTTAATGCTGAAGTGAGAGATGTAGTTGTAATAAAATGAGATAGATTGCAAGTGGGTCTCAAGATCGACCCACTCGTTAGGGCCGTGAACGTTGGCCTCAAACATGTTCAACGAGCCAGGTTGAACTCTGAAGATGTTGTCAGTCAAGTTCCAGTAATGTCTGGTGTCGGTGTTACCGGTCATGATACTTGGGGTAATGATGAAGTTCTTGCTGCCAGTCTCGAACTTTTCTGGATAAACCTCGTCTTCGTAAAAGGACTTGATCAAACCTGTGAACTCGCCCCAGAACTCGGACTTGGTAGAAGTTGGCTTTGCAGTCTTCAATGGTGGACCAAAGTAAGAAATCACCATGTTACCGTTTTCAGTTTCTGGGAAGAGAACTTCGTCGTTGACTGTCAAGCCGATGTTGTATTTCTTGGCAACAGTTGTGCCGTGCTTGGCAGCCTTGCTCCAGACAGTGTCAACATCATTACCATAGACAATTCTGTGGTTGATGACTGCACTGACACTTCTTGGCAAGGAGTTGGCCTTGTCACCACCATTGATGATGTCGATAGCTTGCGAAGTTCTCAAAAGATACTTGAGGAACGTGTTGTCATGGGAGTAACTGAGAATGACATCCCGAGCCTTTTCGTCGAATCTAGCGTTCTTCCCCGCATCTGCCAATGGCTTTGGCAAATGGCCCTGCTCTGCTGCACATTCAAAGAATCCCATCATTGGGTTTTCTGGAACAAGAATAGCCTCAAATGGGTCATTTTCGTAGTCGTAGATAAACTTGGAGATCATTCCAATGGATGTGTGGTCTTTTGGGAGAGAGGAGTGTCCACCTGGTGTGTCGACTTCAACAGTGAGGTCGGAATAGCCTTTCTCACCGCTGATAATCATTGAGTAGTAGTCACCCATGAAGTCGAGGAACATGACTGGACCTTCGTCAACAATGGCCTCAATGGAGTTTGCGCCGAACTTCTTCTCGATAAACTCTCCGATGTGATGTGCTCCTTGCCACCCACTTGCTTCCTCGTCATAACCAAACGCCAAAATGACGCCTCTTTCGAAATTGGACTTGCCATCGGCAATGAGTTTTTCGGCGGCTTCCATTAAACCAACCAACAAGTTCTTACAATCGCTGGCGCCTCTGCCGTGAAACTTGTCACCGTCGAACCTGCCGCTAAAAGGGCTCTCCTTCCAGTCGGATGGGTCGCCAATTGGAACAGTGTCCATGTGTGCAGCAAGCATTATTGGCTTTAGGTCTTCATTGCTGCCAGGGAAGTGAAAGACCAAGCCGTATGTATTGATCTTGTACACGTCTGCGGTCTTGTAGACTAGTGGGAAAGATTCCTCCAAATAGTCGTGAAACTTTTGCATCTCTGAATAGTCTGTGGTGTCATCATAGATGACAGTCTCAATTTGCAAAGACTTGGAGAATCTCTCAATTACATCCTTTTTGTATTCGTTGTCGGTGAGAATGTATTGAATGGCGTCATGCTCCTTAATTGGAACCTTAGATGGAATTGGACACAACGCGGAGTCGGAGGCGGAGAAAGAAGAGCCATCGGTCTTAGCAACTGTATCAACACCAGTAAAGCAGTTAATAGATGGGTGGAATAATCCCACTGCCAATGCAGCAAAAACTAATAAAACAAGCTTCTTGACAGTGAAAACGCCCCGCTTCTCTTCAACTGTCTTGCTATCGCCTAATTCAATGTACTTGATATCGTGAAAAGACATAGTATATGCTAGTCCGCTATTTTATATTCAACAACTTGAAGCTGGAAACAAAAGTTTGAAGGAAAGTGACGATAAAGAGCCTCAATTGAAAAGCATCAAATAATCGACGTTGAGCAGCCACCTTCCTTATACCCACATCAACCCATGTCTCCCCCGTCTTTTCGTCTCTCGTATCCCCCGTAATTATCTCTTGCTGTAATTTCTTTGGGGAGAGGAAAAAAACGGCAGCACACACTCGGCCGAATGCTTTTCCTCCGAAGCGGAACTTCTCTTTTGAGAAAATGGGACGTTGGTTTGAGTCGGAAGACTTTGCTTTGTTCTATATTATTGATTAACTTCACATTCATTCATATACAATTTACAAAAGAGGAGAGAGAGAGAGCGTTTTGCTTCTCTGGCTTGCTATCAGTACAGATAACCAGTTTCCACGTCGTTCACGTCAAACTTGAAATCTAGAGTTTTCTTCACGGCCCACTTATCCTCGAAGTCAAAACTACTGCACCCGTTGGAAGGGCTGTTTTCTTTGAACCAGGTGTGATTTTGTTTCTGGTAGTTCCATCCACGGTTGTGGAGTTCCTTCGACATAATGTACTGTAAGTAGTCGTCGTCTGGAATTTGCTCGAGGTTGTGGAAGTTGGTAAACTTTGATGGCGTTCGAAGGTTGTTGTAGTAGAACCCATAAAATAGTGTGTCGTCAGCGACCTTTTCCAGAAGTTTTGTGGATCCAATTATTTCTGGTAATGGATCTGTTGGGAAACTAGGTTGTGTTATGTATGGGTTCGTTGGAATGTACGAACGTGGCTTGTCTGCATCGTAAGAATCTGGACAATTGAGAAGGGAAGATTCCAAGTGCGCTGATATCTCGTCTAGTGGCGGAAGTTTGACATCACATACAATGGCAGGTGGCTGTGATTTCTTGGATGGAACATGGAGTTCTTCCCTTTTTTTGAACTCGAAAATCCTGTTCTTGGCTGCCTCGAGGGAGTGTAGATATTTGTCGCATCCTGGCGGTAGCTTAGAGTAGTTTTCAGCGTTGAGAAAGTATAACGACTCCTGGATGTTGTTCACCTGCGGGCTGTTTGCCGTGTAATTGTTGAGAATTCTAGATGCATTCAGCGATGCTAACTTCTCAATATCGCTGGATATGCTGCTCAAGGAGTTCACTGGCACTTCGGTAGGGACTTTCACAGAAGCCGGCAAGCTGATGGTGTCGTTGCTTGGTATTGGAGAAGACACCTGTGACGTTTGAGACGGTGCAGCAACACTAACAGTGGCTGCTTTCGCAATGGAGGGGTTAGTGTTCGAGACAGACGACGCCAACGAAGTGTAAGACACGTTTGTCGGTGGCTTCGTTTGTGCCTTTTTAATGCCCGATAATGCAGCTGTTGCATACTTCAACTTGGGTGTTCCTACCGGAGTGGCAGGCTTCAATCCTGCAGTGATGATGCTGTTTGTGGTGTTCGACGCATTGAGTGAAGCCGATAGAGTCGAGGCCAAGGTTGCAGTTTTGGCAGCCGGTGAATTAATGTTGGTCTGTGACGGTTGCGTGTGAAGCGTTGCCGCATGAGGCTCCGGTATCTTCGGGATGTCCGTCTTCTCTTTGTCTTTTTCGCTGTCCTCCCTCTCCCTGGTCTTCCTCACTTTTTCCTTTTCCATCTCCTTTTCCTTGTCCTTTTCGCTGTCCTTGTCTTTCTCCTTGTCTTTGTCTCTGGTGCTCTCCACCTCTCTATCTCCTGGCCTCTCATCCGTCACTGAGTTTGCCCTTCCGGGAGTGTCTGGCGCCTCAGACTCATCGCCTGCTATCACTGCAAAGCTGTCCTCCATTTCGTCCAGTCCGAGTGACTCGTAGAACGTGTCGTCCTCCACAAAGTTTGGATCCTCGTTCGATTCAACGTAGTACTCGATATCTTCTCTGATATCATTGATCTGCTCCACGTCAATATTATCGTTCTCTAAGTGTCTCAGAATCGACTCCAGCATACTTATGTGCCACTTGTGTCTTCCCAAGCTCTCCTGCAGCCCTTCGATGTGCGACTGCTTGCTCATGTCGGGCTTCTTCTTCTTCATCGACGACATTATGAGATCGAGCTCCGCCTCCATCGCCTCCATCTGCCTCTGAAGCTCTTCAATATTTCCCTGGATGAAATCAGCCGTCTCCATCTTCTCCTTCTTCCGTGGATCCACTATCTCTGAAGTGGAAGCCAACGCTTCGTTCGAAAAAGCTTTCGTTTTCATCATCTTCTCCACCTCTTTGAACCGTTCCATCTCGTGCTCAATCAACTTTCGATGCTCTATAAGCGGCATCTTGTCCTTCACATCTGACCCACTCATCCAGTTTTTGATTTGTTCTCTCGAACGCTGGAGCTTCTTGATCTCCTTTTTCAAGTCCGCCTCTAGCTTCTCCTTCTGCGACTGGTTGTCGCAATCCTGTAGTTTCTCATATGTGAAGTCAAACTCTTCGAGTCCTTCTCTGACTTTCTTGAAGACACGGTCGATCTCTCTGTAAAATGTACAATCATAAATCATGACATCATGTTCCTGTTAGTATTCTTCGTCCGTGTGGAAACCGTCCTGGGGTGAAAGTTACCCGAAATCCGCCACCTGGATACTTACTGTAACAATTTCCTTTGCGACATCTTGGAGAACTGTACTCTTTGCTTCTCAAACCTCTTTTATGTCCCTCAGAAACCGTTTGTTCTGCTGCACACACTCCTCTATCTCCTAAGGCCCCGTAACTTGGTCCTCCATTACTGTCGTTCCTCCAGCACCGCCACTTTCCCACTGCAAAACCCAGCACAAGGACCGATCGACTGCAGATGACGTAAGCATACTGCTCCCAAGTGAACTCTCCGTTTCCGGCGATAAAGAAGGAGAAACCGGTTTTTCGGAAGACCTCGAGGTCGCTGAGTCATTATCGGGTACCGAATGGAGTCGAATCGAACGGTATAGTACTTTTTCCAGCACGCTTTTGTGAGCCTTTAACCTCTGTTTCTGGCGTGCTGAAAACTGTACAGTAGTGAAAAACAGACCTGCTAGTAAGTTCCGCTAATCAAAGATGTTGGACTTTGAGTTTTGGACGAAAACTCTAGACTCTCCAACTGTGAACATCATCCCATTTGACTTTCAGAGACCAACTGATGGAAGTATACTTCAGGATACTTTCGAGTTTGTTCTTCCAGAAGGCACCGACTTCTTTACGGCACTTACCGTATACGCTCTCTTGAGCTACAGACTTACCGGTGATGACGATATTACGGTTGCTACGAACGATGAGTTTGCTGCAAATGAGTTTGTCTTGAGACTTTCCATTGATCCGAAGAAAACGTTTGCAGAACTGTACAACCAAGTGCAGTCTACATATGAGGAGTTCTACTCAAAAATTGTACCAATCGAAAAGATTGTGGACGTTTTGAAAACATCCAAGTCTCTAGAGAAGGCTCCCGCTCTATTCAAGTCGTCCTTCCAGTACTCGGGGGATGCCGACTCGTTGGAGACTACCGTCCCGGGCTCTGTCAGAGATATGGCATTCTACTTCGGCAAGAGAGGCACTTTGTCTGTGTATTTCAACAGTTTGCTCTACAAGAAGTCGAGGGTGGAGTATCTTGCTGAGCAATTCACCCAGGTTGTCAAAGCCGTTGATCACGACAAGACTCAGGTAATTTCGAAAATAAGCTTGATCACCGAGTCCCAAAAATCTATTTTGCCGGACCCAACTATCGACCTTGACTGGTCGAACTTCAGAGGTGCCATTCAGGACATTTTCTCAGATAATGCAGCCAAATTTCCAGAGAGAACCTGTGTCATTGAAACCGCATCTTTTCTTGATCCTAGCGCTAAAGACAGACACTTCACTTATAAGCAAATAGATGAAGCTTCCAACATCGTTGGTAACTTCCTTGTCAAGACGGGTATCAAGAGAGGTGACATTGTCATGATCTACGCCTACAGAGGTGTCGACTTAATGATTTCTGTCATGGGTGTTTTGAAAGCAGGTGCAACTTTCTCTGTCATTGATCCAGCTTATCCTCCAACCAGACAAACCGTCTACTTGAAGGTTGCCAATCCTCAGGGTATCATTGGTATTAAAAAAGCAGGTACAATTGACAACCTTGTTGAGGAGTATATCAGAGATGAATTAAATGTTATCACGCGTATTCCAAATATTGAAGTTCAGGACGATGGTTCTTTACTAGGTGGGGCAGTTGAGGGTGTGGATATCCTTGCTGACTACGCACAATTTAAGTCCCAAAGAACTGGAGTTGTTGTAGGACCTGATTCTAACCCGACCTTGTCTTTCACTTCAGGATCTGAGGGCTTGCCAAAGGGTGTTTTAGGTAGACACTTTTCTCTTGCATATTACTTCCCATGGATGGCCAAAACTTTCCACCTTTCGGAAAAGGACAGATTCACGATGCTTTCAGGTATCGCACATGACCCTATCCAAAGAGATATGTTCACCCCACTCTTTCTGGGTGCTACCCTACTTGTTCCTACTCAGGATGATATCGGTACTCCAGGAAAACTTGCTGAATGGATGGGTAAGCATAATGCAACTGTCACACATTTAACCCCAGCCATGGGACAACTTCTGAGCGCTCAAGCCACTGCAGAGTTCAAGTCTTTACATCATGCCTTTTTTGTTGGTGACATTTTAACCAAAAGAGATTGTTTACGTTTGCAAACCTTGGCCGAAAATTGCTCCATCGTTAATATGTACGGTACTACCGAAACTCAAAGAGCCGTTTCATTTTTTGAAATTCCAAGTCGTGCAGAAAATCCACGCTTCTTGGAGACCCAAAAGGACATTATGCCTGCAGGTACCGGAATGCTGAACGTCCAATTGTTGGTCGTCAACAGAAATGATAGCACTCAAACTTGTGGTATTGGTGAAGTTGGTGAAATTTATGTCAGAGCGGCAGGTTTGGCTGAAGGTTACAGAATGAACGATGAGTTGAACAAACAAAAATTTGTTAACAACTGGTACGTTCCAATCGATGGTTTTGTTGCAAAGGACAAAGAAGTATCTAAGAATGAGCCATGGAGAGAGTTCTGGAAGGGACCAAGAGATAGACTTTACCGGACAGGAGATTTGGGTCGTTATTTACCTGATGGTAATTGTGAGTGTTGTGGTCGTGCTGACGACCAGGTTAAGATTCGTGGTTTCAGAATTGAATTGGGTGAAATTGACACACACATCTCTCAGCACCCTTTGATCAGAGAAAATATCACATTGGTTAGAAAGGACAAGAATAATGAGCCACTTCTTGTGACTTTCTTTGTTCCGAAAGTAGTTTCTGAACTTGAGTCTTTCAAGACTGTGTCTGAAGAAATTGAAAAAATCACAGATCCTCTCGTTAAAGGTCTAGTTCAATTTGCTAATTTAATCAAGGATCTAAAACTCCACTTGAAGAAGCGTTTGGCGGCCTACTCCATTCCAACGTTGATTATCCCAATGTCTAAGCTACCTTTGAATCCAAACGGTAAGGTTGATAAGCCAAAGTTGCAGTTGCCTTCCGAGAATCAATTGAACCAAGTTGCAGTATATTCTTCCAATCAGCAGGATGATACTGAATTCACTGAAATGGAATCTAAGGTTAAAGATCTTTGGATTTCTGTCTTGCCAAATCGTCCATCATCTATTACTCCTGATGATTCATTTTTTGATCTTGGTGGTCACTCCATTCTTGCAACAAGAATGATTTTCGAGTTAAGAAAGAAACTTGCAATTGATGTGCCATTAGGTACAATTTTCAAGCATCCAACGATCTCCTCATTTGCAAATGAGGTTGAACGTTTATCTCAACTGGAAGACGGTAGAGAAGTTGAAGAGTCAACACCAAATGATGAGTCTTCCAAAATTGATTATTACAAGGATGCGGTCTCTCTTTCCAAATCTGACATTAAGACTAATTACTCTACACTTGAAGAACTTGACCCAACCAAACCAATCAATGTTTTCGTTACTGGAGCAACAGGATTTCTCGGTACATTCATCATCAGGGAACTGCTTTCACGTGAGAAATTGGATATCAACATTCATGCTCATGTACGTGCATCCAGCGAACATGCTGGTCTCGAAAGATTGATCAAAGCTGGTAAGACTTACGGCGTTTGGGATGATTCATTCAAATCAAAGATTCATGTCGTCTTGGGTGATTTATCTAAACCGCAATTTGGATTGGCCGATGATAAATGGAACAAGTTGACAGAAACAATTGATGTTGTTATTCACAACGGTGCCCTTGTCCACTGGGTTTATCCATATGCCAAGTTAAGAGATGCTAACGTCATCTCTACTATCAATGTTCTCAATTTGTGTGGCGAAAATAAAGCCAAACACTTTACTTTTGTTTCATCTACATCTACTGTTGATGTGCCACATTATGTCCACCTTGGTGCAAGCTTGCATTCCGCAAGTGAGGACAAGGGTGGTGTATTAGAGTCAGATGACTTATTAGCTGCCAAGAGTGGCTTGGGCACTGGATATGGCCAATCCAAGTGGGCTGCTGAATACATAATTCGTCGTGCTGGAGATGCTGGCTTGAGAGGTGCGATAGTAAGACCAGGTTACGTTCAAGGTTTCAGCCAAACTGGTGCATCAAACACTGATGATTTCCTTTTACGTATGTTAAAAGGATGTGTTGAAGTAGGTTCTTATCCAGAAATTACCAACACTGTCAACACTGTTCCTGTAGACCATGTTGCTCGTGTTGTTGTTGCATCTGCACTACACCCACCACGTGCTCCAACCGAGAAGCTTTCCGTCGTTCAAGTTACCGGCCACCCACGTATCCAGTTCAACAAGATGCTCGATGCATTAAACAGTTTCGGATATAGCGTCAAGAAATCCGAATATCGTGAATGGGCTAAAACTTTGGAAAAATACGTTATCGACGACGCCAAAGACAGTGCACTTTTTCCACTATTGCACTTTGTTCTTGGTGACCTACCTGAAGATACTAAGGCCCCTGAACTTGACGACAGGAACGCCGTTGAAGTGTTGAAGACCGATAAGCTCTGGAACTCTGACAGCAAGGACTATTCCTCTGGTAGCGGGGTTACTAAAGACGTGTTGGCTGCATATGTTGCTTATTTGATCAAGATTGGATTTTTGCCAGAACCAAAGGGAACGGCTACATCAAAGTTACCTGACGTTGAGGTCAAGGAGGAATCATTGGAACTGATCCGTGCTGGTGCAGGTGCTAGAACCAGTGCAAACTAAATGTATATAACTTACGTTTGCTATTAGTGTTTAGTAAATTAATAACAATTATATTTATTCTATTGATTTATTGTATGTACATGCCTTGTGTGCGTTCAGTTTCTGGAAAGTTCCTCAATAACTTGATTGTCCTTGATGGATTTCTCAACGATTCCTTGCACGTGTTGAGGCTGCACCATGCCATACCAAGTGACTGTACCATCGGGCTTCAAAATCACGACGTTTCCAGCATATACGTGGCCTCCAACATGGCTGATGTAACCGAGCTCTATTTTATCGGAGAGCTTTTCCTGGCTCAACACTTGGACAAACTCGTCATGCACCAGCTTTCCAACCACCCCACACCGGATGTCCCTTTTTGCGTGCCCACATATCAAGACTATTGTTTTCTCTACAGGTGTAACAGTGAGAGTCGGCGTGGATTCTAGAGCCTTCCCACTATTCAGCGTTTGAAAAAGTTTTACGAAGGCAGTGTCTTGTGATTGTGACTGGAGGTCGATGTATATATTTTTGGCGTCCGGAAAGATAAAGAAATCTGCTTCTGTTTCTATAGCTTCTGGGTGCTTTGGCGATAAGGAGGAGAGACATATCATGTTCCCGTTACCTCGGCCCACTTTACTAATGTTTCTCATGATATCGTAGGCCTCCACTTTCTTCGGCCATGATTCGTTGTCTTTGTTGTTTGAACGGTACACGATTACCTTGCTCAATGGCGGAATCGTGTGGCGAATGGATTCTGGAGGAGTTTTCAGCGTAGCCTGTATTTCCGGCGGAGGAGTGCAAAACGTGCACCCTGTGTCATAGGTTGGCTTAGGGCATTTTTCAGTGAAGGTTGTATGTTTGAAGCGACGGCACTGCCGGGAGAACGTCAACACGTATCGTCTGGTCGTAGCACTGGTAAACATTGTCTATAAATAACGTCCGTATACAGATTATACATCGCTGAGGAGAAAGAAGCAGTGGCACTCCGAGAAGAAAGAAGAAGAAACCGCTGTTTTAAAGTCAAATGGATCTGGAGGAAGCAAATCCGAATTCTCGGCCTCGGCAATTCTTCCGAATGCAGAAAGTGCAGTGATTACCGACTAACAGGTAGCCGGCCGCCGGGAATAAGTATGACACCTCCGGAGCTTGGTGATATGCGTCAACAGCAGTAGCGGCGGTAGCAGGTGTGTGCAGTGAAACAGAAAGATATTCAAAAAGCGACTCCACAGCTTTGACAGGCTTGGGCTGGACCAAGTCAAGCCAAACCGTTAGAACATGAAAGCGTTTAGAAGCAAATTCATCGTCAAGCACACACACATCGAACCCAAGCAGGCCATGGCACAGTCCTGGTTGTTCCCTGTCCGCTGCTGGTCCTGCTGCACGTACACCACGTTGGGTGGAGGTTGCTGCTGCTGATAGATGTGCTGTTGTGGCTGGTAGTACTGTTCGGGCGGCGCCTGCTGGTAGTACTGAGGGGGCGGTTGCTGCTCGTACGTGTTTCCCATAATATGTAGCGTGCTGGCTGGACGGAAACGATAATGGCAAGCCGGAAACTCTAAGCCCTACACACCCTAAAGTCAGGCCCGGAGACAGACAGAGAATGGCTCTTCTGATGAGGGTAACAGATCATCGTAGTCGTCGTGGGCCCGTTCTGTGGAGTCTCCACTACAATCCTCCGGGGAACGATAAGTGCGGGAGCGTGGGTGGTGGTGGGGCGGGGGGCTGCCTTGTGCTCAGCGGCTTTATAAGCACTTATGCGATCCATTTCACCTTCTTCTTCTTGTGGGTCGTCTGCATTGGAGGCTGTGGTCTACATTAGCAGTCACATCGATAAGAAACATGTCTGCAGTCACACTATCAAAGTCCTTGCAGGTTGCGTTGCTCCAGTTCCACGCAGGAGCCGACAAGGCGGCTAACCTGAAAAAGGTGACCGAGTACATCACGAGGGCCTTGGCACACACACCAAAACCGGACCTGCTGGTATTGCCCGAGTGCTTCCAGTCCCCATATGCGGTCGACCAGTTCAAGAACTACGCGGAGAAGATTCCAGATGGTGAAACGACGCAGCTGCTGTCGCAATTGGCAAAGAAGAACCGGGTAGCTATCATTGGCGGGTCGATCCCTGAGTTTGACGAGTCTGACGGCGGGTTGTACAACACGTCGGTGGTGTTCAACCCTGCCGGTGAGGTTGTTGCGAAGCACAGAAAGGTGCACCTTTTCGACATCAGCATTCCTGGCGGGATCACGTTCAAGGAGTCGGACTCGTTGAAACCAGGGAACAAAGCCACAGTTTTCGAGGTGCCTGAGCTCGAGACGGTGTTTGGGTTGGCCATCTGCTACGACATCCGTTTCCCTGAGCTTGCGATGATTGCCTCGCGGAGGGGCGCCGGGGTGATGGCGTACCCGGGGGCGTTCAACACGGTCACGGGTCCTAAGTTCTGGACCAAGTTCGCCGTAGCCCGGGCCATCGACAACCAGAACTACGTGCTCATGTGTTCGCCGGCGAGAAACCCGGCCGGAGGCTACCAGGCGTACGGCCACAGCATGGTGGTGGACCCAAGCGGCAACGTGCTCGTCGAGGCTGGTCACGACGAGGACATTGTCTACGCGGAGTTGCAGAGGGACGTGGTTGAGGAGGCCAGGAGAAATATCCCCATTTCTGTGCAGAGACGGTTCGACATCTACGACGACGTCTCCAAGGACCCCGTTGTGTCTGCCCTGTAGGGATAAATAGACAGTGTGCAAATTAAACAATAACTAACAATATCTTTACTTATCCGCGTTGTGCAACACGAGAGTTCATCAGATGAAGATGGGGATCTCGGCGCCCCAGGTCCATGGGTCGTTGAATCTGAGGTGCTTGTCCAACTTGGAGATCTCCTCCACCTCCTTCGAGGACAAGTCGAAGTCGTTGATGTGGAAGTTCTCAATCAACCGCTCCTTCTTGTTGGACTTTGGAATCACCACCAACCCCCTCTGGGTCGCCCATCTGAGCAAGACCTTGCCCGCCGACACCTTGTGCTTCGACGCAATCGTCTTGATGAGGTCATGCTGGAACAACGAAACCGCGCCCTTGGCCTCCGGGACGTCCAACTCCAGGAACGACTGCGGCCCGAACGAAGAGTACGCAACCACCGTGATGTCGTTGTCCTGCGCATACTTGATCAACCGTGGCTGCACTAGGTAGGGGTGATGCTCGATCTGGAGAAACTGTGGCTTGATCTTGCACCCTCTGAGCAAGTCCTGGATCAACGCGCCGTTGAAGTTCGAGATCCCGATCGACTTGGTCTTGCCCTTCTCCACAAGCTTCTCCATCGCCGCCCACGTCACCGCTAGCGGCACGTCCTCGAACTCCCACCCGTTCTTGCCGCAGTAGAACCCCGGCGGGTACTTCTCCTCGATCGGCACAAACTTCTGCGCAATCGGAAAGTGGATGTAGAACACGTCCACGTAGTCGAGCTGCAAGTCGCTCAACACCTTGTTGATGGCCTTCACCACATTTTCCGGCGCATGGTAGTTGTTCCAGAGCTTCGACACAATCGTGAGCTCTTCACGCTTCACCAAGCCCTCCTCGATCGCCCGCTTGATGCCCTTCCCGATTTCCTGGTCGTTGCCGTAGTCAATGGCCCCGTCGAAGAGCCGGTACCCGACCTTGATGGCCTCGTAGATCTGGTCCGCAGCCGTCTCGTTCTTCAACTTCCAGCACCCGAACCCGATCTGTGGCACCTTGATGCCGTTGTTGAGTGTAATATATGTTGGTTCTGCCATTGTGTTTTCTGTATGCGATAGCACTATTTTTTTCACTTGATTTTCCCTGAAAACACTCCTCAGAGCCTCTAAAACTCAAAAGCAACACGGTGGCAAACAATACTCTCGTGTGAAATACCCCTCTTTATATATACAGGCCTCCGTCAGACCATCCCAGGACGTGTTTCGTCACTCCGAAAAAGGTGTGGCGGTGAAAGCGGGAAATCCTCGGAATAATCCTGTCCCGGGGATTTATCGCGAATTGGCACCGGCGCGCCGGTTTGGGTGGCGGTGCAGGCATGACCGCCCTCCGGTGGTGTGGCGGTGCTTTCTGGGGGCTTCTACGGGCTTGGCAGCACATGAAAATGGAAACGGAGTTGCAATTGAAGAAGGCTTTTCTTCTGCTCGGGTTGGTTGAGATGTTGTTCTGGTCCGCTGGAGAGAACAAGACAACATTTGGGTAGCTAGAATCACTAGAATCACACAAACACAATGAACGCACCCCCTCCTCCATACAGCGAGCCTGCCAACGGTCGGTTGTCGCAATGGGACGGCGGCGATGACGACTACAAATACTCGTTCGAGAAGCCGGAGAAGCCTGTGCCTTCGCCGTCGTACGAAGAGAGCTTTCCGATCCGCCAGCCGCGGTACAACGACACGTTCTTCACGTACGTGTTTGTGGCGACGCTGGTGGTGTTTGCGTACGTGACGTACGAGTCGTACGTGTATCTGGAGTACCCGACGGCGAGCGTGTTGGAGCCTGCGAAGCTGTCGAAGCCGATGAGGGCGCTGTACACGTTGGTGGCGGTGTCGACGGTGGTGCCGCTTGTGTCGGCGACGGTGCTCCTCGGCCTGGTGTACCTGTTTCCGACGTTCTTCGTGGTGACGGCGTTCCTGTTGGTGCCGCTCTCGATGTTCTCCATGGCGGTGACGTCGCTCATGGCGGGCTCGGTTCTCTCCGCCATCATGTTCGGCGCCTTCGGGCTCTTGTCGTTGACGTTCATGTTCCAGAACTTCAGCCGGTTCTCCTTCTCCGCGTTGATGATCCAGCTCGTGGTGTCCGCCATGAAGAAGTACCCGTCGACGTTGCTCATCTCCGCGCTCTCGTCGCTCATCACCGCCGCCGTCTCCGTGCTCTACATGGTGGCCATCGGCGTCGTCGCCAACGCCAGAATCAACAAGGACGACTCGCTATGTCCACACACAAACGGCAACGACATCTGCCTCTCCAACACCTCGATTGCCATCTTTCTCTTTGTTGTTTTCGCTGGCTGCTACATCTTCCAGGTGCTCGAAAACGTCACCCACGTTGTTTTGTCGGGCATCTTCAGCTCCTGGTACTTCTTTGATGCGAACGAGGCCAGCTCCAAGCCCCGGTACCCTGCTCTCGGCTCCCTCAAACGTGCCTTGACATACTGTTTCGGCAGCATCTGCTTTGGATCCTTGCTTGTCTCTGTGGTGCAGACCATCCGCATCTCTTTGCAAGTTCTCAAGGCCAAGCTGCAGAACAGAAACCTCAACTACGACGACGACAACGACAATGGCGGCTCTGGTGAAAACGGTCTTCTTTTCTGTTTTCTTATCTGTCTTGTCTCGGTCCTCGAGTGGGTCGCCAGCGAATTCGAATACTGGATGAAATGGTTTAACAGATACGCCTACTCGTATCTCGCTATGTACGGCAAGTCGTACTTGGACTCTGCGAGAGACACTTTTGAGATTTTGAGATACAAGGGCATCGACATCCTCATCAACGACTCCCTCGTGGGCACTGCCATCGGCTTATACTCGTTGTTGTCCATGTTCCTTACAGGCGTCGCATTGTACGTTGTCTTCACGACATGGAACATTGGCGGAATCATGGACATGGGACCAGAGATGTTGGTTCTCGGTGGTATTGGTGGCCTTGTCATATGTTGGTTCATTGTCAACTCTGCCATCAACGTTCTTGACGTCGGCTGTGTCACATTCATGATTGGACTCGCCGTTGATCCCGACGCCTTCACCAGAACAAACGCAGGGGGCGCCACCGATACAAGTATCCAACGTCTCCAAGCTTGGGAAAAGCTGTCCAGATTCTACCCTGAAATTAGAGAAAGAGTCATGCTCGACTGGCCTGAAAACTGAACTCGGTCGTGGTAGAATCCTCTTTCGAGCGGCCAGTGACAATGCACAAACGAACATAATAATCAAGACGGGTTATTTTATGTGTACCGCTTATATAATTTTCTTTATACGAATACGAATATTAATACATTTTTCAGGACTCACTTTGTAAATATCAAACAATCTTATCTGCAGGAATTCCAGAACAGGAAATTCATCTCGCATATCCCAAAATGAGATCTCCTTCCTGCCAAAAGCCCAATATTGGTTGCAAATGTTTTACATAAGTATGACTGTTGGTGTGGCCATAGAAAGCCTTCCACAAACAGATCAAGTTAATGTGGTTGATTATGGAAAAGCATTTACATACTGCGAGACTTTGAGACTTTTTCGCTCGAAATGTAACTCTTGACTGTCGGTACCTCATAAACTACTGAAGATCTTCTTTTCATAAAGACAGAACGCACATTATAACCAAACTCGGTGCTTTCCGGTCACTATTATTATCCCAACCTTCAGTAATAACAGTTCAACGTGGCCTGACAGACTTGAGGCCAGAAGCATGTAGGATGGTTCGCGTTACATAAGCAGGGATCTGGAAAAAAATGGAACGTTCAACAGCACAAGCCATGAAAAGAGAAATGCCCTTACGAAGAAGACAGATATCACTCGTACAGAAGTCTGTTTAGACTGGCTTGTTGCTCTTCTTCCCTATTACTCATTTTGCAGCCCCAAAATAGACACTTTTATTGCACCATGGAGAAGTTCTCGGTATATTCAGACAAAACCACGGGGATATCACCCTTTTTGCCGGTGTCGTTGCACCCTACGGTGGCAACCTACATTTTCCACATGGTCATTATTCCAATCAAGCTCTTGACAATGCTTCCCGTGTTGATCGTGCTCCCTATTCTCACGATGTTCCCTAACACTTTTAAGGTCATCATCGATGTCATCTTGGCCTACTTCTTCAATGTCTCGGAGACCGAACTAGCCATTGACGGTGTTCGTCGATCAGATGAAAAGGCTAAGCAGGAAAAGAGTCCAAGAAATGGCGATGTTATTCTTGTCAACGCCACTGGACCTTTGGACTGGTTTGTCTGGAAAATGATTTCTGAGAACCCAAAAAACGTCAAAGTTGGTATTGCAGCAAGCGAAGGAGTCGCCATTTTTGACTCCTGGACATCCTGGATTTCGTGGTGCTTTAGCGGCTCATTGCATGTCCCTAATAAAGGCAAAAGTAAAACTGTGCACATCACTGACATCGATGCATCGTCCTCCAACGTTGACGGTGTCGCAGACTTGAAAAAGTACGTGGGTAACAAGGGTACGCTATATGTGGTTGTAGAAGGCACAATTACAAACAACAAGGGCATTTTGAGCTTCCCACGGGGGTTTGATGTCGGTGCTTTGGCGAAAATGACTATCTCATCCGGCTATGGACTCAAAGTCTTGTCTATGAAGGTATTGCCTGCTGGAATATCCGGAACGGTCATCCCAACCAACAAGTGGTGGTGGCTCTTTCTTAACTTTGGCAGTCTCAGCATGAACCTCAAGTATAAGATGAGAATGACTGCCCTTGTGGACAAGTATGCCCAGACAGATGCTGAAAACATGGAGCCAGAGATGATTACGGATAGCGTCATACGCACTAAGTTGGCCAATAACAGTCGTCTGAAGCTACTGAGTAGGGATATGGACGTCCACAAGAAGAGAGAGTACATACACGCTGTACGGGAAAGCATGGAGAAGAAGTATGTTTAGTTAAATGTAGTAGTATTCCAGAACCTCATGTATATAGATAGACCAATAAAGGTGTCGTCGATCACGTCGCTAATTTGGCGCACGTCTTTTTTTTCCCGTCCACATCACCGAAACGTGTCTGAAAAACATCCTTCAAAGCTGTCGAGGGGTTTTGGACTCTGGCACATCAACGGATCGATCGCAAGGGAATCAGCAAAGATAGATAAAGCAGCAATACACAACAATGTCTGAAGAGTCTGTCACGAGCACTATAGTAGAAACAATCACGGAAACCATCAAGTCTTCCACCACCGCTAGCGCTACAGCTACGGCGGGTACAGACGGTGGTGAGTTTGTACCACCTATCACAGTTTCTATATCCATGAAGACACCATTGCTCTATCTTGGTGTGTTGATCGTTACACTAGTTGTTTTCTCGATCTACCATCGTCGTTCAAAGATCAGATCATTGCAGAAACTAACTTCCTCGTCACTATTCAAACCTGCATACGAGGTGGATGAGTCTCAAATAACGGAATACTCGTTGATTGCACCTACACCAACGACAGATTCCACCCCTGCTTTACTATACAATGATTTAAAGATGTTGGATGGACACGACAAGCTACTGAAGTGTTCTTTGGTGGAACGTGCTGCCGAATCGATGCGTAGAATAATCAAATTGAAGGAAACAGAACCTTCTGTGATGCTTCTATACACCAGAGGATTGATCGGTGATGAGAGCTTCAAGCGTTTCAAGCTGCAGGCAAAATTACAGGACGCAGAGATGATGGAGGTTGCCAAGGAGGCCGAAGGATACAAGCAAGGGTGGAGCAGGATTATATTTGCCAACGCTCAAGAGGTCATGATGAATCAGGCTCTCAGACGCAGGGTCGGCGCCATCAACACACGCAAGGAGATCGCTGAAAACATAGAAATCAAGGGTGTGGAAGCTGTTGTCAAAGACATTCAGCAGCGTGTTATCAACTTGAAATGAAACGGTTCTATATTAGTTACGTATCATAATGCCTATAATTACTTATACTTATATAGCAGAAAAAAAACTCTTCGTGGTATTGAAGAAATACTAGTTCCCCTTACGGCCCTTCTTACGAGAAACAACGGTAAATGCGCCATCCCAGTCGTCGTTGTCGGCACTCGATTCGAAGCCAGAGTTGCCAATCGATGTGACCTTGGAAACTTTCATACCTTTGGTACCTTCCAAAGCTTCAAACCAATCGAAGGCCCAGCCACGCTTTTTGATTGTGTCTTCAATTTTTCCACGCTTTTTCATAAATTCAGAAGCAAACCTACGGCCATCCATAGTGCCGGAATTCGAATAAATAGTATCTGCAATGATCTCTTGAGTTTCCGTGCCAACAGGCAGTTGCATCATAATCTGTAACACATCTTCCTTGTTAACAGAAGAGTATAGCCCTGTCAATTGAGTCCGTGACCAGCCAAGGAAATCCATCACAAGCGGAGGAAAACTGGAAATAGAAACACTTGGCACGGTTGGTGCAATATATGATGATGTAGCGGATGCTGCTATGGGTTTGGCCGCGGTGGTACTGTGCATAGGTGCGCTCATGGATCTTAGAGTAGATGGGTTCAGAGTGGAACCTTTTGTGACATTCTCCTTTGATGGGGAAGAAACTGTAGCAATTGTTGGTCTGAGTTTCTTGGAAACTATTGTCCACGCATTATCGGTAGAAGAATTTTCGTTTGCAATGGAGTTAGCAAAAGTTTTCTGTTGGTTTGAAATTGCCTCAGCGATTGACTTCTGCACTTTTGCAACAGCAGCTGCCTCAGCCTGTTTGCGAGCAGCCTCTAACTCTTCTTCTTGAATTTCGTCCAAAGACTTTGTTGGTAACTGAGGTGAGACTGCATTGATTGCCCAAGTTGAGTTAGAAGGCAATTTTGGTTTAGCAGAAGCATTGCTGCTCAATGCACTTAGTGAGACAAGGGTCTTGCCATTGACATTGACGGTTGGCAAAGTTTCTTGTAATGCAAGACGAGAAGCCAGAAGACGATCATTTTCTTCAAGTCTGCGACGTTCCTTCAATTCAATTTCCCTCTTGGATTTTTCCTCTTGCTGGATTTCTTCAAGGGTCTTGGATGGTTTAATTGATTGAGATACAGTTGCCCATGGTGCTATGTCAGATTTTGTCTTCTTCATTGCAGCTGGTCTCTCTGGGGTGGAAGCAGATTCATCGGCGATCTTGAGTTTTTGCTGTTGTTCCTGATTTTTCAACTTTTGTTGCTGTTTCAACTTCTTCTTGTTTTCAAGTTCCAAAGATTTCATATGTTCTTCCAACTTCATTGCTTCAAGAACAGCACGCTTTTGAGTCTCCTCTGTCTCTCTTCTCTTCAATTCGATTTGTCTCTGCGCTTCTTTCCCATTTTCTTCAATCAATTTTCTCCTCATCTCATCTGCTTCTTTTTTCTTTTCTTCTTCTCTTGCCTTCATATCATTAATTTCCTTCTCTCTTGCAACATTGTAATGTTGCTGCTTAGCAATTTTAACTTGATCTTCAAAATTCGAAGTGTTCTTTGTTTGATAATGAGATTTAGAAATTTCTGTGGCTTGTTCCTTAGCTTCTAGAGCTGGTGCTGCTTTACTTGGTTCATCAACTTCCCTCTGTACGGATGTTTCACCGTGTTCAGTGGTTGTTGTACTTGGAACTAGTTTGGATACATGTGGATCAGCGCCAATCTTGAAAAAACTGTTGGGGTCCATGTTGGCAACATCGATATTGTTGATTCCCGTCATGCTGAGATCGTTCAAGCCCATGGAGCCATCCATATTAACGCTGTTCAGAGAGTTTGCGTTTAAACCCGGAATCGAGATGTTGTTCATGCCACTATTGGATCTGCTGCCTAATCCGTTATTCATCATAGTGTTCATCTGATTTAGAGGGTTTAGCGAATTCATATGGTTCATGTTCATTTGGCTCAAAGGGTTCATTGGGTTGATATACATATTATTCATTGCGTTCATGTCCATTGGGTTGAGCCCCATGGGATTCATAGAGTTTATGTCCATCGGACTCAATCCCATGCCCATGCCGCTCATACCGCCCATATTTAGATTGAGGGAGTTGAGATTCATGCCAAGTTGATTCATGTTCATTGGGTTCATGTTCATTGGGCTCATATTAGGGACGCCAAAAGAGTTGAAGTTGGAATTGGAGCGAGAGTCTAGGGTTGCCGGATGGTCATTGTCCTTTGCTGGTTCTTTGCTGCCTTCATTGGTGTTGACGGTGGGGTCGATTGGCTTTGGCGAAGTTTCATTGAGTGGAGACTGAGGCCAGTTGTTGTTGGAGAGGGAGGACAATGGATTGAAGAATTGGGAGTTGTTTGCGCTTCCAAAAATGCTTGAGGCGGAGTTGAAAGAGGTCAGTGGGTTTGGATGTAGCATGGAGTTGTTATGCAGGCCCGACGGGGTGAGCAAAGAAGGCTGGTGGATGAGGGAGACGGGCAAAGGCTGGTTGAACGGAGCGAGGTCTGGGTCGAAGTTGGGCAACGATTTACATTTCTTCCAGAGGTCCGAAATGGTGAGCCAGTTTGCTTCACCATCTCGCCTGACGGGCAGGGTGCTCACCAAAAGGCCTGTCGAATACCACTGCTGCATCGTGAGCGAGTCAAAAGGCCCCTGCTGCGTGCCTGCGAGGTCCTGGTAGAACCACTGCACGGCTGCCGGCTGGACAAACTTTGCCATGTCATGGTCGATGTGGGAGATCTCCGGAGTTGAGGAGCCGAGTCTGTTGATTCCGGCGGCCATGTTGCTTAGTAAAGGGTTTGTGCTGACGAAAGACTGTTTCGGGGTGGCCTGCGAGGAGTTCAGGGCAGACGATGGGTTCCCCAAGGTTGCCGACGTGGACTGGGGCGAGTCAAGCTGGTGCGGTTGGTGGTGGTGGAGGTGCAAGGCTGCAGCAGACGCCGCAGCAGACGGTGCTGCTGGTCCTGGCGCCGCCGCCGCCTTGGCAGAGGAGCCGTTGAGCAGCTCCACGGACAACGGGGTGTGCAGCGACGACGCTCTGGCCGAGTTGGCGGCTGCTGCGTTCGGGTCGATCTGCAATCGCCCGGTCTGCGTCATCCTGTTGTACACGTCGAGCACCTGCTGCGTGGTGTAGCCTTCCGGTGCAGCCGCCTCGAAGCCACTCTGGGTCGGAGACTGCACGGCCGGCGACGAGTTTCCTAGCAGGCTGTCGAGCCAATTGACGGGGTTTGTAACGGGGGTGTTGGACATTGCGGGGTGTGTTCTTGTTCTAGGGTGTGGAGGCCTGTCGATTGTGTCTAGAGGGTGGGATCCGGTCTCGCTGAACGCTCTCCTTCTCGTTTCCTTCTCTCCTTTTTTCGCCCGTGCTTGGTGCTGGTCTTCCTGCTCGTACTGCGAGTCTGTGGTCGTGTCCGTGGCCGTGTCCGTCCTGTGTGGGGCCCTGTGCGGTGCTGTGCGGTGCTGGGCTTCCTGCGATGCGTGCCGCCCAGCCAGCCGGGCCAGCCGCCTTCCCTTGGAAAACTTTTCACCTCCTGCGTCTGCCCCCGGCCCCGGCCTGCGACGCCGGGCGCGTGTGGCGGGCAAAGGGTTTCTCGCCTGCTTACGTGATGCCGGGTCGTGGTAGTCGGTGTGCATGTCTGTTATATTATCTATCTATACACGGAAGGCCGTCTCGAGCTCGGTGTGCAGGGCGGAGGAGACGGTGTTGTGGAGCAGCAGGTCAGACGAGGCCGGGTAGACGTCCTCCCAGTCGACGGACCAGTCCTTGTTGCGGAGGATGTCGGAGTGCACACGGGCCGAGCCGCCGAGAACCTGCGGGCGGAACTCGGACTGCTGCACGAGCTCGAGCTCCATCTCCCGCTTGATCGGGTCGGCCATGCCCAGCAGCCGGCGCCGGATCTCCATCTGGAGCCTCGTGGTGGTGGCGTCCCAGTTGAGGATGCGGGACTCGATCGGGTGGCGGTTGTTGATCTGCGACGCGATGGACACGGGGCCCTGCGCACGCAGGGTGTCGATGGAGCCCGGGGCGGACGGGGCGGCCGGGGCGAACTGCGTGTTGCGGACGTGCGAGGGCTGGGAGCTCTCCGGGATTAGTGACAGCGGCATTGGTTGTGTGGGTGTGTGTGTGTGTGTGGATCTGTGTGGTACCCTGGGCGTCTCTTCTTCCGTGTCTCGGACAAGCAGAAGGATGAGCCTGTAGTAAGAAATGCAACGGAGGGCAAACGCAGGGAGACGACAGAGCGAGACGGACAGAGAGCTGAGCAGGGCAGGCGAGGGGGCTCACGGTGCACGGATGCGCGCTGGCCGGGATGGAAAGTTGACGGGGAGAGAAAAAAGAGACGGCAAAGAGTGCAGAGGAGACACAGAGAGGCCGGACGGGGCGCCAGAAGAGTGTTCTGCGGCGACAGCAGACAGATCAGAACACACAGCAGCTTACAGACATGTCTTGGGGTATGTGTACGGCGCGTGGGGGGTGCGCCCCCCTCTTTCCGGCGGACCAGTGTACTAACAGCAGCCGGATGACGTTTTTCGATGAATTTTTTCCACCGTGTGTCAGACGACGAAGATTTTGATGTGCAGGTGAAACCCGCCGCCACCGCCCCGGTGTCATGGGAAGACGAGGCCGAGGACGACGAGCCGGTGCTTGAGTCGTGGGACGTGGACAGCGACGAGGAGAGAGAGAAGAAGAAGAAGCAGGCGGACGAGCTGGCTGCCCGGAAAGCGGAGCAGAAGGCAAAGCTTGCAGCCAAGAAGGCCGGCAAGAAGGAGAAGACACTGCTTGAGATCGACCTTGTGGATGAAAAGACCCGGCGGGAGATGCTCAAGGAGGCAGAGCTCAATGCGGACTTGAACAACGCCGCAGACTTGTTTGCGGGCTTGGGTGTCGCCGACCACCCGCGTGCCCGGGCTGCCGCCGGGGCCGGTGAGCAGAAGAGCCTCACGCTGACGGAGGACACCCCGTTGACGGCGCACCCGCTGTTCCACCCGACAACTAAGCAGGACTACGAGAAGTTGAGAAAGAGCCTCGGCACGACGATGAAGGAGTTGAGCGCCAGCTCGACCTTGTTCTACGCCAACGCGCTCGCCATCGACTTGGCCAGAGACATCTGTGAGCCGCTCACCGTCGAGCAAATCCGCAAGGTCATCTCCACCTTGAACGCCACCGTCACCCGCAAGATCAAGGACGAGAGACAGAGCAGACTCTCCAAGACCGGCGGCACCTCTCTCGGTGGTGCCGGGAAGAAGAAGGTCAAGACCGCCGTCGTCAACAGCGGACCGGCCAGTTTCAAGAAGGACAACCTCGACGACTTCATGGGCGGCGACGGAGACATCAGTGATGACGACTTCATGTAGACACAGAGAGAGTTAGAGCGATAAGCGAGATTTTTCTTCTCCTTATGTAACGGGTAATATATAATAATGCTAATCCAATTTTTCACTCCTCACCGCCTGTATCCCGCGTTTCCCCCGCATTCCATCCCACCTCGGCAGGGCTGCCACCTTCACCACTACAACCATGTTGAAGTTGAGTATATATACATCCACATCAGCTGTTTTGCACCCACCACACTTTCTTTCTGCCGGCACTGATTCAGCTGCTTCTGTTCTTCTGTTTTGGCATAAAAAGCAAACATGGCTCGCTCGAAATTGCTGTCTCTGTGGCAGCTGTCCAGGAACGCTGGTGTACTCGGTGCAGGCACTCGCAGGTTCGCAACGTCCATTCCACGCGGAAACCTGGCCAAGCCCGGACAACTCAAAAAGGAACCGGAACCAGAACCGGCCACCAGTAACGGCAAAGGTGGAGAGAAGAAGGAAAACGGGGACAAGGAAAAGGACGGCTTCGGCCAGTCCATCCTTGCCAACACGGCCATATTGGTCCTCGGAGCACTAGTCGGGACCTCTTGGGCATCGTTCAACCTCTGCAAGGAACCGCCGGAGTTTTTATTCCCCCATACGTCGACACTCCCACTAGCTTCGACCCTCTCCCCGCTCTATGGAGATTCGAAACTCGTCATTGAAGAAGTAAAAGGTTTTCTTAACGAAGACCAGGTCTCCGAATCCAAGGACGAAATTGACAACCACTCAGACAGCTTTTTCTCCACAGATCACCCAACTCCGGAAGAACATCCAGATGCGGTGATATATCCAGAAACAACTGAACAAGTCTCCCAGATTATGCAGGCAGCACACAAACACCATGTCCCGATTGTTCCCTTCACAGGTGGCACCTCTCTTGAAGGCCACTACATCAGCACTCGTCGTGGTATCTGCCTCGACATGTCCAGAATGAACAAGATCGTCGCCCTCCACAAGGAGGATTTGGACATCATCGTGCAACCAGGGGTCGGTTGGGAAGACTTGAGAGACTACTTGCAACCTTTAGGTCTCATATTCGGACCGGACCCAGGACCAGGTGCTGCAATCGGTGGTATGTGCGGTACTTCTTGCAGTGGCACAAACGCTGCAAGATATGGTACCATGAGAGAAAATGTGGTTTCCCTGACAGTCGTCCTTGCTGATGGTACCATTGTGAAAACTCGCAGAAGACCAAGAAAAACTGCTGCAGGTTACAACCTAACAAATTTGTTTGTCGGCAGTGAAGGAACTTTGGGCATTGTAACCGAGGCAACTCTTAAGTTGAATGTTTTGCCTAAGTTTGAAAATGTTGCCGTTGTCAGCTTCCCTTCAATGTCCGATGCAGCAGATGCTGTCGCCAAAGTCGTACAGTCCGGGGTCCAGTTCAATGCTATGGAGTTATTAGATGCCCAAATGATGAAATTTGTCAATGTTAGCGGTAACGTTACCAAGAAGTACGATGAAAAGCCAACCCTGATGTTCAAGCTAGGTGGTAATTCCGATAAGGTAGTTAATTCCATCACGAATGATATAAAAGACATTTGCAATGAGTGCAATTGTGGTAAGAAAAACTTCAGATTTGCATCTTCTGATGAGGAGAAGGAAGAACTTTGGACTGCTCGTAAAGTCGCATTATGGTCGACAATTGATGCAGGTCGTGAAGTTTACGGTGAGGATGCACAAGTCTGGACAACAGACGTTGCAGTTCCAATCTCTAAGTTGGTTCAAAGTTTGGTCGATACAAGGAAAATCTTAGACGATGAAAAAATGATGTCAAGCATTGTCTCCCATGCCGGAGATGGTAATTACCACACTTTCATCGTATATCCTAAAAAAGATCATGACAGAGTCAGGCAGGTTGTGCAGCACATGGTTACCCGTGCACTCGAACTCGATGGTACAGTCACTGGTGAGCATGGTGTCGGTATAGGTAAGAGAGAATATCTCAGGGAGGAATTGGGAGATGTCGGTGTCAACGTGATGAGAAAACTTAAGTTTGCCCTTGATCCTCTATTGATCCTCAATCCTGATAAAGTCATTCAAATCGACCCTGAGGAGAAGAGAGAATAGATTTTACCTAAATTTGAACAATCTTTATATATAGCTTTAGTACAGTATGATATCTTCTATATCAAAGCACAACAATGATATTCTGCATTTGAAACATTTTCCCCTTGCTCGACGCTAACATTCAGCACAAAGTTGATCTTTCCCTTACGACTTCTTTCACTGCTGGTGACTCTGACCAGGATGAGTGAAGTGATCCAATTGACTCCCGCATCTATAGTATCCTCGGATCCATCAAAGCTCAAGGCCTCAACGTATCTCAACCGAGTAAGAGCTCCAGGGTCTCGTCCTGCTAATTCTGTTTTCCAATTTCCTTCTTTTTTAGAAATATGAGAGAGTAGGCATGTAGGAACTGTAGATAATTCTCCGCTTTTTTGCTTAGTAAATTCATTGATTCCCGGAATGCACACATTATGCGCCAACGAGCTTGCTAAAAAAACGTCTACTCCATCCTCATTAATACCCAAATTTATTGAAACCTCACCATTATTCACAAAACTCAATAGAATAGGAACATCTACCGTTTCACCTGTTTGTAGCTCTTTCACGTTGGATGATGGATAACCTACCATCGGTATTGCATAAACAATAGGTAACTTAAAAGCCATTCTATTCCCGCTTATATCCTCTAAACATGTCGGGCATATTTCTAGCATTTCTGTATGTAGTAGTTTAGGATGAGGGCATATTTGATTACCTTCTTCATCGTGGATAGAGCGTATATTACCGCTTTCTTTGTCTATCAATTGTTGTGAATTACTATCATTCTGTAAGATTTTGGCAATCTCAAAACTCTTAAATCTTCCAAGAATTTCTGTCTTCCACTTCGATCGTTGCCGTTTGTCTAAAATTCGTTGGTAATTCAAACACCAATCATAATAATTCAAAAGCGCATTATATCTAATATCCGTATCATCCTTAATATTATCTTGCACTATTTGCTGCAAACTTTGTGGTTTCGTTTCCACTTTCGTTGCAAACTTGAACCGGCAAGCTGAATTAGGGCATTTGAAAATCACAGCTTTTGCTGCGATCTTGCTTTTATCATGTTTGGATTTGATGAGCTCAAACTCAACTTCAGTCGATCCAGCTTTGTGTTTGTATAACAAAGGGTGGGATTCTAAGTCTTCATCACATATCGGACATGTATAGCATCTATAGCAGTGCGTTTCTTGTGTAGTATACTCCTTTCCACACCGCAAGCACATTTTATTAGATGCAGAGTGGAGCATGCACAAGAAACATCGTTTTATCCCACACGTTCCACAAAAGTGTAGTTTAGACACGGGATGGAACGCACGCTCATCTGATGGTTCAATGCAAGGACAATGGACACTTGCATCGTCGATATAGTAATGCATATCATCGGTTTTATGTCAATGTCGTGGTTGCATTAGAATGAAGTAAACTCAGAAAATAAGATTGAAGCCTTTATATATGTGTCAATACTGGTACCCCATGCGAAATGAGAGCCGAGACGTGGCATCTCAAAATTACGTACTTGGGGAATTATTTCAATTTGCCCTAGTCCTGCTCTTCCTTCTTCAAAAATTGTACCACTAAACAAGTTGAGACATTGACATTGCACATGATAAACCTTCAGCAATGGTTTATATAGTTAATATATTGACAATTTTTGTAACATTGGTATGTGCAGATACATCAAAAGAATCTCCTATTATCGGCTCAGCACGAGATGCGTTAAAGTTGCTAAAAGATCAGAGCGGAACCGATCACAAATATACCTATGAAGTCCCTAAAGGGACCGTAAACAATGACACTTTTTTTCATGAGTATTTTGAGTATGGAAGAGAAGTCGGTGACGAATCATTAAACGGTAATTTAACTCAAAACCAAAATGGATTTTTAATCGAAATATCGGATGAATCATCCGTGTTTTTCAATATTGACGATATTGAGCAATATGGTGCTACTAATTTTGATATACCGTATGGACCTTTGAGACAAATAGAAACAGACTGTTTTGCTGAGGTCGAGTCAAATTGGACCAATCTGCAACTGAAAGCTTTTGCAGTTTTAGAGAAGCTGGCTATCGAGGAGGATAGTGAGGCATTAAGAATATTAGGAGATCTTTGCACGTTTGGTTTCTTCAATACAAAAGTTGATTTAGATAGGGCAAAAGCTTACTATGGGAAAATATTAGAAATTGAAAGTGATACCAAAACTGAAGCGCATGCACATTTCATGTTAGGAGTCTTTTATTCTACAGGTCTATTCGGGAAAACAGAGAAAAACCAACCCAAAGGATTAATACATTATCGATTCGCTGCAGACTTGAATAATTCACAGGCGCAAATGGCATTAGCCCATAAATACATGTTTGGAGTAAACGTGGCCCAAGATTATGAAACCGCTATTTATTACTTTTCATTGGTTTATCAAAAAGCTGAAGAATATTTAGAACCTTTCCGCACTGAGATTACCAAAACTACAACAGATAATCAAAACATAACGGAAAGGCTACTGATATTTGAGCCTATTTTAGATAAATTCAGTGTGCGATGGTCCGATGTGGATGGTGGATTGTATGATAGTTCTTCTGAAGCTGTCAATACAGTTCGCTATTTTGAGACTTTTGACAGCTACGACAAAATCAAAACATATGGCAGTGGAAACTTTAACCATGAAGAATTTCCTGATGGCGACGATGAAACTCTTGATGCATACAGCATGTTATACTTTGCAGCCCAAAAAAATTACAACGGAGATTACTTACATGCTAGAAATTTTGACTTATCATTCAAATACGCTAAAACTTGTGTGCACAATGGATTTTTGGAACCCGAAATAGATGAACTACTAAAGGGAAAAGATCAAAATAATAATATTGCATATAGCTATGAAAGTCCAAACTACTCTTTTAATTTCAAGCTTGGAATAGATCAAGAAGTGTCACCGCTATCAATATTTGTCGGACGCTGCTCTCAATACCTAGGACATCTGTATCTACGTGGTCAGGGCACCGAGGTAGATTATCAAAAGGCAAAATACTATCTTGAAGTTGGAAGAGTATTATCAGGCTCAGATACATTCATCAACGACATTGCGTTAATGAATCAATATGGTTTAGGAGTACCTAAGGATATAATTGGAGTTTCTCGTATGTATTCGGAAAAACAGAGGATGGCTCCTTCTACAAAGTACTATAAGGCTGTTAGTTTAATTGAATATTGGAATGAAAATATGAAAGGGGACGAAGTAAATATTATCACCAATGACATTTATTTATTGCTTACTTCATCAGCTACGTACAATAAACTTGCTCGAAGAAAGCTAATTGAGTTATATGAAGGGGGTAGGATGAATAAACCTTTGGACATTATAGTTGGGTACTACAACTGGTATCTGAAAATATTTGAATCGATGTACTTTGACTTTAAGATCCCATTTTTTGCTTTTTTGAATGCGAAGGCTGATGATACAACGTCCAACAATATGTGGACAGCGTTAGTGGGAATGGCAATAGAAAGTGAACTAGGTTATGAAGCTGCACAATCCTCGCTGGGGAGTATTCTTTATCCCAGGGTGGGCCCTTACCAATCCAAAAGTGCTCGAAACTTGCCTACGGTTTATTCCAAAATTTACACTCCAAAAAGATTCCATGAGGCAATCTCATATTTTGAGCTTAGTGCACTGCATGATAATCGTGATTCAATAAATATGTTAGGTGACATGTACTACGAGGGTCTAAACAGTGTTCCTGGAGCAGATGATCCAATGTGGAGAAATAATTGGTGGACATACGTGTTACCTGTTACGGAAATTTCTGAAAAACCCGATAGCTTTCTATTTTCTGCAATCGAACTCACATTTAACAGATTACAAAACTTGACTCGATTTTTCAAAATGAAGTTTAATAGCTTTTTTTTCCCACATCAAGCTACACCATTCGAAAGACCAGTTGCGATTATTCCAAAAGCTTTAGATAGAGCGGTATCATATTATCAAGTTGCCGCATCGAAGGGGTCTCAAATAGGATCCTATAGTGTTGGATGGGCATATGAGTATGGAATGGGAGTGGTGCAAGATCTGCATCTAGCCAAAAGGTATTATGATAGTGTAATGACGATTTCAGATGCAGGATACATTCCCGTCAAGCTTGCCGTTTTTCGGGTCAAGATGAAAACAATTTTGTGGAATGTTCTTGGATACGATGGGAATGGGGTGGAATAGAGCATGGTAGCAAAAGATTCCCATATGAACAAAGGCGATTTAACGAAACGAAAGGAAAATTACTGGCCATTTTCGATTTTGAGATTTATTTTTACTTTTTTTAGAAATTGCTAAACTTGTATCTAACATATATAAATTAATACGTTTACACTGTGTAATATTTTCCTCGAAAGAGTGAAGTTCTTTTTCGATTTTTTACTGGTCGACTTCACCAGCAGATTCCCAATCGCCTTCCAGAGTTTCCTTCCATAAAGTAACTTTATCGTTACCGCTGATTGCTAAAATATTTCCACTCAAAGACCATGAAGCCCTCCAGCAAACATCTGGGAATTTGTCCTTTGTAAGATAGGTTTTTTTCCATGGGGACGATGGCGTTCCATCCGGAGAAGTTTCCTTGGTCCATATCAGAACTGTTCTATCTTGACTTGCACTCGCAACATATGATTTTCCAAGATTGGAAGGAGACCAGGCAACGTCACGCACCCAATCGGTATGGCCTTGTAGGACATCCTCTAAGATAACGTTATTGGCTTCTGTGTTGAACTTCCAGATCTTAACCAAGTTATCACAGCCTCCGGTAACAATTCTTCTATCTTCCATTTTTTTACCGTCACCAATACATGGAGCCCAAGTACCTGCATTGGCACCGATTGAGTGAGCCTCAAAAACAAAGTGCTTTGTGTTGCCATCTGCCAAAAATTCAATCACAGAGGCACGTCCATCACTGGATGTACAAAGTAGCAAGGCGCCGTATTCCGAAGGAGCCCAAGATATGGAGTTGACAGATGCGCTATGGACTCTATGTTCAGTGATTGTCGACCAAACGCCGTTCTCTTCCTTCCAGACAAGCACACGACCATCATAGGAGCATGACGCCAAAATGATCCCGAACTTAGGGTGCGCCCAGCTGACTTGCCACACAGGCCCTTCGTGGCCGTGCAATGTTTCCACAAGCTTGTGTTGATCGTTTTCAATGGCAAAGATCTTGATTGTCTTGTCGGATGAGCATGTAGCTAGGCGTTTTCCATAATAATCTAGCACTGCATCATGAATTAGATCATCGTGTGCATTTCCAATTGTCACCTGTGTGAGAAATATTCAAACTTGTTAGTATCTGTTTACCCGATCCGGTGGTGCAGGATCCAGATTCAGCGTGTCTCCTATGAATTGAACTTTTCAGTAACCAATTTGTCCGACTGAGTGTGTTGCATACCATTTTATCTCTAAGGCGGTTATAAATGCTTGTCCTCCTCTTTGTGTCAGGGTTTTTATGAAACTTTTGACTTCTGTGCCAGCCTTTTCTAATTGCTTGCTTTTGCTCACCTTCCGATCTCTTGTGAAAGAGAGAGAGGAGGAAAGAAAACAAAGAAACGTGTCGTTCTCAAGGAAAAGGAAAATTGGGCCGATCGACGAAAATTAGATTACGTCAGCAGAATGATAATAGCATAGAATAGGGTACAGGTAACATAGGGAAGTTTAACAGGTATAAAGTTCTACATTATCATGGGAGCCAGCTTCAAGTTTCCACCTCTATACGGCCCCAGCTTTCAAGAACGTTGATGGAGAGGTTGACGATGTCGAAGATCCCCCGGTTTCCGCGGATGTCGTCGAACCATACGCGGACTTCGCTTTCGACTTTGGTAACACCCATGTCGTTGACGACGCTAGACAAGGTGTTGAGTAGCAATGGCGAAAAGAGGGTGTACCATCTATAGTCCCATACTAGAAGGCCGACGGTGAGTCTGAGCAAGGCAACGTCGTACCTCATAGGGTCACGAATATGCACGACGTGGTTGTTGATGATAGTGGAGGTGTTGACCTTGGAGATCGATAAGCTGGAAGAGTTTGCATGGTGGGTGGACAAACTATCGGGAACCAGGCTACTGCTATTGTTGTTTACGTTTGCCACGTTGCTGTTGTTGTTTTCGTTGTTGGTGTTGTTAGCAACGCTCATGGTGGACGCATTCCATTTCGATTGTCCCAACAACGCATCGGTGGTCTTGTTGCTCACGTTGTTGTTATTTGTTAATGCAGCGTATTGTAATTTGCCTTGAATTCCGATTTGCTTCCGTGCACGGTCTCTCCAGCGTCCGTAGATGCCTACTAACTTCTTTGCGGCACGGACGCTGAATCTTCTAGCTAGCGCACGCTCGTAGCATCTCTGTGCATCTCTCACATGTCCAAGTCTCTCGCTCACCAAGCCAAGCAATTCCCACTCGAGACACGAGCGAGATTCTGTATATGGATCAACTTTGGCCTTGCCGGCGATGCTGTTAGGATCATTGAATGGATGTGTATTCGAGCTGTTTGATCTGCTACGTGCACCTCCCCACAAACCTAAAGTTTCGGAGAAACTAGACTTTGTAGATGTTGCATTCGGGGTAAGTGTATTTGGGTTGGAGCCTGCGTTAGAGTTGATAGGCTCGTCGGCCATTGATTCTGCTTGCATCTCTTGAGCGCGACAATAGGTATAGGCCTTCATATCTTCATATAATAACATGAAAAGGTTGTCCAACCATCTTTCGCATAATCTCTTCTTGCGAAACTCGTCTGTGGTCTCGCCGGAACCGTTGGTTGGCAAATCGGCAGACGTTTTGCTTTCGCCTGGGTTGCTGGATTCGGCAGATGAGGCTACCTTTGGATCACGACGCCACTCTTCCTCCATGACAAAGACCTTGGACCTGATGTTCAACATTCCTTCCCATCCTAGTCTATGAACAATATCGGCCAATAAGGAATATGCTCTACGGAAAGTGGATTTCAAGCTACCTGCAGGTAGAGTCAGCAAGCTCTGAGGGGTGACTATGGAGTTGACTTCAGAAGAGCGACGATTGTTGGGGCCGCCAGGTTTCGTCAGCTTTGAATGCTCTGCGGCGACGTCCAGGGAGTTTAAATCAGTGACGCCACGCAAGAAGACATCCTGCGGTAGAGGTAGATGCATATCGGAGGCAAGAGGTGCAGAAGATGTTGGTTGAGAGGTAGACGCCGAGGAAGCAGAAGAAGCATCTCCTTTGGCCCCGTTCATCTTATCAGCTGCACCGGAAGCAATTCTTTTCAGAATGTATTTGTCCTTGTGTGTGACCATTGGGCAGGCATTGAGGGTCAATAGAGCGTCCTCAAACTTGTTGAGAGAAATGTAGATTTTTACCAAATGGGCCCAAGGCGCAAACATCGATGGGCTCGATTCGACGGCACGGACGGCCAATGGTAACGCCAAGTCTGCACGAGATTTTTCGAGACAGTACTCGGATTGCAACAATAGCAGCTGGGAGGCGCCTGGAATCTCGGCCACAGATGTGGGGTGCGAGAGCTTGTCGTGGATAAACTTAACTGCTTCCAGCTCGTGGTTAGATATAAAGAGGACCTTGGCGATGACCGCTGCAACCTCCGGGTACTTTTCGTACAATCTCTGGAGCACCGTCATTGCCTCGTCAAAACAGCCGGTAAGCTCCACACACTTGATGAATGAGTCGACAAGATAGTTGTTCAGTCTAGTAGGGACTTGAATGTCTTCGTTGCAGCCCAACTTCTCACCGTCAGGGTACAAATGCTCAAAGCCTGTCAAGAAGGTGGAGACGCTGACTTTAGGGTCAAGGAAAGGGTTGATTCTCCTGATCTCGACAATGGAGCTGAAATCGCCGTCGTCGTCTGACGTGATTAATGAACGCACAATTGCAGAAACAAAGCACTCCTCCCACATCACATCGACTTCCTCTGGCGGGACGATTTCGGACGAAGCATGGTTCCCCCAGGCATCCAACACCTCCCAGGAAACAGACCCAGGGAAAGCGACGCTGACACGCAAATCAAGTTTCCTGAAGGCATTGTATGTGGAGTATGTCGCATGCGAGACGTGAAACGGCTTAGGCTTGCCGAACCACAGCTGCAGCTCCTGGCCTATTATGGTCGCCAACGAGTTCAACAGGGCGGCAATCGTGGCGACGTTAGATGTATCTGCTCCAGTGTAGTATAAGTACGTGCCGATGGAGGGAAGCGACGACGCATTGGACGACGTTGGCACGCCAACGGTCTTAGTCAAGTTGACAAGGTCGGGTGGGCCCAAGTCGTTGATCTGGGATAGGATCGCCGTCCTATCCTCAAGGGACGAGCCAATGTGGCGTTCTAGGACTCTGTACAAGAGCAGGTGGTGGCAGGCGGCGTCTGTCGGGCCACATTGCGAGGGTGCATGTTAGTATATCTTGATCTTAATCTCATCTCTTTCTATCTCCAAGTCTCTCTCTCTCGTTCTGCCGCTCGCAATTGCGACGTGGACACATACTCTGGAATTGACGCCTGTGTGACAATGCTCATGTTTCGCTGCTGGCGCTGCTGTTTTGTGCTCTCCAGGTATGCTCCTCCCTGCTCTGCCCGCCCTTTACAACGCCCCGTTTAAAGTCACCCTGTCGTCCCTGACCCTTTCAAACACCTGGCCAGCGGGAGAGCGAGCCGTTGCACAGCTGCTGCTGGTTCCCGGAAAGGAACAACCAGGGAGAAGAGCGCGCTTACGTCAGCACCCTCTGTTTGTGAAGACCGGTCGGTACTTGTAGGTTGTTGTTGCAGATACAGCTATATGGGGTAGTATACATGGGGCTGGTCGGTTCAGGTCACGTCTTACGGCGCTTCTCTGCCGGCGCAGTGTCGTGCTCCTCGCTCCAATCCTTGGCGGTGAGACAGTACTTCTCTGGCGGGAGACGCAGCCCCCACATCGGCATCACCGCCGGTAACGGCTTCTCGTTCCGCTCGGCAGCGAGCTCCATGAGCATCTTCTTCGGCGGGATCGGCTTGAACTGGTAGCTCGTCCGTGCCGAAATCGCCAAGCGGATGTCCTCGTTCGTGAGCATCTGGTTGTTCGGCCCGCTGCCGTCGCCGCTGCCGTCGCCGGCACCGGAGGCCCCGCCCCCGCCCGAGCTGTTGTTATTATTGCCGCCGCCAAGACCAGAGCCCCCCGGTAGCGTGCTGCCGCCAATGGGCCCGCCGCCCATGTTTCCGGCGTTCGACTGTGTCGGATGAGCGTAGTCGTTGTATACCATGGCGTCTTGCAACACCTCGCTCGTGTAGCGGAACGCAAAGTCCATAAGCTGCAGAGGCACCTGGTCCTCGTATGCGGTCACACCCTGCGTTGCAAAGATCAACCGTAGGAGCCGGACGTCTCTCGGCGTCTGTGTCGCCGTCTGCGCCTGTGTCTGCGCTGCTGTCTGTCCCTGCCCCTGCTGCCCTGGCGTCGGGTCGCCGGGGTGGCCTGGCTTTCCTGCCCCACTGTTCCCGTTTCCTATGCTCTCCATTAGCACGTACTAGAGCTCCTTCGTCTTCTGCACCCGTCCTGTTTTCTCGTCTTCTACTACTTTTGCTGTCTTGTCTACATGTCTACATCGCTATATCTCCTACATGATGCTCAGTTTCTTCACTGGAAACGGCCCGCGCCAAAGCGCTTACGTCATCCCGGACGTGGCACGTAAGGTCTCGAGACATTTCGTCACAAAGACGGCTCGGCGCTGCAACACGTCCTGCTGTCGCAGCAAAAGCCTGTCGTACATGTTGGCCGTTCGTTGGACAAGGAGACGGTGTTGGTCGGAGACTGCGTCCTGCTCATGAAGGACGGCATCCTGAAGCTGGCGCTCGAGGGCACTGCAGCAGGTGCGGCTGCACTCGTCGTAGCGTCCAAAAAGTCGGTCAAAGCCCCGGCGGACACGGAAGAAGTCCTCGAGAGAAGCCATGCCTCCGGCGGCGGCAAAATCGAACGTCTCCTGCTGGAGCAGGGCGTAGAGCTGCTCCTCCTGGAGAAGAGGGTGGTCGTCCCCGTCGGCAGGCGGCGGCCGGACAAAAACCCGCTGTCGCTTGTTGCTGTTGCTGTCGACGGAGTAGACGCCGCTCATGTTCACCGACGCTTTGCGCTTGTCCTTTGCACTGGCCTTTCCGTTCGCCTTTGCGGTGCCGCTGCCTTTCTCCATTTTGATGTTCTCGCTCATCAGCGCCTCGTTCAAGCTGTGGCCCACGCCGTTGAGGTCGAACGTCGAAAACCCCGTGCTGTCGAGTCTTCTGCGCTTCGGCGAGGCGGAGCCGTGCTCGTGCTCCCGGAACTTCGATCTTTGGCTTGTTGTGGCATCCTTGTAGTCGGTGTCCATCTCGGTCTCCGTGTCAATCACGATAGGCTCCTCGGCGGCAGGCTTCGGACCGCCCGTCGGCGTGCTGCTGCTTGCGATACCGGGTTCCTCCTCCTCGTAGTCGTCTTCCTCCTCTTCAACATCGGCCTCGTGCTCGTCACTCTCCTCTAGAACGTGGCCGCTGGCATTGTTGCTGCCCTCGGCAGTCTGGCTGGCACGTAGACTGTCGTCTAAATCAATCACAATCGGATCGTCCTTCGTCCCTCCGGTGTCGTTCGACCACGGGTATTTGGAACCGTTCAGCTCGATATCAGACTCGCCCTCGCCTTCGTCATCCTCTTCCTCGTCGTCCTCGTCCTCGTCGTCCTCGTCTTCATCGCTCCCGTTGTCCTCACTCTCGTCCTCATCTTCATCGCCCTCGTCATCTCCTTCTTCTCCGTTTGCATCAAAAATATTGCCATCAATATCATTGTCCGCCTGCTGTTGCGGCACAAATCCACCAGCATCTGCCCATGTCGTCTTCCCTTTCTGCTGTGTGCTTTGCTCTCGGGGAAGAGTCTCATCTTTCTCAACCCGACCTTCATGCATAACTTGATCGTTGTCATGATAGTTCCCATTGTGGAGCCAATTCTTCACGTATTCAGCACCACGAATAAAGCTCTCGTCGGCATTCCTGTCGTCGGCATTCTGGGTGCGCTCCTTGTTCAGATTTATCTCAGGGCTTTCAGGGCTTTGAGTGTTGAAAACATCATCGATGTGACTCGTCAAGGGATCGGGGAATCCAAAACGGTTCTGTGATGGTGCATGCTGATGCTGTTGTTGCTGTTGTTCTGACAGCTTGGCTTGTTCCTTCTGCAGCCGGCGTTTAGCCTCTTCCTCAATTTCTTTGGCTCTCTTTCTTGCCAACTCTGCTTCTCTCTCTCGTGCCTGCCGTTCTTTCCTCTGACGAGCTTCGGTCCGGCGTCGGATTTCATCCGCTTGTCTTCGAGCATTCTCCGCAAGCTCTCTTTGTCTTCGAAGCTTCTCCTCTGCTGCAGATGACGAACTTTGACCACCGTTGTTGTTACTCGAAGACGATCCATTGTGCCTTTCTTGCTGTCTCTTGGCTTCATCGTGTTGTCGCTTGGCCCTCTCAAAGGCTTCTCGTTGCGACCTCGCAGCCGAGGTCTTCGCAGAGTAGCTATCAAATTGGCTAGCTCTAGGTCTTGTAGAACCGAAAGTTCGATGGTAATTAGTGAAAGAGTTGAATATATCATTCATATCGTAATTATTGCTTCCAAATTTGAAGGTGCCATCGAACCGATCTCCAAAATCAGCATCAAATGCACTGTCGTTGTCAAAGTCAAAGTCAAAATTGGTTGAACCATTGTACTTTGCCCATGGGTTGTTGGCCGAGCGTGATGGTGGCGGTCTCGCATAGGAGCCACGATTGATCCGCGTGGTGGCGTTCAATTCTGCATCGTACTTCCTCTTCTGTGTAGGATCACTCAATATCGTATAGGCATCATTAACCTGTTTGAACTCATCCTCTGCTTCTTTTGATGGATTTTTGTCTGGATGCAACTTCAAAGCCAGCTTCCGATACGCCTTTTTGATTTCGGCGTCACTGGCGTTTTGTGGAACACCTAATGTAGCGTAATGGGTGCCCATATCTATCAGTGGACCGGATGCTATAGAGACTGCGTGTGTTTGTTTTCGTAATTCTGGGCTGGAAAATCAGAGCCCTTCCAACGTTGCTACACCCTAATCAGATGGCCGATAAGTAAACACAAAAAAGTTGAAGGTTCCGAATTCACTTTCATGTTGAGGAAAAAAAGGTTTTGTTAGCGAGGAACGCCATGATGGGTGAGATTTTGTGAGAGAGGAAGTAGTTGACACATTGAAATAAGAGCTATCCGGGCATCTAGAACATCTGAAGGTGAAACGCAAGATAAGAAGAGTTTGATCTGTATTTCTCTTGCTACAATTGAAAGGAAAATGGTAGTTTTTTTCTACAAGTTCCCGGTTACAACACAAATTTTCCACATCACGAAACACACGTTTGCTCTAGTGAATCTCAAACCAATCGTACCCGGACATGTCCTGGTAGTACCATTGCGTAGGGTGCCGAGATTGGCAGACCTGCCTGAAAACGAGAGCATTGACTTCTTTCAGACCGTTCAGCGGGTGCAAAAGTTTATCCAACATACATATTGTGCTGACTCACTAAATCTCGGGATACAGGACGGGATTGCCGCTGGCCAGAGCGTGCCCCATGTCCATTGTCACATAATACCGAGATACCTCAAGGACGGATGGGGAGATGGGATATACGGAGCACTGGAGGAGAACGAGGGGATGATGAAGGCGGATTTTATGATGAAGGAAGGGTGGTGGAAGGAGGTGAATAGGGGCATGAATGTTGAAAACGACGAGGAGAGAAAGCCACGGACGATGGAAACGATGGAGAAAGAAGCAGCCTGGTTGAGCGAGAGGATGAAGGAGTGGCTAAAGCCAAGTGGAGAGTGGAGATCAGATTACGGTGTGAATCTCGACACGGTTCAACAGGAGTAATGGAGTAGGGGAGTCGAGCTCCATTCATTCCCCTGGATGGGCTATCTATTTATTTATTTTCGGTTTGTGGGTTGATTCTTTTATATAGTCATACACATACATATTTACAAGAAGACCGTTTGCATTGGTGACATTTATAGAGTTTGGTTTGCCTGGAAATGAAGCTTGTCTAGTTGCTTGTACTTCAATTCAGTAGCACGCTGTGCCTTACGATGTTGTTTTTGAGTCTTTGCAAGTTCGATTCTCTGCAGGACCTTTTTTTGCGCCAAGTACTTGTTCAGGTTTCTCTCCCCGCCGTTTTTCTTTGGATGAAGCTTGATCTCCGCCACCGACTCGAAGACGGCTTTTGGATCGTTCTCGATGAAAGCTGCCTTTCTGAAGTTCTCAACCTGCTCGAGGATGTATCTTCTTGGTTTCACGTCTATTCCGGCTGCCTTCATTTCCTTCGAGCTGGAAGAAAACAGGGCGTCCCACGTCGGAAACGCTTCTGCATACTCTGCGGTGTTGTGGCCGATCCGGTTGAGGAAGGCAGGCACATCTGGGATCTCCTTCGTTGGCTGTGGAATTTTCTTCGAGAGCGGCGACTGCTTGAGCAGGGCAGCGGAGGTGGAAAAGAGGCGTCTTGAAAGCATCTCTTGTTTGTATGTGTATGTGTGGTTTGCAGGGAAGGGCGGTGTCGGCTTTCTCAACACGACAACCGAGAGCCAGCTGCAGACGATCCCGTCCTTCTCCATCTATTATCGACTGCTGTGCTTGGACCGTTCAGAGACATGAAAAAACGAAGCGAGACGCTGTGGTGCGCGCCGCCCGTGCACCGCGAAGGTGGCGTTCCCGCTGACATGAAAAGAAGGCCCGAGCCGCAAAACGAGATAGACACAGCCACCGGGCAGAGGTGTGCAGGGGCGCCAGGGCAGGGCCACGCAAGAGCCAAGCTACAAACAGAAGTGTCATGAACGACCGGCAAGAGGTATTGGACGAGTTGGAGTGGCGGTCCCCCGAGTGGATCAACATATACGGCCTCCGCAGCGACAACATCCTCGAGTACTTCTCGCTTTCGCCGTTCTGGGACCGCCAGTGCAACAACCAGGTGCTCAAGATGCAGCGCCAGTTCCAGGCAAACGACCGCGGCAGCGGCGAGAATGGCCTGCCGCCGATGATGATCATCCCTTCCTTTGACGCGGAGCTGCGCCGGCTGCGGGGCATCGAGTACGTGGTGCACATGATCAAGGAGCCCGACCTGTGGGTGATCCGCAAGCAGCGACGCGTCGACGATGGCAGTTCTGCCTACGCCAAGAACAGCGGGCCGGCCGCCATCAGCGCCACAATGCCTCTTGAGACCTACCTGGCCGGTGGGCCCGGGTTGGCCGTCCCGGACGACGTCGTCGTGCTGGCCGACTATTTCTGTGTCGGAAGCAAGGTCTACATGGCCAGCAACGTGCATGCCATCGTGCGACAGGGTGTATTGTCGCTGTCCCGCTCCCTCAGCGTAGCCGCCGACCGCCTTGGCCGCTTCACCAACAGCACCAGTACCGTCAACAACATCGACCTGCGTCGTGCCACGACAGGCTCTGCTGACGCACCGCCGGCCAATGGCGCCGACGCGCCGATGGGCGCGTCGGCCGAAGAAAAATGGAAGCGGGAAGAGTCGCTTTTCTTACTGGCGGTGCAGAAGAGAAAGAGGCAGTAGGGAAAAGAGAAGCGGGAAAAAGGGAGGGAGGAAGTGAGGGGTGCTTACTTGAAAGAGTGTCATTGGTCTGGAGGGTTGTGCTCTTGCTGGGTTTGAGAAGTGAATAGAAGAAGAGAGTCGGACCTACAGCAGCGTCTTGCACATATAAAACCACACACACCAGCAGCATGAGATTCACCGCGTTACTTAGACAAGCGTCCGCCGCCGCAGGTACTGCCGGCAAGTCTCCCGTGCTAATCAGATCGGCCAGCGGAAACCCTACAGGTATCACCGGGATTCTCCAGCATCCTAACCCTAGACCGGCACTCATCTCTCTCTACAAGGCCACCCTGGCGGAATTGAGCGAGAAGTTTCCTGCCGACTCGATCTACAGACAGTCGGTGGAGAACTTGACCAAGTCGAGACTCGCCATTGTGGAGAGCAACGAGGTGGTCGAAAAGATCGAGAACCAGATCGGGTGCGGTTTGATCGAGGAGGTTGTCATCCAGGCTAACGAGGAGTTGGAGTTGGCCAAGCAGATGGCCGAGTGGAAGGCCTGGGAGCCTTTGCAGGAGAAGCCATTGGACGACCAATGGTCCTACTTTGGTAGAAAGGTCTGATTGAAACGGCCTATTGCATTCTATTTATCAGGTAGCGGTCTGCCGCAGCTACTGTTTCTTCTTATTCTTAGTCTTCTTGTCCCCCTTTTTTCTCTCCATGTTCTTCTGTTGACATATTTATGTACATCTATACAAAAAAAACAAATTTGCCTTGTACCGATGTTCCCGGCCGTCCTTGGTAACGCTTGTGCGGCCCCTGCAGCCCCTGGCCACTAGCTGATGAGCGCAAGAAGGATCAGCATCACGATAACAACAACCACCACCAGCACACAGCTGCACCGGCGTCTCTTGCGGTCCCAGCTGTCCGCCTTGCGGAGCTCTCGGTCGGCGTACCGTGTGTTTTCAAGCGTGCTGTAGATGTTGTTCTCGATGTTGTCCAACAGCTCGCCCTGCCCGCTTACAAGCGTGTCCAGGTCGTGGAAGATCTGGTTCAACTCGCCGACGCTGTTCACGATCCGGCTAATCTCCGTCTCCCGCTGGATAGCTTCATAATGCTGAGATTCGAGCTGTTCTGCATTCAACGGCGTGTGCTGGATCTGGAACACCTTTCCTGCAACGACGCCTCGACTTGTCGTCTCACCGCCCTCCTCGTCCGCCTCTTCCGGCACCTCGCTTCTCATGTCGAGCAAGTCCGTGGATTGTGTCGACTGCGTCGGCTGCGTCTTCACCCGGTTCACAGCTCCCTGCATCTGCTCAAGTAGTCTCCTCGTCTCCTCCACTCCCCGCTCTAGCTTTTCCACAACGACCCTTTGCTTCTGCCTCAACCGTTCCGCCGTCCCTTCTTCACCTCCAACTTCGTCTCTATACCGCCTGCTGGCCTCTCCTGCAGCAACCGTCGTCCCGAGCTCCTTCACATCGTCCTCTAAATCTTCAATCGCAGCAGAGATCTCATCAAACTGACTCTCTATCCGATCAAGCTCTTCAGATGCCCCGCTGCGCTGTAGTGTGTCCACCCTCTTGTCTGCAGATCGTAATTGTGAGGTCACCTGTAGCAATCGCTTGGAAACCCCGTTCGAAAGTGTTTCAAACCTGTTTGTGCCGCTCAGTTCATGTAGAGAAATGTCAGTCATCTTCGCTATCACTCTAAAGCTCTTGTCCTGAACAGGTTTTCTCCTTTTCAGCTCTATGATAACTCCCAACCCGACCGGTCTATCTCCCTCATAAAGGCATCCTTCCTCCCTTTTCGTTAATCTTTACGCACCCACGCTATATCTATTTAAGAAACAAAAAAATCAAGACGTCGCCTTCTTTTTGCGAAGGCTCAGTACGTCCAGAACTTGTATGGTATGGGAATGCGACAGGTCGTCGTTATCGTATTTTAGTATATTACAGTGTGCTACGGTATATCACAGATAAAAAACAAAAGGCGGCAAATGTTTAAAAACACTTCATTTACCGACATCTCATCTCACAGCACGTTCTCCTTTAGAAACGTGTCGACAAGCTCACTCGTGTTCTGAGCCTTCTTCTTCTTCAGCATCTCCTCCTCCTGTTGCTCCTTCTTCAACTGGCTGTCTGAAGCATAGACCTCAGCTATGTCGATGTTATTCTTCTGGCAATATCGCTCCACACGTTTTTTCATCTCTGTCATCATGTCACGAAGTCGGCTGTTCTCTTCACTTAGCTTGTCCACGTCCTGCTGAAGCTTTTTTTGCAAATTCTTTTTCTTTGCACGGCACTTGCTGGCCGCTATCCGGTTCCTTTCTAGAATCTTGGCCCTCTTCCATGCGTTGGTGCCAGGAATCGGGCCATTTGGATTGAAAATAACCTCGTTATTGTAAAGCAATTCCCTGGTGGGAACACCGTTGGTGTCCACCTCAATGGATTCTTCTTCATCCAAGAGGGCTTTTTGTTGTGCTTTTTGCGGTTGGCGGGCGGACCCACTTGAATGATTGGACACTGCTGTAGAATCGTTGGAATTCGGCGTTCCCGAAGAGTTCGAGGTTGAACTAGGATACATCTGGGAATGGACCATCCTGCTTATTTGGCCGATCTGACCATTGGAAATGGATAGACGTCTAGTGGGCAGCGGCAGCTGCTGATCGTCGAACCTAACATCGGCATCAAATGCATATTGGTTGCTAAACAGTGCGGCGGATTGCTGTGCAGCTTGGGTTGACTGGGAAGCCAAGGCGTGTGCGTTTGAGGGGAAACTGATGCCGCTGAGACTAGCAGCGGTGGCATTGGCCGTATTGGTGTTTGTGTTGGTATTATTGGTGGGAAGCAGCGTAGCTCCTGCAGCTGCGTTGCGTATGGCATCATTGTCGTCTCCTGTAAAGGGAGGGAAGGTCATTTGTGATGTCGGAGCGACGCTGGACAACTGCTCAGTCAACGGCGCCACAGAAACGGGTATTTGCTTCTTCAGGGAGAGCTGGTTCAGTAGCTGGTCTGAGTCTGGGATTCCAGACAGGCTCCTCATCGGGGTATTGGTGGCAGGCACAGAATCCGTTATGGCGTTCGTTCCCAAGCTTCTTCCGCCGTGCCCGCCGTGGCCAAGGTGTCCACCTGTCGCACCAGCCGAAGCAGCTACGCCATGAGCATTGGCATTGGCGTTGCTGGCTGTGCCGCTGTTGGAAAGATTCATGTAGTAGTGGGAAGAGTACTCGGTCAGTGGTGGGTTGATGAGGAGGAAGTTCTGAAAGTCTTCGGGGTCCAAGTGGAAGTTTTCAAACGTGAAGCTGGATGAAGGGTTCATTGCAGGCGCTGCTGCAGCAGCAGCAGCAGCTGCTGCTGACGCTGGCTGTCTTTGTGTCTGGCCTTCCGTTGGTGCTTGTGCCCTCACTTGCGCTTGCGCTTGTACTTGTGCGTGTGTCTGGGGTTGACTGCTGAGTGCTTGACCCGCACCCATCTCCGCTGCTGCTGTTCCGGCTAACGGGACCCCTCCATGTCGCTGCGGTACCGCCGGTACCCGTGCGGTGTTATCGTACGACGTTCCGATACTGACCATGGCTATGATTGCTGTTGTGGCTGTTTTGTTGCTCTCGGGTTTCTGCTTCCGACACGTCTGTCCGTGCCTGATATGTCTCTACGCTTCCGTCGGTTGGGTCTGTACTTGCGGCCTACCTACCTGTCAATCTATAGAGCGGTACAAAGACGCAGCCCGCACGGACCGGAGCACAGCAGGGCCTGCTTTTGTCTGTCTGACAAACCTAAGTTTATCAGCCGTCGAGCGGGAAAGGGACGGAGGAAAAAAAATAGGGCGTGAATCACAGTGGCAAAGAGAGCGGAAAAAAAAGGAACGAGCCAGCCTATATCACGTGCTCAAAAGGCTCAGATCTTTCGTTTCTTGGCGACATGTCGCGGCGCGACAGGCTCGGTGTTGTCCTTGGGGGATGAATCGGCCGGCTGGTCTTTGGAAGAGGCACTGGTGCCGGTCCAGGCAGGACTTTCTAAGAAGGCAGCGACGGCAGCCTTGTCAGCCTCGGCAGGTGACTTGAGGTAGACGCCACGGTAGTAGACGAGGTCCTGGATGCTCTCGAGGATGTCCTCCCGGGCAGTGTGGGCGCCCTTCTTCTTGGGACGGCCGTTGGCGACGGTCGGGTTGAAGCGCTTTGCTATCTCCATGACGGAGCTGACGTCGATGATGCGGTAGGTAAGGTGGTCGACGACGCGCGGCATGTCCTTGAGCATGAAGAGACGGTCCATGTGCACGCTGTTGCCGGCAAGGATGCCGACGCCCTTGTTCATGTACTTGTCCAAGTATGCGAGCAACTCCTGCTCGACCTGCTCCCGCGTCTTGGTCGAGTTGATCACCTTCTCCGTGAGGCCGGACTGGCCGTGGTGGAGAACGCACCACTCGCTCATGGCGTCCATCGTCTCCTTCGACGCGTGGATGACGGACTCGTACCCCTGCTCGTCGATGAGGTTCAAGTTCTTGTCTGTCACAAGACAGCAGATCTCGATGATGGTGTCGTTGTGGTGGTCCAACCCGGTCATCTCGCAGTCGATCCACACAATCGGCTTCAGCGCATCGCACTTGGGGTCTTTCACCTTCTCCTGCGCCCGTCGGATGATCTCCGTGGCGCTCAACTTGCCGTCGGTCTGTTTCGTCGTCGTCGTCGTCGTCGTCATTGCTGCCGCCGCAGCCGCCTTCTGCTTCACCGCGTTCTGTCTTGAAAAAATGCTGAACGCTCTTTTCAACATCTCTGCTGCTACTGGTCAGTTATATCTGACCTTGCTTTTCCTTTTCTCTGTGTCACTCGGATCCTATACTTCAGTTACACAAATCTTTCATGAAAAGAGGGAAATTTTATTTTTCCTCTCTCATCAGTTCGCAGTGCTTACGTCAGCCCCCAAACTGCAACACTTCCGTCATCTCCACCACTGGCCACTGTATTGTCTCTCACAAAACGGACACTGTTCACCTCTCTGACACCATGGCAAAGGCTGTGGGAAGCACAGACACGCCATTCACCGGACTCTGGACCGGCTGCTTCACGCTCGTATACATACACGCAGCCGTCGCTGCCTCCGCTGACAATCCTGCCTCCTCGACTGTCCACGCTGTACACAGTTCCTTCGTGCATCCGACTGACCTTTCCGAACGCTGAAGAGGCTGACCACGTCTCTATCTTCTTGATTGTACTCGGAAGTTTCTTGCTGCTGTCTGTAGTCTCTTGGTCGTCCTTGTCTTGTCCTTGCTCCGCCTCGGCTTTATCCGCCTCTGTCAATACTCTCTTACGGTCACTTTCATACACAAGGACCTTGCCGTCGTCGCAACAACAAACAATGGTATCGTTATCCACCCAGGCAGCACCCCAAACTGTATTCTCGAGGTTTATCATGGCCACGCAGTTCCATTCGTCCTCGTCGTACTCATCCTGTCGCCAGATTCTCAGCGTGTCGTCGTACGAACAGCTGACAAAAACGTGGGTGTCTTCTCCCTTGTCATTCCACTTAACAAACTTCACATCTCCCTCGTGTTCGCTCAATACGGCAATGCACTCAAACTCCTCGTTCATTGAGTCGGTTTCCCATATCCATATAGTCTTGTCACGAGCACATGTAGCTAAGTATCTCCCGTCGAGCGACCAGTCAATCGACTTGACCTCATTCTCATGGCCTTCAATCACTGCAAGTAGTTCCCATTCACTCTTGAAAGAATCGGCACCCCAGATAGAACACGTAGAATCAAAGCTGCCAAGGGCTAGAGTAGGATATGCCTCCTCAGATGATGGTTTGAAACTCACACAACGTATAGTTTTGGTATGTGTCTGTTCATCTAGTACCGTGGTCAGCTTCACGTTCTCTAAAACACTGATGTCATATATCTTGCTTGTCCTGTCACTCGAACAGGTTGCCAATATCGGCAGTTTAGAATGCACAGACATATTCCACACGCTCTCATCATGTGCCTGAATCTTTGCTAGAAGTCGCAGTTCTTCGGCTTGTTTGACTGCGTTTCCCATACTTAATAATAGTTGTCTAGCAAGAACTGTAGTAACTGGTCCACCCCGAAATACGACTGTTTGAGGGACACTTAAAGCTTGTCTTCCTATTAAATCACAAACGTTTTCCGATTCCTGATGACAAACGTTCGAGGAAGAAAAATGTTTCTCACTACAGGTAGCTCTAGCTTTTCTTCTGCAACAATTTACTGCACGCAATTGGAATCTAATTGTCCATCCTATGACGATACACTCTACTCATCTGAGGAGTTAGAGGTGAACATTAAACGACGATAAATGCAGAATCTCAAGTTGTTTCTTCGACCACAGCTTGTGGCTCCCCATCTGAGAGGATCACCATTAAATTTTCCTAAGGCATTAAGATATAAGTCGTCGGACTCTGATTCCGAAACAAAGAACTCAAACGAAAGCAATAAAGCAGGACCGAGTGAAAATAATATCACAGATAACAACTTGCCCATAAACAGAACAGAAGGTGCTCATGATCTTACAGAAAAATTTAACCCTGATCTATCCTCAAAGGTCACAAAACCATCATCAGCGCTACCCGCTATGGATCCTTCACTACGAACTTTGATGGCCAAGACGAAGGTTGAGTACAATCCCGTTACAAATTCGCAACAGCAATCTTATGAATTCAAAGCTCCAAAAACGCCAAAGCAACTTTATAAAGAAAAGATGGCGGAAAAGGCACGTCCAAAATCAAAACTCAGAAAGCTGTTACCCTCGTTAATAATATGTGGAGGTTTGTGTTGGGGAATCTTCACATATAAATACATGACCAAAGACTCCAATCCTAATGTCGACACTGACTCAGCTTTGCTTAGAGAAGACAAATTTTTACCATATCTCATTTCTTTCAAGCACAAAATCAATGATGATCATTACCTGATCGAACTAACACGAAAGAACAGAGCTGAGAAGTTGATCCACAATGAACAATTGTTCAACGGTGATAGACTATGGAGTGTAGAAATAATGCAACCAGACATCAATATCGTCAGAAACTATACCCCTTTGCCAATGTATGTTGCCGGTATTGATCCAAATACTAAGGAACCTCATTTACGTTTAGTGAAAGAGCTTGCGGAAGAAGGGAAGTTCATTCTCATTGTTAAAAGATATAATGAAGGCGAATTCTCTCGCTGGCTCACAGGACGCAATCTACTAGAAGAAATAAACGTTCGGGGTCCAATTGTCGAGTACAAAATGCCATACCATCCTTTGAATAGATATGATGAACGTCCTCAAATGTCTAACACTCTTTCCTCTATCAAGCCTGATCCAATATGGCCGGAAAATGTTCCAAAACCTGAAAACTATGTATTCTATGGTGCTGGAACTGGTATTTTGCCTTTATTTCAACTGATATATTCTCCTAATCCACCTCGTGGGTTTACGGATGTTTTTTACTCCTTGAGGGATGAATCGGAATTATTACCACAAATCAAAACGTTGAATTTTTTTGCAGAAAAATGTGGACGTGTGAAGTTCCATTACTTGATTTCAAATGATAAGAAGCCAAACCACTTGACCGCAGAGAAGGTGAGCTCTCCGACTTTACCAAATTTTACCGGCGGTTGGGATTTACGTATGAGCGAAGAAGTTTACAAACAGAAGTTACTGCGGGAAAAGAAGGCAGAAGTTGAGAAACAAATGGAAAGAGCATCTAACTCTCTGAAGTCACTCACTGGCAATGCAACACTTGTTTCTAAAGACGCTGTTATTGTCACATCTGATTCTAACTCTTCATCTTCTGCTTCTTCAACCTACATTCAACCAACGAATAGTAGAATCAAACCCGAAAGTGCATATCAGCAATGGGTTTTTTTCAAGAGAGCAAAAGGTGATAGTACAACCCCACCTCCCTCATTTGCATTTGTCTGTGGCCCAGAGAGCTACATTTCTGATGTCTCGGGAAAACCTGATTTGAACAATCTGGAAAAGAAGGATAATGGACCGATAGGTGGTTTACTGATGGAAAAGGGTTGGAACCTTAATAACATCAAAAGACTGCAATAGCTCAGTTTATACATTCCTGTTGTACATTATTACTAATTTGATACAAATATTTATAAACGTTTTTCTTACATACTTTTTTTTTGATTCTAAGACTGTATATAACCTTCAGCTGTTCAGAATTACAGCATCAATCATAAACTCATCTTCCAATTCTGTATCAGCAACAGTAGCATTCAGATCCATATCATCATCATCAAAGACCAGTTTCAGGTTAGTGCTGGACGGAAGACCTGATTTTTGCCGATAGAAATTCAGTATATCAGATATTTTGGTGCTGGGTTTAACGCTTACTTTAAACCTCTTTTTGTCACTACCTGCAACAAAAATAGAGAAATATTCCGTCCTTGAATCAACGTCATTAGGGATATGTTCATTTGTAGCGGTCATGTCCTTTTGTATTTCTTCCAAATCAAAATCATCTTCTTCTACCATATCTAACTCTCCTCCTTCAGCTTGTAACTCACTTAATTCATCTAGACTGTATTTCACCTCTAAAATTTGTTTATCTATAGCGCCAAGTTCATCGAGCCTTCTTGTCGGATCTAACAATGCATTGTCCCTAAATATTTGCGTATTCAATTCATTGGGAAGACGAGCTTTATATTTAAAAAGCATTAGCAATTCCGAAACAGTCATACTTTGCAATACAGATAAAGCCAGAGTGAATTTCGATTTTGATTTGGTATCAATTGCTTCATCATTTTCAAGATCAATCACTTCTGTATCTTGTGCTAGTTTGTTTTCTCTTTGTGGGTCTACAATAATAAAATTGAAAAAGGCATCATCAGTCTCGTTATTCTCTTTCCTATGAGAAACATTCTCCTCTAACTTTTTCTTGCGTTCTTCTTCTTGAATTAATTGTGCATACTCTTCTGTGGCTATGATTGCATGCAGTTCATAATCTGCACCATTCGAGGAGGGTAAGAGTTGACTCTTGTATCCTAGCAAAGACATACATCGTAAGGACGGATGAAGTATAATATTCAAGTTTTTTACATATATGACAAGTGACCCCCACTCGTTGGCAGGACATTGTGGATTGGCCTCTTTGTTGAACAGAGGCATCAAAGTATTGACAATCTTCGATATTTTAGTTGATCCTTTGACTTGTAAATCGTAAGATCCAGAAACTTGACCGGCAGCTTGGATGTCAATGTGAAACTCAAACTTTACTGATTTAGGAGAAATTTTAACTCCATTTATTACAATTTCTTCTTGCTGATGAGATTGAAGTAGATCTTGAATTTCGTGCTCTTTCTCCTTAATCGATGTTACATAGCTGTTTATGGAGCTGAGAAAATCGTCGGGATCTGCGGCTGAGTTGTTGTTATTTGTTTGAGTCTGACTAATAGTTACTTTTGTGGCAGATTCAGTTGCTATTGTTGTACGATTTAATAGTCGAGATTCCCGATCGCTCATTGAAGACCTTACTTCCTCGTTGGTGTTTGTTGTGTCAGTGGAGACGCTTGCATCAACAATGGGGAGGGGAGATGATACCGAAAGTCCTAGCAGGTTTGCCAAAGCAGCTTCGTCTTTGGCATCGTCTTCCACTTCCTCTATTTCAACAGCATCACTAGGTTGCACAGTATTTCTATTTTTTTTGATGGATACTTTTGTATCGCTTATCTTTTCTCCTAACAGTTGGCGGCTTCCGAGTTCATTAATCTCAGTTTTGACACTCTTCTTCTTTTTTCTCTTCTTTTGTTGCGGAGGCGAACTAAAGTCGTCGTTGGTAAAGGCAAAAAAGTCATCGATTGGTGGCATCGTATGGCTCTACCTTGTCGGCAGCTGTTTTATTCCACGTATTATGGATTTTTTCTCTTTTATTTTATTATGACCCCGATAATTCTCCGGCAAAACAAGAACGAAAAATTCGCCGCTTACAACAACTTTTCTTGATTTTCATGTTTCGGTTGAAAGAACAACGAGAGACTTTTCCCCGAAAGACAATAAAAGCAGAAGGAAAACAATACCGGATAAATAGAGGCACTTCTATATCGAAATGAAGATTACACAATATACACTGCAAGGGCTAGGATCATTGGTGAAAGCCAGGTCATATACTAGAGTATCATCCGCCTCAACAGTCCAAACAGTTTCGGTAACGGACCCTTTTTTCAGACTACCTAATCAATCTACAATATTAAGTGGAATTCAACCCACAGGAACGTTTCATCTTGGTAATTATTTTGGTGCAATAAAGTCCTGGCACAACCTTAACACACTGGTGGCAAACTCATCTAACGATGCATCGCTGTTCTTCTTTGTTGCCGACCTGCACTCATTGACGGTTCCTCAAAACTATGAACTTTTAAGGCAGCAAAGGTTAGAAGCATTTGCATCCATAATTGCCTGTGGAGTCAATCCAGAGTCTTCAACTTTGTATTACCAATCAACTATACCTGAAATTTCGTCCATACAGTGGGTTTTTTCATGCATTACTAGTATGGGATATCTTAATCGTATGACGCAATGGAAATCAAAAGCTAATCTCAACGAATCAGCCAGTGTTTCAGATGACAGCGCTTTAGGAAAAGTAAAGCTAGGATTATTCACGTACCCTGTTTTGATGTCTTCGGATGTCTTAACCTTTCGTGCAACCCATGTACCTGTTGGTCAAGATCAAGCCCAACATCTAGAGTTGACCAGAGAAACTGTACATGCTTTTAACAAGACTGTGGGTCAAGATTATTTCAAAGTACCACACACAATGCTCACGCCTACGAAAAAGGTCTTGAGTTTGAAAGATCCGATGAAAAAGATGAGTAAGAGTGATAAAGAACCACTTTCAAAGCTCTTTATAACGGATTCACCAGAAGAAATCAGAAAAAAATTCAATAAAGCTACCACAGACTCAGTCGAAGGAAAATTAACTTTTGATGAACGGAACAGACCTGGAATTTCAAATCTGATAAGTATACTGGCTGCTGCAACTAACTCTTCCATAGAGGAGACTGTGAAAGAAGTAGAACACTTTACGAAGAAAGAATTAAAAGATCGAGTTGCTGAAGAGGTTATTCGAGAATTAGAAGAACCTGCCAGAAAGTTTAAAGAACTCATTGCCAATCCGGAATTATTGGAGAGATGGAGTCAGCGAGGCACTGATAAAGCCAGAAGTGTTGCGAATGAAACGCTTAAGGATGTCATGAGACTGGTCGGGATGGGACATTATTAAAGAAATATTGTTGAACACTATTACTTTTACATGCAAATATTTAAACAGTAAATCTGATTATCTTGTAATTACAAATGAATTATACAAATTGACATTTCTCTATTCACAATATATCAATGTCGGAATCATCTGCTTCTGGTAGTAGGCCAATTGATTCACTATATTGCACCAATATGTGTTGAACTTCCCTATGCTTTGAGCAACTGAGAAGAAGCTCCTCCAAAAGCTCCTTTTTTGAATGTCCGCATATCTTACCATTTCTGTCTATAAACAAAGACTGCAAAATTTCTAGTAGCCGGTTCTTCAAATTCAATTCGCTCAATCTTTTTGCATAAACAATAAGAAACATCTTATAGTTACTATAATCTTTCAGGTAGAGGTAGAAGTTTATCTTATTTTCAAGATGATTCAAAGATATAATCGTTTCCAAGTTTTCATATCCTTCTCTCATAAGCATCATCTTCGAAATCTTTGAGAAAAATTTAGCTTTACCTCTACGATTGATTTCATCATTGGTATGTGATTCCATAAATTCTAAAAGACCCATATTTTTTAAAGAATCGACAGACATTGAACTGTCCCAGTATTGAGAACCAAATGCCCACCAGGAATCGCTAATTAAAGACCAGGTGTTCATGTCTTTGTTGAACAAATATCCATTGCCGTTGCTGAGAGTAACTATTGGAATTCCCTGGGCTGTGATAGAACATATGGTAAGATTTTCACTTCTGGTTAATAACTCACCATTAACAAAAACTAACCCATTAGCTTCCATGTTCACGTTGATGTTTCCCCCGCCACTCTCATTGTTATCAGCAGATGCAGCAACAGCAGATGCGCTAGCTGAAGAAGACTTCCCAGAAGAGTAGATGGGTTGTAATAATGGATATAGTGATACAGGTTTGAATATTGAGATTTTTTTGTCGAGATCCCACACGTATAGTTCTCCTGTGCACGTTACGGCCAACAAAAACTGGTTTTTCATTTCCAAAAATGATAGTGGAGAACCTAGTACTATAGCTGGTAAAACTCTCCGCCCAGACTCTGTATATGTTAAAACTTGCCCGGTTGGCGTTGACAAAGCCCAAAATCGAAATGACCCAGACACAATGTGAATTTTATGAGGCAAAAAATCCACAAAAATCTGTTTGCTGTCCATTTTGGAGACCTCTTTTGACAAAGATATTCTGGTAGGTTGTGATTCAAATCCATTACCATTTCGCACAGTTAGATGGTAAGTTTTATCATCCGGTATTCTGTATGAAATTTTCGTCCTCAGTTTTGGAATTGCAATACGGATGTTACTAAAAGAGATCTGAGGATTAACGGCTACAGCACCAACAAAGTCAACTGGTTCTGCATCTCTCTTCTTTTTTCCAGTGTTGTTAGAATTGCTATTAGGGTTAGTTGCCGATTGTCCTAGATCTTTTTTCATCATCTTAACTACTTTAGAGTTTAAATCTTTCGGAACAGAATTTGATGGCAGATCATAATTCGATGTCGAAGCAGGCCTCTTCTTGGAATTTTCGCCATCGGCTTTTCCTTGAGTGTTCTTGTTACTCTTTTGAGGAGAAGTATTACTTGGTTTGACTTCCTTAGCATCTTTTTTTGACTTTTCTTGATCTGCTGCTTGATCGTCAGGTATTTTGCTTTTAGGGCTTTTGTCCTTTATTGGAGTGTTTTGTCTTGGTTCTTCTTTTGTCATTTCATCGCTATTCGTTTCTTTGACTTTCTCTTTTTCATTCTTCTTTTCTTTATCTAAATCATTGTTTTTAACTTCAGCTGTATCCTTCTCTTTTACCTTTTCCTTTTTGTCATTAATAGTAGGAGAAGTTTCCCCTTTTACTTTGGGCTGCTCGATAGGAGTGGCCGATAACGGTTTGATTTCTGCTGGCTTTACTTTTATTTTTCTCAGCTCAGCGTCGAGAATCTCTTGTTCTTTCTCTTTGACAAGTTGAGGGTGGTCATTCATAAAAGATCTCCATTTTGTCATTTTTTCAAATTCTATTGGTAATAGTTCTCTTGTTTTCTTATGCAAGTCTAACGTTAGTTCGTTGTTTTGGTAAAGTGGAATTCCGAATTCATTTTCCTTGAAGACGGCCACTATCATGCTGCCATTTTGAGGTGTCAAGAATATCATCGAGCCATCCGAGCTCCAACAAAAATCCAAAATCGATGGAGCTAAGTCCGTTACAGCATAAACTGGTATGTCCATGTCAGTTCGCCAGATGGATAATGCAGAATCGGTTGATAGTGATGCCAAAACGTAAAATACTTCATTCTTCTCATTTCTATATACACAGGGCGAGAATATTGTCATGAAAGACTTATAGCCATGTGCCACTAATTGGTTTGATATCTTCCAGCTGTCACTGCTTGGATCTTTTGAAACCAACGTAACTTTCATAGTTCTACTCTTTGACGTATTTGGACAAGAGATTAGTACATCATCTGGAGAAAATGACAGCTTCTTGATAGTAGCCTTGTTCAACTTGGCGCTGTTTATTATTCCATCAAACTCTTTCACGATTGAATACTCTATTTTTCTTCCCAAAATTTCATCAGTTACTAGTTTGTATTTGACGATTTTCAGGGCTCTGTCGTCACCTAAGGTAACTAGAAAACAGTTTTGTGTTTTATCAAATGCGACACCTTTCACTGGAATACTTATCTCTTCAGTAGTTCCATCCTTTGAATTTATTACCTCGGTATTTTCATGTAAATGTAAATTGGAGATAATTTTTCCGTAGATCACGTCGTAGATAATCACCTCATTGTTCATGGATGTAAAAGCCATCAACTGATCATCTGCGGACCATGAGAAGTCCAACAGCAGCCCGTTTACGTGCTTGAAGATTTGTTGTATTCGGCACTTATTTACATCTTGTGGGTTTGTAACAATGTACACCTCACCATTCTTATACACAGCTGCCAATAGATTTGCGTTTGTCGAAAGGTTAGCATATCTTAAAGATGTTATTTTACTTCTGCTTCTAACACCCACTATATTCAAAACTCGTTGTGCATTTGTAATTCGAAATGAATCAAGCTCAGGGGTCTTTGACACTTCGTGGAGAGGTTTTGTGTATTTGGATGTGCTTGTATAGGGGACACTGTGTGTCGTATTTTCGGCAATCTCTGGTTTGGGTTTTGATTCTGCGCCATTGAGATCATTTTCTGTCCTTGTGGGATCTTCGGTTGGAGCCAAATCCTTCTGACCTCCATTTTCATTTGATTTCGGGGACGGTTGTCTGTATATCTCGGCTATGTTGCGGACAGACCGAATTGATATGTTTCCATCGATACTAGCCGTTGCGACGTACTGATTCGTCGAGTTGACAGACACAAATAGAGACGACCCTGCGTTCAAAAACGGATTGTGGATGAACATGGTTGCTTTTTGGCCAAAGTAACCTTATAAATTGATCAAGATCTTGGATGCAGAGTGCACAGCTATTAACAGGCCAGCGTATGGCAGCAAAGGCTTCGCAGCTCTGTTTTTGGCAGCTGGCGGAGACAGAGAGGAGCCTGGAAAGTCGCACGAATTTTCTTGTGGTGAAGTTTACTGGTGATGGCGGTGGCCAGAAGAGGTACGGAGGAATGCCATGAAAGGCTAACACAAGAGGCACTGGAGCAGAGAACTGGGACTAGGAAAGAAGTGACGACTGGAGCGCAAAATGGCTTCGCAGGACTACGTGACAGACTCGGGTTCAGAGTATACGGAATATTGGATCGATTGGTTTTTGGGAAACAAAGGGAATGAATACTTCTGTGACGTGGATGTGGAATATATCACGGACAGGTTCAACCTCACCGGGCTAAATCAGTATGTCGATAGGGTATCGTTGTCGGTGGATATTATAACCGATCGTCAGCAGATAAACGAAGAGCAACCAGAAGAGGTGAAACGCACGTTGGAGGAAAATGCAAAGTTTCTGTACGCCTTAATTCACGCCAGGTTTATCATCACATTGCGGGGATTGAACAAGATGCTAGAGAAATATCGGAACGGTGACTTTGGGTTCTGTCCCCGGGTGCATTGCAAACTGACCCCTTTGTTGCCTATAGGATTGAGCGACACGCCTAGGGTAGAAAGTGTGAAACTTTACTGTCCAAACTGTGAAGATATCTACAACCCAAAATCTACCAGACATTCATCCATTGACGGGGCGTTTTTTGGAACTTCATTCCCGGCAATGTTCCTCCAAACATATCCTGAATTAGTGCCAACACACAACACCGACATCTTCACACCCAAAATTTTTGGTTTTCAGATCCATGACACAGCCAAGCTAACAAGGTGGCGGATACTACAGAAAGAAAAACTCATCAAAGACTTAGAGGAGAAAGGAATTGATCATGGAGAGGAGGTTCCGGGTGGGTTTGCCAAGCCGATCCCGGAATACGAGCGTGTCACAAAGAGCTCTAGCAAGCGTGCCCGGGAGTACAAGGCCAGGAGCTGATTACTAGAGTTTTAAGCAGAAATCTTTTCTGAACAGATCGTTCACTTCGTAGTTGGAATGTTTTGTGAGTCTTATCTTCTCATTTCATAATATGTCTTCCTTAAGCTTTTTTTCTTTCTTTATTTGTGTATATTTGTGACGGTCACCTTCTGTCGAGAGTGTATGTTGTTCGGCTAAATTTAATATTCAATATATAATATAGAATCAGGAAACTACCTATCAATACTTCTTCTACATCATTAACTTGATGCCACGATGGTGATATGATCATCCAGGCTTATGTAATTTTGAGTAAAGTTGACAGTGTACGCCAAACTCCTTTAGAGCCTTTTGGGACAAAAAATAGACAAAAAATAGACAAAAAATAGACAACTACGTTTTATATAATTGAAGCTTGCACTATGGCCGGTCAAAGATTTCAGTTAGATAATTTATTTCCTTGTATCTGACACAATTCTGCAAATCTAGATCTAAATTTCTAGACAAATAATGAAATTCTAAAAACTTTTTGACAACGTGAGAGATTGGATTTATTTGGCTGCTTTTGAAAAGTCCAGCAGTCCAGCAAGCTTTGGCATTATAATGATTTGAGCGATGTTGGATTATGTACTGTGAATGGAATTGATTGAAGCTAAAATTCGTTAAGTTAACAACTCCTTTTTAGATTATAGGACTACTACCACAAAAGAAGTGTCGCGTTATTTGATGGTATTGGTGGTTTTGTTATCAGCGATGTGCCATGATGCTCTGAAGATACACATCCATTTAAGCATTATTCTATAAAGCAATTACTAGCGTATTGATGAGTTTCGAAACATTCAACATACATTGACAGATAACATCATATTCCCACTACAGTCAATAATGACCATGATTTTAGAGAAAGATGTATCGCATGGCAGATCTGATTGATATCGGGTGCTGCAACAAAAATCAATTTTTCCGAACATCTACGGATAATGTGAAAAGGCGTATCTGAATAAATTGTTTGACCATATCTGGCTCATAGCCTTTTCGGTTTCTCTTGCAATTGGATACGTGATACGATGCCAACAGGAGAAAAGCTTGAAGTTGTTGAAAAAGTGGTCGAAAATCCAGATTCAATATCCATAAAACATACCATAGATACAAATGTCGAATTGGACACACATGTCATATCTCCATTAAAGTATTTTGAAGCTCGTTCGAGGTTCAATGATGAATCCGATAGGCACACCACTGTTTTGCTCATACTCAATCAGCAAATCAACATTCTTCCTGATCTATTTGCAAAGCTATGGAACAACGCCACCCTCAAAGTATGCGCCGATGGTGGATTGAACAGATTACGAGATTATGATAGTACATCATCGGCGTATATTCCTGATTACGTTGTTGGGGATCTGGATTCGGCCAAGAAGGAAAACATTGAACATTATCAATCGCTTGGGACTAAGAAAATCTTACAATCTTCCCAATATTACACAGATTTTATGAAAGCTTTGTCTCTGATTAATACTTTTTTCAACTTTCCAGATATCATATCTGATATTAACCACTTAGATACCGTGGATGCATTGGAAAAGCTAGAAGAAGAAAGGTCAGCTGAGTCTGGCACCAAAGTAAAGGCTCTCAAAATTGTGGTTCTTGGTGGTGTGGGAGGTAGATTTGACCAAACAATGGCTACAATTAATCAGATATGGAATTTATCATCACGGAGGCCACACCTGCAATTTGTAATACTCAACCCTGAGCACACAGAAATTATTGTGCTATTAAAACCAGGCTTTAATTTTGTTGCCTATCCAAGATTTACCCCACAAGAAGAAACCGAGGTTTTTGGTATTATTACGGAGAAGTCGAGACCAGGCCTACGTAATGTAGGAGTACTACCAATATTGAGCGACGCGGTGATCACAACTTATGGCTTGAAGTGGGATGTTGAGAATTGGAGGACTGGCTTAACAACAAAAATGTCCTCTTCAAACCTACAAGTCGGAAAAGAGGGATTCATTATCTGGACCAACAAGCACCTGTTTGTTGATTTTGAGTTATGAGTTTGAACAGCGTTGTAATATGAGTATATTTGCGTACAAAAAAGCTATAGACATGTAAACAGTAAAACGACAAAAAAATAGACTACATTAAAAAAAGTCTGTTGTAAGAAATAAGAAATAAAAGGCCTAAAGTTGTGACCAAAAAGCAAAACAAAATATTAACAAGATAGGTTCCCTGACTCAGCTACTAAAATAGTCCTTTATCCTGCAATTCGTCAATGATATCTTGAATTCCGGTATTTTGATTCATTTTATCTTTACTGAAATCAACCGGAGAATCTGTGAACATACTCATATCTGGGGTCCTCATGTTGGAATTGTCTGAAACCCCGGACATACTAGTAAAGGGTCCAGATCCTCCACTTCCGCTCGAGGTCGAACCACTCTTCACCGCAGAAGGGCGAGAAAAGCTTGGCATGTTGGAATTAGATACCATTTTATTGATTTTCTGCTCGAATTCATTGCGTTCTTGCTCTGTGCTCTCTTCAAGATTGATTATTTGTCCAAGACCTTTTTGATGTTTCGAACCAAAAAGCTCAAACTCGCTTGCCATTTGATTCCGTACGCCGGTGTCTCTGAAAATATCGTCAATCATATTATCCATGTCATCATATATTAAATTGTCTAAATCGTTTTCATTGCTTTCGAAATTTTCTAAGTTGTTCTCAGGCGCAGCCGTGTCCATGAAATCTTGCATTAGCTTAGCATCGTTCGAACTTTCCGTTGTGTCGGTGTTCCCGGTTGCCATACCCCTATTTTCACTGCCACTGAAATTGAATTCGTCCAAGTCAGAGAAGTTGTTGATGTCCATAAAATCAGGACCATTTTCTTTCTCTGCAGAATTATCGCCGGTAGCAAAGTTGCACTCATCATCGTCTCGAACAAAAGTAGGATGTAAGAATTCGGTGCAAACACCTTTATCTGCCGATTTGAAGTAATTTATGAAAAGCTTGATTATCATGGTATTTCTCCAGCTGATAAAATATTCATTTTTGAGAGTGTAGTGCATGAAAAATAAACTTTTTACGTATTGAAACAATAGAAAAGAGAACTCACATCCATTCTTGCTTGCTTCTTTTTTGATGGTGACGTTTATATTAAACCACTTCAAAACCACAGTTGAGTCAATGCTATTCGAAAATTTTCCAAGAATCTCTTCAAAAGTCAGTCCCTCTGAATTCAAGTTTTTCAAGAAAATTGAACATAAAAAGAGGAAGGGGCGTAGGAAAGCCATAGCAACTCTATTCAAAATGAAAACGTCACATTTTGCGGAGAAATATTTGAAGGCCTTGTACTGTTTGCTATCCCCATCCAATGTTGGCGATTGAGTAACATACTTGGTGTAATCATAGTTCATCTTCAAAACGGAAAGAGCCAACTCCGTGGCACGAACACCATAAACATCTGACAGGAAATCATGTTTCTGACCAGGACTGAGTTTACTGTTAGTACTATCAGTATTAGAACTGTAGCTTGTTGTACTGCTAGTAGTTGGTGCAGCAATTGGACTAGTCTCATAATTATTAGTACCACTGCTATTGCTGTTGTTGGTAGTTTGAGGGCTATCGTGCTCACTGCTACTACCTTCATCCTCATCATTCAAATATAACAAATAATAGAAGGTCATAAGGATAGTTTGAACAGTGAGACGAATTTCAAATTTTCTCACCTTGGGTATATCAAATAATCTCTCCAGTTGCATGTAGCTAGAATTAGAGTTTTCTTGCAACATTTCCCATAAACTTGGAATCCTTTTATCAACAAAATCTTGCATGCGATTCACAATTTTCAAAAGTTTCGATCTTTTTGTCGAGCTTTTAAAGTTCTGAAAGATATTGAGCCCTTCCCTAATCAATTTAACAGCTTCGTACTCAAGGGCCGTGTCTTTGTTTATCGAATTCTCGACAACCAGTCTTTTGATCTCATCACCAGATCGTGACACTGATAACCCTTTCTTGAAATTAGTCAAAACTTGACTTTCTTCTTTACTCAAAGCTGGTAGATTGACATCATACTCCTCATCAGAAATTATCAACGAACAGCCGTATTCGAAAGCATTCTGTACGTCCAAAGTCAATAATTTGTAGAATATCCTTCTCCAAACTGTGATTTCTCTTGGATCTTGGAAAACGTGTGGGAAATTCTTTGGGTCTCGGTTGGCACCTAAAGAACGACACATCTGAATAACTAGTGCCAATGTTAGTGAATGTTCCCTACTTTCTTCGTGCATTTCTGGGGAATAAACTTGGTATAATCTTAAATAAAGCAGAACTTGAATATTTCTCAAGGTAATCTTTTTAAAAACACTGTCTTCTGCTGGTAAAGCCATCAATAAACTTTTAGCCATCACAACAAAACTTGAGTCGATTTGGTATCCACTTTTGATCATTGCAATCAAAAGGTCGTTTCCGATGGCCTTGTTATCCTCTGCGTAATCTTTGACATTGACAGCCAAGTAAGCATAACGTAGAATAACTAGTAACAAACTCACTATGGAAGTGTTTTGTAAATGAGTGATTGCCACCTTGCAACCACCATTAGTGGTGGGTACAAGAACGTAACTCATTTCATCTCTGAAAATCTCTTCATTGACCAAAGGCAAAAAAGGGTAAACATACTTGAAGAAATGATCGACTAGAACGTTGACAACAAATAAAGGCGGCATCTTCTTATTGACGTCCTCTAAGACATCCAACACTAACTTTGCCTGCATAGCGGTGACTCCTGCCGGAGGATTCACTATAGTTCCAAACTGCATATTCTCCACATTATCGATGTCGCAAGCACTCACTTCGGTATTTGCATTTGAGGTTAACCACGACAAATGATTCTGTGAGATGTCTACAGGGAAATCAGATGCTTTCACCTTTTGTTTTTGTTTGTAAGATTCGTATATCATGATATGTCTCTTGGAATAAGCTTCAAAAATTCTTGAAAGCTGTTTATCACGAACAATAAAAGTAACATAGGATGTAGTACCAGAATGCAATATTTTATTTTCCTTGATAACCATGGCATCAAACTTGTCAGATAATGACACCATAGGATCGTCCTCATTATCGTCCTCATCCGGGAATTCATCGTCTGAGATGCCAGGCAAGATGTTCTTGTAATTAGATGTGTCGATATTGTTCATTTCTAGTATTCTTTCAAGTTTATTCACTTGCAATTTTAACTTGATAATCTCATTATTCAGGTTTATTCTTGGCACATTGCTTGAATTGCCAGAACCCCCCTTAGGAGAGGCAGCATATTTACACAGATCCTCGGTTTGACTCTTGACACAGTTGCCACATGGCTTCTGTCGGTCACATTTCAATTTCCTTTTCCTACAGTGGTCGCAGGAGGTGGGTATCCTGTTTCTGGTCTTTTTCACCCTGTCCGTTGGTGAGTTTCTTTCCATATTGGTGCTCAAAATGTCTAGACTGATAATTTAAGCCACTGGTTCCGCAGTTTCCACTAAAACTCTTGGAGTCTGTTTCCCTTTTCGTGACTTATTCAACTATCGACGTGAGCTTCGAAAAACTGAGGTATTTCTTTTAATCCCAGTGGGTAAGTCTTAGCTATATAAAACCTTGATTCCCCAATCAGAAAAATCCAACCGCCTGGAAACCGCTTTCAGAAACCTGGAAGTATGGTAAGGGAACAAACTAGGTGCAACCTTAATTCAATCCTTGCCTCGGTGGCAAAATATTCGTCCTGTCTCCTACTCCGTCTTCTCTGCAGCAGATAAACTGACACACAGAAGGCTCGCATGGAAATAAGCGTCTTTACTCCGGCCGGGCGAGCATTTGGGCCGACGCGGCACCATTTCAATCCTCCACATGCGCTTACGTAAATTCAGCGTTTGCAAGGAGAAGAAGCAGAATAGGGAACGAGATCATCTATACCAAAATTAGAGAAATATAAATAGAGGAGAAGGGAAAAAGGAGAAGAAATAGAAAACAAAATTAACGGAAGATAGAAATTAATAGAAAAAGGGGTAAAAGGATAAAAAAGATTTGAGACAAAGAGATAAAGAGAGAGAAAGAGAAAGAAAGGGATGGGGGAGGTTAGTGAAGTGAGTGAGTAAGTGAGAGAACAAAGGGAAGGAAACCACAACCACAGAGAATAAAAATTGAGCAAAAGCATCAACCAGGTATCAAACTATTATTATATCCCCCTGTGATGAGCTTGGTGAACTCAGTATTCGTCCTCAACAAATGAGTCAGCACCCAACTCCATGTAGTCCTTTTCTAAAGCAGCTAAATCTTCTCTAGCTTCAGCAAATTCACCTTCTTCCATACCTTCACTGACATACCAGTGAACAAACGCTCTCTTTTTGTACATCAAATCGAACTTATGGTCGATCTTCTTCCATGCGTCTGCAATGGCTGTGGTATTGGAGAGCATACAAACGGCTCTATTGACGTCGGCCATTTGCGATTCTGGAGATTGAGTAGGCTTTTCGTAGCATATACCTATCTTGAAACCCGTTGGACACCAGTCTACCATCTGCATACTCTTTTTCGACTTGGCAATGGAGACCGCGTTCATAACATCTCTGCTCACAACATCACCTCTGTATAACAGACAGGTGGCCATGTATTTACCGTTTCTTGGATCACACTTGACCATTTGGTTACCCGGTTCAAAGCATGCGGCCGTGATTTCGTTGACAGAGTTGGCTTCATGGTTAGCACTGTCCTTGGAAATGACAGGGGCGTAAGAGACCAATGGGAAATGGATTCTTGGGTATGGAACTAAATTGGTTTGGAACTCATTCAAGTCGACGTTCAACGAGCCATCAAATCTCAATGACGCAGTAACAGACGATATGACTTGTGCAATCAAAGCGTTCAAGTTGCTAAAGCTTGGTCTGGCAATGCCAAGGTTCTTACGACAGATGTCGTAAATTGCCTCATTGTCAACCATGAACGTACAGTCTGCATTTTCTAACGTAGTGTGAGTAGTAAGAACAGTATTGTAAGGCTCCACGACAGATGCATTGACCTTTGGAGACGGGTAGACAGCGAATTCCAACTTCGCCTTCTTACCGTAGTCGTTGGAGAACTGCTCGAGTAACAAAGAACCCAAACCTGAACCAGTACCACCACCCAAGGAGTGCGTGAACAAGAAACCCTGCAAACCATCACATTGATCGGCCATTTTTCTGATTCTGTCATCGACATCGTCCAAAAGCTCTCTGCCTATGGTGTAATGGCCTCTTGCGTAGTTGTTTGCCGCATCCTCCTTACCGTTGATCAGTTGTTCCGGGTGGAATAAATCCTTGTACTTACCTGTTCTGACTTCATCGATCACATTAGGCTCTAGATCGACATACAAGGCTCTTGGCACATACTTACCGGCCCCAGTTTCGCTGAAAAACGTGGAAAAACCCTCTTCACCTCCTCTTGGCTTGGTCAATCCCTCCTCTAAAAACCCGTCAGGAGTGATCCCATGTTCCATGGAATACAACTCCCAGCAACTGTTACCAATTTGACAACCTGCTTGACCGACTATTAAAAGAAAAGTGGAAAAGTAAAAGTATCGTAGAACGAATAAACACTCTGTTAGTATTTCTACTCATTTGCTCACTGAAAGAAGCTGATAAATGGAAAAAAACGTGGGTGGTGGTGTTTAGGGCTGAACATACCGTTGACTGAAATGACTTCTCTCATGATGCTGATCTCTTGCTGCTTTAATAACGACTTGAAGACCTATGATGCGTGTGCTCTGTGTCTTGTGTGCGGTGTGTCCTGCCTTTGACGTGATCTATCAACCGCTTGCCTTCGTGTATCGTGTGTTGCGAATGTTGTGTCCGTGTGTCTCTGCTGTTTGCGTTTGTTTGTTTACATGTTGAATGTTTTGCTTTTCTCCGTTTTCTGCGCACTCACTCATTTTCGCTCGATTGGGAATTTTTCAGAGGGCGCAGTCGATCGGCCGCGGGCCGCGTTGACTAGGAAGATTACGGTGACAGTGTCTAAGGTAGATATAGATTAGATGGACAGATAGATATATAGGTAGACGGATGAGCTTTATACAAGGTTGTTCTACTTGAGGAGACTGATCTGGGCTATCAGACAGAGATGGTCGCTCGGATACTCGTTTTCCCGAGGCTGCCCCGGGCCCATCTCCTTTGGGTGCGGGAGTTTTAAGAGCTTGTCAAGTCTGACTTTGTTTTCCCGTTCGAAAGCCGGGATGCTGTCAATGTTACGATGGTCGCTTTTGACGTCCCACTCTTTGACGAAGAAGATGTAATCTAGCAACCCACGCCATGTATGTGCCCAGTTGGAAAAGAAAGGCTCGTTTCTGTCGTTGTCCAGCCCGGAATTCTCCGGGTCGATTTCACGGTAGGCCATGGAGTAGAGGGAGATTGCACGCAGCGGTAAATCGTTGTGCAACTGCTCGATCTGTTTCACCATGAGCTGTTGCTCTTCAGTGGCAACGTAGCTTTCTGGAACAGGGTCTTTCGGTTGATTCTCGCCGAACTTCTCGACATTCCCGCCCTCCTCTTCTTCGCCCGAGCCTCCGTTCCGAAGACTCGAGAACTGAAAGGAGGTTGAGCAGGCTATTACTCGCATACATCGATCATTGTAGCAGATAGGTTTGCTGGTTATCGAAAGGTACGGTGAATCATAGGGCTGAGAATTGAAGTCACCTGCGAAAAACTTCCAAATCTTGGTAATTTCTGGGTGGAGAATTTGAATCCTCCTCTCAAACTCCTTCGATTTCGATAGCACAACATACGTCTGCCTGGTCCTTTCGTAGGTTCCAAAAGGATGCCAGAATAAATGGGCGGTGCCAATCGTTATCAACTTGGATGGATCATTTCGGATTGCCAATCCTAGAATTAGACCTACGTTTTTAGTGATCGTTCGTGGTTTCACATCTCCAGACTTCTCATTATCAAAGTCGATCAGGCAAGTATCAACCAAGTTAAACAGAGAGTGTTTGAAAAATACCGAGACACCGTGATTCTTGTCCGCTCCTCTCTGGAATTTTGTTTGGTAGCCAAGTTTCTCCAGTTCGGGGCGCCAGAAGGATTTGTATTGCACAAAGTCCACTTCTTGTAGGCACAAAATGTCACAGTCATAGTCCCGCAACTCTTGAAATAAGACTTTCGAACGCTTGTGCCATTTTAGGATATCTCCATTATCAGGGAATAGCTTTCTTCTGATCAATGCTTGGGCCAACAAGTTGTAGGTCATTATTTTCAGCGTAATAATGCTGTCTCTGTTTTCCTCACCATCTTCTTCGCCTCCTCTACGAGGAATACTCAACAGTTCTCTTTTCAAATAATTGGCTTCGTTGATTTGAGCATCAGGATCGAGCCCTTGTTTGATTAGTGCTTCTCTTTTCTCCCTCTTCTTCTCTTCTCTCTGCTTTCTCATCTCCTCAATGTATTCCGGAGTGATCATATTTCTCGGCACTTTACCAGACTTTTTCTTCTTCTTCTTCTTCTGATCACCGTTCTGATTTTGAATCACATCGGAAATTGGCTTTTCTGTAGAATTGGTCAGGCTAAGACTTTCAGTTCCGGAGATAAGAGCATCTTTATCAATTTGGACCTGGTTTTCTTGATTTTGGCCATCAGTTTCCCCTTCAAAATCCATTGAATTTTTTGTAATAAGATTTTCAGGTTAGCACTCTAGAATTCGTTATGGTTCGGATATTATAGGAAGTTTCACTACAGTAAGTAGCTTATTATTAAAGATTGAAAGCAAGTTGAAAAAATAAGAGAGAATCACCCAATGCTCGCACGTGACCCGGACAAAATAATTCCAACTCTATACCACTATTCGAGTTTGTCGTCGATTTAGTTACTTTCAATCCTGTTATATATTACTCTTTGCTTTACACACAATCGAAAGTGTAAATCAAATATTAGATTTTTTCAGCTGCAATAAATCAATCATAATGGAAGCTGAGATGAAAAATTCGACCCCAACTGATCAGGAACAATATGCAAAGGCTACTTCGGACAATATCAAGGCTGCTAGACAAGATATTGATAACCTCATCAAAATAATTCTGCTACGGAAGAAAGAATGTGATGATATGGAAAATGAAACACGATACATGAAAGAGTACGTAGCTTCGTTTATAAGTATGGGAGAATTACAAAAAAAGTAGACAGTCTAAGAATGAAACAGGGCAACTTTTTTTTGTGCATGAAATTAACCCAATTAATTATCATAGGCAACAACTGCAAACCGTCTACCACCATACTGACAATCTTTCGATCAATTAGCTTTGAGCCTACAAAGATTGTATATTAAACAATGAGGAGCACCCATCTTTCCAGACCAGGATCTTTGAAGGATGATCCTCTTCGTCCTTATGGAGAGAAGTCGTTGAAAAGAGCAAGAACAATTGCAGGAACATCTACTACGGCTTCAACCTTACAGATGACACAGCTTTCAGGGCTTACTGTTCTGTCTGAGATTAACACGAATATACGTGAAAAGAGTTACTCTCCGTATATGAGATCAAGGCTGCGTGAGAATGTTTCAGGAATTTTTCTGCAAGATGAAAATTTAGGAATAAAGATAAATGGCGATTCGGAATTAGAGCAGAAGAATAGTTTAAAAAGTAAAAGTATTCCTGGCTTATATCCTAGACTATCCATTGAGGGAAAAATTTCTCCAGAAGCAAGGATTCCAAGTCTCAAAAATCAAAACTTGTTTGACGAAATCAACGACGAGCCTGAAATTGAACAGTCTTCAAGTAAATCATTTGTTACCCTAATATCAAAAAACTTTAATGGATTGAGCACCGTAAAGAATACATTTTGCTCAGAGGAAGAAAACCTTTATGATGATGAAAGCGAAGCTAAGCACAATCGGCAGTTCACAAGCGTCGAATTTGATGTCCCAAAGATAACACTTTTGGATGACTCTGCGCCTTTGGATTTGAGTCAAGTTAAAAGAAGACTTGTACCATATGCCAGTCCTTTTTTCCAGACTATTGAGTTCAACCCCTTTGAGCCAACTGATACTGGGATTTTGCTAAAAATTTTGAATCATGAGTTTGAAAGTCTTGATGACGAGAATGACGACGATTTAATGCAGGAAAAGGAAAATAAAAGGATTCCATGGTATAGAGAACTGCTAAACTTGGAAAAATACTACACCCAATTTATAAATTGCTTCAAGCCGTTGAGTAAGGACGAATATAACTCCAAATATCCTTGGGATAAGTTTTACGATCCAGAACTTTACTATGACAATGAGATGGATGATGAAGGAGTTTTGAATACAGAACTGCTACCTGAAAATTTGCACAATAGTATATCTTCCGAGATTAATGATTATATGAAACCCTACTCCTATATTTCTAGAAGGAGGGGGTATTGATACTGCCTTGTAATGGTATTGCTACATAGTTACATCTTTGTTTTGGATTCACTTGATAATATTCATAAACATCAAGTAATATTTGGTATTTAACTAGTTTTATATCATTAAAAATTTGTTCTTACCTACATCTTATCGGATCTTCCTAAAACACTACAAGTTTACGCATTTAAACTTTCCGTATTTCCCACAAGTCTGGGCTTTTCTTTTGATGTTTCATTAAAGTAGAATAGATACTGGCTCCTGCCCAGTCGCCAAGAGTTTCTATACCATGCAGTTGTTGTGCAACTGCTTCGTCAATCCTCGCTAGTAATGTCTGCCTGAAATCTTTAAGATTTGATATTCCTCCCGTTACTATTGTTCGTGAAGATAAGATTTTTCTCAGATCTATTGGCAATCTCTTATCAATTAAATCAGTAGCTAGTTTTATAATTGGAATCTCGTTATCTTCATATTGGACAGAAGAATCAAAGCTGAGATAAAGTTTCTCTATTGCGTCAGTGAAAATCTTTTTTCTAACAAGAAATCTACCGCAAGCAATAAGTTCATCATTTGAAGTACATACCAAGCTATCAAGCAATGAAATAGTATTCTCAAGTTCTCGGAAGGATATACTTTCGATATCAAATCCTTCTTCTCGTAATTCGGATAATAATTCGTAATGCAAACGAGAGCCAGCTCTGTTTGTAAACGTTAGCAAATTATCCAACACCCTATAATCAAAAACAGGAACAACTGTAGTAAAAGACCATCCAATATCGATAATTAGAGCAAAGCTAGAGCCGGATGCTATAGAAACCATTAAAGGGGTTGGAAGTATTACAACAGCACGCATGAGGAGATCGTTTATTAGAATTTCTGTGAGAAGTTTATTGTAAACTTTTGGAAACGTCGAGTTTTGGACCAAAATAAGTTTCGAGTTGATTGTGGAAATTCCACATTTATAAAAGATTTTATTCAATACCTTCCGAAGGTGAATTTTCAGGCTTTGTAAAAAAAGACTTAAGTCTTCATAGATAAGAGTATCAGGGAAGAACAGATGCCTAAAATGCTCTTGATCATTTTTAGCCATGGATTGTAACCGAAACTCTTTGGTTACCTTTTCGGATGCACTGTCGGGTATAAGGGAGTGATCATATGCAGTTGAATCAACTCCGAATGTTTGAAGTTCGGCGAAATGGTGGACATTGAATTTTCCTAAAGGTTTTGAAGAATCTTCAAGCCCACATTCTAAAGTTCGTGCTCCAATTTTGAGAACTATGTTCTTCTCCTTCTTTGTGTCCATCGTTATCGAATCATCCACTTTGGGAAACGAGCTATCATTTACCCCATCAAAAGATCGAGTAAACAAATCTCAGAACGAAGCGTGTGAAACCAAAAAAAGTCAAGGCTCATTTCTTTTTTTCATCTGTTCATACTTCTCTTTATCTTTTTTAGTAGTATCTGAGCTTTTGGTTTGCAAGAGCTTCAAGGACAACAAGATACTCAAAATGACAAGTACAGAAGAGACTGATGGCATGCTAGCTGCCGGTACTATTATACTAGTTGATCAATTACAAGACTTGGGAATTAATGCCGGTGACATTACCAAGTTAAAGGCGGCTGGAATTTATTCCGTTTCTGTATGAACTACTACCCTATCTAATCCTCATGTAAAACGGTAATTCATTACAAAAGTACTAACACAGCATATTCATAAATACGTAAATTGTAGACGGTGATGTCAACTACCAAACGGAATTTATCCAAAATCAAAGGTTTAAGTGAAGTGAAGGTCGATAAAATTAAGGAGGCTTCCAACAAGCTTGTCAACTGCGGATTTGTTTCTGCACTCATCCAATGCGATATACGAAGGAGAGTCATCAAGATATCTACAGGGTGTAAGTCGTTCGATCAGATGCTTGCTGGAGGGATAAGTACGATGTCGACAACCGAGGTTTTTGGCGAATTCAGAACAGGGAAGACACAATTGTCACATACCTTATGCGTTACTGCTCAATTACCAAAGAGCCAGGGTGGAGCAGAGGGTAAAGTCGCCTATATCGATACAGAAGGTACGTTTAGACCGGAAAGAATCAGAGAAATTTCAGAGAGATATGGTCTTGATGCCAACCAGTGCTTGGAGAATATCTCTTATGTAAGGGCATTGAACAGTGAGCACCAGCATGAACTTGTTGAGGAGCTTGGAATGTACCTCAGTCAAGGTGGATACAGATTGATCATTGTAGATTCAATCATTTCATTGTTCCGTGTGGATTACAGTGGCAGGGGTGAGTTGGGCGAACGTCAGCAAAAGTTAAACCAGCATCTTTCCAAGCTAGGCCATCTCGCAGAAGAGTTCAACTGTGCCGTTTTCCTCACCAACCAAGTCCAGTCTGACCCTGGTGCCAGTGCCTTGTTTGCCAGCGTAGATGGCCGGAAACCTGTTGGGGGCCATATTTTAGCACATGCTTCACAAACAAGAATACTACTTCGAAAGGGACGTGGTGATGAGAGAATTGCCAAAGTTCAAGACAGTCCAGATTGTCCTGAGGGTGAATGTACATACCTTCTTGGTGTCGGCGGTATCATGGATGCCGGGGAGTGAACGCTAGAATAAGTGTAAGGAATGTGGGGGGGGGGATGATGAGGTTTGAGATCTTATTCGCTATCTAAAATTTATTTGCTAGTATTATTACTGTGGAGGCGGGTTTTTAACCCAATGTCACTGGTGTTTCACTGTAGTTCGTTATCTTTAAGTATATATATATCAGGTCTATCAGTCACTTTTACAATTGCATTGGTAAAAAGTTATGGGTCTTTTACTTTCTTTACCGCTGGCTCCAGTAAGCATTATTGGGTCGTGGCTCTCATCGTGTTTAGGAGTGTCAATATGCACCTGTTGCATGAACAAAAGTGTGAATCCTTTGATGAGGACGTTTAAGTCATCCGTTGCGACCAGAATAATGTATGCTGTGATATTCATGGTAAACAGCATAATTTCGTGGGTATCGCTGTCCAATTCGTTGACAAAATTTGTTGAAAAGCTCACCTGGGGGATGTTTAAGTTTGGAAACATGTTCTGCAAGGATGAGCAAGGATGTATTGGTTTTACCAGTGTGCAGAGAATCAACTTTTCTCTTGGTGTGATGCATTTGATTCTTGCAGGGTTGTTGGTTGGGGTGAAGTCGACGAGAAACCCGAGAGCCGTTATACAAAACGGGTACTGGATCATGAAGCTTTTCGTGCTATTCACTTTTATCATTATTAGCTACCTCATTCCTGACAAGTTTTTTGTCATTTGGGGCAACTACTTCTCCATTATCTTCAGCACCATATTCATTGGGATTGGCCTAATTTTGTTGGTTGACTTTGCGCACGAATGGGCAGAAACCTGCATTGAGAAGATCGAAGAGGGAGAGATATATCTCGATAACGGGGGCTTGGATGACGAGGACGCAGGCGGATACGTTTGCTGCAACTTCTACGGGTCGAATCTGTGGAAACAGGTTCTTGTTGGAGGCACGATGCTAATGTACTCTGGCGTTGTTTTGATGACGGTGCTCATGTACATCTACTTTGCGCAGAGCGGGTGCTCGATGAACAAGGCTGTCATCACGATCAACTTACTATTCACGCTGGCAATCACGGGACTGTCGATCACCCCGGTAGTGCAGGAGTACAACCCGAATGCCGGCTTGGCACAGTCGTCCATGTGCTGCGTCTACTGCACCTACTTGATCTTCAGCGCCTGTTTGAGCGAGCCGGACGACAAGCTGTGCAACCCGTTGATCAGGTCCAACGGAACCAGGACCCTGACGGTGATTATCGGCGCAGTCTTCACGTTTGGCGCAGTGGCGTACACTACGACGAGAGCTGCCGCCAACTCGGCATTCAACCACAAGTACGGGTTTGATGCTGACGACCATTACACCACGGCCATGGCCACTCTGAACAACGGCGCCGCTCAGAATCCGTCCTACCACGACGACGCTGGCGCCATCACGGAGGCCCCACGTTCCGTCAGACGGGACATGCGCTACGAGGCCGTGAGACAGGCTGTCAACCAGGGTTCTTTGCCTGAGAGTGCTTTAACGGACCCGGCCTACTACGATCCCGACGACGACGACGACGACGACGAGAGCCCCGCAACGGGGGAGGAGCGGGAGTACACCAAGTACAGCTACGTGCTCTTCCACATCATCTTCTTCTTGGCCACGCAGTACATAGCGGCGCTCCTCACGATCAACGTCGGGGTCAGCGACGCAGACAACGGCACCTTCGTTCCTGTTGGAAGAACCTACTTCAACAGCTGGTTGAAGATTGTCAGCTCGTGGGTGTGTTACGCGCTGTACGGGTGGACGCTTCTTGCGCCGGCCGTTTTCCCTGAGCGGTTTGGCTGATTTTCTTTCCGGGCTTGCCCCTGGCCACGGGGCCCTACAGAGAGCTGCCTGCACCAGCAGATACCCCCACGGCTCAAACACAAATATACACATGGACGGACAGGGCACGGTGAAGGACGAGCAGACGCAGGAGGCCGAGTTTGGCGGACTCAAGGGCTACAGACAGATGAAGACCCACTTCCCTTCTGCCAGGGTGAAGAAGCTCATGCAGAGTGACGAAGACATCGGCAAGGTTGCTCAGGCGACGCCGCTGGTGGTCGGTCGGGCCGTGGAGCTCTTCATGTGTACGCTTGTGGACAAGGCCCTCCAGGAGAGCCGCAAGGGCCACAGCAAGAAGATCAGCGTGCTGGCGCTCAAGCAGGCGATCGACAGCAACGAGGAGTTCGACTTCGTTGCCGAAGTGTGTGACAAGTACATCAACAGCGACGCCGCCAACGCCAACGCCACCGCCACCGCTTCCAGCAGCAACAACAACAACAACAACAACGGCAACAACAGCAGTTCCTGAGGAGAAAGCTCGCAACAGAAACAAAAGCAGGACCTTCAGACGCTTGCCGCCGATCGACGCGCCGATCGGCGCGTCGATCGACCTTTTAGTCTGCCAGGCGTCTTTTGATTGAAATAATCGACGCGCCCATCGGCGCGTCGATTGTTGTCGGCGCCTTTTCCCTCCCATCTATCGGCGCAGCCGTCCCGGCGATCGCGCTTCCGGGAAAAAGAGGTATGACGGAGTTCCGCCGGGAAGTGATAATTGGCCCTGTCTATGTATAGCATCTCCTTTATAATAGGCTGGGCTGGGACCAGGTACACCCGCTGCGCATGTAACCGTGAGTGTGGACGAATAAATAGCATCTGTATCTACACAGAGGCAAAACGAGAGTGACGCATCAGTTCGAAGAACAGAGAAACCATCTTAGCAGAACTTTGGAAAAGATAGGAGGACAAGCTGACAGATAGATAGGCAAGAAAATGAAAGAAGTCTACTACGCCGGGGTGGATGTCGGAACGGGATCCGCCAGAGCAGTGATCATCAACCACGAGGGCGACATTCTGGGGTTGTCTGAACGGCCCATCACCAGACACGAGTTGAAGGAGAACCACATAACGCAGTCGTCGACGGAGATCTGGAACGCCATCTGCTACTGTGTGAAGTCGGCGATCTCGCAGTCCGGAATCGACAACTCCAAAGTGCTTGGGATTGGGTTTGACGCCACGTGCTCGTTGGTGGTCGCCAACGAGGAGAACAACACTCCGATGCCTGCCGGTCCCGATTTCCAGAACGATCTCGAAAACGTGATCCTCTGGATGGACCATCGGGCACAGTTCGAGACAGATGAAATCAACGCAACCGAGGACGAGTGCTTGAAGTACGTCGGAGGCAAGATGTCCATCGAGATGGAGTTGCCCAAGATCAAGTGGTTGAAGAGGAACATGCCGGAGGGCATGTTCCAGTCCTGCAAGTTCTTCGATTTGCCGGACTATCTCACAATGAAGGCGACGGGGAAGGAGACCCGCTCGTACTGCTCCGTTGTGTGCAAACAGGGCTACATTCCAAAGGGGATCACGAGCAGAAACGGCTGGTCTGCCGAGTTCTTGAACAAAATCGGCCTGCCGGAGTTGGTTGCCGACGACTTCTCCAAGCTGGGCGGCTTGGACGGCGTTAACGGCTCGTACATCTCCGCCGGGGAAACCATCGGCGTGTTGACGCCGGAGTCGGCTAGAGCCTTGGGGTTGACGACCGACTGCTGCGTCGGCTCCGGCGTCATCGACGCGTACGCCGGATGGATGGGCACCGTTGCCGCCCCTACAAACGTGCCTATTCCGGAGTTGATCCAGCAGGATAAGGACAAGGAGGGCTTGAGCAAAGGTGTTGGTAGGTTGGCTGCCGTGGCCGGCACGTCCACCTGCCACATCTGTCTCGAGGAAAAGGCCGTCTTTGTTCCTGGGGTCTGGGGTCCGTACAGAGACGTGATCGGTAAGAATTACTGGGCCGCAGAGGGCGGCCAGTCCATGACTGGTGCGTTGCTAGCGCACGTGTTGTCGACGAGCCCAGCGTACACGGAGTTGGGAGTCCTCTCTGAAAGCTCGAACTTGTCGAAATTCGAGTTTTTGAACTCAAGGTTGGAGAACTTGAAGACGCTGAAGAAGGAACGGTCTGTTGTTGCCCTTGCGAAGAATCTCTTCTTCTACGGCGATTTCCATGGAAACAGATCGCCAATCGCAGACCCGAACATGAGGGCCTCCATTATCGGGCAGTCGATGGACGTGTCTCTCGATGCGCTTGCTATCGAGTATTTGGCTGCCTGTGAGTTCATTGCTCAGCAGACCAGGCAAATCGTTGAAAGGATGGAGGAGTCGGGCCACAACATCAAGGCCATCTTCATGAGTGGAGGCCAGTGCAGAAACGGGTTGTTGATGAGACTCTTGGCAGATTGCACAGGCGTCCCGATCGTCATCCCAAGATACATCGACGCATCTGTGGTCTTTGGCACCGCAATGCTTGGTGCTGTCGCTGCGGAAGACGCAATGGAGCTCCTCAGAAACAAGAAGGGCATGTCTTTCCCTTCTTTGAAGGGCAAGAAGGAGCCACTCATGCCCACAGACGAGATTCCTCCTTCTCCTTACACAGCCCCCACTGCCACGGCCTCTGTCACCTCCGTCAGCGCATTGAACAAAAAAGACGGCTTCCCCTTCCCAATCACCACGTTAGCGGGCTCGGGCGACAGCTTGAGAGAAAAGCGTGCCGGTAGGGGAGACAAGAAGGACGACGAAACCGAGGACGACGATCTCATCACCTTCGGTGCACACTCAAACGCCCAAGCCATTGCAACAGAAAAGCTTCGTGCCTCCTCACCGCTACCACCTTCTAGCAATGAGTCCGCATCCGAGAAGCTCTGGCGGGTCATGTGTAGGTTATCCAGCACAGGAAACGTCATCTTCCCTTCGGACATCACCCATCCCGACCGGAAGTTGTTAAACACAAAATATAAGATCTTTTTGGACCAGATTGCCACCCAACAGAAATACAGGGCAATGGTCGCCAAAACAGAGTCAGCCATTCAGAGCTACCTTTCTATCTAACGAACTGCCTTTGTAACCCACCCGAATATACGATGTTATTTTGTTATTTCCGTCTTTTGTCTTGTTTAGCTTGGTCTCTGCCTGTGTACATGAAGGGGCAAATTTGGGGCATTTTGCGCCGATCGGCCTGTCCTCGCGTGAGGCGGGCATCCGTAATTAGGCGGGACCGGACTTGGGAAAGTGAAGTCTCGGGGTATATAAGGAGCAAAGGAGGCGGAGAAGGGAGAAAGAAATAGCTATTGGGCAGTAACTCGAGAAAAAGAAAACCGGACCAGCTAACAATAGTAAGGAATTAGGACTTGAACACCATTGACCAGCCAGCATGACATTATCCGCCCATATCGACCCGGACACTATCGAAGATAAGATCTTCGAAGACTCGGTGAACAAGTCTGCCTTGATTACAAAATATTTCAACAAGTTCTCTGACAAGAACAATGCGGTTTCGAGAGTGGAGTCGAAGATAGCTTCAACACTTTGTGACCAGAGAAAGAGTGAGATTGTCTCGCGGTTCCACGGTGTCGCCAACAAATTCAAAATGCCGGAACATGGCATGTCTTCGAAGTTAGCGTACGAAATGGTGCACGACGACTTGACGTTGGACGGCTCAACAACCCTCAATTTGGCCTCGTTCGTTAATGTGCACACCGATGACGACTCGCTGAAGTTGATCATGGAAAACCTGACGAAAAATTTGGCCGACAACGACGAGTATCCGATGCTAATCGATCTACAGCAACGTTGCATCTCCATCATCGCTAACCTGTGGAACGCACCGCTGGAGGTCTCCGACACCGGTATTCAAACTCCGCACAAATTGGACCACTTCGTGAAATGGAAGAGTAGAGCGATTGGAACCCCCTGCACGGGATCTTCGGAAGCTATAATGCTTGGAGGGTTGGCCATGAAGAAAAATTGGCAAGCTCAAAGAAAAGCCAAAGGCTTGAGCAGTGCCAATCCAAACATATTGATGGCATCTTGCTGCCAGGTTGCATTGGAAAAGTTTGCAAGATATTTCGACGTCGAGAACAGATTGATTGGTGTCTCCGAAAAGGACTTCTTGATTGACCTTGACAAAATCGAAAAAGAATTGGATGAGAATACCATTGGTATTTTTGTCATTGTTGGTTCCACATACACTGGTGGTTTTGAAAATGTGGATGCCATTGCTAAGTTGCTTGATGCCTATGAGAAGAAAACAGGCCACTGGATTCCGATCCATGTGGATGGTGCTTCGGGAGGATTCATTGCGCCATTGATTTACCCAGACTTGAGGTGGGATTTCAGAATCGATAGAGTCATGTCAATCAGTGCTTCGGGACATAAGTATGGTCTTGTGACTGCTGGGTTGGGGTGGGTTCTTTTCAGAGACCAAGCTTGGTTGCCAAAATCACTAAGATTCCAGTTACAATACCTTGGAGGCGTAGAAGAATCCTTCAGTTTGAATTTCTCTAGGCCTGGTTATCAGGTTGTTCATCAGTACTACAACTTTATCAAATTTGGTAGGGATGGCTATTATGAGATCTTCAACAACTGCTTAATCAATGCAAGGTTGCTGTCCTTGTTTTTGGAGGAGACGGAGTACTTCACATGCATTTCGAATTTGCATCTACCTTTAGGCATGACTACTAGAAATAGAGATCCGAAGTGGGATATCCAGGCTTCTCATGCAATCATTTCCCAACACGAAAAGTTCAATCCTGCTTTGCCTGTCGTGTCCTTCCAATTCACCAAAGAATTCTCAGAGCAGTACCCAGAGATCCCACAATCATTGGTATCGTCATTGTTAAGAAATAAAAAGTGGATTATCCCTAACTATGAACTTCCTAGAATTAATGTTCCGGAAGTTTCAGAAGATGGGGAAGAGCATGACGATCCTGGTCTTAAGAACGAAGTAAATGGAGAAAACAATGAAATTCTCAGAGTTGTTGTCAAATATAACTTGACCGCACAATTGTTAGATAAGTTAATGCATGATATTACCGAAACGGTCGAGATGCTTATCAAATCAGTTGAACTGGTTCGAGCAAATGTTCAAGCCATGAAAGAGAGCGGACAGGATGCTACCAGAGAACTTGTTTACGACATGTTGACAAGCATTGCTAACGGCGGTGATGAGAGACTCATCAAATTCAAAAGCAACAATCATGGGTTTAAGGGCGTATGCTAAAAATAATAGTGCGTTTTGTTTACAATCCATTTTCAGTTCGTTTCTTATTTAAATTATATAGCAAAGTAAAGCCAAAAAAGATTTGTTACTTTGACGATTGTCTACAAAATCTTGTTAATTTTCCCCTTCGCAACCTTCAGTTTGTTTGTGCTTTGGTCAACCTCTTGATTGAGGCTATCAAGTAGCTCATTCTGTATACCAATTTCTTCGTTAACAGCAATTCCAATCTGCTTTTGCCTTATAATCATATCTCTTAATGCACTCAAGCTTTGATCCTGGTCCTGCATTTCATTTTGTTGTACTTGTAGCAAGCCCTGGTTGTCTAACTTTTTTGTCTGTGCGGACTCCTTTATTCTTCCCAAAGTTCGGCGCCCACTTGAATTATGTGTCTTGAATAAATCGTTCGCATTAACTGAACTATACGGGGCTTTCTCTGCGAGATCTGTTAACTTCATAGTGCGGAGCATATCGTTCAATTCTGTTATTTCTTTTGTTACAGATAGTAAGAGCTCTTTCCGTCTTCGTATTTCACCAGACCCCAACTCCTGTGTAGTTGTAAGGTAAGACTTCAACAGGTCAGCATTAGTTTCTGCTGTCTTTAAATTTCTCCGAATTTCTACCACGTTACCTTTATTGAACATTTTGGTTCTAGAATCTTGAAGTAATGATTTAATTGTTCTGTAGACTTCCATCCATTGTTGAGCAGAGTCTATCTTGCTTATCGAGAGACCTATGCTTTTTTCCTCTGTTCTACTTTTATCAGCATTTAACATGTTTAGCTCTACAATTGTCGATTTAGGAATATTGAAGAAGTAAAGAACTTCGCTTTCTGCACGTAACTGGCGATCGTTTAATAGTGACGTCGCAAAATTCATTAGTCCAACTTTGCGTTCATTCAGCAAAGTCTCATTTCTTTTGTATAAGCTTGCATATTTGGAAGGCAAATCTGGTAACTGAGTGGCATGCTGACTTTCAAGGTATTTTCTCAATGTGACAAAGTCGCTGTATCGCTTGCTAATTCGAAATCTTTCTACCTTGAATTTATTTAGTTGTATTTCTATCTCCAGGTCGTATAGGCTGTAACTTCCAACCTGGGTAACAGTTGGAATGGAAACTTTTATTGCACTACTGTTTTCCATTGTGAATCTAGTCCCTGCAACTAGTATGTTATAATTCGATGTGCTTCTTACTCTCATACCTTATTTACGAGCAATCTCTTTATCTTTCTACGGTCTTGGTTAAAAACATGTCACAAGCGCTAAGTGAGAGTGCGCAACCATTTTTGGCGATGGCAGTTTTCATGATTGAATTAACTGCGTTTATCGTCACAGCTTGGTACCACTAATATAGTTCTATATCGCTTAATAAAAAGCATCGACAGGTGAGACATGAGTACCCCTTATATTAGCACGGCGATTGTTGGGTCAGCGCATACCAGTGACATCCTAGGTGTCTGTGTTGCTGACAGATTCACCATAACGTGCTCCTCTGATGGATACTTGAAACTTTGGAAGAATGATTCTTCTGATAGAACACTTCACCTAGAAAAGCTTGTGGACAAAATTGGATTGCATCATGTGGAAATATTTCAGGATGCCTTTGAGATGAAGAAGTTTTTGGTAATCGCAACTGTCTCTTTTTCAGGGCGGGCATATCTATTCAGCTACAATTTTGAGACGAATGAGCTCATCGATCTCAAGTTCAATCCTCAAGATTCAGGGCTAAAGAAAAAGGCATCCTTTTGGTGTCCAATATTTGATTCTACAAAAGACAGCAATATTTTTGCTTGTACAACAGTATCAGGAAAAACTGAAATTTTTGACGTCAATTTTGAAGAAGGATTGTCCTTCAGCTATAGAGGCGAACTATATGCAAACGACAGTAGTTTTGCTACTTGCATATGCTCTGATATAGAGAATAATAAAATCGTGGTTGGACATCAGAACGGAAACACTTACCTTTATGATTTTAAACAATTATTGCTCTCCTTCAATTTTGAGAGTTACGGATTGAAAAACTCCCAAAAGTCGTTAAATATAGTAAGATCAATAAAGTTTTCACCTCACGGAAGCGAGTTTCTTGCAGTATCCATTGATTCTGGACCTTTTGGAACAATCTCCTTGTATGATGTGAAGTATGGTGAGTATTTGGGGTCTTTCACTATTTCAACACACTCTTCAAACGTTGGTGTGGGAAATTTTGCCCATTCTAAATGGTGTCTATCCATTGATTTCAATCAGGAAGGTAACCATTTGGTGTCTTGTGGCTTAGACAATTTGGTCCGAATTTGGGATGTCGAATCCAGAACATGCGTCACGATGTTAAAGCTAAACCCAACCGACTTAGACGATGAAGAAGTAGACAAGTTGAATGATTTAGATACATCTTCCTGCGCTTGTATTAAGTATGTCGCAAAAGGTATTTTCAAGGAAGATGGGAATAACGACGGGTTGGTTGTCGTTGGGTTTGATCGATCTATAAGATGGTATAGGGAGGCTGGGGGCCTTTGATAAACATGTAAAGGTTTTGTACCAATAAAATAAAAATATAGTGTAACATCTGAATAGAATCAATCTCCCATAAACGAAGCAGATGAACTGGTTTCATCGTTTGAAATTGCTGGTTCAAGGGGAGTCCAACAATCTAAAACACCTGGGCTTCGGAAAATGTCAAATGTTAAGGTAGGATCAATTTCAGGAGTTACAATTGTAGTATCGTTATAATCGGGGTAAGCAAAGGGTACTGATTGACCACTATTGTTTTGGGGTACAGATCCTGGTATTGACGTTTTCAGGACTTCTGGTGTTGGTGTTAGAGCTGAGGAAGATGATGTGTTGCCAACAAGTTTCGCTGGCGAGTTACCGGTTACGATCTGTGACTCAACGGAAAGACTAGAAAACAATTCCAGCATTTGTTCCTTCTCTAAGCTTTGAAAGCTTGGAAGACGTACAATATAACCCCAATATCTATAGATCATAGATTGCAGGTATTTTTTCAAGAACTTGGAATTTATGATATCAGACAGTTGCCAGAATTCCACTAGCTGATTAATGGGAAGCTTTGACAGATAAATTCTGTTGACTAACAAGCTTTTCAGATCTTTGAGATCGTAGAGCTCTACCAGGTGTGCAAAAGATAAAAGGTCATGAACTTTCATATGTGGGAATTCAGAATTGTATAGGAAATCTATAAGTAGCTTGACATTCACGTATGGCTCATCTATAAACATCTGATTTGTATGACTCTCTGACATCCCTGACATTATCATTTTTTCAAAGTAGGGCCATTTGATAAGTAGGTAAAGTTTATGAACACTAATCACTTTGTTATCGTTTGATTTTATTTGGAAATCAACAAATTTTTCATCTTTATAAGCTTTCTGGAGCTTCCCTAAAAGTGTTTCTTCTTCACTCGTGCCGCTTTCATTGTTTAGCCTCCCAAAAGTAACCAGTGGTATGTTTACGAGATAATCAAGATATGCCACTTCATCAACGGTATCATCAAGCTCAGTGCCTCCTATTATGGACAAATTATCATTGTGAGTTAGAACAAACAACCAGTTGAGGTTTGCAATTTGGATTGGCACGTGGTACATCTTGTGAGTTTCGATATTAAGAACCACAAATCGAAGATTTATAAGATCTGTGATTAGAATCTGAGTAATTGATATTTGATTGTAGAAAAACTTTTTGAATCCGAGTATGTTTACTGATCTACCGGCTCTTTTTTTGTTATTTTGATAGAACATTTGGTTGTCATTTATATTCAAATTTATTTCATCAACAGTATGATCTTGTAAATCGTACGTTTGGATGTTCATAAATGAGTATTTCATTGTCTCGTTGATACCGCCGAAAGACCATATTTTATTTCCAACTTCGATGATTTCATGTTCAATTTTCTTGCAAAACTCAACTTTCTCCACTGTAAATTTCTGATAGTCTAGGATGTACATGTACTTTTGCATTCCGTAAGGTAAATCTGAAATGACTCCTCCACTGATGTATATCTTGTGGTTTGATCTTGACTGGCATATTGAGTGACGCTCTAGCCTATTCATTTGGGTCCAGTTGGTTTGCCCGACTTCTCCCTCCGAAATCAAGCTTTCCTTGAACTTTTCATTCCATTCCCTGCTGAACAAATAGCTTTCTATATTGAATATCAAGAGGAAGCAATCTTGATAAGGCGATTTGACGTTGTTACTGCGCTCGAGACACTCGAGGTACTCATCTTCCTGCAACAAGCCACCGACAATGACAACGTTACCCGTGTCGTCCAGACAAACACATGAGCTACCATTTCTATACACTCCTGTTGAGTGCGGCGGGTACCAAGTTTGTCCCTGAACGTCCAGCAGGTATATCCTGTCATCGAAGTTCTCATTTGTGTCGTCATATCCCCCGAAGACAAAGAGATAAGGCTTGCCACGTCTTGTGAACTGGCAGTACGTTGAGTTGATCCGGTAGGGCGGAGGAGAGCCTTTCAACTGTACCGACGTTTCACCTTCCATCGTGTATATTTTCTGTATTGGGTTGAAGTTAACTGAGGGGGTAGCAGTGGTGTTTACTCCAAATATTGTTGCAACACGGACTCTTCCGAGGTCTAATCATTATATCTCCGGAGAGAAATTGGATAGGTTTTTTTTTTATTTTTTTTTTTATTTTTTTTTTATTTTTATTAATTATTAATTTTTTTATCATTTTATCATTTTATCAGTTTTTTTTTGGTAGCAACAAACGAGCTCGGAATTGTGTTGACTTCTTAACTCGGACTTCTTGCCGGGCGAGTGCTAGTAACGGCTTTTTGACGATGTTACGATGTCTACGTTGTGCATACTGCTAATACAAACTTAAATAAAAGGGTTGAGCGTAGGCCATTGTTCCTGGATATGGAGAAGATCCGATCTGTAGTTCGTAGAGACGCCGCGGTTAGCTACCTCGGGATGGGACTTCAACGCTACAATAAGCGTATTGTTTCCTGCTGTGAAAATGAGAAAAGCCATGCGACACATTTCCAGCGCCAGAAGGAATCCAAAAAGCGGGAAAAGAATTGTGAAGTTGTGATGTTGGCCAAAACCGGGCTGCCGATGCGCAAGATACAAGTGGCACACCACCGCGGTTAGCAGGCTGATTGTGAACGAGCAGATCTGGAGCGTGTGGTTGACGATGCCGTCCTTCTGGAGAGCAGCCCACGGTTCAGGTCCTAGAGATTGTGAGACTCTGTCTACGGACCCCACGATCGACAGATCGGACAGTGCGACGTAGGTCAGCACGTAGCTGTTGGTCAGGGCAAGTTTCTTTTCCAGACAAGTGGTCCTTTTCACAAAAAACACCGCTAGCAGGATGCTGTGCATTAACGTGAGCAGCTCAGAAACGGACACAAAGAACGAGGCGAAGCAAGCGGAACCAGCCTTGAGGAGCAGGGCGTTTTTGACGGCCGTCCGGGTGTGCCGGAAGCTGATTTCTCGGCGCCAATACCACGACGCGTACATGCCGGACAGCGCAAGCAGGGTGATGTTGCACACGACATCCGCGAGGTAGGCCCCCGACCCAAGGCTGAACGCCGTGACGAGGAGCATCCCCGGGTCCGCAAACGTGCCCGCGTGAAACCGGATCAGATGCTCCCACTTGTAGTATATCTGCGAGAGGAGGACTATCCACGTGAGCCTGACAAGAAGGGCCAGCACGGCTCCTGCGCTGGCCACCAGTGCCAGGCTCGTGCTGTGTCTGGCGACGCTGGCCACAAGTGCCGCAACTGCTGCCGAGCGCTGGAACTTCGCTGCCAGAACCCTCCGGCACAGAAGCAGCGCCGCTGCTGCACAGAGAAGGACGACTCCGGGGTACGTGTGGTGGTGCAGGACGCAGTAGACGGCGACGGCGGCAAGAAGCGCCGAGCTTGTGCAGTGGCACGCCCGCAGGAACACAGCGTAGCTGGAGCAGCACTTGGCGGCGCCCGCCATCACGACGAGGCCGAGGGCCACGGTGGACCACGCTATCACCAGCCCCGCCACCACGGGCGACGACACCGGTGCAGACACCGTTCTCGGGGGCTCCAGCAACGGCGAGTGCCGCAAAAGGGGCAACGCCGGCCGCAGTGGCAGCAAGGGCAGTGTCCGGGGCGGGTGTCTGTGGCCGTGCTGCGTCTCCGGCGGCGCCAGCAGGGCGCCCACGGACGCTGTGTCGCAGACATGCAGCCAGCAGTAGCAGTAGGCCACGCACGTGCCGGCAAACAGCACCACGAAGCCTGCGTCCGAGACCCTGGCGTGTTCTCCAGGCCACGTCTCCTCCTCTAGGGCCTCCTCTGCGGCCTCCTCTCCGGCCTCCAGTTGCATCTCGACGTCTCTGCCACCCCGCCAACACTCTTCATCCGCACACGACCCACATCTGCTACACGCATCCAGACACACCCGCCGTCGCTTTGGACCCCTTCCTCCCTGCTCTTCCGTCCTGCTGCTACCCCGAGCCCTGCTTCGCCGTTTAAGCCCCGTTTGACAGATCCCAACGGCGGGCCTGCCCCGGGCCATGGGCTCGTCTCCGCCCGCCGCGCCTCCGCCGCCGCGCCCCGGGAATTTTAGGCCGACCGACGCCGCACGGCTGTAACGGCGGCCGCTGTTTGCACTTTGCCGTTTGCGGCGGAAGGTTCTGGGCGGCAGGAGCAGGCGGTGGGCTCAATAACAGTTCACTTAAATTAGATTAGCGGGAGAATATAAACAATACACAGGGGACAGGAGGCGGGCGGACGCAGATGTCGCCAGAGGGTCGCCTAGCCGGGTGCCGGGCCCAAAGGCAAGGCATCTACTCGCTCTTGGAGACAATGTAGGCAGCATGAAGCATACCTGGGAACCATCCCAAGATGCACAAGACGATGTTGATTACCAAGTCCATGCCGACTCCCTTGGCCATCAAGACGGCAAGAGGAGGGAAGATGATGGCAATGATGTAGGCGATGATCTTTGAGCTGTCCATTGTGGTGTATAGAGCGAAAGTGTTGGTGTTGGAGATGGAGGGGAGGTAGAGAGGAGAGAGGAGAAGGCGGAGGGGGTACAGAGACAGCAGGTTAGGATGGCAGAACGGAGAGAAGAGGTGGAGATTATATATAGGCCGGGCAGCCGAGGGGGCGGGGCAGGGAAAAAGCCGCGAGGCGGCGGGACGGCAGAAAGCGTGCGAGCCGCCATCCGGTTCTGTTGAAGCCTCCCGCGCAGGGAGGGCTAGAGACCGATGCTGTTGCCCGAATGGGGGCTCTTTTTGTTGCCGAGCGGGTAGACGACGAGGGTGGAGATGAAGAGCCCCACGGTGATGCCGATGGCGATCTCGATCATGGAGATGCCGAAGGTGAGGGTGCCGGTGCTGGTGGCGGCGTCGGCGGTGCCGTTGTTGTTGCGCTGGTTCTCGAGCTGGAGGAGGCCGCTGGAGAGGACGTTTCGGGCGGCAAAGCCGCCCGGAACGAGGTCGAAGATGCCGCAGATCATGCTGGTGAACTTGGTGCTGCAGTAGCCGATGCGCCTGTAGGAGCGCAGCCAGCGGTCGTAGATGTTGCTGAGCAAGCCCACGGCGAAGGAGCCGAGGGCGGAGTTGAACTGCGTGATGCTGAAGTGCAGGGAGGAGAAGTAGGTGACGACGTAGCCGCAGCACGCGATGACCACCATGATGCTCAACTGGTGGAAGCGGGCCTGGCAGGAGAGCGACATACACACGTTGAAGAGCGGCACGAACAGGAGCTTCCACACGTTGCCGATGTGCCCGATGTTGGAGCACGACGTCTCTGTGATGGCGTTCTTGTCGATCCAGCCGTACAACCCGGCGCCAAGCGTCAGCCCGAACCCGAGAAACAACGAGTAGATGATGGCGTAGAACATCCCCACCACCCCGGACACAATCGACTTGCTCTGGATCTCCAACGCGCCCCGCAAGATCATGTACCCGGGGAGAATCATCGAGAGCCCGCTCAAGACTATCGCACTGAAGCAGAAGTATCGGCCGTTTGCAATCGACCCGATCGCCCGTCCAATGAAGCTCAACAGGATCGCAGAGCCCACCTCGAACACCGACGAGTAGAGCGCGTTCTTCGGCGCAACAACACACTGGAGAAACCCTAGCAACGCCCCCATGCAGAAAGACGGGATCATGTCGAGCCACGCCCCGTTGAAGAAGATCAACACAAACATGCTTGACAGCCCGTAGAGCAGGATGATCCAGTACGTGTTGAGAAACTCCTTGCTGCTGAACAAGTCCGCCAACTCCTTCGACGCCTGGTCGACCCCGATCCGGTCGTACACGACCGACTCGTAAATGTCGTGCGCCTGGTCCAGTTTGTTGAGGTTCAACCCCTGCCCCACTCTCACCAACTTGAGGTCGCTCGTGCGGGTCACCGGGTCGGAGAAATTCGCAAGCATCATTCCGGGCAGGTAGATGAACGTCGCCTCCACCTCGAGCACCTTCGCTGTCAATGACATGTACTCTTCCAAACGATGGTTCGGGGCCCCAAACAGCATGAACGCCTTGCACAAAGTCAACAAAAACTCTTGCCTATGTATTAAGTCCACAATATGCACGGTGATTCTTGCAGCCTTCTCCTTCTTCACCTTCCGCTTGATCTTTTTGAGCTCTTTGTCGTCCTTCTGGAGCTTGAAGTCCGGGAGCTTGATCGAATCGTGGCTACCGTTGACCTTCCCCCGTCCGGGCTCCCGGGAATGGAATCTCTCCCTAGAACTCTCTCTGCTGAAAATACCGCTGTTTCTGAACTTGCGAACTCTCTCAGCCACTTTCTTGGGAATCCGAGTAGACGAGCCTTCCAGCCTACTCGATCCTTCGTCGTCGTCATCCTCATACTCGTCGCCAAACACCTCATCATCAGAAAATCCCGGAATCTGATTGTACAACTTCATCAAGTTCGATGTGATACCGTTCCTCGTTGTCTTGTCGAGGTTGTCCTTGTCATGAAAGGAACTCAAAATGTCGTCAAAATCCGAATTGGCGTAAAAATGGGGGTCAAGCGGTTTGCCATGGATAAAATTGTTGGCTATCTTGAAGACATTTCTCGAGGATGAGTTTTTCTTCATTGGGTTACTTTCGATGTCCGACCTGACGCTGCCGGCAGAGTCCAACTCGTACTCACTAGAACGTCTGTCTCGCTTGGCACCACTGCTCATCATATTTCCTACCGAGAATCTCGGCTGAATCTTTCCAAGCCATTGTAGCACAGAGCTGGGTTGTGATTTGCTCTGTTTCTGGTCAATCGATTGGAAAGCCTCGTGCAGCATTCCCGAGTCCCTGCTCGGATGGTACTCTAGCGAGTTGTTCGACAGAGTGTCCAGAAACGGCTCCTGGTAGCGGTCCTGAAAATGATTGCTTCGGTCATCCTGCGAGGACGCAACTGTGTAATGGTAGAACTTGTTTGCAGAAACTGTGTCGTTCTTGTTCTCTGTTTCCTCGGAAGATGAGACTGAGCCTGTATCTGTAGAGTAATCAGGGCTCGAGTTTCCATAATCTGCAATCGCCTCATCATTTGCTGAAACCGGTCGTTGTTGTTTCACATCTGACTCGGACCTAGACAAAGTCCCTGACCCAGTTCCCGATCCGGAACCGTTCTTACTATCAGCTGCCCTCGGTCTGCTACCATCCTTCTCTCTGTTCTTCATCACATCCTTCACTTTGGCGTCCTTCTCGAACTGCTTTCTAAAATCTTCCTCGATCTCCTTCGTGGTCTCTTTGTGCTCAACCAAAGCTGGCATCAGCACCTCCTCGAGATCAGCAGCACCATTAAGGCCAATCTCCACGTTCTGCGAGCTGAACTGCGGCAAAACGGGGCCTAGCTCGATGTTCGATTCGTCGTCTTCTAGAATTGGTACATAGTCCTTCGGGTCCCGCCCTACAGGCACTTGAAACGGGTTGTAGCTGTTCGACAGCCTCGAGTCCAGACTGAATGGAGACGGATCCCGTGACCGTGACCGTCCCCGTGAGTGTGACCTCGACTTGGCCCGTTGAGGGGGCGATAAGGACTGCAGTCTGGTGTGGCTGCGTCCTCTCTCTTGTGACATCGTCGTCCTGATTTAGCTGTTTCCGTGTCCTGTGCCTGCTTTTGGTGCTTTTCGATGACACCCCACTCTCCGCCCATGGACGCTGCACTGGTTGCTTGCCTTGACTCTCTTAGAAGCCAAACAGAAACCCATCGATGTCCACCGACTGTCCGGCCTCTGCCCTGTTATCGTCGGCCAGATCGCCGTTGCTCCACCGTTGGGGCGCCTCGCTCGCCAGATCGCTTTGACCCCGCAGAGGGGGGGTCGCCCCGGCCTGATCGGGGCGGGTTACATGACAGAGGGGTCGGAGCAGGGACACGTTGATGGAGCCAGGACAGTCTCCTACGTATATGATAGTACATGTGAGCATTCCCTGGAGGGTACGGCAGCAATGGGGCTTAATGGGCACATTGTGGGGAGAGGAGTAAAAACTCAGTCTGCAAGGCAGGCCATAGAGGCTCTTCCTGTCCTCGAAAAAACATCAGTAGAAGGGCCGCATTACATAAGACGCGTTATGGCCCTGGATGGCTCCATAAACCCCGTCTATCGTGGATGCTGGCTTCTCCAGCAAGCTCGGCAGTCTTGCCGGAAGAGTCCCATCTCTGTCGCTGGCGACCTCGTGCTGAGGGCCCCTCGCCTTGACGGGTCCCGTCGCCACCCTTACACCGCACTGTAAAGTTTGTGTTTTTTTTTTCTCGTGTCAAACAAGCAGTTGTTTACAGCAGAGAACGTGAGAAGCAGAGACAGAAGCTTTATACGACTTTGATCGACTTTTAGCGGCTCGTCTGGACTAGGGACAGAACAACACTACAGCAGCACACATAAGGACAACTCGGCAGCATGTCTGGAAAATCTGACATATTCGTGGACGCCGCCATGAAGCCGTACAACTTCTACCTCTGTCCGCCCCTCAACAGAAGTGAGCGGTTGGTCGACATGGTGGAGGACAACGGAGGAAGAGTCGTGCACGACTTCCTTCAAAACTGCATTGTGATTTCCAGCCCCGACTACGTCGTTCCAGAGGACCTCAAGACAGCGCACATCTACTCTTACGAAGTGATCCAGGACTCGGCCAACAGAGGTGCTCAGCAGGAGTTTGCAAACTACTTGATTCACGTGCCGACGAAAAACAGAGAGTCTGTGCCCCACCAATACAGCGAGCGCAAGGACCAGCCAGGAGCCGGCGGAGGCGACGATCTGAGTGGCATCGGAGGTACCGGTGACGACTACAATTTTGATGTACCCGGCCATGGCCATGCAGGAGCTGGTGAGGTCAGCGGAAATGGCAACGGCAACGGCAACGGCAACGGTGCTGATATTAATGATGGTGATGATGGGGTGGAAGCAGAAGAAGCAGGATCAAACCATCTCGGCGTCCATGGAAGTGAGTTGATTTTTCCTCACAACAAATCTGAGGGCTCCATTGCGAACTATGATGACCACAGTGTTCGTTACTTCACCGACGAAGAGGACAAAGTGTTGATGGAGGAAATCAGAAAGCGGCACTGGATGGGCATCAAGGGACACAGCATCTACGAAGCGATCTCAAAGATGCCATATTTTGTCAGCAGGCGCAGAACTCCGGCCTCACTTCGTGAAAGAATGCGGACCTTGAAGTACAAAGTGGGCTATGTGTACAAGGTCGACAAAAAGAACAGATTGCTGAAGGACGCCAGTGGCAGCTACATCAAAACAACACAAATCACGTCCAAACTGACTCCCTACACAGCTGAAGATGACTTGCTTCTATGCAAAACAATATATCTCAAGTTGGATATAGTGACCGACGACAAGGGGTTCGAATCCGTCGTTTTCCCGACAAACTTTTTTGACAAGTTTGCAATAGTGTACGATACACACACGCCGGAGTCGTGGAGACAGCGGTATAAGAACTACTTGTCCATTTTTGGAATAGCCAACTACATCAAGTATTACATCATGGAGGTAAAAAACGACGAGGAGCCGCTGCCTGCAAATATCGCTAACAAAGAGTGGTTGCAGGCTAGAAAACATATCAAGAAAACCGACTGTCCAAGATTGTACTTTCCGAACATCCCCCAAGAAAATGAGTTTATCGACGAAAACCTATATTACATTGCTCTACCCGCTTACGATACTAAGATTTTTGAATTTGACAACCCATTCCGCAACATCAAGAAGGAGGAATCGGATGGTTTCTCTCCTGAACCGATCCCTAGCTCCAGTGCTGGAACGACTGAAATGGTGAACGACACTGAGAAAGCAATTGGAGTAGCTACAGCTGGGTCTGACTACAACGGCTTTGTTGATGAACCAACTACTGAATTCATAGAAGTAGCATTCAAGAAATCGTACAGAAAGTACGGCCCACCTATAAATCTTGCGAGTGTATCGGATAAGAAGGCCTTGATCACCACTTTCAAAAAGATTTTCTCTGTGCAGGGAGAGAAACTGGCTCCCAGAGAGCTTAGCAAGCGGCTCTTGGAGGAGGGCGTGCAAGAGTACTACACTGTGTTTTTGATCTACCGGTGTAACTCTATCAAGTCTCTTGTCCAAGAGTCATTGTTGAACTACGTCGAGACCGATGGTGCCGAGTTATTAGTTATGAAGCCCGGAATATGGTCCAACAAATGCATAGAGATGTTTGAGAAACACGACCCGAAGTTGGAGAAAATATTGAAGAGTTACCACGGAGAAAAAGGATATGTGAAGCAGGCTCGCTGGTTAAAGACGAGCAAGATGGATTTTGTCAGATGAGCAGTTCCTTCTAAAGTGTAAATTATAAGTCAAATTATTGTAAATTAAATTTAAAGGTTTTTATCCAATTACCTATGTACAAGGAGTAGTTCGTACAAGTGTCTTGCCAAATGCTGATGCCTATTTTGTCCCCTTTCCCGGCGCTACCACCTCTTCTTCACCGTCAACTATGACAATCACTTCTTCATCCTCCACTTCTTCTGCCTCCGGTCCTCCTTTCGCAGACCTTTCTAGTTTTCTGTACTTGGCCTTGGTCTTCTTCTTGGCTCTCTGTTTCACCATTTGCTTCCGGGCAATGAGAATCTGCTTCCTACTCTGCAATCCTTTCTCCATCTCTTCGATCTTAAGCGCAAGAATCTGACGGGCTATCTTCCTATTTTGGTCTCGTGAACGTGTAGCCTGCGACGTGACTACCAGGCCCGTCGGGATGTGTGTGAGCTGGACCTTGGAGTTCGTCTTGTTGATTTTCTGTCCGCCCTTCCCGGACCCACCCTTGATAAATTTCTCTTCAATGTCCGTTTCAAATATAGAAGGTCTTGGGGGCATCTTACTTGGTTTAGGGATCTTCACATTTAGTTTCTTCAGCTCTTTCAGCGGACTCAAAATTTCCTTTGGAGGCGACACTTCATCATCAGTGCAATATCGTTTGGAGTTAGAAAAGCTGCGGAAGAGCTGTGCCTTTACGCTCGCCACACGTTTGAAAGCTACCAGCTTTCGAAGCATGGTCTAATATGTACTTTCTTGTTTCAGTTCTTTAGCCTAGCTGTATATCTTCTGCCAAGGGCCCTTCTCCCATCCTTCTTCTGTCTTGCTTTACTCATTCCATCATTAGTACTGCGTTTCTATTCATTTTGCGGTCGATCGGCTCAAAATGGTTTTTTTCTCACATTTTTCCATTTTCTCACATTGTGGTCTGTAACTAGAAAATCGAAGATGATTGATTTGATGCTAGTAGAAGAAGGACCCAATTGTTAGAGAAAGCTGCTGGCTCTGTTGTAGGTGCCACCAAACAAGCACAAACAATAAGAATGGTAGGAGTAGCACGTTTTAGTACCGCTGCTGCCAGACTGGCAAGAACAAAGGGTTACAGAGTTGCGAGAGATGTGGAGCTCAGAAAGCCAATTCTTCCAACCATAGACAACATCAAAGTGAGAGATGACCACCCACTATGGGAGTTTTTCCACAAAAAGAAATTTGTCCGTTCTCCAGATGAGTTGGATGTGCAGGGGAGATCTTGGAAGGTGCAGGATTTGAGGAAGAAGTCATTTGAGGATTTGCACGCTCTGTGGTATGTGTGTTTGAAAGAGATGAACAGGATACAGAGAGAAGAGGTCATCTACGAAGACATCGGGAGTGCAAAGATGCAGCAGTGCATGCAGCTCGAAACTGCAATCAAAGACTCCATGCTTTCCATCAAACAGGTGTTAACTGAAAGAGAGGCATCTTTGGCAAATGCGAAGGCAGAATTCAAGGTTGTTGGTGCTGAGTACCTTCAAGAATTCAAGCAATCATATTTGGACAGTGAGAATGTGGAAACGGACGAATGGTTTGACAAGCTAGAAAGATTACAGTATGCTATCTACGGTATCAACTCAACTTACGAATCTGTCGTTATCAATGAGGAGTTCTTACAAGGTATCAAGTACATTTCCTCCTTGTACTTTGAAAAGTTCTCGGAAAAGAGTGAAGTGAAAATTGAGAGCCTCAGAGATATTGTTGAAGTGTACAAGATCTTCGAAAACGGTTCGACGCTGGAAGGCTTCAAAGTTGCATGTGAAGGTATATTAGAATATAGGGAGAGCGATTTGGTTATTCCTCCATCCAAGGAGATCATGGTTATCCAGAATTTGGTCGACGAGAAGATCAGCGAGGCAAACCAGATTGCTGAGCCAGAAGAAGTTGCCGAACAACCAAAGACAACTGTTTAGACTCCTGTGGATGATGGTTGAATGATTATTTTGATAATACACCTGTAAATAAATATATACACATAATTAAAAATGAAAACGTCTATAACTGTACAAGGGAAAAAGATCTCACACCTGGATTTTATTCTCGATGGTATCCAAGAGGCTGATTAACTTTGTGGTTGCAGTTTTCCACTGGGTTTTCGATTGCTCGATGTGTTTGCTGATGTCGTCGCACTCCTGTATTTGCGTTTGGATCTGTCTCTCTAAATCCTGAGTGGAAAGCCTGAAGGAGCTGTTTTTTGAGAAGGTGAACTCATACTCGTCCTTTGTCGGGTCATTTCTGTCTTCGTATATGAGCCTTCCAGAAGACAATATCAGCTTCAAGTCGTTGGTGTCCCTGTCGAACAACGTGTTGAGTTCTGTCCTCGTTAGTTTGATTGTCTTGGTCTTTGTGAAATAGTCCTGTATCGTTTTGTTGAGACGGTTTCTATTCTCCAAAAGCTCCTTTGTGAGCTCGATTTTCTTGGTCAAGTCCTTGAATTCTTTGGAAGAGGCTATTATATGGGCGGTGATTATTCTGCTGATGGTTAAGTCGTATTTCTCGACCTCGGCGTAGCAAATGTTGTATTTGGCGAGGTCAAAATCAAGGCCCAGTTCCGTTTTCAGCTTCGCCATTTCAATATCCTTATGCAGCTTGTCGATTCTCTCCTGCGTGAGAGACTCCAAGTTCCCGCTTTTCACATCCATCAGCAATGTAAGCACTTCACCCTTGACACGGACAAACCATTCCAAATCGAGGTCCTGAACGTCTCTCCGTCGTTTCACCAAGTCCTCAAGTTCTGCCTTCCTGAGCATTATGTGTCAATTGCCTAGCAGATATATGCGAGTGCCTGGGTTGAACAAACAAGCACCAGACGAGCCTTTACCAACAAGATACAGGTATTGAGCTAAACCATGCTATACTATACTATACTATACACATCTTTTTTTCTCCGGCCCACTCTCAGGCCTCGCACTCCAGGGCGTCCTTAATGCACCCTATGACAGCAGTGCTCTGGATGTTGTCGTTGCCGCCTTTGGAGATGCCGTACTCGATGTCTGCAAGGCCCTGGAGAAGCTTGGCCTTCGTAGCCGGCTTGAGCTCGTACTTGTCGAGGACGTCCACGAAGGAGTTGATGAGGTCGATCAACGCTAGTCCCTCGACCCGGCGAATCTTGATCATTGTGCTGAACGCGTCGGCCCAGTCGTTCTTCACGATGGCGTCAAAGATGGTCTCTATGGACCGTGGCTTCGGTGCCCCGATGCAGTCGTAGATCATGTCCGAGTCGATCTCGTCCGTTCCCGGGTTGTCGAGGGCCGACTGGCACGCCTGCAGCACGTTCAAGGCCTTCCGCATGTCTCCGTGGCTCAACGACACCAGCGTGTCCTTGGCCTCCGCCTCGATGTGCAAGTGCTCCATCTTGGCCACGTACTCGACTCTCTCCCTCACGGCGTCGTTGGAAAGCGGGGCAAAACGGAAACGGGTGCACCGGGACAACAACGCCGGGTTGAGCTTGTTCGAGTAGTTTGCCAAGATGCAGAACCTCGTGTTCTTCGTGAACTTCTCGATGACCCGTCTCAACGCATTCTGCGCCACGTTTGTCATCGCGTCCGCCTCGTCCAAGATGATCAGCTTGAACCCGGTTGTGAAGATCTGTCTCGTGCTGGCGAAGTTCTTGATCTGGTCTCTCACGACATCGATACCTCGGTCGTCCGACGCGTTCAGCTCGAGCACCATGTTTTTGTAGTTCTTCCCGTACAACTCCTTAGCTAGCGCAATGATCGTAGACGTCTTGCCGCTCCCCGGTGGTCCGTAGAACAACAGATGCGGAATTCGGCCCTCTTTGGCAAACTTCCTAATCGTGCCCACCGTCTCCGTCTGCCCATAGACGTCGTCTAGGCATTGCGGTCTGTACTTCTCCACCCACGGCAAATTCTCTGCAGACATGTCTGTCGAGCTTGGTTCTTGGTCTTACCTGCGTTTTCCCTACATAATTACTTACATACACAATGTCTCCTTCATCTTCAGGTCCATCTTCATCTCCATCTTCATCTTCTCCTCTCCTCTCCCTGTCAGGACGCGTCATTTTCCATCATTGGCCGATCGCCGCACTACTGCTGAAAAGAGTATCTCCGGAAACACCGGTACCGCCGACAGCAGACTTTATATCCGTCGCGGAAATACCGTCTCCGCCGGCGGCCTTATCGCCGTCATCGCCGTTGTCGCCGTCGTTGTCGCCGTTAGCGCCGGCGGTACGGTTATTGCTGCTAGTGGCAGTCAGATTGACACCCTTGCGAAGGACGGCAGGGTAGCGATATTGCTTGAGGTCGATGTGGGTGGCCGAAGGATTAGAGGCGAAGTCGCAGTCGGTGTAGGACTCGGCGGCGCTGCCGTTGTTGCTGATGACCCAGGTCTTCACCTCGTAGCCTTGGAGCTGGGCAGGCTCGTTCGTCAGCGTTAACGGAGTCTTCTCGTCATGCGGAGTTGCAGCCATGTCGGAGGCCTCCGGGGTATTTGACGCCGTGGTGTTGGTGGTGTTGGTAAGGACCGAGTTGGCGGCGGCAGTGCTGTTGCTGTTCAGTAGCAGTGCGTCCTCCTTACTTGCGGCGAGAGGGTCGTACCAGTCTCTCACCCAGTGGTTATTTTCGTCGGAGCCGGACTTGCCCTGGGCAAGCGGGGTGCTGTTTCTGCCCTTGTAGAGGTCTCTTCGTAGGGACATGGGTGTGGGTGGAGGGGTGTGTGTGGACGCTCTGCTGAGGAGAATGGTGAGCCGGGTCCGCTGCCAGTTGACATGAATCGCCAGCAATAGTGGTGAAGAAACATAACACGCTCGCTCCGTCTTTTTCAGACACGCACGTATAAGGGCGGATGGGCTCTACTCTTATCTGCGGATCCACCCAGAGCAGGAATGTCGGTGACGTGGCCCGGACGGTCGGTGGTGGGCCGCCGCAGGAAACCCACCAGCCCAGCACGGTCGTGTCCCCATCTTTGGCGAACCAAGCTAGTCTGTACAGCTCCCTGCGGCAATGGCTCAACTTTTCCAAAGAAAGAGAGGGCTCATTGTAATTATTCACCAGGTAGATTATGGCGGTCTCGCTGAGAAACCAATGCAGAAATATACACATCTTATTTGTGTCCTTCGTATAGAAAAGGGGTCTAGTACCCTGCTGTTGGAGGCTTGTGCGTACCACACTATCACTGCAAAAGAGAAGCCCTTCTGCTGTTGATTACCTCTGCCAAAGTTGCACTGCCCAACACCGCTGCCAAGAATGGAGTGCCTCAGGTCATTCCAGATTGAGCAGGAGCTTTCGCAGCGTGTGATTGCCCAATGGCTCGTAGACTTGCCATAACAAGCAGGCACGCCCGCAACAGCGTTCATATGTCACTTTCAAGTATCTCCCGCTGCAAAAGAGACTCCTCCACGCTACTCTCGTCACTCTCATCACTTTCCCCAACACTGCTCTCGTCTCCACTCGGCTGGCCCAGCAGACGTCTGCTGTGCAGCAACTTCGACGCAGCAGCGACATTGATCAGGCTGTCTACAGACACTGGCTCAGAATCGGCTCTCGGATCCATCGCAGACTTTACCAGCACCTCTCGCACCTCCGCTTCTGGCATGTTCTCGTCGTCTCCTCGATAGAGCTCTATCATCTTTCCATATATGTGTTTCCGGTCGATCTTCAAGATGTTCGACAAGTGTGTAAAATTGTACCGCACAACGATCCCTTCTGTAGTCTTCTCCAATAGCGGTAGGACTTCTCGTAATATGGCAATGTTGTCCCGTGTCCAGGTTACTCTCTCCAGTTTGTCGCCGCTAACTTCCCTGCCTTCGTCGCTGTTTTGCATCACATCAACGGCAAAGTCATCCGCTCGCACAACAACGGCAGGAATTTGATTGCCCTTGCGCCCCATACCTCGGTACTCTAATTGACACGACCAGTTGTTTACACCACAATGTATATTCGAATTCAAGAGAGCATGTTTATGCCGGCCACATCGACTGCCCTTCAAACCACTACACGTCCTATATCGCATTTAGCGAGCTGCCAGTAGCGACGCCAAGCCTTCTCGGTGAACATTATTTCTGTTTTTTCGGTCTTTCATGCCTCATTGAACTTTCTTCTTCCTGGATATGTGTCACCACATTCATACACTTCAGCCCTACAGACCCTCTTGTCCTACTTGTATAACGCTTCTGATGGATGTGCGAATCATCACGTATGATTCGTATCAATCTGCCCCCACCCCGCTCGACAAGTCTGTCGTGACCATAAACGGGAAAACTGAACCATCGATTACTAAATTTTACATCAATCGTGTACCAATAATCAGGATTTTTGGAAAGCTGCCCACAAACCACACCTGCTTGTTACATGTTCATGATGTTTTCCCCTATTTGTACATCAACTTTCCGAAGGCAAATGGATGGGATTTCTTAGCATTGAGCCCTGAAAACATTGCGGAGTTGGATAGATGGCTTGTGGAGATAAACAAAGCTTTGTCCGAATCTTTCAAAAAAAAGCACAAGAAACCTCGGACCTATAGAAAGAAAGCAAAGCGTAAATATACTAAAGAAAGAGATCCAGCAGATCAAGTTTTGGGCGGCCAAGATCACACCAAAGTTGAAAATGATTACCAATATGGTAACGGGGAGGTGGACGTGGACGTCGATGATCTTGATGATGATGATACTGATGATGATGATGATTGCAGCAGTGACGAGAGCTGTAACGATTTTTTTCATTCGTACGTTTCAGATCTGTCCATAGTCACTGGAATGCCATTCTACGGTTACCATTTGCAAAATATGACGTTTTTGAAAATCAGCCTAACCTCTCCCAAATACGTTACTAGGCTTGCAAGACTTCTCGGAGAGTCAAAAGTTTTTAACAAGTTCATTCAGCCATATGAATCTCATGTTCCTTATAATTTACAATTCCTCATAGACTACAACTGCTATACTTTGAAGGAGATTAATATCACAGATTATATCTGGAGAACTCCCTTAGTTATAGTCAATGACTCGTACAATGTTGCTGCCTATCAAACTTTTTTTGAAACCTACTTTACACGTTTCAATTCTCAGAAAATTGATTCTAGCCTCAAAAAGTTTTTAAATGAGCACTTATACCCACTGAATGGTAGGATTAATGTGTTAGATCCTGAAAGTCTTCCCAGAATTGGCCGTACCATGGTGGAACTTGATATAGTTGCCGGGTGGATTATTAATCGGAGCTCTCTTCATGAAAGAAAGATTCCCGGACTATGCGATAATGTATTGCTGGATGATAAGGTGCAGTATATCAGCTCAACCAAATCATTGTTAGATGATGTTGACAACGTGCGCAAAGGTAGAGGCTTGCAAATTGGGGGTTCTCAACTAGGCCTTTTTGATAAAACACCCCGCAGTGTTAGCTCTTCGGTAAGGTGGAATGACCAAGAAGAAATAGACAAGCTTTTCTCTAATTGTGTGAAGCTGTCGGAAAAGTCGTATTACGAAAAGTTTAATGATTCTGAATTCACTCGGCTAAAATCTCCTAAGCCTGAGGCATCCTTTCCTTCCAGTTTTCAAAGTATTGGTATTTTACACCATTTTCCTGATCCTAATCCAAAATATTTACTTAATACCGATATGATAGACACTAAAAGCGACGACATATTTGATCAAATATTAATATGTTCCAAATCCTTCACATCCAATAGTTCTTCAATTATAGAAAACCAGAACATTTTTGACCTAACAGGCCATAACAATGTAGGGGACCCATTCAGCTATCCGAAGGATGAAGTCATCGAGTCTAGTACTGAAAATGAAGAGGTTGAGATAATTGATGAGTCTAATGAAATCAGTACCAACCCAGACCATTCGGTGTCTAATCTCACGGAAAAGTTACAGGGAGCATCTACTTTAGAGGAATCTGTTGTGTTTGACAATTCTGATCTTCGCTTTTTGGAATCAACACAATCAGACAATATCAAAAAAAAGCTCAGAGAACCATCCATTTTTACTCAGAGAGAAAAACTATCTGCCCATGAGATTTTCACTAATTATTTCGAAGACTCAGATCACGGGGAAAAAATCTATAGTTTTAACTTACAGCAGCCTAAAGTTCACAGCAAGGATGATTTTTTGAACTCTTTTCAAACGAATTATCATATGCTCAAAATTGAATATCCTGACCCATTTTATTCCAAGTTGAGCAATTTTGATTCAAAACCTTTCATATTTGCAGGAGAAAAGTTTCAACTAAACTGTACTGAAGTTGATACCAATCTTTACCCCTCAGGCACTCAGCTAAATACTTTTACCAAGGGGACAGACGATTTATTCATTTGGAATTATACACCTAAAATGCCTTCCCCGGCAGATGTAAAAAGTTGGCTAGACACTGAAAAAGTTTTAGATCCACCTTCTTTTGTATTCCACTCCCAAATCAGGGGACCCACTCAAAAATTTAAAGGTTTCAGATATGCATCTTTGAAAACACCACCAGAGAGAATGGCTAATAGCAGCTTGACCATGGACCAGCTTTTGTTAATTGTTGAGATACATATCAACACTAGTGGTAATAAGATGCCGGATCCTAAAGTGGATGCGATATGTGCAGTGTTCTGGAAAACTAATATCGAGAACTTTACGTTTGACCAGGATTTTCCGGCAAGTGGTAGTCTGGTAAATACTGATGGCAACATTGCAGAAGAGCTTTCAAAAATTTCTAATCAAACTGAACTGTCTATTACTCGCTATGACAGTGAATACGAGATGCTAATTGGACTTGTTTCTTTGGTTGAATATCTTGATCCTGATATACTTGTTGGATTTGAATTGCATTCCTTATCTTGGGGCTTTATTCTTGAAAGAGCAAAGTATAAGTTCAAGATTGATTTGTGTCAAAGACTTTCTCGTGTCGTGTTTAAACACAATAACAAAATTGGCGATAGGTGGGGCTATACGCATGCTTCTGGAATCAGAATCACGGGAAGGCAACTATTCAACTTATGGAGGAGGCTGCGAAGTGAATTGAATTTGAATCATTACAGCTTGGAAAATATTATTTTTCACATATTTCATGTAAGAATTCCAACCTTTTCTTGGAAACAGTTGACAAATTGGTGGGTTAGCGGCCAGGGAAAATATCTCAGCTACGTTATCAACTATCATAATTCTAGAATAGAATACGAAATGGAGCTGATTACAAAACTAGAAATAGTAGAAAAAATAAATGAACAATCTAAATTGTTAGGTATTGATTTTTACTCAATGATTTACAGAGGAAGTCAGTTCAAAGTGGAGTGTTTGCTTGTTAGATTAGCCAAAGCTGAAAACTTCATGCTAATATCCCCATCAAAAAAGCAAGTTTTTAAACAGGACTCACTTGAGTGCATCCCTTTAGTTATGGAGCCTAATAGTGCTATGTTCAAGAGTCCACTTGTTGTTCTTGATTTCCAATCTTTGTATCCTTCGTTGATCATAGCATACAATATCTGTTACTCCACTATGTTGGGGAAATTGAAAAACTACGATCCATATAAGTATACTAAAATGGGTGTCACGAACTACAAAACACCCGAAGGCATTTTGAAACTCTTGGAAAGCGACATCAATATATCACCAAATGGTGTTATGTTTGCTAAACAAAATATCAGGAAATCCGTACTTGCAAAGATGTTGACTGAAATTTTGAATGCAAGGATATATATCAAAAGCACCATGAATGAATTCAAAGACGACGATGTACTTCGGAAACTATACAACAACAGGCAACTGGCTTTGAAACTAATTGCTAATGTGACATATGGATATACTTCCGCATCTTACTCTGGAAGAATGCCAAATTCAGACGTTGCGGATGCAATTGTTTCATGTGGTCGTGAAACATTGCTAAAGGCTGTTAAAGAAATTGAAAAGACCTCCAAATGGGGTGCTAAAGTTGTCTATGGTGACACTGATTCTTTGTTTGTTTATCTACCGGGAAAAACTAAAGCTGATGCATTTAGAATTGGTAAAGAAATGGCTAATCATGTAACATCATTGAATCCAGAACCGATTAAGCTTAAATTCGAAAAGGTCTACTTACCCTCTATCCTTGTGAGTAAAAAAAGATACATTGGTTGGTCTTTTGAACATGAGAGTCAAGTAAATCCAAAATTTGACGCCAAAGGTATTGAAACTGTTCGCAGAGATGGGATTCCTGCTCAGCAGAAAATACTCGAAAAAGCAATTTTGATACTTTTCGAAACAAAGGACATTTCTCAAATAAAAGATTATATTTTGGATGAGTTCTTGAAAATCGTAAAGAACAAAATTAACTTGCAAGACTTCCTTTTTGCGAAAGAGGTAAGATTGGGAACGTACAAAAATGAAAAGTATATACCTCCAGGTGCTCGACTGAGTATGAAAAGGGTCCAAAAGGATCACAGGTCAGAACCTCAATACAAAGAACGTGTTTTTTACTTAGTGAGAAAAGGTCATAACAAAGAAATTCTTAGAGACAGGTGCGTTTCTCCCGAAGACTTCCTGAATAATGCAGCCTTAGAACTCGATTCTGACTACTATATTAATAAAGTATTGATTCCGCCGCTGGAAAGAATATTTAATTTGTTTGGCGTGGATGTTAGAGCTTGGGTGAAAGAAATTCCAAAAATGTTATCATACACAGGTGTCGGAGTGACGCTGCTTAATGTCAAAGTGGTATCATGTGTATGTTGCCATAAAAGTGAGAATCTGAAGACCAGTGATGATTCGAGCCTTTGTGAGAATTGTAAAAAAGAAGAATTAAGGACTGCGCTGACACTGAAGAATAGGCTAAAAGTAAAAGAAACGAATTGTATGAATTACATCAACTTTTGCAGATCATGTTCCGCCTACGCAGTTGGAGAAGCTGTAAATAACAAGGTTGCAAAAAGTTGCTGCAATGTGGATTGCAGTGTATACTATACTCGGATGAAAGTAACGAGAACAACCGATGTCATGATACGAAAATACCAAAAAATACCCGATTGGTGATCAAATGTTTATCAAACAATATAGATTTATGTAGGAAAAAATAAGGACAAGCTATAAACATCGTAGGCTAGTTTTAGAAAGAGTCATGAGTTTGGGTCATTAAGCTCCTTTAGTAAGGAAAGATCAAGTTCCTTTAGTTTAGATGCATTTTTTTTTACCAGATCATGCAAAAAACATGTATGAGCCACCTTCTTTTCGAAAGCTAATGATTTCCTCAAGTTGACATAGTCAAACATTTTTTCATAACCATTCATTGAAATACTCAAGTACTTCAACACAATGGCAACTTTTGTGTTAAATTCATCAGAAGTCAAAGTTCCTCGAGTTTCCTCAAACTCTATGAACTCGACTATGGATAGTATATGGTATGCATCAGCTATCATATCAACTCTTTTTATTTCTAAAATTTTAGGTAAAAATTCAGAAAGTAAATCCTTAACGTCGGGAATCGATTGGATTGGGTCCACCTTTAACAACAGATTACACAAGCATATAATACATTCGCAGAGGTTGAATATAAGTGAGCAAGCATGTGCACGATTGGCCGCACTGAGTAATATAGATATACCTCTTTCAGGATATGGTGTGTAATTCGTAAAAGTATAAGATAGAAGGACTTGAAATCTTATAAACCAATGATTGTTGTAAACCAAAGAGTTTTCTTTCATTGACGTCAGTTGTTTCGTGATAATGCCAATGCCTTCGGTAATATTATTGATTTTCAAATTGTAAATTGCTCGTTGATAAATCAACTCATTTGTAACTTCTTGGTCGTCCAAGCCTTCAGCCAGGGCTATCATGTTGTCCATTAAAATATCGCTCTGAGGGTATTTGCATTGATTCAGGTAATGATAGAAAAGTATGATATCGTGTCCCATTTTCCATTTCTTTGACATTGAAAGATCCTTTAAAGCCGAATCTTTAACTGATGATAGTAGTTGAAAACTTTCATCTATTTCCCCCACAAAATATAGGTCATTTGCTTTTCTTATATATAAGAGAATAAGATCAAATTCATTATTTTTTTCTTTAGCAAAATCAATTGCTGTTTCTAGGTAAAGGTTTCCAATTGAAGGATAACCAATTCTTTTCCAAATTGTATCTGCCACCTGGCATGCAGTTATGAAGATTCCCTTTAGTTCGTCAGTATCCTCAAAATTCAATATCAGATAAAAGGTTTTAACCATATTTTCCATTACAACAGTCAAGCTTGATCCCTCAAGTAAAGAAACAACTACTTCAAACTGAAATGAAATTGACTGCAATGATAGATTCTTTGTTTCTTTAGTTTTGAGACGTAAGAAATCCATAATTTCGGATCTCGATGGGTGGTCCTTCAGTTTGACAAAGTGCTGTGGCTTGGAGATAATAAAGTTCAATAGCCAAGTGAGTAAGTAGTTTAAGCAATCTAAATCTTTATTTTCTCGGGCAACTAGAATAGCTTCATCAATGGCTCTCAGTGCTTCTTTATTTGCTCCAAAAGAACTATGCAAGGTTGCCAAAGCTAAAAGGGCATAATGATAAAAGTACTGCCTTCTATTCGACATCATGTAGTCAAAATATCTATGGAGAGAATCAAATGATTTATCGTAATCAGCCTGCCTCCAGCTATTCAAATGCTCCACATGGTACGAAGACGGTATAAGGCTTCTATCCGATTGAGACAACGAGCTGAGTAATTCCGTTAAGGACTTGGGCAAAGAGGACGATTTCCTTTGTAAAGTGGAAACTTGTGACTGAAATAAACTCGCAAGATCCATATGAGAATACACCAGGGATGTTGATTCATTTATCCCTATGGTTGCATTAGGTAAAATGTCTTTCTCAAACATTGAGTAGGTGCTGTAGTCTTTAGCGTTATTGAACTCAAGTGTACTATCAACTCCGTTTAAAGTAATCCAATGTAATTCTGTTTCTTTCCTATACAGCAAGAAGCCTTTCCATATTTGTATTCCTTCTTCAAAGGTTAGCGTTGTCACACCCAATGCAATTACTGAAATAAAGCTGCCAAGAAAACTTGAGCAATAAAGTGATTTTTTAGGTTTGTTGATATTTGGTAAACCTCTTGCAGAGCCTATTAGTTGGGGGCTTGGGTCAATCAACAAGTTGGCTGAAGAAAGCAAAAAAGTAAAGAAATCATCGTACGATTTCAATTGCCACATTTGCTGTAGCAGGTAGTAATGAATTGACTTTATGTCACGCTCCACTGTCTCCTTTTCTTTCACCCCAGAGGAATTAAAAAATGAGCGTATTGACGATCCCACTAATTCCATAATCTCTGACAAGGAAGGAAAAAATTTCTGGACAATGTCATACTCTGCACCAGAGCTACAATTTTTGTCGGGTTCGTTTTCGATCATTTCTACCAGAATCGAAAGAATTGGAGGTATACATCTCTGTGGTATTTTTTTGTAGCAGTATCCCGAAATGATGGCCAATATTGGAATTTTTGATGTCGTTATAACCGGAGTTAATACCAACTTCTTGGATGAGCTTTCCATATTGCTTTCAATCTGTTTATAGATTCTATTCGAATAACTGTGTACTATAGATAGTTTTTTCAGTGGTCGTATCATAATGTAAACACGACGGAAAGGAAGCTGATCAATTCATGTTTCTAACTTTTGTGTTACGTAATTGACTCCCCCTTTTTTCCGTCCCACGGACTTTCGACCAAGTTAACGCAAATTCTGCTCAGATATTTGATTGCCTTACGTTCCACGAAAACAGAAGGTGTAATTCCAGTGAAGAAAACTCTCTACTGAAGTCAGCCCTTCCTATCAAGCAAAATACAGGGTTGAGATTTTTGTCCCCAGTTTACTGCAATAATGATGCAACTGCCGAAAACTTTGCAACATCGTAAAAAAGAGTTGCAAATTGAAAAGGTATTTCGTAACAAACCTACAATGAAATACTTGAAAAGTCTATAGAACCAAAATAAAAGTACGTAAATTTTTGCTTGATTAGAAACTTTGTGACTACAATATCGTTGTAGACAATACTTGAATTGGAATGAAATTTCGAATTCAAATACAAGACTTTGTTAATAAAAGTACAAACCTGAAAGAATTGGTTCAATTAATATAATGTACAATTTCATCGACTTAGTAAAAATATGAAAAAAAGAGATTATCTCAATTGCATGAAGGCGTCCAAGAGAACAGACGAAGAGTTTTCGTCATTTTTTGTCTTCTCAAAAACATTCCAGAAACGCAGGGTCTCGTCACCGGCACCTGTGACGATGGTTTGCCCGTCGGGAGACATAGAGAGATACAACACTCTATAAGTGTGGCCTGTAAGAGATGCTATCTGCTGCATTGTATTGTATTTCCATATCACGATTTGATTCCTCGAATATCCATGGGTTGAAACTAATTCATTGGAGTTTTTAGACCACGCCAAGTTACACACTTGGGATCCAGTGTCGACGTCGCTTACTTTATTTCCCGTAAGTGTACTCCATGTTTTAATTCTTCTGTCAGCGGTACCTCCTCCAGATGCAAGTATTCCTCGCTGGTGGGGCGACCAGGCAATTGCCTTCACAGCGGCTTGATGCTCAGTGAATTTATATAGTGGTTCACTGTTCAAACCATCCCAAACAAACAATTTGTTGTCATTACCACCGGAAGCTAATTTGTTTTCTTCAATATTCCATTTCAATCCACAAACCTCTTGTTTGTGAGACTCCAATCTTTGCATGAAGTGAGCCGGTTCTCTCACGTCACGATGCAAAATTGTTCTATCTCGCGATCCAGATGTTAAGACGTGCTGATTCCATGCAAGTGATGATGCCCTCATGGAGTGGCCAGTCATTGTTCTAGTACACTTGCATGTTGTCGCATCCCAAATTTCTACCAAACCGGAGTTTGTTCCGATAGCAAGATGTGTGCCTGATCCGATCCAAGAGAGACTGCAGATACTGTCGGTAGCACCTAGATCACACAAGTGATTTACCGATCCAGATGCGCCGTCCCATAAATAAACCGAGGATCCCAATCCTACAGCTAGAACGTCCTGCGACCCCCAATCAACTAAATTCAAATAAAAGTCGTCAGCCAAATCGGGAGCATCGAGCACACGGTATGGCATTTTTGATATATTTCTTGTTTTCTTCTGTGGGGATAGCAACAAGCTCTGAGTGTCTGCTCGTACCGGTGACAGTGAATACAATTCATTTTGCGCATCCAGAGAAGATGAGTTGGGTCTGGTTTTCGAAGGTGACTGGTATGTAAAAAGATTTCCTGTTTGCCTCTGAGGGGTTCTTTGCAAACTTTCCTCTCGACTAATACTGGTGTAATCGGAAGCACTGCTTCGGTCATTTAAAGAACGACTGCTGCCGTTAGCATTGTTGTAGTTGATGCTGTGAATTCCGGCTTCGGCATTATTCATGTTTGGCGGAGGGGTCACTGCTCTAGAGTTCATTGATGAGGAGCTCTTCGGTCTTCGGGAAAAGGACATGGGCACGTTGTCACCGAAAAGTTCGGTTTTAAGCACAGAATCAAAAGTCCGGTTAGCCTCCTCCTCTCGCAGGTAATCTGGGTCGTTGGAGTTGTTGTTGTCTACGCTGCTGGACATGTCTGCTGATGCATATGCCGGTTGGGAATACTCGGAGTTTGCCAAACTGAACGCAGCCTGTAAGTCAACACCGGACCTTGTCGGTATATATCGGTCACTGTACACTATCTTCTTCTTGTTCCTTCGAGGAGTTGAGGGCGACATGAACATGTTGTTCGCATTCAGACCTGCGGATGTGTTTTGGCCCTGAGGCGTATTCATAGAATTGTTGTCACCCATCGGGACGGAGTAGAGGGCGATAAAAGCAAGCTGTCTCTATCTTTCTTCCCGGTGGTACGGATGTATAAGTACGTTTTTGCTAATGCTGTCCACTTGATCCCGGACCCATGTTGGGCATAAACAACCCCAACAGGGAGAAAAAAGGTACTCCCAAAACAGACGGCATGTCTCCAGACCAATCTCCACCTCCCGGATCGGCGCGTTGCCCCATCTTTGGGCAGTCGAGAATAGTTATCTATTTAAACGCATATGGAGAGGTTTAGCACGAGGGCGTTTGGGGACTAAGGTAGCGGTCAGGCTAAAACAATCTGTCACCAGATAATGAATGCTGAACAGAAGCAGGCTGTGATTGTACGTAGGAAAGAATACATGTTTTAGATGTGACCCTTTGAAGAAGGTGGATACTAACCGATTTTTGACATGATATTTTTTCAAATTAGAATGAGAACCGTATCAAAGCTTTGGAGAAGATCAGACAACGGCAGCAGCTAGTGAAACAGGCTGTGTCTGGCGTCGGAGAAAGCAACTGTGAAAGGCAAGGCGGTTCCTTGAAAAATACGGCTGAAATAAACCCAAGGCCGGCAGCGGAATTGAAACGAGCTAAACTGACTCTGACTCCGGAGCAGCAGCAGCTGATCGAGAAAAATCGACAAAAGGCTCTAGAAAGACTTCGAATGAAGCAAGGTGTGGCATCTGGTGCTTTGAGAGATGCTTCTCAAGCATCATTAAAACAGTACCAGCCTGCAGTACCTGGTGCAGTCAATGATGGAGGCCCAGGAATAGGAGCTGGTTCTTTGGCAACTAATCCCGCAGCTAACAAAGTTTCTTCAAATTACATTAGGCCTTCGGTTCACAAAGCGGACTACATAGAGTATGATTTCTCTACAATGCAAGATACTTTTGGTGGGTTTGTATCGAACAAGAAAGTGGATAAAAATGGGAACCCTATTGAGATGACTTTAACGGACTGGAAAAACCAGCAGCTAGAGAAGAGGAATATGACTGTGCGTGGTGAAGATGAAGACGACTTGCCACCTATGGATTTACAGAATGCTCCGAAGTGCTACGAGTGTGGGTCGGTGGACTTGGACAAAAAAATGCTAGAAGTTTTCAACTGCAGGGTTTGCAAGAGTTGCAAAGAGAAGCATCCTGAAAAATACTCGTTATTAACGAAAACGGAATGCAAGGAGGATTACTTTATGACTGAACCAGAGCTTGCAGACTTGGGGTTATTCAGGCGAATAGTAAAAGAGAATCCACACAGTGGCACGTTTTCTCGAATGCAGTTGTTCTTACGATATCAAATAGAAGAATATGCTTTCAAGAAATGGGGGTCATCGGACAACCTTGATAACGAGTGGCTACGTAGAGAAGAGATGAGGAAGAATAGGCGTGAGAAGAGGTTCAACAACAAGTTGAGAGAAATGAGGAAGAAGTTAAGAGCTGAGGAGTTAACTCGAAATCTACGTTCACAGAGGGATAAAAAGCACGTACATGATTGGTCATTTCCGGAGCGAAAAAAACCAGTAGATAAAGAGGAGGTGCCTGAAAACTCTTTTGTGAAAAGATGTGTTGATTGTGGCATGGAGGTTGAAGAGATTTTGATGTTATGATAAGTTGTTTCTTTCTATAACAGTAGTTGTAGTTAACAATGGAATGAACAATTATGGGTATTAAAAATAATGCTCTAGGCGAGATTCGAACTCGCGATCTTCAGATTATGAGACTGACGCCTTAACCAGCTGGGCCACCAAAGCAATTGTTGGAAATTTAGTTTTGGGGTTATACATCATCGCTTTTATGTCTTCGACGATCGACCGCATAATAAATATGATTTGTGTAATTTTTTAAGTAGAGCTATTTACTTTGCAACAAAGACCTTTTGAGATTTCCTTGAGTATTTATCGATTAGGTAATCAAAACGATATTTGCAAGAAAGTATAAGTAATAGCCAGAATTAGACTAGACTAGGGATATATACAGGACTTGACGACGTGCTTTGGTTGACCTTTTAGCTTGAAGAGTGCCTGGTAAAGCACCGGCACACTAACTTTCACTGCCCCAGTTGCGTACTGCGAAACAGTAGGATTGTTTGCCACGACAGCCTTCATTCAATCTTTTCCTGCTCTTGCTTTAAAATCCGTAAAAAGAATTGTAAGCTGTACTTGGCAAACAACTGCATATTGGTGGACCTATCGTTTGATTCGGTGCACATCTCGCAGGAGTGCCCCCCATTGGGACCGCAAATTCCAAGATAGACCGTTCCGACCTTTGCGTCGGCGTCATTGATGCTGCCATTGTCATGACCCAATCCTACATTGGTCGAGGGTCCTGCATATCCTGTCTCTGACAAAACATAAGTGGATCCAAACTCTACACGGAGGTTTCTGGCCATCTTCAAAGCAACATTTTCACATGGACCGGTGTAACTGTTAATCTGCTGGTTATTCCACCCTGATAAACGTAATCTTGACTTCAAGCTGTAGATGGACCGTCCGCCATCAAAGAAGCTAGATGCTCCTGGCAACGATATGAGATATGCGCTAAGTAATCCGCCGCATGCTCCTTCGCTGACTGACACTGTCTGATTCTTCCTGATGAGGATCTCGGCAATCTCTGCCACAAGCTGCTTGATGTCTTCTGGTGGGAAATTCATAACCCGGCTGGCCTAATCTAGCAAGGCTTGTTTTTTAGGGAGACAATTACACGGCCCATTGCATTCCCAACTGTTCCACGGAGTAGAACATGAATGATTTAAGAGACAGGAAACATGAAAGCCGGGGAGGAGCGAGAGCACTTTTTCGTTTGCCTCTGACGGGTTCTTGACTTTTTCCTCCTCCTTCTCTCCACTAGACAAGAAGTTGAAGGGTAAGCCAGGCCTCCTCAATTACACAACATCGGACAAACAAGATGACAGTGACATTGCCATTAAAGTTTAACGCAGGAAAGGTAGATTACAATGAGGATACCGGTGTATACACGCCGCTAAACGGACCAGGAGAGATCGTAGTTGACCACAGTCCTGAGGGCGAAGGGTGTTACTCCTTCACATGGAGACCCCGTCAAAGCACGTCATCCGCAGCGGACGAGTTGCTTGTCTTTGAGGGTGATGTGGTGTGGCAGAAGATAAATTCATGCAAGAGCGGGAGGGTATACATGTTGGCGTTCTTGAGTTCAGGTGCCAAAAACCTCTACTGGATGCAGGATGTGAACGACGACGGCGCCGGGGAGGACGACGAGGATCTCCTTTCCAAAGACTCCAAGCAGGATTTGGAGATTGCTAGCAAACTAAGGGGACTCCTCTGTGAACAGTCTGAGTAGATAGACAGAAAAACAAACTAGTTTTATAGATGTGGATAGAAAAGGCGTGTAATTGTAACATGTCTCCGTACTGCTACGCGGTTGCCCTGCTCGAGTTATCGTGAGTGCCACGGACAAAGACGTTGTCTGTTTCAGGTTTGTTTGGACAACCGTGCAGCACTGATACAGAGGAGATCACCGACCATGTCTGCCTTCGAGGATGTCCATCCAGCGGGCCACAGATCTGTGAGCCCTTCTTTCTCCCCCTCCTCTTCGTCGTCGGACGTACTCAATGGCACCCCGAGTACTCGCCGGCTTCAGACTCAGGCTCCGACTCACATACAAAGAGTTTTGGAAACGCCAGTACAACTAGGAAGCACCATCCTGTTACCGTCATCTTCCCCATCAACAGCACAAAATACTTTGCCCGGAAGCCGTGAAGACAGAAGTAGAGGTGGGAGAACAGGAACAGCAGAACCAGAGATATCCCAGCTTCAGCAGCACTATCAGCGTCACTACCTGCAACAACTTCTCTACAATCAGCAGTTTCAGCAACTACACACTTCATCAAGCCAGTTGTTGACTCTAAGTAACAGTATGCCTTCCCACTACAATATAAACGGAGGCTACTCGGGCGAAATGTCAGGAAACAGCCCATATGGAATTCCTATGGCATTGGTGCCTAGTTTAAACATTACAGAAAAAAACAACGGTAAGCAACAACAGACAGCACAGCATGATATGGTTCATTCTACCAATGATGTTTCTACTTGCCCGTATGGTTGCTGCCATACCCCCAGCATTTCGGAACATTTGTTTTTAAACGGACTAGTGAGAGGCGACCATTACGATGTCATTATCAGAGCTTTCGGAAAGAAGTACAAGTTACATAAACTTTTCCTTGACCGAAGTCCATATTTTAGATCTCTATTTTCTTGGTCTACCAGCATGAAAAGTCATGCCAACACAAGCGGCAACTCGAGTTCAGACTCAGAGTCAGACCCGGAGTCTGATTCAAATGGCTCTGATCGAGGGAAGAGTTCCAGAGGCACGAAAACAGACTCCGATTATAGGAAAGTTTACGATCTACGTTTTGAGGAAGATGGTGTATTCAGTGATAGTACATCCCTCAGTTGCAAACAGAAAAGTTTTGAGTTGGCAATATCAAGGTTATATGGCGCTGTGAATCTGAAGGAAGAGTGCAAAATCCCATACAATATGATTGAAATTGGCCAATACCTTGCTCTATCAGATATTGTCTGTACAGCAACAGACTACATTGTTAAGAATATGAGTATTTTGAACCTTGCCGAAAACCTGAGCTTTGCCATAGCTTGTGAGTACGGATCCGCAAGTCAAAGAATAATTGAAAATGGAAAGGGTATATTATGCGCCAATGGATGGGAGCAAGGACCAGATGCATGGGATGGCATACCAACTACCATTGCAGCTGAGGTTCTCGGTGAGGACTACTTTTTTGTTCCTACAGAATGGGATAGATGCATATTTATTATAAAGCTAATAGAAAGAAGGTTAGAGTCCTCCTGCCTAGAAGAAGAGATAGATAATGTTGCACCTTTGAAAAAAGTACTTAATGAGAAAATCCATTATTGTCATATTCCTCCAGATCAGCTACAGGAGTTGGAAGAACTCTGCGATATCAATGGTGAGAACTACATCAAACCTCATGTTTTGCATTCCGCTCTATGGCAGGCAGTTCAATTGGAGACACTTATTTCCAGAGCTCAAGATTCCCCTCACTTGGATAACGTTATAACCTGCCCAAGCTCACCTTCGAAAAATCACAAATGGTTTAAGGTTCCGTCAAAGGATGAAACCTTGTCCGGACTTCCAAAAGAATTGGATGTATTGTTATCACAAAGTCTCTCAGCTACTGCTGTGAACCAGTTGAATTCGGACGATAGTAAAACCACACAGGGAGAAAATAATAGTTTTGACACTGATGAGAAAATGTTTGTTTGGACAAAAATCCCTCCTTTCAGATTTTCGATTTCGTTTGCCAATGTCTCTGAACTTTCAACAGACAAAAGGGTTTATGGCAAAACTTTCTGGTATGCTGGCTCATATTGGAACTTGTATTTACAAAAGAGCCATATTCAGTCTAAGAATAGTTACCAAGTGGGGGTTTATTTACACAGAGCACACAACGGCTCTTCCAATTCATCTTCCAAAAGTGGCCTAATTAACCCCGACATATATGCGAACAATGTCAATTACAAGCTTTCCCCAAAGAAGTACCAGAGACAGGAAAAAATATTGTCGTATCAAACTGTCCCAATTGAGAGGACCGAACCTAACAGCAATGAGCTTTACGGAAATCGGAGCAATGAGTCCACACTGGAAAGCTTGGGAATGAACATGATAGATCTGTCAGTATCCGATGATAGTAAGCCAACAGTTGCAAGCTATGATAGAACTACCAAAGCTATGAAACGGAAATCAAATGGAATGATAAGTTATGAAGACCAAAGAAATGCAATCAAAGTATATTTCATCATATTTACACCTTCTCGCCGGGCCATGCCTACGATAACCTCCTTTTTGTCTGTTCCAAACGATTTCAGCAAGTCCCAGAGTTGGGGTTGGAAAAGTAATAACATGTGTGTCTTCAACGAAGATGGAACTTTTGCCGAGGGTCAGGATTCCAACTTAAAGTTCATGATTCTACTAGGAAATGTATAACAACCTATTCCTTGATAATGTTAAGTATAAAGTAATCTGTTCAGGAAAAACATACATAGAAAGAAAGTAAATTAGAATAATAAATAATAAGGAGTTGCACTAACATCTTACGACATTATATCCATTCTGTTGACCACGAAAGTTTTTCGACGGGCTTGAAAGGAGCAATCTTCAACTTTGAATCATCAAATGCGATAACATCAGGAATCTCGACCTCTTTCTTGACCAAAACACATTTGTCCTTACAAACGAGTTTAGATTCATCCATACAGTAGAATGTGTTTCCAAAGGTTGAAACGAAATCCTTCAGCTTGTCAAGCTTACCCGCCTTGTCAAAAATTTCAGCAACATATCCAATGGCATATCTTTGGGTGTAGACACCGGCACATACACCTACATGAGTAGACTTCTTGGAAAGGTCATGTGGCGCCGAGTCCGATCCAAAGAAAAAGTAAGGCTTACCGGAGACAGCAGCATTCAAAAGTGCACGTCTATCTTCTGGCAATTTCGCAACGGGCTTACAGAAGTTGACTGGGTTTCCCGCCCAATCGTCAATGGTTAGGAACAGGTGATGTGCAGTCAAAGAGGCAACCACTTTTGGTTCTTCGTTTGGTTTAAGATCTTTGTTGAGTTCGTGGATCGCATCTACGGCAGCCTTTGAGGTACAATGTTCAAGCACGATCTTCAGTTCTGGAAAATCTTTGTGGAGTTTTGCAAGGGCAGGCAAGAACTTAAGTTCTGCGTTGAGCACATGGATGTCCTCCCCACTATCATGTGAAGAAGGTTTTTCACCATGAAGATTCAACACTAGTCCTTTTTCCTGCATCACCTCGAAAATCGGATAGAAGGCAGAGAAATCGTTAGGATCAACACCAGCCTGGGAGTTGGTCGTGACACCCGCTGGATAGCACTTAATACCACGGATAACATTTTCATCTGCAGCCTTTGCGACAATCTCAGGAGTTAGCAACTTGGAAAGGTAAAAAGTCATCAAAAAAGTGGTCTTTGGGGCCAATTTCTGCAAGTCCTTTTGGTATTGGACAACTCTATCAATGTCTGTCAGAGGTGGAGTCAAGTTCGGCATAATGTATGCAATAGATACGCCACCTTCTCTGACAGTTGGAGCAACAAGTTCCATCATCTCTCCCTGTCTAAGATGCACATGATAATCTGCAGTGTGGCCAAGCTCGATTCGGGACATTTTTGTGGCGTAAGTAGAGTAGGCACGTTTATAAAGCACCTGCAGTGTACTGAACATAAACCGGATTACAGCTCTTACGTTTATAGGGAGCCAGACAAGTTTGGCAAGGCATCCATGCTGCCTGCTATTAAGATCTGCACGAGTTGAAAGCAGAAACCGTTGACAAATGTTACGTCAGCTGAAAATTTTTTGGTGATTTTTCGGAACATGATTTATCGCAGTCCACACTCTAATAACAGTGAATCGGACTAGAAAGAGAGAGAAGGACAGATACCAGAAGCCCATAACTGGAAAGGAAATGGAAGAAACATTACAAGCATCAGCAGCTCCGGCTCTTTCAACGGCGCAAGATGAGGAAGATGCTTTTGCAAAGGTGCAGGGTCTCAGTGAGGAGATGCTTCGGGAGAAGAGACGGCATTTGGGTCCCCGCTACATCGGAAAAGAGAAGGTGACGTCTGAGGAGATTGCAGAACTCATAGAAGAGTATTACAGCTTGGAGAAGCTAGCTCGCTTTCTCAACAAGAGAGACGCTTTGACAGGGGAGTTGAAATACAAGGTGATACCGTTGCAATTTCCGGACGAGCTGGTATGCGATTCTACGATTGTGGCGGAGATCCTACAAAACAAGCTAGACGAGTGGAACAAGGAGTTTCATGATGCTAAACATGAGGCAAAGGCCGCTGACCAAGAAGAGGTTGATTTCACCACGTCCGGTGGTGCTGTGGGCATGTCGAGAGACATCGAGTCGGTAGAGAAGACGATAGACAGCAAGACGTGTGGTGGAAATTGCGGGTCCCAGTGTAAGAACAAAGACAAGTTCCACCAAGAGGTATGGATTCTTGCAGACACTTCGTATTCTCCGTGCTGCATCGACGAGACTGCTGCAGGTCATGTCGGTGGCGATATCGTGGTCCACTTCGGTGACGCGTGCCTAAACCCAGTGGAAAAGCTCCCGTCGTGCTACGTGTTTGGAAAACCGTACGTGGATCTCGAGGCAGTGCTCAGCACTTTCCGGTTTAGCTTTGAGGATAAAACTGAAAAAATCGTGCTCATGGCAGACACACCGCACAGTCATATCTTGCCTGCATTATACGAGAGGTTGCATGCTGAGAACTACGAGAACCTTGTTGTTGCACACGTCGACTACGAAAAGTCGGGCAAAAAATCGAAGGTGATTGATGGGTACGAAGTCTTGATGACGACCGGTGAAGGCCGGGCCCAGATACGCAGCGTGAACAGAATACTTTCCGGGTTCAAACAACTGGACATCAACGACTACCTGGAAACAGTTGATTTCGAAGACGAGAATTTTGAGGAGAGCGCCAAATTCGATGGCCTTACACAGGAATACTCGTTGTTCCACATCACGCGTCCTCACGACGCACGGATTCTACAGCTCAGCACGAAGTTCGGCGCTCTGAAAGTGCTTGACCCGAAAAACGTTCAGCTCGTGTACGACCAGTTCCCCACCATGATGAAAAGATATAGAAACATGCAGGTTGCCCGTACGGCGTCCACCGTTGGGGTGTTGGTGAACACACTCTCGCTAGCAAACACGCGGGTGCTGTTGAATCATGTGACGAGGTCAATTGTTGAGGCCGGCAAGAAGCACTACATGTTTGTCGTCGGCAAGCCGAACGTGGCGAAACTTGCGAACTTCGAATGTGTCGATGTGTGGTGTGTGCTTGGGTGCGGCCAGTCGGGCATTATCATTGACTCTTTTGGTGACTATTTCAAGCCGATAATCACGCCGTACGAGCTCAAACTTGCCCTCATGCCACAGGTGACGTGGACAGGGCGGTGGGTGACGGACTTTGACACAATGCTTGCGCACGACGGGGCCGAAGATGGGGCTGCAGAAGAATCTCTGGAAAACCCAAGCGCAGAGACCGGCGACATTCACACCGAGGGCGACAATGACTACGCTCCCGAGTTTGACCCTGTCAGCGGGAAGCTGAGAATGTCCCAGCCGCTCCGCCAGCTTCGACACCTCGAGCTCGAGCTCGAGCTCGAGGGGAACCGTACTAGCAGCTCTGCCGGCGACAACCCCAATGAGTCCAGTCTTGTCAAGAAGCTTTCCGGCACCCTGGCCGTGGGTAAGACTGTTTCTACGTCAGCCTTGGGGCTTCAGGGCCGCCAATGGACTGGTCTTGGAAGCGACTTTGCCCAAGACGACGGCGTATCTTCTGCGGAGGGTGCCCGTGTCGAGGAAGGCCGCACGGGCCTTGCCCGGGACTACTCCGCTGTCTAATGACCACCCGCCCGTACCCCCATTTGTAAATGCCTATTTAGGAAACATACCCGGCCACGGCGCCAAATTCATGTTGCCAGCGAGCCCCCTCTCAGAAGAGCGAGGCGCTGCTGGGGAAGAAGAGAGGTCTTCTAGCTGTCATAAGATCAGTCTGGAAGGACGACGGGTGGAGTTAGTGGCTTGCTAGGGGACAGACCAGAGGCAAGTGCAAATACACAAAACAGCACAGCAATGGGAAATATACCGTCGAGTTTACTGGATGACTTGTCCGAGGGGACAAACTGTAAGTAAGGCGGCGTGCGCACGTTTGCTGCGTGCCTCTCAATTCATCCATCCTCCCATCGATCGAGCTTGCGTTCGACGGGTGGTGCCTCCGAGTCTGGACTTATACTAACACCGTACCCTGTGTAGTTGGATCTGAAGAAATTGACCGTCTTGCGAAGCGGTTTATGAAGCTCGACACGGACAACTCCGGGGCGATCGACAAGGATGAGTTTCTAGCGATCCCCGGGATAGGCCAGAACCCGTTGGCGAGACGGGTGGTGGACATCTTTGACGAGAACAAGGGAGGCGACATCGACTTCAAGGAGTTTGTCACTGGGTTGTCCGTGTTCTCCTCCGCTGGGTCTGTCGACGGCAAACTCAAGTTTCTTTTCAAGGTGTACGACATCGACAACGACGGCTACATCTCAAACGGCGAGCTGTTCATAGTGTTGCGGCTCATGGTGGCTGACTCCTTGACGGACGTGCAGCTCCAGGAGTTGGTCGACCGTACGATCATGGAGGGCGATTCCGACGGCGACGGCAAGTTGTCTTTTGCGGAGTTCAAAAAGATCATCGAGAGCACCTCTGACATCACGCAGAAGTTAAGCCTGGACGATAAAATATAGTGTGTAGCTTCTCACCTCGGTATAGGCGTACAAGCGTAATAGATATAGCAGACACTTGCAATGGCACTCCCAGCCAGCCCTGCCTAAGCACCTCCGGTCCCCAGGCAGAAGCCCCGACCGTTATGCACCGTGTGTAGAGACGGACGCATTTTCCCTGCCGATACGATAAGGCACGCATGTCGGCGATCGGGCACCGATGGCTACATGGATGGCGGGGGCACAACCAAGGGTTGTCAGGCGTTCAGGCAGGAACACAAGCAGATATAAGAACATACACACGGAGAACGTGCTGACAGAGAAGCTTATGATGACATCCGATAGCACGTTTGAGCTATCGCCACAGTTGGAGTCGGGCCAGAACGCAGGCATTTTGAAACGGGCACCCGGCGTAGATGCAGATACGGACGAAACAGACGTCAGAGGATCCAAGCTGTGGCCTACACTTTCCTCAATGTTGCAATACTTAGCGGTGGACCCGAAGGAAGAAAGCCCGCTGGGAGAGGTCGCCGCTGTACAAATTGCAAACACAACAGACCATGCGTTCATACCAATGCTGCCCATCCACAACGACCCGGTTCAGTTTTTGAAGAACCAGGAGAACATGTTGTTGCACGACAGACTGCCGAGACTCATTGAGCTACACAGCCGATATCTCCAGTCGGGTGACAAGCATTTGGCCTCAGCAAGAAGGGAAATAGTTCTGTCGATTCAGGAGCTCAATCAGAACTACGAGGCCTTGAGTGAAATATACCTCTCGGAGAAGTACTCGAAGTTAGGAAAGTACGAAACGTTCATTGACTGGATTAACAAGAAGTCCAGCGTAAAGGAGAAAATTACAGACATCACAAAAAACTCAAACGAGGGCCAGACGTACAAGTCGTTGTTACTGAAGTCTAACCAGGTAACCGACAAAATAAACAAACTAGAACAGGAATTGAAAAACCTCAAAAACCAGAAGAAGCTAATATCCCATCAGCTATTAGAAACAAAGTCTTTGCTAGAAATAAAGTTGAACATTCACAGTGATGAGTTGGAAGCATTGGACCAGAAGGAGAAAGTCGAGATAGATTTAATGTTCAAAGAGAATCAGATACGATCGAACAAGCTCTCAGATGTGGAGGTTTCTGACAACTTGAAGTCGCAGATAAACTCATTGGACATGCTGATTGACAGCTCCTCAGGAATGCAATCCAAATTTGAGCAGTCTCAAGCATATCTTTCCGATATCTTTGATACCTTGGAAAAGATGGAATCATCCATAAAGGTTTTCATCGAGGAGATGAAAACTGACCAGCTCGAACCTCTGCTAATTTCCAACAGAGAGTATCTTCTTGAGAGACTAAGCCAAAGTAAGACATTACACTTGTCCGATGTCGAAGTTATAATAGCAAATGAGTTAAAGGCTATCGAAAAAGCCTTGTCCATACTAAACATTGAAATACCAGAGGTTGCTGCAAGTAAAGAAAATGATCATACTGCGGACGTTAATTCGTTGAATATTTCAGGAGACAGCACCGAGTATTATCCAAACATTAACTCTCTAGACAACGTTTCTCTTGTGAGCTCCAATAAACAGTCGTTACAAATCAACAATAAACAGAAACAATTGTCTATTTCCCCACCAGCCACGTTTGTGAACATGACACCAACTTTGGCGACTACTGCCACAACTGCCAATGCAACAAAACTAGGTCTAGGACAAATCTCCAGTAAGTCCTCAAAGTATGATAATCTAGTGAAGGGATTCAAATACTCAAAAGGAGGGAAAGCAGAATGAGAGTCATTTAATAAATTATGTTCTTAAGTTTCTCGTAATTGGTATATTTTATATATAGGAAATATTACACACACAATTTATCTTTTCTTTGCTGGACCCTTCGGTATCTGGAATGTTTTCTTTTTGCTGATTTTCACCATACCAGCGGGCAGTCCATTATTGCCATTTTTAGGAGGTATCACACCGGATGAAGTAGGGGTTTTAATGACCTTCTTGTCTCTAGATATCTCTCCACTATACGATTTCACTGGAAGTGGCATACTTGGTTTCGAAATCTTCCTCAACTTGGAAACATCCACCTTATTTTCACTTTCGTGATTTGGCCTTTTCTTCTTATTTTTGGAGCGTTTACTGTTTCCATTATTAACGTTACTTTCATCATTTGGCATTATAAGACCGGATGACTTGGGTGTGTCAACGTCTTCCGTTTTCGTTTCACTTTTCGCATCTGAGGTTTTATCTCCTTGAAGCAATTTGCTAGTAAACCCAAGATAAGCTTCAGTTACCAATTTTCTACCCTTGGCGTTCTCATATAGTTCTCTCCATGTTTTATTGGACACCAGTGCATCAACAGATCCGACTACCCACAAAGAGGCTCTGGCTCTTGTTAGAGCAACATTCATTCTTCGTATATCAGCCAAGAAACCAACTCCTGTATGAGTTTCAGCTCTAACACACGAAAAGAGAATTATATCCTTTTCTTGACCCTGAAATCCATCAACCGTATTGAAATCAATCTGCTTAGTTATCAAAAACCCATACTTATCAATAAAAGTCTTCTTTAAAAGTTTCACCTGCTCCTTATAAGGGGAAATAACACCAATTTTGTTCGACCAGTCCACGTTCGGAAATCTTTTATACAAATTTTCTATGATTTCAAGAATAATCCTACATTCAACCACGTTGAAAAGTGACTTTGTTCGATCGTTTTTGCTTTGTTGACCACGAATGTTGAAAAATCTATATGGGCCATAGTCTGGAATGGAATGCCATGCGCGTGTATTGATCTTGTCCATATCTGGACCATCTTTAAGTTTGGAGTTGTAAAATTCAGCAGATGGAAATGCAGAAATTTCAGGGTGCATACGATATTGAACATCTAACAAGTAAACCGAATCTTTGTGATTATTCTGCATTCTGACGAATAGTGACTGTTCATATTTGAAAGAAGCAGCTTTTTGCGATAACACAGTGGGTGGCAATTGATTAGGATCACCAACCATGATACATTTCTTGCATCCATACCTCAAAGGAATAATAGCACTCAATTCGATACATTGTGCTGCTTCATCTATGACAACTGTCTCGAAAGTCATTGACATACCAGCTAAAACATCATGGGCAGAACCGGAAAGTGTGGAGCATACAACTTGAGCATTATTCAATATTTTGAATTGTAAATTTCTCCTTTCAATCTCTCTATTACGGTAACTGACCGCTCTTTGTTCTCTCATTTCATCCAATCTTTTACCTAGCTCTCTACGCTTGGTCATTACTTCCTGTAATCTGATTTCAGCCTTACCGACGTCAGTCTCTGATAGGTTTCCAGCTTCTAATTGTCTTCTCAAATCATCACGTTCAATGATGCATTTCCTATGCTCTTCTCTGATAGAACTATCATCGTTATTTTTCAGCTTAGATAATTGTAAATCAACCTGCTCTTCTAATGTCAGGTCTTTCACTTGCTCGTTAATTGCATCTGATTTACCTAATCTGACAACATTGGGCTTAAAAAGTTCACCTTTTGAGTTTTTGATTCCTCTCCGTATTCTCAAAACAAGTTCGTCAACAGCAGCATTAGATGGTGCACAAATCAAGATTTTACGTTTATTCGTTTCATTTGCACTGGAAGCCACATCGAGTTTTGCGCCTGGAGCAACAACACGATGGATAGAACTATTCTCTTGAGTTAATGAGTACCCGATGACACCTAAAATAGTTTTGGTTTTACCTGTACCAGGTGGACCTTGGATGAGACTAAATCCATCACCTTGAAATGTACCCGAGATAGCTCTTGCTTGAGAGTCATTGACGTCATAGACACTTTTGATCTTTTCAATCTTACTAGCCTCTGGAAATTCTATTGGGGCAGGGAGAGCCTTGATGATCTCTGGGCACAAGTCGTAATATTGTAAACCTTTTAGAGATGAAAATTCTCTTTCCAAAGTAGTCATAGTGTTCACCTTAAGACCAACAAGTTCCATACTTGAAGAGATTTTGTGGACCATATCGTTATCGGAAGAGATTCTCAAAGTTATATCAGCATAGGCACCATTTGTATTCTTGATTTCACGTACTTTGGCAAAACAATTCAGCCTACAATTTTTGACCAACCTTCTCGGTATTCCGACACCATCATCTTCGGAAGGAAGACCATCAATCAACATCAAAACAATGAGATCATTGTCACCAAAACAACGAACCTCATTAACTACTGACTTTTTCACAGATGCATATATATCAAAGAAAGAGTCTGTGGCAGACCTTGAGCCGACTGTCATTCTGAATGGTGTTTCTTGTGCAACCTGTTTGGCCCTTTGAATAGATTGCCAACATTCCAATAAAAGTAAGGGTTCAAAACACTTCTGATAATCAGAGACAGAATTGAAGGCATCAGAGACAGGGTGATATTTAGACTCATCATAATCAGAAGGTAGTTCTTTGTCGTTATTGTAAGACCAAGACAATATTGTTTTATATAGAGAAGACATATCAACATTCAACCTCAATCTCATCAATTCTTCTGCCTTCTTCTTTTTGTCTAATTCCGAGTTTTGATTCTTATTAGACTTTGAAGAATTTGCACCAAATCTAGGAACTTGTAAAGATTGCAGTGCTGCCTTTGTTCTCTTCATTTTAGCAACCACCTGTTCCTTTGTGAACAAGGCCCCACGTTCATTATCAGAATCTTCAGCATCAGACTCACTATCTGAGATAGCAATGGCTTTCTTCTTATTATTGAAGCCTGCTGGTCTAGGAGCTGCAGGTTCTCTAGTAGGATCGACTGTTGACTTTCTCTTTTCATTGAGTTTCAATTGGGCCATTTCCAACTTGGACAAGCGTTTTGGAGCGTCAAAAGAAGGAACGTTTTCTTTAATGTACGGCTTTAAATAACTTCCGAGCGTTTGTTGTCTGGCGCCTTGTAAACTTCTTGAAGTATACTGATATTCTGATTTGATATCGGGAGATTGTGATTTTTTACGTTTTTCTTCTTCTACCGAGGCGGAGATGTTTTCAACCAATCCATCATTAGTTTTCCTTGCACGTAATAATAATTCACCAGTTTGCTCCGCATTCATTTTATTGTTAAACTTTTTAGCTCTGAGGCACAATTTTATTAATATGGTCAACAACTCGTCGTTGAGTTTGATACCACCATTACTTGACAGGTCTAATATTTTGGTAATCAAATCGACACATCTGACCAACAATGCGGCATCACTCAATCTCAACCATTTAAACAGATCTGCCAAAGTAGCTATGATTGGTTTCAGCATTGCTTCTTTTATGAGTTTGACCTGTGATTCGGAATAAGAGCCTGAATTTAGCAAAGTCATGATGACTTTAAAACCGTTCAAAACAAGATGTGACAAGTCCAATACATCTCTCGTGAAGTTCAACAAATCTGTGGTAATATGATCTGCAATTTCTTTACTCAAAGTTACTTTCAGCTTTTCGTAATTCATTGACCAATCAAAAATATTTTTAAAGATCATTCCAAGAAACCCCCAAATATCAATCCAGAATTCGATGACAGAAGTTTTCAAGAGCAATGTGAGTTCGACATTAGAAGAAACCATCATACCTGTCATTGGGTCAAATAAGCAGGTAATGAAATCCATCAACACTTTCACCGTTCTCTTTGTCGGTATGAATAGCTGTAGTGATGTGAAATTTGAGAGAGAAATCCTGAAAGAGTCTAAGGTGATTATAAGGTCGAGTTTGAGACATTCTTTGAATGCTTCTAGTCTATCATCAACATCAAATGCTTCGTAAAGAAATGCTATTGCTGATTCGTAAATCTTATCTATCGGGGATAGGATACAAGACCAAAAGCCCAAGGACGTTTTCTGTGTCATCAAGACCACTTTGACTTGTTGAGAGTTTAGATATTCGGAGAATTTGTTTAGTATGCCTTCAATTGAGATTGTGAATTTAGTAATAACTTTGTTGTGTTTACTGCAATTGAGGAGTAATTCTTTGGTCTTTTCTTCGTTTTTGCTGGTGCTGTTGCTCAAAAGTTTTGCTCTTTTATAAGCGATGTCTATAGGAAAGATTTTGATAATGTTTTGGAAGGATGAAAATATAGGCACAATCAATAAGGTTCCATTTGTGGAGAGCTTTGCTAATATCAAGTTCCAAAGATCGCTGTTGAAGTCAGGAGTAATTGAGACCTCATCTTTACTGAATTTATTAGAATGATAGGATAAATTTTCAATATCGAAGATCAAACAAGTTTTGATCAACTTGATTGCTCTTGTTTCCAATGGCTTGATTAGTGTTGCATCGTACAAGAGGATACATTTCTTGTTTATTAAGGCTCTTGCGCTGGCTTTGTAACTTAGCTCCATTCCTATTTTTTCGGTGTAAATGTTGTTTTTCAAGGTGAGCTGGTTGATCATATTTTCCATGACGTAGGTACCAACAAAGGTTCCACAATTTGGGCTTTTCATGTAATCTGCCATGAAGCCAAACATAGCAATGGAGAATTGACAGCTACTTGAGTCGTTTAAGATGTGGGAGCAGATTTCCATCCACTTCACCAAATCAACAAATAGAGGGCTCTGGGTAGAGTCTTGCTCCTTCAGGTCGTTCGGAAAGTTGTCCGGGTGGAGTTCGACCAAGTATTTTTTATATGCAGGGTTGTTGAAGGCCATATCGAAGAAGCTCATATAATTGTGGGGTTTGATGAGGTCGAAAATGGAGGATTTATATTTCTCCAACATCAGAGCTAAGAATCGTAAGAGGAAGGGGAGCGGGGTGTCAAGATAGGAGAAAATGTGATTGATGAAGATGGACATCAAGGGCAAGATTCTGATCTTGACATCATCTCTGTAACTGGAGCAAGAGTAGGGCTCCAGCAGAGAAGAGTTAATTACGTGGGTGGAGGAGAACCTGATGAGGGGGATGACGTTTGTCCAGAAATGGATTGATTTTGCGTCAGTGAAGTACTCCGGTTTCTGGATGTTGAAGAAGTGTATTTCGTACTCTTCGATGAACAAGGCATTGATGTCCTTCTCGGAGTAGTAGTCTTTAAGGTCCTTGATGTATTCTTCTTCTGGGTCGTAGTCGTCGCTGTTGTTATCGTCATCTTTACTGACAACTTTCCTGCTGTCGTCCTTCATGAGGGAGTACGGCAGCTTGGACAACGCCCAGTTGCGCTGGTTGTCGTCGTCAGAGAACATGAGGAAAAGGATACCGGGATAGATTTTCAAATGCTTGGCGATGACGTCGTGGGCGGCGTTGAGGAAGGAGGTGCAGTGGTCGAAATAGGCCTTCAACTTCGGGTGGATGCGGAGGATCTTCGGGTTGAGGAGGCACTCTGCAAGGATCTTTGTGAGGACGGCCTTGAGGGCGTCGTTGTCGAGCTTCTTCTCGATGGAGTCGGAGATCTTGTCATAGAGGTAGTTGGCCTCCCACAGGGCGGGCTTCTCCATGGTGAGCTGGATGCTCTTGTAGGGGACCTTTTTGTCGAGCGTGAACTTCTTTCTGATGTCTGCCCTGTGGAGATGGTATTGGATCATGCAGTCGGAACAGCTATCTATGCACCGGCGGATCGGGAGGAACTGCTCGTTGTTGAAGTCGACGTCGAAGCCCGCCAAGACTACTATGAGGAAGGACATGACTGTGGCGGCGACGTCGGAATTACAGAAAAGATGGTCATTCTGCTCGATGGACAGGTAGAACTGCATGCATTCCTCGACAACGGACTCCTGCAGCTGCGAGTCGTCTGCCGTGTAGGTCTGCGAAATACGGTCGACGATGCCTGCGAACGGGCTTCCGCTTGCAGTCTGCATGGTCGGCGGCAGAGGTGTGTGGAAAGGAGTGCGGAGGGACCACCGGGGACGCCTTGTGCTCTTGCGTCGTGTGCTCTTGAGGCTCTTGATCCAGATTCATGTGAGCACCACCTCTAGGGGAAAACAGGGAAAAAGCATGAAAAAAAAACCCACGCGGTCCCCGAAAGAGGAACGAACCTCATGGGCACACGCGCCGTTTCTGTCGGGGGAGAAAAACCCACGTTACCAGAGAGGGTCTCCGCTGGCGCAGGGTTCGTTGTGCTCGGGGAGGCGCCCCAGGACGCTTCTGCCGCTACAAGGGCCACCGCACCGCCAGCAAGCGCATGCACGGAGACACTGCTGCACTGAAAGCGCTTTCCCGGGCGTCTGCGTTTGCCCGGGCTACCGCCACCGGCAGAAAGACGCCCAAGAGTCTCAAAAACAGCACCGTCAAGCGACCGCCCGTGAACAGAGAGCTCATCCACCGACCAGCGGTCCGCGCCGGCGGCGACAGCGCCCCCGCCGGCGCGCCCCCCGCGCGCCCGCCGCCGCCCGCCACCGGCCGACCGTCTTCCCCGGCTTCCCCAGCTTCCCCGCCGGCCTCGGCCGCCCACCACATCCTCCGCCAGCGCGCCGCCGCCGCCTTTGAGCGCCGCGACCGCGTGCTCGCCGACTCCGCCGCCGCTTTCCGCCGCGGCGACAAGCTGGCAGCCGCCGAGCTCGCCGGCGAGGCCCGCGCCCTCTTCTCTGCCGCCGCCGCCCACAACGCCCGCGCCGCCGAGCACCTCTTCCGCCACCACAACCCATCCCTCGAAACAGACGTCGTCGACCTCCACGGCCTCTACGTGCCCGAGGCCCTCTTCTACTTCAGTGCCCACCTGCAGCGCTGTCTCCGCCGCGGCGAGACACGTGTCACCTGCGTCGTCGGCCGCGGCAAGAACACCGCCGCCGACGGCGGCAGCCGTCTGCTGCCGGCCGTGTGGGCGCTCTGCCAGCAGCTCGACGTGCACGCCGAGTGCGCCGGCGCCGGCGTCCTCGCCGTCTGCGCCGACCAGCCCTTCGACCCCTCGCTTGCCGGGCCAACGCTCCACCGCGGCTGGTAGTAGCCCCCGCGTGGAACGGGGCCACTGAGCCGCCTGGCCATTGCCTGAGGAGGCTCGCGTCCTCTTCTCCCGTGTATATTCCTGAAAATACGACAAAAATGAAAATTCCGCCGATCGACGGGATGCTGACGTCAGCAGGGTTTTCGCGGAATTTTCCGCGGAATTTTCCGCGGCCACGTCGGCTGTTCTGTTGTTGGTTGTTGACGCTGATGGGGGGCGACGATGCCGTCGAGCGCTGCATGAGGTACAGAGACGGCAAAGATGTAGGTACAAAAACAGAGCCACCAGGGGATGAAGGAGGGCGGAGATGCCCTGGACGGGGCGGAGGGGCGTAGACGACAGGTGTCAATTGCAGCAGTGCACACTCTCGTTACAAAGACACTAGCAGCAGAAGCAGGATGAGCGGGAAGTTCGTGAGAGCGTCGAAGTTCAGACACGTGTACGGGCAGCCCTTCAAGAAGGAGCTCTGCTACGAAAACCTCAAGCCGACGCTGTCTGCGTTTGACAGCAACATCATCCAGTGCAACGGGGTGTACATCGCGTTGAATGCAAACGGAATCGGGTCGTTCACAGTGATCCCCGTGGACGAGGTGGGCAAGGCGCCGGACAAGGTGCCGATGTTCAGAGGCCACACGGGCGGCAGCGTGCTCGACACGGCCTTCGACCCGTTCGACCAGCAGCGGGTGCTCTCGTCGGGCGAGGACGGCAAGATCCTCATCTGGGATATCCCGCAGGACTACTCGTACGTGAACGTCGACCCGGAAAACATTGTCGACGTGCAGCCGCAGGGCGCCCTGGTGGGCCACGCACGCAAGGTTGGTCACCTGCAGTTCCACCCGTGCGCCAAGGACGTCCTCGCGTCGTCCTCGTTCGACTACTCCGTCAAGATCTGGGACGTGGCGCAGAAACAGTGCAAAGTCACCCTCCAGCACAAGGATCTCATCACCTCCTTCTGTTTCAGCTACAACGGCTCCAAGATCGCCACCGCGTCCAGAGACAAGAAGATTCGGGTCTGGGACACCCGCTCGGGCGAGCTCCTCTCAGAGGGTCCCGGCCACCTCGGGGCCAAGGCCTGCAGGGTTCTCTGGCTTGGCAACACCAACAGACTCGTCACCACCGGCTTCGACAGGTTTTCCGAGAGACAGGTCGGTCTCTGGGACTCCGACGACGTCGCCAGAGGCCCCATCGGCGGTTTCATCTCCATCGACTCCTCCTCGGGCACCCTCATGCCCTTCTTCGACCCAAGCACAAACCTCTTGTTTGTAGCAGGGAAGGGTGACGGTAATGTGCGCTACTTTGAGTTTGCCGACGACGACCTGCACTTGCTCAGCGAGTACCCGTCAACCGAGGCCCAGCGTGGCTTTGCCGTCGCTCCGAAAAGATACGTCAACGTCAAGGAAAACGAGCTGGTCCGGGCATACAAGTTGCTCAACGACAACTCCATCGAACCTCTCTCGTTCATCGTCCCAAGAAGATCGGAAATGTTTCAGGAAGACATCTACCCTGATGCTCCGGCAGACAAGCCAGCCATCACCGCAGAAGAATTTTTTGCCGGCAAGACCGTCGACGGCCCTATTTTGTGCTCGATGAGAGACATATACGAAGGAGTCACATCCCCAGCTCTTTCCGAGTCGAAACCCCCTCAAGAGATCAAGAAGGAAGAACCGAAGCCTGCCTCCCAGCCTACAGAAACAAAGCAAGAGACACCGAAAAAGGCGTCATCTCCATCACCGATAGCTAAGGTGGAACCGAAGGATGAGCCAAGAGCAGTTTTCACCCATTCCCAGGAACAGGGTGTTGAAAAAATGTTGAACGAAAAGGGCGTCAACAAGCTCCTGGACAAGGTAAACACCCTCTCCGACGATGACACCCAGGATGTTGAGGTCGACGCCGACAACGACGACGAGTGGGCCGACAAGAAGTCTGCCTCTACGACACCTTTGACCACTACGTCTTCCGCCTCTGCACCTAACGCAAACGCAATGGTCGAACCTGAAAAGGAAGAACCAAAGGTTGAACCTAAAAAGGAAGAACCAAAGGTCGAACTCAAAAAGGAAGAAGCAAAGGTCCCTAAAAAGGAAGAACCAGAAGTTGTGCCAAAGGCCGAGGTTGAACCAAAGCCAGAATCTACGTCTGCTACATCTACTTCAACCACAGCTAAGGTAGGCGCCGCAGCCACCGGCTTGAAGGCCAACTTGGACAGACTACACCAGCTTGTCAACACACTCGAGGCCAATGTGGAAAAGCTTACGCTTGCCAACCAAGCAAAGGACGAAAAACTGCAAGCCTTGGAGGCCAAGATTGACCTTCTCTTGAAGAAATAGACTAATCCTCCTTATTTATTTTTCCCACCCATGTAACACTTTTGTTTTTATTTCTGTTTATCAAACTATGACGTTCCCCTATTGCTACTATCTATCTCCTACCCCACACGTCTTTTTTTTTGTTTTTCCTGCTCTCCTTCATTGTCTCGCAGATTTCCTTCAGAAGGGGCTGGCCATTAAACTTATTTCTCCCATCCTATAGAAGGAAGAGAAGGCTGCTGGAGGTTATTGGGATCAAACACATATACCCCCATATACCCCACACAAGATAACACATGTCGTTCTCGGAAAAGGTGACTGCATACGACTTGTCGTACTTGCACAGCAATCCGTTTGACAACATTACAGCTGAAATTCTCTTGCGTAATATAGGCAAGATAGATGTGGAACTAACCGAAGATAAACGGGCCAATTTTTCTGACGCTCATCCTTCAACACAGTACGGCCAGATTGGAGGCATATTCAGCTTCTTGAAAAGACTGGTCACAAGAGGTTCTTCGGACCCAATAGAGTCGGTTATAGATGAACTTCATCAGACACAAGCAGAAGCTTTGACGTACGATGACTGGCTAGACGCCAGCTTAAGGTTGGATGTACTTGAAGGTAATGATTCATGGAAAGATGTTACCGAGTCAGACTTGTACGATTACAAAGCAGTGGCTACTCAGCTCTCTAAATTGAAGGAATTCAGAGCCAATAAAGACTACCATCAAATATTGTACGCAGTTAGAACATGCTGGAAAAGAGACTTCGCAGGCATAAACAACGAAATGCTATATAAGAAATCACACGTAGGAACAAAGAAGCTCATATCAGAATACATTGAGGAATGTGTTAAATGCATGGAATGTTTAGTGTCGGAGGATTGCCCTATCAATGACGAGTATATCCTAGAAGTGTTACTTGAATCCAAAAGGAACTATGGCCGAGGTGCCATCACCATGAGTGGAGGGGGTACGTTCGGCCTTATTGGAATAGGAGTGTTTTCAACATTGCTAGAAAAAGACCTCTTCCCGAAAATAGTGTCCGGTTCCAGTTGTGGTTCCATTGTGAGTTCAATAATGTGTTCAAAAACAAGTGATGAAATTAAACAAATTTTATCGAGCTTGTTTGATAACACATTTGAAGTTTTCAACGTGGAGACCGATCGTGACACCTTTTACACTCATCTTTCAAGACTATTGAAGTATGGAGTTTGGTTCGACAGCAAATATTTACAACAAACAATGAAAGGTTTCCTAGGAAATATCACATTCAGAGAAGCCTACAACAAAACCGGGCGGATTCTCAATATAACTGTCTCTTCCGCTACTATACACGACCAACCAACCTTGTTGAACTATTTAACTGCTCCTAATGTGTTGATTTGGTCCGCTGTTTGCGCAAGTTGTTCATTGCCCATTGTGTTTGCATCATCTACGATTTTCGAGAAAAACATTGAAACCGGTGAAATCAATGAATGGTCAAATCCGTTGCTCAAATTTGTAGACGGATCTTTGAACTCAGATTTACCAATCTCAAGGCTATCAGAGATGTTTAATGTGAATCATACCATTGCTTGTCAAGTGAACCCCCACATCTCACCCCTAGTAAAACTTTCATCCGAATGCAGGGACTTGGATAGAAGTGGAGTCATATGGAACCTGAAATTGTTGCTGTTCAAACTTTCAGGGATACTTTCACTAGAACTTTCTCATTATTGTGATATTTTGAACGAATTGGGCATAATGAGCAACTTAGCCACAAAGTTGAAGCAAATGATGACCCAATCATATTGTGGCGATATAACCATCTTGCCCGAGCTGGCAATGGGAGATCAGTCAAAGACTTTAGTCAACCCAACTCCCACATTCATATGGAAATGCATCCTAGAAGGTGCACGAGCAACTTGGCCAAAACTTTCGATGATAAAAGATCAGTATACTGTGGAGTTTGCAATGGATAAATACATCAGTGTATTACGTTCACGTGTGGTTTTTGAGTCTAGAAGTAACACTAGACGAATTCCAAAAGAGGCTTCTTTATCTTGTGAATCATCACCTCAGAAGGGAACTAAACCCATTGGTATCCCAAAAAGTCAACCTGTTACTTTTGAGGCTAAAAATCGCCGAAGGGGTGAAACTATCACTGTAAGTGAAAAGTTGAGAGCCAACGAAAACATCAGTCCATTCTCTAGCAGGGTCAACTTATACACTAAGCAAAGGGCACCCAAACCAAAGAAAAGCTTTAAATTTGAAGTTTCAGTCTCGAAGCATAGAGAAGCATCGGCGTTGAGGCCTGATCATTCATTCGAATCGTTGAGAAACATGCAGAAGAAACCATCGTATGATGGCAGCCTATTCTCACATGCAAAGAAAAAACATACAAGGTCACTATCATACACAATGGCGCCTGATAATCTAGCCATCGACACAAGTTGTGGTGAAGAACATGTTTCACCAATGGTGAATAATGAGAATCGCAGATCATCTGCATCATCTGGAGTTCTGATGGAAATGGATGAGCCGTACTCGGCATTATCTATGGGAGGAGTGAGGGAAAAGAACTTGCTTTCATATCCGGGAGAGGTTCTTCAAATCAAGAATAAACGTGAATAGGAAATAATATCTGTAAAATACATTGTAATTATAATTATGTGCTGGATTGGGTCGGTTTCAATACTAGTCTAGTCCGAAATGGTGAAGACTCAGCAGTTGTCAGTCTATTGGGACCAATCTTCAAGTAAAAATCGCGCCCGACTGGGCTGTGTGTGATCTTACCAACTTATTCATTGAACTGTCAGCTTGAGAGAAGAACAAACACCAAAGCCGGATGATGCAGAATGCTGAATAAAACGATACCGATATGCTGGAATACTACCCTAGTGAATATCTTTTGCAAGAGGTATTCGAGGTGGACATCGAACGATGAAGATTACGAACTGATACACACACCCTCGTGCTTGAATAATTTTGGGGTCAAAGATGAACTCAACTCTTCCAGGCAGATTACAATGCCAACCATAACCAGTAACAGCATCTTCAAAACAGTGATTACTTCCAATCAAAGTGGAAGGTTCAAAAAGCTAGAGTTTCTTGGTGATGCATATCTGGAATTTGTTATAACCGTTCTCTTGTTTGAAAGGTTCCCTAATCTTCAAAAAAAGCTTTTGGTTGAAATGATGCGGGATCTCCTTAGCAATAAGCACCTCGGAGATCTCTCAAGACAGATTGGTTTATTGAAAGGTACAAAAAGTATTCCTCAAGGTTCCAAACGACACGCCGACGTGTTTGAGGCATATTTTGGTGGAATAGCGTTGGAGGCTGGAACCACAACGTATTTTGATAAGCGCACGAGCAATGTATGGGAAGCATGGAATAAGACGACATGTTTTATGTTAGAAAAATCCAAAGACAAATTCATGGACTTTGCTGATTTGTATGCTTCTAGTACCAATGAAAGAGGATGTGAGATCGAGATAATTTGTGGTGATACGATAGATCCCTTGCGTAAGATTACACAATTACGCAATAACCGGATGAAAGACCTTACTGACTTATTCAATGCAGAACCAGACGACTACGAGCGACGATTCAGTTTAGAAAGGTTACAAGTATTAGGAAATACCACTTTGAAGTACTTTTTGACCAAAATTTACAGTGATAATCTTACAGACTACACAGTCAAAGATTTGGCAAACTTGAGAGACTCACGAATGAAAGATTCTAAAATTATAGGCCTCACCGGAAAGTATCTTGATCAGCCTTCATATTCGTTACTCTATAGCTTGTTCAACAAAAACAAAAAAAAACTAGGATTTGGACCCAACGCAGCAATTATCAAACAGTTTCTTGGTTACCTTGTTGCAACGCACTACCTTAATTCATCAGACAAAGGAATGCGTGAACTGTTTCTTCTGGGCTGGAATGAATGCGAGTCATTTGTCAAATCCATTTATTACGATGATATGTTGAAAGAAGCCAGAAATAAACACAGGAAATTTAGACATTCCAAGATTACCGACCCACGTGTGTTAGATTCAAGCTACTAGGTTTTTACAATCGATACTTTATTGGTGCAAAGTAAAGTTATAGAAGCAGGATTTGTGAATTCAATTTCAACTATTTCGACAATCATAGTCCTAATGATCACTCCTACTTTTCTGACAGATAACAAAACTAGAAAGTGGGTTACAATTTGAGCCGAGTATACTGTCTCTGATAGAAACTGCTCCCATCACAATTAGCCATATTTGTATTAATGAAAGTATTTAATGTTTTCGATAATTTATATATTGATTTTGCAGCATCGATGTATGTCGATATAAAGTAACTTACGGTCGAGAATGTTACGCTCTTGAAGTAATGAATGACTAGTATATAAATCTCCTCACGTTATGCATGCTGCAGTGACAAGTCATTTGAATTCTTTGTTTTGCGTTATAGCTTGGAAACATTGACAGGTATAAAATAAACTGTCTAAACCAACCTTACGCCCATGATTAGTTTTAAAATAAGACGTGAAGTTACAAAGACCCAAACATGGACTCCAGAAAAGCAACATGTTTAAAACAAAGGGACATCAATGTGGCCTGCCATTTTTACCACAAGTACACATGCTACAACTGGCATTAACACATCGTTCTGTGGATAGCAGAATAGGTAGAAACTACAACAGATTGGAATTTTTTGGGTGATGCATTTTTAGGGTTTTTAGTCGACCTTGCTTTGATCAAAAAAAATGGGAATATAATGAACCACCTGCGGAATGATTTGAACTCGAACAAAACAGCCGCAAAATGGGCCAGAATCACTCAGTTATCCGACCTAATCAACTCAAATATTGAATTTGGCGCAAGTAGTAAGATCAATGCAGATGCTTTTGAAGCATATTTGGGCTGTTGGGCACACAGATTGTTAGGAGAAATTGAAGAAAGCAAAACGAGAACTGAATCAGCCGAACTTTTCGATGATTGGGAAACTGTTATTAGATGGTTCGCCCAGTTAGTCCATTCAACACTGAAACAGAGAAAAGAAGCAGCCCAATATTCTTGGAGCCTTAGTGACAGACAATCAACCAAAAGTTTGAAAGCACCTATTACGAACCATAGAAGAGGTCCTAATACACCAAAAATTATGAAAAAGTTATCGAGATCAAAGCAGAATGGGGCCTTAGGTAGAACATTCATCAAACTCTGCATCACTCTTTTGATATGCGAAAATAACCCAATGCTTGCTGAAGGTGATCTGACCAACCTGAGAATGCAAATTTACAAGAAGTTGAGCTACAGAAATATGGCATCAACTTTTCCTTCTGAGAAGACAAAAGTCAGAAACCTTAACCAACAGACTAAGGATTGTGCCGCTGTGGCCTATCTGATAGGAACACACATCGAAAGTTCAACATGCATTCACGACCAGTTTGTCCGTCTACATGTGCTTAAAAAATGGATTTACTCACTAATGGCAACAAAGTTGTAGCAAAATGTTCACACAAAAAAGGTGAATTCTCACTTGTCAGGTTCTTTAAGCCCATAAGGGTGAATACCCATCTCAGACGTCCAGAGTTGTGTATCACGCTTAAGAATGTTTGTGTCTCGTTTTAAGGTTTTCGTTTTTTTCATCGCTTCCTCGAGAGGTGATCTGTCTGATTCTATTCTGTATGCTGATTTGTCTTTGGTAAAGCAACTATTGCTGTATATAGCAAACCCTTATGTTATTTTCAGCAAGCACCAGACAGTAGGCCTGGATATTTACATTGGCGAACAACCAAGATAATACTATAATGTCATCAGGCCTCATGCGAATATATGCTCCTGACTCGCCAATCTCAGCACCATGTCTACAGAACAACGGTGCAGATGATGCAAATGACTGTGTGAGGTTGCTGGAGTTACTCGAATCAACAGCACAGAAGCCAATTGCATATTTTGATGAGAACGTGGAGGTATTTATAGTGGTACCTTTGGGAAAAAATGTGCAGGGCGTGCTGAGTGTTGATGTTGTATACGAAATGGACAAAAGTGGATCACAAGGCAACAAGCGCCAAAGACAGAGCTCTACTCATATACTAGAGAAAGCTGAGTACTCGGATAACGGATGCCAAATTTGGAAGTTTAAGTTCAGTGTCGTCCCTGGACGAAATTTGACTAACATTGAACTGATTGCTGTATACGAAAGAGAAATCTTACGAAACAACGACTTATTAAAACCATTTGAGGAAGTGAACCTGATACAAATAGCAGGAGTTGATCTCTTAAACGACAATTGCATAGCCACACCGGATATAGATGCAGGGGACGATATAAAGACATTAGACAGTACCACTACATATAACAGTGAAAGAAACAGTAATACTCTTAGAGCTTCAATTAGCATAAACATTGCGTCATTGTATAAGATGGCGTTGAAATCTTACAAAACAGAGAAAACATTAGCGTGGCTTGACTTAAGCTCATCAAAGACAGTTGATGACATGATGACCTCCTTACAAATAAATTCAATTGGTGTGGATTGCATAAATTGTGATATCATTTCCTGCACTCCAATGAAGTATCCCATTGAATTAACCAAGAACTCAGTTCTTACGATTGCTTACCACGTTTCGCATGATGATGAAACTTCTATCAAACCTCTTTCGGTTGTCATCAACGCAATAGTGGACGGCCACAAACATATAACAACAAAATGGACGTCCAATCTAGACTTATCCAATCATAGTTTACCATCGAATCACAGCAACCCTAACTTGGGAACATTGAACAATGGAAGTAAAAGATTTCAGCAGCAGTCTTTGTTACCACCAGTTAAATTGGCAAAACTCAGATCTTACAGTAACCTGGTAAGCAATCCAAGCATGCCCAAATTGCAGCCTCTCCGCTCAGCGTCTGTAAACTCAGTCACTACGGGAAGTATTTCGACTCCTCCACTTCGTGGCACCAGCACAGTCAGTGGGAACAGTGGGCTAGGTGGGAAACGTTACTCCAGTATGCGACTAAAGTCGGGCTCCAATTTATCTTTGAGCCAACTATGGTCGGGAAACTCTTCTCAAAGTTTCCAAAGGGGATTGGTTATTACAGTCAGCGGGCCAACGAGAGTGAAACTCGGGGAGAAATTCAGATGGAAAATTCAGTTATTAAACAAGTCCTCAGAAAAAATGGATTTGATCTTGTATGTTCAGAACTCGATCAAAAAAGAGTACGAAAAAACTGTACCTCCAATACCAATACAGTCCTCAAATAAGCAGGATATTGTACCTCTTTTCACAAATAACCAGTTAGTTCGCAGTTTTTATTACAAGTTTAATAGAGCAGGACTGGTAAGTTTAACAAACAATTTACGTGTAAGTTTAGAGTATGGCAATCTTTATGAATGTGAACTTGAGCTGATTAGTGTCGAAAGAGGAATGTTTAACATTTACGATTTTAAAGTCCTAGATATTGCTAGTGGCGATATCTTTGAATGCAACAGACTACTAGACGTTATGGTAGTATGAGCTTAACCTTCTTGGTTTGTATTGAGTGCAAAGGCATTTGGCAAAAAAAATCAATTCATTAAAAGTTTTTTGCTAGTTTTCTCAGGCTTTCAAGTCCGTTGATGGATATATTTTGAGTAAAGATTCATCTATCTGTGAACGCTCATTTGAATCCTTGATTGCAGTAGTTTCCGATGGTGTCCAAGACAAAAAAATCATCTACTACCTCTAGTTTTAAAGATTTTGAAAAACTTCATAATGTAATTTTCAGTTAGTCACATATTATTACCGATTTTATGACTTAAAGACACTTTGCTAAACACTTTCGTGAAATCATTTCACAATGGTGCATACGTTTCACCGTAGTAACTTTTTTTGAGGCATGTAATCTATAAATATTTCTCTATATGCATGACAGACTTGAGGGTCTGTCGAAATTATAACTGTACCTTGACATCAAAGTCACGCTCTAGATAATCTCCTAGTTCGTACTCATTGCCAAATAGCCACCCAAACCAAGAATATCCATCCTCTGCATCTAGCTTCAAATGCTTTACTAGTTTGATAACTTTACCAAATATGACTTTACCTCTAGGAGAGTCAGTATTGAAACTAGAGCTTTGAGACTTGAGCCAAATGTATATGACAGACATAACAGTTTTCGAACCTAAGTTAAATTTTTCAGGTTCTCTCCTTTTCACGGCTTCAACGCCATCAATATTTTGTTGTTTATATTTTTCTGGGGAGAACTTCCAAAGTGAGATCTCTCTCACTAACTCCCAATCTGCTGAATTAAGATCTCCACTTGACCCTAGATCTTCCATACGTTCAAGCAGCCCTTTAATAGGCTCGCTACACACAAAGTCAAAGCATCGAGTTAAATTTTCAAATTGTTGAGGTGTAATGTTTTCAAAAGATATCCCGAATATATCTTCAACATTAATAGTTAGTGCGATGAATTTTCTATACGCAGGGCAAAGAGAGTATTCTGGAATTTCTGTGACAAACATTCTTTCCAGTAAACCAGAATTTGTCGGAACCAAAGAAAAAATAATTTCACCTTTAGAATGAGATTCAATATTACATGATGGTGAAAAATTTCTTAATGGAAATTCTGTTTTGTTGTAACTTTGTACTTGTTGGCAATTAACACCAATCTTAGTACCGAACCAACCTCCGCTGGTCTGCTCTTTGACATAGATATTGAAAGACTCATCCACAACATTTTCGATATTGATGATAATATATATAGTTTCACCAACAATAGCGGAAAATGCAACATTACCACCATCAGTTGATACCGTTTCAGAAATACAAGGTGCCAGTGTCTGCCAGTTGTACTGAGCTTTCATACTTTCCATTGAATGGTTAATGGTGACTTTATTGTTCACCTCTATAAATTTCATTTGATTAATGACTGCATCCCACGCTTCTGTAAATTTTCCTCTTAGAACATGTAGTTTGTTGTAATCAATCAAAGGTGCTTCAAATTCATAGGTTGACGCCACTGGCAAATGATCTGAACCGCTATTACCTGTGGAAGTATATGTTCCTTCTATAACGTTAAAATAAGGGCGTGGAACATAAAGGATACGATCAGTATAAGCCGGCAGTCTTTTGGTATCGTAAAGCGGAACATAGAATGGAATTGGCTCGACAGATGGAGCCGAATCACCTGATGGGGAGGCTGGAACTGGAACTGGTCTTCTCTTGAGCTTACTAGTACTAGTATTAGGTTTCACAACCAATTCTGGAGATGAAGATGAAGAGGATGATGGAGGAGTAATTATCCAATTGCCGATGCAATCATTTTTAACTTTGAAAGTTGGTGCAAAATGGATTTCTGGCTCTTTGAAACCAACAAAAATCTTTTTCAGACTAATTTCTCTCGAAAGCTGGTCGTGTTGTATCAGATCGTTCCACCGTCCATTTTTGATGAGCTCGTGTATGACTTTTTGCAAATTTGAAGTGGCTTCTGTAGGTAGAGAAAGTCTATAATTGGTATCTCCACATACCACGAGAGCCTTTTGGGCTTCAGTAACATATTTGAGATTTTTAATATCTACAGAACTGAAGATCCCATCAAACTTTTTGAGTTCAGTAGCTGAAAAAGTAATAGGCACAGATGACGTCCTTATCGCGTCATTGTTCAAATTCAAAGCCTTCATTTCTTTGTCCATTCGGTGTTCATAATTATCAGCATCCAAATTACTTTCCTTGTGCAATTTCTGCTGCAATTTCATCTCCACTCTTTTCTGTGCAGCGTCTTTAACTTCCATTTTGCTTGAATCCAGGGCCAATTTGACAGTTCTATCGTCTAATCCTATCTTACTCTCAATCTTAGCCCACGAATCCCACCTTTGTTGAATTTGTGAGCTGTCCTCTCCATGCACAAGATGTACATTTAAGACTTGAATCTCTAATCCCGGAATCTTCCCAGCAGTTTCATCCAGCTCGCTGAACTTGTATGTATAGGACGCATCATCGGTAGCAGCAATGAACCGACTTTTGTACTCACCCACTCCTAAGCTCAAGCCTCCGACTCTAAATCGTAAAGAAATACATCCTTTGTTTGCCCACCTCAAATATCCTAGCCCCAATGTATTTTCTCTGATATCATGTATGTGGCCGTCAGTATCGTCGGAATTATCGGCTGTGAGATTGCTTTTAGCAATGAGGATAGAGGTTAAACCCAAAAGACCTGTTTTGTGAACAAGCGAGTAGGAGTCTGAAGAAATAGCATTCAAAACTGCCAGTAGAAAAGTTACCCATTCATCTATCACTCCGTTGGACTTCGTGAAAGATTTCAAGGATATTGTCTCTTGGAAATTAATCGCATATATATCTGCCAATCCTTCCTTGTTGTATTCGTTAACTGTTGCATCTCCAGCATAGAAAAATGCAGCCCATTCTCGTCCGCTTTTGCCGGCTAACGAGCTGAGACTTGGTGGTTTCATTTGATTCAAGTTCCACGTTATTACACGCATTGTAAGTTTCCGCTGTTCCACGAGTTCATACTTGTGCTCTTCGTAAAATGCACTAAGTAAGAGATCGTGTGAGGAAAGGAGGTTGGATGGATTGAGAAGTGGTAACAACTGAATTGTCTTACTTTCTTTGGTCCGGTCTTTCTCCTCACTTGTGTTCATGACGATGCCACTCGTTACAGACTCCACATCGGATCCGGTTAGTTTGCCTTTCCCTACAATATCCTCTTTTCCGATATCCTTGCCTTTGGTTTCATTATCCTTCAATGGTTCTTTAGAGACCTCGTTTGAGTTATTTCCCTCTTGCTCAGGTTTCGGAACGTGGGCAAATGTGTTTGCTAACAAGAATGAGCCACCGTCGTTTTCGATTTCTTCGGTAGGTTCGCTTGCTTTTCTGTCGGCGCTTTTCCTCGCCTCTGAGCCAATTGCGTCCAGTAACGACTTAGATGAGTAGACTTGGTTTGACATTGTCCTCTGTATGCGTTCCAACCAAAAAGCGGCACGCCTTTTGCCTAGTCTTGGTGGAAAGAAACACCATTCCTGCTTTTCCTTTTGTGCCGACAACAGAAAACGGACCAGAATAAAAATGCTTACTTCGGTTCAGCGCGGCGCCAAACTTTTTCCTATCTGTTTTTTTGTTTGCGTTTGGGTTTTTACTAGATACAGCTGGCTACATGAATGGTTCCCTTACAAGACATTTTTACTCCGTCTCTTGTGGGTCGTGAGCGTCCTTTTCTGGGGCCACCACCGGTTTGCAAAGCACCGTAGTCGCCGCTACAGCTGCTGCTGCTGGTTTCTTTCTTCCGTCAGAGGCGTCCTGAAAAGTCAGCTCGTCCTCATCGGTGTCCTTCGCTTCCACTTCCGTTTCTGTGGCAACCAGCGATACGTCCCGGTCGGTCACATTGGAGAAGTTTCTCGTTCTAGAAGCATCTGCGTTGGGACCAGAACCAGAATCGACGCCGACACCGACACCAACATCCACGTTCTTGTGTCCAACGGGTTTAGCAATCACCCCGGACCATCCATTCCAACCTTTTGCAACTGAGTTAGCATCAGGGGTCGTCGCATCATTGTTGTTGTCTATGGTTGATGTCTTTGCTTCTTGCTCCCTTGAAGAATCCTCGTTCTCCCTGTTTTTCACAACCTTGCTTTCGGGAACCACATGATCTGTGAACCAGTCGTTCTGCCATCCGTAAACGAGTCCGTAGGTCTCTTTGTCACTCCAGATTCCTATATTCACGGCAAACCACACCCGTGCTTTGAGTTCCACAATCTTTGCCCACGTAGTTCTGAGGTAGTCGTCAAATTCCTCGCCCTCTTTGACGTTGCTTGGGTGGATTGCACTCACAAACTTAAGAAGCTCTACCACTGCGCGGTATTTGTTGGCACAATTGATACACAGAGGGTAGTCAGCCTTGGTTGGGGAGTCTGACAACGACGAATTTTGTACTGTGGTCGTGCTTGTGGTCGTGCTTGTGGTCGAAGAAGAAGATGGCGACGATATGCGAATATGGTAAAGCCTAGAAAAGTTCATATCCCGTCTTTTCTCGCCGCAGAGACCGCAAGGCGCTACCAAGGCTAAAGGCGCCACTCCTTCGGGCTTAGATGCAGGTGTTGCAGCGTTGGACGCTAGCTTGAAGAGCGTCGGGTCGTACGATGATGTTGTCGGTGTGGCTGAAGTAGCATGTCTGGATAACACAGGAAGCGAAGAGTCCGAAGTCGTGGAGTCTGGCAGCGGTATTTTCGGGGTGGACGGTGTTGTGACTGGCACGTACTTCTGTAATGTCTGGCGTTTCCAGACCTCAGTGGCTGCACTCAAGGGTTCGATGGTCACGAGCTTGTCGATCAACTCGAGCAAGAACGTCTTTCTGTTCCAGCGCAGCTTGAAAGTTTGGAGCGAGGGGGCCTTCTCAAGCCTCAAGTCCTCGTCTAACTCGTCGATAAGCTTGAGGAAGAACTTGGTGGTTTTGATGTCAAACGTTGCCACCGACGACGACGACGACGACGCAGAAACGGAAGGCCGGTGCAGGTGTGCCGCCAGTTCGGACGCAGCGGAGCTCGACGCCAGCGACGCGTGTGGCAGCAGGGACTCGCTAAAAAGGGTGTACGCCGGCAAGTCAAATCGCAACTGGTTGTAGATGGGTGTGTAGATCTGTTTCTGGTTGAGCTGGGACAGCGCCTTCGACGCAAAGGCGGCGCACGTTGGGAGCTTAGAGTCCTCTTGGGCAGTCTGCTGCGCCGACAGCGCAGGCAAATCGTTGCCTTGCGTCCTGCTCACAAGATCCTCCGCCGACTGGCTCCCGGCCTCCATTTCCGAAATCACGTTTTTCAACTTCGTCAACTCGGACTGGAGAATCTCGATCGTCGTGTCCTTCTCCTTGATCGTGTTCGAGAGCCGCTCGTTCATCTGCCTGATGTTGTATGCGCCCACATTCGCCTCCCGCACCTGGCTGTTTGCCTGCTCGAAAAGCTCCTGCGTGATGCTCTCCACCTCCGTGGAGAGCCGTGTCACCTCCAGATCCGCATCGTGCTTCTCCTTCCGGGCCTGCAAAAGCAGCTGTTTCTGCTGGCTCAGCTGTCGGTTGCTCTCCGCAATGCGCTGCTGCAGAGAGTTCGTCACCTCCGTCTGCTGTAGGAGCTTGAGTGACAGTTGCTGGATGATCTCCTTCTCCTCCTGCGTTCTCGATCCCGTGCCTATATCTGTGTCCGGCCCTGCCGCTTCAAACGGGGCCCCGCCTGCCGACCCCACTGCCACCACTGCATCCCCAGATGTCGCCTGTGTCTTGCTACTATCTGCCATGCTGTCTAACTGTCCAATGGCCTGTCCAGTGTCTGTTTTATCCGTCCTCTTTCTTCTGAGCCTACTCTTCTTGTGCCCCTGCTTCTCTAAATCTCGTCCCTGACGTGCTCTGCTGCAATCAAAACACAACGCCGCCTGAAAAAAGCAAGAAAAAGACGCGATTATGTCAGCACGCAGCCATGTATTCGCTTACGTCAGCATGCGGATGTCTAACCCCGGTGCCGTGCCCTTAGCGGGGCCCCCGTAGCTCACACGAAAAGGGAGCAGTCGCCACCCCCAGCATAGACCAAGAACAGAAGCTTTCTCTTGTAACAAGGTGTTGCACACGGAGAAAGCAGGTACATTTGGGCCATCAGCAACCCCCCCGAGCCGGACGTGCCCTGTTTCCTGCAGCGGCGGCGGCGAAACTGCTGTGCCTCCCCGACAGCCTGATCGGCCTCGCCGGTTTTGCTTTTCCTCTCTGGTCCTTTTCCCGAGGAAGTATGGCTACAGAGACGCATGATAAGGAGACGGATGAGGCCCAAGAGCACGAGAAGGTTGCTGAGTGAGAGCAGAGCAGAGCAGAGACCGACCCAAGACAGGACACGATGGCACACCAAATCTTGGGGATCACCCGTTCGATATCGGCATGCAAACGGTGCCGAAAGAAGAAGATCAAGTGCTCACACGATTTCCCCCGTTGCACCGCATGTCTTAAGGCTAACACGGAGTGTGTGTCGCTAGACCCAGCGACAGGGAGAGAGATCCCAAGAAGCTACATCATGCATTTGGAAAGCAGGGTTTCCGAGCTGGAAAACTACATCCAGGGCACTCTGGCACCACCTGGTGCCTCTCCGCAGTCGCAGCCGCAGCAGCAGCAGCCGCAGCAGCAGCATCGGTTCCAGCCAGACCTCACGGCATCCTACACTAATACGCCTAGCTCAACGACACACTCAAACACTCCCTCCTTTGTGTCCCCGGCGAGCTACAAGAACATTACGCCCGCCTCGACCGATAACACAAACGTCCCCTCGCAGTCCGAAAATAATGACTCGATAATCGACACCATACACAACTACAACCCTTCTGCGAGCCAGGACGACTCCTCCAGACCAACAACCTTCTCTGGAAATGGAATCAGCTTTTCCAAGTTGATGTTTGCGGCGGTGCATTTCAAGGACACAGCAGATCCGAAAGATAGAGAGAGAAGACGCTCGTCCGCCGCTGCGGCAGGCGCCAACATCAAACCGCCTATAGATCCTACGACTGTGGTGATGTCCTCGTTCTCTAAGAATGTCGCATTGTTGCCGCCGAAGCAACAAGCCCTCGACTTTCTTTCATTGTATTTTGCGCAGTCAAACTCCCAGCTGCCGATTTTCCACCGTGAGGAGTTCTTGGAAAGATACTTCATCCCCATATATGGTAAGATACCAGAGAACTCTGCGTTTGCATCTTCAAACTCGTCCATAGACTGGAGCAGGCTACCGGAGATAGAGGAAAGTGACACCTGGTATTATCAGTATACTCGTTTGCTGGACGCCGAAACCGGTGTGGATCCCGAAATGGACCCTTTTAAGTTTTCCGCCAAAGTCTCCGTGCCCAGACGGTTTAGAAAAGCATTGTATTTTACCAACATAGTATTTGCTGTTGCTAGTAGCATTTGGCATTTGCAGTTCCCCGGTGAGATCTCCGAGAATTTTAAGAATGCTGCCTTACTGCACATAGAAGATGCTTATTCGAGTACAAATAGACTGGAGGCTTTGCAAGCAATGCTATGTTTGACCCTATACTCTTTGATGAGACCCTGTGTGCCCGGTGTCTGGTACCTTTCGGGATCGTCATTAAGGTTGTGCATTGATTTGGGGCTCCACAACGAATCATCTTCCTCCTCGGCAGAACCAACAACGATAGATATGCGTCGAAGACTCTTCTGGTGCTGCTACTCACTTGACCGTCAAATATGTGTCTACCTTGGTCGTCCTTTTGGTATCCCGGAAGAATCCATCAAGGTCCCGTTCCCATCCATATTAGATGATAGTATGATCAACAATGAGTCTACGATGAACTCCTTGGATCCTAAAAATCCCTCAGAAATATCTTCTTACAAGCACATTGCCTTGACGATGTTCAAAATACGTCAGTTACAAGCCGAAGTTCAGAGTATTCTCTACGATAAAAGAGAAATACCACGCATCTTTCCATCATTGTCTGCATGGCTTGCAGACATTAGTGCGAGATTGAATGATTGGAGAGCGGGTATCCCACAGACGACTAAAAAGATGAATTGTGAATTCACAACAGAGTTCTTTGACTTAAACTACCATCATGCGAGAATGATGCTTCATGGGTTAGCACCCGCTAGATATGTTTTGGCTACAAATGATTTCATCAAGTTGGCAGAAGCATCGAAAGAGACATTATTTACATTTTACAAATTATGGAATCATGGTGTTCTAAACTATACATGGGCTGTGACGCAAAACGTCTTCATGGCTCATATGAACTTCTTGTATGCTGTTTTCCATAATAACGAGGTGAAAAATGCAACAAGCTTGAACGAAATTAAGAAGTTAAGTGGCTATGCAAGTGTAACGTTAAAAAGTTTAATCAACAGGTGTAATGCTGCAGAGCAGTGTTTAGAGGTGTTATCGATTCTAAGCCAGGCGGTAATTAAATTGAAATATCCAGTGTCCTCTACAATTCACATAGATGAAAGCAGAGAAGATACCCCCGCATCAAGCACAATGAATCGACTACCGTCCGAAGAAGAGGTGAAGACTTTACAACCAGGTGGACATATGACGGGTAATATGAGACGATTAATAGTCAGTATTCCTGAGCTAATCAATGCTGAAGAAAACAACAAGCCGACACATGCCCGTGAGGAAAATACAGATGAAGAGGATCCTTGTGCGCAGAGAAAGAAACCGAAGCTACTCAAAGGAGGATCTACGGATTCCCCATCTATTGTAGATACAACCACAAGTACACCAACTGCTAATGTTGGATCTCTAGCTCTGAATCAGGAAAAGACAAGTCTTCAATCGTACAATACTAATGCTGACAATTTGTGGGGCTTGAGTGATACAGATCTGGAAAGGTTTTTCGATGAGGTTCGCAAAGTGGATTCGCCAGACAGTTCGAGATCATATAGCCACTTTTCTTCGACTAGCAATGCTGCGGATGATGTTGTGGCCTCTGACTTCCGTGAAAAAGGAGCTAATACCGTTACCCACTCCCCAAGTGTCTCTGCTTCGGTTTCGGGCTCTATATCTACAGCTAGCCCTGCTGTATCCAGTGGTTCGAACAGATCAATATCTGATGGCCGACCAATTCAAGACGATAGTGCATCATTCATACCTGGAACTCCGCAACCGCTCAGCAAGATGCCTTATAAAGTTGGAGCAACGCACCAACACTATTCTGCACAGACTCATGTACAGCAAGACCCGCATTTTTTCCCGGGCCCAGGATCCCAGGGTCAGAAACATCAACTATACCCATTCTACCACAATCAATCATCCTCTCCTGGTAATGTTTATCCCTCAAATTTCTCTTATGTGTCTGCACAAAACTACCAGCCACATTTCCAATCTGCTCCTACGTCGTTTTCACCTCCGGGCTCTCTGCCTGCATTTCCCCATCCAGTTACATCTGCTATGAACAGTCCTGCGAGACAAGACTTTCGAAATACAGATATCTCTCCTTATCCCCTTACATTGAACTCTGACTCGAGCAAAAGAAACACGAAAGAAGGTCAACGCGTGTATAAGTTGATGGTTGAAACCGGTACTGAAAGTATTTGGGACCAATTTTTTGCTCAGCCTTTCAAGCTGGATGAACTTTGATTATATGTCAATTTTTAAAGTCTTCCTCCTATTCATGTTATTCAATTGTCTTCAGCTCTTTTCTACACTTCTTCTTTTTTGTAAAATTTATGTAACATTTCCTTTCATTGTAGTGCTAGATATGTACAGGACTTTTTTATATAGCTGTTAGGGTGTATATAATATAATTCTAGAAAGTGTGCCTTTTCCATGCCTTTGGTTTCCACTCTTCGTGTGTAGTTTTTTCCTTTTCATCAATTTGAGAAGGATCCTCATCAGCCACAGCGGATATCACGGATTCTGATGTTGAACCAAGCTCGTTTGGTGTTGCAAGGGAAGCCGAATTTGGGGAGGTTGGTGTATTAGTGTCGGCAGCATCTAAACCTTCTGGTGCTGGAGTGGCCATGAGGAAAACGTCACTGATGTATCCGACGTGGACGTCGGGATCACCATGGCAGGAATGGAATACAGTGCTCAGCACTGAATGAGGTATCAGAGTTGCTTCTTCAACTTTGAAACCGGCATTAACATTATTGTCAACCATTTCTTGGTTCTCTCCCTCGGCAAGAAATTCTTCGTCTTTTTGATCTGCATCTTCAAACACCTCTGGTGCAGTTGACAACAGGTCCGGGGCAAACAGTTTAGCTTTTGCGAGCCTGGACTCGTTTGTGTCGGCAGACTTGGAAGCACTAGATGATTCTACAGGTGGGGTGTTCTGAACAACATCATCCTCAACAAGATTTGTTGCTACTGTTTCTGCATTTTCTGCAACCTCAGGAGCTTCTGCAACATCCGCCACTTCCGATTCATTGTCCAATTCTTCGTTTAAATCAGGTTTCCCCTCGAAACTCTCCATCAGCTCCCTCTCTAATTCCAAATTGACCTCTCTCCCCATCTTTCGCCATATGGCAACAAAACCACCGGCAACAGATCTAACCCCCACTTTGGGACGGACTGAGTATCCGAATTCCCCAGTGGCCCTGATCAAGGTACGCCTCGTATCCCACTCCTTCAACCCACCCCCGGCACCGTCCAATAATTGAACGGTACGTTCGTGCTCCAAATGTAAAGATGTAGGTGGGTCGAGTTGGGACAACCTGACATTTTCTTCGGCAATTGCATCTATTGCATCAATGATTTGTGTAATACTTGGACAAAACACAATAACAAACCCTCCCGACTTGATATAAGGTGCAAGCTTAACCATTTCTCCATGGTAGTTGGGCATATCCAGGAAGACACCCGATAAGAAGGAATCAGGCTGGTCGGAATCATACTCCAAAGCCTCTCCCTGTTTGCTCACCCGTTCCGTCTCCAGCCAGTCTTGGCCCTCTGGCGAAGAAACCCACTCGCTTGGGCTATCAGAGACATGGAATTCGATGTTATCTAAATACATCCCTCTTCTGAAACCTTTCACGGTTCTCTTACCTGTGACACTGTGCGATCCATTGCAGTCTATTGTGTGAAGCACTGCACCACGTAGATTTGGATCCTGTGCATAGTGTGCCAATGCGTTAGCTGGATGCAAAGCTTTGGAAATAGCCAGCGACAAACTTCCATGGCCTGTACCAGCTTCCAGGTACTGCAATGGAGTGATCTTGCCACCTTCCTCTGTCGGTGGCTCAGGGTAACCGATATGTAAGTCTGCGAGGGCAACAATAGCTTGTGCATCAAATGAATAAATTGGTTGTGCTTTACGTGCGGATAAAGTTATCCACTGTTCAAGACTTGGGAGAGAGCAAGTATACTTTGCGAGTTTTTTCTTGGTTTCAATAGTGTGTACTTTTCCAAGAGGAGTGGCACCAATCAACTCTGTATGCGGGATCCTTCCAAAGTTGAGGTTCACTGCAGCATTGGGAAGGTCTTTCAAGGGCCTCGAAAGCCACTGCTTTTTGGACACTGTCTTTTTTAGTGGGGTAATGATGGCATAATCACCCGGTTGGAATCTGTTCGAAATGCTTCTTCGGGAACAAGGGCCAAAGGACAATCTCTTGTGAATAGCTGACCCTAGCATCTCTTTTGGTATTTAGGTGGCAGAGAATAACAGAACAGGTCTGATAAGATCAACAGCTGATCCGGAGCAACGCTGGAGGGGTCCGAGGATGGATATCACACTCTTGTACCCCACCCATTCAGGAAGTAGCCATTTTGCGGAACACCTTCCAGGTGAGGAAGGTGAAAAATGAAAAAAAAAAGGATGGGGGAGGAAAGTTAGGATGTTGATACTGATTAAGTCCTCTGATAGGATACTAAGGGGAAGAAGGTTTGGAAAGAGGGGCCGGGACTAGGGATTGATGGGCAAACTTGTAGTGCAGAACTTTAGAAGGCTGCATGAAGTGAGGTTAACCCGTTTCTACCGGATCATCGGGATGGTGACGGAGTATGACCCGGAGCGGGGGGTTGTCGGGGTTATCAGCATCTTTGACGGGTCGAGGTGTGAGGTGGAGCTCGACCTGGAGTGTGACGCGGACGGGACCAAGCGGCTGGACTTCCACGAGGGCCTTGTTGTCGACATCAACGCGGTGACGGTGTCTGCTGCCGTTCTCAAGGCGAGCCGAATCGACGTCGTGAACCTGCCTGGGTCGCTTATCGAGTACAGGGAGACGTTGTGTGCGTTTGCGCAGATCGGGTCCTGAGACGACAATTGCGATAAGTCTGGTTTATTTCTATAGCATACACAGACGTAGGAATGTATACGTATAATAGAGGTTATACAACGATAGTACGGTGGCGGGCGGGCACACTTAAAACTTGACCTTGTTTCTTCTTCTGTTCTTGAGCAGGATGGTCTGGGGTTCTTCCTGCGCCTCCTCTTCCGACTCTTCTTCGGAAACCTCCATCTCGTCGCTCTGCTGTTCTGCCTCGAGCTCCTCCTGTCTCTTCTTTTCCTCTCTGGCGGCTCTCTTCTCCTCCTTGATTCTGAGCTCGACCTCTCTCATCTTCAGCAACACAGGGTTCTCCTCCACCAACTTCTTGTCCGACGCGAGAGCACGCTCCTTGTTGCCTCTCATTCTGTTCTTGTAGAACGCACGCTCTCTTCTCTGTCTGATCTCCTCGATTCTGGCCATTGCCTTCAATGTCGTCTGGACCAACTCTCTGTTGTATCTCACCGGAACGTTTCTTCTCTTGGCAAACGTCAACGTCGAGTCCACCGCCAACTCCTTGCCTGCAGCCTTACGGAATGCCTTGGTCCATCTGAGCTTTCTTGGGTTTCTTCTCTGCTTGAAGTTCTTGTGGCACTTTGAACGGCAAAACTTGAACTCCTTGGAGTCGTTACGCACAAAGGTTATTCCATGCCCGGGGTAAACCGGAGACGAGCAGAAGTGGCAACTGTAGATTCTCATTTTTAGTTCCTGTGTGTTCGATGTCTATCCCTCTGTGGCTCCTCCTGTCCTCTTTCCTTCTGTTTCTGTTACCTTCTTCTGCCCTGGGCCATAGGGAGAAGATCAAAAAAATTTAAAAATCAAAAATCAAAAAATTTTTCATGAGAAAAAAAATTTCGAGCACTCAAAAAAGGCGGAAATGCGAAAATGCTAGGAGGCTCGTCCTCTGGACAGGCTCAGCACGAAGTTGCGGTTGAAGAAGGAGGAAGAGAAGAAGAAGAAGAAGAGTAGGGTGGGTGGGGATGGCAAAAAGATGCAAGTATTGGCAGTGGATGCACTGACAGCAAAATAGGTATACAGTAGGGGCTACAGAGGACGGCGGGCGGCTATGGGACCTCCTTGGGCCCGCGGTTGAACTCGTCCCAGGACTTGTTGACGGCGGCATCCAGACGGGGGACCTTCTTGATGTCGTACTCGTAGCTGAAGGGCACGAGGCGGTAGATCTGGCTGTGCGGGTCGACGTAGATCATCAAGTTGCCGGTGTCCTTGTCACGGGCAAAGCTGAGGAGGTGCTGGGCCAGCGTCAGCGCCTGCTGGGCAGAGACGGGCTTGGCGCCAACGCTGAGGAGCTGCTGCTTCAACTGGCCGATGTGCACGGCCATGACAGTTTGCGAGATGTCCTTGCGCTCGTAGAAGTCCCAGAGGTTGGAGAGCTCGCCCTCGGTGTCCTCGAGCTCGTCGAGGATGGCGTTGGAGCAGACAAAGAAGACCACCACCTGTGTGAGGGAGAGGGTGATGAAGAGGCGCCACGTGGCGCCTCTCGTGGCCCGGTTGCTGAAGAGCTGCAGCAGGGACAGCGTGCGGCCTGGCACAAACGGGTCCTGTGGCTGTTGCGGTGTTGTCTGTGTGGTTTGGCTCTGGCTCTGGCTCTGGCTCTGGCTCTGCTGCTGCTGCTGCTGCTGCTGCAGCACATGGTACGGAAGCGGCTGCCGAGAGGCGTCTTGGAACAGCGCCGGCGGCTTCATCTGCGTCCCCGACCCCGGCAGGCCAGCGGCGTGTCTGATCCCGGGGGATCGCACGAGCAGCCGTGTCGGCGTGGCTCGGGCGCCGGCGGGGCGCCAGCGGCGGATGCGGAGTAGGCTCTCTTTGAACATGTCGGTGTGCTGTGGCTCTCGACGGACGCACAAGAAGGCAACACGGCGCAGCACAAGAACACCGTCGCCAACCCGTCTGAAATCCGTGCCTGGTCTGTCTCTGCCGTCTAGCGGGCCGGTCAGCGGTCTTGGCTCGACGGAAACGACACGCCGCAGAAAACGGTGCGGGATAAAATGGAGGCGGCGCCGGTCCGTCTGGGACCCCTCTCTGGCTCTGTCTGGCTCTGTGCTGACTCCCTCTGCGACGGTGTGTCTCTGCTGCGTACTTGTCAACGCCCCGCTGCTGGCCTACATACCACTGCATCCTGCTGTGTTGGCAATTGACTCCCTTCGTCGCAGACGACAGAAACGGTACCCCGCCTACCACCCATCGCACACCGCACACCTAGTGCCCCATCGAACATCGAGAAGAGCATTTCTGTCATTATGACCTCCAGCTTCATTCAGGACTGGGACACCATCCAAGAGCGGGCCGTGGGCTACTACTTCACGACATCGTGGCTCGAGAAGGGCAAGGACGCCCTTCTTGTGTACACGCTGTACACGTACGTGGTGCTTCCGCTGTTCAACTCCCTCTACGGATACGGCCTCTTTCGGACTCTCAGGTTTGCGTGCCACGCAGTGTGGAAGCAGGCCTCCGCCTTGTTCTTCATGCTCCCTCCGGTGCAGAAGCGGGTGAAACAGGAAGTTGCCGACGCCAGACGGCTTCTAGAAAACGACTTGATCGTCAAGGCTGAGCACGTGGAGCACCATCAGCTGCCAGAGGAGGGCCTAAGCTCCGACGCCGTGATGGCGCAGTTGGATGCCTTGGACTCAATCAAGGCCGTGGCATGGAAAGAGGGGAAGATCTCCGGTGCCGTCTACCACGGCGGAGATGACTTGATCAACCTCCAGACCGAGTCGTACCACAAGTTTGCCGTCGCCAACCAGTTGCACCCCAACGCCTTCCCCGGCGTGCGTCAGATGGAGGCCGAGGTCGTCAGCATGGTCCTCGGCCTCTTCAATGCCCCATCCACCGGTTGCGGAACCACCTCATCCGGCGGTACCGAGTCACTATTACTAGCGTGTCTTGCAGCCAGAGAGAAGGCCTACGCCGAGAAGGGCATCACCAAGCCCGAGATCGTGGCACCAAAAAGCATTCACGCCGCCGTCTTCAAGGCCGCCAAGTACTTCAACATGACTCTCAGATTGGCCGACCTCGACCCAAAGACCTTCACCGCAGACATCTCCCACGTGAAGCGCCTTGTTACCAGCAACACCGCCATCATTCTCGGCTCCGCCCCAAACTTCCCTTACGGTACCATCGACAACATTCCTGAGTTGTCCAAGATTGCCGTTAAGCACAACATCCCGCTCCACGTCGACTGCTGTCTTGGTTCCTTTGTCATCGCCTTCTACGAAAAGGCCATGGGCAAGAAGCTGCCTTTTGGGTTTGACTTCAGAGTTCCTGGTGTCACCTCCATCTCTTGCGATACCCACAAGTACGGTTTCGCTCCTAAGGGCTCCTCCATCATCATGTACCGTTCTCCCGAATACAGAAAATACCAGTACTACATCACCTCCGAGTGGGTTGGTGGCTTGTACGGGTCCCCGACCCTGGCCGGGTCCCGTCCTGGTGCATTGACTGTTGGTGCATGGACCACAATGATTTTCCTCGGTCAAGAAGGATACGTGAAGAACATACGCTCAATTTTGGAAACCTCGCAAATTCTACGCCATGCCATTGAAAACGAGATTCCAGAATTAGATCTCATTGGCGACCCACTCCTCTCCGTCGTAGCGTTCAAGAGTGATGTCATTGATGTCCATGTCTTGGGTGACCTGCTCACGAAGAGACACGGATGGCATTTGAGCAGCTTGCAGCAGCCAGCTGCCTTGCATCTGGCCGTGACCAAGTTAACCGGTCAAGCCATCTTGCAGTTGGTTGAGGACCTCAAGAAGTGTGTCGAGGAATGTGTAGCCGCCGTTGCCGACAACCGCCAAGCCATCAAAAGTGACACTGCCCAACTCTATGGTGTTGCCGGCAGTTTGAGCACCCGTGGTGTCGTCGATCAGCTTGTCGGGGTCTTCCTCGACGTCTTGTACGAAAACGACAAGACGATGCAGTGATCAGAAAGGTACTGTGTTTACCAGTTATTAAATTAGTTAGTTTATAAACGAATGGATATACGCATTTGGTTGGTCAAACATGAAAACATGCCCAAATATTAAGCTCTTCCAGAGGCCCAAAGCCTCGAAAGACAAAAACCGTTATGATTATCTAAATTCCTCGCTCGTGACAATTTGATGCATCTGATAGATAAGCATGGCCGGCCGGCCACCTGTGCCACGGGGAGCTCTCGAGCTTTCTCTATGCCCCCTTAGAGTAGTTCTAACACGATTAACAGCTGGAGAGCAACCTATGAAACTTCTTGTTCATGGCCGCATTGAAAAAGAGAACGGGACACAAATACAGTCATAGCGGCTGCACAAATTGTAAGAAAAGAAGTATCAAATGTGATGAAAACTTTCCAGAATGCCTGGCTTGCCAGAAAAAAAATCTAAAATGTGAGTACAAACAGAAGATATTTGTTTATCAGCCTTTCAAAACATCATCGAAGCAAAACAAGAAGTTTAAAAAGATAGAAATAGATCATCTATCAAAGGAACCAACATCTACATATGTGCCAGAAGCAGTCGGTTCTTTTGACGTTATCGATAAATTTATAGACGAGTTTAAGGAGAACTTTGATCAAGGAAGACAATCAAATATTTCAGGTAATAAAGAAGAACAGATTTTAGAGTGCAAAAAACTAGACGAGCTTAGCGCAAGCTCTGCCTTACAAGTTGCTTCGTATGTCCGATACTGGAAACCCTACACAGAAGAAAGATACCAAGAACTTTTCGAGAAATTGGATGCCACGGGTGCTAAGAGCAGCAATGTTCACTACCATGAAAACGACCCGGAAGTTCAAGAATTTATTCTTCACGCCTTTGTTCAATCGAAGGCTACTTACAATTATATCTTGGCACCCGCTCACGAATTAAGCCTTGTAACTAACTGGGTATTACATTTTGGTACCAAATATCCAATAATGGGGTATGTGCTGAACTTCATAACGTGTAACCTTTTGGACATCAAGTGTTCAGATGATCGCTGGTCTTGTATATTGAAAAGGAACATGGCCACCGCCCTCATCAACCTCTCTGCCAGAGTTGGTCAATGTGATTCGTTTATCGAAATGGTATGTTATTTGTTTTCTATAATGTTCCTATTTTCTGAGCAAACAGCCAGCAGGCAGAACGTTTGGAGGCTTCACTTGAGAGGCGCATTTGCCATTTTAGAACAATGTAGTGATCTTTTCAACAAAGTCTCACAAAATAAAGATCCATTTGATTCTGATTTGAAATTGGCGCTTCAGATGTTCTCCTTTTCGAAAAACTGGTTTGTGGCTGCAGAAATTATTGCCTGTCTATCTGCACCAAATGGAGGGGTCATCAAAGATATTTACAGCTCAAAATTCTATCTTGGTTACAATACACAGGAATTAGATGATGGTGTACTCCTCGGCGGATTTAACTTGATGAAGGGTTATTCACAGCTCTTATCCCCAGTTGTCATGGAAATAATCACCTTCATGATTGCTTTTAAAAAATCAGAGGGCATCTCTTTGAGTGGAACCCGGGGGCTATTAGAAAATTTACCATACTCGGAAGAACGAAGAATACTAGGTCAGAAGTTGTTGGCAAGAGTAAAGGAAGTGCAAACTGAGGAACTGAATTTATCGACCATGCAGGATCACGTTATGAGGGCCTATATAAGGTCTTGTAACAAATGCTTCTGTTATGCCTTGCAAATCTATATCTCGTCAATTTTTTTGGATGATTTCATATATGGTGATAATATTCAGCATTGTGTTCAAATAATTGAAGAACAGTTGGTGACAAGCCAAGATATAAGGTCTTATGGGCTAAGTATTCACTGGCCATTGTTTGTTGCATCATTATGTGCCCTATCTGCCAATCAGCGACTGACGTTTATCAAGGCATTGAAGAACATCTCCAGCAACGGCACTTTTGTTGCAAGAAATACAGTTGAACGTGTAGAACGCTTTTGGAAGGTTATTGACAGTGGAGGGTTAATTGAAGAAGAGGATTATGATTGCACTGTTGCCTAGTATTGTGAAAAATTAGGGAGGGTTTCCCTCATTTGTATATTAATTAATTAACTTTATGCCGATATGGAGGTACCATTCCTGGCTTGGTTTCTAGGTTTCGTCTCTGTTTTTTTTTTTTTATTTTACAATAAGACAAGCAAATTCAGAATAAATATATTAGAACCAAAGGTCAAAAACTAAATGTACGTTGTAGGGTACCGAAAACAGAAGTATAATTATTTTAAGAAGCAAAAGAAAACAAAATTTTGGAACTGGATAAAAAGAGAGTCTCTTATTCATCGGCCTTATCTGGTAATGCAATGACAAGTTCAGCAGAAAGATTGCTCACAACTGGGTCAATCTTCAAGTCACTTTCATCAATCTGGGAGTATGGGACAATGTGCTTTTTAGCACACTCTTCATCAGTAAATGTATGAAAGAAATCATACTCGTCTTCTTCTTCAACGTTTTCATAAGGCCAAATGTAAGAAGAAACAATAACCAAAAAGAAAGTAATGAAGTACTCAAAAATCGTATTCCCATAGTAGAAGTTCTTGATCCCTTCACTAACCTCAATACTGGGTGTAACAGAGTGAATTAAGCCTGGGAGAGCTGGAACAAATGCAATAAACCATATGCAGATGTTTCTGTAGTTAACACCATGCCAGTACCAGTACTTACCATTTCTATCGGTAGTATATAGATGTGTCAACTTAAGATGCTTTCTTCTCACAACCCAGAAATCGGCAACAATGATTCCGACAATTGGAGACATAAAGACTGAGAAAGAAGACATGACGGTAACAAATGTAGAAGATGTGTTGTAGAAGTCCCATGGTTGGACGACCCAAGACAAAAGAGCGGTGAGAACACTTCCACGAGTAATGTTGAAGTATTGTGGAAGCAACCCAGACAAATCCATACCACCTGCATATGCATTACCCATGGTGTTAAAACAGATCTGCGATAGGGTGAAAACTAAACCAACAAAGAATGCGGCAGCTCTTGCTTTGGGACTGTAATCGTCGTGCAACCATTTCATGACAAGCTCATTTGGCATCCAAATTTCCTCACCATACTTTTCCAAATAGGCAGAAGCCGTCACGAGTCCCATCAATGGAATAACGGTACCTATGACCATCAAAGAGAAGATGGTACCAAACACGGAGGACCAAGTTTTTCTTGAAAATCTAGTAAAATCAGACTGGTTCGACACACCGGCGGAAAGAGAGCCGTACCAAGAACTGATTCCCTGGATCCAAAACCAGGCTCTAGTGGAAGAAGACATTTCTTTACTGGAGTGCATCAAAGCGCCATCGCTTCCTCCATTTCTGGTGACTGTCCAAATAGTTAAGCCCATCATAGCAAAGAAGGTGAGAGTACATGTAACCATCAAGGCTTTGTTGAATTTTTCTGGCTTCACAAATAACGGTGGGATAGAGATGATTTGGAAAACGACAAATCCCACCAATTGCTGGGTGGTCATATTCACTGATTCTGGAATTGTATTTGCCATAGTCAGATAGCTATGACTCCAGGAGGAGAAAACACAACTCAAACATAAAGAACCAAGGTAGGCTTGAGAACCAAACCAGACGACAGAGAGAATGACTCTGATTATGATACCGATCCACGAACCTCTGATACCAAAAACAACTCGTTGAGAGATGGTATAACCGATGTGGAAGTACCCACCTGGTGCAGCGTTTAAGAGTGCCAACACCACAACAATAGCATTACCGATAATGATGATACCCATCGTTTCACCGACGGATAATCCCAACGAAAGCAAAGAAGAAGCACCAGTCCAGGTGGAAATGGTCACGTTGGTGATCGACCAGTAGGCCGTCATGGACCAGACACCCCATATCCGTCTGTCCGGACCCATAGGGATGATATCTTTGTTACGCAAGTAGGTAACATTCTCGACACCTTCGCCCGGGGTGACCTTGATCAACTCGTGAAGCTTGGATAAAAACGACATGGTGTTTATGGTCTGCAACTGTTTTCCGTTTTCTACAGGCATAAGTTTCCGTTCCTTTTCAAACCTGGTATCTTTATTCCAAACTTCATGGACGGTTTATATATATTTGGGATCAACCATGCTTGCTTCCAAGTCTTGATAAAATTTATCCACCTACAATCAAAAGATAACAGGAAAAACCCAATCTGGGAATTTTTACGAGCATGATGCGATAAATGGGAGGACCGTTTAGCCCCGGCGGGATTTCTTCGGGGCTCCGCCAACAGTGCTTCGCAAAATAGCAACAACAAAATGCCGGAGTCAGCCCGTTTCATGCAAGCGGCAACAAGTGCAACAGAAAAGGGAAAGAACTAACTCAGATACGCTCTTATCAGCTGAACTTATTGGTGTCATGTTGCCATCATGTCAACCCAACACTGCACGGACGGCGGTACTTCTCCGCCGGAATATCCTCGCGCTCGCAAAAAGTACCCAATGCGGCAATTTTTTCGACCAGGATCTGTCATAGAGCTAACAATGACAGTTACAGACGGTGCCATTGGACAAGGTTGGCGGCACCGAAGGCGGCACGAAGGCGGATGTAAGCGCTACCCAACTTTGCCTGGAGACATTACTCCGTACGGAGCAAGTCATCATGTGCCTGTCAGGATGACAGCCGGAAATTTTGCGGCTCAAGCTGTCAGTGTGTCCCGACGGCTCGCCAAAATTTCCCACAAGGGTAATAAATCCTGCGGACCGCTCAGTAGTTGGTCAAAAGTGAGTGTTTTAGGACCTCTGTGACGGGACGACGACTGTTGATCTGTGGATTACCACGCCACTTACAATAACATTTAAAAGCATACGTTTCCAGTGGTGCGGGTGATGAACCACGGATCCGGCTTGTAAGTTTGCTGGGTCTCGAGAGTTTTCCAGAAAAGCTGAAGTGTATATCGAAACAGCTTAACGGTTACTATTTTTTCGGCATTTGAGGTCTACAAAAAGGTTTACTACACCAAGCCATCAAGATGTCTGGAAAAAACTTGCTAATTGGTATAGATGTTGGAGGAACAAACACGGACTCCGTGTTGCTCAACCCCTCGCTGTTCGAATCGGAGTCTAGGGGTGTCATTGCTTATCATAAATCGCTTACTACGGCTGATGTTTCGGACGGTATCTCCAACGCACTCGACCGGTTGTTTGACGAGGACAAGGGATATACGGCAAAGGATGTCTTGGCGATCACCATCGGAACTACGCACTTCATCAACGCTGTTATAGAACAGGATAAAGCCCGGTTGGACCCTGTAGCAGTGATAAGATTGTGCGGCCCTTACTCCAGAGGCTCGTATCCTTTCTCAGATTATCCAGAGGGATTGACCAAAATCATAAAGAGCTACACAGCCTTTGTTGATGGTGGTAACAGGGTTGACAGTGCCGAGATCCAGCCTCTCGACGAAGAAAAGATCCTTGAACACGCTAGAAAAATCAAGGCCTTGGGGATCAAGTCTGTCGCCATCGTTGGGATTTTCTCTATCATTGACAAAGTCCACGAGCAAAGAGCCGCAGAACTAGTCAAGCAGGTGATTCCTGATGGTAACGTCGTCATGTCCCATACCGTTTCTGGTATTGGGTTTTTGGCCAGAGAAAACGCAACAATTTTGAATGCTTCTATCATGTCCTTTGCAGCCAAGATCATCGGTTCTTTTATCAAATCTGTGCGTTCCAGGGGATTTGCTTGTCCTATTTTGTTGACTCAAAATGACGGAACTGTTTTGACTGTAAACGAGGCCCTTAAAACCCCAATCAGAACATTCTCCTCCGGTGCCACTAACTCCATGAGAGGTGCAGCGTTCCTTTGTACTAAGGAGAAGGAAATATATGGTAAGAGTATTATGGTGGTCGATATTGGTGGAACAACCACTGATGTCGGTCTCTTATTACCATCAGGCTTTCCAAGACAATCTTCTTCTCACTCCGAGGTCGGAGGTGTTAGAGTCAACTTTTCCATGCCTTATGTTGAGAGTATTGGTTTGGGTGGTGGTTCCATCGTCAGAGAAACTGATGGTGAAGTCACTGTTGGTCCTGATTCTGTTGGCTCCGACATCAAAACAAGAGCTAAAGTCTTTGGTGGTGATACCGTTACCACGACAGATGTTACTGTGGCTATAAAAGATGGTAAATCCATGTTTGATGCTGGTGATAAGTCAAAGGTCGTAGGCTTGTTCTCAGATTCCTTCCAGAAGAAGTATCAGAAAGTGGTCAAAACAAAGCTAGAAAGGGTTATTGATGGAATGAGAACAGGCCCAGAGCCTCTGCCAGTGCTTTTAGTTGGTGGTGGTTCTTTCATTTCTCCAATGGAGTTAGATGGGGCCTCGAAGGTGTATAGACCTCCATACTATCAAGTTGCCAACGCCATTGGTGCTGCAATGGGTAAATTGTCAGCATCTAAAAACAAGATTGAATTCCTTGGTAGCATCAATGAAAAAGATGAGGTTTTCGAACAAATGAAGAAAGAAGTTACTGCTGACATAGTCTCCAAGGGTGCTCTAGAGTCCTCTGTTCAAATTGTTGATATGTCCTACGATCCAGTTCCTTATGTCGATCGTACTTATACTTTTGAGATTAAAGTTGTTGGTGACATAGATTATGATAAAGTTGCTACTGCTATTCAAAAACTTGAAAGCATAGACGCTGAGCTTTTGGAAGAAGAAAAGGAGGATCAACAAAAAGCTGAAGCTGTTTATAAGAACTCTAGCTTTGGTGATGAGGAGGCTACTCATGCCGACAGTAGTTTGTTTGACTATGAAGCATACAAACCGCATGTTAACGAGAAAAGACAATGGATTATCTCGGAAACTGATTTGGATTTCATCAGAATTGGCACATACATTCTCGGATGTGGTGGAGGTGGTACTCCATACCCAATCTACTTGGAGATGAGAAATATGCTCAGAAGCGGTGCAGTAATCAGGGTGATCGACTTGCATGATGCTCCTAAATATGCCAAGGGTGAGGGAAAGTTTATCACTGTGGGTTTTGCTGGTTCTCCTACCGTTGCCGATGAGCAACTTCAGGGTAACGAATTGAATGATGCCTCTGAAGCTATGTTTGATTACCTAAAGACTAAAGTAGATGGTGTTTTCCCACTTGAAATTGGTGGTGGTAATGGTTTCAAAGGATTGTACTGCGGAGCTTCCACACAGTTGGATATTCCTGTCATTGATGCAGACTTGATGGGTAGAGCATATCCAACCCATTCCCAAATAGTGCCATGTGCAGTGAGTGATAAAATGCAACTAACGCTCACTTCCGTCTCGGACGGTAACGGAAACAAGTTCTTGATCACTAGTGCTCAATCCGACTTGTACGTTGAAAAAATGATGAGAGCTGCCCTAGCAGAGGTTGGAGCCCACGTTGGTGTGGTCAATGTGCCGATGACATGTAAGCAGCTCGAGAACATGACTGTCCATAACTCTCTCTCGATTGCTTGGAGAATTGGTAGGGCTATTAGAGTTGCTCGTCAAAAATTCGAAATCAACAAACTACCTGAAAGAATTCTTGAATCAGTTGGTGGGAAAACCTCTGGTAAACAGATATTCGCCGGTAAAATAATAGGTGTTGAAAAGAGGCTTTTCAAGGGTCATGTCTATGGTGAAGTGATTATTGAAAGTGAAGAAAAGCACAAAATGTGCATTCCATTCAAGAACGAAAACATCTTAGCCAAAGTTCAAAAGAAAGGCTCCAGTGAATGGGAAACTGTTTGCTCCGTACCAGATTTAATATCTGTTTGCTACGCTGACAGCGGTGAAGCGGTTGGTACTCCAGAGTATCGTTACGGTGTCATGGTTTTTGTTTTGGCCTTTTCTCCTTCTGATTTGTGGACCAATACTGAGAGAGCTATTACTGTCGGTGGTCCAAAGTCTTTCGGTCCTGCATTTGAAAACATAGAATATAAGCCTGTCGGCAAATATGTTTACCCAGTATCTGTGATTTCTGAGTATGGTCCTAAAGAGTAGTTTACCGTATTTTTCTTCGAATATTCTCAATACTTGGATATTTAGACACTTAATCATTAATTTGGAATATAGTTAGTAAAACATGTTTCGCATTACGTAAGCGAGTCTTTAGAATCTTCAAGAGTTCCGAAATTTCCCATTGTGCTCCGGGAGAAGAGGGGGACGGAGAAGAAGAAATGATACTTATATTTGAGCAGTTGCAATTGAAGCAGAGGCATTGGAAAACATAAAACAGCAGCAGAACAATGTTAAGAAGATTATATTCTACCCAGAGCCAAAATGTGGTACAGACCCTTGCGGCGGTGAAGAAGCAGGAGCTAGTGCAGACGATTCCGTTTATTGGCGGCGAGTTCAGTGCCGATAACGGGCCCCTCTTCGGGGTTACCAACCCATATGATGGGTCGGAGTTGACAAAAGTGATGGCAACGACAGAAAGCCAGTTGTCTGTTGCTTTTGAAAACTCGCAAGATGCCTTTGATCGGTTCAAGAAGACTACTCCGAGATGGAGAAGCACGCTTTTGCGGAAGCTTAACGACGCCATCCTGGCAAACGCAGACGACTTGGCCCGACTGATCTCGTTGGAAAACGGAAAACCGCTGGCCGACTCGCTTGGGGAGGTGAAATATGGCGCCAGTTTCATGGAGTGGTTTGCTGAAGAAGCTCCCCGAATTAACGGGTTGTTGATCGGATCTGCAGACCCAAGCAAGAGAATCTCGGCTTACAGACTCCCTGTCGGCCCTGTGGGTATTTTGACTCCGTGGAACTTCCCCTTGGCGATGATCACGAGAAAGTTGGGCGCCGCCTTGGCCGCCGGGTGCACAACGGTGATAAAGCCTGCTTCAGACACTCCATTGACAGCACTGGCGTTTGCCAAGCTATGTCAAGACATAGATCTTCCCTCCGGTGTTGTGAACATTGTGCCTGTCGAAGAGGCCCGTACTCCGGATTTTGGCAGGCGTTTTTGCGAAGCGGCGGAGCTCAAGAAAATCAGCTTCACCGGAAGCACCCGAGTCGGCAAGCTGTTGTTGCAGCAGAGTGCTGACACGGTCAAGAAAGTGTCGATGGAGCTCGGCGGTAACTCGCCCTTCATTGTCAGTGCAAAGACTAAGGATATCGAGAAGGCCGTCGACGGAATGATTGCCGCCAAGTTCAGAAGCAGTGGCCAGACGTGTGTTTGCGTGAATCGTGTCTACGTTGCCGACGCCATCTACGACGACTTTGTAAGGCTCTTGCTCGACAAGCTCAGCTCCACGGTGCAGCTTGGGCCGGGCATGGACCCGACCACAACCCACGGTCCGCTGGTCCACCAACGTGCTCTCGACAAGGTGTCCGGGCTTGTCTCCGACGCCGTTGCCAAGGGCGCCACTGTCCTCCTCGGAGGTAACAAGAGACCGGACCTCGGGCCAACATTCTACGAGTTGACTGTCCTTGGCGACGTCACCCCGGAAATGGAGATTTACGAGACAGAGATCTTTGGTCCCGTGGCATCCCTTATCCGGTACACGGGCTCGATGGCTTCCGTCGTCGCCCAGGCCAACCGCAACCGAGATGATGTCGGGCTTGCCGGGTATGTCTTCAGTGATGATGTCACCGAGTGTCGGACAGCCTCGGAGGAGCTTGCCGTCGGTATGGTAGGCCTCAACAGCGGCCTCATCAGTGAGGCTGCCCTCCCGTTCGGCGGTGTCAGATGTTCAGGCTTCGGCCGCGAAGGGAGTGTTTTTGGCGTGGAGGAGTACACGGTGGTGAAGAGTGTCGTGGAAAAGGTGTAGCTAGCAGGCTTTCCGGCCCATCGGGTCGAAGTCATTGTATACAGTTGTCGTTGACAAGCTATTTATTCGAAACCCGACCGCAAGAATGCCCATAACCGAGAAGAAGCGGGTGGCGTCGTTGTCCCGAGGGTTTGGCATTTCCGTGATCGACACAGGGGACAGTAAGCAGATGAGCACGGGAAAGAACCGGGTCGGCAGCCGTGGCCAGCAACAACAGCTGCAGCACAGTCCTGAGCTGCCTCGAGTGCAGACGTTGGTTCCTGGCGCAACCAGTCTAGACGACATGGACGGCGATGTCTCCATAGTCAGCGATTCGACCCTGTCGGAAATTGTCATAGACGGCGGATCAAACGCAAGCACCAACGCAAACACTAGTGGAGGTGACAAGAACGATTTGCGGATCGACGTCTCTCTCTCGTCGTCCACTCTTCGGCGCTCGTCATTCAACCATCAGAAACAGCAGCAGCAGCAACAGCAGCAACAGCAACAGCAACAGCAACAACAGCAACAGCAACAGCAACAGCAACAAAAGCAACAGCACCATAATAACCCACAGCAAATAATCAGAGCCTCGGCAATGTCACAAAGGTTTAGATCAACACCGTCGTTGCACTCTCCATCAATGCCTTCATCTAGCGTCACCTCCCCGACTCTGCTCCAATCGCGGTCCAACACAAGCTCACCGTACCTGGCCCAGTCGAGACGAAGTCATCACAACCTTCACTCATACACAACCACGAGGCTTCCGTCCCGTCGCAGCTGCCAGCAGCTCACCAAAAAGCAAAAGGACAAGCTGTATGATGACGACAACGACACATTCGATGATACTGATAACGACATCCTGATGTACAACGTCCCCATCGCCTCCACGGCGTCTCTTCGTCTGTTTCAGAACGGGAATGCATTAGAGTCCTCGGAAGCTCTTCGGAAAGCATGGAACGAATCGGAATCTAACCTTATCATCCAGCCTTCCCCTCTTCCGGGTAAGTTGTCGGACTCCATGACAGCCTTTACTAGCCCCTCCGAAGCAATTCCGCCCCCAACTTCGTCCTCTACCGCTTCTACTCCTACCCCGACTTTGAGCTCGATGACTGCACCCCCTTCTGCCACCACTACATCTGCTGCCATCACTGCCATCACTGCTGCGTCTACCTCAGACCTTCCGAGAACCCCGACAACGGGACCAGGTATGAAGTTCGAAAGCCCCTCGTTGATGAAAAATCCATCATACAGCACCCTCTCTCCAACAGCACAGCAGATATCAACCTTCTACGAGTTTTCGTCTCATACCCATGCTGAGGAAGAGTTAAGGAGACGAAAACAGCAGTCAACTCCGACGACGGCAGCACCGGGACTGACCTCTGCTCTCGACGATTTGTCGATGGCTTCAGCGGAAAAGCTATCCAAGCTCTCCGTCACCAGACCATCATGGATCCCACCCAAGGACCAGACTGAGCTGCATCGGCACGAGAAAGAATTCAAGAAAATGATCGAAAGAACGAGCAAGGAAGCGTTGAAGCAATCCAGACAGCAGATTAAACTGCAGCACGAGAGAACGATTGCTAATGCGAGGTTGAATTACTTATCAGAAAAGAATTCATTAACGTCGGCAAACTGCAACGAAGTCCGCAAATACATCCTCATCACGGAAGTGAGTAGAAGCACAAAATTTAAGCTTTTCCGTAAGATGGTGTCTTACAAGCTCGGAGAGGGCGTCTTGTTGTCTCCTCCATATCAAAAGCAAGCGTCTTCGGACGATAGCTTCGACGAAAACTTGGAAAAGCTTGACATCCACACACTCTTAGAATCTGTCCCCACAAAGCCAACACATGACGAAATGTCATCTCTGCAAACGATTCTGCAACCGCTTACGCGTCCGACGTCATTAAAGGACGTTGACGTCAGCAAACTCCCGAAAATCCCTGCTCTGCCAATCCAAACTCTTTTGCCCCGGTTTGCCCGTATCGCATTGACGCTGCTCAGATCAGGCTACTCCACCCCGCAGGTCCGTGACATCATCTACTGGCTGCACGCTGCCATCTTCACAGTTAAATTCAAAGAAACCTTCGCCAAGCTCCTCTCAAAACAGTATGTACTGAAGCTTTTCAAGGAGTTCAAGGACGACTACTCCATTTTGTCCGTTCCAACCGGTCTCGATCTCATCCTCGACCTCGACGATTTCTACGTGACCAAGTGCATTGAGTCGCTGATAGTGTTCTGGGCCTTGGGTGGCGGACGTGGTGTCCGAGTCTTCGTCGCCATTGTCATCTGCGTAATACGCGAGTATCATTTTGGATGGAACAATCTACAGGTGATATTCCATTCAAAGGCCCACGTTTACCTCGGTGATGGCGAAGAAAGTCAAGAGAAGTTTTTTGGACGTGCTTTGAGCTACTACACACTTATAAAATGAACGCACACGACCTCCCATCCTGGCATTTCTGCCATTCTGTCCATATAATCAATGACCTCGCCATCGTCATGCTGATGTACCTTCTGTCCTAAGCTATTCTGTAACATTTGTTCCCTTTCCCCGGACATTTCTCATGTCGTCTTTATAGAGATAGAAAAATAAGTTATTTTTGCATTTTCGAGACATTTTTTTTCTCCGGTTTTTCTCTACATGAAAATTTTTAGAACTTCCAGAGACGGAAAGAAACAAAAGTCGATTAAACGGAGTAGGAAGAAAGAAATCATTGCATTAAAAGGCTGCAGATTTTGACAACCAAACATAAGGCAAGATGCTCCGCCGACTGATGGCCGGAAACGGTCGACATGCCGTGCGATGTGTGCTACCTGACGCACAAATGACAAATTTACGTCTGCACACGACGATTACCACGGGAAGGCCGACAAACACAAACACGAAACCAAGACGCCGACATATGCAGTCGCCTTCGACGTCTACGGAAGAGGAGAACCTTTTGCGAGAGAGCTCCAAACTTGCGCAGCAACTGAAAGCTTTGGAGGGGCTAACGAGACAAGTGCAAGACTCAATCAAGGAGAAGGAGAATGAGATGACACGAAAAGACGTCACGAGGGAGACGAGTGTGGGCATTGCCGGAGGAAACGACAAGGCCGATCCAGTGGTGGATGAGAAGGACATTGACGATGTGTTTAAAGCATTGGGGATCTTTGGATCTACTGCTGCAGGGGAGGATGGCTCGTCTCGTCCGGCCCTGCCAACTGAAGAAACAGATCTTGTACATAACAATCAGAGTGAAGCTGAGCCTGAAAGCCTTGAAAAGACGGGAAGCCGAGAAGAAGACAACACGGTTATAGACCTCAACGATGAGAAGGAGCTTCTTTCTCTCTTCCCGGTGCCGAAGGCTTATGTGCCTCTGCCGGAGTCGGTGACATCAGTGCTCACGCCGGAAGTGCTTTCGAACATCACGCAGGAACAGACGGCCACGTGGGAGCCTGTCATTGATGCACTACTATCGAGCAGCATATGTGATCCACTGTCTGGTTCCGAACTGGCCTCGCAGGCTGACTTTACCGGATACGATTTCCACCAGCTTGTGGCCACGATACCAAGGAAACAGAAGGAGCCGTTGGTCGAAAAACTACACGAGTTAGCCCTGATGAGCGGTGTGTTGTGGGGGAACGTTCATGTGATGAACGACTTGTTGGCCCTATGTAACCTTCTTCCAAATGAGAAGGGAAAGCTGCTTGTGGAGGTTCTCCTTCAGGATATTGATCTGTCCTCGAATGATACAAGCGATGGAGGAAGTAAGGTTGTTGCGAACGCTACAACCAAGGCCATCTTGCTCAACCACTATGCGAGACTTTCGGACGTGGGCAAGGTCAGAGAGTACATTGCTGAGCTGGATAAGCTTCCCGACTCAAAGAACCCGATGAAGACGTCGCCCGTGATCTACACGTCGATCATGCAGATGTACATGCGTCTCGACGACTACGATCTAGCGAAAGAGACCTTTGACACTATGAAGTTTCTCTCGATGGCGACATCGCCGTCGCCACGGACTTACACGTCGATGATTCTTCTAGACACTCTGCACAACAACATCGAGCACGGAATCGCCGTATACAACGAGATGCTCGATAAGGAGGTCAAGCTAGAGCCGGACGCTTTGCTTGCGCTTGCCAAGGGCTGCGGCGCCCGTCGGGGGATGGTTGACCAGGGCTGGGGGTTTATCATTGACTACTACGAGAACGGCTACGCAGTCGACAGCCAGGTGATGGAGATTATGATGTACCTTGCGTATGTCGACGGCGACTTGCCCTTTGTGCGGGGGATCTGGATGAACATCTGCGAGACCAACACAAAGCTGCAGGGCCGGATCCAGCTGCCGCACGCCAAGTGCACCAAGTGGCTCTTCAACACATACTACCGGGTTGGAGACATTGTCGAGCTGGCCCGGAATGGGACCAGCCACGTCCCTGTGGGTCTCCGGGACAGCCGGGTGAGAGCCATCCGGATGAAGGTGCTTGAGCTGACGAACTTCAACTTCCACGAGCAGGCACCACCTCTGCTGCCGATGGTAGACTTCGACGGCTCCGACCCGAAGCTGATGCTAGGCGAAGCCCGTGCGTTGTGGAAGTACCTTGTGCAGCGGAGCCAGGAGGTAGGAGAGGGTGTCGGCGGGAAGGCATACCTCGGCGAGGCGGTGATCGAGGCGTATCTCTACGTCGTCGGGCGGTACGCTGCAATGGAAACCTTCGAGCGGGAGTTCGACCGTTTGACGGTGTTTGACGGAGACGGAGAGGAGAGCGTGACCATCGAGGAGCCCCGTGAGGGGGACGTTGACGTTGACGCCGATGCCGACGCCGATGCCGCCGCCGTCAATGACGACACCGCAGCCAGAGCCGTCGCCGTGCCGCACTCCGTCTTGCCCGCCGGCCGTGTCCTCCGTACAGACAGACTGTACAACCTGTGCATGCACACCGCCCGTCACCAGGCCTGTCTCTCTTTTGCCCAGCGCATCTGGACCGAGAGGGGTCGGTATCGCCGGAGCACTGCTTTTCAGGCCCTCTCCGTCCCGGACCAGGACGCCGCCGACTTCAAGTTCGCCCGCCTCATGCTCAGCGTGCTCACCCACACAGGCGACGCCGGCGACGCCTATAAGCTTGTTCTCAGCTCGCAGAACCGCTTCGTGTGGACCCGGTACCATCTCAAGTCCCTACTCATGCTCTGCGAGAGACTGGGTTACACGACCTTCGCCCGAGAGCTCGACCGGGTCGTCAAGCGGGGCCACAAGTGGGTCCGACGCCAGCAGCGCCGAGCTGCCTAGCCTCTCCAAACCCCTGTACATGTATATAGCTGTCTAACCCAACCTTTCTGCAGATCAACAGCACGCCATCCGAAACATGGCGCCGAGCGTGTCGGGGCGTCTGGCCGAGCTGCGTGTTTTTTTTGCGTGCTCGTCTAGACGGGGGAAGGTCTTTGTTGACGGTGCAGGCCAGATCAAGAGCTGAGCAAAAGAGAGAGGAAAGGCTGGACTGACGCAAGGCGACTTGGGAGCAGGGAGAAGAGCAGACGCAGTCATCAGTACCAGCACGAGCAGACTTACGAGCAGCACCAGCACTCCGCCTTGCATCCACACCCACCCACCCCACACTCACTTTCCTAGAACAGCATGTACAGCACCACCGGGTTGGCCGTTGGAATGGCGATCGGCGTGCCGACATTCGTGTTCGTCGTGGTCTTCGTGATCTTCTGGTATCGCCAGAAACTGAAGTACAAGGCGGACCTCAAGCAGCACAACGGGATCGACGACTACGACGAGGTGAACGACCTCGACCTGGATCACATGATCGATACCCCGAAGGAGAGCCATGTAAAGGACTTCTCCACGGACGAGCTAGTGGCCGACGGAGGCCAGAGGGCCGTCACCGGCGACAGCGGCGTTGACAGCGGTGTGGCAGGCAGCGGTGTTCTGATCAAGAACGGCCGCTACTCCATCCGCAAGGAGTCCAAGATCATGGGGCTGCGCATTGTCCCAAAGAATCAGAGAGAGCCCGCTCCGCCGAGACCTATCCACACAGGCACAACCAGCAACAGCAACAGCAACAGCAACAGCAACAGCAACAGCAACATAGCCACGCCGCTGGAGGACACCCACAGAGACTTGAGCACAAACTCAAACCCGAGTGGCAGCAGGGCGTACAGCGACCTTCGTGGCCACACCCCAGTCGACAACGACAACAACTACAAGGTCTACTACGAGTCCGTGATACCCGTGTTGCCCGGTTCCGGTCTCGAGCAGAGGGCTTCTGGCTCCTTCGATGGTCAGGACTCCGCGGTGAATGCCCCAAACACCCCAATGAAGGGCGGCAACTCCTTTGCCCGAAATTCCAACCACTCCGGCACAGAATTTTACAAGATGCTCCAGGAGGACTCTCCTTTCTATCCCCGGTCCCGAATCACCTCCTTTAATCCCGGCGAAACCCCTCTACGCAAGTCCAGCGTGCCCAACGTGGCCTCCTCCGTGAACTCGCATGATTTTTCAAAGACACATCGGAGCCAGCAGCAGCAGCAGCAACAGCAGCAGCAACAGCTCTTCCACTCCCCGAGCCAATCCTCCACGGCCGAGGTCTCCCCTTTCGACACCCCGCCAGCACGTACAAGGGTCAGTGAGAGACTCGAGAGAGAGGACAGCACCACCACGTTCGACCACCCAACCTCTAGCAGTGCACATGATGCGGACCATGTGAAAGACACCGCCTCCAACCTCTTCGACCACGCGATGGATTCCATAGATCAGAGCGACGCCGATGACACCTCCAACCACAACTCTGCCCTAGAAAGCTCCCCACTCAGAAAGAACATGCACAGAAGAATCAACTCTGCAGAGAGCAGAATCATACTCGACGGTAAGGATACAGCGGAGGAAAACTATAATATCAAGAGGAAAGAGTGGCTCGACAAGTACAGGAAGAAGTGACCTCTCCCTTGGGCGATAGGTTTTGCTTCCTCCTCCCCATATCGCTTGATCCTGCAGGATCTCCTGCCACCTTTCCTCATGTCGTCGCCTGTATTCAAAATTATCCAAACCTGTCATCCTAGAAACATCTTTCACTTCCGGCCTTGAATTTACACTCATTCTTCACAAACTATTTATTTTCCACCCTATCATATTTACTATTTCACTACTTAAACAGATTTTTCTACCATCTGTTTGTTTTTCTTCCCTTCTTTCTTTCTTTCTTTCTTTTATATATGACCTTTCATTCATCCTACTTCCACTTTCTTTTTTGTTTACTGGTACTCTTGCATTTCAACTTTATGCCTTAGAAACATAGATACATTTATGAAATAATTCCCGTTGTTTAGAAACGACATGTGAGCAAACACACTCTTGCTATAAATAGATATATGTACAGGACAGTGTAAAACAGCGGCCGGATGTCGTTGTTCTAAAAAAACAAGTCGACACTGGCATCGTTGGTCAAGTCGACAACTTCGCCGTTCTCACCAATAAGCAACCACTGTATGATAGTAAACTTGTCATCGGCCTTCTTCTCGGCCTTCAAAACCATCAACGCAGAGCTCTTATCCCCGCAGATGCTCGTGGTGCAGTCCACCATACCTTTCATGGTGTTGACCTCACCGTAGATCCATGGAAACAACCCGTCGTAGGTGATTTTGCTGCCAAGAAGTTCTCTCGCGTGCTCACTACGTCTCAAGAAGTACATGGTGGCGTTCATTATTGGCGAAGACACTTTCTCGTAGTTGAAGATCCCAAGACAGGCCACCGTCATACCGGCCGCAAAGACCAAAAACGTCAAAATGGCCTGCATTCTCTGCTGGGGACGGGGGTCGTCCGGGAGCTCCGTATTGATCGTCATTGGCTTCTTGAACAGCTTCTTCCCTGTGACAGGGTCGATCGTGATGGTGGCCTCTGTCTCGTAGTTGTGCTTGCGCTGGATGGCCTTCCAAGTTAGGGACACGGAAAACGCACGCCGGGCGTGGATGCCCATTTGGCTCTTCGCCAAGGCGGCTGTTGCAAAGGGTCTGAGCACTCTAAGCATTGTTGCAGTCTATGTCAGTGGCTCCTCCTCTATCTGTACTTGGCTGTTACTAACCATTCTCCGGCCTCTACCGTCAGCTTCCCTAAGCTGGGCCGACTCAAATTTCATCTGGTGAGCAAAACGTGCGGCAAGCAAACTTCACGTTTTCCCGTCTTCCGTGCCTCTCTGCCTCCAGGAAACGATAAAATAGGCAGAAGAGCATGTATCCGGAGTTTTTGGGCAGGCCAGGACTTACAGTACAGCTACGGTGAAAACACAGAGACGGGGCAGATACACAGGCATACGTAGGAACTCTTGCGATGGCACGTGTACAAGGACAAGCAACGCACAAAAGAAGGGCGGGAATGTTGACCATCACGGAAGACACTTTTCCTGCGATGCTGATTTGGAGATGTGCAGATTCCAATGCAACTACCAACTTAGTTGAGTTGCCGTTGGACACAGTGAGCTTTTTGCAGGCCACTCCGGCCCATATTGACAAGATGATACTGAAGATCGGGTTAGACAGCGGCAAGGAGATGCTGTTTGGGTTCAACAGCAGAAAGGTTATGGATACGGTGAAGACGTCGATCCAACAGATCATCGCAAGGAAGAAGACGTCGATATCGGTGGAAAAAGAGAAAGAGATAGATGCAGCAAAAGCTAATCAGGACTCCGGATCAGTTGCTCCAGCGAATGGGGCAGACGGTGTGAAGGCGGCACAAGCGTCGGGCAGCCCCGATGTACCGGATGATGGGGTGAAAAATGATGAGTTTTTGGCAGACCTTTTGAACAGCAAGAAGTTGATGAAAAACTTGGCGTTACAGCAGAGGCTTTTGAGAGATAACGTGAAGTTGATGCGGACATTTACGGAGGCGGTCATCAAGGAAGGCATGGAGGCGGAAGAGTTTTGGAAAAGCAGAGTACATTTGCTTCGATCGTTTGCCATTCAGAACAACCAGAAGAAAGGACCCTACAATGTTCTAAGCACAATCAAACCCGTTGCATCAAGTGACAATGAAGTGAATGTGAATGTCACAAGAGACAAGATCAAGGAGATCTTCAAGCAGTATCCAATTGTTCGAAAAGCATATGACGATACCGTGCCAAGGATGTCCGAAGGAGAGTTCTGGTCTAGATTTTTCAGTAGTAAATTGTTCAGAAAGTTGAGAGGTGAGAAGGTGAATTTGTACGACCGAGGCGATGTCACGTTGGACAAATACTTGTACTTTGATCCAGACTACGATGGAGAAGAGGATGTGAATGAGGAGGAGGTGGGAGATCACTTGTTGCACGAGGAAAAGGCACAGGAGTTGCCGTCCCATGCTTCTTCATCCTCTAGAGCACAGAAAAAGAAGAGGAAGGCAGGAGCTAGTGAGCAAATGGTGAAGAAGAAAAAGGTCAAGTTGTTCAACGAAGTCGATTCAGCAGTATCTAAGTGTCTAGATCTCGAAGGTAATAAGGAAGATGATCCGGAGCTGCGAGGTAACAGGCCTGATATCACCATGAAGGATGATCAGGATCCAGAATTGGTGGGCATATTGCGTACGATGAACCGTTTGAGTAGAAGGTTGATGTCAGACATAACCGAAGAGGCACCCGTCGAAGATTTGGATCTCGAGTTTGAAAAAGAGCTCGAATTGAATGACCTTGATGAGACTGATGAGGTTGAATACAACGAACTCAAGTATACCCAGACCTCTAACATTTCTTCCAATATTGTGCCCTCCGAACTACTCACCAAAGTCATGAACCAGTCGAACTTGAACCCCGAATCGTGTGAGTACGACGATATCATTAAAAAGTTGAAAGATGAGTTCACCGTCGAGTTCGATCTTACATGTGTATATCGGAACATGAAACAAGACGGGAAAAAGCAAAGTGAAGCTTATAGAGACATCAACAACATTGTGAAGCAGAATTCCAAACAATCACAGCAATCATGGAACTCTAATTTGAAAGAGCTTTTGGGTTTACCTTCTTCGGCTGCGACTACTTCGGCTGCTAACAATTCTCTCACAAAAGAAAACACTGATTATGACATTGGGATCAAAATCAATCTTGATAGCGGCAAGATCGAAAGCGTGAAACTCACACATGCTACCTCTATTGAGTTTTTAAGGCAGTTTTGGACACAGTTCAATAGAACTGCAGCTTCCACTCCGACAACGGATCCTAATTTCAAATCGGACTTGATAAAGTTAAGAAAATACTACTTTTCTGTCAAGAAGTGTCTATCACGAGTAGAGGCACAGTTGGCCAGGTGTAAAGACTTGAAAGAAAGGCAAATCGAAAACCAGATGCTCACGCCTTTGGTTGAAGCGCTCAATGCTGCTCTTCATCGTTATGAAGACTCCATTGTCAAAAGTAAATAAAGATGTAATTAAACTTTTATAAAATTTAATAATAAATCAACGGTCTAAAAAGTAGAATTGGACAGGGATATCAGCAACAAGAAAAAAAATCTCAAAACGAACATGAACGGAAAGGAATAACTATTTGCTATCTCAGATAGCTAGTAACTAATTTTGACTCACATATTTGTAGTGTTTGATACAAGTCTCGTATTCATCATCGGTAAATGAAGAAACGTAACAAAGATCCCAATCACACACCCCATTTGCATCGCAATTTGAGGTGTATGGGGACCATCTTTTGGCATTACCCTCATACGTTTGCAAGACCGAAACATCGCTCAACATACTTTGGTAAACCCTATGCCAGTAGGTAGCATTCAAAGGAGAGGTTTTTGGCCATTCAACAGGATAGGCGTCTCTTGGAGAATACAAGTATTCCCAGACCGGTTCAGCCTCGGTTGTGAAAGTCTCGTTCAACCTAGTGTAGTAGTTGTGGACATCCATAACTTGGAAAGTTTCTGTGTCAATCTCATAGTATCTCCAAGCTGGGTTGTTTTCTACCCATGGAGTAACAGCTTGAGTGATCCAGGTAAAGTTAATAAGCTCGGATTCTTTCTTCGATTCAACGGTACCGTTGTTGTTTTGGTATAGAATTTGGAATTCATCTCTGTGGGTGTGACCGTTAAAGATGTGGGCAATAGTGTAAGGAGAAAATCTTTCAACCAATTCAGTGAATAGCTTTGCCTGTGGTGGGAGCATTGTTTGAGAAACGGGGATGTGGAAAATAATCCAGACTCTCTGATCCTTTGCCTCGGATTCCAACAACTCGTTGACTAAGAATTCAAAAGTTCCAAAATAGTCAGGATCTTCAACAGTGTTGATGTACGCATATTCATTCTTTTGGTACCATGCATTAGAGTTGAACGCAATAACCTTCAAGCCAGACTTGGTGTTGACAGAATATCCGGTATAATGAGTTTTGGCCTCTTGGGCTTCGTCAATGTCAATCCAGTCGTAATCCATCCACAAATCAGCCATCAAGTCTGCATTCCAGTCAAATTTAGATTGGAAACCAGATTTTTGTGGGGCCAACTGGCCGTATGGGAATGTGTCATGGTTACCTAAGACCGGGTAGATTGGCATCAAATCAAAGACGTTCTTGATATCATTGAAAATGACGGTTTCCGCTTCAATACATTGCTCGTATGAAGTGTACTTGATTTCATCATGATCAACCAAATCACCAGTGAAAATAGCAAAATCAAAGGAGATGTTGTTGCTGATTTGGAAATCTGCGATAGAGTGAAGAGAAGAGTTAATCAAAACTTCAGGCGCATCACATTCGTAGTTACCAAAGGTGGTTGCAGGAACAGAGATGTTGTGCAAGGCAGTGATTTTCTCACCCTTGTGATAGGTACCGTCCAAGTCGTAGTAGGAGCCCTTGAACAGAGCAGTGTACAAGTCATCAATCGAAGTTTGGTTTGCAGAGACAGCATTCTTGGCAGCCTTTGAGTGAGGAGTACAACACATGGAGGTGGTACAGTTAGCTTCAGCACCAACAGTGTAGTCCAGCTCGATATGGAAATCTGAAATGTGCAAGATTTTCATGATGTCACTTCCAGGGGTCAAGACATTGTAGGCCTTGTCGGGCTTGGTGTTGTTCCAAAGGTGGGCGATGGAAAGGTTCTGTGGGAGCTCAGGGGCCTTACACTGACCTCCTGCCTTGTACGCACACCAGTATTCTGCGTCGATAGAAAGAGGATCAATCAATGTCAACAAGTCTGCAAAATTAGACCCTGTGGTAGAGTTGTCGGCCGTATTTCTGTGGTAGTTGGTGGCGCATGTGGTAGCAGAGAAGTTACCAGTGTTAAGACACCATTGCTCGAAGATGGTTGGGATCAAGTCTGGTCTGGATATAGCAATGGCCTTACCGTACAAGAGTCTGCTCTTGCACTTCTCGCACGAATCGACGTCGGTGGAATTGTCGATGCTTTGCAACACGGTCAGAGAGCTGGCTACAAGTGCATCATCTCCGTCGACCGGGTGGGACCAGTTGAAAACTGAGTTAGGTGCGTGTTCATAGCCGGATGGAACAGCAGCAGACACTGCAGCAGCGATGAGCGCAACGGCAACGGTCTTGGCAAGCATTCTAAACGAGATTTTCCTGGTTATCGAGAACGACACTAGAAGCACTATAGAGACGTAGTAGCAAAAGTACGCAGACAGAACATCTGCTTGCGACTGCATTTCTCATGGCGTAGTATATTGCAGAACTTCGACTCTGTTTATATATGCGTCGGTCTATTGTATCCACTTCTACCGATAAAATAGTGCCGGAAATGAGTTTCCGTGACAGAAGAATTGCAGGGGGGGATCAACTTTTCAGCACAATCGGGACTTGTCAAATTAAGCTTAATACTGGAAAACGGCCGTCCGAGGTGGACGGCACAAAGGAAACGGCTCGCTTTTGCCGGTGCCGGTAGTACTGCGTTGCAGCCTCCGGGAAAAGGTGTTGCAGGAAACGTGAGCGAGCAATTTCGACTTCCCGAGACGGACGGAGCGTTTGCCGGAAGAGGAAAGTCGGCAGATAGAGAGGGGGACAGCCGAGGCATGTGGGGGGATCAAGTCTTCTTCGGGGAAGAACAGGCATTGTCTTGACAGGTGGGAGCTGTTGTGTTACGGCGGAATGTCGGCGGCTTGAGAGAAACGTGCTCTGCGGGGTGTTTGGGGGGATAATTACAGTTCAAGTTAAAGTAGTGTCACGGACATAAAATAAGAAAATAGCAGCTAGGCAGTCAAAACAATAAATATAAGTAGCACAGAGCTCAATAGCACACAGATGGACCAAAGTCTGGTCCTTTTGGGGTGGTAGTGGGTCTTAGTACACCTAAGAGGTGCCGTCGACGTAGTGTGGGTTGGCCTTCATACACGCAGTGTACTCTTCGGTCGTGTACGAGGAAACATAACAGATGTCCCAGGTGCAGACATCACCTTCAGAACAGTCCTTGACGTACGGAGAGAATCTCTTGGAGAGACTCTCGTAGGTCTGGAGGGTGGTAGCATTAGTACGCATTTTCTCATAGACCAGGTGCCAGTAGGTGGCGTTCAATGGAGAAGAGGCAGGCCAGTCGATCTCGTAGACGTCTCTGGCGGAATACTCGAACTCCCAAACAGGCTCGTCACTTGAGGCAAAGGTCTCATTCAACTGGGTGTAGTAGTTAAGGGAGTCCATGATTTGGAAGGTGTCGGTGTCGACCTCGTAGTATCTCCATGCTGGGTTGTTTTCAACCCATGGGGTGACAGCCTGGGTGATCCAGGTGAGGTTGATGACGTCTTCGATCTGCTTCGACTCAACAGTACCATTGTTGTTCTTGTAGAGGATATTGAACTCGTCTCTGTGAGTGTGGCCAGTGAAAATACCAGTAATGGTGTATGGGGAGAATCTTGCAACCATCTCGGAGAAGAGTTTGGCGGCGGTTGGGAGGACGGTGTTGGAGAGAGGAATGTGGAAGTTCAACCAGACTTTCTGGTCGGCTGCTTCGGACTCTAAGAGCTCGTTAACAATGAATTCGAAAATACCAAAGTAATCTGGGTCCTCAACGTTATTACTGTATGCGTACTCGTTGGAGAGGTACCAAGCGTTGGAGTTGAATGAGATGATCTTCAAGCCCGACTTGAGTTGGACCGAATAAGCACCATAGTGGGTCTTGGCAAACTGTGCTTGATCCCAGTCAATCCAGCCGTAGTCCATCCACATCTCGGTCAACAATTCGATGTTCCAGTCAAACTTGTTGTGGAATCCAGACTTCTGTGGGGCCAATTGGGCGTATGGGAAAGTATCGTGGTTCCCCAACACAGGGTAGATAGGAAGGTTCTTGAAGGAATTCTTGATGTCCCGGAAGATCATCGTTTCTTCTTCCACGGATTTTTCGTACGCAGTGTACTTGGTTTCGTCATGGTCGACCAAATCACCAGTGAATATAGCGAATTCAAAGGAAATGTTGTTTTTGGTCTGGAAATCAGCAATGGAGTGTAGGGAGGAGTTGATCAAAACCTCTGGAGCATCACACTCGTAGTGACCAAAAGTGGTTGCTGGAACGGAAATGTTGTTTAGTGCAGAGATCTGTTCACCCTTGTGGTAGTTACCTTCGGCGTCGTAGTATGAGCCTTCAAACAAAGCAGTGTACAAGTCGTGGATAGAGGATTGGTTGCTGTGGATTGCGTTCTTAGGAGTAATGGAATGTGGGGTACAGCACATTGAGGTGGTGCAGTTAGCTTCTGCACCCACGGTGTACTCGAGCTCAAGGTGGAAATCAGAAATGTGCAACACCTTCATGGTGTTGTTTCCTGGAATTGGAACAGTATTTGCCTTTGCTGGTCTTGTTTCATTCCACAAATAGGCAATGGAAAGGTTTTCTGGTGTCTCTGGGAGAGGACATTCTTTCTTAACCTGGTAGTGACACCAGTATTCTGCGTCAATGGACAATGGATCGATTAAAGTCAATAAATCGGCAAAGTTTGAGCCTGTCGAGGAGTTGGAGACCGTAGTTCTGTGGAATTTGTTGTTACAAGTCTCCGCTGAGTAGTCACCCTGGATGTTACACCATAGCTCGAAGATGGTGGGAATCAAATCTGGTCTGGACATTGCCAAAGACTTACCGTAAACCAATCTGCTCTGGCACTTGGTACACTGGTCAACAGTAGTTGAGTTCTGCATCTTGGTGAACGTATCCAAGGCAGCGCTGACAATAGCCTCGTCGGAAAGGACAGGAATGGACCAGTCAACGTCGGAGTTTGTCAACGTGAGGTCGTTGGTGTAGACCTCCAGCGGAATGGCAGCAGCAACGGCTGCCAAGAGGGGAACTGCGGCAGCTGAGAAGATCATTGTGTTCTTTCCTGTGCGGTGGCTTGCTGGGTTTGAGCGATGGTGAAAAGCTAAGTTTATTCCATGGCATATCTGAAACTACAGACCAAGTCCCTGTTCCATGTGGGAGGAAATCTGGCCGGTATTTAAGCCGTTTCAACTCAAGATTATTTTTCAGCTCAATCGGCCCGGAATTTAGAATCCTTGGCCTTCCGATTGAAATGTTAACCTTATTTGCGTCCTCTTTCCCAACCCGGAGCAATAATGAGTTTTGAAACCTGGAACTTCCGAATTGGGAAAACTCGGCCACACACGGGGTGGACAATCCTATTCGTAACCGTATAACATGCTGCTCCGGATGTATTCAAGAGTTCAGGAGTAAATCCAAGTAACTAGATTTGGATATTTGGCAAGCATGGCTGTCAACCCGTTCCGGGTGGTGCAGGTAGCGGAGTAGACGCTACCGGACCGCAACCGGGCCGCAGTGTAACCCAGGGAATTAGTCCCCGTCGTGGGGGGGTGCCATAAGTACCGTCAGATGATGCAGGTCCGTGTGGTCGCCACTCGGGCCGAAACCGAGGAGCCATTGTTCGTTAAGGACGTAACAGCTGCTGTTAGGCAGGGGCTGAGGAGGGGGGCCCGGCAACTCGGAGAAAGTGGGATGTTGCCCGGAGGTGGTGCACAGCATGCCATGTCCTCTTGCTGGCTCCCGCTACTTGTAAAACGTGGTCAATTGGAACCGCAGAGAGCAAGGCAGGCCAATTTGTTTCCGCATTGTTGGCAGCAATGCAACAGTAACAACGGGATGTCAACGCCCGTGCTCAACTGCCTGCCTCTGGCAACGCAACTGCGCTCACCCCTTTAGAGCATGGTCAAACTGGCTCAACACCCGCTCACAAACAGAGCGTTGTAGTAATTTCATCTTTCCACCAGCCCTGTGACCAACACAGACACAAGATGTGAACACTAGCCATGTAGCAAAGACGGCCTCAGAACAACATCCACAGAAACACAGCACCTTATATACACACGGGGACCTCATCTACAGCCACGAACACGCTCCTGCAGCCTTCATCGGGTACCAGTCTAGTCTTTCTGCTGCTCCCGTGTCCCTGTTCTGCTGCTCCCGTTGCCAACCTTCTGGGCTGTAGGTCCCTTCCAGTGTTTGTAGGGCCAGGAACAGGTCTCTTCACCAGCTCAGGCGGGGGCGCTGACATAAGCCCCTCGGAGGCTGACTAAGGCGTGAACTCCGGCAGCTGCACAGGCTTAGTCATGGGGCCGGGCACTGGGGAGGACGAAGCCACAGGGCAGGCGTATAAAGAGATGACGCCACGGAAAACGGGTCAGGAGAAAGCATGTGTTGAGGACAGCAGCAGCAGTAGCAGCAACAGCAGCAGCAACAGTGGTAAAGTGGCAACAACAGCGACAGAGACAACAGACACAATGGCAGATACCAAGATCGAAATACAGAAGTTTGCAAACAAGGATGGGGAGTACAAGAGGATGCAATCGGTGTTCAGAAACACCATCTCCAAAGACGGGCCACATCTCCCAGAGGCCAACAGATACCACCTCTATGTGTCGTACGCATGTCCGTGGGCGCACCGCACGCTTATCGCTCGGCTCACGAAGGGCTTGGCCGGGATCATCGGGGTGACCGTTGTCCACTGGCACATGGACAACAACGGGTGGCGGTTTGGTACAGAGGAGGAGAGCAAGACCGAGTCGAGGGATTCCACACCGGAGCCATTGTACGGTTTCCACCGGTTGAAGGAGCTCTACTACAAGGCAAACCCCGAGTACCAGGGCCGCTTCACCGTCCCGGTGTTGTGGGACAAGAAGCTGGAGACGATTGTGAACAACGAGAGCTCGGAGATCTTGCGGATCTTCAACACAGAGTTCAACGCGTTGGTGCCTGAGGAGCAGGCTGCGATCGACCTCTACCCGGAACCGCTACGGGCGCAGATCGATGAGCTCAACGAGTGGATCTACCCAAACATCAACAACGGGGTCTACAAGACCGGGTTTGCCACGAAGCAGGAGCCCTACGAGAAGGAGGTGACAAACTTGTTCAACTACCTCGACAAGCTAGAAGAGCTATTGAAGGCGAGACACGACAAGTGCGAGGAGTACTTGCTGGGCACCCTGCTAACCGAAGCAGACATCCGCCTATTCACGACCTTGGTCCGGTTCGACCCGGTCTACCACCAGCACTTCAAGTGCAACATCAGGATGATCAGACACGACTACCCGCACATCCACCGCTACTTGAGAAACCTCTACTGGAAAGATGACGTCTTCAAAAGCACCACCCACTTCGACCACATCAAGTTCCACTACACCAAGTCCCACCCGCAGATCAACCCACACGGAATCACCCCATTTGGGCCTTTGCCAAACATTATGCCTCTATACCCATGATTGTTTTGCATTTAATGTTTGTTTGATGTTTTTATAAACTACGTTATAGCTATCTACATACTTTTTATTAGTAAAACGCCGTCTTTCTAACGAATTGACCTGGCCTTGCAGCTAGCCATCTACATGCCCTTACTTTCCTTAAACGTCTCCCATGCCTCATTTAAGGTTATGAAGACGCCGTTAGCAATCATCTTGTTCTCCACAGACTCGCTATTGCTGATCTTGTCTGGGTGGGTCTTGGCAACAGCCTTCATGTAGTAAATCTTGACCTTCTTGTCCAAAACGAGATCCGTCAACTTCACGGGCTGCCAGTTGAGCTCCGGCCAGAGAATGGTGTCCAAGCTGCAGATCAAGGCCCGAATGTTGCTCTTGTTCCCTAACCTCCATCTATCCAACTGCGACTCCACCTTGTCGTGCAAGCCAAACTTCTCCTCTTCCTCCTTCTCCTTTTTCAAATTGTTCTCCTTCACATGTTTCAAGTTCTCGCCGTTCTGTGCAGAAGCAGTGTCCGAAGTTTGCTGTCTGGGTGGTGCCCGTGGCTTGGCCCTTGGTTTTAGAGGCGCCTGAGGATTGAGAATCTTCACACATCTGTTTTTGCCGTCCATGACGGCTTTCGAGGACTCGCCTTCTTTGATCAATTTCTCGTAGGCAGTTTTTGCATCTTCCCACTTCTCTAAAAACTCAAGAGACTCGGCACGTTTTGTCATGAGTTTCACCCAGAAGTTTTTCAAAGTTTTGTTATCCTCAATATTGATGCTTGACAGCTCCGATACGGGCAGATCTCCCGTGGACTGTGATATCAGCTTGAGACCTCTCGAGGCTATCGCTAATTGTTCCTTTGGATTCCCGAGCTTAGAGTAGACCACAGACAGATTGGAGCTGATGATGATCTGGTACGGATGATCTGCTGGGATAACAGTGCTGGCCGAAAGGAAATTCTCCAACGACGCCGTGTAATCTCCCGCCTTGAATTTCTCCTGCCCAATTTCTCTGTGCGTTGTGAATGACATTGTCTGTGCAGAGTCCAACTGTGGGATAGTGAACTTGGAAGTAGACGTCGCAGCCGCAGCAAAAGCAGTCGGCGCAGGAATTGTGGAAGTTTCAATCAGCGATGGTATGTCTGCAGCAGAAGACTTGGACGCTGGAGCAGTACTGGATGTGTTTGTGTTTGTGTTTGTTCTTGACGGACGATGACGGGATGATGACTTGTACATCTCGAAATTATCGGTTCTGGAGGAGGCACGAGCAGGCTGTGGTGTGTGCGTCCGAGACGACGAAGATGACGACGATGATGACGATGTGCGGGGTCTTGAGGGCAGCGGCGACGACGAGAAAGAGCCTGTGTCTTTCCTCTCCTGCCTCTGTCGTTCCTGCTTTGCACGCTGTTCTCTTAGTCTCTGCTGTTGGATGAGCTGTCGCATAGTCTCCGGGTCCATCTCCTGCTCGTCCTCGTCGGTGAAGCTCGGGACCTTCATGGAATTGGCCTTGTACTTCAGCTGGTTCTTCATCCAGAGCGGCTGGCCGTCGTTGTTTTCCAGTCGCTGCTGTCTGTACATGTCCACACCCTCCTGGATCTTCTTTTTCCCTGTGTTGAACAAGAAGGACGCCGTGGACATGAACTCCGACGACAACTCGTTCACCACGCTTCCAAAATCGTCCCCATTCGACGGAGCCTGGGCCGAGGAGTCCAACCTGTGAGCTCTTCGTCCACTTCTGCTGTCCGGCGTCGGCCGCTGCTGTCTGGTCGCCGTCTGCGAATGCGCCTGTTCCATGAGGTAGGAGATGGCGCCGTCGAGATCCGAGCCGCTGCGGGTAGAGTCCAACGCTGCGTTTGCCTTCTCTAGGGGGAACCCCATGTCCATGAGTTCCGCCAATGCGCCATCTCTCCGCTCCTGCGACGACGGGCGTGCCGGGGTGGCACTGCTGGCAGCCAGGGGCGCTTGGTCGACGGCAGCAGAGGCAGCCGGCGTGGGCTTCGGCACGGGCTGCCCGAAAAAGTCGTCTAGCAGCTCCGTCCCTGCGTTGCTGCTGCCTCCAAGGCTTTCTGCCCTGCTGTTCTGCTGAACATTACCATTAACGCTCAAACTGGGGTTGGAGCCGGACGAAGCACGACCTGCAGGTGCAAACAGCAGATCGTCCATCACGGACGACGCCGTGCTGCTTGTCGCCGGTTTCTTCGACACGTACGTGTCTAAGAAGTCGAGGTCCAGTCCGCCGCTGTGCTGTGTCCCCGGCGTGCCCCTCGTGCTGTCCATCCGCTGTTTCAAAGACAGGTTCGAGTCGTTGTTGTCGGCGGAGCCGACGCCGCTCCCGCTTCCGCTCCCCTTGAGCAAGTCCGCAAAGATGTCACCAGACATGTTGTTCTCTGTTCCGCCTGCTCCTTTATGGGTGGTCCTCTGTGCCTCCTAGCCTCTCTGTGCTTGCTCCATGTCCACCATGAGCCGCCTCCGTGTCTGAAGACACGTATTATCCAAATCATGAACCCATCCATCTCCAGAGCCTCTTCTGAACTTACGTAAGCCGGCAGCTCTTTCACTTTTCCCTTTCGAGAGACAGATAAAAATTTTCTTGGTTTTTCTTCACCAGTGACATTACAGTGTGGAGCAGGAGAAGGAGAAGAAGGACAGCTGGTCAGCACACAATACAGCAAAGCACAACTCCGACACGATGCATTTGATGTACACGCTAGGTCCAGACGGAAAGAGAATCTACACGTTGAAGAAGGTGACCGAGTCCGGCGAGATCACCAAGTCGGCCCACCCAGCCAGGTTTTCACCAGACGACAAGTTCTCCAGACAAAGAGTCACTTTGAAGAAGAGATTCAACATGCTTCCTAAATGAACAGACGCTCGATTATATAGCTAGATCGCCTCGTGTATATTATACAACTCTTTTTACCGTTAATAAACCAAACACAGACACTACTGTGCGCTGCGGCCGGGGCCGCCGGGGCCCGTGGGGCCCGTGGGGCCCCCGGGTCCCCACCGGCTGCCCTTCTGTAAGTCTAGCTGGAACGAGATGCCGTCCAGATACGCCGAGTTGAGCTGGCTCACGAGCACAGCGGTCTCGTTCGTGCGGTTGGTCTCTGCGAGCAGCTCGTTCATGCGGCCGACGTTCGTGTTCAACTCCTGCAGGTTCCCCACCGCCTTGTCGTACAGGTCATCCTGCACCTTGTTCTGCGGGTGTCTCTCCATGCTGACGTGCTGGCTGGCGTGCTGTAGATGCCATTCACCGTACCGCAAGTCTTCCCTTCCGCCTGCCGGCAACAGCAACATATACATGAAACCGCTTCACCCTCACCCTTCTCCACAGACGGCACCCCACAGCCTTCTTCAGTTTTCCGGGCTCCACCAGAGGAGGAGCTTTGCCTTCCGAGGGGGAGAAGACTTCGTTGCTGGGGGGAACAAGATCTAAGTCTGCCTCCCGTATTACATGCAGAGTTACCGTGCACTAGCCAGATCGACTAGACCCCTCTGCAGACTAATCACGACCACTGCCACACGAAACATGGCGTCTTCCACCGCATTCGACCCTACCCAGTACCTTGCAGACAAGGACGCTCCGATCGCAAGACTCTCTGCGAAGAAATTCTTTGACCAGCTCACCACCAAGGAGAAGCTCTATGCCCATTACTTCTCCAAAGCAGGCCATTGGGGCTCTAGAGCGGTGTTGCGGTCTGTGTCGCCAGAGAGTGAAGGCATCTTCGACTTGATCCTACAGGTGCACAGGGCAGTAGGCGCCGCCAGCGACGCCAGTGACGCCAGCTACGAGGAGTACTTTGCCGCCAATTCCATCGACGGAGCCATTGTGAAAGCTTACTTGGAGTATGCCTCGCAGGTGCTTGCAAACTTGGGAAACTACAAGTCCTTTGGCGACTCCAAGTTTGTTCCAAGACTCTCTGTTGAGGAGTTCCAGTTACTGGTCGACTCGCTGAAGAACGAGCAGATCTCCGCATTGTTCGACTCGGTGAAGCGGGCCATCTACTCGTTGGACGACAAGATTGCAATGCTTGGATCGCCAGAGGATGGCCATGTGTCCGGCTACTACCTCAACGTGGTTTCCAAGATCGAGGGTGAGGCAGTTGACGCAGCGTTGGCCAAGCACGGCATCATGCCCGAAAACATTAGGGTTTCTAAGGCTGACGACAGTCACTTTGTCGTCCACGTGGCCAGCGCATTCATCTCCAACGCAACCGGATACTATCCGGACAAGATCGAGTTTGAGATCCAGGACGGCAGAAAGGCATCCCTAACGTTCAAGTTCGGCGACCACTCGAAGGAGTTTGCCAAGATCGTTGAGAACCTGGAGCAGGCGAAGAAGTATGCCGCCAACGACACCCAGGTGAAGATGCTGGAGAACTACATTGCCTCGTTCATGACCGGCTCTATGAACTGCCACTACCAGTCGCAAATCCACTGGGTGAAGGACATCAAGCCCACGGTGGAGACCAACGTCGGGTTCATTGAGACCTACAGAGACTACCTTGGCACAAAGGGAGAATGGGAGTGTCTTGTTGCCATGGTAGACAAAGAGAGAACGGCCAAGTTCGGAGAGTTGGTCAGCAACGCCAAGGAGTTCATCTCCGAGTTGCCATGGACCAAGGCATACGAGAAGGACGTCTTCACCCCGCCGGACTTCACCTCTCTAGAAGTCTTGACCTTTGCCGGGTCCGGCTGTCCTGCGGGGATCAACATTCCCAACTACGACAAGATCAGAATCAACATCGGGTTCAAAAACGTTTCCTTGGGCAACGTTTTGAGCGCCAAGTCGAGCAAGGAACCGATCTCGTTTATCTCAGACGACTTGCAGGACTTGTACGAGAAGTACAGAGTGGAGGCATTTGAGGTCCAGGTCGGCATCCATGAGTTGTTGGGCCACGGCACAGGGAAGTTGCTCATGGAGCTCGACGACGGCAGTTTCAACTTTGACAAGTCCGCTCCGCCTCCCGGTCTCGACGGTAAGCCGATCTCCACCTACTACGCCAAGGGCGAGACCTGGGGGTCCAAGTTCGGCTCCATCGCCGGCTCCTACGAGGAGTGCAGAGCCGAGTCCGTTGCCATGTTCTTGGGCACAAACAGAAAGTTGCTCGAGATCTTCGGCTACACAACCAAGCAGGAGCAGGACGACATCATCTATGTGATGTACGTGTCCATGTGTCGTGCTGGGTTGTTGTCGATGGAGTACTACGACCCGAAGCACGGCAAGTGGGGCCAGGCCCACTGCCAGGCCCGGTACGCCATCTTGAAGAATTACCTTGACGCCGGCCATGGCCTCATCTCCTTGGAGTACACCAAGGACGACTTCAGCGACCTCACCCTTAAGATCGACCGCAGTAAGATTGAGAGCGTCGGCCAAGAGTCCATCGGCGAGTTCCTCAACAAGCTCCACGTCTACAAGTGCAGCGGCGATGTGGCTGCTGGTACGGCCTTCTACGTCGACCAGACCACCATTCCGGCCGACCTCCTCAAGTTCCGGGACATCATTCTCAAGAAGAAGCTTCCACGGAAGCAGCTTGTCCAAGCCAACACTGTGGTAGCCGGCGCCGACGCCGACGTCCTCTGTAAGGAGTATCCAGAGAGCTGTGCCGGGATGATTGCGTCTTTTGCCGAGAGAGAGTGCTGAACCAGCCAAGCCAGCCCGGCTTTTCTGGCTGCGGGGAGGAAAAAAAGGCATTTGGCCGGTGCTGCAGATGTGTAGATAAGTAGAAAAAAGTAAGAGACAGATACAAGCATAGATGAGGCCGGACGGTGTGGGGGGACGAAGGCGTGGAGAAGGACTGGGAGAAGAGGGCGATAGTGGTTCTTCTCTCGTTGTCAATTGAGCAAGCGTCAACAGACACAGAGAAAGATATACAAAGCGTCGTGCTGTTTGCCATGTCCGAAGAGAAGATCTACATTTCGTACAACCACATCCACCAGCTCTGCCAGGAGGTTGCTCCACGGATCATGGAGCTGGACATCGACTTTATCATCGCCATTGGTGGCGGCGGGTTCATTCCGGCCCGGATCTTGCGGACGTTTTTGAAGCAGCCGGGGGAGTCGTCGAAGCGGATCTTCGCCATCATCCTCTCGCTATACGAGGACGTGCAGACGAGGGGCGACGATGCCGAGGAGGTGGGTACCGGGGTGAAGCGGATCCAGTGGATCGACTACATGGACAGCAACATCGACTTGGTGGGCAAGAAGGTGCTTGTCATCGATGAGGTGGACGACTCCCGCACGACGATCCACTACGCGATCAACGAGTTGATCAAGGACGCCGAGACGCAGGCCGGCGGGGAGTTGAAGACGGATTTCTACATGTTTGTGTTGCACAACAAGCTCAAGGAAAAGCGGGCAGAATTGCCTGCGTGCATTGCGAAGGCGGGCCACTACATTGCTGCACGGGAGACCCCGGACTGCTGGGTGGCGTACCCGTGGGAAAGCGACGACATTGTGCACCACCAGCTCATGGCGGAGAAGCAGGGCTACGACATCGACATCGACCGATCCAGCCTGTCCAGGTGAGTGTGCGTGCATTCGGAGATACAAGCCTTGTATTGCTTATACACTGTGGAAATAAATAGAGAATAACTTGTAATGTTTGGGGGGCAGAAGTGAAGGGGGCGGACGAGACGCGGCGGGCATCAGGCGGTGGCCTTGAAGATTCTGCATGGGTAGTCGTCGCTGTACATGCCATGTTCCTCCTCGGTGAGCAGCTTGACGCTGAATCTCTTGTTGAGGTTTGGCGCCACGATCGGCTCCCCGGCCTTGCCCAACACCTCGCCGTAGATGACGCTCTTAGGCGCTGTTTTCAGCACGTCCACGAGCTTCACCGTGTCTGTCTTCAGAACAGCCAACTGCTTCACGCCCTCGTCTCCCTTTGGCAATCTCGAGTTCGTGGAGTTGCCCAACTTCAACAAGCCCCCGATCTTCGACTGGTCGAACGTCGACATCCGTGGGTGGTTTCTTCTGTTGTCTCTCAAGAAGAAGTCGTTGCCCACGATGTCGCTCGACGGGATCGTTCTGGCGTCCTTGTAGACGTGCTTTTCGCTTGAAGGCGAAGGAACACGGTAGTAAGGGACGTATGGGTTACCGGACGATCTGTTAGGCACCAGCATCGCCCACTTTCTGAACGTTTCCCAGATCCCGGTGGATCCGGTTGTGTATTTCTTCCAGACAGGAACAGGGCCGCCAGACATGCTGTGTGTGTGTGTGTGTGTATATATATATATATATATATGCTCAGCAGGCTCGTGTCCTGAAGGCTCTGTCTGTTTTCGTCTTTGTCCCTTTCTCTCCAGCAAATTATATCTACTCCCTCTCTCTCCCGCTTCCTTTCCTCTCTTCCCCTCCCATGAGAGAGAAAACCAGAGAGCGAAAGGGGATGTCAGCAAAAATTGGGTCGATCGTCCCGGCCGCCCATTTCTGGTGCACGGATGCACATCCTGCCGTAAACGGCGCCGTAAACGGCAGGTTTGCCGAGAGCCGATGCACGGGTTTTTACGGCGACGCGTCGCTGGGCAGGCTCAGCGGGTTTTTCCGTCCAGCAATGTTCAGCTGCCGAAACGGGCCAAAAAGGCAGCGGCGACGCGTCGCCGCTGGGAGGGAGGGCAGGACGGTTTCACATGGCAGATAGAGAGGCTCACAGACGGAACAGTTGCCACAAGAACAAGGGAACAGAGAACGGGGCGAAGAGACTGAGGTTGGGCAGGAAGACGTCCGGGGTCACAGCACAAGCACACAAGCGAAACAGTGAGCAGAAGAGGAAGCTGAGCAGAGAAAGAAACATGCGGTTGAGAAAGCGGAGCACAGGGAGTCGGGTCAGAGTGAGAGCAGACGACTACGTCGAGCTTCCTCGAAACTACAGAGATAAGGTGGTGTACGACGCGTGTGGGACGACAGAGGCGCTGGGGCAGGTAGCAGTGAGAGCAGCAGATGCAGAAGGGGCGGTGTGGGGGTCGGAGGCTAGCAGCGACTTCGAGTTCGACATGTCGATGCCGTCAACGGACGAGGAGGACGGCGAAGAGCACGAGCCGTGGCAAGGGGAGGGGCCAGGAGAGGCGGCAGCGGAGGACGGGTCTGTGATTCCAGAGCTGGACTTGAACGAGTTGATTGTGCTGGCGAACCAGCTTGTGCGAAACTCGCCGCCTTCGGTGACGACCGGCGGCGGGGTGGGCTCCGGCCGCAGCCACAGCGGCCGCAGCAGCGTCGCCAACGTGCACATCCGGTTCCCGTTGATCCGCACGATCCACGAGGCCAGAGACGTGATAATGCAGTACGAGCGCCTGAGCGGCGGCCGGGCAGGGACCGGGGCTGGCGGGGAGGCTGGAGAAGGCGCCGGAGAAGGCGGCGACGGGGCAGAGACGACAGCCGACGACAGGGCCGGCCGGGACGGAGAGGTCGTGTGGGACTCGATTGTGCAGGACTACTCCGGGATCTCCATCTCCGGCACGCGGGCGTACGAGGCGGCGGCAGCAGCAGCAGCCGGGGAAGACGAGGCCGGCGAGAACGTGAACGTGAACGTGAACCTGGACAACAACGTCAACCTCGAGAACATGCACCGCCAGCCCGTGTGGTTGGAGCTTGCCGGGCTCGCCACCGTGACGATGTTCATGTTCGCCGTGTACCGGTTGGTGACGAACCTAGTGTCGATCTCCGCGTTCTCCGAGAACGTGGTCGGCGACGTCGTGGGCTTCGTCGAGTACATCAACGACAAGACCTACTACAAGCACGTCAGCCACCCGACCGACCACACGTCGCTCATATACAAGTTCGGCCTGATCATCAAGCGGGAGATGCCGTACCTGCCGGACACGGTCTGGCTGGTGCTGACCGTGGTGGCCTTCTCCGCGTACACAGTCCTCACAAGCGGTGTCGTGCTCACAAGCATGCTGTTTGCCACCATGTGTCTCACCATGTGTGTCGTGCTCCGATGGCGGCACCTCGGCGACTTCATTCTCCGTGTCGTGGACAACGGAGAGCGCTGTTTGTAGTCTAGGCTCTATGTGTAATGGTAGAATAAACGGGTTCCTGTATTTTTTTATTTGCTGTGCGCGTGGGAAAGTGCAAGCCCTCTGCGTCTGCCAAGTATGGGTAGGAAAACTCGAGGACTGAAAACTGGCGTTGGCGTTGAAGACGGCACGGGAGGGGGACGACCTGTTCAAAGAGAGCAAGCACGGTGTTCCATTGCAGAAGCACCGCCTCTACCAAACACAATGCCGCCGGCTAAACGTGGAAGTCTCGCTACAGATCCAGGGATCTTGCTAAAGCGTCGGAAGGACCGTCAGAAGGCCAACGAGAGGTTGCAACTCAGGTTGGACGAGCAGGGGGTGAAGAGGACCGAGGTGGAGAACAACTTGTCCTTCTCGTCCATCCCGCAGGTGCTCTTGATCAATCAGAAGAACTACTACACGGAGTACTTGAAGAAGGACGACAACCTCCGGATCGTGCGCAACACGAGGGAGAAGATCAACAAGAAGCTCAAGGTGAAGGCTCCTTCCGCAACGACGAAGAAGGGCGACCTCGACCGGGTGAAGAACGGCTCTGCCAGCGTCAGCGTGAGTGCCAGTGCCAACGTGACGGAGAACGAAAACGATGATGACGACGACGACGCGGACGATGACGCGGACGATGCTGCCGAGGAGGACGAAGGCAGGACGTTGGTCATCCACCCGGGCAGCCACAACATCAAGATCGGGTGGGCCGAAGACGTCGACCCGGTGTTGGTGCCGAATCTCATTGGCTACGTGAGAAGAGAGGTGTCGGAGCGGGCAGCCGGGGTCACAAGTGCCAGCGGCGCCAGCGGCGCCAACAGCAAGCGGTCCGCACAAGACGTGTCTGGGCTCGACCCGCCCAGGTACCTCGCCAGAGGTGACGGCGAGCCGGTGAATGCTGATGAAGATGAGGACGAACACGACGACGGCGACCGGTTCTACGTGTTGAACGACGACAAGGAGTTCCGTGCAAAGCGCAAGCCAATCAACACGAGCTTCAGAGAGCGGATGAAGTACTACAAGCGGCGGATCTTGCCCAACTGTCACGAGGCGTGTTTCAATTTCAACTCGAAGCAGCAGAAGCACCCTCCGGCGGTGGACGACATCAGCGAGGACGTGAGTCTGAGCTCGTCTGCGGTGAACATGTTTATCCGGGCGTCGCGGTGGCTCAAGACTGCCGGGCGGAACTACGTGGTGGGCGACGAGGTGACGAGGCTTGCGGATGAGAAGGAGTGGGTGATCCGGTCGCCGTTTCTCTTTTCCTCTGCTGGAGGCACGTCGGGGAACTCGAAGAGGTCGTCGGTGGAGCTGGGGTTCAACGAGCAGGACGTGAACTACTCATCGCGGGAGGAGATTCTGGGCGACATCGAGACGATGCTGGTGCACACGATTCTGCACAAGTTCAAGGTGGCGAAGAAGAGCGACCTGAAGAAGATCAACGTTGTGTTGGTGATTCCGTCGTTGTACCGGAAGTCGTACGTGGAGTCGATGATGGAGCTGCTGTTGACGCGGATGAACTTCAAGAACGCGACGTTGATCCAGGAGGGCATGTCTGCGTCGTTTGGGCTCGGGTTGAGCACGGGCTGCATTGTCGACATCGGGGCAACGAGCATCCACATCTGCTGTGTGGACGACGGGGCGATTTTGGAGGACACGCGGGTGTCGTTGGACTACGGGATGGCGGACGTGGTGCGGTTCTGGGGGAAGAACCTGATTGCGCAGCAGTTCCCGTACGCGGGGGTGGACTTCCGGCAGGTGAAGGACTGGAAGCTGATTGAGGGGACGTTTGCGGACCACGGGACGTTTGACGACTCGAAGGTGGCGATCCAGGTGGGCAAGTTTTCTGTGTACGAGTCGAACACGAGGGTGCGGAGGTACCAGTTCAAGTGCTTTGACGAGGGCGTGGTGTGTCCGATGGGGGTGTTCTACCCGGAGATCTTTCTGGAGGAGACCGCTGCCGCTGCTGCTGCTGCTGCTGCCGCCGCCGCCGCCGCCGCCGCCGCCAACGACGACGTCGACGCCCGCCAGAAGGAGCGCATTGTGCTGGGCTCCATTGCGCCCGCCAAGCGCGTCCACGAGCCGCTTTTCGACGGCCGCAGCAACAAGTTCACGGGCTACTCCAACAGCGACCCCATCTCCATTCTCCAGGACCTCCAGCGCACCGGCGTCAAGCTGTCCGAGCTCGCTGTGGAGCCGTTGCTGGACCTGCTTGTGGAGTTGAGCGACCTCTTCATCAACTCCAGCGCCATCGGCAGCGGCCGCCGCGGCAAGACCAACGACCTCAGCAGCAAGCTCAAGAGCCGCTACCGTAACGCCCACTACGCGCAGCAGTCTGCTGCGGCCGACCGCCGCCCCACCACCGACGGCATGCGCCAGAACATGACTCCGCTGGACAGGGCCATCATCGAGAGCATCACTGTTGCCGGACTGGGTGACCAGACCCGCCTCGAGAAGATGTACACCAACATCTGTCTTGTGGGCGGCGGTGGCCGTCTCGACGGCTTTGACAGCATGCTTATGGATCGCTTGCATATCAACCGCAACGAGATTCTCTCTAGCACGAAGCTGGTGGAGGCCCTGGGGCTCATCAAGCAGTGGAGGCGCGAGTATGACAAGGAGCACAAGCCGCGGCCGAAGGACGCTGCCGGCGGCGACACCGCCGCCCCGGCCGGCGAAAAATCCCCCGCCGCCAAAACCCCCGCCGACAAGCCCGACAAAACTCCCGCCGACGACGACGACGAAGACGGCCCCGCGGATCCGGCTCCTGCTCCGGCCGCCGGCGAAGACGACGACGACGATGCCGCCGCCGCCGCCGCCGCCGCCGCCGGCGAGGACGAGCTGCGTCTGAGCAAGGAGCAGCTGCGCACCGTGACGCAGCTGCTGCTGGCCGGCGCGCCGATGGCGGTGGACATTACAGGCCGCGGCGAGCTCGACCCGCTGGTGCTCGGGTGGAAGGGCGGCTGCGTGTACGCTCGGTTGAAAATCTTCGAGGAGACGTGTGTGAGTGGGGCAGACTGGGACATGCTTGGGTCGCGCGCGCTTACGTACGGCAGTCTGTTCAGCTACTAGAGTGTGTAGTAGGTAGTAGGTAGTTGCGTAAGCAGTTGCGCGAGCAGTTGCGTAAGCAGTTGCGTAAGAAAGTTTTCCGAGAGTGACGGATCGACGGGTCGGCGGCCGCCGCGTCGGCTTGCCGCATGCGGGCGTGGGGGCCGGGTTCCGCTGGACCGCAGCCGGCCGGCCGGCGGTGGCCGAGACAAGGCGTGGTGCGGTTGGCCGAGCTGACGTAAGCCAGGCCGGGTCCGTGACTGCCGCGGTGCACGGGAAGGGGTGTCCGAGAGTTTGTGGGGTGGTGGGCCCCGTTACGGAGGGCGGGAGGGCACTATCTGAGGTGCTTGAAATACGTGTCGGGAGCCTCTGCTGCGTATTCTCATGCTCAGCTGTTGTTGTGTTCTTCTTGAGAGAATTGTAGGAGCAGCACTGCAGCAGGCACAGCGAAGGCACACACACACGCACACGCACACACACACACACCGCACAACACACATCCCACGATGTTCAGAAGATCCTTCCACACCAGCCGTCTGGCCAAGAACTACGCAGACACCATCAAGAACTTGAAGGTGACCAAGGACACGAAGGTGATCTTCCAGGGCTTCACCGGCAGACAGGCCACGTTCCACGCGCAGCAGGCGCTGGACTACGGCACGCAGATCGTCGGGGGCACAAACCCAAAGAAGGCCGGGGAGGTGCACCTGGGCAAGCCGGTCTTCGCCACGGTGGCCGAGGCCATGAAGGAGACCGGGGCCACGGCCTCGGGCATCTTCGTGCCTCCTCCGATCGCCGCGTCGGCCGTGGCAGAGGCCATCGAGGCCGAGATCCCGCTCGTGGTGTGCATCACCGAGGGCATTCCGCAGCAGGACATGTTGCGCATCTCGCAGATGTTGAAGACGCAGTCCAAGACCAGAATGGTGGGGCCTAACTGCCCCGGAATCATTGCTCCGGAGCAGTGCAAGATCGGTATCATGCCCCAGTCCATCCACAAGAGAGGCCGCATCGGAATCGTGTCCCGGTCCGGAACCTTGACCTACGAGGCCGTTGCCCAGACCACCCAGGTCGGCCTGGGCCAGAGCTTGGTCATCGGCATGGGCGGCGACCCTTCCCCGGGCACCAACTTCATCGACGCCCTCACCTTGTTTGTCAACGACCCGGAGACCGAGGGAATCATCATGATCGGCGAGATCGGCGGTTCCGCCGAGGAGGAGGCTGCCGAGTACTTGAAGCAGTTCAACCTCACCAGAGACGTCCCCAAGCCCGTTGTCTCCTTCATCGCCGGTGTCACCGCCCCTCCAGGCAGAAGAATGGGTCACGCCGGCGCTTTGATCTCCGGCGGCAAGGGTACCGCCCAGTCCAAGATCGAAACTCTTTCCGCTGCCAGCGTCGAGGTCGTCCCCTCCCCAGGCAGATTGGGCGCAGCCCTCTACCAGCAGTTTGTCGATAGAAAACTCTTGTAAACGTGCAGGCCGCTCTCTCCCCCTCTCTGTCTATAGGTGACTCTATATTTATTAATTTTAATCACTCATGTGTACGAATCTACGATCGCTCGATCACTATTTATTTCTATTTCTCTACTACCCTCGAGTACACCCCCAACCCCCACCGGATGCTTTCCAGCTCGTTCTGCATTTCCACCAACTCCGTGATCGCCCCGTTCGTCCGCTCCAGGTCGGGCCCACCCTCCTCCCCGCCGCCCATCTCTACGTTCTTCAACTCTTGGTACAGCCGGAAGTACACCCCGTACCGCCTCTGGTACGTCCTCACCAGCTCCGCCGCCTCCGCGTCGGTCTCGGGCACGTTCCACCGGGGACCCCGGGCCACCTTTGTCGCCGGACCCTCTACCGTCCCCGCTGTCTCCACAGATGCTTCCAGGGCGGTCTCCTCGGGCTCCATCTTGCGCTTCGCCGGAACAGCGGCCACCGCTATCTGGGGGGAAGCAGGCGTCGACGGCGTCCCCGAATCGAGGCCCTTCGCCAGACGGTACTCCTTGAACGACCGCTTCGTCTTCTTCAAGTCCTTCACCTCCTTTGCATCTTTGACTTCTTTAACGTCCTTCGCATCCTCCTTTCCAGGCGGCGTCGAGTGTCGGCTCTCGCTCGTGCTGACCGAGTTCGACCTCGAGTACGACCTGCTGTGGCTCGAGATCACACTCGACTTCGACGACGTCGCAGGAGATGGAGGCGTCGACTTGTCCGCGTACCCGGGTTCGGCCTTCGCCATCTTCGACTTCTCGCACACCATGTCCGCATCCACCCGCCCCGAGTAGAGCATCGTGTACGCATCCTTCGATCGGTACCCCTCCTGGAACAACTTCTTCATCCACCGCGTGCTATCAAAAGATCGAGTAAGACGGAACCACTTCCATTCAACAATATCTTCCCCCTGCTGTAGTGCGTCCCTGGGCTTGAGCATCTTCATTATCTCGTTGATCTCTTTACTCTCGGCAACGCTGAAGTGTTTCCCCTTCGTCAAAATGTCCACCACCTCACGTGCATCGTAAAACACCCCAACACTATTCGACCTTCCCCCTGCTCCAACAGTGGAGGCGATGCACTCAACGATTTTCACCAACTTGCTAAAATTAGCCACCTCATGAACATTCTCTTCACTCACAGTTGGCTTGTAATTGATCAGATTCAACCGGTAATCCAGAGTTCCCATATTCACCGCATAGGCAGGATCCTTAGCTGTTTTCTGTTTTAGTGTATGGTAAATCGTCCCGTTAGTTTCCTTGACAATATTGCATTTGATAATCTCAACCTTTTTCGACGATGCGGCAGATCCAGATGGAGCATCCACAGCCCCCACTTTCGATACTACTCGTAAACCGTTGATTTTGCCATCTTTTATCACCACTCGTAGCTTGACCTTATCCGAAGCATAAGAGCTTAAAAGCGCAAATATCTGCTCATTGTTCAGTTTCATGATAATATTCATTCCTGTCAGGCTCTCTTCAGCCGGAATATTCTTCTCCATATCGCCCCGAAACGGGAGAAGTGTCATCATATTGGGATCCCCAACTTCTGTCCTGTTCATTCTCTGCATTTATGTTTGCTTCCAAGATTCTTCTCTCTGGGAAAAAAAGCGTCTAGAGGTTCAAATTGTTAGTCCATATCACCACCACCCCATTTTCATGAGTATTATCTCTGCGCACATCTTATTATAAGTCGCTGCACTGCCCTTTTTCTTTGTTTGGCAAAGAATGGTTTCTCCCCCCTCATGGATGGGTGTGGAAAGACTGTGTGGTAGGTCAACTATCTACAAGCCTTCAAATAACACAGCCAATACCAGGGGCCAGAAGGCAAACTCGGTATCACCTCATCCCCATAATGGACCCTTTCAACTCTCTTTACGCTTCTACGACTCCACTGATAGACCAACTCTCATCCACATCACCACAGTCCCTTGATTTTTTGACGTTACAGAATGAAATTGTTTCATGTATACATGACCTCGAGGAAAGTGTTAAAGTTGTAGAGTCTAACAACGGAAACATACTCGATAATCCCTTTGGAGAGATATCTCAAGATGAGATTGCCGAACGGAAGATGCAAATACAAGGCTTGCATGAAAGCTTAAATAAGATACTAGCAGAGAAAAATGTATCAACGCTGAAAGGAGGTTATGGAGCTAACCCGTTTGCAGACAACATGAAAATCCATACTACAACGGATTCCTACAGAAGTGAAGATCAGGACCCGCCTCAATTGGACAGTGCAACCCGTGAATACCATCAGCAATTATTGCAACAGCAGGACGATTTGATCTCAAACGAGTTGAGTCGCTCGATCAATAACCTACATCAACAGGCTGTGACCATCGGAGACGAACTTGACTATCAGCAGGACCTGCTTGATCAGGTGGAAAACAATATGGAGAGGTTGAACTTCAAGATAGTCAATACGGGAATGAAGCGGATAAATAAATTTTTGGCCACAAATGAAATGGGTGGTAATTGCTGTATTGCAGTTTTGATTGTAGTTTTGATCATCATTTTAGTGCTGCTAATAATAGCATAATCTAGCGTATTAAATATTTGTATAACGATAATTTCCCGCCTAATTTATTACATCGACGATTTTGAATTGTGCAAGCAATGAAACTCTGGTTTTTCAAAACCTAACGTTAGTTTCCAAACATCAGAAGTAGATTAAAAAATGTTATTCACATGAAATGAAAATAATCAAACATTTTATACACATGATTTTTGATTAGACATATTTTTTTTGATTTTTTTGATCTTTGATTAACTTATTAAATAACACAGATTATTCTCGTCCTTTTAATAAAGGTATCATTCTCCAGGACATAATGGATCAGAAGTTATTAGAGATTAAATTTTGCATAAGTTTTGCTGTTAATTAAAGTTGAGGTAAAAAGTGTGTTTTTAGGTCGTTTGGTCTAATGGTATTGGGCTATACTAAGTTCCAGGTTCGAATCTATCGGGTCTGGACCCCAACGCAAAGTCCACGTAGCGTAATGGTGAACGCGTCAGTCTCCTAAACTGAAGATTCTGGGTTCGAGTCCCAGCTTGGACGACCTATCATACTTTTTTTTTCCTTCGTTATTTATGGACTTTAGGTTATCTAAAGCATTAGGGATATCAGTGATATAGCGTTTATTAGATTATTATCTATTACAAAACGTGTGTAGCACTCTATGACCGGCGGTCAAAAAAGTTTGTGTGAAAAAAAGAAACAAAAGAAAGGTTGAGCCAACAAGACCACAATTGTATACGGAATTAGGTAGAATTATCAGTTAGTTACCTCCAGGGTTTGAGTGGCTTTTCCCTCTCGTGTTTAGAAGCCAGCCCAACACGAGATTCTGCGTTTGCTAATCTGGCCAATCTCGGAATGGATGATGATCCTGATAGACTTCGTAAATTATTCACACTGACACTAGAGACATGAGATTTGCTGGTAGATATCTTGGAAGTTTTAGAGCTTGGAATGAACGTCGAATCGTTGTAAATAGGTCCTAGGGTTCGGGACCGTGGAATTTTTGTGTGCAATGAATTGACATTAGCATGGCTGTTAGTTGTTGATTTGAGCTGAGGTACTTCCAGAGGTCGATTTTCTTGCGCTTCCAAAGGCGGAGGTGTGTTCAACAGCTTGTTCAAATTAGAACATGCCCTGGAAGGTGAGATTTTCTGCATCGGACTCGAGTTTTGTGAAGTTGCACCTGGCAATGGATTTGGTTGGGAAAAAGAAGGAGACTTTGACAGACCCTTTTTCAATGAGGCATCCTGAGGTCTCAACACAGGAGTTTTTAGTTGGTCACCAAGAGCATTAAATAGTGACTTTGAGGATTTCGACGGTGATATTTGACTACTGGAATTGGATTTTCGCAGTGAAGCTTTGGTTGGTTGTAAATAACTGGGTATATTGCTGACACCGGAATGAGAGCTAGAACTATCTCTAGTAGCGGACGAGTGAGTGGAATATATATTTTTGAGTTGTTCCTTCTCATAGAGCGATTTTGTAGGACTGGAATCTAAATCAATTTCCTTGAATTTATTTCCTTCAAGTCTCAGTCTTTTACTGGCACTTTCCAAGGGCTTAGAGTTAAATCGCTTGTCTCCTGGAGTTAATGTGCTATATTGCGTTATTTCTATTGTCTCGGTGGCGGGCACAAATTTTCTTTGAACATTATGATTTTCTTTCTTAGCTCCACTATTTGTTATTTCGTTTTCATTCTTTTCGTTTTCCAATTTCTGTGAACGCTTAGCAGCATAGTGAAACGCAATTGATTCCATTCTATTGAACCTATTTCGATGTGTAGACGAGAATCTTCCCGATGCCCTTCGGTTGAGTTGCTCGTTGGTTGTTCTATTATTCAACTCTTGAACTGTACTAATGGACTCTTCTCGCACTTTTTCGTACCTGGAGCTAAATTCGTTCACAACTTTGTTTGATATATTGGATGAAAAAAGTTGCTTTCCCAACGTGTCCATTGCAGAAAGGAAAGAAGTGTTGTCTTTCACCATATAGCTTTCATCGTGGTCGTTGTTATCACTGTAGGAAGGACTCGAATTGGGCAATAGTCGTCTATCGGGAGGATTCAAGTGGGGATATAGTTTCTTCCCTTTTGTAGGGGTGAATCGGAAGGTACTGGGTAAAGGAGATCCATTTGCAGATAGCTCTGCTTTCTGCTGGCACTTTTCAGGTGTCTTCTTTGTTGGGGAATAGTAATCGGATGATCTCAGCGTTGAGGATATTCTTTTCCAAGGCGAGCTGTTTGGCTGCAGCATCGTTTTGACTAATCTGTTCTTGCGAGTCGGGATCTATGGGATACCTGTGCTGTATTATGGCTATAGGTGCTACCTTGGAAATAAATGTTGTATGTAATGTAAATAAACCAACTACAAAGAAATTGGTCTCGTTACTCGTTACTCGTTATTCGTTACTCGTTACATGGACAACCCATAAACCGAAGCAGGTTGAAATGCAGTTAGTGCAAACCGCGAAGCCCAATTATTCCCCGATCGGGAAATCTGTAAACACCCAAGAATCGTAGACGCCCGAAAGCTTTTCAACATCTCCTCGAGCGTCACGGTGTATTTCTAGCAACACTCCGCCGAGGTTGAGGAATGCAAGGCGAGGCAAAAGCTGTGCAAAGTGAGCTATACTCGGTACGATTTCATCTAGATAGCTGTTTAGCCGACGGCCGAAATTGGATCCATATCTATTAGGCGGGAAGTCCATGATATTCAAAGCAGATCCGCTCTCAAAGCTGTAAAATCTTCGGTAAAGTATGGGTATCATGTTCGGTTCCGAACCTTTATCCTGATGAAAGTTCATATTTTGGTTTTCTTCGAGAAAAGGCCACCAGTTGAACAAGAAATCTGGGATGATCAAAATCTCCAAACTGCGCAGCAGGAAGATTTTTTCAAACAATTCCTTCTTTCTGGCAATATACTCGGAGTTTGCGTAGAAAATTTTCGGGTCACCTGTGTCAGGACTTCTTGAGACCATAGGAGTGACGGGGAACGTGTTCAAACAAAGGTTGAGGAAGGTGAGTGTTTCGGTATTGGTGCTGAAGAGATCCAAATGATCCATGATGGCGTAGCAGAGATTTGTATTTTCGGAGATTTCGTGTTCGTGGATGTTATTGGCAAGCATGTTGTTGCTGTTCAAGTTCACCAAGGAGAACTGCTTCAAAGCACTGAAGCTGATGTTCCGGTTCAAATACTGCACCAATTCGAGGTTGGTTGCAGTGGAGTCATAGAAGATGCTTCTCTTGTACTTGATTTCCAAGTTTTTCACGTTGGCCAAGTTTAGAAGCTGTAGGGCGGTGCCCATGCTCTCGTTGTTGGAGATGTCATCCGTGAAGCAGATGGACAAGGTTTCCAAGTTGGGAAACAACTCGCCGCGGTAGCTGTCCAGGGAGCGAGAGTAGCTTGCAAGACCGTTTGCAAAGTAGAGGAAGGATGCGTAGTTTGCGAGAGTCAACGATTTCAAGGAGGAGGACCAGTAGCGGATCAAGGAGCGGCTCAAGCCAGATTCCGGGTAGGCATTCGGAAACCTGATTTCCACGCCAGAGAGCGCTAGCTTGAGCTGGAGAACCCTGTCTGCATCCAGCGGGGAGTGGATCTGCGTGGAAACCAACTCGACCTTCTTCGAGGGAACGAACTCTGCCTGCGGGCCCACCGTGGCCGCCTCGGCGGCGCCCATGTTCGTGTTTGCCGTCGGCGGCCGGCTGGCGCCATCCAGCAGAGCGGCTCTGTCGTACACCTCGTCGTTCTCGTAGAGACGGGACCCCACCGACGCCGTGACGTTGCTGCTATAGTCTGAGAGGTACGACAAGAAGCGCACGTCGTGCCCTTTGAAAAGCACCTCCCGCACGCCGCCCCTGCCCCCGCTGCTGTCGAAAAGAAGCGCCAAGAGCTTTTTGGTCTGCTCGTTCAGACTCGTGTGCATCACGATGGACGCCATTGTCTGCGGGATGCGTGCGTTTCTGTCCATCAGCGAGACGAACCAGCCCATCCGGGACACGGGGATGAACGTGTACTTGAGCGGCAGCTGCGTCTCGCTGCGGAGCGCGTTCATCTGTCTGTTCTCGTCGTAGAAGTACACGTTGCGGTAGAGATGCCGGTCGCAGGCGTCCGCAAGGAACCTGCACGTCTGTTTGAGGCTCAGCAACGACCTGGCGCCCAGGTTTCCCAAGATCTGGTCGACCACGTTGTCCGGGAAGTCCATCAGACTCGTGGCGGGTTCGCTGAAAAACATCTTGCTGTCTCCAACAGTGTCCCAGTACCTTGTCGTGCTGCAACAGAGGAAAAGAGTGTCTGTTTGCCACAACCGTCGACTTAAAAGGTGCAATGCTCAGCGATGCTCAGCGATGCTCAGCAATGCTCAGCGGCTCCGGCCACCAGCTCCGAGCTTGACAGCTTTTGCACCGCCGGGCGGGCGGGGCACCCCGCCACTGTGGCATCACCGACGCGTCGGCCCACCGGCCGAGCCCCCGCCTCACTCTCGCCACCCTTCTCTGCCACGGGCCCTCGGCCATGTGAGGGCCCAGACTGGGCTCGGCGGAGGCGCGAGGCGGGCAACGGGGCAACGGGGCAACAGTCTTCGGAAGCAGTTGACAAATAAGCGAGCGGCCGGAGCTAGTTGCCCGATTCCGAAAGACAGTGTAGACACAAGGGCAACGGAGATAGCAAGAGGGAGACAGAGTCGTGTTAGTCAGTACCATTGTAGAGAGTACACGGCTCTCCAGCGTGGCCAGTTCGCTGTAATCGTCCGGGGATGGCGCTGGCGTCAGGAGAGGAGTGGAGCCAGCGTGATGGGGTTCTCGTCGGTGCCGGCGTTAGTCTCGGATCCTGTTTTTCTCCGAGCGAAGGGGAGCTCGCACTGCGCAGGTGGTCGCGGACAGACAGGCTGTACCAGCGAGAGAGAGATCGGTCAGCTCAAGAGGGTGCGGTTGGCGCCAACAGGCTGGACGAGTGGGGCTCGGATGTGATGTGGAACCACTTGTGCAGAGATCCTTGTGCACCGCTTCCGCTGCCGATGATGACGGACGCAGAGCAAATGGACGAGAGCAAGAAGACGCAGAAGGCGTGCGATGAGTGTCGGTCCAGGAAGGTGAAATGCGACGGGCTACCAACGTGCACCCGGTGTGTGAACAAGGGGTTTCCGTGCACATACAACTACGTGTTCAAGAAACGGCTGCGGAAGAAGATGCAGGAGATGGTGAACCAGCCGAAGCGACGCAGGGGACGCCCCCGCAAGTCCAGCATCGTCAACTCGCCGCTTGTGTCGGACAGGGACCCGGCAGCCGAGGCCGCCGGGCCAGCCAGCAGCAACAACACGAGCACGTCGAACTTGGGTTCGACGAGCGGAAGGTACGCAGGCTCCCTCGGTGCGTCCACCCCGGCTTCGACGGTTGGTGCTGGCGCCGCTGCCGCAGTGTCCGCACAGCAGTACCTGCCGCAGCCTCTGCCCCTGCCGATCCCCATGTCGACGTCGGTCTCGGCGCCCCTGGGCGCCGCCGAAGCAACCTTTCCCTACCCGGTTGCAAACAATACATCCTTTGCCGGTGCCATACCGAGCTACGATGCGGGCTTCTACAGGAACACGGTGCCGAGCAACCCACTGGCGCTCTCGCAGCTCTCCGGCTCGCCGGCGCCGGCACCGGCACCAGCACATGCGACGGAACAGGACTCCAGCGTCGAGCAGCGGCTCCAGAAGATGGAGTCCATGATTTCCCTGCTGCTGGATAAGGTCTCGAGCAAGAGCCCCCGTCCAAGTGCGCTTTCGGCTGCAAACTTCGGACCCTCGCAGGCCGGCACAGGTGGATGTGCCGGTGCACTCTCCCTCACCGGGGTCAACTTAGATGCCTCCAGCGCACGGGCCACGTCGGATATCGCCTCCAACTCCAACTCAAATACCCACGCCTCCTTCACAATGAATCACAACACTTTCTCCGGCTCGGAAAGGTCCAAAGCCAACGACTCCCCGCAGCTTTTTGAAAGTGGCTGCAGCTCGCTCACAAACCCAGAAAGCTTGCAGAAATGGGTCGGCCTTCTCATGCATACCTCCATTTTTTTCTTGTCGCCCATAGGAATGAAGACTCTAGAGAACAAGATGGAAAACCCAGAGGCTCTGGCCCCCTTGAAGCAGATCGTGCAAGTCTCCACGCCCTGCGAGCGGAAAATCATCTCCATCTGGACAAATCCCATTTATGAATCACAGTTGACTCCGCTACCTAGCAGAGCCAACATAGAATGTTTGTTGCAGGCTTTGAGTGCGCCCTTCTTCCTCCTTAAAGTGCTAGACGTGGGCTACTTGAAGCATTTACTGCGGCTGTATTGTGACTTCAGGGATGGCCTAATACCCGAACCATATTTTTCCTACTCCGATTACCTACTCATGAATAGTAGTCTGCTAGTGGCGTGCTTGGTCATTGAAGAGTTTTCGGAAAAAGCTTTGAACGGAGGCGGCCCAATGCCGGACTTCAAATCATTACGGGAAGTGTCCGATAACCTATTGGACAATGCATTATTCTACTACTCGAGACTTTCCGTTATATCCGGCGGAGTTTCATCCATCGTTGGTTCACTATTTTTGGCGTTCTATGCTGACAGTATCTCCTTATCAAGAGCAGCATATCTAATCTCAAGTTCCGCCATCAGACAAGCCCAGGAGCTTGGCCTACACATAGAAGAGACTTACAGGACATTACCACAACATGAGAGAGCCTTGAGGTTAAACATTTGGTGGGCATGTTACGTCTTTGACAGAGAGCTATGCATTAGATGGGGTCAGACCCCTGTCATCAACGATAATGATATTTCAGCACCGCCATTACCTGGGTTTGAGGCATATTGGTCACCAAATCAAACAGCCGAACAAGGTCCCTCGAAACGATCCATTTATCATTTTGAAATTCAAACTTTGTTAGAACCATTACTAGAAAATCCGTCTTCTTCAATAGACTTGGAACAGTACATTTCAACTGATTATGCATTCATAACTGCCAAAGTATACGATAACTTCTTGAGAGCAGGGGCTTTGAAGAATGTGAGTAAAAAAGAAGCAAAAGAGCGCTTGATTCATACAATTGCGGAGTTGGATTACTGGAAGGAAAGTATTCCGAAGCCTATCAGACCAAGAACAAAGGAGGATGATGACAAATCTTTTTATGAATTTATTGAAAAGTTGACTCTTACCAACACGATGTATTCTCTCCATTTAATGATTATGGCAACTTCCTTACATGTCAGATACCACCATGTGAAGTTAATGGTTTTCAGGGCTTACACCAAACATTGCTTTGTGGAATATGGCGATCGAATCGACGATGAGCTATTGAGTGAGCCTACAATTTCGGCAAGAAACATTTTACACATGTCCTGTGTGGTTGATAGTAGGTTTGGAAACTACGTGAACTATTTCATCTTTTATCCTTTCAACGCCTTTTTATCGATCTGTGGGTTATACATTCTTCTTGAAAAGGAACCTCCGGATTTGAGGTCCGACCTTCAGTTGCTCATTGATTCCATCAAACTACATTTCACTCCTTTTGTCTCCAACAAGAAACATCATGAGAAGGGTGGAATGGTAGAATTGGTCCTCAAAGGAATGCTATACGCAACTTATGTTACATGCAAAAGCCGATTTGGCGATATCCCCTTAGAAGGACTTGAAGTTCTAGACGATGCCAGGGCAATAGCAGAAGGAAATAAAACCGCGGCGGAAATAGTGTGTCCAGTTCTCAATATGATCGAGACAAGGGTCTCACCAGAAAGACCTCTTTGTAAGCTACCTTATTTCTACAACCAGAACCCATCTCTGTTCATCACAAAGGATGACAATAGCCATTCTCGTGAGTCACCCCTACATTCTGCGTCACATTCGCCAATCGATCGGCCGAGTCAGTTATCAGATATACCCATACTTGTCGGTAACGATACCGACCGAACTCCCAATGTGTCGTTTTTACTTTCCCCCTCGCATCAACCCACTGAAGGCAATATTCGACTCAATCCAGCAAATGCTACGACTGTTGGGTTCAAGGCAGAAGGCTCAGAAGACAAGAACCCATTTCTCAGTAATGGAGCTGTCAAACTTGACAAAGATCCGGAACCAGATTATTTCAACATGAGCGACGTTAATTCTAAAGACACTCTTTTCCATAATATGCTGAACATTCCGAATTACTTTTTCGACTACCTGTATGAGGATACAAATAATACAGCTTTAACGGGGTTCCCTTGATGAACTATAATGAATTTGCCATGAATGAAATTTTGTATATAAGTATATATCACCGATACCTTACACACATTGGGTTTAACAGTAAACAATGCCCGTTTTTCTCGCATTTGTATGTACTTTAATAGATTGTATTTATAGTGAAACTCGAACCCCCTAAAGTTTACGATAATACCGTTGAAAATTAGACGCGAGATCATATAGTGAGCAATTTCCGAGAAGAGGAAAAGCAAAACAAGACGTGGAAAATAAAGTGAGAAAAGAGAAACAAGGTTGTAAGATTCGTCAAAAGCTTGTGTACATGGGGGGATGTTACTGGTCTGCAAATCCTCTTTATATCTAAGGCATTGCCACATATTTACATACGCATAGTGCAGGTAGTTTGCTCTATTAAAATTACCACACGTCATCTTTGAAGTAAAACACCGCTGCACCGTTGAATCATGGCTTCTTCGACTTTACATAAAAGGGCTAGTTTAAACCAACTCAATGGAAATACCAACTTTAAAACCAAAGAGTTGTTGAAGAAACAACAGACAGGTGGCTTCAATCCTAAGGGCACGGTTATGTCACTTAATCCATCTGCTCCCTTGATTTGTGCTTCTAATGTTTCGATTTATGAAGCTGCACAGCGCATGATTGCGGCGAAGGAGAATCACGTCCTCGTGGTAGACGAGAATGAGGAACTACTGGGAATATTGACTACTAAGGATATAGCATTCAGAGTTGTTGGGTCAAATTTGAACATCAAATCTACAACAGTGAAAAAAATCATGACTTCTAATCCAATGTGTGCCAAAGTAGCAACAAAGGCATCCGACGCTTTGAGTTTAATGGTTATCAAACATTTCAGACATCTACCGGTCGTCAACGAGGATAATCAGATTGTCGGTGTGTTAGACATTACCAAATGCTACAATGAGGCAATGAAACGGTTGGAGAAGTTGTACCAGGATTCCAAGAAATTGTATGATGCCATGGAAACAGTAAATAAGGAATTGGGCAACAGCGGCTATGGGAGACGACAACATACCTACATCATAACATACTTTGAAAATTTGAAAAGAATATTGAGTGGGCCTACGCTAAGCCAATTGCTAAATGATGAGAGCACTCTCCCTGTTTATTGTTCTGTGGATTCAAGTGCTTATGATGCTGCCATGTTGATGAAGTTGAAAAAAACAACTGCTATTCTGGTCAGAGATCTAAAGGAAGAAACTGTTGGTATTTTTACATCAAAAGATGTTGTATCAAGGGTGATAGCTAAAGGAATGGATCCGACTGATTGTACAGTAGAATCGGTGATGACTGTTCACCCCGCAACTGCTCCAACTACGATGTCAATCAATGAGGCCTTGAAACAAATGTTTGAAGGTAAATACTTGAACTTGCCAGTGCTTGACGAAAAAACCAAGGACATTGTAGGAGTTGTTGATGTCATCAGGCTAACTAACTTTACATTGAACCAAATTCAAACAATGGAGTCTTTCAACGAAGACGAAGAAGATGCAGATGACGAGGAGCTATTCGACTCTATTGGAGAAAATGATTTCAGCAAATTTCTACAAACATTACCAAATGAAAACGAAGAATATGGATATGACTCATCTGCAAGTGACATCTCAGTCGACGAGCTCGCCCAATTTGACTTATCTACAATGTCTAATGATACCAATACAGTATGCAGTAGGAATATCGAAGGGCCTAAGCGAATGTCGTCGATAATGTCTTTGGGGCCTATCAACTATAATGACGTTTGCTTTTTCAAATTCAAGGTTTCCAGAGGAAGAATACATCGGGTTAGTTACAGACCAAGTGATGGTATTGACAAGTTCAAGGAGCTACTTAAGGAAGAGTTCATGAAGGAAGAGCTGGACATGTTTGACCAAGGCATCTTTGAAATCTCTTATTTAGACGAAGATGGTGATATAATTGTCATAAACACCGATAAAGATTTGAAAGACTGTGTGTTGTTGATGAAAAGCTTGCAGAAGGATAAGATTGAAATAATGTTGTATGACAAACATGAAGTTTTAGTAGGGAAAAAAGGCAAGATGAGCACGCTGAACTTAAGATCGAGTTACAACAAGAAGAGGGGGACCGAAAATACAGGGAAGGACTATATGTTACCCGCTGCAATTTTCACGTTGGCTGCCACCATCGTGGTTGTGTTTACTCTGTCAAGACAACGGTAAGGCGAAATCGGAAATGGAAAAAATAATGATGATAACGATAATGATCATTTTCTTCATCATATTATATATATCAAAGTATATTTACAGGTCTTTATATAAAGGAAATACTATCTAAATGGGAATTACTGAGAAGCAGGTTGGGAAGATGACTTTTCGTTGAACTCTTTCACAGAAAGCTTTTCGAGCTTGTTGGCCTTTCTCATCAACTTCTTGTAAGTTTTCTCTTTCTGGCTCTCAAACGTCCATTCTGAAATTGAGACGTTGGTTCCTTCAAATGCAGCAGGGTCAAGGTCGACGGCATCTGGCTGGAATTCTGTTTTCTTCGAGTGCTTCAACACAGGATCGAGCTGAGCAACCAAATATGACTCGATAGCTGCAAACGAGTTGAGGACAGCAAACTTGGAGTCAGGAATCGGAAGGATGAAAAGCTTTTGGATAGTTTTGAAGACGTTGAATCTGACGTACAAGTCGTCTATTGGCTGTTCCTTGGACAGCTTGTGTTCTTCAAAAATGGCTTCAAGTTTGGAACCAATTTCGGACCTGTAGTTATCTGCGGTCAGCGTGCTGGTAAAGGCATTCGATCTAGGTATCCAGCGGTGGATTTGGAAGCCCTTGAGGTTTTCCTTTATGAGTGCTTTGTCAGTGTATCTTGGGTTTTTTCTGCCCAAAATCTCTATTTTCTCTTCTATGGGAATTTCATCCTGCTTCTCCTCGACCTCCTTTATGACTTCCTTGGTGTCTCTTGGTTGAAGCGTGTTGTCTTGGTTCTTCTTTTTGAAAAATTTGAAATAGTCCAAGACGGAGTAGCTGCTTCTCGACACAGAGAAGTGGCGATGCTGCTGTTTCACGCAGAATTGCGTCGTTCTGCTGGCAGAGTACATTGGAGACGTTTTGGGGTGTGGGGGCTTGCAGAGCTGGCACTGTTTCTTTCTTCTGGAGGCCGATATTCCTCTATCTACTCGATTCTGATGAAGATGTCCCGGTTTACTGTGGGAGAAAAGTCAAAGAGTGAGAAAAGCGAGGGCCCTTGCATGCAGCGGCGGCCGGGTAAGTTCTGGAGAGGCTGCGATTGCAGACAGGTATACACGGGTAGGCAGAGGATAAGGGTGAAGCAGATCTGGGCCTAAGAGGGGCAGAACATTGCAGCCAACCATATACTCAGAAGTATGGAGAACCAGGACAGCAGCGTGATCCGTGTCTTTGTTGTGAGGCACGGGCAAACGGCATGGAACATCGAGAAGATCCTGCAGGGTCACCAGGACATTGCGCTGAACGAGACGGGCCACTCGCAGGCCAGACTGCTCGGGTCTCGGTTCAAGGACATCGACTTCGACATGTGGATCAGCTCCGACTTGAAGAGATGCATCCAGACGACTCAGGGGATCGAGGCCGCTGTGGGCGCCGACAAGGTGCCGGGGCAGTTTGTCAAGAGCCCGGCGTTCCGAGAAAGATTCATGGGTGACGTAGAGGGCATGAAGATCGGCGAAGCCAAGGCCAAGTACGGGGACGGGTTCCGCAACCGTGGCGAGAAGAAGGAGGACATGATTGCCCGGATCTACAAGCGCTGGCTCGAATGTCTAGCGATGTGTGCGCAGGAGGGGTACCGGAACGTGCTGCTTTGCACGCACGGAGGGGTGATCCGCAACTTCGTGAACTATCTCTACCACGAGCAGGGGTACCAGCTCGGGCCGGGCATGACGGCCGCCGACCTCCGGGTGCCGTACAACACGAGTGTCACTGTGCTGGACATCAAGAGAGCTGACATCTGTGCAGGGACCATCGAGCGTTTTGGGTGCACCGAGCATCTGGGCGAGCAGAAAGAGGTGGGCGACAAGGACTTGAGGTGAGCCGAGATCGCTGTAGAGAAAGAGATGTTTAGCTGTGCAGACGTCTTCGGACGCACGTATATAGACTCGTAGGTAGTCGGAGTAGTTCTAAAACAGAGCCAGGGAGCAGCCATAGTACGACACACACAACATGGAGGAGCCGAAGAACCTGCCGCAGCAGGCTAGCCACTTGAAAGAGTTTGACCAGCCGAACTTCAAGAATGCCACCTACCGGTTGGACAGACCGTCGATGTACCTCATCAACAGGGCCCGGAAGGACGAGCTGACGGGCTACGACAAGTTGAAGAACTCTATGACGTCGTCGACGGTGTACATCGGACACTTGGTGTTGAGCACGACCGAGGAGCAGATCTACGAGCTGTTCTGCAGGTGTGGGAAGATCAAGAAGGTGATCATGGGGCTCAACGCCCACGACCAGTCGCCGACGGGTTTCTGCTTCGTGATCTTCAAGGCGCCCAGCGGCGCCCTCAACGCCGTGAAGTACTTGAACAAGACGAAGATCAATGGGCGGACCATCGACATCGACCTCGACCCGGGCTTCGAGGACGGGAGACAGTACGGCCGTGGGGAGAACGGTGCGCAGAAGCACCAGAGCATGTACGGTTACAACGGCGGGAAGCGGAGAGGATTCAGGAGGTATGGTGACAGCCGGGGCGGCAGAGGTGGACGGGGCCGCTTTGGCGGAAGACGGGGCGGGTACCAGCGTGGCGGCAGAGACCGGGAGAGAGACCGGGGTAGGGACAGAGAGGGCGACAGAGACCAGTACCAGGCCCGCCAGGGATACCAGGGGTACCAGGGCCAGTATGCCTCACAGTACCAGGGCCAGTACGACGCCCCCTACGCGGGACAGTACGCCGCCGTCGGCAATCCAGGTGGCTTCAACTTGGCCGCCAACGACGCCAGCCAGCAGTATGCCGGCCAGCAGTATGCTAGCCAACAATACGCCAGCCAATATCCACCAGAGCATTACGGAGGAGACCAGTACGGAGGAGCTCAGTACGGAAACCCAAACAACCAGTACGCCGACCAGTACCAGCCGGCCTACGACAACTCTGCTACAGATGCCCCTCCGCACCAGTACCAGCAGCACGACGGTAGCGGCAACCCGTACAACGGCTACTAGAACTGCCTGCACCCTACTCCTTACCTTTGTATCTTTTAGAAGACTGTAACGTAAAGCAACAATCATCAACAAGCATCACCACATAGAAGCCCGCAGCAATGCTCCACAGCGACGCGTCGGCGGGGAAACGAGCCAGCGGAGAGAAAGCGAGGACGAGCGAGAGTATGAAGAGAAAGGCGGTTCTTTCCTGGTAGAAGTCACGGCATGGCTCATCAACAACCTGCTGGAAATGATACTGTGGTCGTGCTCCTGTGCAAGAAGCAACCAAGCATCCTCGCAGAACAGTGTACTATATCTGTTATCCCTACCCTGTCTGTGCTCTTGCTTTGGTGGCTAACACAATCCTCGTCCTCTTTCCAGAGCACTCTTTGTTTTTTTAAGCTTTGCTAGCTTTGCTCTACCTCCTCTTTTACTCCTTTTTGTTTTGCCGGCTCTCTCCAGTCGCCACTAAATCCTAAGTAATTCCTCCTTTCTTCCCCATTTGAAACACGGAGAGGCTTGAACTCGTCCTGCCCAGCTCCAGTCAGCGTTACACATTGAACCTCCTGACTTCCATTTCAACAGAGATACCACTGCCGACCCAGCAACGACACCACAGGACAGAAAAGCCTTTCTCTTCTGTCTTCTCACGAATAAAGAACAACGACAACAACAACTTCAACAAGAAAAACTTTTCAGGTCAGAAACCAAACCCAGAACCGCCCATGTCATCTGTCCCTTCTTCCACCTTGACTCAAACTTCAGCTGCAGCTGCAAACGGTAGCAATGCAGCTGCAGTTAAGAGCAGCGATGAGGACCAGAACCTGAAATTCCAATTGAAACAGATTGAAGAAGCAGCTAAGTTGGCGTTCGAAAATAATGATTACTTTGTCCAGATTTTAGATACAATAGTCGCCATTAGTTTGGCGCAGCCCTTGAACAACACAAAACTACAGATAAAGTGCTTGAACTTCATCCACAAGTCCTTTGTCTCCAAGCAGATTAGCTCTTTTGACCTGAGAGTGCAGAATTGTCTGAAATTGGTGGACATGTTGTCCAAGTTTATAATCAATAGTGAAGTGGCTATAAATCTGGAAAAAATAAGCTATAATTTGATCCAGAAATCAATTGAAATTTTTGCTTCCGTCTATGGCTTGATGTTTTTACAGCTGACAAGGTTCCCTGATTCTCAAAGTTGGTCCAAAATCTCGAAACTGAAAGATTTTTTGATCTCTAAGTGGCCTTCTGCTTATCCCTTATTGCCTCTTAATAAGGAAACCGATCTCACCAGATCAACCGGCTGTAAAATCGCTTTGGCAAAGCTACTTGGTAAAGTTATCCAAACTCAGCTGCCATGTCCACCAAACTCTATCAACCCGAAAAACGACCTTTCAGCTGTCACAGATGATAATATGGATATCTCAATATCCCTCGTGAACAAAAATCACCCATTTCTTTACAGTTCGTCATTGAATACGCAGGGACAAATGTTAATTGACTACATATTAAATCTACTAAATAACGATGCTTTGCTACCTACCTCATTTTTTTCAACTCTAATAGCCATTTTGATGTCGTTGTTTAAAACGAGACCTAACTTCACTTCCAGTAAAATCTTAGGCTTCATACTAGCATATGAATCACAGTTTAAAAATCCTCCCAAGTTTGAAACAGATAAGTTGAAAGTGAGGTTGACTAGAAGATTCAACGATAGGATAGACAGAATACTTATGTCAATGTTACTCAACAGAGGGTTCATTGACAAGGACCCTCCTCTCAAGTCAAGATTCGCTAATAAGTTATCGTACATGGTTGAGAAATCCAACAAACAGAAGAAGAGAAGTATCTTATCGGATGAAAATGATATTGAGGACGAACACAGAAGTGAAGACGAAAACTCTCAAAAACTGAAAAGGCGGAAGCTCGACACTGAAAAAAGCATTGACTTTTTTGATGAATCTAGAATTGCTAAGGAAGAGACGTATAAAGGTATTTATACATTGATTAACCCAAAAGATGAGTTGGCCAATTTCGACATATCGGCAATTCCAAGTGAGTTTATAAATAACATTGTGATTTTAGGTTTATCCAAAACCGATACGAATAAACTCAATGCAGGATTGGAAATTATAAGCTCAAGATATCTAGATCTGTATAATAGGTTCCAACTAAGGGAGCAGCAACAACAATCTGCAAACAACTCTTCTGACAATAAGCTCAATGCGCAAGATAAACAGCAAAATAAAAATAATGAAGAAGATGATTTATACGATCCTTCTTCCGGAGTTGTCAAAAAAGAAGAAAATGGTAATGATCCTGATAAAAAGGACGAAGAGTTTGATTTCGAGCTAGAAAGTAAAAATTTTGAGTTGCCACTTCCAAAAATCTTGGATCCAGATGAAAAACAAGACCAAATAAAACTGATAGTCGATAATTTCATAAAAACCTCTTCAGCCAAATTTGGTAATGATAAAGACAGTGAAGCAAATAAAACAGATACTCAAGAATTGAAAAAAGTAGCAATTTCCAGATGGAAGAGAAATTCATGGATTAAATTACTTTCAAGACTGGCAACGAGAGGAACGAAGCTTAATCCTGAGATCTCGAATTATATCAGAGACTCACTCTTCAATTATTTTAAGGAGGATATCAAAGGTCGTATAGATGGTGTCATAGAATGGTTGAACGAAGAATACTATGATGAGTTTATTGTGTCAAAAGACGAAAGTAAAGATATGTCAAGTTCCAATTATATGAAATACACTGGATTAGTGTTAGACTACTTAATTCCATTCCTCGAACCAAGCGATAGGAATATTTTTATCAGACTATTGAGTGAATTACCGTATCTCGATTTGAGTTTGATTTCGAAACTAAGGTCGGTCTGTACCGACCCTGTCAGATCTAAAATAGGCTTCCAGCCCTTACTTTACTTGATCATGTTCCGACCACCAGTTTTTGATGACTGCATCAATTTTTTGAGTGATTTGTACAATTATGCTGTTGAGAGAAACAATGGGCAATTACAGAATGAATGCCTCGGTTATTTGAAAAAATACAAACCAACTATCATACCTTCTTTGGAGAAGCCACCTCAGGACAATGCTGTTACAGCTGATACCAGTTAGTCAGCTACATGAGCAGCACGTATTTACATTAATGTATAAAATTTTTAATTCTATGTAACAAATTACAAAAGTCCTTGTTTTTGTAGTTGTTCGTAAACTTTTCTATTCATTGGGTTACCTTGTTCGTCTTCTACCTGCTCTGTATTATCTATGAATTTTAGTTGTTCTCTATGTTTTCTCTGCAAAGTCTCTAACAACTGTTGAACTTCTTTCTTCGAGCTCAAATCCTTGAAATAAGAAAAGTTGTCACGAACTCCGAGTTCCTTCAGCCCTTCCAAATGTGTCGATTCTTTGAAATGCTTGTTGAATGCTGTTCGTCCCTTGTACAACGTATTATTGCAAATTTCACATTTGAATTCGTGGCCAAGGCCTTTGAGTTTCCATAACCAAAATGGAATAGGTCGACCATCGGGTCCTATTGGTAGATTGAGTGGGTTATATAACTTCTCGTCGTCTTCATCATCGTCATCTTCATTTCCATACCCATAATCCCTCTCAGTTGAATCATTGACGCCATTCCGATTGGCCAGCTTGAAGCTAGTTCCAAAATATTGAGGCAAAGATGCCATTTCACCAGAATCCAACGGCTTCACCTCACGTTTCTCAAGCTCACGCTCACGTACCGTTAAGAGATCAGTACGCTCGAGCTCATGTAGAGTTGTTTCAAATTGGCCCTTCAAATACGTCTCTAGCAAATACACAATTTCCGATTCGAGCTTCAATATTCCAGTAAGACGTTGTGATGCCTTAGCATGTTTTTTGCCCAACAAATGAGAATTGTAGACAGTGTCTTTTGCAAACTGTTTGTTACAAGCAAGACAGAAAAAATCGTTGTGGAAAAACAAATGTACTTCTGAATTAGGAGCTTCTTTCAATGGACTCAATGGATTCACCCGGTCAATAAAATTTTTTAAATATTTGATAACGAATTCCAAATATAAGTTATACTCAGAGCTTTCAATCTTTATGGCGCCATCTCTTGTGGTAAATTTCTTCAAAAACGTCTTATACTTTGGAATATCCGTCGTCGGGAAAGGCGTATATCTGGGTAACGATAACCACTCTCTATATAGTGATTTCATGTCAACTTGTGTACCATACATTTCTTCAGGAGTAAATATGAGTGATAACTTAATATCTGAGCCAAAAGAGGATAGAATTCTGTATTTCTCTGCGGACTCTGCTTTTCTCTTGGTTTTTTTACTTTTAGAAAGATTGTGGATTAGATTTGTCGGATCTTCAAGTTCTTCAATCTTTCGTTTTAGCTCGGGATAGTTTGCGTTGCAGGAGAACATATCATAAATCTCATAGTCTTTACAGGATGATGATCCTGTACTATGCGGCTTAACCGATGGCGAGGTTTCAGAGATGTCTTCACACATCTTAAAAAGTTCTGCAAAATCTCCCTTTTCGTACTCGGGACGTTTGAGAATGTTTTTGTCATGGAAGCTTGATTCTTCATCAAGCAATAAATTGACTAAACTTCTCTTTTCTGCTTCGTATTTTTGGACAAAGCTTTTAATCTCATGTTTCTGTAGTACTACGGAAGCATCCATTATTTTTTTGTTTGGAATGAGTATTCGGTGATCTAATTTAGCATCTTTGGGAGTATAAATTTTGGGATTGACTTTTATTCTTTTTGTGATGGCATAATCCAGTAATTCTAAATCTTCTAGAAGTTGTCTTTTTTCCTCTAATGAAGTAAACATGGCTTGAACAGGTCCTAGGTATTATTCGTGAGCCCTATAGCATATCAACTTAACTAGAACGGATGATTAGAAACTATCGAGCTTTAGCTTTAGCTTCAATAAATTTGTAAAAACATGTTTTTACTTCAGGTTTTTCACTTTCGCTATACTTTAAGGTGCAACCAAGCTCAAACCCATAGCCACTTTCTATATTCATTTCGTTTCTCTATTTTCGGTCAAGCAAACAGGCAAAATAGAATATATTACAATGGTGACTGCAGTATTGTTTGTGAATCAGGCAACGCCGACTACGATTACACAATTTCATGACATGATAATGAATCAACTCCCGGAAACATTACCACCGTGGGAATTTGAACTTGGAATATTTTTGAATAACAAGTATTCAAAGCCATTGAACTTGGATTCAAAACAGATCCCAAACAGGTACTTGTACACTCTACAGCTTTCGTATTTGAACGACGAAGAAAGAGGTAATAGAATGATCAGCATCATCAATAATAACAAAAGTGTTGTTACGAGTGTTCCTAACTCAACTCATATCATCAATAGATTGGAATCATTTACAACCAAGGGCTTAAACTATTACAGAGAGAAAGATGAGAGTGTTAATGACAAAGCAGAGTCAATAGAAAAAGACTTTGTTGGTACCAAGCTGAAAGGGGAACATGAGGTAATAGATCCTGAAGGTGATATTACTATGAACGGCGAGAAAGAAACTGAAATTGTTGACTTACAAAACGGAAGCAAAACTGGAAGCAAAACCGGAAGCGATCTTGAAATAGAGGATGATTTAATCATGAATAGGTTTGAAGAAAATTCTTTGGATGAAATGAGAAGACGGAAAAAACTACTCAAACATATCCAGAACGGTTGCTGTAACAATCTCAGCGTTCAAACGAATGAAAATCTAGAGTTCATGCTTGTCTCCAAACTTCAGAGTCTTTGGACGTTAAAACAAACAGTAAGGGGACAAGGTGGTGTAGGCTACATTATAAATGTCGAACTTGAAGAAGGAAATAGTGTGGGAGCATCCCAAGATGGCAAGAAAGCCAGAGCACAGGAGAAGTTTAGATTAAGAACAAGCAATTGCTTGTTACATGGCACCTTTAAAGGGTTTTTGATTGAAATTGAGCATTTAGATCAAGATATGGAAAGAATAGAGATTGACAACGAACTGAAAAATATTAGTGAAACCGAGAGGAAGAATAGACTGATTTTAAGATTTAGCAGGAGTATAAGTATGATAAAATCATTAATTGAAACCTATAAGTTTCCCAACGGTAACTTATGCTTCAATGTTTTAAGTGAATCTAAACTCGACTATCTAAGTGATTTATGCCAGCAATACTGTGACGCCTTGCAATTCTAAATCAGAGACTGAGAAGAAAGCTAAAGCACTACTCTATATAATGTATCATAAGTTCGTATAAAATGTATAAAATAAGTTTTAAATACAGAGTATTTTTAGGAATTAAAGCATGAAAGAAGCAGTAATATGCATGAAAGGAGGAAAAAATGCGAAAGTCAGAACAACAGTAAAGTTCTTTCTCTTTCTATTCTGATCCTCACTGCCATTTTGCTTTGTTCGAAACATACGTGCTTTTCCTCGGGTGTAAAAAGTTTCACGAAATTAACACTGCTCGTGCTACTAGAAGCTTGGGAGTCAGCGGTATCTGAGTAATAAGGGTAGTCAGAATTGTTCTGGTTCACTGTATCGTCAAGATCCATTATCGATATTTGATGATTCGTAGAGTTTGGAAGTAATCCAGTTGAAGAGTTATTAGCGTTCATGTTGGTGTTTTTGATTGGTGAGGTTGTAGACTCAGGTAGCAGTATCATCCTCGATCTTTCGGATTTCAAGCTCTTATATGATTGTATTGATTTGTCGTTTGAGTATTTGTACAGCTGATTTTTCATATCTCTTTCCTTTGATTTAAGAGCTGCCTTATATATTCTCTGTACTTGTATATAAAATGCCAACTTCTGGACATAAGATTTTATTATATTTGCCCTGTCATCCTTAGTGAATTCCCCTGAAAATTCAGGAGAATTTGCGTTGTTTGACTCTAGAGCTTTCTTCTGCCTGTTTATGATCCTCAATAGTATTTGAACTTTTATTTTATTGTTGATTCTGTGCTCACTATAAATGCCGGATTTATTCACTATGACTTCAACATATTTTTCGGTTGGATCATCTGGTTTCAAGATCAAGAAGTTGAAATTCGGAGTATTGAGACTGGGTATTTCGCTGAATTCGCTTGGAGCTTCACTTAAAATAAGTAGCGATCTAAACTTATTTTTGCTATAGTCGATCAGTATTCTGTAGGGATCATTCAGAAGCTGCGTTTTGAAATGGTCGACGTTATAGATCCGGTCTAGTTTATCATTCATTAGAATTGATCTGCTATTCATTGAGCTCCTTTGATTTGCCGACTTGTTGGCTCCGTTGAAGTTGCTATGATGGTTACTACCTAGATAGTCAAAGTCATATTCATCAGTTAGGTCGCTGATCTTCAAAAATGGCTTTAAGTTTGATATCTGGAACCTATGGAAAACATAGACTAAGGATTTGATCTGTAAACTGATGGAGTCTTCCATTTCACCTTGAAAGTAATAAGGAATATTGACTGATTTTATTTTCGGCCTGTGGTTCAAACTGTTTCTCGTACCATCCTCCGAAGCATTCATTGTTTCGCTTTTGCGAAACTCGCTGTCATTCTCATCCGTACTCACGTAATTATTGGAGATGGGGAACAAAATTAGGGTGAAGGGGGAGAGCATATACCATATGAAATCAAACATGATTGAAGTGTTGTATTCCTTCTATATACAACGAAATGAAACTCCACTGTTCTGTTTGTGCTGTAACTATCCAATTGCAAGGTACGCCCAGTTGTGCTTGGAATAAAGTGGCACGCTTTTCCTTTGCGATTGTTTATGTTTTGATCCACAAACGAACAAACAACAAAAACAAACAGAGTAGGAAAATTATAGAGAACAACTTATAGTGTATGTATGAGAAACAAAATTTAATGTTGATTACGTTAGCCACACGGAAAGAAATTTAGAATTCGTCGATAGTCGCTAAAAAATAAAATATGGTGGTGTACAGGTGAGTAAAATTATGACTTTGCATGACAGACTGCAGTGCTAAATTTTTACGTTTGTAAATTGGGAGGTTAGTGTAGTGGTTAGCATACCACCCTTCCAAGGTGGTGACACGGGTTCGAATCCCGTATCTCTCAATGAGATTCTCAATTTACATTTTTTTGTTCTCTAACCAGTATGTTGATGATACATTACCTCTCCCCATCTGATGACGTGTATTACCAGAGTGACTGACTAGTCTTGATGACTTAATTTTTAGTAATAGTGAAATATTCGATTCTAGTATAAATAGCACTATAGAATTAAAATAATAAATTTCTTTGCCAAAAAAATAAGCTAAAATGAATGAATTAAATGAAAGCGGATAGAATAAAATGCCTGAAAACTACTGTTGGCCTAACAACTGCTTCAAGGCTTGAACTTGTGCCTTTAAATCATTGTTTTCCTTCAACAGATCGTTGCATTTGTCTTCTAGTTGAGACATTCTCTCCATCTTTCTAGCTCTTGATCTTCTTGCAGCTTCGGTGTTTCTAGCCCTCTTCATGGAGGCGACATCCCCACCCTTAGGGACGACTGGAGGCAGAGGGTTGTTTCTTTGCTTCCTCGTGTAAGGTGTGCAACCCAAGCTGTCCTTCTTTAAAGATTCAGCCTCGGAGTCTTCCAAGCAAGCAGTAGAAAAAGATCTCTTGCAAGAAGTAGAAGACATCGGGGATGCAGACGCAGATGCAGAAGAGGATCTCGAAGACATGAGAGCAGAAGTTGATTTCGATCTGACTTCAGAATCATCCTGCTCCTCTTGCTTGATAACAACATCATTGTTGATTTCTGAATCAACCATTTCAAACATCTCTTTGAGATCACCGTCGGCAATATCGATGCTGTCAATATCATCGAGCAAAGGATCCTCCGAGTTTTTGAAAACAGACTCGAAAACTTTGGTGTCAACAACAAATGGAGTCATCTTATCTTCAGGAGCAGAATCAGTGGTGTTCTGGAACCCGTCAATCAAGTTTTCGTTCATGATGTTGAAGTCCAAGCTGTCCAGCAACAAATCGTTGCTTTCTTGCTTGGGAACTTCATTCAACATGAAGTCACCAGAGTTGGCGACGTTGTCGGAACCAGCATCCAACGATGTGAAAGTAGAAAACATATTTTCTCCGAGCAACATTTTTGACAATTTTAATACTTTAGATGGTTTTTCGATAACAGTAAAAATAGTTGTAATTGTAATAATATAGAAATAATCTTTATGATAGTGGTGGTAGCAATAAAAATAACGTAATAAATTTATTTGATATTAGGCTTTTGATAATGTGTATTTGATTTTTTGCGATTTTTATTTCAATGGGAAATGAAAGTGTAACGGGACGCCATGATGGACGGGGTAATTTTTTTGATTTAAAATTTCACGGAAACATTTTGGATATAGACTTCGATTAAAGATTAATCTTGTAATTTTTTCTAATTATGATAATTGATAGAAAAAAAAGATATTTAAAACTAAGATGGTTTAAACTTGACTTTTTTCTTTTTTAATTTATTGTAATGATAAATTTAAAGAAAAACTGAATAGATGTTTAGTAACAAACAAAAGTAATTTAAGCAGACATTTTGGACAATTCTAATAATTCACGAATAACCAAAATATAACAGAATAAAATAAGGGATTTGTTTGTAGAAGCAGCTGCTGTAGTAGTAAGTTTAATGTAATAAGTCTATCTGGCAAAATGAGAAACTCCAAAAGGAAACGCCAAGGTGAAAGGAGCAACACAACAACGTAGCAACAGCAGGCAACAACTACTTTTCAACGGGGCGAGGGAACACTACCCCTTTTATGGCCCCCATGAGTCACCTGGCGAGGCTCTAGCCCTTTTCACATTCGTAAGCGCGCTAGGTTGTTTGTTACCGCTTTGGGACTCACTGTGAGGTGTGGGGAGTGCCTGCTAAATTCCGGCCCGGCCGGCAGCCCGGTACCGGCATAAGAGGAACCGCATTCGGCTAAAGGCGCGAGCGGACGATCGGCTCGGCCGAGCTTTTTTTATTTTTTTTATTTTTTTTATTTTTTTTTTATTTTTTTTATATTATTTTTATTTTATTTTTATTTTATTTTTTTATTTTTTTATTTTTTATTTTTTTTATTTTTCTGATTTTTTTTTGATATTTTCGCATTTTTTTACATTTTTTATTTTTTTTACATTTTCCAGCATGAATATTGTGGAAAAAAAATAATCTTTTGATGCATCTAGAAAACTAACTTAACAGTTCCTTTTATGTGCTTTGAGCTTGATTGAAGATTAGAAAATAGTATAGCTAGATATCCAGGAAGAAAGATGGCTGCCGCAGGTGTGAAAACGGACCAACCAAAGAAGAAGATGAGTGTGCAGGTCTCAAAAAAGAGACAAAGAGAGAACAAAGACGATAAAGCGGCCACGAAGTCAAAGGCGGAGCCTGTCTCTGCCCCAGTAGAGGAGACAAAAGAGTCCGAGAGTGAGTCAGGGTCTGAGCAAGATTCCGGGTCTGGCTCCGAGTCCGAAGAAGCAGAAGATGAGAAAGAGGTCGAGGCTGAAGAAGACGACGATGACATACCTACTGTTCAAAAGAAGCAGAAGACGTCGGCCAAGAAGGAGGCGGAGTCGTTCTCGAACGCCATGAATGCCCTTCTTGACACGCGTTTGAAGGCATACGACCGTAGGGACCCTATCTTGGCCCGTTCAAAGAAGGAGTTGAAAAAGTTCGAGGACGTGAAGCTTGAGCAGAAGGCGAAACGTCTGCTTCTTGCCGAAAAGAAGAAGAAATTGACTGCCAACCGAAACAAGGACCTCTTGCCAAAGAACGACGCCACTGCCAGACAGGTGCTCCAACACGAGAAGCAGTTGAAGAAAACTGCCCAAAGAGGTGTGATCAAGTTGTTCAATGCCATTCTCATGACGCAGACCAGCACCGAGTCCGACATGAGCCACGAGACCGGCCTTGTGGGCCAGTCAAAGAAGAAGGAGCTCGTCAACGAGATCAGTAAGGAGAAGTTCCTCGACCTGGTGCAGCAGGTAGGAAAAAAATAAGACATTCATCTGTTTGTACAGGATAGTTGAGTATGCTAAGCATTATATACACGTAGTAGTAATATAGACAAGTTATCTAATCGGACAAGGCCGGCGCTGTTGGCCCGATCACAGGTTGTTGATGGCATTGCTAACCGCACCCTTACTGGCTCTCCACTCCTTGTTGATCTTGCCCCAAGGAATCTTTTGGAACAGCTTCCGCTTGTCGGTGATGTTCTCTGTCTTCATCAACTCAGTGAGCTTGGCGACAATCTCATCCTCGGAAGCCACAGGTAAGGCCGTTAGATACTTGTTAATGATCTTCGCCTCGTCGAGCTCCTTCTGTGCTAGCTCCTTGAAACGTTCTGGCTGGTCAGGCTTGAGGTACTCGCTGGCAGTCTCCTTTCTCTGCTTCACGAGCTTGTTCAAGTGGTCGTAGATCTTGAATTCGTCCACGACGGAGCCGTGGTTTTCGATTTCGAGGTTCTTCATCTCGCTGAGTATGCCTCTCACAGTCGTCTTCTCCAACGCAGGTGCTTTGGTACGGATGCATGTTTTCAAGTCAGCACGTAGAGAGCCCAAGAAGCCATCGTAGACAGGACCAGCGGAGGATGATGCTGCTCCTGTCGAGTTGAGTCTGGCTCCGGCTCCGGCAGTGACAAAGAGTTTTCTGGCAAAGGTTCTGAACATTACTTGATTTTAGTTTGCTTGCTAGTATCGTCTACAAACTTTTCGTACCTTAAAGGATGATGTATTTGCATCCGTCGGACCAACGTGCCTTAGCGTTTCTCCACCCCGGCTTGTCACTGTCCTCGAGACGACGGGTCGCCGGGTGCTGCTGGCCTGGCCTGTGGTCGACTACCATGGACCCGACAGTGCGAGCGCGTTAAATAATTTTCACGCTTTTGGGCGACCTGAAGAAACCGGAGGGTCTCCTAACAGCCCCTATCAAGAGATCAAGGATCGGAGGCCGGGCACGGAAGCAGAAGGCAGAGCAGGGAGGACGGAAAGCAGACACATGCAGTCGACGCCACTGATACCGTTGCCAGTGCTTTCAAGCGGAAAAAAAGACGGAATCACAAGCTCAGAGATAGAGAGAAGATACCGCAGGCAAGAGCGGGGTGGGGGTCACGGCCACGAACGTATTAGGCAGATAGACGACGGGTTTGAAAACGCACCGGATAGAGAGATAGCGAAACATGGAGAAGACTACAACTATGTTTATGATCCGTCTAGCGATGCCATACGGCGTCAAACGCAGCAGCAGCAAAATCAGCATTACCAACACCCCGATTTCCGAGAAGGACAGGGGTTTTTGTACACACCAAAAATCGGTTGCAGGAAAGAGATGCCGTACGAATTAGCCAATGGGGACAGCTGGGTGACTCGAGTGTTTTTGGCAATGGGAATTGTTTACACAAAGAGGATTGAGTCGGAGGCAAGTCTGGCGTTATCGAAAAAGTCTCCACGAAGAAAAACGAAATTGAAAATGAGGCCCAAGTCTAAGTCAGAGCTGAAAGCAAAACCGAAATCAACCAAAATGAAACAACGACCCTCTAGTGATGAGTCCAAGCAGATGAGTACGGTGAAGCCAAAGACAAAAGGGAAGCCGAAGAGTAAAACAAAGTCCTGTCGCAAAGCCAAGAAACAGCGGGAATTGATGGATCCGGACTCTGCGCAGTACAAGCTAATGCATAGTGATCGTAGCAAGCTAAGAAGAATATCGAGAGCCGAATTGTCTAAACACATACTACCTTCGCTAGCACATATTAACAAGGTACGGTTGAATGAGAAGCCCGACGGAATTTGGATGATGATCCATGGCTACGTGTTCGACATTGTGAACTTGCTCGAGCACCATCCCGGAGGGGCAGAGTGTCTCCTTGACTGTGCTGGTGTGGACGCCACACGTGTTTTTGATGACGTGGGACACTCTGACATTGCATGGGAGATGCTTGAGAACTGTTGCGTTGGTATCATGGAGGATCTAGAGGATTCGGAAAGTGGTGAAGATGCGGAAGAGGAGGAAGCGGATAGCGACGAGCATAATGAAGAGCATAACAATAACAACGACAGCGAAGACAGCGATACTATGAACACTACTGTCAACGACTCTGGCAACGATGAAAGAGAAGAGAAAAGAAAGAAAGAGAAGAAGAGAGGTAAGCAGGGAAGGGGGCCAGGTGCTGGAGATGTAGAAACAAACAATGGTACTGTTGGGACCCTACTGGTCTGGAATTACAAGGTCTTGGAGTATTTTGCCATCATTGTCTGCGCATTATTTGGTCTCTTCTGCTTCATCGTGCTACAGCACAAGAAATGGGAAACTTGGGAAGGAAGTGAAGCTTACAGTTAGCCGCTAAAAAGCATAGAATACGTTCACGAATTTGTTCGAATTTGTAATAAATGAATAATTTAATTGATTGACTAATTGCGAAATAAATAAATACTGTCGAATATACACATGCATGCTTATGTATACGTCGATGTTCCTGCAGGCTGGTAAGAATATGGATAGTGATGAGGGGAGGGGGGGGGGGGTAAAAAAATGTGGAAAGGAATAAGCAATCTAACTATGAATGGAGCTCTGTGAAACGGAACGGAAAGGAAGTGCTATGCTTGTCTAACCTGAGGTTGGCAAACCAACATAAACTTTGAAGGAATCGTAAATCAACCATTGGCAACCGGTCAAGGTACCGATCATGAGGATTCTCACTGGCAACCCGTTCCACAATCCAACGAAACCGATCTGCTTGTAGATTCTTGAGACAGCCTGGCCAATGGACTCGCCCGGTCTCGTGTCGTTGTTGATCTTAGAAACCAAAACGTCAGCTGGGTGCGAGGCAGTGGCACAGAAGATACCCGCAATGTAACCACCAAGGAAAGAGACACCAGTCTGCTGCACCTTGGAGTATTCTTCCTTAGGCTTGGACAAGCGTGCGTAGATCATTTCAACAATCTTCTCGTAAGTGGTGAACTTCACCATGGTGTAAGGAATTTGTCTAAACCACAAAGGAACCAAACCGGAGTAGAGGTTCTTAGTCAAGTTCGTGATCGCCTTAGGAGGCAAGGTGGTCTGGTACTTCACCTTCATCGACTCGAATGGACACAAAAACAGGTCGGCAATAAACTCAGCAGACGCAGAAGCAGCCAAGTAGACAAAGACGTTGGAGCCGCCAATCAAGTCGGAGTACTGCTTCTTGAAGTACTCGTAACCACCGTACTTAAACGCACCCTGCAAACCGTATCCGACGAAAGTAGGAGCAAACCCGGTGTAGATCTTGTGCAACCCTTCGGTCTTGATGATCTGCTTGATACCAGCATAGTTCGAGGTGTACAAGTTTTTGTCAACTTGCAATCTGCACTTGACTAAATCTAATGGAAGGACAAAGGAGTGGGTTGGGGCACACGCAAGAAACCCGCCAATGGCACAGGTCCGGAAGTATGCTGGGGTGTAGAGGGGAATGTGTTCGTCTGGCATTGTGTAAACTGGGTATTCTTGCTACTCCTAAGCCAATTCAATTTCTCTCAGAAGGCCGCCCCATTTCTTCTTTCTCCACCTTCCTCTTCTTACCATCCATCATCTTCCTTTCCTGCTCCCTCCTGGCAGCCTCCTGGCCTCTTTCCCGCTCCTCCTCCGAATCCGGGCCGGCCCCAAAAGGAAGAGATAAAAACAACTCCGAGAAGATCCGGCGGTGCACGGGCGGGGAAGAAGAATCTCTGGCGTGATGTCATCATGAATCTGACCGGAAGGTGGTGAAGATGGCGATGAACTGGAAGACGGGAGGCGTAAGCGTAATGACTAGGGAAAACAAAAAGCAGGAGACCCGGACGGCATGGCTGGACAGAGCAAGTCGTTTGCAATTACCCTAGTCTCCGAAGGACGACCTGTGCTACGACAGAACGAGAATGGTCCGTGCTTCGTGATTGCGCTCGTGAACGCAGTGCTTCTAGGCGTTTCGGATCTCGACACGGGGTTCAGAAATGTCTTGGTTGACATGGCCATGGCGACGCCTCCAAAACAGGTTTCTTTGGATACTGTCTACGCGTTCCTCGTCGAACGGGTTCTGCATCGGGCAGAGCCCGACGCCGACGCCTACGCCGCCAGCACCGACCATGCCTCCTCGGGTCAGATTATGGATACACTCCCAATCCTCGACTCGGGACTACTCATCAACCCCGCATTCAACAACATCCAGGTTTTGGATTTTGGAGATTACTCACCCTCCATTGTACGCATGCTCGATCTGTTTGGATTGAAGTTGTACCACGGCTTTATCATGCCCTCGGAGTTGCTTGCCCAGCTTGAGGGAAGAGACATAAAACCCACCTTCGACCAATGCCAGGACTACCTCGTTTCCCAGCTGGAAAAGGAGGAGAAAGAGAACGGCTCCGATGACTCTGCAGACACTCTAGCGAAACAGATAGACGAATTCCTTTCCAACAATAGCACCGAGTTTACTCCGGCCGGATTTCAAGTCCTTCTCGACTCTTTGAACGACAACCAAATTTTTCTTTTCTTCCGTAACGACCACTTCAACACGTGCATCAAACATGAAGGCTCTATATACTCACTGGTCACAGATATAGGGTACATCAATCAGCCAGACGTTGTTTGGCTACCGCTCTCCATTTACGACGAGGGTGATTTCCTCAACTTCGATTTCGAAATCTCGAGAATCAAGTCAACCCCTCAGTCTGTTTCAGATGTGCCTACCGATTCCGCGCTACAGCAACAGGAAGACTATGACTTGCTGCTCGCAAAGCAGCTGCAGCTCCAAGAAGACAACGAAATATCTAAGAAACTTCAAAAAACCTTTGACAAGGAAGAAGAGCTTAAAAAACAGGCCCCCCTCGCCAAAAATAACGCTATTACTCCATCGAAAAAGGCACTTAACTCTAATACAAAGTCAACATCAAAGAAGCCAACACAACCTTCAAGAAAGGTGGAGAGCAAGGGGAAGCCTATAGGTAAACTCAAATCAAAGTCTAACCCAAAAGCGCAGTCAAAACCGTCGAATCCACAGTCCTGTGTAATTTTATAGCTCGCGCTATTCTTTCTGTCTACTGAAGCTAGTTACCTCAACCACTACAAAGAAATACAAGCTTTGAAAACCTCTTACAAAAGACTATCATTCCATCCATTGTTTGCAGTTGTAGAGCCGACAGCGAAATCTCCCCACCCGTCATCATCATCACCCTTCAACTCATTTTTGCCTCTTTTACTAGTCGGCTGCATGACGCCAAACGCATCTGTAACAGTACTAGTTTTCATAGTGCTTAGACTATCAGCATTTTTACCACCTGTATTGCTGTTCCAGTTGATAGCGGAGCTAGACTTGCTGGCTCCCCTAGAGGTATTTGTAGGTTGCATAGATGCAAAAGTGTCAGCCCTAGACCAGTCAATCCGATTGGTTGAGTTACCATTGTTGCTTACCGGAACAATATTGTTGACAGCAGCATTTGTTTGACCGAATACTAGATTAGTCGCAGAACTATGTTTGGGTTTATTTGAGTTCAAAGCCTTATTTGCTGTCATCACAGCAAAACCATCGGTTCGAGAAGCATATGGCTTTCGTTCATTAGCATTGAAAAACTCGTCGTTAGAATTATTGCTAGCAGTAACCTTAGACTTGTTCACTACTGGAAGTGGTGTTGGCGCAAAGGTCGCCATTGCGGAAGGCATTGGTGACGCAACTCTGCTGGTAGTGGCAGATTCAGGTATACCATTATCCGTTACCTTGCTATCCAAGTCTTTTTTCAAAAAGTTCTCAACTTTGCTCCATGTACCATAAGCAACATTCAAATCTTGCCTATTTGTAATCAATTTTGCAATTTTCCATACATGAAACCCAATTTCCATGATGATATCATATATCTCTGTTTCATTACCTTGAGAGTTAAACGATTTGTTTGTAGATTTGGAAAGTTTATCGAAAATGCAATTGTACAATTTGAGGATGTTGTTGGTGAATTTTGTATTTGCATAATTTGCGGATGAAGTGTTATAAATTAATGGTAATATTTTATCAACAACGAGAAAGTCGTCAAGGGAATTATTTTTGACTTCAACAATCATAGTGATGAAAGAGGCTAATGTCAGATTTTTGATTTTCAATGAGGTTGTAGTCGAGTAGATGGTGCAAATACGGGGTAAAATGTCTGAGGTAATTACAGAATAAGGCTGAAATGGTAAAAGCGTTTTCAAGTTTACCAGAGTAAGCTCTTGGACAGCCAAAGAATTTTTCTCGTTGATACATTTATCAAATAAATCTAAGGAGAATTTTTGGAAACTATCATTGCTTGAGTTATTATCAATTGATGCATTTAAACACTTCTGTATGATAGGTAAATTTTTTAAAAGCAGAATCTTGAAGCCATCAAATTGTAGTCTCTTTAACAGAATTAAAATAAACGGAAATACCTTATCTGTAAATGTTAATTGCGATAAGTTTTGAGAAAGAATGACTAAGTTGTCACAACTTTCAATAATCAATTCTTCCATTTCAGGCGTTGGTTGCACATTCTTTTTAACTTGGTCCATATCGACCGCATTGATTAAGATTGGAATGAACTTATTAATTAATAATGGTTTGGGAAATTTCTCAATCTCAAGTTTTAATTTTTTCAAAAATGTTATTTTTTCTGTTACAGGTAATGTTTCAAACTCATCTATGATATTCAAAATCCTGATCAATTCGTTATTGAAAATATTCGACTCGATAAGATCGTTTACTGTTATGATTTTTTTAAGTTGAATCACATCGGTATTGGATTCCTGTGAGTTTTGCAAAATGTCAATGAAAGTGATGTAATAGTTGTCTGGTATTTTGTTGAAAAATGCATGCTTATTTCCGGTACTATTCGTTTGAATACTGCCAAGAACTTGATTTAATTTTTTGATCTGTCTCTCATAATCCGTTAAACCAGATGACTGGTGACATTTGATCATATATTCACCATCATTAAACAAGAAGTATATCACACAGCAAAGAGAAAACAGATCATTTATATAGTCAACTTTATGTTTAAGTAAAAGATTAGGGCTTGAAAACCTGAAATCTATGCTGAGAAACGAAGGTAATCTGGAATCTATTGGATCAACAAATTTCTCTGCAATACCATTGGCTATGTTTTCTAGAAATGGCAAACCACAAATTTTCCAGTCGCAGTTTTCGGTTATCACGATGGATGAAGGGTTGATATTCAGATCTACGCTCTGTACAGAGTCGTGCAAAAATTTCAGCCCATTCGAGACTTGGAGAAGTCCCTTTGTAATCATGATCTCATCTAAATCACTTTTATCAGTGTTGTTCAAATCACTAACAACATATTCTGTGACAAATAAAATTCTATTCTTGTGATCTTCAAGAGGTTCAATAACTGTTAAAAAATTAGGATGTTTTAGCTTTGCTTGATTTCCAATGAACAAACGTATGTTCTCATATATATCGTTTAATACAAGTTTTTTGTTGTTCTTAGTTATTATTCCGTCATTTGTAAGACGTGTTTCCCAGTCCTTCTTTTGAAATTGCCACACTGAATAGGCCTTCTTAGTAGTTTTATGTTTGGCTGGATATATAGCCCAACAATTGTTGCTTACAAAAGTAGGATTGGCAGAGATATTGTAATTCCCTTCTATACCCGTTGTTTTAAAGACTTTGAACATAGTTGATTTTGGTGCCCGTGTAAACTTTTTGAACAAGGATACTGTCTAACTATTGTTAATAGCATACACCTGGCTTAATCCAATTGAAAATCACCTTTAGCGCAAAGATCAACATGCTCGTCCACTTGACGATTTTTCCATCACCCAGCGATAAGTTTCGTTCTAAGCCAAATATGTCGATTCCTTCAATTCTTATTAAGGACCAGCTGATGTTTTAACGAAAGCTCACAAAATGACAAAACTATGACGTAGTGATGGACATGAATCCGTTACAATAACTTGCATGTTATTTTCTATATTTTTAAAAGAAGTAGTATATATATACATGACACCTGTAGACAAAACCAAAATCTTTTTTTTTGTCCGAAACAATGTTTACGCGTGTTTTGCACTCTCTACAATGCATTCTTTCATAATTACCACTTGTTGTGCAATGTCCTGTAGTTTGTTTAACACAACGCCGTTTCCATCAACAAACCCGTATATTGAGTATTTAAGTCCGGTCTCCCGACAAAAATCAATAACGTATGCTTGTGCTTTACGGAAATTGTGTCTTGGTAACCTGGGGAATAAATGATGGATAGCTTGGTATTGGAGACCACCATGGAAAAAATCAAACCAGTCTGGACAAGAGACATCCATGGTTGTTCTTAATTGTCTTGAAACAAAACTTTCGCTGGCACCTAAATCTGAAGTGGACATTGCAAAGTGGCTTAAAGTGATTTGGACATGAACAATCATCGTAGTAATGTGGGACACCATGATATATTGAAATTTGTCCCATTTAGTTGGTAAGCTGCCAACCACAAGGTAAAAAAACCAATATGTAAAAAATGAAAGTCCTACCAATTCGAAGTAACGAAACCATGCTGCTTTACCGTGGCGGGGACCCTGTCCTTTGAGTAAGTATTCCCATGATAGTCTGTATAAGTTGAAACGACCAAAACATAGGATAGGGTAGTACATCAAATGTTGTATTGGAATAAGTTTCCGTGCAAAGACATCAAACCAAAGATATTTCTCATAATAAGTGGAAAAGACATTTCCAAATAATCTTGAGCTGACACAGAAAAATGGCAAGTGTTGGATATCTGGATCGTGCACAGGGTCATTCGTGATCAAGTGATGAACATTATGATTCCGTTTCCACCACCCAATAGATAATCCACCTATCCAATCGGCGATTATGATACCGATGATGTTGTCTATTTGATAGTTGTGGGTTATCGAAATGTGGGCTGAATCATGTGCAATGAACACCAACTGCTGCCAGAAAAACCCTAAAAAGACAGCACTCATGAAATAGTGTTTAGTTTTGAAAAAAATCATTGTATAAAGACCCAAAGAGAGATTAATGCAGAATTGGAGGAAATATTCGTAGTATGGACACTCATAGAGATTAGCATTTATGATCTGTTGGTGTAGCTCATTATACTTCCGAGATAAGCCTCTCTGTGTTTTATAGTCCAGTGGGGGAATATCGTTCAAATCTCTTTTAACAAGATCGTTATCGTAGTTATCGATTATAGTTCTTGGGTCTCTGATTGGGCCATCTCTCTTAGTGGGGTAGTATTCTTCCATGCCCTCCAAAAGAATCACCCCTTGGGGTATCTTCGGTTCAATTTTTGCATCGACCTCACCGCATAACTTCTTGCCCTTTGAGGTTTTATCTCCCTTTCCGAGGCTCTTATCTTCGTCGTTATGATCCAGCTTTCTGAAGTGCCCACCTTGAATAGGGGGTATCATGTTTTCCCATGGTTCCTCAATAACTCCAATTTTATACCTCGTAAACAGCTTACAAGTTTCATCGCAGTGATAAGCATTCATTTCGTCGGTGGCATCCCGCCCCACAAAATGATAGATAGCTTTGTTTCCACCAGGATGGTATTCAATCCAGTGGTCTAGCTTTAACACGTAATGATCGTAAATCACAATAGCGTGGCCTTTTGCAATGAGATTTTCCACATCTCTCGGCGTAAACACCTTTTCGTTTTGCTTAACAGCCATATTGTACCTGCTCAAAAAAAGGGTTTGCTCGGTTCTAGTGTTCCAGCTTTACGCTAAAGAAAGCTGAGATTTGTGTGTCCTGTTTAACCTTTAAAAGTGAAGAGACGTGTATGAAATCTCCTGATGCTGACGTAAGGGACTGCGGAACGAAAAAGCATGTTTTGTTTCCTGCTATGTTTTTTTTCAGCAGTTCACTTCTTTTTAAGTATTGTTACTTCCCCCATGAATTTGAGCTCTTTAGGAAAAATACTACACACCGAACATCAATATGGCCATTACTAAACGGTATCCGAAAGGTAAACAAAGACTTTTCACCAATGATCTGAAGTCGTTGCTTTTTGCATACGGGGATTCGCAAACCCCTAATATCGAGACCATTCATATGCTGGAAGATGCGGTGACTAGCTATCTCGTCGACGTTATCATGGAGGCAAACAAGGTAAGACGTTTACAGCATAGGAACAAGTTTCAAGAAACGGATCTTAGGTTTGCCTTGAGGAAGGATCCTGTTAAACTCGGAAGGGTGCATGATCTTTCGACCTTGACAAAAGAAATCTCGAAGGCAAATAAAATGTTCGATGTGAACGAGAGGTCATTGGCTGGAAAGGACGGCAACAAAACGGGTGCTGCCAAGGACAAATCAAGTCTTAAGAGTGGGAAAAGCGGTAAAAGCGGGAAAAAGGCTAAGAAATAGCGATAGCCTTAGCTTTACATGTCTCTGAATGAGGATTCGGTAGATTGTGCATTTTTAATTGTTGATTTATCTAAATGTAACAGGTATAAAAACTTGCTGCGTGCTTATTTAAGCAAGTCTTGGGCAGAATATTTCCCGGATCTGAGCGCATGGTACGCCTTTACGAGAGCTGGATTAGAGGCCTCCACCTCTTTCGGGTTCAAATTGTCTTTCGCTAACGGAACACTTCTCCCTTCGGCAGCCAGATCAAACAGTGGGTTGAGCAACTGTTCTTCCATCTTATCTGTGAAGAATCCTTGAAACCTGTGCGGCACCTCTGGTTGATCGATCTTGGTTCTGCTGTCATCCCAACGAATCTGTTCTTTCAAATCGGGAAGCTTCTTGGCACCGGAAAAGACACCAGCAATGGCAGCTGCTGAGTATTCCATAGTGTGGAACATCAACCCTGTGGTTGGGATGCCAATTGTAGCTATGCTGTTGTCCTTTGTTGAAAAGGTATACAAGTAGAGGTTCCCGATTTTGGAGATCGGGCTCTGAGATTCGTAGCTGTCGTTGTATATCTTGACATATTCGTCACTTGGATCTAGGAAAGGGAAATGGTAGTGATAACCTGTGGAGAGGATTATGTGGTCGTACTTCCCGACGGTTCCGTCCTCAAACTCAACCTCACCGAAATCAGGCAAAAGTCTTCTGATCCTTGGCTTGAAATTGATATCTGGACTTTGCTTGAAACAGTCTCTGATCCAGTCATAGACACTTTCAGAGCGCTGGGAAATAGTGACACTTTTAGCAACGGGCGAAAGATATTGTGTTAAATCAATTGAGCTCGTTCCCGACCCACACAAGAGCACGTTTCCATGCTGGTAATCGCTGGCGTTTCTAAACGACTTACTGTGCCTGATGACATCTGGATATTTTGCAACGAATTCGGAGAGATTTTCGATCTTAGGGATGAAGGGAACATTGCAGTGGCCATTGGCGACGACTACAGCATCAAATTCCTCAGTGTACCACTGCTCGATGTTGGAGTACCGGGCTTTGTGCCTTATGGTGAGTCTCCACTTGTGAGTCTCAGGGTTTTTCTCTACTGCTTCGACGCTCGAGTTCAAACGGAAGTACTCTGCAAGGTTGTATTTGACTACTATGGACTCAAGGTAATTTCTGACATCCGTGAGAGAAACAAGCGGATCTAGAAATTTTCCTCGACTGACGTTCTGGTACGGAGTGTAGGAGAACCTCATGAACTTCTCAGGTATATTCGTGAACAGGTCCTTGTATGCTGCGTTCTTGCTCCATTTCAGCTCTTCTTCAAAGCTTTTCTTCGAGAATTGCACAAACGGATGCTCGAAGGAGGCCTTGGCAAGGTCCTGTACCGTCGGACTTGGTGACTTTTCGTAGATCTCATCTGGCTTGTTGTACTTCCCTGACTTGATGATGCTTAAAGGGGGTAGCTTCGGATCCGGCGTGTCGAAGTAGTTCCAGACGCCTCCGATCTTGCTGTTCTGCTCGAAGCACACAATCTTGTTGAACGCCGGAGACGCAGGTCGGATGTTGTGTTCCAACGTTGACACATGGTTCGTGGAGACGTGTGCCAGTTCATTTATACACGCAATTCCAGCAGGACCTCCGCCGATAACGGCTACCGATCTGACCACTTTGTTCAGACACATCGCTCGTGGGATTGCTGCAAGTGATGTGCTTTAGTGTTGTTGCACAGCAGGACAGACTACAACTCGACTCTACACTCAATTCTGGCCCGGGTGGTTTGTCAGACCGGGAAATCGGCCGTTTTTCACTGGCCTCTGTGTTTGCAACTGGCCAAGACGGAGTGCAAATCATGCGCCCGGATCGCTAACGCCGGCTGCTGAAAATTGTGGCACCGCAGCGGGGGCCGGGCTGTGCAGACGTTGGCGTGTTAGCGGCTGTTATTTCCTCTTTGGGGGTGAGATACGAAATTCGACGTGACTCCGAAGGAAGAGAAAGAGCAGAAACAAAAGAGAAGGCGAAAAAGGGGGCGTGGAAGAAAGACGACAGTACCGGTTAGAGAGACGGCGGCGTGTGTGTTTTGCCAAGTGGGCGTTCGAAAATAACTGTTGTGATTTTAGCCGAACTATCACGTCGCAGACGTTTACCGGTGGGGGATGGGTTGTGATCCATCTGGCACAGAAGATAAGATAACGAACGAGCCAGAGATGCGATCAGACACAGCTAGGAAACAGACAGGGACGAAACAGACGAGCCCTGCGGAGAGGTGTTCGAAATGGAAACCCGGAGCGGGCGCGCGGGCGGAAAGAGGAGGCGATTTGTGTCCGGCAGCAGAGGTGGTGAAGCTGGTGCAAATTTTCGAGCTGGTTTCGGACACTCTTCGACAACCGGACAAATGCAGAGGGCTCAGACGGAAAACGGCACGGGTCTGGCCTCAGTTTCGGAGTTGCCATCACACACACGTCGTTCATGGGAGCAGAACCTAGGGAGCACAGTGTTGGCTCCGCAGTCTTTAAGGGGGACACAGCGGTGGCTGATCAGCAGGGCTTTGGTCAGGGAGACCAAGCACGCAGGGAGGAAACCGTGAGTGCCGAGAAAAGCACCGAGAGTTCGGAAGCAACAGCTGGCAGAGCAGGAGCAGAAGCAGGAGCAGAAAACCAGCAGACTAAGGCCGGCGAAGCTTACAATGATGGTAAATACGATGACGAAGTAGAGGGCAGAGCGGACAAGAGGGAAACGCCGGAGGATAAGGAAGAAACACGGGAAGACAGCGGCGCCAGTATAAAGAAACAGCGGCGTTCAAAGTCGTTCACCGGGTGCTACACTTGCCGTAGGCGAAAGATTGCGTGCGATTTGGGGAGACCGTCGTGCATGAAGTGCAAGAAGTCCGGGTTTGTATGCGAAGGGTACGACGTCAAGTTGAGGTGGTCCCAGCCGATCGAGTTTGACAAGTACGGGTACCAGCTGCCGTCGAAGCCGAACCAGGAAACGGAGTACTGTCAGCGACGGTCGATTGAGTACGTTCAGTACTCAGACAGGGCTGCTTACAAATATTACGACGAGATGGACACAGACTTGGCGAGCTTGCACAACCGACACTTGGAGTCCAAGGGCCTGGCGACCGTGATCAAGGGCCATTTCGGCGTGTTCCGAGGAACGAAGCTCACGCCAAAGAAGAAGAGGCGACGGGTCAACGAACGGGCCGGCGAGAAGCAGGCCACCAAAGGTACCAGCCTGCAGAGCGCCAAACGGAAGAAGTTGTCCGACCTCACGCCCATCCCGTCGCCTATATTGAAGCCCGCAGCCACCCCGGACACTGCTGAAACCGCTGCTGCCCTCCCGATCACCCATGGTACTGCCAAACTGGTTCACAGCAGCAATCCAGCGGCACCTGTTGCCAGCGGGACACAATTCAAGCCAGCTAAGAAAAACCAGAACTTTCTGTATCCTCAAAACGTTTCCACGTCTACCATGCCGAACTCCGGCCAGTTTGACGGCACCAAGCAGGGCAACTCTATGGGTAACGAATGGCTTAGTACGGAGCTTCTTGACGCAGCGTTATTGACCGCCTCTGCTTTGAACGGTGATACCCATTTTCTAGATATGTTTGACCTCGACAACTCAAACGCGCTGTCCTCCTTCTCGGTTGTGAACAGCAATAACAACAACCATCTCACCGAACAAAGGAGCCATAACAATAACGTTATCAATCCTTTGGGCAGTTCTGGTGACTCGGGCTCCCATCATGGTTCTCACCATAATCCCTCACACTCATCAACAACTGATCTTTTCTCGGACTCTGTGCCCGACAAAATGTTGCACCTGCTCTTCCAAGGTAGAAATGTGATGGACGTGCCCAAAGATCCTCAACAGTCCACCCAAGAGCCATCAGGAGGGTCGAAGAACAATAATGCACAATTTACCTCCCAGACTCAGACTCAGCAACCTTTTGCCGATCGCAGATTTCAAGTTCAGAACATGAATCAAACCAACGAAACTATTGATCCGAATACAAATCGCAACCAATCCGTGTTTTCTGACTCACACCATTATTCACCTCTGGCGTCCACACAGCTACCCAAGAACAGCCAACCTTCTACAGATTCTCCTTACGATGGGTCGGTCTCAGGCATGAGCATGAATGCAAAACTGCGTTATTCTTCTGCTCCACCAACTGAGGTGGTGCCAATGGGCTCTGTTGATGGGTCCGGCTTCACTTCATCAAGTGTCGAACCAACAGGAGCTTCGAGCTCTCTTAGTGCGGCACAAAACACTAGCATTGTTCCAACAACAAATCTGAACAATAAATTCAAGGGAATCAATCAACCTGTCATTGGCAATGAGATCAAAATACATGCTTCTACCGGTATCAAAATGCCCAAAAATATAATGGAAATTCTAGAAACAACACCATTGCCGAAATCCTTAGCTATCGATAAGTTTGGAATACCAACCACATCGCTAAATGTTCACCCTATGGCAAGGTATCTATTAAATTACTATATCGAAGACGTTGCGGATATGATGACTGTCATACCGTTGGCTAAAAATCCTTGGAAATTCATTTACTTTCCTCGTGCGTTGATGGCTGTTGGTGAACTTGCCTCCTTGGGTCGTACTTCAAATGCCAGAAATGGTTTGTTGAATGCATTGCTTGCTGTCAGTGCTTTCAATTTACAAAGCAAATTTGTACGTGGCAGTGACGAGATGAAATATTATGTCGATCTTGGGATCCAATTAAGAAGGCAAGCCAATGAATTTGTTGATAGATGTATGGAAGAAGATATTTTATCGCAGAAGTACAAAGACGTCCTTGTGGCAGTATTGTCAATGGTCACAATCGATGTGGTTTGGGGAACTATGTCTTCATGTAAAATACATTTGGATCATTGTGAAAAGATTATTGAGAAGAAAATGTTACATAAAAAAAAGTTGTCCTCAAAAGCAATCATTCTACATCGAATTTTCAGTTCATTGAAGCTAATTCAGGATTCAACCAGTTTGGAAAACATTCAAAAATCAGAAATCTTTTTGAACGAGAAAAATTACAAAAACTTTCTTACTGGTTCCAAACCCACAAAAGAACAATTAGATGAAATAAACAAAGACAACTTTCGGGGAATTTTTAGAGGTTCGAGAATCAGAGTTAACAGGAACAATACCGTATCCAGCCTAAATGTGAATCCCAACAGTGTTGTAGATGATGGAAACTACACGAACGGATTATCGACAAGAGCTAGTTCGGGAATGCCTGAACATGAAAATGCTGTTGGGGTTTCACCTGGGTCATTAAATCACTCCAGACAACGTAACGGTAACTACTCGAAGAGAGGAAAGTATAATGAAAAGATCACTGATAATGGTAAAGTCAGAATTGAGTTCATAGTTAACAACGAGGAGAGCAATTTGAATAATGAGCAGTTCGATGCGAATTCAGATATACCTGCTTTTGTGGATATCACCAGAACCAGTTTTAAACCATCTAAAAACAAATTGGAAGATAAAGTGGTCTCTTCCGATGCAATTTACGGTTTACCAAACTCTTTAATCTTGATGTTTGGTGAAATTGTTCCATTGACGAGGTTCAAAAAATATCATGAAGATCACAACATTATGCTCCCTTCCTTTTTTGACGAATTGGCCACTCAGTTAGAGTTTAAACTGTTGACATGGAAACTAGAATGGACACTTATAGTGGAGGACGATAACGGGTCCAGTATTGGGGACTCTGTAGATGAAGATAAACGTCAGTTCATATCACCAAGACACGAAGGTATATATCACCATGTGATGTCTTTTTACCATGCCCTTATCATTTACTTTTATCGCTTCATCGAAGACGTTAATCCGATGTACCTGTTAGAGAGAATCGAAAAAGTTCTACACCATTTGAACAAAATTCAAGACATTCTTGAAAATAATAAAGAAACTTCATACATTATTCCTTTATTTTGGCAAGGATTTATTGCAGGCAGTGAAGCGATGACTCTGTATCTACAAAACGGATTCAACAAATGGGGCCAGGATATTGCTCAGACAGGAATTGGAACATATTGGAATGCCAGACAAATTATGCTCGAGATATGGCGTCGTAAAAATCACAACGTGAAGAACAATAGTTGGGTTGATGTTCTTCGTGACTGGAAGACTAATGTGATGTTGACTTAATTTTTGCTACAATCGAACTTAGCTTGTATATTAGTGAAAAGTATTATTAATTCGGAAACTCTAATGTGTAAAAAGAAACGCGTAGTTCAAGCAATCGCTTACGTCAACAACCTGTAAAAAATAAAACGTATCAAATTTCAGGCTCAAGTGGCAAGTTGCATAGCTGTTCAAATCAGAAACAAGAGAAGGGCGTTGAACAAAGGCTAAAGTTGAAGATCAAACACAAGATCGGAAACAAAATGAAACTTTCCAAAGTTTTAAGTACTCTGACTGTGGTCTACTCGGTATGCTTGGGTGTATGCACGGGCTTGGCTGGGTTTGATTTTAACGATATCGAAGACGATATAGTGGTTCGATACGAGAAAAAACCTCCACATCACGTTGAGTTCTCTAATTACCATCAGTTTTTGAAAACTCCATTCAAAAATGAAACTTATGAAAACTTTTTACACTCCTACATTGATGAATCAACAGCAGTCACCTTCCAAGATGTGAATGATCTGAATGACAAGATCAGGCCTGTGATAAAAAATCTAGTGACTGAAAACTTTTTCAGAATCTTTAGGTTGAATTTGTTCAAAGAATGCCCATTTTGGAAAGGAGATGGCTTTTGTATGCATAGATCGTGTGCAGTTGATACGATAGATGATTGGGAGAAATTACCCGATATCTGGCAACCCGAAGCATTAGGTAAATTGGAAGATTCCGTGCTAGTGAAGAAGTTGAATGCAGATGCTGAGTACAGTAGTAAGGACTATTGTGATCTTGATGGTTTCATTCATGATACGGTTTTTGTTGATTTGGTTGCCAATCCTGAAAGATTTACGGGTTATGGTGGAGATCAAAGTTGGCAAATTTGGAAGAGTATATACAATGAGAATTGTTTCAATCTGGGTCACGATCAATGTGTTGAAAAGAACTTTTTTTACAAGATTGTCAGTGGGATGCATGCATCTATTTCAACTCATTTGTCAAATGAATATTTGGATACCACTGCAATGGATTACAAACCTAGTTTAGTACAGTTTATGATGAGAGTGGGTAACTACCCTGATAGAATTGCCAACCTTTATCTGAACTACATTGTTGTTCTTAAAGCACTAATAAAGCTAGAGACTTTTGGCGTTTTTGACGATCTGACCTTCTGTGAAGATCTGAATTTCGTTGAAAAGGAAAACGAATTCAAAACTAGATTCAAGGAGCTCTTAGATCCTGCCTTGGAGTTTAGTGAATGTCAGAACGAATGTCTGTTTGATGAAAATATTCTCTTCAAGGAAAAAAATTCGGCTTCTGTCAAGGATGAGATAAAGCAAAATTTCAAAAATATTACTAGAATCATGGATTGTGTGCACTGCGATAGATGCAGATTGTGGGGGAAACTCCAAACTACGGGTTATGGCACTGCACTAAAGGTGTTGTTTGAGTTAACCGATAAGGAAAGCTTTCAGCTTGATTTGTCCAAGGTTGAGTTGATTGCACTTGTAAACACTTTCGACAGATTGTCTAAAAGTATTGAAAGTATCAATAATTTCAAAGTCAAGTATAACGAAGCGATTCGGAAAGAGGAAATGGGCGAGGATGGCGGAGATGATGGCTTTGGGAACGACAAAATGGGTCGTCTCAATGATAGCGCCTTTGTGGCTAAAGTTAATGACAAAGAGACCTTGAAAAGTGAAGCCAAGGGAAGCCTAAAACATTCGGAGAACGATTATAAAACGCCTAATTTGTTCCAAAAAGAGACAGAGATGTATGAGGATGTCATTTATCCTAACATAGGTTTGGATGACACAGACGGCGAAACCTTAGGCCAGATATTCAAGCTTGAACTACGAAATGTATTCAACACGCTGAAGTTTGTGATAAGGTCCTACTATCTTTTTCCCAAGTTGGTTTACAACTGGTGTCTAATCCGAGTGGTGTATTACTGGAACACATTTGTAGGGCACGTTAATGAAGATTTCGATTTTGATAGGTTATATCGGATTGAGATATAGGTATATATAGTTACTTGGTTTGTATTTTGTTAGATAAAGAAGTTTATAAAGTTGTCTGGTCGATAAAAGAATTAACTCTTCGAATGGCGAAACTCAAGCCCTCCTAAATTTAGCTGAAATGGAGAAAATATGTAAAACATGGTCACGTGCGCCGTGTTGAAGATCTTAACAATACTTTTTGCGACAATCTTTTGGCGTTTTGGCCACTGAGCAGAGCTATATCATTTCCGAAATCTGCAATTTTGGTTGGAGCAATACCGGACCTTGTCTCACACAAGTGAGGAGTGAGGAGAAAGTTGATATCATTTTGAGTCTCACTGCATCGTGAAGCGTGGCAGAAAAGAAAAAATATGACCTTTCAGGTGGTGGTGACATCTACAGCCTTGACGGAAGTTGAAGCAAAAGTTCTGGAAAAAGCATTACAGGAGAACTTTTGTATGGTCAAGTATAGTCCAGACTTGACTTCCGAAGTACAGGTACTGATACTAAACAAAAAAGATCCTTTCAAACATTGGTTAAAGTCTAAGAAGTTTATGTATGTGACAGCCTATAGACCAGACATACGCGTGATTGATTTTGATGATATTTGCAACCGAAAAGGAGAGCAGCCATCAGCAATCTTACTGAAGATTCGACAGGTGAAACCTTTTGAAGGTCTTCAAATCTCGTTGTGTCGTTTAGAAGAAGGACTTTCAGAAAAAATTCATTCTGTGGTAGAGTCCAATGGAGGTAAGGTCATTCACCATTTAACCAATGAGACCGATGTGATGGTGAGTATGATTGCAGAAGGTAAGCGATATGAAGCTGCATTGAAATGGGGTGTGGCTGTGGTGAGCCCTGATTGGTGCTATGACAGTGTGGATCGAGGTCTACCGTTGAACACCAGATACTACAAACTTCTACAGAACATGGCTGGCGTGGTAACGAAATTGAATTATGAAGGTGAGGAGGACAAAACGGGTAGTGAAACGGTTGTCAAAACTTATAGATTGGGTAGAAGAGCCGATGCTTGTGATTGGGAGAAGCTTAAAGAGTGGCGGGACAACGAGCATGCTCGAAAACTTGAAGATTACATCAAAAGCAAGATTGACGGCACTGAGCATAACAAGCATAACGATGAAGCAGCTCACAAGGGCAGCAGTGAAGATACAAATGAGGAAAATTTTACTTTGTTTGAGGAAAACGTCACTGATCTCAACTCAAATAAAAGAGTTTTTTCACAACTTGATCAGGTTGATGACGAAGATAAAGTTGTTAAGATTAAAAAGGTAGGGAAGGCAGGCGAATTGTGGAATTCGATGATGCACAAGGAAAAAAAAATCAATCCTAAATTTGCAAACATGAAAACATTGCAAAACAATACGCGGGAATCTAAGTGCCCCATATTGCAAGGTTTGAAGTTCAAAACAATAGGATACAGTTCCAGAGAGAATGAGAAATTGGCTAAAGTCATTGCTAAATTTGGCGGAAAAGTGACCACTGACCCTGAAGATCAGGTGAATTTTACTGTGGTAAACTTTAGGTATAATGAAATTGTGCAGGGGTACAACCTTATTACTGAACTGGCGATAGAGCGTTTTATCTTCAATGAAAAAGTCGATGCAGGCGATTACCTTTGGTGCAAGCCCTTTTTTGTTGATCAAACAAAGCCGGTTTCGGCTTTCAAAGAAAAGTTTTTTATAGGTAACGAAGAGATCGGAAAAGATGGGCAAGATGGAAAAGTCAAGGTTTCGATAACAGGTTTCGAAGGAACTGACCTGTCTCAAATGGAACGACTTTTGAAAGAAAAGCTTTCACCTTGGGTGGAATTTCAACAAATTTTTAGTCAGGCGTGTCAGCTCTTAGTTGTGGGTCTATCTGGCCATACAAACACGGGCCGCCTGCGTAAACAACAGCTTGCCCGTCGATGGAACATCCCCGTTTTCCTTGTGGAAGACTTTTATGCGAAAGTGTTGGAGCTTTCTGCAATGTAAAGAGATTTAATAGATACCTGATTATTTCTTTGCAGGCTTAGTGTAACTACTTAAAAATTACAAAGCAATACTTCATGTCTTATCAAATTGTAGAACTTGCGCTTGAGCTGAATGCAATTGTCTGGCCATGAGGTAGTTCGGCAAGGCAGCTGGCTACACTGTATTTTGCTAAAGTTTCACAATATAGAGTTGTGAGTCACACACCCTACATGAAACTGGCTACAGCCCACCGTCATTCTTTTGGGTCGACAGGTGGTAGGTCAGATAGCTAGAAAAAAGCCCACATTGATTAGATCGCTAACTTCAGTGTGTAATATTTTCATCATGACGCATACCGTCAAATCTTGTATAAACCAATACACTATTGAGCAGTAGTTTTGTTGATAGTACCAAATGGTCCGTACTCACTCTAGCTGATAGCTTTTGGCATGTGTGTATGAAACTCATACTTTAGATTATGTTCTCTTGATTTTTTATAGTACATCGCATATGAGCGAACATCGATCGAGCAAGCATTTTTCGTTTTCTCCTCTTCAACATTTTGTAATCGTTGTATCAGCAGAAGAAGAACATAGCTCTCCCGCTCTTATAAACTAAGTTAGGTCTTTTCAAGGACAACAGATAGTACCAATGAATTCCTTTTTCAAAAACAGCATTATTAATCATTCTAAGGAGTTCACCTCCTCAGAGTTTTACCGGACAGTCACAAGAAAAAATGGTTCTGAGATCATAACGGTGACCGGCGGCAAAATCACACTTACCCAGCTCAACACAGACAAAAGCCCTCAAATTGCTATTGCAGAGGGATTACCGTTTGAGCCTATTGAAATATTGATGAATGAATGTGAGCAACTGTTATGTGCATACGACCAAACAAATTGTTGGTTATTTTCACTAAATAAAGAAGGAACCTCAATTAGATTTACTGTGACGTACAAGGTCAAGCTTGATTTGGCTGAAAATGAAACAGTTTTACAAGTCGTTTTTAACAACATAAGTAAATATCAGTCTGAGATAGTTGTGTTGACCACAACCGAAATCAGAGCTTACAATACAAATTTATCTCTTAAATCTCCAGTCATCCGTTACAACTTCAAGAAAGAGTACGAAAAGAACATATCATCAAATACTTACGATATTAGTGACCCAATAATTGATCCAGTTTCGATATGTTTTGCTTCATGTCCACCTAATTCAGTATTTGAGTTTGAAGATGCAGGATATTTCTCGGGTAACACTCCACAGAACGATTTGACACTATTTCTATTGACTTCGGATGCATCTGTTTATCAAATTTTCCCATTTTTCCCCTATGAGTTGTCCGCCTCCAAAGAATGGCTTGGAGATTTATTTGATTCAACATCAATACTTTTCAAATCCAAATCAGATAGCATTGAACAATTTGAGATGATGGCTTCTGTCAAAGTATCAGCATTGTTATCAAAAGCTTCAAACCCAGCTAGCATTGAAATCAGCGATGCCTTACCATCGATTTATCGTAAGGGAAAAATCACGGGACCATTATCAATGGAATCATTTCCTGAGGATTTATATGTTTCTGAAGCTATTAAACTTTTGAGTCTACCTAACGACTTACTTATCATTGTTTTCAATCACACTGTGGTTGTCTTCAACAGGAATTCAAAGGCAACAATGATTTTTGAAGACCAGAAAATCGAAACAAGAGACAGCTTTCTTTTGCTAGATTCAATAATATTTAATAAAAATGAGGGAGATGTATTTACCGCTATGGTGCATCCAGTGACACGTGATTCTGTGTTTGTAGTCAGTTCCAACGGCTCACTTATTCAAGTTGATTTTTCTAAGTGGATTGAGCCCTTAACTGCAGGATTGAACACTGGTGATTTATCAGAATTTAATAAATTATGTCAAACTGGAAATTTACCAACAGAAGTCATAACATTAGGCAAAATGCATTTGTCAAAGGAGAAACCTTTGACTTCTCGACTCACACTTAGGACTCATGAAAACAGCATTTGGTTTTCATGGAATACTCGAGATGTGTATGCCATGGTAATCAAAGCTAACACTTTAGATATATTATCCATGTTTTTAGTTAGTACTTCCAAGGCATCAACTACAGAGGCAGCAGATTTTGCCGAAACACAAAATGAAAAGATAAGCGGTAACGAAAAGGACAAAAAAAGCTATAAATCTTTACTCTTAGGTAACTACGAGAAAGATGTAATGCCACTTATAAAAGGATCTCTGGCTAAAATCACTGAGATAAACAGTGCTATGCAGAAGTTTCCATCAACAATTTTAAATGAGCAGAATACCACGGCTTCAGAACTCAAGACGGTTCATGAGTTATCAGAGCTAGCTACCTCAGGACAGTTGATACTTTTTAGAATACTTTCCATAATAACTGACAGACTCCGTTTGATGACCAATGAGTATCACAACCAAATAAATACCTACCATCAGATTATGCTTCAGAAAGAAGCTGTTGTAGGAAAGTTTTTGAGACTCAAGGGAGTATATTTGGATTCAATTGAGAGACAAAAGAAATTAAACGCTAGAATGGTGAATGTTATGTCCAGTGTAGAAAAATTGGAATCGACTAAAAACATGACAAATGTGAGTATCTCCTATCAAGAAAATGCGTACTTCAAAGAGTTAGCACGGATCAGAGATTTTACTGTCAAGAAAGAATCAGAACTGGAAGAAGTAGAATTTTTGTTGACAAATATAAAAAATGCAGAAAAAAGTGTTTTAACGGAAAACAAAGAAGTCATATTAAAGAATTTTGAAAGTAGAAGAATTCTGGAGAAACTCAAGCTGCAACTTGAAACTCAAGATAAATTCGTAGAATATTTGGTAAGTCTTCTGAGAAATTTCAATATCGATTAAACTAAAACTTAATTTGCATTTACGCTTCAGTATCTGTTTCACCCATAATTTATTTTATAACAGTATCAATTTTTCTATTTATGAACCAAAATTGTCGCCCTTTGCGAGATAAGGGCCATGTCATCAAAATTTGTTAAAAAGTAGCACCTTAATTTCCAGCAAGCACTAAAAATCTGTAGCTCTCCCGTTAAAGCTCCAATCTCCATGCTTTATTGGATCTTGTTTGGGGCCATTAACCTCTCCGGTCTTTGGGTTAACGTTACCTTCGAACTCTGGAATGGTCTTAGAAATGCCACCGAAATTGCCAACATCAGAACTGGTAATTTTTGGTGGGGCATCTTCCGGGGAAAAACCGTGATCTTCATTATATTGCTCAATAGCTATTTGTGTATTTGCCGCCTGTTGCAACTGTTCAAACTCCTTTTGGTCCTCTGGGTCCAATGGCAACGGCGATGGACCCTTGGCGCCAAATGCTGAGTTCGAGGAGTAAAATTTGAGGGAGTTTTTTGGTATTAGCTTCAAGAGTATGTTTCTTGTTTTGTACATGATTGTGTTTGCGTGTATGCGTAGTATATGTGTTCCGGGGCTAGAAAGCTCACCATCTCCGAACTCAGGAGATCCTGACAGACAATCAAAAAGAAATGCCGACATCGCCGCTTTACTCAATGCCACGAATTTTGGACTCGCAGCGTATATTTTTCTTCGGATCAAATCAAATGTTTACACATTGAAACGTGTTGTGCTACCAAATTATAGGATAGATTTTTTTACAAGCACGAAACGGACAGCAACTACAGCAACAGAAAGATATGAGGTATTTTGTACTGCTTCTTGGGCTTCTGCTTCAATTGACGGCTTTCCTCCTCTTTTGTAGAGGGTTCTTCCCCACAAAAGTGTTGTTGACACCAGCCGAAGTGGAACAGTTTTCCACTCCATACCCAAATAATTACCATGATCCGGAGCCTCAATTCAATAAGGTAGTACTTATGGTAGTAGATGCTATGAGAGCGGATTTTTTGTTCTCCAACAATTCCCGTATGAGTTTTGCACATAGTTTACTAAATGATGGTTATGGCGTCGGATTCACAGCTTTTTCAAATCCACCGACCGTGACTCTACCACGTCTCAAAGGTATCACCACAGGGTCTACGCCAAATTTCATTGATGCTGTACTGAATATTGCCGACGATGACACGTCAAGCTCCCTCGGTGATAGTGACTCATGGATAAGACAGATGTTTTTGGAAAATTGGAATATCAACATGTTTGGAGATGACACATGGTTAAAACTTTTCCCGAACTATTTTGCCAAATCCGAAGGTACTGCCAGTTTTTACGTTAGTGATTTTACTATAGTTGACAACAACGTAACAAGACATTTGGACTACGAACTAAGCAAAGAAGGAAAATCTTACTGGGACTGCTTGATCTTACACTATCTCGGTCTTGACCACATTGGTCACAAAGGTGGACCAAACAGCTCTAACATGCCCCAGAAACAAGAGGAAATGGACAGTATTTTAGAGCGTATTTTCAAAGAGGTTGTTTTGCAAGATCCGAACTCACTTTTCATCGTCCTAGGTGATCATGGAATGAATGATGTAGGAAACCATGGAGGATCCTCCACCGCAGAAACTTCTGCTGCCTTGATGATGATTTCTCAAAAATTCAAAGGACTAGGCCTAAACAATGATATAAAGGCACCAATTGCTTTGAACGATGACTACAATTACTTTTCGAAGATAGATCAGATTGATTTAGTACCGACCTTAACTGAACTCATTGGGCTTAAGGTTCCAATCAACAACCTTGGCGCTTTTGTTCCTCAATTTTTGGAGTTATACTCAAATGAGGAAAAAAATAATATCTTGCTCAAAAATGCTCTTCAGCTGAAAGTACTATTAGATAAATCACACGGTGGAGTTCACCCTTTCCCCGAGATGGATAACACTGAACTTTTAGAGTTCATTAAAAATGCTAAAGAAGAACTATCTCGAAGCTCTTCTGCTTATGATTATCCTTTCATTTATGCTGGTATTGGTTTATTTTTAATAGAAACACTGGCTTCCTATATGTTTTTTGCTTTTCATTTCAAAGACCACTTTCACATTGCTTTTTCTGATGTTGTATTTTTTGTCACCTACTCTGCAAACTTTATTGCCTCATCCATGGTTGAAGAAGAGCATCATCTATGGTGGTTTTTCACTACTGTTTATACTGCATTCATAATACTGAAAAACCTTAGAGGTGAAAAAATCAGTTGGTTAGGAATTTTAGCCATGTTAGTTGGCCTGAGATTGCTAAAAGCTTGGAACAATAGCGGTCAAAAACATAACATGAAAGCAAATATGAAACTCTCCACATATTTGAGCCAACTTCCAGAAAATATAGGTCCAAACATATATGCGTCTCTTCTTATTATTTCTGTTCTTCCTATGGGCATTATTGTGAATGTTTTCGGCAAGGTTGGATTATACACCATAGTTTTGAATATCCTATTTTCAATACTATCATCCTTAAACTGTTTTATCAAGATGATATCTTTTCTGACAGAAAACTATGATATCAATAAAACTAGCCTGAGTCCGAGATGGTATTTTGGTTTTATTTGCAATTTGAAAGAAGTTCTGCAACTTGATGATTATAACAAAATAAACAACTTTCTTTTTGTTATATTACAAAGATTTTGGTTAGTGGCCATTTTACTGCAACTATTGCGGCCAATGTATGCCAAATTTATTAAACAAAAAAGCATTTCATTTAAGAGCTACTTACTCAATCTGCTATCAACTGTAACATTTATCTTAATATCACAGACTAACTATCTTAATGTGCCAATCTTCCCTGTGCTTTACTTGATTTTTTTTGGGCTAGTTCAGATTTCTCCGGAGTCTTCTATAAATTCCAATGCATTCAACTTATTCACTCTATTATTACAAAATTTGACATTCTTCCAATTTGGATCCACAAACTCATTATCTTCAGTTGATCTTACCAACTCTTTCAACGGCCTAACAAGCTATAACGTATTCTTATCGGGCCTTTTGACATATACATGCAATTGGGCCGGTCCTATATTCTGGACAATAGCACACTTGTACATAGTTTTCAGCAAAATACCAGAAGATAGAATCAAGTCTATGAAGTGGAACTTATTATTTGATCGATTATTGTTTAATTTTGTTTTTTATTCCACAAGTGGTCTTCTTCTGCTTTCTTGCTGCTATCATTTGAGATTTCATTTATTCATATGGACTGTTTTCAGTCCTAAGATATTATATTTTCTCAGTTGGTTAGTATGTAATTTCGTCTTTGATTTCTTAGTGAGTACCGGAATTGTTGCAATTTTTGTATGATTTTTAACAAAGTATCTACAAGGTATTGTGCATTCAAGAATGTTTATAGAAAAAGTACAAAACCATAGATGTATAATAGTATAGGCGGAATAAAGTTATCGAATTTTATGTAAAATGAAGGAACAATCTAAAAGCAAAAAATGTATCTAAAAGATTACTCATCTTCATCGTCAGTATTGACAGGTTTTGGGGTTCCCTTTGGAGAATTCAACCATTCAATATATCTGAGTCTTCTTCTTTCTTCCTGCAACTTCTTTTCATTTCTTGTCAATCTCTTCTTTCTTTGCTTGACTTTGATGTTTGCAGGGGAATCATCGTCATCTGCTTTTGCTACTGACTTTTTAGCCAACTCGGTAGCCAGCTTCGTTTGCTCAGAATTACCACCATCTTCAAATCTGGTTTGGTCAATTTCTGCAACTCCTTTGGTAACTAGTTCACCATTCTCAACAATCCATTGTTCAGGGCACAATGCACCAACAAACTCATTGTTATGTGAGATCATCACAACAGCACCCTTCCACTCTCTAATTGCCATTGCTAATGCACCTAAAGAATCTCTGTCAAGATAGTTGGTAGGTTCATCCAAAACCAAAACGTGAGGATTATTCCACATCGCACCGGCAATAACAACTTTGACCAATTGACCACCGGAAAGTGAACCAAGCGCAGTATGATCTGCAATCTCACCATCAAGACCAATTGCTTCAAAATGCTCTCTGATGACCTTAGGGGTTAATTCTCTGTAACCAAGACCTTCACGAGAAGCTTCGTGATCATCGAACTTCTGCACAAGTCTTTCGAAACCATGTTCAACCAGAACATCTTTTGGAACCCAGGAATTACACTTTGGAAGCCAATTCTTCCACTTAACTTCGTATTGGAAAGATTTCTTCAATTTTTGTCTACCAACCACAGCTTCAATAAATCTTGGTCCACGGCCATCGCCGACGTCAATTTGTTGTTCCATCATTTTTCTCTCATCTTCCGAGCCGATTTTACGAGATTCTTTCAGAAGAACTTCTCTATCGTCACCAAATCTATATCTCCATTGTAAATATTGATTTGGTGTTTTTTCTTTATGCTCATTGACGTGTTGCAAAGCGTGTTGAGCAATGTAACCAATACGCAAATTTGGATGTTTTTCAACAGTACCTTCTTGTGGAACGAGTTCGGCAGTAAGAAGTTTGATTAAGGTGGACTTACCTGCACCATTTGGACCCAAAACTGCAACTCTTGAAGAAAGTGAAATATTACATGAAACGTTCTTTAAAGACGGCTTTTCGACACCAGGGTAAGCGAATGTGACATTAGACATTCTCGCAACCGATCTGGTATTTGACTTGACACCAGTCAAGATACCAGGTGGTGGGAAATGCATCTTCACATTAGAATCAGTCAAAGTATAGTAAGCTTTTGCTTCTGGCTTGATATCAACGAAATCGGACAAGTTACCCTTGTAATAAACCAATTTCTTATTTTCGTAATGGATGATATCAGTACAAACCGCATCCAAAAATCCCGAATCGTGAGAAACAATCAATGATGTAATATCTGTGTGTTCAAGTAAATAGTTTTCCAACCATTTAACATTGGAAACATCCAAATGATTGGTAGGTTCGTCCAATAAAAGGATGTCTGCCTTCAACAACATGGCACGAGCTAGCTCCAACTTCATTTTCCAACCACCCGAGAGAGATCCAACTTTTTGCGCTCTTCTTTCTTCATTGAACCCCACACTCTCTAACGCATCTGCAATTTCTTCCTTTGTTGCAGCACTCAAATCAGGATCAGAAGCAATAAAATCAACTAAGTTCAAATCACCTTCTTCGCCTTGCAATTTATGCTCAACAAAACAAGTCTTCAAGACAGATTGATCAGGGAATCCTTCCAATTGACCATTGTTGATAGCTCTCATAAGAGTGGACTTACCAACACCGTTTCTACCACAAAGACCATATCTATGACCCTTAACTAATCTCAAGTTTGTCTTGTTTAACAACATTCTAGCACCATAAGCAAGAGAGAAAGCTGCATTGACAATGACAATACCATCTTCTTCATCATCCTTAACAGCGTCTGGAGTAAACAAAGTCTTTAAAGTTAGGACCATATCAGCAACTTCTTTGTTCTTTTCTTCTTCATCGTCTTTATAGTAAGATGATAATGCCATAGTAAAGTATTCGGAAAGAGAGTTCCAATCATTAACATTGGCGTCGGAGACAACAATGCCGGTTAAGTAGCTGAACAAAACATCGCTGTTCAATCGGTTCTTGAATTGTTGGATATATTGAGCAGCAGATGTCTTGTGAAGTCTACCGTGGAATTTACCATCACTGTGTTCCTTCTCGGCCTCTTCAACAACTGACAAAGCATCATTTGCCATATCTCTAACTTCCGGTAAAGAAGCAGTTTGAATAACTTGCTTCAAACCTGGAAGTAAAACAGGAATATACTTTTCAATTTCACGCTTATTGTTAACCAATCTGGTCAAATTTTCTGTGATTTTCACAGTTTGTCTCAATTGTTCTTGAGATGACGATGACATTTTCAAAGATTTGTCAATAATTGGAACAACTAGTGCGAGTGCAGGTTCAGTGACCTCTGCAACAAATGTGACAGAAGCCAAAGTTTTGATACAATCTGGAACCTTCTGAGGATTAGCTAAAGTTTCAACAATTATGTCGTATCTTGGAGACAAATCCAAGTTATCTAAAATTTTGACAAATTGTTTCAATACCTTCATACCATCCTTGGCTAATTCAGGCTTGAAATCAGTGGCCATATCAGTAAGAATTGGGATTGCATCATAGAATTCCATTTCCAATAAATCTGCAGGACACTCTTCAATGAGTTTTTCGACTAATTTTAAACATGCGATCTTGGATTGCCACTTTGCACCAGACTTGAGGTATGATAAGAAATGTCCCACTAAGATAGAAGCCTTAGCTTCAGTTGGAAACATACCATACAAAGTGTCAACAGCGGCCTGTGCAGCCCTCTTCACTGTGTTTTCCTTATCTGTGAAAAGGTCAAATGCATAATTGAAGAAGTCAACAAAATATGCTTCATTTGGTGTAGCACCTGCAAACTTACGACTCAAAGTTTGGATTAAAACAGGAGCAGCTTCTCTCAACAATGGGGAGTTTTTTGGCTTAGATAAGGTTTTGATAACTTCACCAATCTTCCAGTCTTGCAATGAGGAGGCACCGTGTTCGTAAACTAAATCTGCAATCGTATTGCATTGTTCACGAACTTCAGAAATCTTGGTTGATTTGTTTAATTCTGATAAGGAGGCAGACAGAGGCGTGATTTCCAGCTTTTCTAGAGCAGAAGAAATCGAAGTCGAAGATGCATTAGCGGACATTGGGGAAGACGAGACGTTTGGCACGGTACTATTAGAGTTTGCACGTGAAGATACCTGAGAACTCTGACCACTTGGAACATTTGGTCTTGAATTCAAACTAGACTGCTGGTGTGCCAAAAACTCTTCGTATGACATCTGTTGTGGTTGTCTTTTTTGATTCGTGAAACCTCTGTTGTTATTCCTGCCGCTAGGTGAACTTTGTTGTTGGTTGTAACCAGTGGAACCGGATCCGCTGTATCCTTGGTATCCGGAAGCCGGGGTTCCCCAGTTGCCATTGGCATTAGAAGATGATGCATTTGCATCAAACTTTGGTGGCATTTTGGTTGATTGGTCTTATGTGAAGCTATTTGAACTATTAAAATCTTATTATTGCTTCTGGTCTTCCAACCTAAGAGATACCAAACCGGAAATATAGTGAAAATTTTTTCTTTTCCTTCTCTTTTTTTCACACCATATGGTGTATCAAATTAGCAGTCTGATTATGTAATCGCGGAACCTATACAGCATATGCTGTATCTATCTCTGTCATAATTACTTATAAATTTTATATACAGGTCCTTACATTTAATAAATGGAAATTTTTTACGGCTTCCATTCCGGCAAGTTGTAAAATCTTTGCAGCCCCGAAAGATTTGTTTCAAATACAGCTTTATTGTGGTAGCGCTCGGAGTCTGGAAGAAGCAAAGAGAAAGGATCCTCCTTAGTATAGGTCGATTTGTAGCAAAATAACTCCGCGTATTTGTACAAAACCATGGCAACCTCTTGCCATGAAAAGTCCCTTCTCGTTTTGAAGTCGTCATGTAGAGACTGAACTCCAAAGTGATGACGGTATTGTTTTATTTTCTGTTCGTATTGATGAGCTGCTTTTCCGGTGTGCTTCAAATAACGTTCGGCCTTAGAAATAGAGAGTTCAAATTTTGTTTTGATTGCCAAAACAAAATCAAACTTAATATTTTTTTCTCCAACCAATTTTCCATACCATTGAATCAAACAGATTGATCCTGGAAAATCACCATAGGCTAGTAATGTTCCCACAGCTTCCTGTATGGTGAAATTATCATCTACCTCCTGTTCCATCATCTTTTTCATCAGCGAGCGTAAAGAATTCAAACGTAGGCTAAACAAATCACCAGTAAGTGTTCCTGAAACGACAGACTTATAATAAGCACAAAATAAGGTGGTCCATAAATTTTTCGTTCCCGGTTTCCCCAAACGGATATGATTGACGGCAATTGGGTTATCAGAAAAAACATATGTTTCGATAAATTTGATAGCTTCCGAGTACAACTTCTTCGAAATGAAAGAGAGAATGATCTTGTTTGCTAGTTCCTGTTCCATTTTGATATCATAATCAACCATCATTTGCAACAAGTCATTTATCTCCTTCACTCTTGGGTTTGATTGTATCAAGAACAATTTGCAAAATTCGGTGTAAGCGTAGGAATTAGCAACCGGTAAAATGCTGTCCACGACACCATTGGATTTATGCTCATTCATTTGACCTATGAGCCTGCATGCAAGCTGAAAGGAGGCAGCAGACTTGTGCTGAAGTAAAATCTCAAGCAGAGACCTGACGTCAAAAGACGTTAATTTCTCGCCACTTTGAATGATCTCTTGCAAATCATTGATTTTTGATAAATGCTTACTTTTCAGCTTTGCTAACCGTTCAAGATAGATGTTGATATCTTCAACAATTTTTGCCTCATTGTAAGAAACGCATCTCGTTTTCTGTAGTGTGCTGATCTCTTCTATCAAGTAATCTCGTATTTCTGTGGAAAGTTTATGTGACGATGGATAATTTACCCTGGAATTCTCCTCTAAAGTTATGAGAAATAGTTCTCTACCAGAATATTTAAATTGTTCCCCAAACCTCCTAACAAATTCGTAGATAAATTCTTCATCGATTTCAACGACATTTTTAAGCATCTGGACCCCTCTTTCAAACTGCAATCCTCCAATAAAGGAAAATATACATTCAAGAATGCCGTCGTAAGAGATAGGCTCGGTCCGATTGTAGTAATTATAAACTTGTTCTCTGTCCTTATCATCATAGAGCCTGGTCTCAGGAACCACTATTTCTTTGACGATTCCCAAGTTTTGTATGTTGATTTCAATATCTTCCCAAAACCAGAAAGCATCATCGAAATTTTCCTTCATGCAACACTTTTTCAAAGCATCAATCAACGTTAAATTGTTCACATAGCCCCACCGATCTCTAATATCGTGAACCAAATCTATAGCTTTACTTAAATCTTCATTCTCCATCTGATTCTCATTTTTATTGTTTTCTCCTGCATTGTCGGGGAGTGAAGTGGACTCGTTAAAGTACCTGCTTAAATGGATGCAAACACCCAGTTCAAACCAAAATCGTTCGTTCTTCACGTCTTTTTCCTTTCTTGTGTCGTACAAGAAAAACGCCCGATCAAGGTCATTATATCTAATGCAACTTTCAATGAAAAATTTCTCATTAACCGGATCCGGTCTTGCCCTAGGACCCAAATCTCTGCGGAGAGCCTGGTACAATAATTTGCCGCAAAGATAGATACATCGCTCACGTCTGTCCGAATCCACAATCTGTGTGGATAGTTCATACAATGCGGCATACTTCTCGAGAGGTACCGAGGATTGTAAATCGACGTTGCTCATCTTAGTCAGATGTTTCAAAAAAAGGGGTAGTTTGTTCAATGAAGATTTTGAATCCATAACTGATAATTCCTGTGCCATTGCAAATGCCTTTGTCATCGCCTCCGGATCAGAGCCGGTTTCGTTCTCATCGCTGGTCATGAATTCGTCTAACTTTTTCCTTATTTCGACTTTTTCTCTATATGTATCTCTGTGCTGATCGCTGATCCGGCTCTTGCCGTCTTCAATAAGCCAATCGATATATCGATTGATTTCTTCCTCGCTCACTTTGGACAACGTCATCGAGGGATCTTTGATGTATTCAGATACAAGCTCCTGCTCCTTTGCCGACTCCTGCACCATTCGGTTGATAAAATCCGTGTCAACTTCCACACCGTCTTGTTTAAAGCGTGCTGTCAACTCGTTGACGATATCTTGAGGCTTCTTGAATTTCATTTCCTGCATTACTTCGTTCAAATACTCATTGTTTCTTGAAGAAGATGACGGAGTGGAAGTAAAAGAATGAGAAGGAGAGGTGCCTGAAAATCTACTAAACCTCGACCTTTCTACTTTCCCGTCTGAAACAGGTACTCCTGGATCTTTGTCCTGTATATCAATAGCCCCCTTTTTTTTGTTCTTTCCCTTGGTAAGGTCGATCTTGATGGGTGTTCTTGTCCTCACCCCCCTTGAATGTTGGCCAAACGCCACGGACACAAGTCCTTGACGTTTGAGGTACTGCATGTTTTGGTTGAAAAATGTGAAAAGGCAAAAGGAAAGACGGATGATAAAATAGATTCGAAAATAGGTGTCAAAAGGAAGATAGTTTGACCGATATAAAAGGTTGGAATTTTTGCTCCTACCGAAGACATGAAAAATTCAAAATCTTTACTATTACGTAATCGCATTTTTTACATTTGTTTTAGTTGTTGAATTTTAATTCGAATTAATTGAATGATATATAATAAAAAGACATGCACATGATTATATAAAAATCATCGATAGGGGGTGAGAATCGAAAGTTTGAATGTTTTTACATAATTTTCATAAGACATTTAAGTTTTGTAAGGAGAGGAAGAGGGGGAATAATACACTTATTTGAATTGAGATTCAGTGACACCAGCACCCATTGCAGAAGTTGAAGAAACACCACCTGTCACCAACTTGACAATAGAATCAACGTATTCTGCACCAGACCATTTTTGATGTTTCACGACCTCGACACCGGATTCTATTTCCTTTGCTTGGATGTTTTGGCCGTAGGCTCTCATACCGTGCGCAGCGAAATCTCTGGAGAAGTTGTCGACAGCCAAGGCGGTGGTATGTAGACCGGCCAAGGTGATGAATTGCCAAACGAAACCCAACTTGGACAATCTTGGGATGTAAGTTTCTTGTTCTTCTGGGGTCATGGCAGAGTTCCAGTTGAAAGAAGGAGATAAGTTGTAAGATAACCATTTGTTTGGGTAGACAGCCTTGACACCTTCGGCGAATTCCTTTGCTTGTTCGTAGATTGGCAACTTGGTTTCCATCCAAACCATGTCACAGAATGGAGCAAAGGCTCTAGCTCTGTTGACGGCACATTGGGTACCACCATTGTATCTGTAGTAACCTTCTCTGACTCTTGGCTTGTCCCAGTCAAAGTAAAGCTCGTAACCCAAAATGTCCTTGGCGACCTTTTGAGCTTCACGAATGGAGTGGTTGGATAATGGCGTGACAATGGAGTTGAACTTGGCAATGGCAGCCTCCTTGTCGGTGATCTTGGACTCCTTTTTCATGGCAGCAGCGACGGCTTCGTGGAATTGGGAGATACCAGCATCCTCAACCCATTTAGCTTCGATCTTGGCCAAATCGTCACCGTAAACACCTTGTTGCTCGGCCTTGTTCATCACGTCCACCAGGGGTTCAATGTCCTTGTTGGTAGTACCCTGGACAAAGTAGTGGTCCCTGTTGTCGATGGTGGAGGTGATCAAGGTTGCAGCCTCGGAATCGGTTCTTGCGACAATCAAAAGCGAAGAGTGGAAGACATCAGCAGAAGTTCTGATGCACACCAATCTGTTGATGTGTTCTTGGATTGGAACCAACACCTTACCGGCCATGTGGCCACACTTCTTGGTACCTGCAGCTTGATCTTCAATGTGGATACCTGCTGCACCGTTTTCAATGAACATCTTGGTCAACTTGAAGATGGCGGTGGTGCCACCGTGACCGGTGTCACCGTCGGCAATGATGGGTCTCAAGAAGTCCGTGTAGTTCAACTTGGATCTCTCAGCCTTCGAGAGGGAGAATCTTTCTTCCCTCTGCTTTCTGTCGTGGAACAGTTGCGCGTAGAACAAGTGCTGGACCTTGTTTGGCACAGTGTCCATAGGGTAGTCTGCAAGGTCTGGAGAAGGCTCGTTCGACGTGGAAGCCGTGGAGGAACATTGCCAGCCCGACACGTAGATGGTGTCCAAGTACTTGGCCATCTGCGCCACGTGGATAGGGTCGAGCGCACCGAAGGTGATGGACGAGGTGCCGTTCTTGGCGTGCTCCTTCAAGAGGGCAAACGCCTTTCTGGCCATTGCGTCCGAGGCGTTTGGGTTCACGAGCGTGGATCTTCTCTTGACAATCTCCTCCGCGGTGTACGGTCTCTTGATGCCCTCCCATCTAGGCTCCGCCCACCACTTGTTGACTGCGTCGACCTCGGCCTGGAACGCCTTTTCTTCGGCATCGATATCAATCTTTGTGTAAACCATTGTGGATGTGTGTGTGCGTGTGTGTGCGTTTGTGTGTTTGCGTCTGCGTGTGCTAAGCTGTGTGCTTGTGTGCTCAACCAACTGCTTGTTGAAGAAAAGAAGAACTACAACAGACAAAACACACCTAACAACACTCCACCAACACTCCGCACCAGCAAAACGACCCCAGAGGATGGCAAACACCCCGCTATTTATACCACTCCTGCCCCGGCGCCCGCAGCCGCAATGGCCTCTCTGCCCCTGCTCTCTCCCTTCCTCCTTCACCACCTCCGTCACCGCACACCTTACTGTTACCCCAGACTCCCGCCACACACGCCCCGGCCGCCCCGTCACTGCCATGACGGCAGTGTGAATCATCTCCCTCGGCTCTCTGGGGAAGGCCCGCCGGAGCTGCGCCGCGGCACGGGGCAGCGGGAGAACGGCCCGCAGGGGTCAGCGGAGTGCGCCCACCCCCGCGGGCTTGCGGACATGCACACGCCCACGTCCATGCTGCCGGCTGCCGGCTGCACCGCCACAGTGCTGCCGCAGCAGCCGGAGACGCGGGATCTCCGAATCCCCGACGGTCCGCAGGTCCGCGCCAGTGTGGGGTAGCGGAAACCATACTCAGGGGGTGCAGTGGCGGGGCGCGGGGGCGGAGAAACGGGGAGGGCGCGTGAGGAGAAAGAGCAGGAGCGAGAGGAAAAAAGGGGCGCGGGGCCGATCGGCCCGGGGGGGCCCGGAGAAAAAAAAAGATGGGCCGGATTACGTGAGCAGGGCAGAGGGGAAGAAGGAGGGGATTGGCGCACGTGACTGTATGTTTTGTTGATCTTCTTCATCTTGAGGGAAAAGAAAAGGGCAAAGCTGGTCTGGCGGCTCGTACCCTCTGTGTGCAACTGCTCCATTTACAAGACAACTGCTGCCAGTGCGATGGAAACGGCCTCTGCGAGTCCTGCAGACGACTTGTCGCTCGCCAAGGGCGTCGTCAGCGACGGCGGCGACGACGACGACGAGTTCTACACGCCTGGTCCGGACAGCCTCTACGCCTCCCGTGTCGTGATTGCAGACCACTCGCTGCAGAGCGCACAGCGCCGTGTCCAGCGCCAGTACGACGCACACAGGGCGTTCGACAGCGTCGCCAACCTCCTTGCCCGCAGAGACTGCTACGCCTTCCTGCGCAGCTCGCTCACGCTGCAGGGGACGCAGCCCGTCTCCAGCAGGTTCACCTCCGCCGTCGCCCACTCGGGCCCGCTCGGCGTGCTGGCAGTCGCCTCCTGGGACGGCGGCTGCTACTTTGTCGACCCCTCAGACCTCGCCGTCCGCTCGCAGCTGCCCGGCCTGCACCCGGAAAAGGTGAGCGGTCTCCAGTGGTCGCCGACAGCGGCCTCGATCTTGGCCACGGGCGGCTCCGATGGCACACTGAACATCGTGGCAAACCCTCTCGACGCCAGCTCTGCCGGAATCACCCCGCTCACGGGCCATCTTGCACGCATCAACGACGTGTGCTTCCATCCGCTGGGCAGGTTCGTCGCCTCGGCGTCTGCGGACCTCTCCTGGCGTCTCTGGGACGTGGAGACAGCCCAGGAGCTCTACTACCAGGAGGGCCACACAGACTCGGTCAACACCGTCTCGATCCACCCGGATGGATCTCTCCTCGCCTCCGCGGGAAACGACTCCGTCGTGAAGCTCTGGGACCTCCGCTCGGGCAAGTCCGTCATGGACCTACACGAGGACGGCCACATCAAATCCGTGCACGCCCTCGACTGGAGAAGCAACGGCTACCACTTGGCGTCGGGCGGAGCCGACGCCCAGTTGCTTCTCTGGGACGTCCGCATGGGCAAGAAGGTGGCCTCCGTCCTCGCCCATGACAAATTGATTTCCAACGTCCAGTTCTCCCCCTCAGGCGAGTTCCTCGTCTCAACCGGGTATGACGGCGTCCTCTCCTTGACTGCTTCGGACAGTTGGATAGTGTTCCACAAGTTCAAGACCCTCGATAAAATCATGGCCTGCGATCTCTTCTACCGCAACGGTAGCAACGACTACAAAGATCTGAATATAGTCACAGGTGGCTGGGATAGAAGTGTAAAACTATACAATACAAATGATACATAAACACACACAACACTCACTCACTCCTCACAAATTGTACACAGGCATCTCACAGTTAAACCCGTCAATAACACTCACATTGTTTATAGGAACCTCCTTATGCACAAGCATGTTAATTATATCCTGCGAAACAACACCCCCCACAATCGCATTCGTCGGTTGATACTCGCAGTACGCATTTTTGATGAACCGCTCAAGACTCGTGTCGTCCATCTGTATACTACTAGGTAGATTGTATTTTTCTAGAACCTTGCCAATTTTGGCATCCAATAAATCTCTCTCAATGACCACATCCTCTATATCCTTATTCAAGTACGTCCCAGGCAGTTCTAACAAGGCCAACAACGAGACCAAGGCAGGGTTCACCCTCTTCTTTTTCTTCTTGTCCGTCGGCAATTGCGCATCCAAAAACCTACCACTCAATTCATCCCAACTTCGATATTCGTTTTCCACAAGAACCTTCTGTAACTCAACATCGTTTTCGGTAACTTCTTCTAGTGCCAGAATCTTGCTCACCATGTCAATATCTCCAACTTCCCGTAAGGCCGATTTCTCTAATTTGATCCAGCTCTGACATTTGATCAAATCGTTGAAAATCAGCCCATACATTCCATGAACACAGCAGGCAATCAATGGTATACTTATCTTCCTGCTTATCTTGTTTAACTTTGAAACTTGACTCGAGTTTAGTCCTGTACAAACAATCAACTGATATTTGCAAAATTCTTCCTCCCCTAAATCTTCCCAATCTCTTGAATCTGATTTAAACTGTACTCTGGGATTCATATCTTGTATCCTGTTCTTTGATGCGTCAACTTTCAGCATCCCGATCTGACTTTTGTCCACAAAAAAATTGCTATTCAACTCTTGCTCCTTCAAGGTGCTCGAATCCATTAAGGTTAAGGATCCAACACCTCCAAGGGTCAAATTTTTCACTATCTCTACCCCAACCCCAGTTAAATTTATAACTAAGATATTCGAGTTCCTGAGATTGGTTTGTGCCTCCATTCCCCAAAGACGAATTTGTCTATCATAAAGACTGATTTCATCTTGTGTTAGCTTAGTTTCTTCCATCGGCATGTTTGCTGTAACTAGTCGTTGGGAACTGTTTCTTAACCGATTGGTACCCTACACAATCTCCAATAATTTAACTCGGCACATCCCAACAGTAATGTGTACAGAAGCTTCTTTTTTTCATCGCTAGCCGTTTACGCTCACAAGTCCAATGCCGTTTTTTCCCCTTCCTTCTTGCTTCTGATCCTCTTCATTTCTGTTTTTTCCACCTCAAACTTGTCTGGTTCTACCTTCTACTATTTTACTCTGATAATCATCACAGCAATTTCCTATCTACCGAAAAATGGACCTACTGCGTATTCTAGATGCTAAGCCAGAGCCCTGTATCGCCGATACCGATCATTTCAAGGTAGATCCCAAATATCAATTTTCAAATGTTTACAAGATTGCAACGCCAATGAGTGACTTCCAAAAGGAACTAATCGATCAAATTGTCTCTCTACACTATAGTGATATTTTAAGATTTTTTGAGAAGTTGGATTCCGAGTCATGGGATAACATGTCATCTAATCGCAAAGAAATCATTACTTCCTCATTGGAAACACTGCTGATTAACACAAAGCTTGTGTGTTTGCACCCATACTTACTCATAGACCATTTCTTTCCCAAAAGTTTGACTACAAGGGATTTGCCTAACCGTTTGGCAGAAACAAGCGGAAAATTCAGGATTTTAAATGATCTCTTAACACAACTAGATACAATTTATAACCCAGCAGATAAAGCAGATAAGTCAAAAAAGGGTAAACGAATAGATATTGCTGTCATAGTACAGCCTGGGAAAGCAATGGATTTAGTGGATGCGTTGTGTATTGGGCACAAATGTAACTTGAACAGATATGCGGGAATCAAATTGAGAGATTCATCTGCAAACCAAAAGAAAAATATGCATCTTAATTTGAACGTGCATCTGATCCCCTCGGATTTTGCAAATATAAACGAAAAAGAGCTAGCTACAAACTTGAATAACTTTACGACAAAAATGAATTTTGTCATATTATTTGATCTAACTGTGAATTTGAACGATCAGTTTTTGTCAGGAATAACAGATGTCAATAAGACCAAGTTCTTCAAATTAGTGCCTATCAACTCTGTTGAGCATATTGAACTTTATTATGAGCAACAGATACAATCACGGGCGATAGACGAATTTATAAGACCTATTACAGCTGCAATAGTTGTTTTAAGAGATAGAGTAGGACAATTGCCGTCAATCTTGAAACCTGCCTATACAAAAAATTTGTTGTTCTTGAAACAATACTTAACAGATCCAATCAACACAAAATGGCCATTGCCAGATTTACCATCAATTGGGAACTTCACGTCTAGAGATGTTGAACGATCTTTACTGACGGAAGTAAAGTTCAGTTTTGATAATGAAGAAATTTTGAAAGAGGAGGAGGAAAATCGCCCGAGTGTACAGGATAGTTTGAATACAAATTTTGGGGGGAAAACTCAAATGATTGGACACATTATTCAGCCTAGATTTGCAAAGAAAAATGCAGCCTGTAAGAATTATTATGATAACAAGAGGCTAGAAAAAAATTATTTGATGAACCCACTCAATAAAGACTACGAAAATTTGACTGGCATATCCAAAGAAGTGAAGCAACACGAAGTACTGACGCATACTCTTATTTATCATTTTGATGCTAGTATAAAGAAATTGATCGATTTAGATAAAGAAGTTCAGAGTTTCAATGAATTTGGCGATATTCGATTGAAAGATTTCCGACAAATGGTCGATGCATTTACTAAGTTGGAAGAAAGTGTTAAAGAGAAGGATAACAAGTTGAATGACATTGACAAAGATATTACCGAATACGGTACCAAGTCCGAAAATCTGAAAAATGATATCCAAAGATATGAGGAATTAATTGAATCCATTGGTAGCTCTGATACTATTGATTCAAACTCAAAAAAGTTGATCTCTAAAGATATCGAGAAATATACGCTCTTGAGAGACATAAGCAAGCTGGAGCAAAAATTAGAAACTAGTACAAATGAAAGTAAGTATATGGAGGAGGAAATCGAAAGAGCAGAAAAATCGATAAAAGAATCAAAAAATGCTATTGAGAAACAAAATGCAATTAACGAGGATTTCAACGTTACAATCGAAGAAATAAAAATGGAAGACACGGAAGTGACCCGTGAGAAACAAAAACTTGATCTATTGACGGAAAAATTGAAGGCATTGGAGGATCAATCGACCGAGGTGAAGCAAAAGATGGAGGACTCATTGATCAGCCTGAATGAGATCGGGCATCGGTCAAGACATGTAAATTATTATGGTCGTAACAGTGGAGCATCGTTGAAAAAGCATGCTCTTTCATGATGAAATATTTTGTACTATTTATCATTTAAACATGGATTTCTGAGAATCAGTTTTAGCTGAATGAATCGGAATTTTTACACAGTTGCAGTAAAGAAACATCCATTTACCAGGATTAATCAATAATGAAACTGGTATATAGCAGCTTGATATTATCAAAAGAATAGCATGCCTATAGTTGTAGATATGACCATATCCTTAAAGGTGCTTAATTGGACTTTATATAACAGCCCTAACATGCTACTATTTACATGTATCGTTAGATTTTATTGATTATTCATGTTATAAAGTGGGTGAAGGAAGTCAAAGCTGAGTAAGCTTAGGATACTGCTCTTCAGAATCTTTTGATATGTGAGTGTTGTAGTACTCAGCTTGAAGGAATGCCCACAAAAAATCACTCAAAATTACCGTCTGTACAAGATTGAGGGCAAGGCTTATAGCGTAGAAGAAATTGGCATTACCTGAGTTTAATATCATCCAAACGACGTAAAATGTTGGTGCTTGAAGAAATACCACAAATAATGCAACATAACTGACAACAGGGCTAAATTTCAAAAATTTATAGTATGGTTTGAATAGAAAAACTGATGAGTAAAACAAGCTGTAGTCTGAAAACACAGGATAGGGTTTTGAGAAGTTGGTTATTCCTATTATGATCCATATCACAAATAAAAGGTTCATTTTGTTTCCCGCAGTTATAAACCTTATAGACAGTGGGAAGATGAATATGAACCCATAGAGATTGAAAACTGATAAGTAGAAATCGTTGAAAAACTCGAATATTTCAGTGAAGAAATACCACCATAATCCCAAATTTGGTGTTATCTTTTTAAATTTGATGAGAGTCACATAGCAAAGATTAATGAAATTGAAGGAATTGTTGCTCAAATTATAGCTCACTCCGAACAATACACCGATCGGTGCTAGGAACAATAACACGGCACTAATAACAGACTTTACTTTCTTTTTTTCTTGATAGATGGAGTAGCAAATAGGGATTAGCAAATACCAACTATAGTAAGTCAAATATGTCGATAATGATAATAGTACAATTGCGACATCCACTTGATTTTTCATTAGGCAACTGAAAGTGGAGATGAGTATGAGGTTATTAGTCAAATATGTCGACCTAGCGAATGTTGTCAACAAAGTAAACGGATTGAACATGTAGAAACAAGCAATCTTGAAAGGAGAAAACCCTTTCTTACCATTCAAGAGACCGCTTATTTTTATCAACTGAAGACAAATGAAAAGGTCCAGGACAGAGTAAAAAAGATTTGTATTGAAATTATCTTCAATTTGAGAGTTTTTTAGAATGGCGAAAAACTTGAGAAGTAATGGTGGGTGATGTATAATTTCACCTTGCTGATAAGGGTTCAAGTTGTTTGATAAAAGATATATGCCTTCATTCAAAGTTCTGTATGAATTTATAGGAGTAGAGAAAAGAGAAAACTGGTCCAAAACATGGGCTAGATTTGGAATCCACAGAAATACCGAAAACCTGAGCAAAACTCCGGCCACCAATACCGCTATAGTGGAGCCATCCATTGTGGCTATGTTCATATAACGTTTCAAAAGAAATCGTTTGATTCTCACAGCATACAAGAACGATGTGGTTAGCTTTCAGCGTGAGTAAGGCCAAAAAATGCCATGCTCTCTGTTTTTGCAATTACGTGTCGTGAAATTGTTGATCCTTTGAACTGAGCGAGAAGCGTTTTACTTCACCGCAGGAGCTGATCCGAAAAGAAAGTATATAAACCAGAGCTTACTTTTAGAACCACAAACACTTACTGTGCAGCTACAAGCCTCAAGATAGACTGCCAGTATGGCAAAGAAAAAATCAAAGAATAACGGTGCCAAAAAGCAGGTAAATGGTGAAGTGGAAACCGTGAAACAAGAGAGTGTGGAACGAAAAGAGGAGATTGAAACTAGCCATCATGAGGAAGACAGAGACAACGATGACAATAGTAGCTCTGACCCAGTGGCTCATAAAGAAGATGATAGTTCAAGGGAGCAGATAGAACAATTGCAAAAAGAGCTCGAAAGTTTGAAGCTAGAGCTTTCGAACAAAGAGGACACTCTGTCCAAGATAACAAGTGAAAAGGATGAAGAGATAAACAAGCTTAAAACACAGATTCAGAACGACCAATCCAAAGAATCAGCAAGAGACCCTGAACTGAATGATATCAAGCAGCAATTGGCCATGAAGACGGAAGAAAGCAATAAATACAAAGCAAGTTATGATTCATTGCTAAGCAGATTGTCCCAAATGAAATCTGTGTTCAGCAAGATGAAGGAAGCTGAGTCCAAATTTGAGGCGGTGGAAGCTGAAAATGGGCATTTGAAATCACAGTTGCAAAGCTCAACCTCCAAGTTATCAAGTCTGGAATCTAATATGTCCGAACTGAAGGCAGAGGTGCTGAACTTAAATTCTGAATGTGATAAATTGACTGCAAAAAATTCTGAGCTGAAGCAAAAATTAGATAGCCAAGACTTTGAGCTGGAGAACGAATCCAAACAACTAGAAGTGGAGAATAAAAAACTGAAAAGGGAGCTCAAAGAAGCGAAATCCGATCTTGAGGAGTATTTGATTCTGATTCAGGAAGAGAAGATGTCAAAAACGAACATGAACCAGGAGCTAAGTGACGCTAAATCAAAAATGGATACTATTGTGAGAGAGAGAAAAGAATGGGAAAAGAAATGCCAACAAAGCTCACAAGAAGTTACCAGTCTGAAGGAGACAATTGTACAATTAAAGAAAAACAGCGAAGATGTCGTAAACAGTTTTGAGTCACAGCTGAAAAGCAAATCGGCCCAATTCAATGAGCTAGTTAACGAAATAAATGAGTTGAAGGAATCAACTGCAGACAAAGATGCCAAGCTAGAAACATTGAAAGGATTGGAGAATGATCTTAAGGAAAAGCAATTATTAATTGGCAAATTGAGACATGAAACAATTATACTTAATGAACATTTAACAAAAGCCATGAAGCTCATAAAGAGGGAGTCTGGTAAAGAAACTGTGGACAGAGAATTGGTTTCTAACTTGTTCATTAGTTTTCTACAGATCCCTAGAGGAGATACCAAAAAGTTTGAGGTTCTCCGACTCATTGCCAACTTCCTCAACTGGGATGATGAGAAAAAGAGACATGCAGGCTTGATCTCTTCTGCAAACTACAGGTCAAACTCCAACAGTGTTGTTGAGGTGCCACATCCTGGACGTCATGCTTCCCAATCGCATGGCGACTCCTTCGTCTCTCTTTGGACAGAATTCTTAGAGAAAGAATCCACTCCAAGAGAGGATGTTGTATAGCTGCCGTATGAAAAGGCTTAATAAACCCAGTATATACTAAAATGACAACCCAGTGTAGTTTAGACACCACAGCAACTTTCAGAGTGGATCAGCAATATTTTCAGCTATAGTAAAGGCTGCTCGCTCATCTCCGAAAAATAAATGTTATCTTCAAAGTAGTACCATTTTTTTGGCATCCTGTTTGCTTGATACAAAGGAACACAATTACCAAGCCAGTAATAAGAGAACAAGAAGAGACAAATGGTAGATGGACCTGTTCTGATTGTTGGGTGCGGAGTATTTGGCTTGTCTACCGCCCTGGCACTCATTAAGCAAGGGCACTACGTTCATATTATAGATAAATATGAACCTCCATCACCATGGTCTGCTGCTAATGACTTCAACAAGATCATTCGATGTGAGTATAACGATCCGATTTATCTGGATATGTCTATTGAGGCACTCAAGCTTTGGAGAAATGATCCACTTTTCAATAGATCATACAATGAATGCGGTAGAATATTAATCACTCCTCTACGTCATAAAGGAAGGATCGAATTTGAGCAACAAGGAATCAAATTACTTCAAGATAAAGGAGAAGGCAAAAGGTTTGAGGTATCAAGAGGTAGAGAGAGTATTACTGAAAAATTCTCTTTTTTATCTCGAAATACAATTCCCTTTGACCAAGAAGTCAAATTTAACCCAGAATCGGGCCTAGGTCGTTCGGGGCAGACCCTTATTGATGTCTACAGTTTTCTTGCTTCGCATCCCAAAGTTAGATTCACATTTGGTGATGCGGGATATGCTGTTGGGGTGCAAAGGTATACTGATGGTCAAGTAGGTGTCATAACAAAGTCGGGGTTCGTCCATAGTGCTAGTACCGTTCTTGTATCATCGGGTGCAAACACAGGTAGTATCTTGGATTTACAAAACCAGCAATCTGCGACTGGTTTGTTTGTCACGCATATTCAACTTACAGAGTCTGAATTCTTAAAGTATAGAGATATCCCTGTTTTATTTGATGCTGAGATGGGATATTTTTTTCCACCTGATGAGGGGTCAAAGATCATGAAAATTTGTTTGAGTGGAATTAGATCATCCAGAATTGTTCCAGATCCCTTTGATTCAGAGAGAGAAGCATCCTTGCCTCGATTTCATAATGAATATCCACAGGATACTATTCCTGAAAATTGTGTGTCCTCCCTGAAGGCATTATTGCAGAAGTACACTCCAGAACTGGCCAACCACCAATTTTTTGGCTCGAAAATATGTTGGATCGGCGATAGAGAAGGTTCACACTTTTTAATCGACAAAGTCCCAGGTTACGGCAATCTTTATGTTGCCACTGGAGATTCCGGCCACGCTTACAAGTTCTTCCCAGTTATTGGAAATTACATTGTCCAAATGATAGATGGATCTCTGGATGACAAAATAGCATTTTTTTGGAAATGGAAACCTAGAAACGCTCCGGATATTGTTGATGCATCTGCTGCTAGTTGGAGAGTGTCTAAGTTAGGTACTATTGATATTGAGAAAATTGTTTTTTTGAAAGAATTTGGTGTCTCCAAATTATGACGTGTTAAGTCTCTCTTTGAGCTTTTATAAAGTAACCAATTTCATTATACATGATTTATCGATTGGAACCCGTTACAACGGTCTTCCAAATTTTCATTCTGTACTCAGCACAAACTTGTGATCCAAGCTAACGATAGTTAAACTCACTGTCATTTTGCGTTTTCAGCTTCAAGTTGTTTCAGCCTTTTCTTCTCCTCCTTCAATTTTCGAACCTCATCCCTTCTACTGAGACCTTCCAGCATCTTCCTTTGCTTTCTTTCTTCCTTTGTTTCAACTTTTTCTTCCCCGCTCTCAGCTTGTTTGATGATATCTTGTTCAATTCTGTCGTATAACTTTTTCATTTTTTCTTCGTTCACAAGAAATCTATCATAAGCAAGTTTCGTTATCATCTGTAAATATGATTCTTCAACAGCACTCGTTATATTACCGTTTTCATTAATATAACCTATCGGGACATCTAATCTGAGTGATATCCTGATTGCAACATTGTTATTTGCTCCAATTCCGGATTCTCTAAACCCACATCCCATTGCAACACTATAGAGCCGTGATGCAGCCTTGAAATCACGGCACTGGACATGCAGAATAAGAGGTTCATATTTGAAAAGCACATACCTTGTTTCTACACTATAGTCTCCGTTTTTGGGTGGTGCTTCGAACTTCAATGCAACATCCTTATGAGTCCACCATCCCTGTATATCACCTTTCTCGTGAGAAACAAACAGCCAACGACCGCCATCACCTTTGGCACCTATTTTTATTATCTTTTCTCCTTCAGCATTTTTCTGTTCAATGCCTAACTCTTTGGAGCCTTCAACGAAAACGGACACACGACCTGAACAAGATGATGTCGTTACCATATTCTTGTGTGAATTTATCAGAAAGATAAGTGGCAGACAAAGAGCGTCAATCGTTCCCTTGGGAGAAGCATCGGGGTTGCTTTCTGAGTTAAAGACTATTTCCTTTAATAGGTGTTCTTTTTTTTGATCAAAACCGTCCATTAATCAAAGTTGAATTTGCAATAGTGGATATCATCTTCAACACGAAGAGAGCAAAAATTGGTATCATGAAAGTCAAAGATCGAAAAAATTTTAGTTTTCTTTGTCGAGCCTCGCACAAAGATAAGATCAATAAATGGGTAGCTGCTGGTTCCCGCAAGGTATGTTTGGAGTTAGATAGTGTGCATGAAGCCCCGTTTATACCGCAATTGATTGATAATGGTTGATTTAGACAAGCATAATGTGGTACCATACTTTACATCACTGGGGATGTTCATCATAGATGAGATCAGTTTCCCCACGTTCAAAATTGACGGAATATTAGGCGGCGGTGGTACCTTTGCTATATGCGGATCTCGAATGGTTTTGAAGCATTTTGAATCTAAGAAATCGGCATGGATTGTTGATATCGGAAATGACTGTCCCAATGAGATTTTGGAAGAGCTTAAATCATGGGACAGCGGAACAATATTCAGATATGATTACACCAGAAAATGTACGAGAGGTTGGAATGGATATGGAGAAAATGAATTTAGAAGTTTTAAATATCTTACTCCCAAGAAAAGAATCACAGTTGATGATCTGAAAGAGTATCCTTGGATGTTAGAGAGTAACTCGTTTCATTTCGTATGCTCTCCAAAACGGTGTGTAGATTTATTACGTGAGTTTAGTGAATTGTCCTCCACAAAAATTGCTAATCCCGATCCAGTCATTGCGTGGGAACCAATACCAGATTGTTGCACTCCGGAGTTTTTACCTGAAACCTTGAGCATTCTCAACCGAGTAGATATCCTCACCCCAAATGCTGCAGAATGTGCTAGCTTTTTTGGCGAATTGGAGCCTCAGGATAAACAGAACTGTGAAAGAATTGCAAGAAAGTTTCTTGACTACATGACTAAAACTAATAGTGGGATTGTTTTGAGGTGTGGAAGCTTGGGGAGTCTGTTAATTGAATCAAAGCACAAGTTCATCAAATGGTTCCCACCATACCATCACAAAACAAGCGACTCAAGTAACAAAGTGATAGATCCAACCGGTTGCGGTAATACATTTGTTGGAGCTTTAGCAACTGCTTTCATTAAATTCAATAGAAACTTTGAAGTGGCCTGTGTATATGCTACAATTGCAAGCGGGGCTTGTATTGAGCAACATGGGTTACCAAAGCTAACAAAATCAGACACAAACGAAGAATTGTGGAATGGAATTAGTGTAGACGAGCGTTTGAAGAATTATAAGAATAAATTTCCCTAAATATCGCTTAATATAGAAATAGATAGACGAAGAAAAAGCAAATAAATTAAAAGTACTGATAATCAACTATAAGAGCTCCTTCTCCATCTCAAATACAGCTTCCGTAACGGCCTTCACAATGATGTCGGCGTGCTCCTTCTTGAAAGTGAAGGCTGGGCCCATAGTGATGTGGTCACCAAAGCATGAGACGTCGTTCAAACCATGGTATTCGTAACCAACGGTACCTGCAGCACCCATAACAATGACACCTTTGTCGAATATTCTCTTGTGGAGGGCTGGGCCAACCGCAAGCTTTGGATCAAAGTATTGTTTGGTGGACTTGTCCTTGACGATTTCAACAGATAAGAAGTTACCTGCACCTCTAACATCGCCGGCAATTTTAGAGTCCTTCAATTTCTCAATCAATTGTTCCTTCATGTAAGCACCAACAATTCTAACATTTTCAACCAAGTTGTCTCTAACAATCTTTTGTTGAACAGCTAAACCAACTTTACAGGTGAAAGCGTGAGAATGGTAGGTTTGACCACCCATGACCAAGCCAGAACCTTCACTGAATACCTTGCAGATTTTTGGGGAGAAGAACAAACCTGCCAAGGTGACAAAACCAGAACCAATAGTCTTACCAACGGATAAGATATCTGGACCACCGGTGGTGAGACCGAATTCTGGATGCATGTAGGTGAAGTCATAACCACATCTACCTAAACCGCACATGACTTCGTCTAACATGAGCAATGCTCCGTATTTGTGGCAAAGAGCCTTCAAACCATCTAAGTAGCCCTTTGGTGGGGTTGGAGTACCGATGGTGGAACCACCGACAGTTTCGACAAGAACACCAGAAATGGTGGATGGGTCGTTGTCAATGAAAACCTTTTCGGCTTGTTCTAGTAGGTACTTGGTGTAGTCTTCTTCTGACATACCTGCCTTCCAGTCTCTGTATGGGTAAAGTTGCGGCATCTTTGGAGTCTGTTCGTCACTCAATAAGATTGGCTTGAATGGTGGTTTTCTGGTACCGTCACCGACAGAAAGGGCACCAAGAGTAAAACCGTGGTAAGATTGAAGTCTGGAGATAATCTTGTATCTCTTGTCGTCACCTCTTTCCAAGTGATATTGTCTCATAATTTTAATGGCGTTTTCAGTGGCTTCAGACCCAGATTGAGTCCATAAACAGGATTCGAAAGCTCCCTTGGACTTTTCGCACATAAACTTACTAAGCTCTTCTGCTGCATTGTTACCATAGTAGGCACCGAAAGTGTAAGGGCTATCTTGAGCCCATTTGGTGAATTGGCTGGTGATTTCAGGATCGTTGTGAGGCAAGGAACACACGGCAGCACCAGAGATACCATCGAGGACAACTTTTTGTTCGCCGGTAGATGGGTCTTCTAAAACTAAGTACATACCATCGTTCTTTGATCCGACAGCAATCAGCCCCTTCTCAGAAATCTTCTTTTGGAAGACATAGGATTTAGTTTTTGTATCGACAGTCATTGTTGTTATATAAGTTTCTTTTCTCGAGAGTTGGTCACAGGTGAGAGAACTAGGTTGAAGAAATGGTACTGAACTGAGAACAAAATCTCAACATCAGTAGGAAAAATGAATCATGTTTTACAGTAAAACGACGAGAGAAGACTCCTTCCTTTATAAGCTTCCACCTCCGCAAGGCCTTCTAGCGGATGGACAAGAGGAGGCCTTATCTTTCGCCAGTTGCCCAATATGGAAACACCCGCAAGTCTCGATTTCCTCCATTCGGTGCGATTAGTCCTGCGAAAGGCGCCCTTCGTTTGCCGAGGCGGGCGAGATCGCTATTAGTGCGGGCATCAGGATCAGTTAACCGGCCGCACAACCATAAAGGTTGCATCTTCAGTGGAGTGCTTTGAGAGCCGCTAGAAGCAGCTAGCGCCGGTTAGCGGCTGCTGAAAGGAATTCGAAAAGATCATCAGGGGTGAGGATAGTGGGGTACAACAGAGGTTTGTTGACAGAAAGATAAGGAAAAAAGTTAAACTTCCGATACCGGGAATCGAACCCGGGTTTGCCCGGTGAAAGCGGACCGTGATAGCCATTACACTATATCGGAAAAGTCGGTGTTAAAGACGAGATGTATGTGATGGTGTAGGTTAATGGGAAACAACGTTTTCGATTTTTAATTAGGAACTCTAAAGAACTTAAGAACGTTGCCGCTAACCGCTTTAGAGTGATTTAAATAGTGACGTTTCAAAATGGTACATTATGGTTCAACAAAGTAATATATTACAGTAAATAAGTTGATATAAAATTAGCCTATCCCATACTCACTATCATTCCTATTTGAGGAGGTGGGAGCTAAAGAACGCCGATACCCGAGGGTCTTTAGCTGCTATATGGAGCCATAGACCGTGTCGGTGGTAGTCTTCTTGCCGTCGTCCTCGGCTCCGCAGTGGTTCTAGAGGAAAGCCTCGTGCTCGTGCTCGTGCCGCTTCCGCTACGATGACGCGAAGAACTTGACATACGTTGGCCACTCTGGCTAATATGGCGGTGGTGTTGAGGTGGCGGTTGTTGTTGTTGTTGCTGCTGCTCCAGCTGCTGCCTTCGCCGCATGCTCAAATTGTCGCCCCCGGTTTGCGAAAATTGTGGTCTATTAATGATCTTCTTCAGAGCATCAGAAACTGGAGTATACTCGGGTGGGCTTTGTTCCGGGTGGTTTTCGTTTATGCTCATGATGTCAATAGCCTTTCCATTGGGAATCGATATTTCGGTTTCACCAGGTTCCTGCGTATAGGTAGGGACTGGGGGAAGTAAGCTTATGAACTCCTCCTCCGTCAAATCCTCGTTGACAAGCAAATCAGCTGAAGAAGGAGACAAACTGGTCGCGGAGTGAACATCCGACGTGGTGTCTCCAGAGGCAGTAGTCGTTCTTGAAATACTGGTTGGAATCTCTAGCTGGGAAACGTCATCAGGAACTTCCTCACTTTCGTGTGATTCAGTGGAGATATGTCCAGCTGATAAATCCGAAGTCATCGAAACGTTCGACATTGATTGACCACCCGTGTTATTGGATGGAATGGAGGTATTGGCTTGACTATTCTGTACTCTTTCTTGCTGAATGAGCTGATTTCGTAACTCCTTTTCTTTTACGTTTTCTCTCTGGATCCTTTCTTCAATCTCCTTTTGTTGTCTGATCATTTCCTCCGTGATACCCAAATTTCTCAGACTTTCCATATCCAAATCATCACTTGACCTTTCTTGATTGGATGTTGTCCCCACTGGTGGTCTGTCGGAATTGGTAGCAATAGAGGAACGACGTCCAAAGTTTTCTAAAAGCTCATACGCAGATGCCGAACCACTAGACAAACGTGGAGGTCTTTTTGGCAACTGAGGTTTTCGAGACAATAGAGGCGCTTCATTTTCGGGAGTAGAGACTGTGATAACAGGTACAGAACTTCTCAGCTCTGGATGCTCGGTAAATGGAAAACGCTGAGAAGCTGGTTCTGCAGTGTTGTGATTCGGGTATGCATACCTCTGCGGTGTGTTGCCAGAGAAAGAGTGAGGGGACTGGGCATTGTGCATGTCTTCAACTTTCGGAGATAAGACAGGAGTTGAAACAGTCGGGGTAAGACCAAATTGTGAGCCATTTTGTTGCTGAATATCATTACCGCTAAATCTCCTGCCGTTGCCATTGAAAGCCTGGTAGCTTTGTATCGGTGATTCGGCAGAAGGTCTTGAAGGCAGACTTGGAGAGGCGGGGTGAACAGGCAACTTGGAGGAAAGTAGAGTGTTTGAGCTACTAGGTACAATGGGTCGCAGTTGGCCACCTTTGTTGGGTACTGCAGCCCCTCCATAGTCTCCATAATACGAAATGGAGGGGATGCTAGAGCTTGATCCTGGGTCCAAGCTCGACAGCCTACTCCTGACTTTGCCAGGGTTATTTGCAGAAGGAAGTGGCCTCAACGGAGGGATAGGTGCTGCCGAGTTTGGATATTGCCCAGTGCTGAAAAGTCGGGATGAAGCTTCTAAAGATGGCGAATCAACCGGTATTGCCGTGCTTTCGTTAAGCGATTGGGGGTAAACTTGCGATGACAGGGTGGCAGGAGAAGCCGGAGAGTCAGAAGCATTGCGAGCCTGAGAGCCAAATGAGTAACTCTCGGACCGTCTCGGGGTTGCGGAAGAGATGTGAGAAGGGTGGTTGAGGGCTGGTTCTAAATTTGGAAGCTTTGTGACTCTCGCTGGATACGACGGCGACTGAATCGGCTGGTCTACTTGATTTTGAAGGGGCTCTTCTTCCGACAGCGTTTGTGACAGCAGATCCGTCACCGAGGAGGGTTCAATTGGCTGGAGAACCTCGCTGTCTGTATCCGAGCTTGAATCCGAGTCTATGTCGGAATTGGAATCTGCGTAGCTGTCCACAAAGTTCGAGTAGTCGTCCCCCGACCCGCCATTCGGGGAGCCTTTGACAACGCCATTGGAAACACCGGCGTGCGACACCGGCGGTCCGCCGCTCGTGGGAGTGGCATTTGTGGGTGGCCGGTGTCCTCTTTCAAACGATTCACGCTGATTCTGAATGCTCTGCTGGGGTATCGAACCGACAGACGTCCGCTCCACCAGAACGGGGGCTACTGGAATCGGTGGTCGAGAACATCCAACCGAGCTGGCGTGTGCTCCATCTGCGGCCTTGCTGCTTGCCCTATCTTGATCTGTATCTGGAAATGGGCCTCCTTTCCCGTGATCTCTTTTTTGCTCTTTCTCCAGAAGTTCCCGTTCCCGCTCCTGCTGGGCCAGCCTTTTGAACGGGTTCGTGTCTGCGGCGTCCTGCTGCATGACCGTGCTCTTGCCCAAACCAGCTCTGTTCGCCAGAGCAGCCTCTGCGACCCCCTTGAGCCGCCTCTTAATACCAGAAACATGCTTATGCTGGCACTGGGTCTGCTCCGACCGCAAATCGTGCCAAGCCTCTGCCGCTCGCGGCCGATCGGCCCTGAAATTTGCCGAAATTTTTTGTGGAGTGCTCGTCGAGCACCACTAGAGAAGGAACGACATGAAAGAAGGGGTCGGGAGGAGAGAAGAAACGGAATGGAAACAACAAAGGCCCACGGCACATCTATAAAAGAAGAGAAACCGAGGTAGCACATGATGTTTACGGCGAGAACGGTACTGAAGAAAGCTGCAGAACATGCGAAACCCCTACAACAGGTGAGATACAAAAGAGACAAGGCTGGTCTCAATCCCCAGCTTGAGAAAATTGTCAACCAGCTCTCTGTGTTGTCTGCTGCGAGAAAGCAGCCAAGACTTCTGAAGCTCTGCAACGAGGACTACGTCAAACACAGAACAGTCATGAAAGCGTGGTCTGTGTACAGAAAGGCCAAGATCCAGCAGAAAGAAGAGCTTTTGAAAAAACAGTACGAGTCGATGGAGGCGGCTGCGGAGGAGTTGCAAAAGCTTGACGCCAAGCTGTACGACATCGCAAACGAACACCAGTACGGTAAGAGGTTCCCATTAGAGATGAGAGTGCCAACAGAATACCCCCCAAGACAGATATGGTTCTATGAGTATTTTCCTAAAGCGCCTGGCTCCAAAAACTGATGGTGCATTGGAACGTCGCCGCTGAAGCGTGAGGAAACTACCTATATAATCCTTGGCCTAAGTATTAATCTATGTACACCTTGTAAATAATCGTCCTTATTCATTCTGTGCTTTGCACTCCTGCCGACCGGTCGAGGTCAAAGGTCGATGAGGTAATCGTCACGGCTGGGTTGTGACGCTTGGAAATTCGGCTTCTCTCCGGCCGGGGGTCCAGATGTCTGGTAGTCGTCAAAAGCTTCCTCACCACTATCTTCGCTGTTACTGCTGGCCGATTCGCCGCCTTCTGCGTACCCAGCGACGGGGTCTGTACCCTCTTCATCGGCACTTTCTTCGGCGTCGAACTCTCGAACGTGTGAACTGTGAGTATTCGGCTCGACGCCAGCATTCTCGAGTGTATTGTCAGCTTCGGCTTCTTCATTAGCACCATCGCTTCCTTCTCCATCTCGTTCTGCACCCAGTACATGCACTTTTCCAGATCCACCTCTCTCATTTGGATCCAACACGTCATATCCGTTGGGAGTGTTACCAAACAGATCACCATTACTATAGTTGTCGTCGTCATCTTCACTATCGTCGTCGTCATCGTAAACGTCATCATTGTGGTCGGCAGTTTTTCGGCTCCTAGCCTTTCTGATTCTTCCCTTCTTACTTCCACCTTGCGATAAGTCGTATCCTTCTCTTTCTAACTGCTCCATTAAAGATAGTTCGTTTTTGTCAAGACTATCATTTTCACCAGGAGTTATCTTTTCATGTGACAAGTGGTCTTTTGCAATCTTGCTCTTGCCTGAAAACATCTTTTCAAAAAACCCTTTTTTTTTCTTGTCACTCACCTTTACATGCTCGACATTGTATTTCTCTAGCTCTTCTTCCTTCTTCAGCTTTTCTTTCTTCAGTTTTTGCTCCCTTTCCCACCTGGCTTTTTCTAGCATCATCATTTCCCTTTTCTCAGACTCTGATCTCTCTTCTATAATCCTCCTAGCTTGTTCAAATGATGAATGCAGTAGTTTTTGGCCGATAAGTTTCCTTTCACTTATTCGGAAGCTATCGTTTTTATCTTCTTCCGTTTTTGGTTCCTTTTCAGTTTTTGTAGACCACCTAAAGATGCCATTCTTACCAGCACCTTTCCAAGAGGTATTTGTAGACTCATCCTCGTTCTTTCTGTAAATACCTTTTTCGTCATAAATCCATTCACCAACAATAGCTAATACTGCTTTGTGCAATTCCATTTTTTCTATACAGCCACGTTGTCGGGTGTTCATCACAGGTATCTTATCCGACAAATATTGCCGATCATCTGCAACGATAGTGTTATAACATTTCATCGGCATTATACCTCCTTCAGTAAGAAGTGAAGACTTACTATTGTCGGTCTCTTTCTCTGGGCTCAAACTATTCTCACCTTCCGGGAATATTGAAAACAATAGCTTTGTGACAGGTGCATCAAAAGTCAATTTTTCCGTTGGTATTTCTTCAAATTCTCCGAAGTCATCATCAAATTCATCAACGATTTCATCATTGTGGTATGGGATTGAAGCTGCCTCGCCATTTGTAGTCAGATCTTCGGCGATGTTGCCAATTTCGGCACTCTGGGCATTTATCCATGTATTGTTGTCAGTAATATCTTTTCGTTCAACTTTAACAATTCCATCAATATTCTTCTCAGTAGAAGGGTTCACTGAAATGAAATCTTTTGAATCGAGTTTACCTATCCCCTGGTCAAATGCATCATGTTTCTCATCAGTAATAGGTAATTGATCGTTCGACTCGCATGTGCTAGACCTGGGCTTTTGTTTCTGTGTAATATCTTGGCTATTTCCCCATACGTTCACATCATAGTCTAATTCGCTTGCCCAAACGTTATCTGTGGTTCCTGACATGACTTTTGGCTTCTTTCTAGATATATATTTGTGTTCAATGGCGTTGAAGGAGAATCGGTGTTTCAAGACATGAAAATCAGTCCGTGCAAAAACAATCAATTTTGGTCGCTGAGTCGACAATACGCCAACTTCTACAACAAAATTCTTTACAAATATTTCCATAACCTCTGCACTGATATATATATTTGAACATCCACACATGAGCCATCTATAACTGAATACACAATGTCCGATAATTCAGCTTACTTGGTTCTCGAAGTCCCTATATTCACATCACACAAAGCAGTAGCCGTTTTGGTAAAAAATGTTCAGAACCTTGAAACGATAAAGAAAAACCTCATACAAGGGAACAGAGAGTATGATTATGCATTCATAAATGCCAAGAACATTGTTTGTATGGAACAGCTGTATAGTGCCTACTACAAAGTTATGCAGAGTTTCCATTACGAAACGATGAAATCCAAGTCTCTTCATACTGAAATAATTTATGCTCTATCCCCATTCAAAAACATAATGGATTGCTTAAATAAGTTTGGAATATCAAAACAGAGCGATGCATTAGTGGTTCTGAAAATAATGAAAACTGAAGAGGCTAACATAGAATATTTTGAGTCAGAACTGGCGAACATCAAAACTGTCGTTAATGGCGATTTTGTTGAGCTAAATGATGTAAATCTTCAGACTACTGCAGATATAAAATCTATCGTAAAAAACTATAAGTGCAAAGTTGATCAAACCCAACCAGAAAGCGATTGGGGCACCATAACCAGAAATCTGGTTTCCATTATACAGCTCAAAGGTTTATAGTATTTCTCGAAGTAATTCTTATACAAATTTCGTGTACCTACCGAATTTTATCTACACAAACCCTGTCCCGTTTTCTTCTATGATTATTCCTTTTTCACATTCTCAAACGTTATGGATATGGTTTAATGATGCGTGTACAGTCTATAAGTGACTCACTGCGCTATATAATTCCAACATGTGTCATTTTCTATATGGCGTACGCTGAGTGGGCGTTCTCATACTTATTCTGCTACAATCATGTCTACCGAAGCTCGCAGGATAAGGCTGCGATGCTTGCCTTCTTAGTGATATCCAATGTACTTTGGTTTTCTGTTCTTGTATCCTGGGTATTTACTTTCATTAGGGGACCGGGAATCATGCCATGCAGGATCCCACCTTACGAATTATCAAACTTTATCCATGAGGGAGAAAAGTTCAAAAATGTCAAAAATACTGATGTCTCAGACGAAAAGAGTGATATATCTTCGGAGTCGTCATTAACCGTTCCACTGAATCGCAATGTTATTCCTCCACCCGATATATTTGAATGTGATTATAATGGTTTACCCTTTTGGTGCTCTGAGTGCTCCACATTGAAATTACTACGATGTCATCATTCCTCCGTCAAAGACCGGTGTATTCCAATGTTCGACCATTTCTGTACATTCGTAGGTTCCACAATAGGAAAAGATAACTTTGGTTTCTTTCTTTATTTTCTTTTCTCAATGCAAACATTGATGTATTTTACATGTATTAGCATCATAGTTTACTCTGGAGTTTGGGGTCATTTGCATGCCGCTTTAATTGTATTCCTTATCACAACTGGTTTTATGGCCATATTGGTCGGAAATTTGGCTTTCAACACAGTAGGTGACATTTATCTGGGTCAAACTACCATAGAACGGCTACAAAGAACCCGAACAAAGAAAAAGATTGCAAAGAGCCAGTCTAATGAAAACGATCAAACCGATCTAGGAGAATATGTGAACGTGCAACATCCCACCAATAGAAAATTACGAGTTCTAGTCAAACTACTACCATCCGACAAACCATATAACAATGGATTCAGAAAAAATCTTAGGTTATGGTATACTGATTTCACTAGATTGGGAAGTCCACAACAAATATTAATGTTCCAAAACTCTATGTTCAGTGAGAAATTCAAAGAGAGCATTTCAGAGAGAATAAATTCAGGAAATTACGTGATTTTTGGCTCGCAATCGAAATTACAGTCGGTAAGTGTTTAGACTGGTTTACGTGTAAATAGAGTTCACCCTCTCATTTGAAAATCAAGGATATGTAAATTATAAAGCTCTAAAATGCTCCTTTTGATTCTTTAGACACCTTCAAGCTTAGTGTAATACTCGATTAAGCCAAACTCTGTTTGCAAAGTTTCAGTTCTATATGAAACACGAATATCAGGAACATTTGTTTTTTCAATATCATTGCCCTCAACACCACTGGCGTTAAATTTATGGCCAATCCAGTGTTTTTTTAATTCGTACTCAAAGCCTGACATTTTCACTGAATTTTTTGCCAATTCGGACATGTCAACATTAGACAATTTCCAGATTTGAGCAGCTACCGAGTACTCTTCAATCAAAGGTTCTCTGGTATACGAGAATTGTAAAGGATCATCGGTTGATAAAGCAACATTCAGGCCTCGCTTGAAATATGAAGGAAGAGGGTTCTTATCATAAGTCAAGAATAACGCGTTATTAGATAATGGTGACATGGCAATTCCTATCTGACATAGATAGTATAAATATTGAACAAAAGGAACTTTCCTGAGCAAAATACCATGACTGATACTTTCAGAAGTTAAGTAAGCAGATATTAGATGATCAGGGTCACCCGCCTCACCAGAATGTGGACGCAAAACAAAAGTGTTGAAGTTACGCATTTTTCTCCAATGATTCAATGATGTTAAGTTAGAGTAAATGTAATAAAGGTAATATGAGTAGGGAGGGTTGAACTCCGAATCCCACTTACTTGGAAATGGGAACTTCTTATGAAATCTTCTATCTGTTTTGGACTCATCATCAACAGAATCAAAACCTATAACTCTTTGCAAGAAGATGTGTAACTTAGGGTGAGATTGGGGGTTTTTGGTAACCTCAAATAACGGCTTGAAAAGGTTGTTTACTATGTCTCTAAAATTTTGCACCAATCCACTTTTTTTGTAAATATTGTAAAGTCTTGGGACTTGAATAAGCCATCTAACATTATGCGAGAATAACTTATTATCAATGACCCATGCAGCTAGCTTATCCCATTCATCCAAACTACGTCCATATATGGAAATTCGGTACTCAGCCATTTGATACTTGGAAGACTCCAAATCATCAAACACTTCTTTTGTTATTTCAGCCAAATAACGTCCTTGTATGAAATTATCTGTCTTTAAAAAGATTTCTCTTAATCTGGACTCACCCATCGGATTATATTTCAAATTGAATTTGTCAAACCGATGGAAAGTATCCCTATGTGCATGCATATCCAATGTATCAATACTTAAATCATATGCTGTTAAATTAAGCGAGTCAAAGACTTGCTGTAAAGTCAATATCTGGCCATCCCTTTTAATGACTTTTTCATCGGGAGAATGTCTGATTTTATGCTTGATAAATCTTAATAAATGCTTTTGATTCATACATGCGGAATGGTGGACGTGAACATCGACTTTTCTAACATTGTAGAAATCTCGGTGGGGGTTTTTCTTTGATTCTGATGTTTCTTCATGATCATTAAGCAGGTAATATAGATTCCACCTTGCTTCTAAATACTGTAATCGCTTGAAGGCAAACGACTTCATAGGTCCATCAGATGCGATGTTAATGATCTTTTCCAAATCCAGGTAGTAATCTTTGATTGTTGGAACTTTGACCAGATTCTCATTAGTTTTTGAATCAACAATTTGGTACGTGTCTTCATCATCTGCTACAAAATTTATTGTTGCATCTTCACCAGGAATTTCACAACTGTCCATCTGAAATTCACGAGAGTCAACGTGTCTGCTTTTATCGTTCAAATTATAAGCACTATCATGATTGAATTTGCGAAAATTTCTAGCCTTCCAAAATGGAGATGGAGGATTTGGGTATATATTCCAATTATCTGAATTCTTAGGGTTCTGGTCAGGATTTTGCAAAGAAACGTCTTGATATTTCTTTCTTGTTTCTACGCACCATTTGATTTGCTTGTATATGCTTATAAGCTCTATTGATGGTTCGTCAATAGCAGAGTTGTGATCATTAGCTAATATGCTGCCGAGCTTAAAGTTATGTTCCTCAGTCTCCTTCTGTTGCTTCTGAACTTGTTGTGAAGTCAGATCTCTTTGGCCGGATGAGAAATGACCAGTTTGAGAACTCGAGTGAGGATGTAAACTTGAAAACTTAGGAGTCATTTCATGAGTTGCAGGATTGTAGCTAAATTTGGAGTTCGATCTAGACAATTTAGGGGTACCAGATAAGATTGGAGGAGGCGGAGGAATTATAAAATCTGCAACAGATGGCCGTCTACCTGGATGATTGTGAGAGCTTGCCGATGATGATCTCGAATTCCTAGGGGAGCTAGCCAATGTATTCAGTGCACGTATTTTAGCATCTTGGTCCTTTAGCATCTGCTCCTCGTTGTATGAAAAATGTGGGTTGAGCTCTTTTTCCTCTTCATCTGTATTTGGATCTTCGTTTTGTAAGCCGTAACTAAAAAAGTGATTAACTTTCTTTCCACTAGTCATGTCCAGAACTCTATCGTCGTACTCATTACCCGAATCTTCTGCTATCGCTTGATTGAGGTCTTCTTTTGTTTTATCAGATTTCTTTGGAGTGTTTGGAGTTGATTCATCGGTTAATGACAGGAAGTGCAATGCGCTGCTACATTGGGACATATTACCGTCTTTATTGTCGTGTGAAGCCATTCCTTCGATACTATTGTTACCAATTGTTATTGAAACTTGGAGCGTCTTAAGCTGTATCTTCTTGGAAGGAAAGACTCAAAATCCTGAAGAAGGAGGAGCATCAGGAGTATTATAGGAGAAATATAATTACTTCATCCGCACGGCATTCGAGCTCTTTTTTTTTGCGGACAAGAATAGGTGCACAACAATTCACCACTAAACTAAACTCACCATTAATTCAACTAATGTGGTTTTCTCATTCTTCATAAAATCCAGTTGCATATATACATAAAAAGTAAATGATGCTAAAACATAAATTAGACTGAACACTACAAAAGCCTTCGCCGGAATCATGGGCGTAAACGTTTTGGATCTCTTGGGAATAGAGAAGCACGTCTGATGTTCTTCAAATCCAAGAAGAACATCAAAACTCTTTCCATACCAATACCACCACCAGCGTGTGGAGGACAACCGTAGGTGAAAGCGTTGACGTAATCTACAGTACCAGGTCCATCTGGATCAACACCATGGAAGTTCATTCTCTCCCTCAATAGCTCAGGATCGTGGATACGTTGTGCACCTGAAAGAATTTCTTCACCTCTCATAAAGAAATCGTAAGAGTTGGAGTAGTTAGGATCTTCTGGATCTGGCATTGTGTAAAATGGTCTGACGGCCAATGGAAACTTGTCTAAAATGAAGAAATCAGTGTCATATTTGTCTCTAACGAGTTTTCCCAAAAACTTTTCATTCTCAGTAGAAAGATCTTCAAATGCACCCTGGTCTTTGCCATTGTCGTTCAACATTTTAACCGCTTCCTTGTAATGGATCTTGACCATTTTTTCAGGGACCTTGAACTCCTCAACCGGGAATTGTTTTCTGATTGTAGCAATTTCGTTGGCGTATCTCTTCTTCAATTCGTTGAAAATAAAAATGAACATGTCTGCCAAAACATCGACTGCTTCATGGTAGTGTTCTTCAATGGCCATCTCCATATCCAAACCAACGAATTCCGTCAAATGGCGGTGAGTGTTTGAGTTCTCAGCTCTGAAGACAGGAGCGATCTCGAAAACTCTCTCGAAATCTGCAGCAATTAATTGCTGCTTGTAGAATTGTGGTGATTGTGCCAAATAAGCCTTCGTTTTGAAATAAGTGACCTCGAAAACGTTTGCACCACCTTCAGATGGAGATCCAATTAGCTTTGGAGAATGGATTTCCCTAAAGTTCAAGTTTGACAAGTATTCTCTAAATAATGCACAGATACCACTTTGCAACTCAAAGATACAATGGTTAGTGTTTGTTCTCAAATCAATAACTCTTGCATCTAGTCTCGTATCCAAGTTAACAATTGGTAAACCCGAAGCTTCTGCCTCAGCGTCAGATCTGGAAGCATCTTCGATCAAGAGTGGTAGTTGCGATGGAGCAGCTGAGATGAGGTAAATCTTTGTGATATGAATTTCAACATCTTGAACGGTTGCGCTTTTGACTGGTTCCTCGACCTTCCTAACAATACCGTGGACCAAGACGATAGACTCAAAACTCAACCCTGCAGCCCATTTAACCATTTGCTTAGAAATGGAGTCACCATTTGATTTCAATAAACCTTGAACAAGTGCGTCTTGTTGTCTAAAGGCAAAGAAACACATGTTAGCACTCTGTTGTCTTGCATTATGAACTCTGGATCTGAAGACAATTTCCTCGCCATCGTTGGCAGCAGATAATGTAGAGATTTTCGTTCTCTTGACCCCCGTGACGTCTTCTGCTTTCGATTGCATCAATGGCTGTTTACCATAATTATCCTTGGCAGTATCGTTTGCCAAAGCCGCAGCCTCTCTTGCGGCTTGTTCTTCGGCTAATTGTGCAGCTTTCTCCGCTTTCTTTCTCTCCTTCTCCTTCTCCTTTTCTAACTTCTTCAACGCCTTTTTAGATAAAGGCTGGCCATCAGGGCCCAAAATTGGCTGTTCAGCACTCAAGCTGACTTCGTCAAGCTTCTTGGTAACTTCCTCACTCATCTTAGTTTGCGTGGTAACAGGCCGTATCAGAACAAACTAAGAAACATGAGAATATGGTATAATCAGCGGTGAATGACGTTAGATGAGGAAATGTACGTTGAGAAGTCTTGAAAAATCCGGCGTTGACTAACATTCTTGACGTAGAAAAAGACGATCGACCCAAAAAAAGCGACGATCGGCCTTACTCACTATTTTTGCTAATTAATTATGGGAGCCGTTTATACAGTATAAATAGAAGGGAAAGTAGTAAGAATGAAGAAAAAGGAGAAGAAGAAGAAGGAGAAGAAGAAGAAGAAAAGAAAAAGAAAAGAAGTTGTTATAGAAGTTTAATATGACAGAAGGATTGCGAAAAAGACAGAAGGAAACTGTTTTTCTCTCGCTTTTTACCAAGAAGATGGCTGCAGAATAAAATGGAATTGAACCACATAGAATAGATTAGAATAGAATGAATTAGTTTTGGAGGGGAATCACAATCTGTTGTTTTCAAGGAAAAAGTAGTCACCGTGGGATTTCTGTTCCTTGTCCATTTGAGAGTCTAACTTATTGATTCTAGGTCTGAAAGAGTTAGGGTCTCTTCTGAAAGTGACATTAAGGTTCTTCAAGAATCTGTTACATCCAGTTAATAATGATTCTGCTTTTCTAGCTGTGGCGTCAATAGATGGTTGCCCCTCGAAAACCATGACCTTATCAGCCATATAAGTTGCCATGATAAAATCGTGCTCAACAATAAATGCTGTTTTCTTCGAATGAATAATAAATCTTCTGATAACCTTGGAACAAATGATACGCTGTTCAGAATCCAAGTATGCTGATGGTTCGTCAATCAAGTAAATGTCAGCCTGTTTACCCAAAGCTAAAACGATGGCAACTCTTTGCAACTCACCACCCGACAAGTGCTGAACTTCTTGGTCAATGATATCTTCAATCTTCAATGGTTTGACAACATCGGTATTAAACTGTGGATGTAAGAAAGATGATCTGATTTTCTTCAAGAACAACTGTCTAACTGTGCCTGTGAACTTTGGAGCAATCTTTTGGGGCTTCATAGAGACGTTTAATTCCGGTACCTTGAAACCCTCATCTGGTGGGATAGCACCTGCGAGCAACTTACATAGTGTTGTTTTACCGGTACCGTTCTCACCCATCATGACGATAATTTCAGAATCGTTGAAAGATCCCGCTTCGACATTCAGTTTGAAATCACCTTGAGTTTTGGACATGCTTGGATAGGTGAAGTTACTTGTTTGTTCAATCATCATGTTATCTGAAGCATCGGTTAATCTAAATTGCAATGATTCACTTCTGAATCTCAAGTTCTCGGAAGGAATATGACCATCCAAGAAAATGTTGATACCTTCTCTGACAGATGCGGGGAAAGAAACCACACCATAGACAGAAGGAACACCATATAAAATACAGACGTAGTCGGAAAGATAATCCAAGACAGACAAATCGTGTTCCACGACGATGGTAAAAACATCGGTGTCGGATAGGGATCTGATAATCAATGCAGCGTTCAATCTCTGTTTGACATCCAAATAGGACGAAGGTTCATCAAACATGTAAACATTAGCCTTCTGAACGCAGGTCATTGCAATGGCAAATCTTTGTAATTCACCACCAGATAATTTAGAGACTTCTCTCTTCAAAAGCTTGGACAAGTCGGTCATCTTGATGATAGTTTTGATTGAGGCCATGTCATCACCTTCAGATCTGGCCTTCAACAATTCCCCAACTTTGTTGACAGGGCCTTTGATAGCTCTTGGAATGTTATCCACATACTGGGGCTTAATGATGGTCTTAATGTTTTCCTCCAAAACTTTGGTAAAGTAGTTTTGCAACTCAGAACCTCTGAAATGTTTGATGATGTCTTCCCAGTCTGGGGGGTCGTCGAATCTCCCCAAATTTGGCTTTAGCTTGCCGGATAAAATCTTCAACGCCGTGGACTTACCGATACCGTTAGTTCCAACTAAACCTAAAACCTGGCCAGGTCTTGGCATAGGTAATCTGTGTAGCTTGAACGAGTTTGCAGAATATCTGTGGGTGACTTCACTCTCCAAGTTGGTTGGCAAATTAATAATGGTGATGGCGCCGAAAGGACATTTTTTGGTACAAATACCACAACCAATACATAGATTTTCAGAAATGAACGCAATTTTGCTGTTTGGTGCAACTTCGATACATAACTTACCAGTTTTCACAACTGGGCACGATTTCCGACATTCTTGACGGCACTTCTTTGGCTTACACTTGTCATCTGAGACAATTGCAATACGCACATTCTTGTCACTCATTTTTGGCTCGGGTGGTTTGTGTGTTAATCTATGCTTCTCTGCTTCCCGTGGAACGTGTGACTTCTTAGTTGTTGTTGTGTTTCCTCAATTGAGCTACTTTCCTCCACACGTAAGCCCAATGGGAAAATTTTTTTCGATCGACCTGCTGAAAAATTCCAAAAACCAAAAGCTGGAAAAACCGAGAAGGTCGCAAAACGAGAAAAAAAGGTCCTTTCTCGTCCAACGGGAGTGCGGCAAGTACAGCTGAGTCAGCATGTGCCATGATGGGTTAGACGGACAAAGAAAAACAAAGAAGCATAATAACACAAGAGAACTATAGAAGAAAAGTATAAAGTGGATAGATACGTAAACGACTCTAAAAGATTAAAAGGTCAATTGAGGCATCAGAAGAGCACGGCGACACAAAGCACGAGAGCTGAAAAGTATCCGGCAACTTTCAGTCCATAATGCATCTCTCCGCTGGATGCTTCAAAGTAAAGTAAGCTCGGAGGTTGGACATGGGAGCCGGCGCCAGAAACCCTATTAGAGGAGATTTTGCTCACGACGAGAGAGCTGAATGCGTAGAAAGTTGAGTCAGTTTCTGTGGACTGAGTTTTTTTGGTCTGTGTGTCGGCCCCATTGCTCTCGTTCGTTTGTAGAAATACTTCCCCACCGGAAATGTAGACCTCGGTGGACTGTACAGAAGTATCTGTGAAAACGACATTGGTCGGTATTGTCAAGGTGAGCGACGTGACAGTGACAAATTTCTGGGCAAACGGAATAGTCCCTGATTCGATGGCATAGAACTCGGGCTCACTGGTGGCAGTTGCGGATGAGAAAACGTTGCTGACTGTCACTACTGTTTTGTAGGCAGACACACGGGATTCATCGACTGTGGTAGATGTAGTTATTGTCATGGTTCTACTCAATTGCTGCTGTGACAGGGGAGTCACGCCGTGTGAAAAATGGCTTTCAGCGGTGGGCACTTCCGCTGCCTTTTGGTCCTCCTCAAAAGATGTCTTTGGGGCACGTACGGTTTCAACATCCATGTGAAGTATCCCATTTCCTATCACATGGGTTCCTTGGCTGCTAGAATTCTCCGTATCTTTTAGCTGATCCTGGAGCTGGGAAATGCCCAGCTGTCTGTTCTCATTATCGATGGCTAAATATATATTCTTTAGCAATGGAGTGCCCATTAAAGAATAGCCTAAATAGTAATCAGGCAAAAATGTCAGGTAGCATGCAGGGTCTCCAGAGGAGAAGACCAAATTTGTGTTGTTGACAAGCGCAGGATTGAGAAAGTTGGAAATAGCCATGTGGACCGTATAATTGCCCAGGTACATGTCGATCGTACCGGTATCCCCGACTGAACAATCGGCCAGCCATATTCCCAGATCTGAAGAGTAGTATGCATTCAATTCAATTGCGAGTTCAACAAGGGTTGAATATGGGATGAAATTATAGTTGTGGCGTGAATCGAGAAGCGCCGGTTTTGGATAATTTGCAATCCTTGTCCTATCATTGTAGGAAGGAGAGAAAGTAATAGATTGTCCTGAAGAGCTTGAAGTAACCCCCCAGCTGTAGATGGGGAAGGCTGGGACGGTAGTAGACAATCCGCCATTCTCACTGATGTACATGCCACTTTCATCTTGGACAGGGATGAAATCAAATAAGGCCATTTTGGAGCTCGAATTATCTTGACTGTCAGGATCATTGAAAATTAGTGACTTATCGACACCCCCGAGAATCAACTGAGGGTATGTGCTATTGTTGGCACCCAATGCAAGAGAGTAGGAGTTTGAGCCGATGAGGCCATTTATGACAAAGTTTGAAATGAAGTTATTCTTGAAGCCATTTTCAGATTGGGAGATCCCTACTGCCAGTGAGCCGACTCCAACATTGGAGAAGTTTGCGTAGACAAAAGGGACATTTGAGAATTCCAATGTCTCGAGCTTTGGTGACTTGAAGGACATGATGAAGTTGTCTACGGCCCAGACCCCGGACACAAGAATGTCGGACAAATAAACCTTTAAGTAGGACGTTGCATCGTCCACACTAACTTCGAGGCTTGTGTATATGTCGATGAATGCAGCGTAGGCGGATTCCAGCAGGTCGTAAACACCTATACTGGCACATGATCTGCCGAAGACCGGTTCTATCATCGAAACTGTGAGCTCAATCGTTGATGAGGTTGATGTACCCGACTGGGAGGAGGCTTGTGTCTCCCATGGCATCATCGTCACCGTTGCGGAGTCGATTGTGGTTGGACCGGTGAACAAGGTTGACGTATACGAGATTGAGGTTACAGTATATGTGTAATTGGAACCGGCGCTTGCGGTAGCAGAACATGGGATGAACGCAGAGCTGGCAGGCAGCCACACGTCACCTTGAAGAATATCAATACGGAGGCCCATGTCCTGTTTGTGTTCTCCGACTTGGAGCAAGTAGTCGTAATAGCCGTTTCCAGGAATCAACTTCATTATGGGTAGTTCTGACGTGTAAAACGCGCTGTATTCATCGTAGGAGGATGGGGAGGACGCTTGGGATGACTGTGATGCTGGTATTCGGTCCTTTGCCGAGGAGTTTGACGATTGAGTGGTTAGATGTATCGAGGATGGCGATGACGTAATTGGGGAGGCATTGATGACTGTGAGTATAGCACTGAGTATAAACGTGATGGGGAAGAAACACCAGACCATTCAAAGACTGCGATGTGGTGTGTTTGGGACGCTGGCTGGTCAGGTGGGCGATGCGCAGGCGGCGGGGTTGGTCGAGGAGGTCGAGGAGGTCGAGGCGGTCGAGGCGGTGTTGTCTCTAGTTCTAACAGCAGTTGGGGGGAAAAAGAGGAAGGAAGAATGGGACAAAAGCAGATAATAAGGCCCGTAGGTAAGTTCCAGCGGTGTGTGCAGCAGTTGCAGTGTCGAGGTGGTACGTGTGCTGGGAGGAGAAGGAGAGAGGGAGCAGGCGCCTACAGACGATGACGACAGCAGCAGTGTGTGTGTGCAAAATAGCGGAACTCCCGAAGAACGACGCACCAGGGAGAGAAAAAGGTGGAGCACTTTTTTTTCTTTAGGTTTTTATTATGTATGTGGTGTGTGCTAATAGCAGCGTCCCAAACGGCTTCGGTGTTTGTGTCGTCAGTCCAAGTGCTGTGTACTGTCTGTGCTGCGGCCGCTAGAACTATTCTTAGGACAGGCAGAGGGGGTGGTGCTTGTAGCAGTCCGTCAGGGATAGAGGGATGAAGGGCGCAAGGAGGATAGAGGGGGCACCGGGCGCCCCCGCCACCCGTTAGGTCCGCCGTGCCCGTGGGTCGAGGGTGCCGCCGTTGCGGAAAATAGACGAGGCGTGCCGCCGCTTTTCGACCGCGGATTGGGCTGCAAAGCCGGCAAAAGGGGCTATTCGGGCTCTGCGGGCTGCGGCGGTGTGCAAGACGCGTTATGCGGGATGTGCCGGTGGAGGGTGGCAGCTTGCTGTGATTGTTCGTCCGGTTGGAGGGATAAATACACAGGGAAAAAAACAAAAAGAAGAAGGGACAGAAGCGGCAGGACGGGCGTGGCCATCGGGGTGAGACGCGTGTCCCCGAGTACCCGGCCACAGCGGGGTCCTGGTGTAAAGCAAGAAAAAAAGGGTAGAGAAAACGGGGGAAAGAGATTAGAAGTGAAGATGCGCAGAAAAGAGCGGCCCTACTTAAAGGTTGCCGCCAGCACGAATAAGGTCCGAGGGGTTGCTGAACTCGCCGTCCAAAGAAGGGTACTCGTCTTCGTACTCGTCCTTGAGCACCGGCAGGTCCAGCTGCTGCAGCTGCAGCTGCTGGAGCAGGAAGTGCTGGAGCTGGTTAGTTGTGATGTTGGCGTTGGCGTTGGCGTTGGAGCTGTAGGCTGATTCGGCGGGCTGACCCTGGCTGTACTGCGAGAGTCGCATAGGTGTGGCAGGGCTGACGATGCTTGCCGGAGAACTGTCGGTGTTGCTGGTGGCCGGCGCCTGCACGTGCTGCACGTGCATCTGCTGCTGCTGCTGCTGCTGCTGCTGTAGCTGTTGCAGCTGTTGTAGCTGCTGGATGCTCTGCTGCTGTTGAAACTGCTGCAGCTGCTGGAGGCTCTGCAACTGCTGCATGTTCTGGGCCTCCTCCTGCTTCTGCTTCAAGGAGGATATGATTCTGGTCAACTCCTGCTGCTTGAGCAACAACTCTAGCGTCTCAAGGTCGTCCGCCGTGCTGTCCGTGTGGTGGTTCTCCGTGTCGGAGATGGAGTTGAATAGTGGATGCGATGTAGGTTGTAGGTGTGCGAGCGTGGCTTGCTTGTGCAACGAAGGGTTTGACAGGAAGGGAGACGGGGACGAGTTGACGCTCGAAGGGCTCTGCATGTAGAATCCGGCAGTGCTGTTGGAGGGCAGTGCTGCGTTGGTGGCGATGGCGCTAGCGGTGGTGCTGCCGTAGATGTTCTCTGGGGAAGCGTTTCGGGTGTGAAGATGTTGGTGAAGAAGGTAGTGGTTGTTTTGGCTGTTGTGGTTAAGAATGTTGCTGCTACTGCTGTTGTTGTTGTTGTTGTAAATGTTCTCGTGGTTGTCAACGTCAAGGAACTTCGAGTGTTTGCCCGTCTTCTTCTTGCCAATCTTCAACGTCTTGATGTAGTCGTCGGTCAAGCCTGGGCAAAGACCCATCTCTATGTGGCGTTCGACCCAGATCTCGTTGTTGAGAAACTTCTCGCCGCAGATGCCGCACCAGCCCATCATGCCTGTTCTCTTGTTCGACTTCACGCCAGGTGGGTAGCGAAAGTGTCTGGCCTTCAAGTGCGTCTTGAAAGTGTCCCTCCTGGAGAAGCCGCCTGTCTGGTGGCAACGGGACTCGGTGGAGTCGTCGTAGAAGGGGCAGTGGTACGCCTTGGTCTTGGAGTGCTTTTTCATGTGGCGGGTGAGGTATCCACGGATGCGGAACTTCGAGTCGCAGTGCGGGCACTGGTGGATCTTCTCCGAGTCTGGAACGTCGTCCTCGAGGTCGTCGCAGTCGTCCTCGTCAGAGAGGCTGTCCTTCACGCAGGCGTCGCTGGAGTTGGCGGCGGCGTTCAGGCTCTCCTGGGAGTTGTTAGACTTGATCGACGAGACCGGCGACAAGTTATTGAACTCGCTTTTGAAGGCCACGCCGGCCGGGTTGGCCTTGGCCTTGCCGTGGGCGTGGACGCTGTCGCCCGAGCTCGAGTTGGGGGAAACCGAGTCCGAGTTCGGGGTCAGCTGCTGGACGCTGTGGTAGAGCGGGGTAGCGCCCTCTGCGGCGGCATGGCCCAACTGGAACTCGAGCTCGCCCCTGGCGTTCGTCAGAGGCAGGAACACCGAGCCGCTGGCCGTGCTGCACTGCTTGGCCGTGGCTGGAGCGGCCTCCTGTCTCTGCTCCTCCTCGTCGGCGTTTTTTCTACCGCCTCTGGCGGACCGGGAGGTCCTCGCGTCCAGGGCGGTGAGGTTCTTGATGAACTTGATCGTTGGGGGGAACAGGGAATCTGCGTCCAGCGCCGTCTTTTCGTCACGGCTGCCGCCGGTCTTCCGCCCGCTGCCGCTGTGGCTGCCGTCGAAGATCATGCCGTCGATGAGCAGCAGGGACGACTGGAAGAGCGCCGTAAGGACATACTGGACCGGGTAGAGCAGCCAGCTGAGACAGCAGACCAGCTTGGCTGCTAGAAAGTCGATGGCCACCTTCATGTTGTGTGTGTTTGCAATGTTTTTTTCTCTGTGGAGAATATACCAAGGGGGAAGCTATTTCGAAGGATGGTCGGCTGCACTGCTGTGCGGTGTGTGTGTGTGCGTATGTGTGTGCGTATCTCTCGCAGATCTAGGACTTGCTGTGTCGACTGTTGCCCCGTTCTCTAGCTGAGCAGAGCAGAAGTCTCCGTCCTTGTGCTGGTGCAGCCCACACTTTTCCTCAGTGCTTGTTCGTTCGTGCCTACCTATCTGCCATTGCGTGGACCTGGGCACCTGGGCACCCCGCGCGGTGTGCTCAGCGCATCGCAGCGGAGAAGGCGACGCTGCGACTGCGACGCCGAGCTGCAAAAAATCGTGGCGGTGCTGGCCGCTGCACTGCCCGGACGGCATTGCGGTGGGCTGCTCCTCCTTCCGCATCGGGCGTTGTTCCGACGATCCGCAGATCCGACCGTCCAGGGGGCCCGGGCGGGGCGGTGTCCGGGCGGGGCCGCAGCCGTTGTTGCCCCTTTCGGCGGACGGGGCCCGTCCCTGGGCAGTGCGCTTGCAACGGGCACGGAGAAGCCGGCGGATTACATGGGAAACGGTTATGCTGTGTCTATCATGTGTCTGCATCAGGATTACGTACGTGCTAGGCCGGAAACCAGAGATCGTTACAGATGATGCGCTGGACCACCCACTCCCAGTTGACGGTGCAGACGCAGGCGGAGGTGTCGACGGCGGCAAGAGCACTGCGGAAGCGGTCAATGTCGTTCCCGTACTTCACGTAGACGTACTTTCTGTGTGTGTCGGGCGCTGTGGCGGCCTCATCGCCCCGCACGCCCTGCTGCCGAAATCGCCTTGCACCGCTGCCGCCGGGGGTGCTGCTGCTGGCGTGGTTCAGATCGAGGAGGTGGTGGACGCTCCAGCCCTGCTTCGGAATGACGGCACGGTCGAAACCAAGCTGGCGAAAAATCCACAGAAGCGTCTCCTCGCTGGCCGGGCCGTCCACCAGCCTCCGTGGTGCTGTCTCCTCGTCGCTGAGCGAGCCGGGCTCGGAGCGTATATCCGAAATGCCGGGTCTGTCTGCTGCCGCGTCTGTATCTCCTGCTGCAGTCTTGCGCCGCTTCCTGCCGCAGCTGCTGCCGGCCTCGCAGGCCAGTCGCCGTTCGAATGCGGCATACTCCTCCGCAACAATAACAACGTCGCTGCCGCTGAAGAGCCGGTTCAAGTGCACCTGGTCGCAGAGCCGATGGCCCTGTTTCCAGTTGCCGTAGAACTCGAAAATGTCCAACCCGATCGAGCTGTTCAAAAACATGCTCTCTCCGGAGATAAGCAGGTACTTGGTCCACTCGTTCCCCCAGTTTCTCAAAAACCCCTCACTCTTCATGCAGTTCTTGACAAACTCGGTGTGGATTATGGGCCACTTCAAGCAGAGGCATTGTAGGTACTTGAGCGTGCGCACGTGTCTCGTCGAAAGCACGCAAGCAAACTCAAACCGTCCAACCTCCTCGTCCACATACATGCTGTTCCTGCTGCGGAAATCGATAACATAGCATCCGTCGTGGTTCTCCAAGCACTGGAAGTTGCGAAACTCTCTCTCGGCTTTCCTTGCGTCAGTACCGTTGACGTCGCTGCCGCTCTTCTTGGCCTTGCGGGGCGATATGTTCAAAGCGTTCCCGGAGCCGCCGATACCACCACCGTTACCTTTTTTGCCTTTGGTCTTCTCCCTTATCTTGAACTTGATAACCTCCTCAAATCCAGAATCCTGTAGTACCGTCCCCCCTTGTAGCCGGATGAATTCAACCAGCTGTTGGATGTCGCTCTTGTCTCTCTGGTGTCTTGGTGTGTTCAGCTTAGAATCTCCTCTAGATCCATTCCGCACACTGTGAATCCCCGTAACCACAAACAGACAGTTAGAAAAGAATCCTTGATTTCTGCTCTTCATAAAACTCCGATTCCTACTGACAGGTAGCAGGTTTATAAGCGTATCATCCGCTCCGGTGCCATTTAAACAGTTCCCCTTTTTAGAGTCAAGCATGGCAAATCGACTAATTTGATAGTCAATGTACTTCTGAAAATCATCCGGATCATTGAAAAGCTTATACCGGTAATTACGGGAAATCGGAGCAGTGAGATAAAGCTCTTCCAGAGCAACTTCAATTTCTTCGAATACCTCCTTGGTGGTTTTACTGTTCTTTCTGATCAGAATCTTGTCAAACCCATCTATGGTCTCCACTCTACCATATGTGTCCTCCTCATTCATGTCTTCATATGACCGATGCGTCTTCTTGAGACCAGTCACTACGTAATTGTGCCTTTTATCCATAGAATATTTGACAGGATCACCAACACTGAAACAAATAGGTGCGTATATCTTCGAATGGTCAACAATGACTTCACCATCCTTCACCTTCACGTTCACAAGTATAACATCGTCAGACTGCACCATCTTTGTTATCCGTCCGGGGATCCTGCTTGACGAATCCATAATGAAAACACAACAACAATCGAGAACATCAACAATGTCATAAGTGTTTTCCTTCCTTTTTCTCTCGGCTCGGAAAAGTTGTCGTTGTACTAGCTCACTCTCATCTTGATTATCTTCTTTTAATACATTACTCAGCCGTTCCATAATATTAGACCTTGATGTAGAAGTAGCTGTTTGAGACATGTTTTCGTCCTGGCGCTCAGTGCTTGCATCTTTGACCTGAACAATCAAAGGCCTTTTATTTTCAATAATTGGAGTCGAAGTCGCTTTGGAAGGCTCCTGATTTCTGTCCCGTGCCGCATCATCTTTTATATCCAGGCAAATCTTACTAATAGACACAGCACTTGTATTAGGTATTTCTGGGTCTGTTGTTTCGTTCCCATTTCCGTTCGCATTCCCATTGCCGTTCTCGTTCTCGCTCCCGTTCTCACTCATTGGATGCACAATATTCAATTCTATATCGACGGGCGAAGAGATATGGCTTAAAACAGCCTCGACACCCGGATTAAAATTGGTGTCGGTCTCAATCTTAAACGTTTCTGGTAAAGATAGAACTTGGGTATCAGGTATGCCAAAACTAGAATTAGCTTGGCTTCCTTGAATTTGAATGTGGTCTGCTTCGGGGCCTTGTGACACAGAACTTGCCGGATTACTCGGCCTTCTATACCGCGGTTGTGATTGCGATAGTGATGGTGACTCCTCATCAATCTTGAAGGTATTCAAGATATTTCGTCCTGTTTTAATTCTTTCTCCATCTTCGTCATCTTCGTTAGCTTTCTTTCTCATTAAACCTGTGTATTCACCCACTGCAGAACTAACAGCTTCTTCATCTTCCTCCTCTTCCTCATCTTCCTCAATAACAATAGATTGCGAAAAGTTGTCTATGACTTGAGTCTCTTTTAGCATCATTCGCTTATCATTATTAGAGTGGCTTAAAAGTTCAAAACTCTCTGGCGCCCGTTCAGTGAATTGACTATTACAATATTTGTCATGACACTCATCTTGAATCACAAATTTTTCTCCACCCATTGCAGTTTCCTCAACAAAAACAGGAGTTGTGTTTGAAAACGTTTGCGTGGTTTTGGAACTACCTTCGTCAAAATTTTTGGGGGATGATCCAGTTACATCTAGCGTATCCTTTAAAATCGCCTCATCGTTGTCTTTAAACATATTTTGATGATCTTCCCTACCTGAGGGGCTTGTATGTATTTGAAGCTCGTTGCTTGTTTTTTCGCTACTCATCTCTTTGTCCATCACATCACTTGACGAGTATTTATACTTTTGAGAATTATTGAGATCCTTTATCAAATACTCCTTATCTTCATCTTCAAAGCTACGTTTTGAAATTTGATCTCGAATAAGTCTATTTACTTCTTCGTGTACATTTCCGTCGGCTTGTGTCGGGTCAACAGTGTCCTCTGCCGCCTCCCTTCGATTATATCGAGATGTCGTGGGTATCAAGTTTAATCGTATGCTTGAATCGTCCATTGAAGTCTCCTCCCCAGTTTCGTCTTCATTCCTCCTAATATCTATGACCAGACCAACATTGGAATTATCGAAGTTGTCGTAACCATAACCATCATCTTGGAGTTGTTTATGCTTAAGTGCACGAAATTCTTCAGCAGCGTTAGTAGAAGTCGCCTGGAGGAAATTAAGAAACTTTGATCGGTTTGAACCTGCTGGAGTACTTTTTCCTGTACTGGTCTCCTTTTTCGATGGTGTTTTAAAAATAGCACTGTTTTCCACATCACTTTTCATACTCAAGCGAATATCGTTCTTATTATTGTCTTTCTCGTTTGGCGTCTCTTCGAAAGGATTTTGAAATTTACTCAAAGCAGGCGATCCACCGTTTAGATTGAGTTCAAAAGCTGCTCCAAACTCATTTTCAAGGTCATGATGAGAGTTTGATGTAGATTCCGAGACTGGATTGGCATGTCCTTCATTTGTTTTCTTAATGTACTTCTCAAAAGTCATGGATGGTAACTTTCGAGTTAGGGTATCATCAAGTAGGGGAATTGGACCCATATTGGTGATCCCTCCAGGTTCACCTGAGTCTGTCCCACTGTTACTCATGAGTTGGTCCGTATCCCAAATTATCGGAAGGCTTATTGATGTAAATGCATAAGCACGGCCTAATTCATGCTAGAGATCAAGCAGCAACTCCATAATATTTCACGAGGTCATGTGGCACCATGAATTGGTCGAGGGTATTCCCAAACGGGATGTTTTTATTGTGCCTCTTCATCTTATTACTTGATTAATTATATTTTACTTACTCTAAAACTTATTTACTCTAATACAGTAAATACCTATAAAGACAATCTATATTATGTGTATCAAGTCTGTAATTGTATCCCCTATCGATGGGCTTGCTCAATGGGAGGAAAATTTTCTTGAAAACCTCATAAATCAACAAAAATATGAACTTCTGCTTATGTTCAGTGGAAGTATGGAAGATACAGAAATGTTTGACCTTGGCCTCATTAGTTTCAATCTCTCAAAATTTTGGTTTTCCACGGCTCAAATGTATACTGTCTACAGAATAACCCCTATCTCTAAGCGCTTGCCTATAGCCATTGGCATTGCAGATATTTTAGCCGTGAGTGGAAAGGAAAAACTAGCCCTCAATTATTATAGCACCGCCATCGGCTTGATTCAAAAATTTTCAAGAAATAACATAGACCTATATAATTACTGTACGGGTCAAAAAGCCTTGATTGAAAAAAAGTTTGAAAAGCTAAAAGAAAGCTCCCGGATTGATTTAATACCATGCCAACAGAAATCAATGTTGTTTGTCGACTATGATTTTTTTGAGGCAAAGATGTGCATCTTTGAATACTTCTTAAGCTCGATACCTTGTCCAGGAAAGGATGATTATGAATTTGCTTGGAATGTCATCAAAGACTGGAATTTATACAAGTCTACTAGCTCCATTGTATTGTCTGGCATTGTTACAAAAGGTAACTTAGATCTAGAAAAATCCTTGGATGCAACATTTAACTTTATCTCTAGTTTTCCTTTGAAATTATTGTCCAAGAAAATGATGGCTTACTCTTCAGTAGAATATATTATTGACGAAAATCTAATGAAATTTGAAGATGCTATGTTTGGTGGGGAGCCAACAATGGAGCAAATAATTTCCAAATCAGAAATCTTTCACAAAGATCAGAGCTATTTAAGGTATCTTCTTATTTATTTGAAAAGCAAATTGATATTAAGCGTGAAAAAATTCATTTTGGCAAATACGGATAAAACATTCATAATATGTGAGTTTGACATGATCACAAAATTCTGCCAATTACTAATAGAGTTGATCAAACCTGATTCTGAATCAAATTTATTGAAAAAGTATGCAGAGAAAAGAAAGAAGTTCCTACATACCTACCAAAATGATATTGAGGCGTTCCAAGACGAAATTTTGAAGATTGGGATGACATCAATTATATACACGTTCTTGGCTTATAGAGATGATGAAGCATTAACTAAATACTGTTTGAATCCTGAAATTAGAGTCTTGAAAATAAAGCTGTTCAAAAAAAGTGTTTTTCTACTTAGAACACTGTATATCATGTTCAAGGCTCGTAACCTAGAGCTAGAAAATAGAACAATTATTAAAAAAGTTATGGTGTATAGTGATGAAATTATGGCGTTTTTAGCTGCGGAGGAGATCCTACCTGAATCAAATGAAAACAGAATGGAAAAGTTTAGGAAAACTAATAAATTTTTTACGGAACGACTTATAGCAGGCTACATCAGTTTGTTAGAAAGAAATGCCAGTGATGATTCAAGTAATCTATCTTTAATCAAGCATCTCATGTATTGTATCCTACTACAGGGCGGTTACCATATTTCCGTGATCTGGTTTTTAAGTCGTTTGAGCGAGTTTGCTCAAATGAAAAGTGCCGTTTCTTTGATAAGTGATGAGGATGACAATGATGATTTTCACTCTGCCATGTTCGGGGGGAATGTCACACAGTATAAAGAGGAGTTTGAGTTAATCATTAGAAAAATATGTTTGGCTCAAGAAAGTGTAGAAGTCATCAAGCTCAAAAGTTATGAGAATGATCAGGAGATCGAAATTGAAAAGTCACAAAGCTACACTCATAGAAACGGGCACCATTTGATTTTGCCACAAGTGATTATCAACTCAGAGAACGAGCTCATTTTCTTACCTGAGTTTAGCAATTTTATCCAAGACGGGAATACCATAAGGATGAATTTGACAGGAGGAAAGCAAGATGTTGATAAGGGGGAGAAATGGCAAGAAGGTAAAGACAAAATAAGTGCCAACACCTACATAAAATTAAAAGGTATATTGAGACCTACTAGAGAATCCATTTACGAGTGCATCAAGAAAAGCGATATTTTGATCGAAAGTATCTTGAACTCGGGCAAGATCGCTCTAGTGAAGGATCTGAAGAGAAGTCACCAAGCCAGACAGCTAATTGATGATGCATGTGGCAGAATGGTACTGCCATACATGGGCGAGGATGAAATCTTGGAGGAATATGGTGAATGGAATAGGCAGAAAAGGGCAGATAAAACGATGCTGGAACATGTTGTTAGAGAGAAAGTTCAGCAATATCGAAGGGAATTTCCCCTCTCGGAAAGCGAACGCGAGACCAGAGAGGCTTTGTGGCGCAGAATGGTGAGCAGTGGCGCAGCAGGCTATACTGCTAAAATGATTCTAGAGTAATTACGTAAACCCATTGCCGATGGCATGTTTTCCAGAATAGCTGAGATTGCTAATTTATTATAGTCCAGATGTAGAAAAACCTGAAAGTCTACGTACAATTTTTTGACCCGATACAATTGAAGGCAGGTTTCTGACGAACAGTTTTGAATCGAGCTAGAGCAATGTCTGACACTGAAGTAGAGTCGCTGAACACTGTGTCTCCATTGACTTTCAAGGAGATTGTCGCCAACATCAAAGACTGTGCCGCTGAAACTGCACAGACGCAGGATTTTATTGGATTTTCAACCGTCTTGGATTTGTATCTTCATGACTGGAATGTGTACAGCGTTGAGGAACGTCTCGCACTAATGGAGCTACTTTGCCAAATCTTAGATGATGACAAGGAACTTTTAGCTGAAGTTGCATGGGATTTACCTCCTTTATTGTTACCCTTCCTTGATTGTGAGTGGCCAGTGAGGTTTGCATTGAAAGATACTGTTGAGGTGCCACTTGTTTGGAAGGCATTCAATTTACTTGCTACTTATGGTAACCCTAAAGAATTGCTTCTCACCTGTTGTGAGCAACTGGGCCAACTGGCCGATCCTGTTGAGGATGCTGCAACAATTGATGAGGCTGAGATCATAGAGATCGAAACCAACATGGATGACTGGTACAAAACACAATATAACGATCTGAGTTATTTGATCCAGGACTATGTGACTGACTGGTCAAACCGCTGTGTCATTATTAAATTTCATACCCTTTTCCAATGTATCAAATTCTGCGTCCAGAGGGTGAAAACATTATATCCGTCAAAATTTTTGAGTATGGCAGTCTCTTCAATATTAAACTTCTTTAACTCAGCAGAGCACATATCGGGTGTGATCTCAGTACAGAGATCATTATATATATTTCTTAGGGATTATATTCCTCCGGAAATTCCAGATGATACTCTCACTAGTGGGGAGAACACACCTGAAGAATTAGCAAGAATTTTTGATGATGAGTGCTACTTGCAAAGAAAATTAATAAGACTATTGTTTGACTCAATTGTTGATAAGATGGCTCGTGATCATCATAGGGTTTTCATAGCCAAGCTACTTCCAAAATTAGGATTTCCCAAAATGGCGTCGGAAGAATTATTTTTCGAGCTAATCAATCGTCTGTTGTCACTGTCTTTATCTTTAGATATTGACCTCTCTGGTTCTTTGGCCAAAGAAATAAAGGATGCGGCTTTTCTTTTTGATGGAAGTGACAATAAAGTAGAGTCCAGTGAGGATATTTTGAGTTTGGCAGTCTCTGCATACAATAATTCTTCTTTCAGGAGCAAGGAACCAAAAGCTTTGCCGACTTCCACCACTTCTCTTGGCTTCCTTTACATGTATGCCAAATACATTGAAAACTGGAACATAAGTATACCAGAAAGCATCAAGGTGCTTGACTTGATCAAAGTTCAGTTAAAAATGTTCATACCTTACATTGTAAACTCAAAACTTACCGATTTGACATCAGTTGGATATTTCATGGTACTTACTATTATCAAAATTGAAAAGAGCAAAGTAATTGCATCGAAAGAAGAGTTTGAAATCAAAAAGGTTAATTTACTGATAAGGACTTACTTGCAAAACATTTCATCAATAATATGTAGATCTGATAGCCTCATAATGGCCAAGTTGTATTCAAAATTCATGAAGAAATTCTTACAGCATTTACCTGAAGATATAAGCTATTCTTATATACTAGATACATTGACCAACTGTCCGTTTGATGAAAATGTATTGTCAACATTAACTATCTTCAAAAACCTCATTTCAATGTCGAAATTTGATGATGAAAATTTAACAGCCGATCTCAGTGAACTTTCGTTGGATGGAAAAGAAAGTTCAAAAAAGAGTGCTTTGCCACCTCCGCTTCCTCAAAGATCTGGTAAAGGTTTCAAAACCAGTTTTATAAATTTCACTAAACTTAGACAAGATGATTTTATTAATTTGGTTAATGAGTGGACTGCAGCTACATTTGATTCCAATGAATCAAATCTTGACGTAATGAAATCAAACCGGTTATTGAGTTACCTTAATTTCATAAACTCTGTGAGATTTGAAGACAAGCGGAAATTGTTGTCAGTACTTAACAATATTGAAAAATTAGCTTCTCAAGTTCAAAGCAAAGTTAATGGTGAAACAGATAATAGTATACCTGTGATTATTGATCTTATCAAATTTGCTGTCAATAAGGGCAATAAGATATATGGAGATGGGTTGAAAGAAACGTGATTTTTTTATAGTATTCTTAAATAACCAAAAAATAATATATTAAGTTTCAGTAAAATTATTACATGAACGTAGTAAATAGACATGCTTTTGTCCAAAGTGTACAGAAATATGAAGAACAATGTAAAAATAATGGGGAGCAAAAAAAAGCTGTCGGCATCAGATTGTAAAATCCTGTACAATCAAAAAAAAAAACTACAAAAGTGTTAGGGTCCTGACCTTATTGTTTGAAGCCTTTTACCAAATCAACATCTTTCAAGTCACTGACTTTGCTTGTAGTCCGTCTGTTTTTGAGGGGGCTTTCCAGCTCAAGTTTGGGAAGTTTATCGTGATCTCCTCCTGAACCCATGTTCACACTCATGCCATTACCTGCAGTCCCAGTACCATTAGCTGGGCCCAATGGAGTGGAAAATTGGACATAATTCCATAAGGCTGGTGATGAGTTTACAGATTGCTGAGATTGAGCTGAGTTCATCTCTAGGTTGGGTCTTTGCAAATTTCTTTCTGGAGTCATTAAATCTAGCCTATGAAATATTTTTTTAGGAGACGATAAAGAATTCAGCTGGTTTTCATCTGCTGCGGAATTGGGATTGATCGGTTGCAGCTTAGTTGCCGGCATAATGTAGTGTGGTCGTCCCATGGCTTCTTCGTTGTATTTGTTGGCATTATTGTTGATTGGTATTGGGGAATTATTGTTCTTATTTGTCGAGTTTGTATGAATGCTATTATTTTTATTTTCAAGTTTTGGGTTATTAATCGAGTTGTCGGTATTGGATGTGCTATTTAGCAGTTGGTCAGATGTATTAGTGTTATTCAGACCACTAACTAAACCACTCGATAACTTTGGATCATTATTCAGATAGTTTATATCTGGAATGCTCATTGTTTTGATTGGCGACGGTAAGTTAGAGTTTGCCTCGTGCTTCACTGTCATAAAGTTTAGGTCATTATGGTTATTTTTATTAGGTGATAGATTCGGCAGCAGGAAAGAAGGGTTATTCAGCTTTTCTTGAGAATGGTTAGGATTAAACGGAATTGAATTTGGAGGTGGGAGTTGAGACATATTGATCGGAGTTGGGAGTTGAGCTAAATGACGTTTTGACTCATCTACAAAAGTAGGGCTTGTTCTGCCCTTTGGTAATGCATTATTTTTTATTAGGTGTAATTGTAGCTGTCTTGAAACACTTGTCCCTCTTCTAACTTTGTTTAAACTGCCATCTTGCCACTTTTTCAAGAACTCGTTTCTATAAGATTCACTTATCTGCCACTTCATACCTTTACCAGGCTCATTTGGCTTCCTTGGTACCTTTTCAAATGCTTTATTCAATGATAAGTTGTGCCTAATTGAATTCTGCCATCCTTGTTTAGTATGTCTGTAGTATGCAAAATGGCTTGAGATCCAATTATATATCTCTGCTAATGACAATATGCCTTGTGGATTCGATAATATAGCCTGAGTAATCATGGTAGCATATGAATATGGAGGTTTCAAATCCTTTGCATCATCCTTTGAGTAATCTTGTTCGGAAGATGCGCTATGAGGATTTAATGAGGAAAGACCTTCCTGTAGCTGAAAAGCTTTAACTTGGGTATTTACCATGTCTGATTTGGAATTGAAATCCACAGAATTGCCTTTACTGCTTGGCATAGTGTTCATCTTCAATCTCTTATTAGATAGTAAGTGACGGAAATAATCTGGAATGACTGGAGGTGCATCTGGTAGAACAAACATCATCTGGGTTCCCCCTATATCTATAATGTTACCAGAGCTTAGGTCATAGGGAGTATTTGTGGAAAGGTTCAATCGCATACCATTGACTTTCAAACCATTTCTACCATTTATAAACAATTGCCATTTTCTACCGTTGAGATTGTACTCAATGGTCGCATGCTTTCTTGATACAACTTTTGAGGGTCCCAAATCGATATCTATCAGATCTTTACTAGCAGTAGCACTATTGTTATTAGTATTGCCAGCCGCATGAAAGTCCGTGTTTCTGCCAATCGAAATCGTCAAGCTTTTTACATAATACGTCCAGTTGCAACCTGCAATCTTCGCATAAGCTTGGATCTCGTTACCCATTATAGAGTCATTGTTGTATTGTTTGGAAACATAAGTTGGTAAATTGTCCGATGGAGTGCTCAAATGGCGAATTACAAAATTCACATCATCAGCAGAATCTTCCGTGACAGTCGTTGAAGGGTTGCTAGGTATCCCAGGATGCGTTCCAATCGCAGGTGTAGTATTGGGAACGGAGCCGATTGCGACACCGGTGCCGGTAGCAGAGGTAGCAGCATTACTGCTATTGTTATTAATATTATTGTGGTTAATGCCATCGGTGTTGGTGATGGTCGAAGTAACTGTTGCACTATTATTCGACATATGGATACTATCACCTATGGCAGTAACACTACTGTTGAACGACCTCTTCTTGTCGGACATAATAGTATGGTGTGTATGTATGTGTATGGATGTTGATGACTGTAAATACTATATTATGCTAGGATTCCAAGATACTATATGCTGAAAATGCAGACGAACCCCAGGCTATGTTCAACACGAGATACGACAGAAACAATATCAACAGGCAGAATCCGTCTAGCAGGTAAACAAAGCCTGGGAAAACAAAACAAAACAAAACATAGCATAACAAAGCAAAAAATGCGGAAAATGCGAGGAAAACTGAAAAAACAAGAAAGCGGAAAAATGGGATAAGCATACGTCTGGTGCACGGGTTGCCTGCTTCCTCTCTTTCTCTAATCCAGAGGAGACAGGAATGGGTTGCTGGTGTTGGAGTTGAAAAGGTTGCTGTTGGTATTGCTGTTGCTACTCTGGCCACTCTGATGGAGGAGCATCTCAATGTTTTCTTCGTCAGAGTCGGAAGAGCTGTCAGAATAGGATTCGTTATGTAAATCCGTTCCCTCCTCCGCATCCTTACTTGAGGCAAACGGACCTAAATGAGCGTAGTTCAGCTGATCCTTCTTTTCAACAAGTGCAGCATATCTGTTCGGAACCGTTCTGCTGTAGTTGCCGTTGCTGTGGTTGTTAGAATTGGCAATATGTTCATTGCTGTCCGACAGCCCGATATCAAGATGAATAGCATCCTCCGCATCCTCGCCTGATTCTCCTTCTTCTTCCCCGATAAAAGTTCTTTCTCTTCCTCTTTCTCCTTCTCCTCCTTCTTTTCTTCTTTGATGGGTATCATCGATATCGCTTTCGTATCCGTCTATGAAGCTGTTGCTACGCTCTCTTCTTTCCATCTCGTCTTCCGCTTCATCTTCTTCCTCTACAATATCGTCATCCATTTGTCTCCTCTCTGGCAATGGAGGTAGCTGCAGATTGATGTTAATCGGATAATTTACTTCTTCTTCCTCGTCACGCAGGCCCTTATCTTCATCGTCGTAATTGTAATCATCCTGATTTATCTCAACAAGCGTTGGGTTACCACCTCGAGTAGCCACGTTACCACCGTGAAAAGAAGCATTCTCCAAATCACTGAAATACGTCTCTTTGGAGTAAACGCTCATACCTCTACTGTAGGTAGAGTTGACAGCTCTTCTGGTGTTTCTTCTACTTCCGCCAACAATAGGTCTTGCAGGCCGGCTGTTTGTGACACCTGGAATGTAGACAATATTCAAAACATTGGAAGCCTTTGTCAAGACTGAATTCGTCACTGTGGATAAACTGGTCTGTGACATCCTTTTTTCCGCATTACCAGGATGTAAGAACTGTGATGATCTAGCATTACGCACACTGTTTCTCACTCCATCTCCATATCCACCACCAGCACCATCATCAAAACCGTCATCGTAGTCGTTGAATCCTGTCAACTCTTTCATCTCTTCACCTATTCCCAGTTCATAATCAACAAGAAGGTGATTCTTGTACTTCTTGTACAAGAAATAGATACCCACCAGAAGTAAAATAAACACAAACCCACTTAAGCCTCCCGCAATACCACCGATCTCGGCACTATTAAGTGAGTTTACACCTGTGGAGTTGGTGCCATCACTATTATCTAAGCAGTATGTAGTTGGACATTGTGCACACGTTTGTGTCGTCATTGCACATTGTTGATAACTTTTACATTGAGGACAAGATGGGGTGGAGTTACATATCACACATCCATGGGAATCAAGTAGTGCATCCACACCCGATGTTTGGGAGCTAGATGAAGAAGACGACATTGAAACTGCATTATTCTGGGAGCTTGAAGCCGTCAAGTGGTCCTCTCTTTTTGATATGAAAACTGGATCCCATATGTAGTTCTCCTCAATGACCACCACCATTTTGGTTTGAAAATGAGCAAGCGAGTGACTATGTGGTAGAGTCCAGATGAGATAGGTTTATCCAAGGATCTAGAAATGGAATTAGACAAAGAAGGCAAAGAAGAAGAAAAGACGCCAAAAAGAAAACGATGTTGGTAAGTCAAAAAATGGCTTTACCTAATATTGTTCCACATATACGTGCGCCGCCAAACGTACCCCTTAAAATTCTATTTTTCTTTTTATTATTTGTTTTTCAACTATCTCTATGAAAAAAAGAGGTGGCAAAAAATAACAACTGCTCGCACTCAGAGTTGAACTGAGGATCGCCACATTACTAGTGTGGCGCCTTACCAACTTGGCCATACGAGCTGTTATGTTGAAAAAGACACCTTTTCAATATATAGTCTACAGCTAATTGTTTCAGCGTGAATAGAGGAATACGAGAGAACCTTGGTCCTTAAAGCTGCTTTTAGTTTCCAAACACAAATGTTGAGATAAGATGCCAAAGCCAATCATGATCGAGGGATAAGAGATAAGAATCTTATCATGATAAGGTATCTTAGGGTTGAGATAAGATGCCGAGGCCAATAAGGATTGAGTGATAAGAGATAAGAGTCTTATCATGATAAGGCATCTTAAGTAATCTAAAACTGGAAAGTTAGCCGCCATGATAAATGAATAATGGCAAGTTTAACCGAAGGTGTAAGTGTATAAATACAAGAGGTTTGTCCCTTGTATTTATGTTTGAGAATATTAGTTTGTAGGCTAGTTATATTAGTTAAATATAAATAAGCAACAAACATAAGAAAAAGTGAACATATACAATGGATATTCATAATAGAATAGCTAGATTACAACAGGTTATGAGCCAATTCGCTCTCACTTGCCCTAGAGATGAGAGCTTGAAGCTTTCTTCGTCTATGAACTATCCTAAATGGAACAGTTACACTGGTATGCTTGTTGCCACTCAGGGTGCTGGCCTTGACGTTTATTTTACAACTGGAGATATGATGTTACCTCCAGCTGAACCGATAGACGACACTCTAGTTATGCAGCTCCAAGTTGCATTGAACAATGCAATTCAAGTTGTACTGTTGAATACTGTGTCGTCAAAAGTGTTGTTAAAGTATCAGTCTGATAATGCGTTCGGACTTGATTTACTTATGTTGATTAGACGTGATTACTCCCAGGTTACATCACGTCAATTGTATGCTATGGTTAATAAAGCTTGTGATGCTTCGGTCAGTAAGTCTGCCGGTGATGAAAGTGCTCTGTCCTTGTTCAGAGATATATGTGCTCACTTTAACCACTCCTCGGAAATTACCCAAGTGATGGGTTTGTTTTACTTAAGGATGTTTAAGTCCGACCAAGCGAATGCTCGAGTTTTAGATGTGTCAACTCCGAACATTACGTTGTCAGCGGTTGAGAACACTCTGCGGGATCTCGTTCCTACAACGCAGGGTTCAGTATTTGCAGCTACTTCCAAGAAACCTTATGTTAATAAGCAGAAGTGTTACCGATGCCAGAAACGAGGCCACGTTGCTAAGGATTGTCCAGCTGCTGCCCCGATTGCTGCTAGCAGTTCTAGTGGTAATACAGCAGCTCTTGTCAACTCCTCATCCAAATCTATCTCTGGTATCTCTTGGGCAGTCTTCAACTCAAGAGAAGACTCAGTTATGCCAAGTCGGAGCTACATTTTGGATTCTGGTGCTACACTCCACATTTCAAATGAGCGGTCTCATTTTGCTGAATTTACTCCGGCGTCTGGCTGCATTACTGGGATCTCATCCAATCCTCTGGTCGTTAAAGGTACTGGGACTATCCGCTTTGTGCACCCAGTTACCTCAAAAGTTCTTACTGTGTCCGATGTCTCCTTTGTCCCTGATGCCACCCAAAATCTAATATCCATCAAAAAGGCCTCCAAATCTGGTTCGTTTACATTTTCTCATGAAGCGGTACACTATCTCTCATCATCTGATGATACAGCTAGTAAAATTGCAACCGCTTGTGGACCAGACTTGTATGAGTTTGACTACATTCCGCTAGTTGGTGATGCACTAGCAGTTCCTGGTGGTATTAGTCATGCGGCCCTCGGTCACCCTTCGCCCGCAGTTATGGCTCAGATGGGAGTACCTTCTGGTCCCAAGATGGTTGAGTGTGCATCGTGTGCTGCAGGAAAGATGACTCAAATCTTTCCCAAGCAAGCTTCATCACCACGGGCAAAGGCACCGCTCCAACTACTTCATGCTGATGTGAGCGGACCTTTTTCAACACCGGGTTTTGCTGGTGAGAAATACTTTCTCACAATTGTTGATGACTTTTCAAGATGGGCTCACATAATTCCTCTCAATACGAAGGATGAAACTAATGCATACTTCAAGAATTTTATCTTGACTGCAGAAAACCACTTTAGCTCACGTGGTTTGAAAGTTTCCCAAGTTCGTACTGATAACGGAACTGAATTTGACAATAGAGCAATCAATCAGTTCTACTTTGAAAAAGGGATCAGTCATCAGTTGACGGTTCCGTACAACTCATCACAAAATGGTGTTGCCGAGCGGAAACATCGCACACTCAAAGAGAAGGCTCGTGTCCTTCTTCATTCATCAGGTCTTCCCTCGCGTTTTTGGTCCGAGGCAGTCAAGACGGCTGAATTTCTAGTGAACAGGTACCCGTCATCTTTATTGGACGGGAAGTCACCTTTCTTTCGTTGGTATGGATATGACCCCTTATATTCTGTGCTGCATCCGTTTGGTGTCCAGTGTCATGTGTTGATACCTCCGGCCAAACGTACATCGGTGTTCTCTCCGGTATCCTCAGATGCTATCTTTGTGGGTTATAGTCCGGCCCATAAAGCTTACCGCTGTTATGTTCCGGCTCTGAAAGATATTGTAATTTCAAACAACGTGAAATTTAATGATAATGTCTTTCCATGTTTGAAAACGCCCACTGTCCTGGATGAGGATAGCTCGAACCGTCTACCATCAGACATTCTCTTTGGCTCCTCAGCTTCCGGGGCTTATCCTCCGAGCCCCACTGACTCCAGCCAGAGTAGCGTTTATGGTTTGTCATCTGCTGCACCACATGGTGGCACACTGAGCCAAGTGATCCCTCGTCGTGTCTCCTCTGTTATTGACCCATCGGTATCTCCTAGCGATCTTGAATCTTCTTCTGCTGATTCCGTCGCCTCTACTGAACTGGAAGATTCCTTCGCTGGATGTGCTCCCCCGTCTGAACCTCAAGTATTATCGTATAAGGAGTCTCTTGCTCACCTGACTGACAATATGAATCTTGCTGCAAATGAAGCTCAGAAGCTCCCAGACATTTCCACCAACACTTTTGATTACCAGGAATCTGATCGTGCAATTCCTCTTGTTGATCCTCCTTCTGAGAATCCCGCAAGTGTTCCTTCTGACGAGGACCATATCGATGCTTCCTCTGAACCTTATTTTCCGTCCACCTCTCTTCCGGATTGTGTTCCTGATGCGGTACCTTCCGTGGTTCCAGTGCTTAATCCCCTCCCACGCGTTTCTTCCCAACTATCACTATCATCTGTTGCAAGTGATACCGAGCTTTTAGGCCTTCTTCAAGATGATTCTCCTCCTGATGCTTCGGCCAATCAAGCGATTACAGATTTTTCGCTTGCTCTTGATCTTACTTCCGGCCCAGCCTTAGTCCGTACTATTTCTGAAGTGACTGATTTTGAAGGACCCATTCCAAAACGCGCTGACCATCACACGGCCTTGTTGGTCTCTGGTCAAGTGTTCAATGCCATTCATGCTGTTCATAGAGCTTATGTTACCACGTCGTCTGCTGGATACATACCCTCGACGATTCAAGAAGCTCTGGCTTGTTCCGACTCTGCCGCTTGGACTAGTGCCATCAACAAAGAACTTGATGCGCATAAAGAGAATCAAACCTGGACTATGACGTCTCTCCCTGCTGGGCGCAGAGCAATTGGATGTCGGTGGGTGTTTACTATCAAGGACAATACCACTCCTCCCACTTACAAAGCCAGGCTTGTTGCTCAAGGTTTTCGTCAAGTACATGGTATTGACTATGGTGAAACCTTTAGTCCTGTTGTTAGGTATGAAAGCATTCGGGTGTTATTTGCGTTGGCGGCTCAGTTTGATCTCACCATTCATCAAATGGACGTAAACACCGCATTCCTGAACGGTGATTTGCATGAGGAGCTTTATATGCAGCCTCCCCCTGGCTCTCCTGCTGCTGGTTCAAAAGTGTGCCATCTGAATAAAAGTCTTTATGGCTTGAAACAAGCACCCCTCTGCTGGAATGTTAAAATCAATCAGGTACTAATAGATTTTGGCTTTGTGCGGTCGATGTCTGAGTTTGGTGTTTACTCTTTGGTTATTGAGAAGTCGGTTACACTTGTTGCCTTATATGTTGACGATTTATTGATCCTCTCCAACTCTCCTTCTTCAATTGATTCTGTCAAAGACGTTCTGTCTTCTCATTTCAAAATGAAGGATCTTGGTGCAGTTTCTCGGTTCCTAGGGATGCAAGTTTCCCAACGTCCTGGTGTGGTTTCCATGCATCTCGGTCAGTACTTAGCAGGATTCTTGGGTGATTTCAATATGTCTGACTGTAATAAAGTTCAGACTCCCCTTGCTGCTGGTTCGTCCTTGGCCCTTGAGGGTAAGCTACTGTCTGACGAAGATGCTTCCCTGTATCGCAACATGGTGGGGAAATTATTGTTTGCTGCGAATACAGTGAGAAGCGATTTGGCATATGCGGCCTCGGCCCTATCCAGGTTCATCAAAACGCCGTATGCAAATCATTATGCTGCTGCTAAACATGTTCCTCGGTACATAAAAGGTACTCTCGGTTTAGGACTGGTATTCAAGAAGACCACGAGTTTCAATTTAGTTGGTTACTGCGATTCCGATTGGGCTGGTGATAAGGTGGACAGAAAGTCAATTACCGGTTATGTTTACATGTTAGGAAATACTGCAATAACTTGGAAATCCACGAAACAGCAGACGGTGGCGCTATCATCTACT